TCGAGGATGGTCTGGTTGAGGCATATTTGTGGCGGAATGTGGACTTGAGCCACCCCAGAAACAAGTGGCTGGCTGTATGTGGAATCAACTGTTCCGAGTTGGCATTGCGCCACTACCACTGCCTGATGAGCCCTTTTCTTTTTTCCCCCCTTTCCCTTCAGGGAGAAACTGCAGATCCTATTAAGTGTCTTAACCTTAAGAGCGCCTTTACCACTCAATCGGTACATCTTGGCATTGATCGAAGCCCCAATTTGAGCCTACTAGGCTCACAAGGACCAAAAATACTCGGAATCCAGGAGTCGAGTGCCAATGCTTGAATGTCACTGGGGAAATGACGTGTGACGTATTGGAAGTGGAAGATGTTGGATAGTATCGATGCTGCCTAGAATGATCATGGGCAAGACTGACAGTCTTGGCGAATGTGCATATGCGAGATCACCTGTATGAATGCCACCGCGTTTAAGCTGCTGATAAAAAATAGTCATAGCACCATGTTATCAGACGAGTGTTTGGATCGCGTTAAAAATAAATTTTGATTGTTTTCGAGAACTCGCTACGCATGCGTGATGCTGTGATTGTCGATGTACAAGACATGCCATGCGGTCATGCTACAAGAACAAGGAAGCTGGCGAAAACTTCCCTTTTCAAGAGCCGATGAATCGTCTACCCTGGAGGAAAGCGTATGAGGCGAGGGACTAGGCAAGTTAACTGCATGTGTGAAGTACAAAAGTGACGGCGTGGGGCTTGGGGGCCGAATCACTGGGTCTGTTTCTCCCTTTCGACGCAACTCTCTCGAAGAGCATTTACTGAGTGGAGGGGGCCAAGGTCCCGCCGTGGTGAGACTCAATTAAGAACTGCATGGCGCAGGTGGTCATCTCTCTGTGCAGGGCCTTCCATGTCCTTCGCTCGGATATTGATGGGAGAAGCAAGACAAGGACCAATGGAGGAATGCGGCTGTCTTCTGGCAACGGTCCTCCGCATCGCTTGCGACGGATTTCTCCTGGCGACCTTATCAAGCGGATGACTGCATGTTAGACATCCTCCAAGCGTTGTGTCAAGCTGGTCCTCAGGCTTCAATTTCGCGGATAGCTTGCCCTGGGGGAACGTGACATGTGCACCTTGGAGCAGAAGCGCCTGTGTTCTTTCAGAGAGTCAATCTATAGGTGATAATAGTAGGGCGAGAATAGTTCATGGAAGAAGCCGAGACTTGGAGGCTATTGATACAACGGACGTAAGTATTCCTAGGAACCCCAGACCTCCATTCAGTGTGCCATGTGACATGCTGAGGAAAAGCTGTGAGACACTCAAGCAAGACAGGAAGGTGCTGTGTGCTAAGTCGCAGGCTTCTCAAATCCTGCCCTAGGCTGATATGGCGGGATCATGCTTCGCTGTCCTCGTCCCGAGGGTTGTGGAAGAGGGAGAAGGAAAGAAGTATATCGAATGTCGGCTCCGAGGGGCGCAATGCTTGAGTTGAGAGTGACGACGGGAAAACGGGCCTTGAAGTTGCGTCCCAGCCAGCAGAAAGGCGTTCCTGCTGTTATGACGCGCCAGCTGGATCCATCTGTTCGCCACTGAGTCGGGGGAAGGGGGGCGAGTTTACGTAAGGCAGGCACCCGGGGGGCAGTGGGTGAGTGGTGGGGGGTGTGCTTTACAATGGATAGGCATTCAGTTTCCCTGTCCGCCCGAGATGGGGAAAGCGCAAATGGGAAATAGAAACAACTCACTTCGGGCTGACATTCTCGGTTTCTTCGTCTCGTGTAACCATCGTTCGTTGTCTCTCACCCGTGAGACATTTCAAGTATTGTTTGTTCTGGACCGTCCAGTCTCCGCTGCGCAATTTCAGCTTTCCTATTGGGTCGCAGCATACTCCGAAGCGATCTGTCCACTCAGAGCTCCTAGACCTGGTCGATCGCCATCGACGTCGTCTTTTTCGCCTACCACACCCACACAGCAAGACAAGGGACACCTAGCGACGCCTCATCTCCCTCAATGTCTTCTTCCCACTTCTCTCACACTTCCATTCCTGGGTATTCAGTCCAACATCCATGCTTGGCAGGAGAATACATTAGGGCTGGTTTCGGGCGCATGCTCTATCCGAGCGTGCCTATTAAGTCCAGCACCCACAATTGGATCGTGACACCAAAGTTCAAATAACAGGATCTCTCCTGGCAACTAGGGACACTCTCAGCGGGCACATCCGCCGCCGCCTAGCTCAACATGGTAACTTCTCCAGGGTCCATCCTTACAGCCGGCCTTGACAGTACCACATTACATGCGAGGGGGGTACACTCAATTCCTACAACTAGGCTCACGTCCAGCAAGCTGCTTCTCGACGAAATACTTCCGGAATCAAACCCATCAATCCTCTGGAATATGCTCGGTAACTGCCGGCGGACAGGTGCCGAATGGCATTTACCGATTACTTGCTTTTTGGTTTCACTTCGATTGGCTCATGATCAACGTTTTTTGGTGCAACTTGCCAACCAGGCTTGCAAACTGGAATATCCACTTTGTATTTTGCATCTCAAGCGCTGCCACCCTGCAAATCGGCCAGTCATTGCCGCCCCTGCCTCCGCATCCTTGCTTCCAGAGGGTCAACCTACCCCTCAAGCAGCCAGAGATCGGTCGATTCCAGCCCGCGGCCAGGGCATTCTGGAACGCGGACCGAAGTGCGAGAGCAGGACCCAGGAACATAGAGTCTGCCATCCCATGACCCCCGTGAACACGACCACTTACTGCCATAAGCTTCCCTCCAGCATCAGCAAGCACCATGCCAAGCTGACCCCAGCATCCATCACCTTGAATGCTTCTGCGTCTGATGCGGCGCGGCCCACGCTCGGCATAGCACTCGGACACACAGCTAAGTCCATTGCCCATTCTGTCCAGCAATGCCACGGATCCGACATTCTATCTCTCGTCCCGGGCCTGTCCATTTTAGTACCCGACTCAACTTAGGGCGGGTCACTCCCGCGCTCTCCAGCACCTCCAGGCGCTAAATGATCGATGACTGATCTACCACGGACACCTGCATCCTAGACGGCTAGAAAATCGATCGTCAAATAGCCCATTAAGGTAGCTGTGGCTGCAAATCGAACCAACCTCAGCGTCTTGGTAGGAAAGGTGCGACTGAGGTAGCTTTCGATGATCGGCTGGTCTTTCTATCCTAACGCTGATATAAAAGTGGGATTGCTGCCCGATCATGAGGCATAGAGTGAGCAACGTGGAAGAGGTCTTGAAGGCCCGGGCACCGACTGCAGTCTCCGACCCCGTCCAGCATAACCGGCTAATCGGACGGCTTAGCTGTCCGACTTTCGGGAATGCCAGTCTCAAGGTCATCCACATCGTATTTAGACTCGTTCATTGATATTGAATGACGATGTCTGACATGCTACATATTTCTTCTCTTCCAGGCGTCCCACCGTAGCCGTTCCCGCTGTGGAATAACTCGAAAGAAAGACCGATGTGCTAGGATTGAGTACAACGTATCTAACCATCCATCAAGCGGGGCTACCTGGTCAAGTCTCACCTGGCCCATGTGGTTCATCTGGCCAATATGTATCTGCGAGAAAGGCAACGGGTGGATAACAGTAAGATACGAGCGAATGGCACCGCTTGAATCAACGAAACGCCTTCCTCGTCTTGGAATACTTCGCAAATGATGGTCACGCGGTACTTATCATCGACCATCAAGTCAAGCTGGCGAGGTTTTCGGCCAGGGCGCTGTGTGTCGTCTAGCAGGGACGCCTGGAATACGTAGCTACATACACATGTGGCGTACCTCACTGCATGGATACGCACTATTGTATACAGTTGCCATCTTGGACGGGGAAGCTCGTCAAATCCCCGGTCAACACCACCCAGGTATTGTTCCAGCATCCTTGCTTACTTCGACTTGGACCTGGCCTGCTGCTGGTCGTCTGCCTACCAGGTATGCATCGACCCCTCCCACCAATATCCGTCTCATATTCCTTCTGTGCGTGGGGTTGATCAGAAACATGGGGCTTGGGGCTGGCCAAGCAGCACATACATACCACACACACCAGTACCTCACAACATGCCGCCTTTCCTGGAGAGGGCAGGCTTAGCCCAATCGACTCTACTGTAGGACTGTATCAATTAGGTTCATCAAATTGCTTTGATAGAGCCAGTGCCCCCGCCGACGGCGAGCAGGTGTCAAGCTGTCCAGGCTTATTTCAGACATTGCCGATCTGGGCGATGCTAGCGAACAGGATATGACGGGGGAGGCTAGAGAGACAAAGCTAGATATACCCAGAGAGAGACAACAAGCAAGGGAGAGGCGGACCAACAATGTGACGCCCAGCACAATCAAATTGGGCCACCAGCAGCACGGCCACAGCCGTCCGACCCTTTTCACCCTCCCTGCCCCGGCCACCACGTCGTGGGAACGAGAGCCTTAGACCACCTCATTGCTTATTGCTCTTCCGGTTGCCCACCCCCGATTAAATTCACACTCCCACTTCCCTGATTCTTTGCGAATTGCGTCTTTCCGCTTTTTTTGCGCGCGCCTGTTTCCCAGTCGCCTTTGTCAGGTTGCGAGATTCATCATTCACAGCCTACATCATTCTCGGCTCATCACATCAGCCAACCTCCCCTCACTCAGATCTTTCCACCGACAAAACAGCCGTTCGGCTTACTGCACAGCTTTGGTGTGTCGTTTGGAGTAGGCACCCGTTGGCTGCAGGCTATTGACAACCACTGCCTGCTCGTCTGTGACACTCGAGGCCTGCCCTGTTTACCTCATCTCGACAATCTGGGTACTTGTCATTCGCCTCTTCATTTCCTGTTGCTCTTCCTCTCAAGCCACTCTGTCACCAGCACAAGCCATCCTGGCTCCACGCGGGTTTCCCATTAGAGGAGCCAGTGGTTGTTGGTGCACAAAGTCATTTTCATCTTGTCTGGACCTCTGTGTCCCATCATCTGTCACCCCTTCCTCTTTCCGCAGGCCTATAACAGGCCAGAGCCGTCACGATTTCAGCCATTTATCGCATCGAGTCTATCCTTTCTCCCGAGAACGCCGATGACTCCCAGACAGCATCGTCCGCACAGACAACGCCAAAGAGAAGATTCCAGGAAACCTTTTCGCCGTCGGAGCGGACAGCGGTGCCACCCGGTGTAGCAGAACCTCCAGATAAGCAGCCGCTGTCCGGGTCCGGGCCCGGGTCCAGGTCTAGCCATTCTTCTGCTGCGCCCGATGACGATGAGCCAAGGCCGTCGTTAGCGGGCGCCCCAAGCGGCAAGAGGCCCTCTCGAGCAATGCGGCCTCCAATGAGATCTAGTATTGCATGCTTACGTTGTAGAAAGTCAAAGATCAAATGTGACAACGACAACTCAGGGGCGCCATGCGACACATGTATCAAGGCTGGGCATAAATGCGAATTCCCGGATCCCACCCCTTTACCTGCTAAGCGGCCAGAGCCGCCTACCTTGCCAAAGCATGAAAAGGAACCAGGACATGACCGGAAACGTATCAAGAAGTTCGAGGATATTTTTCCGCTTGATGGAACCGCGAAAGCCGAAGAGGTCCTTTCGATGCCATATCTGTCAGGGGATATATGGCACCAACTTTTTGACGTCTACAAATTACACTTCGCTACAGAACTTCCTTTCCTTCATCTACCCACATTAAAGGGCGTCATTCATGACAAGGAGGTAAAAAAGCCATCGGCAGATATCAATCTTGTATTATTGGGCATTCTAGCACTTACAGCAAGGTTTCAGCCAGAGCTCGTCAAGTACGTTGCACACCAGGTATACGACAAGGTCGCTGGCCCGAAATCTCGCGGTGCTCACCCAAGACCCGACCCGTCAGCTGCGTCTGAATACTTTGCAAATGCTCTCACAGCAGCTTTGGGGCCTCTTGAATCAGCGTTGACCTCGGCCTCTGTGGTTCGGGTCCAGGCTTTTCTAATGCTCGGTTTGTACAAATGGAGCCAGCCTAATGGCGGCTTGGCCGCGTGGATGTATGTTGGTGTGGCCATTCGGATGGCTCAAGGTCTGAAGCTGGGTTTTGGAGACAGGACCCCCCGTGGGAAAAGAGGTTCTCGACCACATCGATCAATTAAGTCGGCACAGCTTCCCACAGAGTCTTGGAAAGACCAGGAGATCAGACGGCGTACCATGTTTAGCTGTTTGATAATGGACCGCTTGCTTTCATGCGGAGCCGAGCGAGTTTCGATGGTACGATCTGACGACTTGCAGATCCAGTTACCATGTACGGAACACGCCTTTGACCTTGGTCGTGCCGTCTACACCGGTTTCCTCCGGCAGGTTGGCCAAGAAATGGAGCGCCCTATTGACGACAGCGTTCTTAGCCGCTTCGTCCAGCTTGCCGACTTTTGGGGAGATGTTACGAAATATAGCTTCGCTGGTGGCCGCCACACAGAAGTATGCCCGCCTTGGGACGAAAATTCGACTTTCTATAAGTTGAACGAAAAGATCGAAGCGTTTTATGCACATTTACCCGACGAGTTTACCTGGTCTAGCTCGAATTTCTGGAAGCATGACAACAGCATGTACGTGTCACTGCACATGCTGGGCGCCCTCTGCAGGATCATGCTACACAGGGAATACATACCCTTTATTGCAATCAAGTGTGAGAAGCCCGTGGGACCTTTGGACGAGCCGACCTTTGATCCTACTACCGTCCCCGGCGATTTTTGGTACCGAAGTGCCGAGCAAGTTTTCAAGGCCGGTCGTGAAATTATCGACCTGGTAAAAACATGCCGCGACAAACTTCCTCAATCATCGCTCGTGATATTTGCCATCTGGCAAGCCGCTTTTGTGGGGATATATGCGCGGCATTATCCTCAGATGGATACCGAACACCATATGGTTAGTGAGGAAGAGATCCACGAGCGGGCTTCAGGAGCGACACCGGACCTCACAAGGACGGGCAACACGGGGATCGCCTTCCATGCACTGCACAAAGTTGCCCCTTATTTCAGCATGGCATCGAACTACGTTACCTACTTTAAGGACATGGATCATTATTTCACCAAGGTCTTCGCCGATTACACTCAGAGGAACGGGAGACGGAGTGCTGACGGGACCTTGAGCATCCGACTGGGGTCGGGAGGTGGAGGACTCGAGGAATGGAGGGCGAAGGCCGACAAAATCACGAGCAACGGTATTATCATGGACGAGGATCGATCTGTTGGGTACGACGCCTCGGATGGGTCGCGTGCCAGCACTTTGGAACGGAGTTTATCCATGGGCACTGAGTACTCTACTATGAACGCCAGCGGCGTGGACAGCATAAGAAACTCCCGCCAAGCGCCGTCTTCTTTCACGGCCATCAACTCTGGCCATCATGGTGTGCAAATTGGGCCGGATGGGTATTATAGCAGCAGCATTTCTCAACATTCGCCTACACAAGCATTCACACCAGGGCCCGGGCTCCCGAAAAACGAGGCCGCGGACACCCCCGAAGGCGGTAGCGGAGATTGTGCCAGCATCGAGTCTTATGTTCAGCAGCATCAGGGACAGCGACTGGGTACTGCGTTGGAAGATATTCAGGAGTTCACAGGTCAATTGGTTGGGGAGCAGAATATCGGAGATTTGGGGCCGGCGTTCTTTCTAGAGATGGCTGGCGGCAACCCATTACCTCAGTTCAGCGAGAACTTTACATAAAAACACGTCGAGACGGGAAAATCGATCGGCGGCATTGGTTGCCGCAGGCTTCTTTTTTCTTTCTTTCTTTCTTTTTCAGAGGGTGTGTGGGAGAGACATGCTGCAACGCGTCGCTTTGACGAGATGGTTAGGTGGGAATTGTGAATGCGTGATTCTCTTTTCGAATAACAAGTCAAAAGCTACGACCAAACACCCGCCTTGACTGATTCCGCCAGTGAAACTATCACTATGAGGGATGTAAGGGGTGTCTAATTCAGGATGAGATAGATGATTGATGCAAGCAGGCCTCTCCGTGCCACCTTTTGATAACCATTTTCAAGGCCAGCGCTCACAATTTAATATGTGGACTTACGAATATGATAAAATTCCTCGGCATACCGGCTCTGCAGGCAGCATGTCGAGTTTAGCCCGCAACAGTAAGGCTGCGCCTGAGTCCAGAACGAGACATTTCCGGCCTAGCTGAACCAGTAGGCTGGAATGAAGGTCTCTGTAGAAGAATTTCGGAAATATCACGGTGTCCCCTCGTGGTCCGGCAGTCACATGGAAAAGGACGGCAAGGGCCGCCGGGGGACTGAAATGCTGTCTTAGAGCTCCTTGGAATGTTACCCCAGCTGTGTCTGAGTCATCAGGGGTGACGAAAGAAGGGAGCATATATTCTCCCCCCTTCTTCGAGACATCCTTTCCTTTTTGATGCGCCATTCTCTCAATGTTTGCTGGATAAGCGGCACTCAAGTAAGCTGATTGGGCACTGGCATCTGAACGGGGAATGACACGGTAATTATTGCTTAGCTCCTTTTTTTTCCCCGTCGATGAAGGGAAAGTGGAGAGTTGTTTAGCATCGTCCTAAGGGTAAACCAAACATGCTCTCTCTCGTGTCCGTCTACGTGTATCGCACACTCTCTGTTTATTTTGGATCATGTATTATCCATGCTTCCTTGAGGATGGTAGAACTATCCTTGTCATGCGGACATGGATGTGAAAAACACCAAAAGGGAGCAGAGACCCGCCTCTATGTTTACTAATCAGCCATTTTCACCAGCTATGATGGTTTTGAGAAACGTGTACCGGTCTAGCAAGGCTTGGTGCAGCAAAAGCGCAAGTACTAGTAAGAGTATAAGGCGGCGGCGGCAGGGCAAAGTAGATGCGTCTGGACCCAGAGAAGGGGTATTGAAGTGGGAAAAAGGAAAAAAAAAAAAAAAGGACGAAAAAACAAAACTGCCTTGCGGTGCTTTGCCGCGCTAATCGGCGGCATCGCGAATCCCCCGAAATAGAACATCAGCATCCCCCGATAGGTCAGCTCGGCATTAGCTTGCATGCACCGAATCCATCGTGGGTGGGCAGAGGGTAAAGCGCGAAAAACAGCGGTCGTCCTGAAGGGGAGAAGGGACTTTTACCCGGTAGCCCGTCGGTTGCTGTATCGCTCAATTATGTTTGGGGGGCCGAATACAGAAAGAAAAGAAGAAAAAACAGAGAGAAAAAAAAAAGCAAGAACAAAAGACGGGAAAGGGGGGATGAAGCAAGATGGATCAGGACAAAAAGAAGAGGACTTTGTTGTTCATCCCAGGCTCTCTCCCATTTCGAAAAAGGCTGGGGAGGGTTTGGCGCTAATGAGCTAAGCTTATTCCACCGGACCCTGAAAATCGACATCAGCTGCTAATCGTTACCGCCTAGCGTTGGCTTGGTTCCCGAACCTTTGGGAAGTCCCCCATCGTCCTGGGCCTTTTTTAGGACCCGGCCACGCAAGCTAAGTTGTGCTGGCCTCCTCGTGGAGGCGCAGTGGTGTTAGAGAGAGCAAACCAAACCGGCCTTGTCTCTTAGTGTTCGAGCCCTACAGACAGATGATAGCTGCCGTTAGATCTCGTTATGGCTGGGCTGGGTCAGCCCAACGGCGGTCAGGAGGAGAGGTTGGCCGTCTAGTTCGAGGCTCTGCTCCTTTCAAGGTCTGTTACAGGAGCTGCGGCTGACGGTAAGGTTGCTTTGAGGTGCTCTAGTCGATGTTCTAGTATATCGGACTGTGAAAGAGTCTTAAAACATATCTTGTAGTGTATATAATCGAGGGGTGTCTCGTGTTGTTGTGGTGTGTGTGTTGAATAGCCTCATTAGCTTTCGTTACAATCTGGTCGAATCTCAAACAAAGTGAACCACTTGCCTTATTGGATTTGGGTTCTATTGTTGAATCTTTTACCCAAGATGAAGGTATCACTTCTTGCCTCCGCGGCGGCTCTTGTGGGCACTGCGCTGGCAGACGTCTCCCCTCATGACCCAACACACATGTCCCTCTTCCGGAGGACTATGGGCGGCCTCGAACGCCGAGCACTTGCCGACTTCTCCGGGGTGGTGAATGGCACATTCAACCAGCTAATTGACCATACAAACCCTTCAAAGGGCACGTTCAAGCAGCGGTATTGGTACAACGCCAGGTATTGGGGCGGCCCGGGGTATCCCGTCTTCATGCTGAACGGCGGCGAGTCCACGGCCGACGACGTTTTGGGCTTTTTCGAGAACAACACGCTGCTCTACCACTACGCAGAACAGTTTCAGGGGGCAATGATTATTTTCGAGCGTACGTTTGTCTTTGAATAAGGAACTATACCTATGCTGATAGTTAGCCTCACAGATCGATACTACGGGGCTTCGCAGCCGTTCCGGGTTATGACGGCCGAGACTCTGCAGTACCACACCGTACCTCAGTCCATCTACGACAACAAGTACTTCGCAGAGACGGCAAAGCTAGGTTTCGATAAGAGCGGGGGTGCCAACGCAAAAAGATCGCCATGGGTATTGATGGGCGGGAGCTACCCCGGTGCTCTTGCAGCGTGGCAGTCTGTCATGACCCCAGGCGTCTTTGCCGCTCACCACGCCAGCTCCGCCGTCGTCCAGGCCATCGAAGACTTTTGGCAATACTTTACTCCGATTGAGAAGGGCCTCCCCCGGGGCTGTGCCGCCGACATCAAGCTCGTCATCGCGAAGGTGGACGCCGAGCTTACCAGGGGCGACAAGACAAGAATTGCCGCGATGAAAAGGGAGTTCGGCCTGGAGTCGGTAGGGGATAATGGCGATTTCGGACATGTTCTGTCCCAGCCCATTGCGCAGTGGCAGAAAGATCGAGACGAGGTCTTCAAATTCTGCAACTATATCGAAACATTCGCGAACAATGGCAGAGTCGATCAGAGCCGCGTCAACTCCGGCGTCGGTCTGACGGCCGCGTGGAAGGGCTACACCAGCTACATGCAGGGAAAGTGGAAGAACCCGTGCTTCAAGCGCCAATGCGACTGGAACTACAACACGGACGCGCTTAACCCCAACCTCCTGACCGACGAGCGCAGCTGGCAATGGCAGCTCTGCAACGAGCCGTTTGGGTGGTGGCAGGTCGGGCCGCCCAATTCCGACGGCACCAACATTGTCTCGTCACACTACCGACCGATCCATCAGCAGCGCACGTGCGACCTTTACTTCCCGGAGGTCAGGGGGTTCAAGCCCGCCATATCGGAAGGGTTCACTGCGACCCAGTTCAACGACTGGACGAAGGGCGGGTGGAACGCGCCGTTCCAGAATGTCATCTTCGTCGACGGCGAGTTCGACCCGTGGAAGTCGGCGACGATGAGCTCGGATTACCGTCCCGGCGGTCCGTCCAAAAGCACGGACAACACGCCCCGGTTTGTGATCAAGGGAGGGGGTCATGTCCCGGACTTTGTCGTCGGCGTAAGTAGGGAGGTTGCGACGGTGACGCAGAAGCAGGTGCAGATCATGGAGAAGTGGCTCAAGAACTGGAAGCCGAAGAAGACGTAAAGGATTCTTGATGCTTTTATCGGGTATTTATGATCTGATGAGTTGGCATTGGCGGCGTTCTGTTTGGTGTTTTGGATATGTCCAGTTTGAGGGCACTGTGGTTATGGGGATAGATACCCAGGGATATCCTGCAGGGCCAGCAGGGACGATGTTATGAATCGGTTAGCAAGATCTTTTTCGAGAAACACGGTCAATGAGAAGTATAAGTAGTTGTTCACTTCATCCAGTGTTGCGATTTCACTTTAACAACTGAGGGAACAGGTCCTTGTGTGAGGTTCATGGAAAGCGTCTACCGGAATAATTTAGGGAATTCTGCAAGTAAAAAGTTTACTTTGGCATATCAAGAAGAGTCACAAATAAGGATTGTTGGATTTTAATTCGCTTTAGTTTGGCATGTATCAGTAACCTCGTGGGCATTGGCTACTACTGGTGAGCCTGATGACTCTGTTCAAAGATAATCAATTTTCCCACTTACTTATTTGGGCATCCCAATCCTCGGGCAAGCTCGGCTTCCACTCTTGGCCTGGAAGATTGGTGGGAAATGCCAATACATTGAAAATTCAAGGCAGTCATAACAAGTCGAGGTTAACATTCCAACAGATCTTCATTTTCTTAAACTTTAGTTTTCCTAGCTGTGCTGTTGTTTAAGCCAAACCCTACAGTGGATTTGATATTGTATCTGCCTATTGGGAGGGAGCTGGCATTATGCTAGTATGCACAGTATAGCCCTGAAGTTGACATTGACGGCTCGGGAGTAGATATGATGGCACGTTATGTTAGTTTGGCATACATGTTTCAACCCCGTCACAGAGCGATTTGTTAGCAGGCATTGCGTCGTAAGTTATCGTTATCTATGCTGGGCTGAAAACTGAAGACCTTTACGCCGTTTGAGAGCATATTTGAATATGTGAAGTAAAACATGAAAATAATTACATCCTATATCCCATCACTTTTTCGTATCCAAGTGCTACCTCTGACTTCTATATCCTCTTATTTCAAATGAGTAGTCGGTAATGATGATTGACAACTATCCTGAAGGTTTTCACCGACCACGGACGTGGACGATTGTTGTCAATATGTTTTGCAAGTACACGAAATAGTGACAGGCTTTGTCAGACAACCTAAATGTGATGATAGCAAGTACAGCCACACCTTCCAGTTCGATATCCGAGTGCTCACAAGGAGGAAGGCACGTCTGTCGCCGGACACCTGCCCCCCCGCTGATACCCCGCTGCGGTCTGCACTTACCTACCTGTCAGTCCCAGTTTGGCAGGCACAGATAAAGAATATGACACAACTTTTCCCTTCTCCATTCTCATTCATATCCTTCATCGCCCTATACATCAATCAGTAGACTCACGGCAGCTGTCTTTTTCTTCAATGCTCGATGTTGTGAGAAGAACAATGGACGCGAAAACCACCTGACTTCTTCACCCTTGATGGTGCTCGCCAAGAAGAACGCCAGACATCGTTGAAAGTAATTATGGAAAAGCCTTATCTATTTCCGACCGGCTCCGAGGCCAGAGCACCCTACCGCTTTTCCCCGGGATGGGCGATCTTTAGAGACAAGCGATAAGCGTTGATGGCTGGGATGGATGGCCACGCCTGATGTCACGGGAATCGTCCCGTCTGTGGCCTTATGCAAGGAACAATCAATGGACTGGAGATGGATAATGCCATACCGCGTCCATCCATCTATCAAGTAAAGATAAACATTGATACTTGCCAATCCGCTCACCGCAAACAGTTGACCGAGCCTCACCGAACTTACCGAACCCCTCTTAGACACACCCCGAGTGACTGCATGAGACTTTTGACTGCCCGGCAAATCACGGCTTAGCGTCAAGTGTTCGCCAAAAGCCGATGAATTACTATTCATTCGACATTCTCAGATCATTCTCAAAAAAAAAAAAAAAAAAAAAAAACGTCGGAAACGCGGCAATAAGCAAATCCTTTCATGGCCGGTTTCGACCAGAAAGTCTAGCAGGGTTTGGTAGGACGAAAGGAAAATGCATGCTAGCAAGCACCAATGCAAACGCTTCCTCGTACCCCGAATGTCATGCATAAATCGCGCTCTGGTTCACCTGCCGCTTGACGCCCTGACTGCCGCCTTACGGACTCGTCATGACTACTGTTAGTAACAGGGCTCTCGGCCAATCGTTACGAATTGATGGTAACTCAATTAGTATAGTACCTGGTCTACCCCGCCCTGGCATGGAATCAGTGTTGGCTGGGCGAGTGCCTCGGGTACCTCAACGCCTTTTCTGCGAAGATGCCTACTACGCGAAAGCATGACGTCGATATCCTCTCACCCACACGCACAATGACCCGTTGTGATGGAAGCATTGGTCATCCAGTGGGCTGGATTTGACCAAGAAGTATCGATTAATTGTCGGAAAACCTTTCGGTGCCCCTCCTAAATGCTTGGCTTGAACCCCGCAAGCTTCGGGGAGGCCTGCAGCTAGTTTGAGCCAGGATTGCTGGCTTCTCGCCGATCAAGGAGCCCAGACCACCTAGAAGCATCTTACCTTGGCCGCCATTCGCACCTATTTCGAGGAGGGAGCTTTCTGAGAGCTGTGTGGGAGCTATGAGCAGCTGATGGTGCAGCATAGCTGGCAACCAGCCTAATTCTGCAGTCAGCTTTCCCTTGTCTCCGCCCTAAAGAACACCTCCATGGGGGTACCACGAAGTCTTCAGCTTGATGCTGATTCCTACCAGTTTTAACACGTCAAATGTAGCAACCATGCGCATCGGGATGGCCTGAACGCCACACATGGTTTTTCTTTGGGGGCGGAAAAATTCTGCAAACTTTCCTTGGGTCCCTTTTGGGAAGCTGCACTGATGCGGTCGTGAATTCGCTACCAAGCTCTCTGTACCAGGTTCTCTGGCGAACTTTCGCGCTTGACTGTCATCGTCCATGAGCCTCGCAAGCACGGCAACAAACCCGCCCACCCTTCCTGATACCCACCCCCAACTGCACAAACCTCAGACCAGCACGTTAACGAATACCTTCGATTAGAATCCCATGTTGCTGCTGACAAGGGCGCCTCAGCGGCCGTTTCCAACATTCCAGGTACATGAAAACTATATCTAATCCGGCGATCCGCGTCAAGCTCCAGTAGTAGCACTGCGTAGTAGTGTGGCCGACCCATGGTGGGGCGTGGGATACGGCTCAGATGACGTCCGCTGATTTGTTCGACGGCGAACCTCTCCCACTCTCTGTCCAGGATGAAGCTGTCACACTCCTCTCTATATCTGCACGTTATGACAAAAGAGAATTGTTTTGTCTGGCACAGACACACTGAACCGATCTACTTGGAAGGTACTTCCGAAGTCAGCTAAACCCCGTGACTGTTTCACTCGATCCGATCTTTGCAACCCAGTACTCTCTTTGTACAGCTGCTCCAGCTTGGTGACCCAATATTCCCGAAATGCATCGCTGCTCCATCAACTTGCTTACACTGTAAACTGGAACGACGGCCTATGGACCACCGAGTCACCGGTTCCATGTCGGCATCCACATAGAACGCATGGTACACTTCTCGGGCCTACCCTATCGCTAGCATGGCAACACCAACGTGTCTCGCCGTGTGCTTGCCGGTCCCTCCGCCGGCCTGGGGGACCCAGGTACCTTTGTCGTGGTGGCTATAAACTGTAGGTACCCGTCCGTTCTTCTCGTCCTGAGCACATGCCGTTTTGCACATGCTACTTCAACACCAATCTTATAACCTTGAGCTTTGTTCCACTCTATTGTAAACTGGTCTGTATTTGAATTCTCAGCGATTGTCTTTCACATACCCCGAGTACCTGTCACAATGGGTTCAATTGCTGTTTCTCAGGACAGCTTCCCCCAAGCTGACCTCAAGGCGGCTAAGCAGAAGCTGGCCAAGTCAGTCGGCAAACATGGCGTCGACATCATTGATATCCGACGGGTTGCGGTTGAAACAAACTTGAAGGACGACATCATTTCCATGTGGAACCCCACTAACGGACCCCGGAGGCTCCCTACCTTGCTTCTCTACAACGAACGGGGCCTGCAACTATTCGAGGATGTGAGTGTTTTGGGCCACTCATCAGCGCAGCCACCTCTTGCGTGATCGACACTAACAATTTTTTTTTTTTAGATTACATATTTGGAAGAGTACTACCTGACCAACAACGAGATCGAAGTGCTTCAGAACTCTTCGAAAGAGATTGCTCAAAACATCTCATCGGGGTCCATGGTCATTGAGTTGGGGAGTGGGTGTGTTGTCCCCCTTCTAAAATGATGACTCTTCTGGGATGATTCTGACCTCTCTGCAAGCAATCTACGCAAAATTGGTATCTTGTTGCAGGCCTTCGAAGATGCCGGGAAGAATGTTGATTACTACGCCCTTGACCTTTCTCAGGAAGAACTGGAGCGCACCTTGGCGCAGCTGCCAGATTTTCGCCATGTCCAATGCCACGGTCTTCTGGGCACTTACGATGACGGCCGAGAATGGTTGAAAAAGCCTTCAAACTTGACTCGTACCAAGTGCATCGTGAGCCTGGGGTCGAGCATTGGTTCGTGGTCTTCGTTTTAAGCCTTTAGTTCAATCAAACTCTGACATTTGTTCCAAGGCAATTTCGAACGCTACGACGCAGCTGCCTTTCTGAAGCACTTCAGCGACGTACTTACGCCGTCAGATACGATGTTGATTGGGCTGGATGGATGTAGTGATCCGGCCAAGGTTTAGTAAGTTCGATTGCTCTGCTGATTGTTATCATAGCTAACGCTCCATAGTCACGCTTACAATGGTAATTGCCCCAAAACGCAAATGTGAAGGAAGCACTGACAGTTCTATCTGCAGATAAGAAGGGTATCACTCATGAGTAGGTCAGCTCTAGAATATGCATGAATCATATCATCTAACCTGGCCAGGTTTATTCTCAATGGTCTTGTCAATGCCAATGAGATTCTTGGAGAAGAAGCCTTCAAGCTGAAGGACTGGGAGGTTATCGGCGAATACGTTTATGACGACGAAGGCGGCCGCCATCAAGCCTTTTACTCTCCAGTCAGAGACACATACGTTATGGGCACCCTCGTCAAGCAGCACGAGCGAATCCAAGTCGAGCAAAGCTTAAAGTACTCCCAGAAGGGAGCCGAGAATTTGTGGAACATGGCAGGCTTGATCGAGACTGATCGCTGGACCAAGGGCGACGAGCATGGTGAGTGGACCATTTTCTACGTACAAGCTCAGGAACTCGGGATTTCTGGCTGCCACCCTTTACGCAACGTCCTGCAGCCCATAAGCCTCCCCCGCGTCTGTCGGCAACGTGGAGCCAATTACCCAAAAGGTTGAAGTGCAGCGTCCAGATCGTAAGATAGTCGATGCGACTGGTCCCAGAATAATCATATGACGGACTACTGGGTACCACCTTTCTGAGGGGGCATCATTTACAAGAAGACGGCCTTTCCTAGACTTTTTATTGCTTCCAAGCGAGCTGTTTCTCAGGCTGACATTGAACAGGTCTTCATATGATTAGAAAAAGAAAAATGCCTTTCAGTTTGCTACCGGATCTCTACGCTGCCTCCCCTTGTCCCTCCTTGAGCGACTGGGAAGCTTTATGGACGGCCTGGGACAGCGTCACACAGGAGATGCTCCCTAAAGAGGAATTGCTTGACAAGCCGATCAAGCTTCGGAATGCCTGCATTTTCTACCTTGGCCACATTCCTGCCTTCTTGGACATCCAGCTGACCAAGACAACCAAAAAGCCTGCTACTGAGCCGGCGTACTTCCAGCCAATGTTTGAGAGAGGCATTGATCCCGACGTCGATAACCCTGAGAAGTGCCACTCTCACTCTGAAATTCCGGACGAATGGCCCCCCGCTGAAGAAATTATTGCGTACCAACAGAGGGTGCGCTCGCGACTCCAGAGTATTTACGAGAATGGCATCGACAAGATTCCCAGACCTGTTGCGCAGGGTATTTGGGTCGGGTTCGAGCACGAAATCATGCACATGGAGACTCTCCTCTACATGATGCTTCAAAGCGACAAGACTCTCCCACCCCCTGGTGTTGAGCGACCAGACTTTAAGCGCCTGGCAGAAAAGGCTCGTCAGGCCAGAGTGGCCAATGAATGGCATGATGTTCCTGCTCAAACCATCAAAATCGGCATGGATGAGCCTGAGCTTGATGCTGGCGTCAACGCATACTTTGGTTGGTAAGTGTACATGCCAACAAAAGCGTTTGGAATTCCCACTGACGGGACCAAGGGATAATGAGAAACCATCGCGGAAGACTCAGGTACATGCCTTCCAGGCAAAGGGCCGACCTATTACAAACGAGGAGGTAAGCTATTTTCACATGAAGTGGCACAACTGTATGCTAACCTATGTAGTACGCGCAATTCATGTTTGAGAATCACATCGAAAAAGTGCCTGCCTCATGGGCCGATGTCCACTCCGCCGATTCTGACTCCAACACCAACGGCCAGACGAATGGCCTCACTAATGGGCACACAAATGGGCACACCAACGGACATACCAATGGCGTAACCAATGGTGTTAATGGCCATCAAAATGGAGAAAGTGCTCTCCCTGAGTCTTTCCTTGAAGGCATTGCTGTCCGGACAGTCTACGGCTTGATCCCGCTCAAGTATGCTCTGGACTGGCCAATCTTTGCATCTTACGACGAGCTGTCCGATTGCGCCGCCTGGATGGGTGGCCGGATGCCGAGTTTCGAGGAAGCTCGGAGCATCTACACGTATGTCCACAACTTGAAGAAGATGGAGGCCGAGCGTACACTTGGACGAACGGTCCCAGCTGTCAATGGGTAAGTGTATCAACTAGCATGCTAACTTGCTGTCTTCTTACTAATTCGTAACAGACACCTCTCCAACGACGGCGTCGAGGAGACCCCACCAAAGCCCGCTTCCCTTGAGGCCGAGAAGACTCGTTCTGAGCTCTTCACGGACCTCGACGGCGCCAATGTTGGATTTCAACATTGGCAACCCGTTCCCGTGACGGCTAATGGCAACCGTCTTGCGGGACAAGGTGAGCTTGGTGGCGTCTGGGAGTGGACCAGCTCGCCCCTTGCTCGACATGAAGGCTTCGAGCCCATGCCTCTGTACCCTCAGTACACCGGTACGATCCTTTTGTGAATGCAGAGAATATCCGGACTTACTGACCTGTTGATAGCCGATTTCTTTGATGGCAAGCACAACATTGTCCTCGGTGGCTCATGGGCTACACACCCGCTGGTTGCTGGTCGACGATCATTGTAAGTCCTCAACACACCCGAAGCATGGGGCGAACAGCATGCTAACAAACCGCAGCGTCAACTGGTATCAGCGCAACTACCCTTTCGCCTGGGCTGGCGCCAGACTTGTGAGGGATATCAACTGAGACTCGAACCTTTTTTTTAACTTGCTGTACTGGACTGTTGTATCATTACTATGTTTTAATCTCTTGTTCAAACTCGGCCTGCTGATTCAACACCTGGCTTTGCCCCAAGAACGACTCAACTTCGTTCTTTGCCCGTTCTTCTTCTTCTTCGTGCTTCAACAAAGTTTGGATGTTTCATGTCTTGGTGAAAGCTCTGGAAGACACCAATGAGGATTTAGGTCTGAACTTTCTAATCTCGTAAACTTCTCCAAGTTTCACTCTTTTACAAGCGTGTGTGAGGCGGTGGGGGGGAAGATGTCACTATTTGGGGGCGGTCTAGACCATGATGTGGTCTGATGAGAGAATCCTGTCTACACTCTCCTTCAAATATGATATATGTTAAAAACGAAACATGTCTTTCTTGAGCTATCGTAGAAAGGGTCACTGTCAGACGTAGTGTAGTGTGTGTGTGTGCGAGCTTCCCCCCCCCCCCCCCCCCCCCCCCCCCCCCCCCCCCCAAGGTGTCCTAAGGTTCTCATGCCCAATCTATCGATAGCCAACATGATGTGGACTCACTTGGCGAATATCCGTCTGTCTAGTATAGGAGCATCTTCTCCAGATGTAAGTAACATCAAGCTGTCGGCACACAACAACAAGAGCGAAGGAGCAAAGGGCAAAGTCAGCGATCCCCCTGCATCGTCAGCGTCACGGATGCAAACGAGAAAACCCGCACTCTTTACCCCCCTCCCTACTCCCCCTCCCCGTCCGTCCCCATGAACGCGTAGCGACGCGCGGAAAAAAAAAAAAGTGTCGTACAGCGTCTTACTTGCATGTGCCTGTGACGTCAACACCTTCGGCGGGGTATGGGTTCCTGTTTGATGTGGGGGGTTTTTTTTTTTTTTGGAGAGCTGGGCTCACGATATGTTCCCGTCATTCCCGTCTAATGGATTTCTGGCTTCCCACCTCCTCCTCCTCTTCCTCCTCCTCCTCCTCTACCCCCGCGTTCTCGCATGGCATTAGCGTGCGGTGTTGCATAATTTATATTGCTTCCTGGACGCGTAGGAATTCTCGGAGTTTTGCTAGCCGTATGCAGACGACGGTGACATGGCATGGTATCAATGTGAGCGATGACTGTTTCGTTTTGACAAAATCTATAATGTAACTTGGGGGCGGGCAGGTCCTGCCGATCGATAAAAACAGAAAAAAGATTGCCTGGATAGGGGCGTTGTAGCGGCATGAAAAAAAAAAAAAAAAAAGGTATGATCGCTCTCTACATGCAGCTCAGTCCAGGTAGCAAGTACTCTACAAGTACCCTTTTTTTTTTTCTTCTTTCTTTCTCCCACGGTTCCATCCACTTGCGTAGTTGTGTATACTTTCCCAAGCCGTCCAAAGCCGCCCCGTGGTGTGTTTTCCGACCGGTGGGCTTCCGGGAACGTCGGCCGCCCCACACAGCTTACGAGCCGTCATTTTTTGTCTCCACAATACGGCCGGTCATCCTGCCGAGGCGGAACCTATTTTGCGTCCGCGACGGGAGCAGGCCACCATTTATCATACGCTACACTTCCTACGTCTTCCTCCACCACAAAAGCCCCGGGACCGACACTTTTGCGGCGCTAGAGATGGGACTGTCTACTTGACTCAACCGTTCAAACTGCCGTAGATGTCGAGAAGCTGCTCAAACACGTAGCTGGGCAGTTTGACGCCGTTTTCTGTCACGAGGTTGGAGATGAGATCGGGGGGCTGTCGCATCAAGTAGTCAGCTTAAAGTTACTTCGTGACTTGACAGGGAGACATGGGAGTTACTCACAGTGTAGTCTACCGCATCTTCAGGCTGCACGCTCACGCCTTCAGTCCGGAAATCCAAGACCTTTTGCTGGAATCCCAGATCCCTTTGGTCGAGAGGGAACTTGCGCACAAATTTGTGCGACTCAGCAGCAACGTAGAAAGGCAAGCCAGCCTCCTTGGCCAGCTTGGCGATCTGGTAGGTACCCATTCGCGAGATGATGCCGCCGTTCTGTGTGACGGCCTCGGCGCCGACGAAGACCATGTGAACCTGTCGCAGCAGACCCAACACGTGCGCAACGGCCGGCTCGGCAATCTCAGCAACGGGAATACCCTTGTCGCGCAGTTCCTTCACTACACGGTCCGACTCGGCGATGCGGTGCTCGTCTCGGACGTAGACAACCTTGAACCTTACTCCACCGCCGTTGGCACCACCGCCGAACTGATCCGCCGCCTTGAAGAGGAGGTTTGACACCGCGCGGGAAGCACCGTGGGTGAGTACAACCTTTCCGTCACGGACGAAGCGCCATCCGGCGTCGGCGATGCGGTCACGGGCGGCGATAGCGCGTGATGCGAAGAGGCGACCGTTACGAAGCAGATGGGTGCGGACTGCCTCGAAGGACTGGTGGGGGGAGTTGTCGTCCGAGCCAGAGTCCTGCTGCTTAAGAGATGAGACGAGATATTGAAGGAAGAGGTCGGTGCCGGCCTGGAGAGGAACGGGGTTGTTGACGGAGGCATGGAGGGTGTTGGAGTGGCGTTTGACCAGGTCCAGGGTTTCGTAGACTGTCGTCGTGCCAGAGGCGTTGAGGAGGGTAATGAGGGCCTCAATGGCGGCGACGGGTTTCGTCAAATCGGCATCTTGGAGGAGGGAGTGATATGTTGCGACGATGCTAAGAAGTGTTAGCGGAAGACTTCGGGCAGATGAAGTATGGTGGGGCAGTCGCACTCGAAGCCATCGTCGGATTTCTTGTTGCGGACAGGGAGGTCGGATTGGGGCTTATCGCCAGCTGCTGTTAATCCTCATCATTAGCTTCCTCGTATTTTTTGAGGGGGCGAAATCGACGGGGAAGAAACCGTACGCGCGACGTCGCCGGTGGCCATGGTGACTGTGGGGGAAGAAAGATTCACTGCGGAAGCTGGGCGAGACGCTGCGCAGTATGTGGCTGCTACTAGGGTTCCTAAAAGGGTCTCCAAGTAGATCGTATGGAAACCGCGGTTCTCGGTATGGTAGTGGGGGATGAGGGCGCGGCGAGAGTCAAGTCGTGCTTATCGCGATGTTGAAGCTCTAGGAAATTTTGGGAGGCCAGTGACTCAATTCACATGGACTGGATGGAGCTTGCCGTGCGTGTGGGATGGCATTGATGGCTCTGGATTTTGGCGGGGTAAATTTGCGACCTCACCACTGGGTGTGCAGTTTAAGCAGGGCGGGGCCCCTGCCCCCCCCCCCCCCCCCCCCCCCCTACTCTACCTACGATCGATATGGGGCTACTTGACATCATTACCAGGATTACACCACGCAAGCAGGTATCTGTCTATCTGGTGTCCAACTTCAAGCTTGCTCATTCCCAGGGTCCTCCCAACCACAAAACAGTGGTCTCAACGCCCTGTATCATCACCCAAGCATACATACCACTACCGGCAGCGGGGTCCCCTCCACCCCCGAAACACTGACACCACCAAACCCAGCTAATCAAGCTCCCGTCCTTGTAAGCCTTCATCTCCCCCCTGAAATGAGCAAGCAATTCACTCAATTACCCTTCGCAATGAAGCTTTCACCTCTTCCCAACCGACAAACCCGTCACGTTCGGCACCTGTCTACCTCTCCTCGTCCTCATACCTGTCCTTGAACGAACATCTCGAAGCTATGGAATCTACCGACCCCGCAACCGGCGCACCCCTCCCTGCCGATGCCATCCAGCGCATTCTCTTCCTCGCCTCCGGCGCACACGTTTATAATATCCCGCCCCTGGCCTCAAACAAGGGCTACACGGCCGCCGGCTGGACCGAACGCCAGATCTTCACCGCGCGCCTGCGTGTTATCGAAACAGCGTGGGAGACCAACGCTCCGCCCGTCCCTACACCCGTCGGCTCTGGCAGCGCCGTTATCCCCGTTGCCCCGGGCGCGCCGGCCGGCATTGCGACCAAGGAGAACCACATCAAGGTCGACATTGTCCTCGAGGACCCTTCGAACGGCCAGCTCTTCGCTGCCGCCCCGTACACCTCCATCTCCGTCGTCGAGCCCGTTCTTGACTCCTCCCGCTTCTTCGCCGTGAGGGTGCAGGACGGCCAGGGCCGCAAGGCGGTGCTGGGTATCGGTTTCGAGGAGCGGAGCGAGGCCTTTGATTTCGGAGTTGCGCTGCAGGAGGCTCAGAAGAGCTTGGGCCAGTTGGATGCGAGCCAAGCGAAGAAGGCGGCGGAGAACAGCAAGCGCGCCGAGGAGGAGAAGGCGAAGGACTACAGCTTGAAGGAGGGCGAGACCATCACCATCAACTTTGGGGGGTCAAAGATTGGCCGCCGGTCGAGGCCCTCGGACGCCTCGCAGACGACGCCGCCTTCGGGAGCGGCACTACAGGCCTTCTCGCTACCGCCGCCCCCCGGCGCCTCCAAGAGCACCGGTAACGGCGGCTTCCTGCCCCCGCCGCCGAGCGCTGCGAGTGCCCGCGACCAGAAGCGCGAGAAGAGAAGATCTGTGCAGGATTTGGGTTTTGACGATGGGCAGAATGGAGAATTTGCTTGAGGTAACACTGAGATGGGGCACAAATAGAGACCAAAAAAAAAGGGGGGGGGGGGGGGAGTCGGCAGAGGGAATGGGACCGTAAAACAGTGATGAGCAGATTCTTGATTATTTGAGCAAGAGATTCCCTACGCCGTTTGCATAGCTATTATACACGCGCCGTTAATGGCTTGATTTCAGAAAGAAACAACGTCTCCAGCGTTCGCAGTTAATACTCCCCAATTCTTTTGCACCCGTGTAGGCCGCTGACTGCTCTCGTTCATGTTAGAGAGTGTGATTTCACATGTCCTGCAGCCCCGGCCAGAGGCATCGCAAAGGCGGAAGACTCATTCTTCTTCTTCTTTTTCTATTCTGCCCTTCGGTGTCGTCCATTCCACCTGCTTCTTCGTCGCTCACACAATCTGGCATTTTTCGGCTGTCCAAGCAGAATTCCAGGCCGTAATTTCCTAGGATGTCGACCGGCGCCTCGCACATTTCAATATCTACCCAGGACTCTGGAACAAGCGGATTCTCCATTACGTATGGCTCCGGACTAGGACAAGGCGGCATCATCTGCAGAGGGTTATACACGGGGTAATATCCCACAGGAAAAAGGACCGGCGAGGACACATCCCACGGCGTCGAGAGGACGGAAGCGAGGCTCGAGGGCGACGAGATGTAGCCGGTGACGGCCGAGTCCACCGGCCACCAGCAGTGACTGCGCTCGTAGGTTTCGTTCTGTACTCGCATCCATCGCTCTCTGATACTGAGTTCGCTGCCGATGTCGCACAGCCGCAGGGTAATCGCCTTTTCCTGTGCGGTGGCCTCTGTGATTTTGCTCTTGAGCAAGTAGGCCTTCTTTCGGGCCTTGCGTCGCTCCTCGGATGATAGGCTGTGGTCGATCTTCTCTTGAAATATGGATAGCCTTCTCATCAGCTCGATTGTCCGCTCTCCTTGGCCCCTGAGGGAGGCCGTCAGATAGGCTTTTTCGTTGTACAGCTGCTCGAACGAACCAGGCGACGTGAAAACTGACCACGCTGGCTTCACCCTGGTATCTAGCGAGATGTTTCCAACGGGAGTTGTGCGGCCTCTCTTTGGTATTGAACGGGAATCAGACACCTGGTGGTTGGGGAACATTGTGACCGAGTCTTTGCGATGTGGTAGACGGTTACTCTGGATTTCTGCTGGTTCCTTGGAGGATGTGGTGATTGCACCCTTGACGTTGAGATGAGGTGTGGAAATTGTATTAGTTGGTTGATCCATAATGAGAGCTCCGGTTATGCGGCAGCTGCTGTAGGTAGTGTTCGATCAGGTTCAGAGAAACGAAGTCAGATATAGGAGTTCGTTCCCTCGGCCCCGATTGCTACTCTGTACGAGTTGGTCGATGGAACAAAGACAAATACTTCTTGCAAAAGGTTCCTGTGTAACGACTTTGCGAAGCCACTGTGTAAGCAGTCGAAGAGCCCGCTATTTGGTAAACTGAATGAAGTGAGAGCTGGCTTTTGCGCAAGGGCGAAATGGCCTTTGAGGAGCAAACAAACTGGCTCAGCCTCTGACGCTCCACTGCGACCAGTGCCTCGTAGAATACGAAGTGCCGCATTGAACAAGCGAATCCTGCCAAACATCTGGTTCGAAGGCTCTGTTTCTCGGTCTACTTGTGCCGACCTGCCTTACCTCTGGATTCGTGCCCCGGGTGGATTTGAATAGTGTGTGTTAGGTTTGTCAGTTGCTTGGAAATTAACTAAAAATTCCGCAGAAAACGTATTGAATATGAACAACAGTCATACGCAGGTGAATAACGGTGTAACGAATTGCAGAGTCACATCTTCGGACATGCGTAGTTTGCCTTCAGCTTCGGTGTGGTCACAGCATGGACCTAGGACCTTTATGATAAAAGATCCGGCTGGATGTGTTCGAATTAGGGGCAAACTGATGGGCAAAATGTCCTGCTTCTTTAAAAGACGATCAGCAAGGTACAGGCGAGTCTTTGACCCTCATCGCAGGTGGCTTCAGATGTTGAAGCCGTCGTGTCTAGGCGGATCGCAAAACCGCCAGAGACCGGCTGCTTCGGCAGCCTTCCTGATTGTCGAGACCTCGCCATCGGACACGGCTCGGTTGATTTCACTGTATCGGAGTTCTTCTCCTTGTGATTCGGCGCCACCTTTAGTACGTCTTTTAGATTTGCCAACATGAGCGTCTGGGTGGTACTGCTCCATGATGTTGACAAAGCAATCACGGGAGACCTCCTTAGCCAAGAACTCCATGATCCGCCGCCCCTCTTCTTCTTTTCCCGGCATAACCAAGTGGCGCACAAGGAGACCCTTTTTGGCGATGCCGTCACCGGTGAAGCACAAATCGCCCACCTGCTCATGCATCGCCTTGATGCTCTCGCGCGCCGTGGCCGCGTAGTCGTCTGCTTTCAGCAGCTGCTTTGATGTGCTTGGTTCCCAGACTTTGAAGTCAGGGAGATAGATATCAACCAGGCCGTCAAGGAGCTCCAATGACTCCAGGGAATCGAAGCTGGACGTGTTGTAGATGATGGGTATCTTCAGACCTAGCTCCTTCGCGTGGAGGATGCTCAGAACCACTTGCGGAACGACATGTTCAGGAGTTATGAGATTGATGTTGTGAACGCGACCGACCTGTTGCAATTTGAGATACCATTCGCCCAGCTCCTCCGGCGTCAGGTCCTGACCGTTACGCTGATGGGCAATGTCATGGTTCTGGCAGAAGACACAGCGCAGGTTACAGCCCGAAAAGAACACGGCACCGCTTCCATTATGCCCCTGAACACACGGTTCTATTATGGGGTGATTAGTGTGTTTGCCCTTGCACGAGAGGGGAGGACACGTGGGCACGGTTTCAGACCTTCACCAAAATGCGGCGCAATCACGTTGACCTTGGTGTTGTCGCCGATCAGACACATTCCCGTAGTTTCGAAGCGATTGACACCGCATAGACGCGGACACAGATTGCATTTGGACAGGTGGGCATAAGCCTTGGATCGTTTCTTGGATTCATCAATGGACGATAATGTCATGTACCGCGGGATGTAATCCTCGAGGAGAAACGGTGGTGCGAGATGGAGGGAGCGGCGGGGTGCTGCTATGCTCCTTAGAGCGAAGTTGTTCCTTTTATAGAAAGCCCTCACAAGCACGTTCATTGCGAATGAATATCACAAGAAGTTGACTTGAAGATGGCAAGCAATCTTGCGTCACAGTTGAAGTTGGAGGTAGTGGTTGGATTACTTAAGAAGCCTTGCCATTGGCTGAAATGCCGTAAAGTGGGTCTATACGGCCATACGACGAAGCTCACGTACTTCCCCCTCGTTCTCAACTTCGGACTCATCCATGAAACCATTAAGAGATGATGAATACTTATTCTATGGCGAGGTGAACGAGATATCTCCATTACATGCATTAGCAGTCCTAATCACTACTTTCAATCACCACAAGCAAACAATCTATATGAGATTTTGATTGAGCACAGTAGCGGTCATGCGGAACATCACAAGGCATATCTGTGTTATTGAGCATTATTATTATGACAAGTCGCCCAATAACGAAGTAAAAACAACCGTTGTAGTTTCTCAAACTCCTTACTCATCATTTTGTACCGGCCCGTGATCAATTGGCCAATCTGGCTTGCCCATGGGGCATTCTTCCAGGCGAAGCGCAGCTTCTTTTATAATATCAGCGGCCTGGCATCATTGTCAGCAGCTTTCATAAGATTCAAAAAAGATAAGAAGCATCGGCTTACCTTCTCTGCTACGGCGTACACGGCCGCCTGAATATGACCACCAGGAATTATAGGCATGATACCCGCGTCTACAACCCGCAGATTGCAAGTACCGTAAACCTTCAACTTGGAATCAACAACCCCTCCAAGATGCTTCGGCATCATGCTTGTAGTGCCGCTAGGGTGAAACTCCGTCCCAACAAGAGGCTTCAGAGCCGCCATCAAATGCCTTGGGTCTGACGAGTTGAATCTCGCGTCAGTAACGGGACGGAGCGACTTCATCGCCTTCGTGCTCATTAGATTTTGCGCCAGCTGCAGGCCAAGCCTGATAATTTTGCAATCCATGGGGTCGGCGCAATATCTTGGGTCGACTGTAGGTGCGTCGAAGACGGAGGATGAGGAAGGCCGAACGATGCCGCGCGAAAGGGGCTTTTGGTTTGCAATTGATATTTGACCCCACGACGCTGCAAGGAGCTCGTAAGCCCCGACATCTTCGCGTTCTAGCTGGGTTAGAAGAAGGGCCTTCTGCCTCTTGAAGCCGGAGACCACGGTAGGGGGAGTATCGAGCGGCAGAAAGTCGAAGGACTGGTTTCTGGCGTGCTCTATGAGAGTCCTCCATTCGCCAGCGTGGTATTTGAGGGCTGGGAAGGCCACAGTATTGATTAAGGGTGTCGTTAAAGGACCTGAGATCCTCAGCACTTATTTTTCAAACAATAATTAGGGGACAAGGCTCACCGGTCTTGTTGGCCAAGAAGGTTTTCAAAGCCTCTTCGAGAGCGTCGCCATTAAGGTCGTGTGAAGTGAATACAGATGAATTAGAATCTCAACAAGGGTCAGTCGAGGACAAAAGTGAGGTGAGTAGGGCTTTGAGCTCACAACTAAAGGGAAATTGGGCCATAGGATGATCCTGAAAGTTGTTTCCAACCCCTGGCAGGTCAATCTGCACTGAGATATTCAAGGCATCCAAGGCCTCTCGAGGGCCTATACCCGAGAGCTGCAAAAGAGTGGGTGATTGAATGGCGCCAGCGGCAAGAATAACTTCCCTGTTGGCAATTACGGTTCTGTTGACACCCAACGGGCCAGATGATAACTGTAAAGGTTAGCAACCACTCTCACCGCATGCCCGCCATGGGCAAACCGAGAGGCCCACCTCAACACCGAGGATACGACGGACCCTACGACGGGGTGGCGAGCCAGGTAATCCTAGAACCAGACGTTTAACTGTTTGTCCTGTAACAACATGGAGATTTGAGCGGGAAATCGCGGTATCGAAGTAAGCGGTTCTTGCGTCGGACCGCGTCTGGTTTGAGGGGGACATGCTCGACGCGACAACCATCGCACCAGTAGGGTCCCCTGAGTTGACGTCGGGGGAGATGGCAACGCCGATCTCAGAAAGTCCTCGGAGGACATTGCCTGCAAGCTTTTAGGCGTTTGTCATACAAACTGACTGACAATACTTACTCGATGTGCTGTAGAAATGCCGGGGGTACGCAACTTTGACGGCCCCGTCCGTTCCGTGGAGGGTCATGTCGGGATTTATGTTGAACTCATCCCGGTGTCTCTGGTCGACGTTGATGGTGTACCTTTCGACCTATCAAGTAGGTAAACATTATGGCTGTGTAACAGTATGAGTGATTCGCATACCTTCTTGAAGTAAGGCAGGAGATTGCTCCATCCCCAGCCCGGATTGCCCAGCTTCTCCCAGGCATCAAAGTCTGCAGCTGAACCTCTGGTCCAACACATTCCATTCACAACAGAGCCACCACCGATAACTTTTCCTTGATTTATGTTGCGTGGTTTTCCGTCAAGGAACGTCTGGGGTGCAGTGAGGACATTGTGGCCGTAGCCAGACGAAGGCACTCGACCAATATAGCCTGGAATGATTACACGATTTTCTCGACGGTCCCTTTTTAAAGTCAGCTGAGCTGTTCAATCAGTTATCAAGCCAGCTTGATGCGATTAACTCACAATTTCCCCGCTTCGATCACCAGGACAGTCGCTAGAAGTGATTAGAACAGTCCCGTTCAGGTCAAAAGAATGACAAACCGTTAGAATTCTCGCTCAAGCGGTTGGCTAACACTAATCCAGATATGCCTCCGCCAACGACGACATAGTCATATTCGAGGAGTAGATATTTTTCAATCGTCTCATCCGTGATATGGAGGGCGTCCGACGTAGAGAAGAACGCTAGGACGGCAACAACATAAACTAAAGTGATTAATGATAACATGTCGCTAGTCACCAATGTCAGTACCAAAAGACTCGAAAAGAAAAAATCCCCATAAAGAAGACCAAAAGAAGACCCTAACTACTCCTGTTGATGTTTGAGGTGCATGGAGAAACATATGAATGAGTGAGGTAGGGGCCCTTATGTAAAAGATTGCCCGCTCGGGATGAAGAGGAAGGAACAGGCAGGCCGCACCTGCTCGCCAGGACATGCCCGTCGTGACGAGATTCACTTCTGAGCTTTATGGAATTATAATCCAAGCGTGACTTGTTCTTTTCTCTTTGCCCGACCGATTCTTCCCATCAGCTTTCCCCACAGTAATTTCTGGATCCTCTTACGGTAAGACATGATACAACTTCGAAAGTAGAGGACTGCTGCAGTGATCATCAGGCCCATAACACGACTTCGTACCATCCATAGTCATATATGCTTGGAAACACGCTAAGTCGATGTTTCTTCCGTTTCGCAACACCTTCTTGGTCTAGTCAATTCCAATATACCAGCAGTTTGACTCAGTGTGTTCCGCTTGCTTATTTATGACTATGCCCCTCTGTAATAGATTGTTGACTCACTTCACCCACCGCCGGTTAGGTACGTACTTCCACGACAGCAGTTGTGAGGGTATCAGCGAGGTTGTTGATCCGGCCGTTCATGCTATGTTCAGCTCAGGACTTTCACGCATCAGTGCCTCCAACAGACCTCCAAGGTCATGCATTGGCTGAAGCAGGCCCTAGGGCGGCGTCTGCTACAGCTTCACATAAGTTTGAGGTGTCGTTTGCCTCGGAGCTAGCTGCACGAGCCTGTCATCTGTTTGAAAAAATGTTAGACGGACGTCAGTAGAATGCTTGAAAACAATCACAACACCAAGTGAGAGGGCAGATCACTCGTAAACGCTGGCTTCAAATCCAACCCCCAAGGGGCGAAATATCTGACACTAATAAGCACTATAATACAATTCCGCTAGAATTCATCAACCCCATGTCACATTCATGCGTTGTTCTCAACCCACTCTTCCACCCTCTCAATCAACTCGGCCTTCCTGCCCGCCGTGTTAAGTCCCCTCGCCGCTAGGATATCTTTCAGATCTGCGACCAGCATCTTACTCAAACCGCCTCCATCAACGGCAGCCTTAAGTTGCGTCGTATTCAGTCCGGAACCAGATACCTTTGAGCTCTTTGGCGCCGCCTTGACTCTCTTTGACGGTCTTTCATCCTCGACATCCTCCACATCCCGTTTTATGGCTTGCTTAGCCAGCGCGGTCTTGGCCTCAACTTGTAGCGTTTCAGCCCAATCATCCAGGTAACCACCCGCACGCTTGCTAATTGCCTTGTACTTGGGTTCTGTAGCATCCTCCGCCTTCTCTGGGTATTCCTCCTCAAGAGCAAGGACCTGGAGGATCTTGTAATGCCACTGCAATGAGGGATTAGGGTATTTCTTTGGATTGAACATGGCCTTCGGTAGCTGAAGCTGCTGGACGATGACTCGCATACGATCGGTGAGCTCATTCGTGCTTCTGACGAGGTCGGCGGGTGGCTCGGGCCCCTCACGGAGATCGTCGGCGAAAGGCAGCGGCGTGAGCCAAAGGCCAGCAGGCAAGTAGGGTGTGCCAGATTCGTCGTCGGACTTCTCATGAGACGGAATGATGGCCACAAGGATTGGGTTGGCGTTGGAACGGGTTACGGCCCAGGCGACACCAATCTTGTTGTCTTTGAGGAGCTTCTGCCAGAGGGCAGTAAACACACGTGTTGAGCCCACATAGTCTTCTTCGGAGGGGAAGATGAATGTTGACTTCTTCACGTTGGCCCAAAATGGGAGCATAGAGCGGGGCTTGAAACCAACGATCCGAATGATTGGGGAGCCAAAGTCTTTGAGGGACTTCTGCTCCTCAGGTGTGAAGTGTACATATTCGCCGCCAAATTTGTAGGCCTTCTTGAATTCTGGCTTCTCGACAGTGCGGGCACTATCCTCCGCGATTCGGGTGGTTTCGCCGACTGCGAGCTGAGGCTTTTCACCGTCGAGCCAAATGTATGATGTCCTCGCAGGGACTTGACGATGGAGGATGTTGTAACCCTTTACGGATATCCTCAGTCCCGGAGCGATTTCGAAGGGAAGATTTGAGAATAGGGAGCGCTTGGGCGTCTCTTTGGAACTGATATTCGAGACAAGGGAGCTGAGAAGGGTGAGACCGTCACCTGATTTGGAGCTGCGTACTTCAGAGAGATTGGCCTCGGCGGATTGATCTCGGTAAATGATGTCCTGAGAAAATTAGTGACGGGCTTGTCCAGAGAAGTTGGGTTACCCACGTCATAGAACTTGCCAAGGTCAAACTTCTTGTCATCCCTGGCAATAGGAAAAAGTTCAATCTGAACTCCCAAGTCGTAAAGGTCCTTTGCCCTTACAGCAGCAGCAGATTTGGCTGCCTTATCTGTTGAGTGAGGGTCATCATTGTCTGTAATGATGAACAGTCGTCTGCTGCCGAAGTTGGCTGCTTTTGTGGTGAAGATCTGGTTTGCGCAGAAGAACACGTTCGCCATCTGAAGGCCGTCTTTTGCCGGCACCAACACCCCGTCGTCGTCTTCGCCTTCTTCTCCATCTACGCCAACTAGCGTTTTCAATGCCTTAACATCCTCTGCTGCGGGAATGTCTAGGTCCGTGAATAGATAGCAGTGAGGGTATCCCAAGCCACTTCTTCCACTTTCTTCCTGAAACTTGGATTTCTCTGTGCCGAAGAAGAGAATTCCCATCATATCCTTGGGATTAGAGATGATGCGCTGTTGCATCAGGTGATAAGCACATTTCAAGGCAGCCTGAACGGCACTGTCCTTATCTGCCTTCTTTGAGCTTGATGCTGGAGGGGGTTGCAGCATCGATGAGCTCACATCAATTGCTACGATGATAGCGTCCTTTTGCGACTTGTAGTCCTGAGGACTGTCAGTTGTAAGTCACAAAGGCCATTGACTTTGAGCACATGATGCTTACGGTCTCATCCAGTTCCTCCTCCGCATCATCTTCTTCTTCCCTCTTGAAGTCTTCACGATCAGCCATCTTGAAATGTCGAGAATTTGAGTCGATTTCAACAAACTTGACTGTGGCGGGAGATGGCTATTTGACCTCACAGTTGTCGTCTCCAGGCAGGTCTCCAGGCAGCAGACGCGACAGGGGTAGCTCTAACCGCGAAGCTCTCATCGCGCAAACACGTGATTCCATTTTCGATTACGCAGTGTTTGATTGGTCGAACCCCCAAAATGATAGAGAAGTACCTAGGCAGCAGCCATTTCACTGCCACAAAAGCTTGGATTGAAGTAGCTGTATATCATCTCGGTGTTACAGGGGTCCTGCTCGGTTTTCGGTGGGCTCACACCCAAATCGGAATTTCCTTCGTCATCGACACAGAAAACCCACTTGGTCTCGTTTAGCATATCCCACGCATCGCAAGGGTCCATTGCCACAGCTATGTTTTGTTAGACCACGTCGACGATCTTCAACAATTGAAGCACGTTTACTTATAACCCTTCCTACAATTCACTCCATTTCTGTAGCCATTATAGAGAAATGGCACTCAAATACTCAACGGGACAGCTCTCAAAGAGCTTGTCCAAGGCGACGTCCTCGGCCCGCCATGGTGCCTCTCCTCTGGCACTCGCTCTACCGAAGCTACCGACGCCTCAATTGAGGTCTATGGCGACTGTTCCACCTGTCACCCAGAACTCCGTCGGATCCAAGGGCCCTACAGCAATGGTATTCCTCAATATGGGCGGGCCTTCAACAACTGATGAAGTGGGCGATTTTCTGAGCCGACTATTTGTGTGTCTCCTTTCGGCCCCTGAATAGTCTGAACGAATTCTAACAATTCGCAGGCAGATGGTGACTTGATTCCCCTTGGACGTTACCAGAACTACCTTGGCCCTTTTATTTCGAAACGACGAACCCCCAAGATCCAGAAGCAATATGCAGAAATCGGTGGCGGCTCGCCCATTCGCAAGTGGTCTGAGTACCAGAATGCCGAAATGTGCAAAATTCTTGACGAGATCTCCCCCGAGACGGCGCCGCACAAGCCTTATGTCGCATTCCGATATGCGGATCCCTTGACCGAGGAGATGTACAACAAGCTGCTGGAGGATGGATTCGGAAACGGAAAGGGCGGAAGAGCTGTTGCATTCACTCAATATCCCCAATACTCGTGCTCGACCACGGGAAGCAGTATCAATGAACTGTGGAAGTGGCGACAACGTCTTGAGGGCAAGGCGGCAAAGGATGCCACGCCAGGTGACGGCACTATTTCTTGGAGTGTGATTGATCGATGGCCAGTTCACCCTGGTCTAGTCGAGGCCTTTGCACAGAACATCGAGGCCAAGCTTCTGGAGTACCCCGAGGAGAGACGGAAGGATGTTGTTCTTCTTTTCTCCGCTCACAGCTTGCCTATGTCAGTGGTGAACAGAGGCGATCCTTACCCTGCCGAAGTTGCCGCCACTGTCTACGCCGTCATGCAGCGCCTCAAGTTCTCCAACCCTTACCGCCTATGCTGGCAATCTCAGGTTGGCCCTTCTGCGTGGCTCGGCCCCCAAACCTCTGACTCTGTCGAAAACTACATCCACAAGGGTCAGAAGGACCTGGTCCTCATCCCTATCGCATTCACTTCAGACCACATTGAGACTTTGTACGAGCTGGATTTGGAAGTTATCGGAGACTCTGGACACCCTGACACGGTTAAGCGTGTCGAGAGTTTGAACGGAAGCCCAGTGTTCATTAAGGCCCTGGCCGATATTGCCAAAGCCCATCTCAACAGTGGAATTGCTTGCTCACCACAGATGGAGCTTCGGTGCCCCGGCTGCAAGAGTGAGCGTTGTGCCGAGTCAAAGAAGTTTTTTGCGGGTCAACAAACGAAGCTCTTTGGAGCTCAAGAGAAGATTCTGGCGCATTAAAAGGAGTAAGATCGCTTCAAGGGAGGTTAACTGTAATTATGTACTATTAGATGAACCGGGGATCTATTAGGGTCAAAAACGCAAGGCTGGCAATGGCGCGAATTAAAATCAAGTTCAACTCTCACGATCGTCTGGCACCTGCTCGTCCATTTTGAATTCTCAACGTTGTTACGTTACACTGCTAGAATTTTGTGCCTACATTTGCCTTATCTCATCATCGTTCTGTGTCAGAATTGGATTACTGGGGCAGTCGGGTGCATGTTGATGACGCCACCAGATTTCCTTGACGCCACTAACAGTTCCTTGCCTGCTTGCTCCACCAAACCACCCGGGCCATGAGTTGATCAACATCATTCAAATAAACCCACAACTCTGCATCTCACAATCGGTCAAGGAATATTATGTTTAGCACAAGAACATTCGCCAACACTTTACCCAGGGCTCATAATATTACTTTCCGACGAACCATGAGCTCCCAAGATAAGATCCATTTTGGACCGTTTGAGGTCACGGGGCAGGTCAGATAAACTTCATCCTACAAACCATGGCAGCGGAATCACAATAGGCGATTGCTGAGTAGTTTTCGCGCAATTTGACATGGGGAATTGAATTCAATATGAAGCTTGAAACTGCTAGTAGCAGGGTCATGGCTGTATCTCGATAACTCTTGAAATATTCCAGGCTAACATGATGCAGGTCTTCTACAAAACAGCCCACTCATTCGCCTTGGTCAACCTGAAGCCCCTCCTTCCAGGCCACGTCCTCGTATGTCCTCTAAAGCCTCACAAGCGTCTAACCGATCTCCCGTCCGCCGAAGTGACGGATCTTTTCACTACGACGCAGCTCATTCAAAAGATGCTGGCGCGTCGCTATTTCACATCGTCATCCGACGCACCGGCGGTTCCGGAGGCGGGCTCTTTCAACATCGCAGTCCAGGACGGCGCGGATGCGGGGCAGACTGTCCCACATGTTCATGTGCACATCATTCCGCGTATTGCTGGTGAGACGGGTAAGGATGGGCCCGGCCCCCGTGATGAGATTTACCAGCAGATGGCCAGTGAGGAGGGCAACGTCGGGGGCGCGCTTTGGGATGCCGCCCTAGGGAAGAGGCCTGAGGCTGGCGGGAATTTTGCGTCAATTGAGGATGCGATGAGACACGCGAGAAGTATGGAGGATATGGTTGAGGAGGCAAAGGGGTATCGAGCTCTGCTAAAGGAAATGGGAGTGTCTGTCGACAATTAGGTGGTAATTAGACTGAGTGATGTGTTATATTCACGTTTAAGGGCATTGTAAATACGAGATATGATCGATGAGTTTATCACTTTGGACTACAGGAGGCAAGGAACAGCCCGTGCTTCAAAGACTACTTGTTGTTAACTCTACGACTACGAATCTAAGCGGAACGACCCTGAAAGCCAGGTAATTTTTGCCCTCTTTAATGAAGGAGTATTACTGATGTGGAAGCATAGATGCGTTATCTAACACCCATCACACGGAGTGAGCCAACACTATTGCTCCGAGGCGACAAACAGTGCGCATTGTCAGTGTGCTGGTTACTAGCACAGTCCGGCCCCACACAAGTCTTTAACGCGTCCAAGGTCGCGTCGTGTCGCGTCTCCTAAATTAATTGTCACTATAGCCATCCCACCTTCAACTTTTGTGACAGTGTTAGATCTTGGAAAGCCTCGACAATCTTCCAGGCTGCCCGAACTTTCAAATTGCCGCCCAAGATGCCGAGTGCATCTTCGCCGATCACCTTTCCTGCCAGTTCGTCACCCCCCGCAGGGAAACGCGCGAGGCCCGCCGCGGGCGACCCTACACGATCCAAGCCAAAAGTCAAGAGTGGATTCCTCCTTGATGATGATTCCGACGACGACGACAATGAGGCTCAGCAACCTCCCTTGAAGAAGCACATAGTCGACTTCGGCGCCCGTTTACACCGCCCAGTACCCGCCGCCATTATCCCTAACGAAGAACCTCTCGAGCAGACATCATCGGCACATGCCAAACAGGACGATTACGCCCCAATCGATCTGACGCGAGACGTGCCGAACGAATCATCTCGTGGTCTTGCATCAGCTCTTCTCAGCTCGACACCTTCAATTTTCAAGAGCACCCGAACGTACAAGCTGACCACCTGCACCGGTGCGTCAACCACCATCAAACAACGAAAGCCAACAACGAATACCTCCTACGAGAGCATCATTGCCGCGAGATCCAAGACAAAGGATGGAAGAGCAAAGCGCGCATACTATGGTATCGATATAAACGAGCTGATCGACAAGGCGAAGTCGGAGTCTGCGGAAAGCCGTCAGCCACAGAGAAAGGAGAATGATGTGCCAGTTCGGTCAGTCGAGGAGCCAGTAGGCGGCAAGCGACAAAAGAAGACACTGTTGTGGACGGAGAAGTACAGGGCGAAGAACTTCCTGGACCTTTGCGGAGATGACGGGACGAACCGTTTGGTTCTTCGATGGCTGAAGCGCTGGGACCCAATTGTCTTCCCTGGTGTTGCCAAAAAGGCCCCGATCGTGCGGCGTCCAGGAGTGAAACAGACCCAAGAGGAGGAAAAACCACACAAGAAGATTCTGATGTTGACTGGACCCCCTGGACTTGGAAAGACGACACTGGCACATGTTTGCGCGAGACAAGCAGGATACGACGTTATGGAGATCAACGCCAGTGACGATCGGAGTCGAGACGTCGTCAAGAACCGGATACGAACATCACTAGGTACCGAGAGTGTTAAAACTGTCGAGAATAAGAAAACAAAAGATGGAGAGCAACAACAAAAAGTCGCCCGACCAGCTTGCGTAGTTGTCGATGAGGTGGATGGTGTGGTTAGTGGATCTGGCGCTTCAGGGGAAGGTGGTTTCGTCAAGGCTCTGATCGATCTAGTCCTGTTGGATCAGAAGAATAGTTCAGGCGCTTCTAACAACTCTAACCGAAAGAACAAGAAGGGGGATGACTTTCGCCTGATGAGACCGCTCATCCTTATCTGCAATGACGTCTATGCCCCCTCGTTGAGGCCCCTACGTCAGTCGGGCATGGCTGACATCATTCACGTGGGAAAGCCAACTATCGACGCTGTCGTTACGAGATTGAAAACGGTTTTTGACAAGGAGGGAATCCCGTGTGAGAAGGATGCCGCTCGCAAGATCTGTGAGGCCGCATGGGGTATGACGAGCGGCATTGATGCTAAGCGAGGCGCTGAGAGTGGAGCTGAAGGTGACCTCAGAGGAGTGATGGTTGTCGGTGAATGGGTCGCAGGGCGCTTCAGAGCGGCGGCGGACTTCAACGATCGTTTAACGAGACAATGGCTTGACAAACACGTGCTGCACGACCTCAGCAATGGTGCTGGTGGAGCGAGGGGTCTTGGAAGAGGGAGTGCCAAAGATATCGTCACGCGCGTCTTCCAGGAAGGCGGTGGCTTTCCAAAGCAAGCTCTTGACACAACCCAGCATTTGAAGCACCAACATGAACAACCAAAGGCTCAGCTAGGCTTCGCCGAATACCACAAGAAGAACGCCATGGAGCGTTTGCGACATTTGATCGACACAAGCGGAGAAGTAGACAAAATCATGACCGACATTTTCCTCGAGTACCCGAACCGAGAATTCAACGACGACTCATTCTTATCTAAGCCCAACGAAGCCTATGACTGGATGCATTTCCTAGATACTTGTTCATCACGAACCTTCCTAAGCCAGGATTGGGAGCTAGCCCCTTATCTCAGCCAGCCTATCCTAGCATGTCACGACCTGTTCGCTTCGCCCAAAAGATATCAGATCAACATGGGCTACGACAAGAAATGGGGTGCGGACGGGGAGGATGAAAACGGGGCTCCTGTGCCGTTCTCTGGTCCTCGGGCTGACTTTGCTGCTCATGAAGCGTTGAAGCAGAACAAGAGTATGCTTCAAGCTATTCAAGCGCAACTTAATCCGACTCTTGGAAGATCGTTCCGAAGCGCGGAAGACATTGCAACGGATTTCTTGCCATACCTCGTTCGCATGGTATCTCCAGACGTGAAGCCCGTTGTTATCGGCGGCAGTGGCGTGAGCACGGCTAGTGTGCGGAAGGACACGGAGAAGGTGATGGTCAAGCGGGCGGCAGAAATCATGGCAGAGGTTGGTATCGTTCTGCACAAGGGCAAGATTGAAACCGATTCGTTAGTGAATAGGGGGCCTCAATGGGTGTACCGCATGGAGCCGTAAGTAGCCATCACCCTTGGACGTGATCTTTGCTAATATCCAGCAGTGACCTCGACGAACTCGCAATATACGAGACAGCGGGCAGCCTGTTACTCTCCAGTTCGGCACCTACACGTTACGCGGTACGCCAGGTTCTTGACCAGGAGCTGCAAAAGACCATTGCCCTCCGCGAGAGCGCGGCACGACAGGCAAGGTTTAAGGCCGGTAATCCGATGGGACACGAGGAAGCCGCGGTTCACGAGGATAAAGAAAATGTTATCAAGGAACAGGAAAAACTGCTTGAAGTCAGCGTTAAGAAGGACTTTTTCGGGCGTATCATACCGACGCGGCTACTTGGAGAAGTGGATCCCAACGGAGGGGCTAAGAGAAAGAAACAACAAGAGGTGAAGAAGGACGAGAATAAGGTTTGGGTTACGTACCATGAAGGACTGAATAATGCTGTCAGGAAACCGATCACATTGGGGGAGTTTATGAAGGGTCTTTAGGCGTTTCGCGGACTGGATGAGATATGAACACAGCATAATTTTCGTTTCCTCATTAAAGTCACGTAAGATGCAGGCAATCTTTATGCCTAACAAGTCTTTTTTATTGGTGAGAAAATGCCATGGCCGCTTGTTGACTCGATACTCTATCTATTGTACTAATACTTCCTCCCCCCCCCCCCCCCTTTTTGAATGGAGTCGTCATCTCCTTAGCAGCTTCTAGCATAGCAGCCACCGTCAGGCAAGTTGCCGCCACTACAGACAAGTCAGTACAATTTTTTTTTCAAATAACGGAACTTTACATAAGCGAGGTAGTTGACGTACGGGCAGAAGCAGCCAATAGGGCAAGCAGTGACACCGTTCTTGCAGTGCTTAAGGTTGCTAGAGGCGCACTAGGCCGGAGTCAGGCCCTGGCGCTTAAGCAGAGAGCTGACGGCGCGGACCCCGGGCTCAGCGACGGCAGCACTGTGAACGGCGGCGACAGAGGCCAGGAGAGCGATGACGGTGGAGAACTGCATTTTGAGGGATGGATTTGGTAGTTTTGACAAAGTCAAGATAAGATGAGTAGGAGGTCTAGGTTGGTATAAGTCTGGAGATCTGTGAGTGAATAGAGGTCATGTTTGTGAGAAAAGCAGAGGTTTTTATAATACTGAATCTCTCTGAGCGGACTTCATGGTCCTCCGCAAAGTAGCTGGATGTCTTATCATGCATGCAGTTGATGCCAAGATCAACAACCCCGATCGCTCGGTTGAAGCTTCGTGAAGTCCGTCCGTACAAGGTCATCATACGTAAAAGGCATACGGAGTGCCTCGCTTCCCCACTAGGGGAACAATATAAGTGAAGGAGGTTTCGCGAATCCGAGAGCCTCCATCGCAAACTTTAACGCTTCGCCTGGTGCCAGTTTTCGAGTCATGGCATACTATGGTAGGGCTGGAGACGCCGAAGCGGGTATCCTGAGGGGAAAAGCGTGGAGAAGGTATGAGATGAACTGGGGCAGATCTCTAGTTGCCAGAATTTCCGAAACTCCGTCCGGTAAGGATCGACCGCTGGAAATGAGCCTGCGGAGTTGGGAACCGAGAGAGCAGTCAGCCATAGTCTGCATTGTGTTGTTCTTGCAGCAAGCTTTAGAGTGATTTGTTATAGCTAGTTACGACGTACGATGCCGCAGCACTGAAAAGTCTATGACAAAAGCTTCTAGCATAATGTATTATTGTACATAGTATGCATTCTTGCCGTAGTGTAGTGACGCAGTAAACCTCCGATTCTAAAGGTACGGATAGCTCGGTAAAGACACGAACAACCATACCTTGTGGCTGATCTTTCCCCAGTAAAATCATCTATAGCGGTTTCTAAAGAGCCGTAATTTAAAACTTATTGCCGTTTATGTCCCTAAGCTGTCAGTTTTAGAAATGTCGGCCGGCGATTAAGGTTTACTGTCTATTACGACTGACTCTTTCGCTCATTACGTACACGAGAGACCCATACGCTCGGGGCATCATGGACTCCTTACGTCGCATTCACATTCGAAGCTGTAACGTCTCCTTCAATGCCGCCAACAAACGTGAGTGGATGTTTGGGTTACGTGAAGCTAGGCTTGAGAAGCGATTCGGTCGAATGCGGAGTTAGAGTGCGTATAAAAAGGGCCGCGGAGCATGTTACGTTGGTCGTTTCGACGATTGCAACATCAGGCGTGATCAACTGAATTCATGGTTATACTAAAGCTAATTGTAGTAGGTGAAGAATGGCTGTCTTGAAGACTAGATGGCTTTTGTTTGTTATCTCCCTGAATCCACAGCAGCCCAAAGACTACCTTACTGTAGGTAGTTTGACATTGCGTAAATTGTCAAGTCCAAACACTTGGTGGACTCACCTTGTTCTCAATTTCTTTTTTTGTTTTGCGACTTTGCGAACCTCGGGAATTTGGTGGCATAGGATTACCCCATGCCATTCCTGGTCATCTGTCGACGATATGAGAGCTATATAAGGTACATAAGGGCTGCAGTATCCCACAAGGGATCAAGAGGTCAGGGATGAATGCAGTCTTTTTAGGGTACCTACCTGACCTCTTCATTCTGTGCCATAGCCTCCAACTTTCATCCGGAATGCGCGGGCAGCGAATAGTAATCGGATACGAGTTGCTTGAAGCAGATTTGCCTGCAGGGCGCCTAGATGGGCACCAACAGCAACCTGCCGAACTATTAGGATAGACTAGAAGCACGGAAGCCGCGTTCACCGTAATCGTACCCGCTCGATTCTAAACCAGTTGAATCCCCTTCTGGGTCCAGTGCCCCATCACGATTAATATTTGCGACAATACGGGAATATGACGACATGGGCGTGCTAAAGGGGATCAATTGGAATACCCGAGGTATAATGAAATATTTGGGTGACTTAGGTATAAAAGATTTAGCAGAAGCAACGAATTGAAGCTATAGTAAGCTTGCTTGCGTTTTGTAGATTGGATCCCGACAAGGTTGTCAATAGGTATTTTGACGATAACCTCAATGCTCACCGAACACACCGAGCGAGGCGTGTTTGCGTAAGCCTTCTGAAACGCACACCGCAGACGTAAAAGTATGTGATTTTCCACGCACGTCCCCTCTTACTAGGGAAAAGCAAGTCACTTTTTTATAGCTTTTCTAGTCCGATTGCTTTGTACCTACCTAGTTCGTCACATTATACTAAACTCTAATGGTTAGTAAATTCAACTTGGAAAGCAGATATTCTCCGCATTGCGATTGACCACTGACAAATATCATGCATTGCTGTATGCCAGAAGGACCGCATAAATCAAAAGTTGACTTCCTAATCACGTAACACCCGCTTTTGAAGTCAGAATTCTACTACCACCACTAAGGATTTCATAACTGGTCAGCTGTTGGTGGACAGATCTCATCGCCACTCGAACCTGTATGAAATAATTGCTGAAGTTCTCACTATCTTTAGCTCCGTTTATTCATGTATGCTTCTACATAGTCTCATTACTGTGATGCTATCCTCAAATCTACGGTAATCTCTTCCCATCCCTAAAAGAAGGACATCGTTGAGCATTCTGAATGCATGGTGTACATGCAATGACACGGCATGTAACAAACAGATGCTATGCAATTTTCTAATGACAGTAAATTTCTGTAGCTGCGTATAATTCGAATTAATGGTTTTCTTTGTGCGCTAAGGAGAAGAAATCAAGATTCTTTGAGCAATTCATGTCATATACTCCTCACCCGTTCCTGCGGCAGACGGTAGATCACTACTATACCACAAATAAGGTCGGCTGTTAACACCATGACTTAGCGAATAGTTCTATAGATAAGCAGACTGAAGAAGGGTGGATATTTTCATCGTTCATGTGACAAGGACGGACTTTAACAGAGTGTTGTTCCTGTAACCAAAGCCTTTCTCTAACTTTTCTGGGGAGACGGACCTCTGCTTTCAGATGTAAACAAATGATAGGCATACATACAGCTGGTTTAAGGCATGTCAATTCTGCACTGTATCTAGCTAAGACTGTTGTATAATTTACGGACAATGATACGCGCTAACTTTAGCCTTTTGAACGGACTCGTGGTCGACATAAGCCAGGAAATACAACGGAATAGGCACATGGTAACGATGCCGAACCCTATCTTGCGAGAGAGAGAGGTGCTTCCATAGAAGACTATGATGATCCGGACGGAACCAGAATATCAGTCGTATAACATTAGATCCAGAATAAAAGCGCTAAGTGACTAAAGCAATGAGATGATGACCAAAGTAACAGTAAAGGCAGTGAGCTCTTGGCAGTTGAATGTGATGCCGCCTGGCAAGCGGATGGTATCCTGAGCGCCACCCCTGGCTGGACGTACAGAGGGCTAGTCCCAGTGCAGAAAGCAAGTACCCTCAAAAGCAAGGGCTTTCATAAGTTCTATCGGTGTAGCTAGCTTTCGCTTGTGGTGTCAGCATTGACTCTTGGATGAGAGTGGTGGCCTTGAAAAGATCTATGAAGAATAACTGGAGGTGCAGCACATGCGGGGATGAAGAATGGAAAGAAAAGGGGTAGGTTGGTGTCGTTGTCGTGGTGGTGGTGGCGGCGGTGGTGACGAATAGCAAGCCGTTAGGATCTGGGGGAAAGGGGTGAGAACCAGAATAGTTGCTTAGTTAGGAAAATGAGCTGATGCCAATGCTCATCAAATGTATATGCATTCTAGGGTGATTAGATCACCTCTAATGGATAGAGGTATGAGGTTTGCTCGGGGTATTGCTTGCCGAGAGGATCGATCCGCCCCAACCGTGGGTAGCCGTAACCACATACCACACGCTGTATGGTCGTGTGCGTTTATAAATACTTAAGCCCTTACCTCCTACTATTAAATTTTGCAGTCGTAGTTGCCCCTATAAGTTGAAAAAGACAACAGTTCAGCATCCCCTTCTTATACTTTGCAAATATGGCCCTTCAGCCTTTGGTTACCAATGTTCGCTTTGAGCACCACCATGACGGACGTGGCCTGGAAACCGCCACACCACGTATTTCGTGGTCTTTCAGCTCAGAAAACGGTTGTCAGAACAACTGGCGGCAACATTATTACGAGATAGAGGTACACAACCTGGCTCATGCTCTGAATGAGACCTACACAGTCAACAGTTGCAACTCTCTGCTGGTACTTTGGCCGAGCAAGCCCCTCGGCTCCCGAGAACATGCAAGAGCTCGAGTCCGTGTTTATGGTTCTCCAAGTCATTCGAGTCACTTGGAAGGCCCAAGTTCTGATTTGGACTGGTCTGAGTGGTCAGAGTGGGCGACTGTCGAGGTTGCTCTGCTATCGAGAGGCGATTGGGCAGCAAAACTTATATCTGCTCCGTCCGCTATAACGACAGTGAACGATGATGGGTCACTGAAGCCAGTGAGATTTCGAAAAGCTTTTGAGTTCCCGGGACAGAAAGTTCTACGAGCTCGGCTTTACATTACTGCGCACGGAGTCTACCAAGCCTACATCAACGGGAAGCCTGTTGGCGACCAATTCATGGCACCAGGCTGGACTAGCTACAATCATCGTCTCCAGTACCAAGTGTATTCAGTGTCGGACCACTTACTGATTGGCGGAATGAATGTAATAGTTGTCGAACTGGGAGCCGGATGGTACGCCTCAGCCCTAGGCTGGGCTGGCGGCCGCCGCTGTCGATTTGGCTCGACACTTGGTCTTATGGGACAGCTCGAAGTGGATGTTGAAGGAAGCACTCAACGATTTTTCTTGACAACTGATTCATCTTGGTCTTGTTCAAGCAGTGCAATTATTCAAAGCGAGATCTACAACGGCGAAACATTCGATGCTCGCTTGGCCTCAGCAGTGGAAGACACACGAGTCAATGCCGAGATACAACCTTTTCCCTCAGCGAGACTGGTTTCTCCAGAAGCACCTCCAGTAAGGGTAACAGCAGAAATTAGCCCGGTCAATATTTTCAACTCACCTGCCGGCAAAACGATTATTGATTTTGGTCAAAACCTGGTTGGCAAACTGCGAGTCAACTTTCTACGCAAACAAGCCGGGCATGTTGTTCGGTTTCGTCATGCTGAGGTGATGGAGAACGGTGAATTGGGAACCCGTCCTCTTCGATTCGCCAAAACGTCTGACACTGTCATCTCAGATGGCAACACCATCTCGGGCTGGACCCCACTTTTCACCTTTCATGGTTTTCGCTACGCACAAGTGGACGGATGGTCTCCAGAAGACGCTTCGAACCCCTTAACTTTGAAATCCGTCACTGCATTGGTGATGCACACTGATATGAGACGCACAGGGTGGTTTGAGAGCTCCCACAAGTTCATCAATCAGCTCCATGAAAATACTGTCTGGAGCATGCGAGGTAACTTTCTATCCATTCCAACTGATTGTCCACAGCGAGATGAACGACTAGGCTGGACAGGCGACATTCAAGTGTTCTCACCCTCAGCAAACTTTCTCTACGACACTAGTAGCATGCTAAGTGGATGGCTGGAAGATGTTGCAGTAGAGCAGCTTCAAGACGGTAATGGAATTCCTCCTTTTGTTGTCCCGAACGTTATAGGTCGTGACGACGAAGGCAAACAAGACGAATGGTGGCCACGAGTTGCTAATGCTGTTTGGGACGATGTGGTCATCATTTTGCCTTGGGAGCTTTATCGATCGTTTGGAGATCTCAGAATTCTAAGCAAACAATTTGAAAGCATGGTGGTATGGCTAGAGGACGGTGTCGAACGAGGAACCGACTTTCTTTGGGCTGAGGACAAGTGGCAATTGGGAGATTGGCTAGACCCTCTCGCACCTCCAAACGAACCTGGGAATGGCCGAACTGACGGAGTGCTTGTTGCTGACGTCTATCTGGTTCGTATCACTCAAATCATGGCCCGGGTGGCGGGTGTTATCGGGCGAGAAGCAGAGTCAATTCGCTACAGTGAACAGTATGTCAGGCTCAAGACCGCCTTCCAAAGAAAGTATATCACAACAGGAGGGCGAATCTCTTCAGACTCTCAAACTGCCTTGGCTCTTGCGTTTGTACACGAGCTCTTTGGGTCTCCGGAACAATGGACAGCAGCGGCAGACTGGCTGATTCGCGCCGTTCGCCAAGCTCAGTTTCGTGTCTCGACCGGCTTCGCTGGCACTCCAATCATACTTCACGCTCTCACTAGGATTGGACGGCCGCAGTATGCCTATCGTATGTTGCTTGAAAAGAACTGTCCAAGTTGGATGTTCCCTGTTCTTATGGGCGCCACAACTATTTGGGAACGTTGGGACAGCATGCTCCCCGACGGCTCCATCAACCCAGGGGATATGACCAGTTTCAATCATTACGCCCTTGGCTCTGTGGTTAACTGGCTTCATGAAACCGTTGGAGGAATCAGTCCCATAGAACCAGGTTGGAGGAAGATTATGGTTCGCCCTATTCCGGGTGCAGATTTGACTCATGCAACAGTCAGATACACCAGTCCATACGGAGAGATCAGGTGTTCATGGAAGCTGGAAGGGTTGCGTTTTTCTCTCCAGCTTATTGTTCCTCCTAACACCCTGGCCATGGTTTATCTCCCAAGTTCTCAGCGTCAGAGTGTGTCTGGGGATGACAAGGAGGGCTTATCGGTCGGTTCTGGACAACACACTTTCACTTGTGACCTGGTGGAGTTTGACACTTGGCCATTAAGCGCGATGCAACCAATATTTTGGCCCCAGAAACCCGCTGAAGCGGTTTAAACCAGCGTAATACCAATAACATGTCAATTGGAACGATGTCGAGAATTATTAGATACCTTGTCTCTTAAGAGTCTCTGCTTAGAAGCGTGAGGCGCTACTACAGGAATATACTGCCCGGACTGAAGCGCTGTACTCAAAATGTGAAAAAAACAGTTCTCAATTGTATATTATATAGAAGCATTTGCAGTCCTCGAGTCCTCATTGAGACTGTATTGACATTCTCGGGCTTGCCTCATCACGCCAGCTATCTGCGATTGTATTGATCGATTCACATCAAGTCATCCACTCAGCCAGAGACGGTACCAGGACGAAAAAGACAAAAAAATAAATGAGAATCAAATCATGTGAGACGTAGATAGGTGTCATAATTGACATCGCTTGCTTGAATAGGCTAATCTAACTCTTGAGGCGTCGCTGGACGGTACCACGAATTCGTAAAACATGTGGTACAATCCAGGAAGCTAGGGCTGCGGTCAGAGCGCAGAAAGATCGGAGTTCGAATGAGACTAGTACAAAGATAGGGAGAAAATTTCCACCAAATTGTGTTTTTTTATGCTAAAGCTATGATGTAAGAAAGTCGAGCACGATAGAACCTTTTGCTCACTGAAGCCCTAGCCAGAATTCTTCCATTGCCAAAAACACCAATGGCCAGAGTTTTTCAGAGAATTGCTAAACACTCTGATTCAACTTTGTATTAGTCTCTTCGTGGTTTTCAATTTGTTCCGCTAATTTTTGGTCTTTTTCAAAAGCAGCATTAGCAGCATCAGAATCCCGCATTGCATGCGGAACCAACTGATCTCCGAAGAGCTCATCCATCTGTTCAAGTGTGCGTCCCTTTGTTTCTGGGAAGAAAAACCAATAACATAAGAACGCAACGATGTTAAGCGCAAAGAACAAGTAAAAATAGCTAAATTCGAGTGCAGTCAGCGCGTTCGGGGTAAACTGGGCGAAAATAAGGTTGACAGTCCAGTTGCTGAATGTTGTAATTGCGTTGCCGAGAGCTCGAACTTCCACAGGGAAAATCTCAGCAGGATAAACCCAGCTAATTATTCCCAATGGCGTATAAAAAAGATGGAAGACAAAGTTCATTGCAACCATACTCCGAAGTTGAGCCTGATTACTAGGCGTAAAGTATTGGCCCTGTACTGCGTTCACAAGAAGTGATGCAGCCAACCCGGCAGCCGAAACGATGAGCGGCTTGATACGACCAACTCGATCGAGTAAGTAAAGACCAATTGTACACCAGATAATCGATAGGGCACCGTTAATCCCAACAATCAAAAGCGACTCGCGAGCACTGATTCCTAAGATTTCGTAGATCCGCGGCCCGTAGTAGTTGATGACGTTAATGCCGCTGAGAGGGCCGAAGACTTGGACGCCGCATCCAAGTATTAGACGCCGGCGCCAAGAGGGTTTCGTGATGATTGACTTCCAAGTGATGTTTCCAAGAGCTCGATCTGCTAGGATCACATCTCGAATTTCCCTGAATTCAAGATCAATAAGACCCTGGTCCTGGCCACTTCTCAATACGTTGAGCGATTGTTGTGCTTCATCATATCGGTCCCTCTCCATAAGCCATCTGGGAGACTCTTGAAGAAACCAAATACCAGCGATGAGAATCAACCCTGGAAAGGCTTGAAAGGCAAGGGGAAACCGCCCTAAGGAGTGTGTATACAGTGTTAGTGAGGTCCTCTTTGTAAACATCGGAGGTTTGGACGTTTGGGCTTACATGAAAACTCATTGTCATTGAACGAACAACCGTATCCAAGCCATTGAGCCACCAAAAAGCCCCAACTTAACATCCATTGTAGTAGACCAGAGAGAACTCCTCGGTATTGGGCTTCTGAGATTTCTGAAGCATACATCGGAATAGTGGAAGTAAGCTGCCCCACGGCAAACCCCCCAATAAATCGGCCGATAATGAGCATGAGCATGCTGGTACTGCCAGCTTGGAGAGCACTTCCCACACAGGATACCAAAGCTCCAAAGAGAATGGTTTTGCGTCGACCCATAGCATGAGCGAATAACATGTTGATGACTGTTCCAAGGATAGCACCACCCTGGAAGGCGGAGACAATGCCGCCTATGGTGGTATCCGATGGATCACTGAAGTACTCTTTAAAAGTTGGCAGAGCAATGGTCGAGGTGATGATTCCGGAGTCATATCCGAAGAGGAAACCACCCGTTGACAAGAACAAGGCTGAGAGCGCGGTGACGGTACGGCCCATGGCAGCTGTTTTCAGATATTGTGAGGACTGGAAGCAAGTGTTTTCGAAGACTGGAGAGTATGGAAAAGACAGGGTAAAATAGAGATAGACAACTCGTGTAATTCTTTGGACCAAACTGTCCAAGGAGAATCCCATTTATGGCCGCCGTCACCAGGCCGATTTCTCAATCTTTCGATTAGCAACTTGCGGGGGCGTTAGCAACCACCCCATGGGGAAATTCCAAAACTGTCTGCGGGAGAAAGGTAAGCGGGGCTCCCTATCATTGCCCCGAGATTTTATCGTAAGGATCTCAAACTGCCATTCTCGGTGGTAGTTTTGAGAATCACGGTTCGCTAGGGGCTTATCTCTTCTGGTTCTGATTGTCTGGATGACGGCCACACACCAAGACCGGAGAAGAGAGGACCGAGATTGCAAGATCTTGGTGTGATGTCCCACGCAAAACCAGCCGATATAGCCCACCTAACAAATTTTGGATACCTTTAGAAGCGCCTTGCATATTAGGTAGCCATGTCGCAAACACTTACCGGGGGGAAATGCGCCGAGTTGGATCTGTAAACGAACTTTTGCGCTTGAACTCGGATACGTACACTCAGACATGCTTTAATTAGATGAAGAGAAGGGGTGCAAATAAGAAAAAAAAGAAATTGACGTGTCAATTTCGAGATACCACACAATACATAAACTTCCTGAGGCGTATAGAGAAGTATTTGGTAGCTTTAAGGTCCTGCAAGCATGATAAGGGGTAGTACATAACAAACATTTCTGAAAGTATCACCCCTGCATTCAAGTATCAAAGTATCTGTACTGCAAGAAAAAATCCTACAAAACTCTGAAATCCCTTTGTCGCGTTTACTTGGCTACAGAACCACCGCCCAATTTTCCCCAGCCACAGTCACCATCCCATGACTCCCCAAGTATATTCGCACTTCTATCTTCACAAGCATGAGGCCAGGTTACTGGACCTGGTGCCTCATAGGTTGTTGGGACCGGGCTGAACAGGTTTATCTTGATTCCAGGCTCGTTGCCATCATACACCCCAGGGATCTTGACAGTAGGCGCCGGCTGCCCGGACCCAGAACCTGTGACTTCAAGTTGCGCGCAGCTAATATAAAATTGGGCTTTCCCAAATTCAACCGCATCATGGAGGCCAATATGCTCTGCTCGCATGAGATACTGGCCAGCTGGAAGCTCATGAGGAAGCTCGAATGTGTAATTCCGAATGGCTTGGGCGTATTTGTAGTTCGCCCAGTGAATGGTTTGCTGGTCGAAAGCCGTGACAGTCATCGCATATACTTTGAACCAGTCACCGTCACCCTTGTAGTCCTTAGCCTGGACACCATTGGGAGCCTTGCTCATGTACACCGCAAGGGGCCCAGGATGCCCAATCTCGATGTTGACAGTGAAGCCGACAAGGTCTCCAGGAGCAACTTTAGCTGTCTTTGTCTTTGCCATGGTGTCAGGGTTCAAGCCCCCTTCGTTGCACACCATGTCCAACGAGGTAACATTGGCCACCGGGGACCAGCCGTTCGTAGACCGACGAACGTACTCGTAGGGTGGCGTAACGATCCCATTGATGATGAGGGCCTCATGGTTGTAGTGCGCCAAACAGGATGGCAAGGTGGCAGCAACGACCAGGGTTTCAAAGCAAGTAGAACGCATGTTGGTTGTCTTGGAAGAATTCCGAGGAAAAAGTGTTGATGGGACGTTAAAAGGGTTTTCTCTCATGTGCTTGACTTTGAAGCCCCTGACATTGTCCCAAATGTGGAGGTCCTTATTTATATGTTTTCATTATGTGATTTACCATCCTGAAGCCCTTCCTGTTCATACTTAAACTTTGATTCAACGACTGGAGGAAAATTCTTTCTCCTCTTTCGCGCCTTGGAAAGATGCAGATACCGTCCTAATTGAGGTCGTGAACCCCTCCTCACTGGGTTGATGAGACCACGACTGCATAGGGGGTACACGCTTTCCGCCCTGTGTATGCCTCACAAGTAAACCTTGCATGCAAAACAATCAAAGCTGGCATCTACACAATCGATGAGAGTTACTTACATGTCATTATGGAGGCCGAGAATCCCACAGTGAGGTGAGGGGACGTGCCAATTTGGTTACTTAGTTCAGCCGCCCAGCAGCGAGACCGAATTGTGTCGTGGCACCGAGGTAGAATAATAATCAAAGAACATGAAGTGGCGACATAATATCCTGTCCCCACACCATGGATTGTGACCCATGACAAAAACATGCATGTTGTGTCGGAGTTTGGTATGGCTCTCCTCACCACCCCTTGGATTTGCGAAGACTGAGATGCAAGTCCCCCCTCCCCCTTCGCTCATGTCTAACCCGTGGCTTCGGCGCAACTAATCCGAATGAGACCAAAGGAGACACTTCAGGTTTTGACCGCATGGTTCTACACCGATTTCTTCATTTTAGTATTCCGGTGACTGCATAACGACGAGATCGTATGTACGTCAGTCAACGACGTTTAGGTAGGGCGGAAGTTTGGCTCATAACCTAACGCGGAAGGTACTTTGAAGTACGAGCAAGGTGGAAGAAATATCACGAGGTTGAATGGCGAGATCTTTGCACCGACAGGAAATGCGACGTACCCGAAATTTATTAGGAGTCTTTTATACTGCAGATATCACGGAGCTGGTCTTTTCAAGATTCATTATAACTTATCCATATCTCTGATCATTCAACTTTCCAAACCATCCAATCATCTCCAGACAGCATCTACCTTTGACTTCATTGTTTATCCGCTTTCCAGTACTAGTCATGAGAGCACTACAAGCACTTTCTTGTTTCACGTGGCTGATGCGGGTTGCGTTGTCGGTCGGCGTTCCCTCACAGCCTGTACTTGACGAAGCTCGAGACCTTAGCGACCGCCCGTTGCAAACTATAGTCACCTATGATACCGACTCAGTGTTTGCTCACGGCGAGCGGGTTTTCCTGCTCGCCGGTGACTATCAGCCTTTCCGTCTTCCTGTCCCGAGCCTGTGGATTGATAATTTCCAAAAGATTAAGGCCATGGGCTTCAACGCAGTCTCCTTTTACGTTTACTGGCCTCTTCTTGAAGGCAAGCCTGGCAAGTTCTCAGCCGACGGTGTGTTTGCCCTTGAGCAATGGTTCAAGGCAGCCACTGACGCTGGAATCTACTTGATCGCTCGACCTGGGCCTTATATTCACTCGGAATCATCAGGAGGGGGGCTGCCTGGTTGGATGCAGCGGGTTCAAGGGACCCTACGCACGTCCAAAGGCGGATTTCTTGACGCTATAGAGAACTATCTTTCCAGTGTATCACGGATCATTGCCAAAGCTCAAATCACCAACGGTGGGCCAGTGATTCTGGTTCAAGCTGAAAACGAATACTCGGAGTTTGGCGGCAACGAAACTGGCCCTGACGGCGGGTACATGAAACACATTATCAATATCCTGCGAAGGGAAGGAATCGTGGTCCCAATCACAAACAATGATCATTCCAACAGCGCTGTCAGTGCTCCAGGAAGCGGCATAGGCGCTGTTGACATTTACGGCTACGACAACTACCCCATTGGCGTAGGATGCTGGAACCTCTATGACTGGCCTGCCGGAAATCTCCAAGAAGACTACTGGGTTAAGCACCTCAGAAACAGTCCCAACACCCCTCATGCCATAATGGAATTCCAGGCGGGCTCGGGAGGCTCCTGGAAAGAAAAAAACTATGACATCTGCTCGGAATCCGTCAACGAAGTGTTTGAGCGAGTTGTCTATAAGAACAACTACGCTTCCGCTGTCAAAATCATGAATTTGTATCTCACAGCTGGTGGAACTAACTGGGGTAATATCGGATATCCTTTGTTTTACACCAGCTACGATGTCGGCGCAATGATTCGCGAGGACAGGACTCTGAACCGTGAGAAGTACGCGGAAATGAAGCTTCAGGGCCAATTCTTCAAAGTCACCCCTGCGTATCTGGATTCACGGCCCGTCAAATCCGATACCGAGTCTTTTACCAACGATACTTCTCTGAGAGTTACTCAATTGTCTCGTGAGGGGAGCAATACATCTCTATATGTCATCAGACACGCTGCCTATGAAAGCCGAGCTGTTACGCCCTACAAGCTTAAGATATCGACAAGTCGAGGAAGCCTTAACGTTCCATACTTCGAGTATGCATTGACATTAAACGGACGTGACTCCAAGATTCACGTATCTGATTATGATGTTGGTGGTAAAACACTCCTTTATTCCAGCGCAGAGGTTCTTACTTGGAAGAAATATGAACACAAGACGGTTCTTGTTCTATATGGAGGTCCAAACGAAAGTCATGAGGCTGCAATTGTCACGGATGCGGATATTGCGAGAATTGAAGGGAAAGAAATCCGCACACATGTTTCTGGAGGCGTTGTGAGATTTGGCTGGGACGTCTCGACGCAAGAAAGAACAGTTCTCAAGATCGATAACTTATACGTATACTTACTCGGTTAGGATTCCCTGTCGAAATTTGTTTAATTGCCCAAAGTGGGGAAGACCAATGCTGACAATAAATGCAGATCGAAACAGCGCGTATAAGTACTTTGTACCTATTCTACCTTCAAAATCAAGGGGTTCCTACGGAAGTTCGGAAAGTAACCCGGATGCTGTGATTGTTAAAGCCGGGTATTTGGTTCGCCAGGCAGCCATTGATGGTCCCATTCTCGACATTTCGGCCGATTTCAACGCCACCACAGAAGTTGAAGTCATCGGGTGTCCAGCTGGAGTCACTCAGCTGAGAATCAACGGAAAATCAGTTCATACCTCTCATGGCAAGGGCGAGAGCTTGTCAGCCATTGTGGAGTATCAGGCACCATCCATTTCCTTGCCAGAGCTGATCAACGCCTCGTGGAAGTATGCTGATGGACTTCCTGAAATCCGATCTGAATACGACGACACCAAGTGGAGGATCGCGGACAACACGATGACAAACAATGACTTTATTGAGCAACTGACTCCAACCGCGCTCTACGGTAGCGAATACGGTTTCCATTCCGGATATCTCGTTTTTCGCGGCCATTTTACTGCTTCTGGAGGAGAACAAGAACTCAATCTTACTACCTCTGGGGGCTACGCATTTGGCGACTCTGTTTGGCTTAATGACACTTACCTCGGCTCCTGGGAAGGCGAAACAGACACATTCAAGAAAACAAGCATCTATAAGTTGCCATTCGCCTTGAAACAGGGTGCAAATTACGTCTTGACGGTCATCGTTGATAACAACGGACGCGACATGAATTTTGAAGTGGGTGTCAACACGATGAAGGCACCACGCGGCATCCTTGACTTCAAGCTTGGTGACACCCGAATCGAGTGGAAGATCACTGGCAATCTTGGCGGCGAGGACTACGCTGATCATGTGCGGGGTCCTACCAACGAAGGTGGCAGCTATCCTGAACGACAAGGATGGCACCAGCCTCAGCCGCCGTCGTCAGACTGGAAGTCTCTCACACCCGTGGACGGACAGCCGGATCCTGGCATTGGCTTCTTCACAACCGAATTCGATCTTGACATTCCAGTGGGCTGGGACGTTCCAATCGATGTCCTGTTCACAAAAACCGAGACGACACGTAAATTCCGCGTCCAGCTTTTTGTGAATGGCTGGCAATTTGGAAAGTTCAATGGATTGATGGGACCTCAGCTCGCATTCCCTGTTCCAGAAGGTATTCTTAATTATCGAGGAAGGAACACCATTTCTCTCACTTTATGGAATCAGGAAAAAAGCGGTTCTGTGGGTGTGGAGGGTATATCACTCAAGGCTAATGTACCTGTTCTAACTGGCCGGCCGCCTGTCGAAGTAGTGGACTCCCCTGCATGGTCTGCTCGAGAGAAAGCATACTAAATCTGAATGGTACGAGTGGGTGCTTTCTTTGAATTTGTTGTATTGGATTGTCGCCATAATACATGCTATGGTGGGCAACACGATACAGCGATAGGAGCAAGCGGGCGGATATATGTTTGGCGCGGCAATTTAGTAAGGGAGGAAATCCTGGATTCCAAGCGATTTCTAGTGTCTCGCTAGTATGTTGTGAATGAAAAGCACCATCACCCATGTCAAACATCTACTTTCAGCTTGAGAGCACCTGGTCTTTAAGGGTGCGTCTTGAAATTCCACCTTTCCTTTTTTTCAGAGTGCCAAGCATTACGACTGCATCTAGTTACTCTCTTTACGGAATGAGCAGCATGCCTGGTCAGGCACGTCATCAAAAAGGATGGGAGGGCAGAGACCTCGGTCTCCTATTGAAGCGGTAAGAAACCTAGAGTTCACCGCCCTCGTAACAGCAGTTTCCCCAAAACAGGAAATTGACTTGCATGAACGGTGAAGTAATAGTTGTTCAGTATAGAAATGAGAAGTAAGGAAACAAAAACATATCCGCAGCTACTCAAAAACTATTTTACACTGATCGTTCTTTTCTCTGTCGTAATCTTCATAGATGCTGGTCCAAACCACACGGTCCGCACACTTTAGTTGTTTGCCCTTCTTTGTGGTATTAGGGCAATCTGGAAGGGAAGCTTCCCACTGCTGCTTGGTCCGGGCCACCCACGGCTTAGGGAGAGGCCAGTCGCTGAAGTGAACGAGGTATGACCTCGAAAGTTCAGCCACTGCATCCCATTCCTCATCTTCGTCTGGTGCGAGGTACTTCGAGTGGTCCTTCGCTCGAAACTCCCCAGTCAGTAGGGCAAGTCCCCGATGCGGTAAGACCATAGCGGAATTCTGAAATAGGTGGTTGATAATCTCCATATCAAAATTTCCAGATGCCTTTGCCTCTTTAATAATCTTTTGGTGGAATACTTCGTTTGGCTCGATGAGCATTACGTGGGATCCCAGAACTTGCTTAGGAGTATCGGTATTCTTCTCGGTAAGCCAATAGGCTCTCGAAACGGCAATGGGAGTAGCGGGACTGAGGAAATAATGGTCCATATTGTTGAGAACAAGCGAATCGGAATCGAAGGCAAAGACTCTTTTCCATTCGGTTAACGCAAAAGCTTGGAACTTCGTCGGGCTGTCGTGCCATGTTGCGTCTCCCTTGTTCGTAGAGAGTACGTCGAACGCGCGCATCTGTATTTCAGGGCGTTCAGACCTGATTCTAGCCAGGGCCTTCGACTCGGGAGAAATCTATCAAAGAAGAACCATCAGTCGCACAATAGGGATTCAAGCAAAATGCTTTCCACGCACCCCCTCAAGCCAGTTCTTTGGATGAATGAGAACAAGATCATGCTTAGCGCCAAAACGGCGTAAGAGGCCAAAATTAATCACCTTGAATTACCGCCGGTTAGCTGTTCGTTCCACGTATCCTTAACCATGACTAGCCACTTACGGCATTGCATAGATAGTGTATGTTGGTAACATACTGCGCATACGCGAATCTAGGCTCTGCCTGCTCCGCTGGCCATGTCGGCACCCATTTCGGCCTCTCGGTATTATCTTTGAACGAAGTAAGTTTGTAATCAGGCCGCCTCAGAAGGATGAAAGTGAGCAAGAACATGCAGACGACCAGGGAAAGGCCGGCAACAGTCTGAACTCGTCTTGGGAGGCTTTGGAGCTGCATCTTTTTGATTACCACTGGGTTTAAGTCGAGTGTCATCGATATTCCCCACCCAAGGATTCCAAAAGTTTGCGACAACTTCACGACGTAGAGGCGCCACCCATGGAGAGTTTCAGGCAACGGGGAGCGGATCGTATTTAAGGATGCCATCAGCAGACTCGAACGCAGGCTGACCTCTTCTTGTCGGCAGGGTGGTCTGGGCTCGTCAATGAGAACATCTTCTTCCCACCAATGTCTGGCAAAATGCAATCCACTAGTGTGGTACTTGTGGAGAGGCTGGAAACGTTTTTGACTTGTCTATTTTGGCATTCTAAATTCGCTAGCACTGTCTAGGAAACCAAGTCCAGGAGACTGCTTGCCACACAAATAAGCTGTACCAGAATACCACATATGTCTTCTGATGATGACTTGATCTCACCTTAGCTCCTTCGAGTCTGGACAGGGAAGACCACTACTCAAATAGATGATCCCAGTTTACATAGTTCAAGCACGGCACCCAGTGTCCCGGATGGTTTACGCATCACAAGGTGCCTACTCGGTCGGGATCCATGTCTTGCTTCGTAAGAAAAAAATGCAACAGATCCTTAATATCCCGATTAGGAGCATAATGACAGTATCGAGGTAAGGTACCAAGTAAGCACGACTTTGGAAACCTTCTGAATTCTTTGCGCTTGTATGGATCCAATCCTCCTAATCTTGTAAAAAAATAAAAGTCGAAATTTTTCCATGAAGGGTAAGCAAGTCGTAACAACGGCCCACGCCTCTGGGAACCGGATCTTGGTCCACTCTTGGCAGAAAGTAAGTGCATACTTTGCTCCACGCGGATCCCCTTTTACGAGTAGCGCCGCAGGTACCTCAAAGGGATCGGTGCTGTAAAGCCAAGCCCTTCTACACAGCAGTGTACGAAGAGGCGCATGGCGCAAGAGGTGCCGACTTGTGGCATAACGTCTTCAACACGTTTTAACGACCGGTTAATGGAAACTTTTCATTTGAGTAAATCGCCGCAGATGCGTCACACTCGTTCAATATGCTGGCATTTAACAGTTGTCCATAATGTCAGCGTCCTTCTGGTGGTAGAGGTGAAGGTCGGAAATCCGTCCAATGCCAACTTCGAATATTATTTTGCCCGAATATCGACATCAAAGATCTATGTCAAAGCTGTGAGGAGAATTCTCATGTATCTGACGCGACTGTGAGGTTTTATTGCCCGTTCTCCAAATGTTTTGGGCGATTAAGGCAGCTTAACTCTTTGTTTAGTCCACCATCAGGGCAACTTTTCTGGCTGCTCTTCTATACGCGATTTTCACAAAGGACTAATATGTTGTTACCACAGAGTTCTCGCAAACAATACAACAGCAGACCGATAACTACGACAATTCATACGAACCTCTATCAGCGGTAATAATCACAGGGGCTATACAGTCCCCGGTTTCTGTTGTTATTCACGGATTCGATTGTCGACCGACGTGTAATATACATAGCATCAAACGGCTGATATGTGGGAAGCTCCACGACGGGCATTCGAAATCCACCAGCATTTCCGGCTCTGCTTTAAACAATGGCTAAGGCTTACAATACCGTAGGGGGGCAAACCCTCGATACCTCCCTTTTCCTTCGTATTGTCCCAAGTTGATTGTCACGCGGATGTTATCCATGATTGGTATGAGGTCAATCTTGAGTCCGCAGTAGTGGCTATAACTTCTCACCATGAGCCTGTAGTCGCTCTGAGCATAAGGATTGGAAATAGACGCAGTGGAAATTCTTTCAATGGACTTCTTGCTTAGTTAAGATCTAGTTACGGGGGACAATTTTGTTACACCTGCTTAGATTCTTCTGGATATTATGCTGAAAACAGGTTTATTGCACACAACGATTAGATGGCATATTATGGCTGTTCACAAACTAACCTGAGTCTAATCACTTGCCTTTCTTCGACTCTGTTGGCGTATAGACCGATTCTTAGCTGTCTTTTACCTCGGATTTCACACTTCGAGCTAGGCTTGGAACACCTCTTTTTCTGCTTTTCATCATAGTTGATCTGCTTGCGTTACGAGGATGTTGGGGAAGGGTGTTGTCCACACTGTGGAGCTTTTGAGTGTTTCTGCGGGATACACAATGCTTTCCGTATTAGAAGGCGCCTATCGGGCACGTCGATAATATTGTCAGGGCCTCAGAAGACACTCGGCTACAGACATGCAGAGGTCTGTTGCTTTCTATCGTTGGCCTGTCCGGTCTCCTGAATATGCATAGGAGAGAAGAGCCGAGCGACAGGCATTGAACCCTGATTACGATCAACAAAGGACTGAGCAACGGTACGTAGGCGAAATAGAAGGTTTTTGACAGGCCTTACCATCACGACATCCGCCACCTTGAGTCTTCCAGTATGCCCCAAAGATCCCATAACCATTTTTTGATAACAAAACTAGCAATAACACCCTTTACTCATCGCAATTTGCCGTCTTTGGCAACGAAGTGTAAACCTTCTGACCTTTCTAGAAACGGAGCTTTAGTGCAGTCCCCAACGGGCGAAAGCTCCATTATCATCTTAGCTCGAATCCCAACAGTGGTACCTTACGATAACTAATCAAATCAGAGCGAGACAGAAAAGAGTGTGAAGAAAGCCGAGGGTATGATCAGTTCACATCGACTCGCATGTGATCGTATGATGCTACGACCACACCTCACCTGTTACCACTGCTTAGTTCCGCCTTCACATTCTGTGTCATAGTAACTAGACCACCTATAGGTGGACTTCGGCCCTCGCCTGCGACACAATACCCCAGTGATATTAGGCTACAGGTACATCGCAAGCCATACACTGGGCCAGATATCTTTAGCCTGTGTATGCCAAGGAGATGGCACTGGAAAAGAGCTAACACTGTCTGTTGTCGATCGGCTATATCCCCGCATTTTGTCGTCCTGTAGTCCATCAGTACCTGACGCGATACATACAGGCAAGGGGAGTTCAGCTGCAAAAGCACCCGTAGTCGAGCCTGGCTTATCCTCATCATCTGAGAATTCCACAAGTCAGTTACGGTTAGGCATCATGTTAGTCGCAAGAGCCAATTCAGATACCTATCCTTGCAAAAAAATCTGCTGTTCATCCGTTCATAGGCTTTTGAAGCTATACGAGACAAAAGATAAGTGGTAATCTAACAAATTTTGAGTATGACTTCATGCCATGCGGTTAATTCATTATCCTCGGCGGGTCCCACTTAGCAAGATTAACCCGAATATATCTCCCGCTGGCCGCCTCTATGGGGAACATTGAAGCAAACGATGCTTGCATCCTTACTGTAGTTCCGCACCAGTGAGAGAAGACATATGAGATCGGATCAAGGGGATCCAACCATTTTCGTTACAACAGAGTAAGAGCCTGCCTGGCGCTACTAGGTTGCCAGCTAGGCATAACCACAGCGCTTATTCCTTTTTACGCATACAAATTTAAGATGACCCACTAAGACACGCATCGCACGTGAAACTAAGGCATTTCTAAGTAAGGTACAATGTAGTATACGAGACAAGGTACTGTACCAACATTCCCCGTCGGACAAGGATGCCACGTCGTGATGGTGTCTGTGTAGAGTGCCCCACCATGTAAGAAGCACAGCAGCCCATAGCTTGGCACTCTGATCGCTCTCCATTGGCTCTAGCCATTGCCCATACGCGTATATCTAATCAGACACCTGATATATGATTAGTGAACAAACTCAAACAGTTTCGCCCTGGCAAGCTATTGTGAGGCCGACAATTGGATCGCATTGGAAGACTTTGGCCGGTAACCAATACCGAAAGATAACTTGAGTTGGGAAGCACCAGTTTCAATCCTTGAAAAACCACTGGGAAATTGTGGCAGGCGCCGAAAGTAAAGGTTGACTTTCGGATGAATAGAATTCCAATGAGAAGGGACTTGCTGTTGGTTGGCCTTCTCGCATGGCACACTCGTCTTCCCACCGACTAGTTCACAAGGAAAGGACATGGGAAAAAGAAAATTTGAATTTCCCATCTTGAAGCTACTATTGGTCTTGGAATTGTTGGACTGAGGTTCTTTGAGAAACTCAACCCAGTGCTGAACGATGTTGGAGCTTAGGCGATGGAACTTTGACGGCTTCAGCTGCCTTGTTAGTGCCAGGGAGCCAATACATAGCTTTCTTGCGAATATCTAGGGACAGTGGAAGTGACACGCGATTCTTGAAAGTCCGAAATGATATTAATGTTTGGCACACACTCGCGCGCGCGCTTGATTTTGCATAGATATTACTCGTGAAACACTAGATGGCTTATCGTTAGGTCACCAGGGAAACTTCTTTCAGGCTATTCTTCGCCGCCAGTCTTTTACCACAAACCATGAATGCATTGAGTTTGGTATTCTAAAAGAGAATGCTTTCGTGATCCCGCATGGAAAAAAAAGAGAGAATAACATACAACACCGGGTATTCGCTGGTCGTCACCGACCCAACTACTAATCCAGCCCTCAGTGGTTTATCGATGGGAGAGCGGACGGGATCCCGAGTTTTCCAATGGGTATGGTCGTATGTGATAATGCCAGAGGGTAACAAGCTTGATATTCTTGAGCTTCCACTGTCCCACCCACGTCCCGACTACCTCACAAATGGTGGATTTAATTGTACCAGCAACTCGGCAGCCGGTTGCCAGATATCCCTCAGCAGACCGTGGTTCATTCGTTGAGTTTGGCGTAAGTATGTACAACCCCACAAGGCGAAGAGGACAGGTAAGATCCGGTCCTGAGGTGATGGCACATGGTGTTGAAGTTTAAGACAAGGAATGTGTGTTCATACACGTGCTAATATCCTTCTCCGGCAGCGTTCCTTGAGCTTTGGGGCTGGCACTCGACGTCGCATTGAGTTTATAATATGCTTTTTCATAAGAAGTACACAGACTAACATAACACTCAAGGCTGAATGTCGCAAGCAGTTGCTGAAAGGAACTGGGTGCGGTAAGCTTCACATTAGTTGGAAGCATGCGTGTTGATTTAGCGGCTGTTAACCTGATGGCTTAATGTTATTGACTTTGGCCTACAGTCTCCGTACGCGTTGGAATGATCTCTTGCCTACTTGTGATGCTAGTTACTCATAGCGTCCAACTCTCGGTCTATTCAACGATAAAACGTTTGAGACGAGCTGGAAGATCGGCGTGTTTCTCCATAGACTGGGAATGAAAAGACTGGGAATGAGGTGCTTGTAATCAACACAATTGTATCTTTAACAACTTTAAGCCTTGCCATAGTTGGCTCTTGGATTTTCTTCAGGCACGTCTCAGTACAGATCGAACTAGAATGAAAATCATTTGCACTAAATGTTATGTAAAAATACTTACCCACTGAACTCATGTCTAATGAGCAGGGCCTGAACGATAAACAGATAACCCTATCGCGTATTGTATTGGCTTTATCAAGGCTAGAATCCGGGGATGTCATCGTTGAGCACACTTCAGAGCTGTTCGCAAACTGACTCTACATATTGTGGCCTTGACTGAAAGCCCCTTGCGCATGTACACCTCAGCAAAATGATCATTTGCGAGTGCTGCTTAGAGAGAAAGTAAGCTATACTGATTAAATTCAAGTGGTCATTCCCATTGTCTAATGCTACTCAATACCACGAAAGGCTCAAAAGCGAAATACGCCCAGTTTGGTTTCATCTCAAATTATCAAGCAGAGAATATTTTATTACCGATGGCCGGACCATATCATACAGACAGACAAACAGACACGGACGGCGTAAAATACAGAAGCTATCACATAGTTGAAAAGATAATTGCGCGTGAATGGACAGAAGATTCATGTAAGTCCCCTACATGGGTCTCTCTACTGCTGAGCAAAATAGAGGCATACCGAACCCAATTTGAGAACGTATGTGTGACGGTTTGCCCTCCGTAGGCGTCACCAGGCCTGCGGAAAGCCCCATGACTGTCTATCAAGGCGTTCAGAGGTTGACTATATAGGTAGCGGGGGTACCTTCACGGACCTGCGAGGAGAAGGGCACACGAAGACCAGCAGTTCCTGTGTGGTCTCTACATTTATCTTACGAACCACCCCCTAACGCAATCTACTAATAACACGACTTTATTCAAACACGTTCTTAACATCTCTAATCGCGTTATATGGTCGGACTTCTACGTTGAAAGAGATGAACTTGTTGGTATCACAGGACACCCGTCAAGTGGGATAAACTAAAGGGGAAAAACTGGTTCTAGTCTTGTTTCTCTCATTTCTATGGAACAAGTTCCAGCAGAAGTGCTGGAGGAATTGACTGTTGGTCTTATAGCCGTCAGTCGGTCTGCCCGTCACGTGGGCAGCCCGGCTGCCGGCAGGACTGCCGGCGACTGAGCCACTTCAACCCGGAGCTCCGGCTATTTTAACAGAAACAATGCTTTGTGGTCTAAATATCACTTTTATCACGAACAGGAGACTCTATAATCACAGGGGCCTCCTATCGAGAGGAAATTTTCGCTTCCAAGTGTTTCTATTAACTACTGATGCCCACTAATGGGCGTACAAATAACGTCTCGTCTTCAGATCATGCTATATAAATGACGTGACCTATAGAAACACTGCTCTAGATAGTCACTCTTCATGGCAACTTTAATCCCATCGAGGTCCGGTTGGCAGCAGTCATATAGTCCCGAGTTCGCAACCACTATTTACTCCTTAATATCAGGGATACACAATTATCTGGCGTTAACGCCTACGTTTTTCAAGCTGTGTTCTTGTAACTCTGATAATTGCCAGTACCTATAACATGGCTTTCAATAGGATTATCTGGTTCGTTGGAAGAAAGTCTTGGTAGGTCCTTGGGCGGCTAGTTCTCCTCATCAAGATTCACCTCTAGGCAACCGGGCCTCGATGGGATATAAAGCTTGACCCTTGGTAAACCGGAAGCCGAAAATCAGGGTTAGGGTTGGATTCCGACATCCGATCCTTTGACCGAGACCGGCCGAACATCAACGTTACCGAGCCAATGCATGGCATAGATCCGAACCCCCACTCCGCCCCTAGCATGCGGTTGCAGCGCAGCGCCTTGCATCGGGAATAGAGCCCGGGGTAAAGAATAGGGAGAAAAAAAAAAAAAAAGAAAAAAAAAAAAGCGGTCTCTTGCCTGCGTTAGTGAGATTCTCCTCGCGTGAACTGCTGGGGCATGAGTCTGCCGTCTTCGCATATCCGCTATTGCGTGATCGGACAGGACTAAGATTTTTGGCGAAAGAGATACGAGCAAAGCGGAGGCAAGGAATCCAACGATGATGAGCGGTACTGGATGAAACTACATTTTGCCAGCCAGACGGGACGAAGCCGTATCCTGCAGCGGCGGTGTGTGACGCCGGGCTTCGAGCTTTTGGGGAAGGTCACAAGACGGCACAGGCTGACTAGAGTAAGCCGGGGCCGCGACCGGTGGTGGGAGCGGCGGTAGTGCTTTTGATAGCGGTGGTGGTGGTGGTGGTGGTGGTGGCTGGGAATCCCCCCATGGATTATTAAAGCAAATCCTTGAACAAGGAACCGGCCTGGGGCCGCTACAGTCGACCGAGCGACTGGGGAAGAGGCGGGGGACAGCCAGGCGCAAAAAAAGACGCGTAGTGCTATCATCTCTGTCGGGGGCTGAATGCGGAAGCTCACAATCTCTCTTTTTCTTTTTCTTCTCTCTCTCTCTCTTTCATCATCTTGACTCATGACGTTTGGGTTTGATGTATGTCATAGATTCTTTGGACCCTGGAAAAAAAACAACATCCCCGACAAAGCTTTGAGGGGTAAAGTCGAAAGTCATAGTGTGGACCGTAAAGAAAAAAAAAAAAAATCAAAAGAAATCAAAGGTTGTTGCGGACAAAGTACAACCAAGTCGAGACTTTCAATCCATTACAATCTATTTCAAGTTGAACGTCTCGCTGTCTCTCTATTCTCCCAAGGTTCGTCAACCCCAACAACCATGACTCATTATTTTCTAAGCGTTTGGAAAACTGATTCATGAGCAGAGAGAGCACAACCGGGGCACCTGTCACCCTCGTGAAGACAACATCAATTAAAAGATGGCGCCAGGAAAAGGCAACCCGGCGTCCTCAGATGAGCGCACTCCGCTCATCCCCTCCATAGAACAACAGCCGGCGACCCCTCTTCCCATCACATCCCCGCAGGGTGATGACAACGCCATCCCGCCGAATGAGTTCGACCTTCTGCTCTCCAGGTCTCTCCCCACCTCGGGGCCCTTCCTCGAGCCAGAGTCAACGGTCAACCCACTTCTCCAGGGCCCCCGGCGGTATAGCACGGCCTCGAAGCGCCGGCCGTCGTTGGCCAGCAGGTCCGACCGGGCCTCGGAGGCGGGGATCGAAGGTGCCATTGCCGCCGACGACGACGATGCAGCCTCAGTCAGCTCAACGGCGTCGACGCCGTTTCTCAACGGCATCTCTCGGTCCCGGTTCTGGTTCATCTTTGCGGAGATCCTCTTGACGTATTTCATTGCTTGCTTCGACGGCACCATCATGGCGTCCTCGCACCCGGTTATCACGTCTTATTTCCACGCGTCCAACAGCGCGAGTTGGCTCTCGACCGCCTTTTTGTTGACGAGCTCGGCCTTTCAGCCGTTGCTGGGAAGGTTGTCGGACAGTATTGGACGGAAACCGCCGTATGTTGCTACCATGGTCATCTTTGCCATTGCGACGCTGTGGTGTGCCCTGGCGCAGAGCATGACGAGCTTCATTCTCGCAAGAGCTGCTTGTGGACTGGGTGCTGGTGGAATGATGACGTTGGGTAGTATCATCGTCAGTGATTTAGTCCCTATTGAGTGAGTTTCCCCCCCCCCCCCCCCCCCCCCCCAAGAGAGGCTGTCGACAGAAAAAGTGGTGAGAAAACAAACGGAATAACTAACCATGGCTACAGAAACCGCGGCGCGTACCAGAGTTACATCAACATGATTTACGGCGTCGGCTCCGCCCTCGGCGCGGCCCTGGGCGGCGCAATGGCGGACCACCTCGGCTGGCGCTGGGAGTTTGGTATCCAGGTGCCGCCTCTCATCCTCTGCTGCATCATCGCCGTCATCGCCGTCCCCAGCGACCTGGGCCTGCAGGGCAAGCGCGAGAGCTTCATCGAGGCCCTCAAGGCCTTCGACTTCAAGGGGTCCATCCTCCTGACGACCTCCATCACCTTCTTCGTCCTCGGCCTGAACCTGGGAGGCAACGTGCTGCCGTGGTCTCACCCCGTGGTCATCGCGTCCCTCGTCATCTTCGGCGTCTGCTTCCCCGTGTTCCTGTACGTGCAGTCGTACGTCGGCCGGCCCATCATGCCGCTACACCTCGTCCGTCACGCTCCTCGCGCGAACCTCATCTTTTCAAACTTCTTCGCCGCGCTCCTTAGCAATGCCATCCTGTTCAACATGTAAGTGACTCCCTTCCCCAACTACCTCTTTTACCAGAAACACCGGACCCCTCCCCGGGGCGGCCTCCTAACCTTCTCCAAAACCAGCCCCCTATTCTTCCAAGCCGTGCTCCTCACGACGGCAACCTCCTCGGGCCTCCGCCTCGTCCTCCCCTCCATCGTATCCTCCGTCTTCGGCACCGCAACGGGGTTCCTCATAACCTACACGCGCCGCCTCAAATGGCCCCCGCTGTCCGGCGCGATCTGCCTCTTCGTGGGCTGCCTCTCCCTCTCGCTGATGCGCCGCGGCTGGCCCTCGTGGCTGTACCTCCTGTGCCTCGTGCCCTCGGCGGTCGGCCAGGGCTTCCAGTTCCCGGGCACCTTCATGGCGATCCTCGCGGCGAGCGACCAGCGCGAGCAGGCCGTCGTGACCAGCACGCTCATCCTCTGGCGGTCGCTGGGCATGGTCCTCGGCGTCGCCAGCAGCTCGCTCGTCGTGCAGAACGCGCTGGTGGGGTACCTGGACGAGTACGTCCGCGGGCCCGACAAGGACGAGGTCATCCGGAAGGTCAGGGAGAGCGTCGAGGAGGTCGTGAAGCTGCCGGCCGTCTACCGCGAGCAGGTCGTCATGAGCTATGAGTCGGCGCTGAGGTTGACCTTTATTTGCTGCACTGCCATCGCCTTCGTGTCCATGTGTATACTCATACCCATCAAGCTTCCGAGATTGGGTTCGCGTAAATAGGGGGGAGATGGAGTTGAAGCATTTACAAACATACACACACATATATACATATATGCACATGCATGCATACGTCGACATTGGGAGATGGAAAAAAAAAAAAAAAATTGTCAACACAGTCAGGTTAGTACATGGCATACATAGCATTAACCGGAGTTTATGAAATTCACATAAAAAAAAGCTCAATTTTTGCCATGCCCAGACAGTGTAGCAGTGTACAGCCTCCCCGTTGCTCCGAAACCCATCATATGATACATTCTCTAATAGTGGCCATTCACCCCGTTCGTCCGCAGCGCGTCGAGCTCTTCCTTCGTCTGGCGGTACAGCTCCTGCGCCTCGCGCTCTCTCCTGCTCACAAAGTTGACTTCGTCCCTCAGGGCGCCCAACCGTCTCTGGATGGCAACCTCTTCCGAGATGGCGAGCGTCTTGAAGCCGCTGAGGGCGTGGTTCGCCTTCTCCAGCGCTTCGGCGGCCGCGACAATCTTGTCTTTCAGCATTTTCTGTCTCTTTTGGTATCCGCCCAAGTGCAGGTTCAGCTTCTTCTCGAGCTTGATGCCCTTCTCGGCGGTGTCTACGATGGAATCTTGAATGGACTATTCTTTGTGTTAGTCACCTTGTTCATGGATCAGATCAACATCCTCGGACTTACATCAAAGGCATCTTTCATAGCTGCCTCCTCTTCCTCTTCGTCGTCTCCGTAGCATCCCAAACCAAGCAGAAGAGAGTTCTTGCCCCGCGACTCAAAGGCGCGGTCGATTTCAGGGCGAGGGGGCCTAGGCTTCGTCTCGCTGAGGATTTGCAGGCGCGCCTCGGCGAGTGCGTCGTCGCTGATCGTATCCAATCGGGGAGGGACGCCGCTGAGGGTGACGTTGGGCAGCGGGTATTTGACCGCGTCGTTGGCAATCAGAGCAGCGGCCTCCTTAGCAATAAGCGCTTCGGCTTCGTTCTTAACCTTGCTGGCTACAGACAGTAGGGCAGATACGTCCACCTTGGTTGGCCGAGGAAGCTGTTTCTGCATAACTTGTGTCCGCCTTTGCATCTCCAAAGCCTGCTGTGCTGCCTCATACTCCCGTTGTCTGCGGTCCCGCTCTGCCGCATCCTCCGCCAACATCTCATCGGTTGCTTCAAGCTCCTTTTGCTCATCAGGAAGCTCGAGTTCCCAGTCAGTGTCCTTGGGCTTGGGCAGAGACGCCAAGCCTTGACGCAGTTGACTACGTAGAGCCATGTCTCTCATCTTGACGTCTCGAGGTGTAGCAGCCACCATTGTACCGTCGTTAGCATTGAGGGCGAAACTGTCCCGAGGTGTCCTCATGGGGGTCTGACCAACGCGGCCAGGAGTTTGAGCCACACCATTGGCGTGCATCGGCGTCGCCATAGGGTTAGGAGTCGCAACAGTCTGTTTGCGAGGTGCAATACCATCGAAGCCTGTTGATTCAGCACCCTCATGCAAAGGAGTATTCTCGCCGCCAAGCAACGAGGACTGTGTGTTTGTCAGGGCCCTGATATTCCTGATCTCGTTGGCAATGTGGTCTTCCTGTGCCGGAGCTCGAGGGGTTCGGATCGGGGCATTGCTCTGCAGAGTCGAATACTCGCTGACAAGACCTCGGGTCGCATCGTTGTCGCTCTCGCGTGCCATGAGGTTGGCCCTCTCACCCACCATTCCCATTTTGACAATCTCCTCTAGCTCGCCTTCGCTCACTTGAGGAGCCGGCAGGTTCAACGCCCTCCTCTTGCTGCTCTGCTCCGCTTCACGGATCTTTTGCATCTGGCCAGCCTTCATAGCAGCCTGGAACGAAGCTGATGGTGCGTCCTTCTCCTTCTTCCTCCTTTTGCTGTCACCGTCGTCGTCGCCGTCGCCCTTGCGCTTGCTTGCAAGTTGTTGTTTTCTTGGGTCAAACGCCTCCCGCTGATGTTCGTTGCGGACTTGTTCTTCGGCTGTGTCGTAGAAACCGGGCGCGGCCTTCTTCTCGAAAGGAATGTCGGCGTTGTAATCCATCTGACCCTTCTTGCGAGTGACAACCTTGATATTGATGCCGGCCGTCTTGAGCTCACGCCGCTTCTGCAGCGCAGCAAGACGGCGCGACTCCTCCTGCTGGCGCTCTCTGGCTTTGCGCTTCGCCTTCTTTCCCTGTGTGTTTGCCAGACGTGCTCGAGCTTCGCTCAGCATCTCCTTTTCGTCTTCGTCAAGGTCGATCGTGTCGGGTCGTGCAGGCTTGCTCTCGGGATCGGGGTCGACCTCGCCGGGGCGTAATCTTCTGACATCGTCGGCGCTAGGAGCTTGTGTTTCGCCGCCTTCGGGACCTGTCAGTCCGAACTGACTGGCCTCGCGGGCTTCGGCTTCGTCAAGGAGCTTCTGGTATCGTTCGAGGCACTGGTTCGCAGTTCGACCGACGATGGGGGCAATGGTGCGCCATTGTGTGGGCATCAACTTGGCCAGATGCAGCAGCTTCTCATCCTCCTCCTTGCTCCATTCAATCTTTTTGATGCTCGGGTCCAGCCACTCGTTCCATCTTGCCTTGCACTGCTTGGGAGTCTTGCGCGCCAGCAGTGACGACACACGCGCCCACTGGTTCAGACCATATTTGGAGACCGAGGCCTTGAGGATTTCATCCTCGATGTTGGTCCAGACACCTCCCTTTACGACACCCATCTTGGCAGGTTCAGCGATGAATCGAGTGGGTGTTGGTAATGAATGTCGATAGTCCCCGTCGCGGAGGGCGTTGCGCGATGGAAACAAGTGATCTGAAGCGATCGTAAAGTTTTGGATGCAAGGCTGGAAGCGGCGTGTCTTAGTCAGCCAAATGTCGATTTTGATTGGGCCTACGATCGCGTCCCTGCTGCACTTGACCGAGACACACCGAGACCACTTTTCTCGGTGTCTCGGTGAGAAACCCCAACTTTCAATTACGACGACTAAGTACTGAGGGTGTATGGGAATCATCCACAATTGGACAAGAAACTCTAGCATTCCGATAAGAGCTGTCGCGTTCAAGCAATCAAGCTTATGACCCCTCTCTTTCTATCGGTGGTGTTGCCGATGTATAGTAGCACGGTAGCTAGCACCGGCACACCTTTTGGGGCTATCTATACGACCATGTACCCCGAGTTTTCGTTCTCTTGGCTGACCCTACTTGACTTGACAGTGACGAGCTCTGAGCATTTGCTTTGCAATATGGCGTGGTCTCGGATAGCTGCACTCAGGTGGAGTTTACGTAACGGCCTGACTCAGGCGCCTAAGCGACCGACAATAGGATCAAAAATGATGAGAAGGGTACGGAGTGCATATTAGGTGATGAATATGGCAGATACGGGCGAACAACACGGTGCAGCGACAACGCACAGGAAAGATGAACAGCGAGAACACTCGGTAAACGCACCACATGGCGGACAGCACACCACACTGGGGACAAGGTGATGTGCTGTTGGATGATGGCGAATAGATTGCAAAGTTACCGATGGGACAATCAATGTCGAACAAAGTCGCTTTCGGGCAGCAGCTTATTTGGGCGCAGTCTAGCAAGTCGGAAGCCGGAATAAGCAGAGCAGAATCCCCAGATGAAACTTGGACCAAGGTTGGGCCAGCAGAAAAGATAGTTCACCCAACAGGGCAAACTTTCAACTCACAGACGGCTTCCAGGAGACTGGCACCGCGGGACCGGTCCGCCGTCGGTGCTGAAACAGGCCGACCACCGAACCTTGCCGACGGGTAAGACTGGACAATGCCGTCGGTGTTGGGATGTTGCTGGGTGAAAACCGCTTTTGGACCGAAAGATTGTGTGTGTCACCACAAGAAAGAGTGTACGAGTTTGTTAGTGGATAAGTGCCCTGACCTTTGCGGACGTGTTACGTATGTTGGATCAAACTGATACGTATTTTTGCGCCGGATTCTGATCACAATTACTTGAGAAGAAAGGCCCAGCTAGGGGGGGGGGGGGAGGGAGCAAAGTTCCCGCGCGGGAGTGGCTCCTTGGTTACAAGCTTAGAAATCAACCCAGACCAACGGATTGAACCCCAGTCCAAGGTCACTGCTGGTTGGCTAGCTACAATTAGGCTTGTCACCCTCACTAACGGTGGCCCTGACAGATCTGGATGGTGGCTGCAGTCACTGGACGATATGAGCAGTAATGGTGGTGTGCCCCCCCCCCTTATCGCAACCATGTCTACGAAAAACTGCGTCATGGATATGCCTGGCACACGCCAACTCATGCGCCATCCGTCCCACGAGATTGGTTCGCACCTTTCGACAATTCCAGGTCCGGCAGGCACGCGGGCCACTGCCTCTTTGTTTTTTTTTTTGTTTTTTGATTTACTGGAAGTAACGACGTACACAGCAACGAAAAGGTACACTGGAGTATGAGGGCGGACTTTCTATACGGAGTAAAAGTTAATTTACGTACCGCTATAATAGGCGTCGGAGTTTATGGGGTAGGCTATACGGAGTAGCATTACAGTGGAATAAAATAAAATAAAATCCAAGTACAGGTACGCAAGGGAAGGACTTACAAGGAGTTGGGGGCGCACATCACTGCCTATCCTTTGGGAGCCCTGCAACGCTCCAAAACACACCAACAAAGATGATGACCGCAAGATGATGGCAGCGATAATTATCTTGATTTATTTCCAGACCAACCACACGCACACAGCACACCAACTCAGCAGGGCAGCAGGGCCATTCCATCCATGCCGTATCTATCATCCGCTACGCCCAACGAAACATACGTGGTTAGGCCCGTTGCCCGTTGCGGTGCCCCGCGCCAATGGGAAACGTTGGCGCGAGCAGCTCTGACCTTCCTCTTTTTGTTTTTCTAAGTACCTACCTTGGTAGTAGTAGTAGTAGTAGTAGCAGTAGTAGTAGTAGTAGTAGAATGCGTAACAGGGAGACAGAACAGACAGGACATTCCAGCACTATCGTCACCTCGTCCGGGGTGCTGGCTTCTTCCCCGTCTGATCCTAATCCCTACCTGCCCGTCCCAGAAGTTCCAGCAAACCCCATGGCCCCCTCATCCCACCCTTACCACTCAGTAAACGTCTTTCCTTCCTCCCTGCGTCTTCTGGCCATTCGCCGCCCGGACCCTTGGCTCGATTTCATCAGCGTCCATCGCTGTCCCACACCCGCCTTATCTGCTACTATGGACAACGCCCCCCCCCGGTCCTCCCACGACGTACCGAGCTAGCAAGCATTTACTATTTCTTTTCTCGTTCCCATTCCCACCCACGTTGTCTGCGCGAGCGTAGTCCGCCTCTTGCTTGTTGTGTGTTTCCCCCTCCAGCCCCCCTCAGCTCAGCTTATCCTTGATCTTCTTCTTTTTCGTCTATAATTATTCCCTCCCGGTTCCTACGAGTGTCCCTGGCTGAGGGCTGTGTACCGCGGACCTCGATCCAACAGGAATGGCATCGTGGCAGTGTCGCCTTAAAAACAGATCCGTCCTCGCCCCCAACGTTCCGATCCGAGAGACAATATAGCTCCTATCCTCGACGATCCAGCTCCAAAAAAGGTCAACAAAGTATTTTTAGGAACGGCCAAACCATTTCCTCGACGATCAAGAGCTTTCAAAGAGCTCCGAAAAGCCGTTTCCGTTTGCGACAACAACAACAACAACAACGTCTTTCGCATACCCAAGGAATCCGATTCCCGATAACCTGGACTCGGCGCAAACATGTCGGCCCCAAAAGACGACATTGTCGTCACCCGCGTAGATCGGGATTCCCGCGGCAAACCGACAAACGAGGCAACCGAGACGACTTCGCTCCTGAGCGCAGGCGCCCAAGAGAGCGAAACCTCTTGCGAAGACACATGGCCTGGCTATGCCGATTTTGAGGGTTTGCCATGGTGGAAGACACCATCTGTATGAAATATCAGCCGGCTCGGGCCGCCCGCCTGCTGATCACACCTTGCTGACTGGGTATGCTAGGTCTACTGGCTACTCGTCCCTTATGCCCTCTTTACCCTAGCTTTTGGAGGTTCCCTTGTGCCCAAGCTGAACCTGTATGTTGTGATGCTTTTGTGGTGTTCTTGGTCGCAATCACTAATACAGTGCGACGCAGAATCGTGGATTTGGTCTGCCAACGGCACTTTGCCGACCAGACCATCCTCGACCCGGCATTCGCCTTCACGCCGGTGGTGCTTGGTGCCGACAACCCCCAGTGCTTCATTCCTGAAGTGAAGAAGCGCGTGTCCATGTTTACCCTAGCTATCAACTTGACCACTGGTATTCTATCTGCGATTACGGCCCCTAAGTTGGGTCATCTTTCAGACCGGTATGGCCGCAAGAAGCTTCTGGCCTTGGCATCTTGTGGAGGTGTTGTTGCGGAATTAGTCGTCATTGCCTGCGCCAACTTCCCATGGACTTTTCACTACAATTGGCTGCTCCTTGGTGCTGTTGCCGACGGACTTACCGGGTCCTTCACCGCTGGTAGCGTCCTCATCAACTCGTATACCAGCGACTGCACTCCGCCATCCAAGCGTGGCGTACGCATCGGCTATCTCCATGCCTGCCTCTTTAGCGGTTTAGCCTTTGGACCCCTGATTGCAGGTTATTTTGTCACCTGGACTGGCAACCTGCTCTCGGTCTTTTACGTCACCTTGGGATGCCATATTGTCTTCATACTCTTCATTGGTATCGTTGTGCCCGAATCCCTCAGTGTCAAACGTCAGATCCGGGCTCGAGAAAAGTACGACCGAGAGCAAGATGCCCTGGCCGACGATGGCTCTAAATGGGCCTCTATCAAGGCAGCCAATCCCTTGGCTCCTTTGAAGACTCTTTATCCTACGGGTCCGGGCACTTCGTCGCGACTCCGTATGAACCTGCTCGCTCTTGCGTTTACCGATATGATCCTCATGGGCGCGGCCATGAGCGCGGGCACTGTTATTCTCCTGTACTCCGAATCTCCCGACACCTGGGGCTGGGGCACACTGGAGAGCTCGCGATACATCTCGGCCGTCTCCATGACCCGCGTTATGGCACTGATTGTCGTGTTGCCTATCATCAACTATGTCTTCCGCGTTAGACCCGCTGCGTACCGTCGAAGAGTCTCCGGGGTTTCCATTGTCGAGTCCAACAACGGCGCAGACACTGCCGACACCTGGATCCTTCGTTTTGCACTCTCGTCCGACGTTACGGGTGCACTCGGCTACCTCTTTGCGAGAACTGAGACGGTTTTCATCCTTTCTGGTATGGTTACTGCTTTTGGCGGGCTTGGTAGCGCGACGATTCAGGCTGCCATTACGAAGCACGTTCCTGCGGACCAGGTCGGTCAGCTGCTGGGCGCCATTGGTGTCCTGCACTCACTCTCAAGGGTTTTGGGACCAATTGCGTTTAACACCCTTTACTACTCGACGGTCGGTGTATTCGACCAAGCCATTTTTGTTCTTCTCTCGTCCCTGTTCGGGTTGGCATTGGTGGCCAGTTTCATGGTGAAGCCGCATGGTGAGTCCTACTTAACATACAGCATTTCAGATCGTTCGCTGACTTTGGCAGTCTACCTTGAGGACGCATATGAACCAGTTAGCACATCGCCGCGAGCAGACGCGAGCACTGAGACTTTGGCGGAAGTAGTCGCGGAAGAAGAATTAATACCCAACAACTAAATTTCGGATAGTGAGACGTTGTACGTTGAGCTGTGATTATTTAAAGCAGATAAGATAAGAGAAGATGATACCTAGAACATAGATGTAGGCGCCGGTTAGCGCCGAAGGTTTGGAGAGGTTCTTTTGTTTAGAGCGGTTGTTGCCTACCTTGGATACGAGATAGTATCGTTGATACCACAAATACACATTTCCTTGACTATTATGTTGGTGAATAGCTGAGTTCTGGCCAAAATTATAAGCAAAACCGTGGTGGATTTGACATTTGGATTGCTAAAACTTGTGACACGACAGCACAATCACTATTGTACTGTAGGTCATTAGAGTAAACCACCAATTCAATGCCCGCAAAAGAGCTGCAAGAACGTAATGTGTGGACAATTACAAACTGGGCCTCTATTGTCGTGTTTGCCCGCTAGCAAGCAGTCGTTGGCGAGAAGAGTCGAGACCGCTATGAGGACCACACAATGGCCACATGCACGACCTGACGCAGTGATCTAGCGTTCGCTCACTCGTCACAAAGAAACACGCCCCGATTCGGAAATCCTACTGGCCAACTGCATCGCAAGCTGTATAACCTCAGTCCATCCCCGGGAAAGCCAGCTTGACAGATAAAAAACACGAATCACCTCTCTTGGCCTATTCTATTCCCTTTCCCCCCATCGCAGGCCAAAGCAAAGGTATAAGCGTCAACTCTATTCATCAGCGGCATAGCATACGCAGCTATCAGAAGCAATGGCAAGTCAACTCTCATTCACAAATCGCAAGAAGAAACACCGTACTAACAACACACCGCAGAAGTTCCAACAACCCCTCCTCCTGCTGCTGCAAGCAGCAACGGCCCTCGGAGCCGCCACGCCTGCTCACTTCTCAAGCACGCCCGGAGCAGACTACGCAGCCGCCAAAGCCGACCACGAAATCGAAGCCGAAACCACCACCACCGCCGCCAACGCGAAAACGAAAGCGAACCGCGGCATGATCGTCCCGAACCCGAACCCGAACCCCCCCGGCGGCGGCGGCGGCGGCGGCGGCGGTGGTCCCTCCGTCCTCTGGACCTGCGGCCGCTTCGGCGACTCGTCGCACCAGAGACTGCGCGAGATGCACGCCGTCTTCAACAGGCTCTTCGGCGACGCCCGCCTCACGGGCACGCCGAACCAGTGCTACGTCGCCCGGTGCGCCGGGTACCACTTCTCGTGGTGCAACATGACGGTCCGGACGGCGACCGAGGACGCCAACGCGAGGAACCTCGTCGTCGGCAAGGACCCCGGCGTCGGCACCTCGTGCATGGCCGCCGCCAAGGGGGACGGGTTCGACGAGTACAAGATGTACTTCTGGGGAAAGGACGGGAGCGTTGCGCCGCCTGATTATCGTGGTGGGCAGGTGATTAGGTCTTGTTAGTGGGAGGGGGGTGAAGTTTGATGAAGGTTACGGGTTTTTTTTTTTTTTTTTTTTTTTTTTTTTTTTTTTTTTTTTGGGGTTTATTATGGCATCTTTCTGTAAGGTGTTTTTAATTCTGATTAATGGTGAACTGGGCGAGTCCTGATGGGAACGCTTAGTGGTGGATAGTTTCAATTCTATATGCATGATTTTGGAGATGTAAATGGTTACCGTCTTGGTGACTGACTACCTACTTATATTCAAACGTATGACTGGGCATGTGTGCAAGTGGGAGGAACTGGATTGCCATATCGACCCAACGAGAAATCCACAATCACCATGGAAGGAGAATAAACGTCGTAAGTTGTTAGAACGAAGAAAAAAGAAAAAGAATGTTCCGATACCGGGAATCGAACCCGGAGCTCTCCGGAATCGATCAGTTGTTCAGTGAAGAACCGCTGGCGATGAAAGCGGAGTATGTTAACCGTTACACTATATCGGATGTGCTACTTGTTGGGTTGCTGGAGCCATAGGCACACCCATGTACCCAAGCTCTCCGCAGCTTAGCTCAGGTGTGGGGTTATGTGGGCCACCAACTGCCTGAAATCACTGGACGATGGTCACTAATTTCACCCTTGCTGTCCATTCTCATGGGATCAAGGAAGAAAAGACAAATCGTCTTCAGCGCTTTGCCTAGAAAGAGCCTGGGGGAACGAAGCAAGGCGGGCCGATCATCACCGCTTTACTTCAAGTAGCTGAGGAATAAACATGTAGTAGCCACCGCCGGGACCCCTGCCCCTGGCGGCGGCTGTGATTATATACTAGCTTAAAAGTACTAGTAGGAGTAGGAATCGAACCCGCGAAGGCTGCGAATGCTAACTTCCTAATTCTATAAAGTTTGCATTTTCCATCTTAAAGCTTTTTTCCGGTCGCATAACGGCCCAACAACCATGACCAACAAGACCACCACGGACAATTTTTTGAAGGGGTAGCAGAGCCTTTTCTGCCCCTCGGGGTCCATGAACTCCTTCCGGGACTTCGTTCCTCCAGGCATAAGCTATTATCTCTCTTGAAATGTACTAGTTCACAATGTCCTCCGGTCCAAGAGAGTAAATCTCGGTCTGCGCAATCTTGGTTCGTGCAGGAATGGTGACTGGAATATAGCCCTCGCCGTAATCAGGCTTCTCGTTGGGCATATTGATCCATGCTCCGCTCCTCGTCTCGTCGCCGTTCAGGGTTCTTTCTTTGCGGAACACACCATCCTTCGGGTCTGGAACGCTCAGTTCGTGCGTCTTGGCCATGCCTGTGAAAACGGACGTGGGCGAGGTCGACTTGAATTCGACCTTGTAACCCTCGCCGATGAGTAAGTAGCGGCCGACGTCCAGCTCGATGATCATGCCATAACCGGATTGATATTTCCCAAGAACAAATGCTGGACTAATATGCAGCTCAAATTCTCGGAAACGTTTTATAATAGACACGCCGGCGGCGTCAAGGACGCTCGAGTCGGGTTCATCAATGTAAAATCCGAATATAGTATCCGGTTGTACTCGTGCCTTTTGGATATGAGTTGAGACTCTTTGTAAAAGTCGGAAATGCTTCGTATAATCGAAATCCTCAGCAGCCAACGTATCAATGCCGAATGGACACGCACCGAGCGCCTGGAAGCTACCGAGGGCCTCCCAGACCCTCCGCGCACCGTGGGCGTCTCGGCGCTGCTCAGGAATGAAGAGCGGCCGCCCATGATAGGTGTAGTCGCGGCAAGTCTTTTCATAGTCGGACGAGTAAATGTCGGGGGAGATGAAGTCGAGCGTAGGCGTGAACCTGTACCAGACGTCCAAGACCGTATTAACGGGCCCGCCGGACGGATACTGGCCCGGGTGGTTGCCGCCGGAGGCAAAGTTCCCGAGGCCTGCTCCCGTGCCAGGCTTGGGCAGCCAGGCGTTGGTGAAGAGGGGAATGGTTTCGTAGACTTCCCGGCCCGCCGCCGCCACCTTTTCAACGTAGTGCGCGTAGTGGTATGCTTGGAACAGCTCGTCGGTGTGGTAACTACGACCAAATAGTTCCTCCCAATGGCCAGATGGGGGTCCCTCGGACTTTTGGCACATCTCGTAGAAGTGTGGGATATTTTTCTTCAGCTCCGGTAGCAGGGTATCCCAGGCAGTAGCCAGGAACTCGACAAGCTCCTGGGGCACACTGGAATTGAAAAGCTTGTCGGCTGTCCTGCTGCCATCACGCGAGTCTCCGAGCAGGCCAACCTCATTTTCGACCTGAACCATGATAACTGTCTTGTGCTCATCCATCTCCTTTAGGTGTTGCATGAGCGCCCTAAACGCTTTGCAGTCGGCCCTGACATTTTCTTCGTGCAGTAGCGATAGAACGTTCTGCGGCCGGCGGAGACCGTCTTGGGTACGGCATTGCTGTCTGGGGAACCGCTTTGCGTTTCTCTTAACCCATGATGGAACATAGCAAGACATACCTAAAGAAATGGAAAAAGAAGTAAGGACACCATTATATTGTCTCCTTGAGTCAGAAGCCACTGAGATGAAAACACTTACCATTTTTGAATGACCCAAACCAGAGAATGATCATGCGAAGGCCGTAGGATTCTGCACTGGCAATCATTTTGTCCATCTCGTTGAAATCGAACCGGTCTTCTTCGGGTTCAATGTCCTCCCAACAAATATTGCCCAAAACGGTATTAATACCCATGTTTTTAACATTCTGCCAGACTTCATCCATGTAGTAGGCGGAGCTCATAGATGAGTTTTGCAACTCGGCGCCGAGTACCGTAAACGGCTTGCCGTCAACAACCAGCTCCCAGACATTATTAGTCTTTCTCAAGTGTGCAGTCTGTGGCTTAGTGCCTGACATTTTCCCCCAGGCCTCTGTATTACCTTTTCCTTGTATTACTTGATCGGACAGTGAGGGACAGAACGTCTATCGAAAAGAGGCGAAAGCGGGAAAATATGTTTTGGGGGAAAGTAAAAGACAGCAGAGATGATGGATCGTTGAGACGGTGGCTGAAGACAAACAAGTCCTTTGAATGCAGCTCTTTTCCACTCATCTCTGATTTTATAATACAAACCTAAAGTACTAATACGGATGTTGATAGAATATGGGGGCAGGCTTTGCCATAACAAGGAACCCGGCTGAACTTGTCGAAGCTGGGGGGGCCTGTCTGAGGGAGTAAGGTGAGTAGAATGAACCAGTTATGCAGACCCTTGCTTGCAGAATTGCGGGATTGCGGGATTCGATTTCTCATTCTGCAGATAGAGGCTTGGCACAACCAACACCACCCCTCCAGCAATTTTTAGCCCCAGATCCTGCTCCAGGTTATCACGGCCCACCGACCCCGCGTAAAGGGATCCCATCTATCCATGGAGAAGCACTTCTAGGTTCCATCGGCCAATGAGCTTTTTTTTAGTCCGCATACTTGCACGCGGGCATTGCGGCTTTTCAAGCACAGGTATTTATATCCCCACCGCCAAAGGGGCTGACTGGCTTAACCCTGGCCAGAGGTGGTGCTTTGATTTTCTCACATCTGCCCTTGAAAAAGACGACGCGATTTGCCATACGGAGGCGTTGGCTGTAGCTGACTGCTGAGTATTTGGGAAAAGTTGGCTTGAACAGAATCCGATCTCGGCCGGGCTGCCCCGGTAGGGTGCGCTGATCGGCTTTCTCAGCTTCGGTTTTCCGACGTCTGGTCAATTGTACCTAGGTCGTGCTGGCTTGCGCCTACCAGTGGGGTACACCCTTTCGCTTTTACTTTTGCCCTTGTTGTTCCATCTACTTCGGTTCTCCAAATGAAGACAGCAACGGCATGTACGAGCTGTAGGATCAGCAAACGCAAGTGCTGGCAGCCACGGCGTGGAAAGTCGTGCTCACAATGCCAACGCAACGAGCTTGACTGTTCACTAGGACCGTCCCCGACCCCCCCTCCTCCCCCTCCTAGTCATGCCACCGGTGAAAGAATACCGGCGGATCCGACCCAGGCGGAGTTTGTCTCCGGTGAAGTGGCCGAGGCCTTGGTCGAGGCCTACATCCAATACATCCACGACCGACCACACTCCATCTTTCATGTACCAACACTGCGGGCCGACGTACGCCATAAACAGCTACACCCCAGCACATACTACGCCCTGCTGAGCTATGGCGCCCGCCTTTCCTCAGACAAGGCCATCTTTGCCATGGCCGAACCCTTGTTTGAACGGGCCCGGCGCCACCTGCACGTCGATATTGAAATCGTCTGTCTTGATAACATCCAGGCATGTATCCTCCTGGCCCACCTCGCCGCAGCCTCCTTGCGGTTCTCGCTAGAGGTTCTGTATCTCAATATCGGCATCCGCATGGCTCAGATGCTCCACCTCAACATGCCGCAATCTGAGCCTGTCGTAGTCCAGGAAGTCAAGCGCCGCATCTGGTGGACCCTTTTCATGGCCGACCAATGGTGCTCCGCAGGCAACGGTCTGCCCAACCAGATGAAGGGTTTAGATCATGCTGTCGACCTGCCTATGGATGAGGCCGTCTTCCACCAGCCCGCCCACCTGCTGCTTCAGTCTAGCGAACAGCAACGTCCTAAGCCCGGCTTATGGGCTCACATGATTACCCTGGCCGAGATCTTTGGCCCCATTCAGGACCTCAACCGGCAGATCGCCAAGCACACTGCATCGGTATCGTCATCCGCCATTGACGCCGCCACCGAAAAGAGGGTTATGTGCCTCTACCAGGCCCTGAACAAGTGGCAGGACGACCTTCCGCCCGACGTCAGGTACAGCCTGGCTAACCTGTGCAGCCACCGGGACCGGGGCTTAGGTGGAACTTTTGTTGCCCTTCACCAAGGCCTTAACCACTACGGGACCCTGCTGCTGTACCAGTACCTCGATCCCAGCCGCGTCACCAACGCCGCCACGGCTGAGCTTGCCCAACGCTGTAAGCAATACGCAAACGACCAGAGCGCCCTCATCCGGGTCGCCAGAGACCTGGGCCAATGCGAGACTCTGCACCCCGGAGTAGGCCACAATGCTGCCATATCGTCGTCGGTTCTTCTCCATACGCTACTCTTCGGTAGTGATGGAGAACTAGCGGAAGCCCGAATGGGTTTACAGTCCAATCTGGAGACCCTCGAGAACTTGAGCCGGTACTGGCCGTCTCTCGAGCTTACCGTGAGGCGCTTGACCGTATTCCAGGAGGCCTGCCTGCAGAGCACCACGCCGCAACCGTACAGGTTTGATAGCTGGTTGGTCAAGTTTCTCCTCGAATATCACCTACCCCTGGACGAAAAGGCATACGAAACCGTCAATCACATTCGTATCCATGAGGTTAACGCGGTACTGCAAGAACGGAGCGATGTCGGCGCTAAGATTCTCCAAGGATTTTGGGGGGGAAAAGCATAGAAAACGGAACGATTAGTGATGGTGGGAAAGGGTATTGTCATTTCACACCCATGAGTGAACGAAAAAAAAAAAGAACAACATCCAACCCCCCTAAAAGAATATTCTTTCCCCTTAAATGGCTAGGAAGTTCATGACAAAAGAACCTGTAAAATGTACACTGGCGGCGCGCTTTCAAGTGTTTACAGCCAACGAACCTATAAATACCCATTCATTCGAACTAGCATCGGCGAAATTGAGCCTCACTTGTTCCAAAGACTTGGATGATCGATCTACATGCAGCGCTATGGGGTCTCGCTCGCTTCTATGAAGACATCCGCCACTTTCACACGGACGTATAAAATATACTAATAGAATGAGTCTTGGGTTTTTCAGAGGTAATAAAAAAGATTCGTCTTGTCCTTCATCACCAAAACTAGCGATTGTAGGCTTGTATTGATCTGATAGTTTAGACTAAGGTACATACTTGTGTGCTGTCTTGATTGCAAATGTGTAGAGCCTCCTGGTACCCACGCACTCGAGAAGAACGATATCAACTCACGCTCCTGGGCTGTTGGTTTCTAACTGCATCCGTGGCAGCCAAGGGTGAGCAGAGCCAGTATAGCCACTAGTTCTCACGTAGCAAGTTACACAACTTCAGCCGAATGTTTTCGTTTCTCGTTGGTTTCGACTCTGGCCTCCTCAAAATCATGAGAGAGTATCGCGTTGCCTTTGTCGGAATGGTCGATACCGCCGAATATAGTGTCCATCCGCTCCAGAGCAACGCCCTTGGTCTCGGGAATCAAGAACCAGACGTAGGTGAAGAGAACAACATTGATTCCACCAAACATATACATGGCGTAACTTGAGACGAAAGTTAGTCAAGCGATTAGAGAGGTGGCTCAGGGATTGGAATACTTTACTTACAATCCCTTTTTGTCCAGAAAAATTGGGAAGATCTGCTCTGCGCCGCAATATTACATTAGCATCATGGCTTATGAATGTCTAAAAGACAAAAAACTGAAAAATACCGTACGTAGGATGGTGCTTGAAACAGCCTGAGACTGGGAGGCCATGGCGATTGCTTGCGCTCGAACGTTCATGGAGAAGATCTCAGACGTCCAGATCCATACAGTTGCTCCCCATGAAGGTTTGTAGAATAGAGCAAAGAAGAACATTAGAAAAACTGTTGCTATGCCCACTGGTCTCTCCTTGACACCCCCTGGGCCACTTGGAGTTTCTGTTACAGTAGCTGCAGCGGCAATCATAGCTAAACCCATACCTGCGGCGCCAATAAGAAGTAGGACTCGACGACCCCAGCGATCAGCCATCCAAGTGGCATTGAGGGTGAAGATGATACCGAGCGTTCCATTCAAGGCATTGATCAACTGAATCTCCGAGTTGTCTATGAATACCTGTTTGTAGATGATGGTCGAATACGTGGTCAGAGATCCTTGGCCGGTGAATTGTTGTCCAATGTTCAAACCGACGGCCAGCACTACACCGCTGGTTGGTTAATCCAGGCTCTAGAGAGAGAGGAAGAGAAAGGGGAGGAAATCATACAGAACCTGCGTCGGACGGTCTTGTCCTTCCACAGAGGCGCCCATTGTCCGGAAATGGTCGTCTTCTCATAGGCAATTGCCGCACTAATTTCCTGGATTTCCATTTGAACCTGTCCAGGGTCGCTACGAATCCTAGATAACGTCTTTGCCGCCTCCTCCGCGCGATCATTCTGCATATACCTAAGCAGGCAATAAGTTAGATTTGCGACCGACAGGAAGGATTGCAAACTATAACATACCATCGAGGGCTTTCGGGACAAAACTGTAGACCTACGATGATGATTGTAGGGGCAAGGATTTGGAAGAGCATGACGATCCTCCAGTCCCAGTCGCCTAGGCGGTCTGCGTTCTTGGTGCAAGCATAGTTGATCCAATAAGCCAAGAAAGCACCAATGCCGAAGAAAATCTGCCAGAAACTCATGAGCATGCCTCGGATCTCCGCAGGAGCCATCTCGTTGATGTAGACGGGACCGGCAGGCAAAGCAATGCCTTGCCCGATACCTGTAATGGCTCGACTCGCAACAAAACCACCAATATCGCGTGGGGTGAAGGCGGCGACTAAGGAGGAAATGATGATGAGAAAGGAGCCCGTAATCATGGCCCACTTTCGGCCAAATCGGTCGGAAATTTGCGCAGAGATGAAGAATCCTGTTTGCGTTCTCGTCAGTGGTAGCCCAAATTTTTCAAAAAAAGATTAACGCCGCTGACTCACCAGATAGAATGCCGCCTACAGTATACGCTGTGTTGATCGAACCAATGACTCCGGGACTAGGGTTGTGGAAATAGTCCATGAAATTGTCTGAGCCTTGAACAGCGTTGAAAGAGGAGGAATCATAGCCGTTGAGCATCATGCATGTTGCTCCTATCAAGCATACGTACCAGAGGTACAGTTTCTCCTTGCTGATGGTCATTGATTCCGTATTTCAGTTGTATGGGATTCAAAGAGGTTATCAAATGTGGGTGTAAGATGTGTTAATTCAACCCAAAGATCTCGGATGTTTTTGCCAACTTATACCATCCGAAGTGACACTCAATACTAACTGACAAGCTATTAAGCTTTAGCCTATTCTACCTCTTTTGCCGAAAGTCTTCCCCAATATTTGTAATATGAATACAAGGATTAACAGGGCGACAAACTCACGCACTTTTTGGATTCCCAATGTTGGCGTCGACTAGGCATAGGAGGTTAAAATATTTAGGGTCTGGTGGCACTCCCTGTATCCAATGAGCTGTGCGCAAGGCCGGCAACATTGCCAAGCGTTGCGGCTTACAATTCTTATCCCCCACATATCATGCATGCTATTGCGGATTATGCGGGGGATTGTGCCAGTACTCTTGGCGCATTAGTTTCTCTGAAAGCACCATCCTACTAGTCCCAATAAATTGTTGGACTCCTGCATAAGCCTCTTATTCCCCAACTATGTTGCCCGCATAGCCGACTGACTGATGAGAAGTCATGCGACTTGCGGACAAACGAACAGCCCACTATTAGTAGTCTTCTTTCCAAGACGCCAATAATACGCCCTTGGCCTGGCCACCGACCCCGCACCATACATACATCCTTACTGTGAACCCATGAAGTACCTAATTACGGTCAATAAGCGGGTGGTTTAGGGCCGCCTTCACGTAGAGCCGGGAGAAAGGTAGAAGACTCCTCTGTTTTCCAACACTATATCAGGACTCTAAAAGTTCTTGGACAATCTGGTGTTACCTTGGAAGCTTGCCAATCTGCTCGTCCAATGTTACAATGCCTCAAGTTCAAAACCCCATCTTGCCTGGCTTCAACCCGGATCCATCTGTTCTGCGCGTTGGCGATGACTATTACATCGCTACTTCCACGTTTGAGTGGTATCCCGGTGTGCAGATACATCACTCCAAGGACCTCGCAAACTGGAGTCTTATCACTCGTCCCCTTAATCGTAAAAGCCAACTTGATTTGAGGGGAAGCCCTGATAGTTGCGGTGTCTGGGCCCCTTGCCTTACCCATGACGGACACTCATTTTGGCTAGTCTACACGGATGTTAAGCGCAAAGACGGTTCTTTCAAAGATACCCACAACTACATCGTCCACGCTCCAACGATCGAGGGACCTTGGTCTGAGCCTCTCTATATAAATTCGTCTGGATTTGACCCATCGCTGTTTCATGACGATAACGGTCGAAAATGGGTTGTTAACATGATCTGGGATCACCGCCATCGGCCTCATGCGTTTGCAGGAATCGTTTTGCAAGAGTTTGATCCCAAGTCAGGGCGGCTATTCGGCCCAAAAACGAACATCTACCAGGGGACCGACCTTAAACTGGCTGAAGGGCCACACCTCTACAAGAGAAATGGATTTTACTTCCTTCTTGTTGCCGAAGGGGGCACAGGTTATCGACACGCTTGTACTATGGCTCGATCCCGCTGCATATCTGGGCCATACGAGACGCACCCACAAAAGCATATTCTCACTGCCAAGGACACCCCGTCCGCGGAGCTGCAGCGAGCTGGACATGGCGATATCGTTGAAACTCCGGAGGGCAGAACATATGTAGTTCACCTTGCCAGCCGACCGACTAAAAACACCCGTTGATGCATTTTGGGCCGTGAGACAGCCATCCAGGAAGCTTATTGGGGTCAGGATGATTGGCTATATGTCAAGAATGGCCCTGTTCCATCGTTGTTTGTGGACTTGCCCGCCGTCCATGAGGAAGACTCCTTCTGGGCAGAGCAATGCTACCAATTCGATGATACCTTACATAAAGACTTTCAGTGGTTACGGACGCCAGACACTGGTCGAATCTTTACACTCCAGAATAACAAGCTCGTGCTACTCGGTAGGGAGTCTATTGGGTCTTGGTTTGAGCAAGCCCTAGTTGCAAGGCGACAAACACACTTTTCTTACGACGCAGAGACAGTGATTGAGTACAACCCCTCCGACGAAAGACAGTTTGCGGGTCTAACCGCGTACTACTCACGATACAATTTCTTTTACCTTGTTGTAACAGCACATTCAGACGGGCAGAAGGAGTTAATGATTTTAACCTCTGAGGCTTCTTGGCCTGATGGTTGGCTCCAGCGGCCACTCATCGAGCCGATGCGCATTCCCCAGGAAGGCAAGGTCAAGCTTGCCCTCAAGATTCGCGAGAATGAACTCCAATTCTACTATGCACTTGGGGAGGGGGAACCGCTGAACAAGTATGGACCTGTGTTCGACGCCTCTATCCTCTCTGATGAGTGTGGGGGATCCCCAAAACAAGAGAGCTTCACGGGTGCATTTGTCGGAGTAGCATGTTCTGACCTGAACGGGACAGAACTCACTGCGAGCTTTGACTATTTCATATATAGACCAGTAGGATATGGTTCTGCTTCGCAGTAAAGCTAAGATTGCATCGTTCGATGTTCCGAATCAAGCCACGTCTGTAATAGCTTGCGGATTATGGACCGCCATTAAAGAATTGAATATATCACACACTTGGACACCTTCTTCTTTGAAATTGAAGTGAACAATTAGATATTGACAATATCCTGTCAAATGACACGTATATCGAGTCTAGGACCGTGCTAAACTGGGAGCAAGAACAACCGCACTGGGGTTGTTTGGAACGGCCACAAACTCTCACAGTCTTTTAGCCTCCAAACGATAAACTTCTCAGCCCCAGGATAATAACATTCGTATTTGTTGTCAAGAACACCAAAAATGGTGCCTGTGTTGTGTGAGTTACGATAATCGAGGTCGAGTTTAAGGGCTACCCAAGCTCGGTCTGATCTCAGCCGAATCCAAGAGGCTGGTTACATTGTGCTCTCCTAATCATCGTATCGGCTCGACCATCGGGAAATTATTAGCAGCCTTTCTCGTGCTTTTGCCGGTTATCTCGCGCGTGTATCACACGACTACAAGAAGTGTGGTAGGAGTCCTTCTGTGAAATAAACTCGTGATCATCCCTTCCAGAGATGTTCAGTGCGGAGAAGAGACTACGTGTGTGGGGGGCCATCAGAAAGAAGAACCCTTGACGCTCCTCATGCACGCATTATTGAATTCTGAATACATTTACGGCATCGGCAAATATTTCGTTACGCTCGACCAACCAAGCCGACCAAATCCCGCACGAACATGGCGTATTCCGCAACTGGAATCTGTGCTGTCCATTACCCCACAGACATCCCTGAAAATCCCTGAGTGGTCCGGCCAGGCCCTCCTATCCCCGTTCCCTTTCTTCTCTGCGTAATGTTCTGGCTTTTGGGCGGAAGAACTAAGATTCTCGAGGACGAGAGGGTGTATCTGTTGGGTCATGGTAAGAGTCTCTCATCACTGTAGCAGCCGTACCAGGACGTTAGGCTTATGTCGGGGCGATCATCTGCTCAAGGGGGGAGGGTGTGGGGGGTTGGTCCTCTGCTACAGGGAAGACTTCTGAATAGCTTTAGGCGTCTAAGCCATAAACAATTTTGAAGTATAAATACTGGTTCATTGTTCGTGTAGATATGACTTTTGACCCGTAGATTACCGTCTTAGTCACCAAACTACCTACCTTTGCTTGCAAATCTTGTTACAGACATGTTGTTCAAACACAACATCTTCATCATTGTTCTGCAATTAGGTGCAATCATCTCGGCAGCTCCGTATCTTGTGGAGTCGTCGACGGTTGCCCCTTCTATTCCTCCTCCGCCCGAGCCAGAGCCTGTCAAGGTTGTCGAGTTACCATTGCCCCCAGTCACATCCAACGATGAGGCCGGCTCGTGTGACTCCAGCCTTAATCCAAGGAAAACAGGGTGCATTTTGCGAACGGCTCATTTCGAATCAGGGAGCTTCCTGCCCGATGGCAAACACGTGCTTGCATACGTCGAGTATGCCGGTGCTCCCCCTGCCCCCGATCCAGCGAGCATTTTTCACGGAAGTCAGATCATTATCGTAAAGACGGACGGCTCGCACTTTCCCAATGGAGACTCTTGGAAGTGCTTGACATGCGGCCTACCTGCGGAAAATGCTGTTGGTCGTACTGAAGCTATGGACTACCCGCAATCTTTTGTTGATGGCAAACGTGCGCTCGTGGGCACCAACATATTAGATTGCGGGCAATATAGCCTGGCGAGCGTAGATTGCACACCAAAGCACACATTTCTATATCCTATCCATTGGACTGTTACTCCGGACGGCTCAGGCCCAAGTGGCAGTATACGAGAGCTTCGACTTCACCCCGATAATGTACACTTGGGATTTAGCTCCTTCGCAACCTTGGGTGGCATGTTGACACAATACGGCTACTTTAGTCGACTTCAATTTAATCAGTCGCCGAAATCAGGTTTACCACTCAGCCCTCGCTATGATTTAGTCAACGTTACACGGCTGTACAACCCAGATAGCGTCCAGCCTATCTCGGTCAAAGGAAACAATCTGGTGTGGACACCATCAGCCATTTCTGTTGGAGAACTTAGGGGCTTCACAGGTCGGGGAAAGGAGATCACGTATGTCGGATATCCAGACGAGTCTTCCAACTTGGACGTGTATGCCGCCGATTTAAAGACTGGTGCAGTCCGACGGTTGACGAGCCATCCTGAATATGTCGATCCCATCGATTTCTCTCCCGACGATGAGTGGTTTGCTATTATGGATACACGCGGCACAGACCGGCAAATGTTCATCTCCGGAATGCGGAATATTCCACCTATTACGGACCTGTTAAGTACCAGTATCACATCAGCTACCCGCAACAACGGCCATCGTCGCTTCTTCCAACCTTACTTGGTTGACCGCTGGGGTGATCGCGGGTCATATTATGGCCAAAAGATCAACGGGCCGTTTGGGATTCCGGGGAGTGGTGCTATCAACGATCCTGAATGGAATGGAAGAGCCGACCCCAGGTGGTCGCCTGATGCAACAAAGTTGGTCTACTGGGAGGCTCTCACCGTATTCCCAGATTGTGGCGGGTCCAACCCACTCCCTTGTTATAACTCCACGGCGGACGGTGGAAGAGTCTACAGGATGATGATGGCTAATTTCACGTCACGAACCCCCAAAATCCTCCCACCTGTTGCACCAGTTTCAGATGTAGTCCCCTGGGGAGTGCCGTATTTGCCAGGCGATGACGTGCCGGAGAGGCCACAACCAGCGCCAGGTGTCTACACTTTGAAGGGTAAGCTATCTGGATTAGCGGAGGTCACATTTACAAATCAATTCGACCTCACGTCCATCAGCAGCGTGGCAGTCCGCTATAATAACTTCTCTAATGATGGAGAGACGTTTCTTGAGGGGTTTGAAAACGTTACTTCCCAGTCACAGAGCGCAACATTGAACCACATCGATTGGTATTCCGACCTCCAACAAAAAGGCAACGTTAATGCCACCAAGAAGACAAGTCCGAACGGTTTTCACTTGACCATTGATGTCCTTGTAAACAAGTTTGATGCGAATGGAACTCTTACGACTGTAGTCAATGGCAAGATTTATACTCAGCCGATTAACGGTGGTTAGTACTACACCTTTCGTTAAGAAAAGCTTCTGTCTCCTGAGAAAAAAGGAAGGCCAGCGAGTGAATGTCTTATTTAGCCTATCGCTATGCGCGCATTGTAAGTAGCTAATATATGACTTGCTTCAAAGTTGTGTGTATCTGCCGTCTTTTACGGACATCTTAAGACTCAAGCCCCTAAATTATATTAACATGCCGTGGCATTAATCAAGATTTCTGCTTCTAAGTATTTGGTTGGGCTATCATTACATCCGTCTCGCTTCCTAATTACTCACCAAGGCACTTTTCCAGCTCTTCTAAAATGAATCTCTCGCAATACTACTGCCAGTTTACACCTTACGTAATACTGTGGCACTCTGCCCTGGCCTGAAAACCTCTATAGTACCCTTGCTGGACCGTATTGCAACCTTGTTGTTGCATTCGGAGCAAGAATAATGGATGTTCATGCACCAACCCATCATCCCGTATGGATTCAACAGGAGGATCATGGAGAGTATACCGGTTGTTGCGCGAAGGAGACTGATGTGGTATGTTAGTATCTGCCATACCACTGATTTTTGTGCTTAGTGCAACTTACAACTGCCTGACTCTGCCTGTCTTTTGGATAGTTGTCGTCGTCCTTTTATTACAGAACGGACAGTCGATGAGCTTTGGCGAGTCGCCTTTCAGGTCTTCTAACTTGGTTACGTCTTCCGTATGCTTCTGGTCATTTGGAGGAGTGCCCTTTGTTCTATTGAAGTCAGTCGTGTCTACCTTAGCTGCATGACTGATTGATTAGCTTACTTGGATCCGCCCATCTGGGAAGAGGCTTCCTTTGTAAAGTCTACACTGGAATCTCGCACAGTGGTTGATGTCGACATCCTATTGGCCTCTGGCCCCGGGTTTTGTGCCTTGGTGGTAAGAAAGTCCTGTGACGCCATAGGCGGCGCATCTGGTTTCGGTGGTTGCATCATGGTCTGGACAACTGAGCGTAATTGAAGCTGCTTGAAATGCCCCTGAGAATTGAAAAAATGGGTCCAAAGAGCCTAATTATTTCTGTGAGTATGGTATTAAGTAGAGAGCTCTTGGAGTGGCCTGGCTGCCATGGATTCTTTATAACTGTCATCTTCCAGTGCGCAGCCATCGTCAAGCTTGCGGCACAGCACAGGATACTCTTGGCCGACGTAGGCACCCAAGTTAGACGCCAGAGCGGTACGCCTTACAGCGTATTGCAGCCCTACGACACTCAAGCCGGGCGATTGCGCCTCATTAAACAGAATTTGTCGTCCTCACTGTGGCAAGACAGCGAATACGGCCTGGGGTCGTCCCCTTGCAATGGCCATACGTATGCAGCCTGCCGTCATTCCAATTGAATACCACCCTACTTATGCCTTTCTTTCCTTTCCTAGACGCTCGTTGCCTCTTATCGCGTTGTTACCACAGCCACACCTACACATCACTGCTGATTCTAGAACAATTTTCCAAGCGTTTTGTGGCTGGGGCATGCATCGTAACATTAGCATGGTAAAGATCATCGTTGGAGGCAGTGATACCTGGTCGATAATATTGACCAGTCAGCCCATCTCTGTCACCCGCAACCAATTAACTATACGCCACCTATCAAGAGATGCTGCATTGCAATTTTACCTAAGCATCTATACCTACCTACCCGACTAAACCTACCTAGTTGACATAATCTTGGCAACATATCAAGTTGAGAGCCGTTTGACGTCGTATACAATGTATGTGAGCTCTGAAAGAGACCTAGGAATTTGCGCGACTATATTTTGGGGAACCATATACTGTTGTTCATTGAATTAATGATGTCTTCAGTTGGTGCAGATATGCGATCGGTCCCTGACAGTCCAACTCCACGATCTAAAGTAGCCCTACATTCACAGAAAGATTCTTGAGAAACCGCTTCTCTATATAGCTTATCTCGGTAATGGAGAAATGTGATTTCATGTAATTGAGACCTGCTTGCTGTAGGAAATGCCGTGGTAAGCTGCGTATGGAAACTGTTGCGTCGCAAGGCCCCGCCTATACTTGAAAGCGAGTGAGTGAGTGCTTGTCCGCGGACGCGGAAAGGGCCAAGAGTTTTGACAGCTTCGAATAAGTTATGAACGGGCTAGTGGTTCTCTGCTCTTAAGTTTTACTTCGGCCCCGGTTAATTTCAGTCAGTGTACTTGAGTGCGGCTGATGCTGGTGAGCAGTTACGATTAGACAGGTTTTCATCAGGTGGAATCTAGAGGTTGGTCGGCCCATCCCAGACTACCTGTCTTAAATATATATTAATTCTCAGAACTGTCATCACACATGCTAGATAATTTTGGAAGAAGTAGGGTGCACCTGACGGACAAGTTCGTGGCCGTCTGTGTTGCTGCCGGGCTTGAGAAAGGCTGAAAAGGGCGCCAAAGTCAGGACGACTCGTAGCCTCATTGTGAAAGTTGAAGTTCCGAAATAGTTACCAGCATGTTGACTCGGATAAGTCGAAATACGCAATCCATTCGCATTGTTTGGCCCTAATCTACATCCCACCTTTAAACTTTTTCAATGCTGGTGACCATGCATCAAACAAAAGCCTCAACATTGAAGATTCGGCTCATCGGACCAGTTGTCTCCTTGTTCATAAAGAAGAACAGGTCCTCTAATGCCACGATAAGAGCTTAGTGAGCCGTGCGTGGTGGTCGGTCAACTACCTACCTACCTCAGTTGGGAGTCTCACCGACCAGCTGCATCTGCTTGCATCCTCTGACCAAATGAACCCCGCTTCTTTTGTTACATTTTCTAGCTCAGCAGATCACTCTAACTGTTGGAAGAGATACGGCGAACTCCTCGATACAGTACCATAGCCTCAATTGCGTTACCGTGGCCCGCACATCGGCCACTTTGAGCAGCATCTCCGCAGTGAAACTATTGCCCATTTGCATGTTTGAGGCCAGGGTTGTTACAAGGCCCCCAATCAGAGTTGCCCATTTTATGTTGGTTGGAACAAGTGTAACGAGGCATGCATGAGCAGGCATCGTAAAACTGGCGCAGTCTTCTGAACCAACATAATCGCCCTCGGCCCCAGCCTCCTGTAAGGGCTCATTACTCGCATCACCCATGGCAAGCATCCCAGAGAGATGCAATACAGGGGTACTTAAACAGAAGTGTCCCCAAACTCCGTGTCAAAGAAAACTCCCCCCAGCACTCCAGTTTACTTGCTCCCGTCATCGGCGTCATTTTGCGTGTATCGCTTTCTTATCTTGCATTGTGTAGCAACATGGTCTCTGACGCGTTGAATGAAGAGAATACTATTTCTCCATCCAGCTCTAGAGGTCCTGGCCCTGCCTCAAACCCATACGCGAGGCAAAAGGCCCCCGGACGCCGCCGCAAGGCTGCCAAAATTGCCTGGCCAGGTCCAGACTCTTCTCCGCTAGCGCCAACTCCCTCTGGCTTTACACCCGAACAGCCACGAGTGAGACGCTCCTCGATTCAGCTTCCCGCGCAAGTCGAGTCTTACAATGCACCAATTAGCAGCAGTCCACTTCGAGCTGAAGAGCTTGAGGAAGTGGACGTTGAAATGGACACGCCGACCAAGAAGAGACCCCGCCATACTAAATCCAATCGTTCGGAAGAGGCCAGACAGCCAGCATTATCGCCACTGCGACAGATGACTGTACTAGAAAATAGCACCTTCAGTGTAGAAACGTCAAAACTTCCCAGACCAGCCCTACCGATAGCGCATACCTCACCAGAGCTGCATGACGAGACGGAAAGACGAAACGAGCGCCCAACTGTTACAGAGAGAAGTGCGAGCAATCCTGTCACTCCCCAGAAAAAGCTCTCCGGAACCCAGGTCGACCGCGAGCTCACGAAGTTTGTCAGGGAGGGGCCAAAGAAACCACAACACTTAAAGAAGGGCTTTCTTTACTTCTACAACGTAATTAGTCAGGATGATGTCCAGCTTATCAAAATTGGTGAAACGGGAAACATGAAAGATCGTTCAAACAGCATCATGTCAACGTGCAAACACCGCTTGTTCGAGGAGCACCCAAAGGCGATAGCACAGGAGATACCCTTCAAAGGGTTTGCAGAAAAGCTCATACACAAGGAGCTGGAGAATTTCCGATACAACCGCCGCTGTATTTGTGGAACACAACACAGAGAGTATTACATCGTCAGCGAACGCGTTGCTCTCGAGGCCTTCCACCGGTGGCGAGAGTTTTGTGATAAACAGCCATGGACCGCCGATGGAAAGCTGTTACCCCGCTGGGAAGAAAGACTGAAGAACCAACCTTGGTTCGAGGACGCAAAGATGGATTTCGATCGTCGCAATTTTGCCAAACGATGGCACCTGTTTACAGCCCCTACAAAAGTTGATAACATTTTATACGATGCAGCTATCATGTGGAAAGAAGTCTTTCCACACCGTTGGAGCATTGTTGCCATAGCTGAATTACTCACGATAATCTTTTTATCGCCATCCTCTTCCTTGGACAAAACCTGGATGGCAGTCGTCAGCGTCTTGTTTTTGATGGATAAGATGCAGATGGTGAATAAACACGTTACCAAACCGATATCCCAGCTTTCCTCTGGAGGCTTGTGGAAGCTCATGGATTCGGATACCACTATCGATTATGAGAAGAAGCCGGACTACAATGGACCTACACCACAAACTATTTCTAATCAGTCAGCACAGCAGGAGACTCCAACACGGGATCCTGTATCCACGAACAGTAGAGAAATCGCAAGAGACGACAGGGACTGTCCTAAAATGGGAGACGTGTCGAGTGACGGAAATGATATGACTAGCCCGGGAGATAGGAGTGATGTTCATTATACAGACAGTGGGAACGGCTCAGCCAGCAGTACTTGTTCGTCCCCAAGCCTGAAAGAGGATGGGACCCAAACAAGTGCACCGAGCAGACAGGAAGACGGGAACTCCAGTGAGCAGCGGAATCCCGAAATGAGGGCTGGAGTGGAAGTAATCGAACTTTCAGATTAATTGTCGTTGGTCATTTGTATTTGAGATACCCTTTTCCCTATTCTAGACCGACTGGGTGTCTAAAAATGTCCATGTAGCGATCATCGAAACATGTGTTTCTTCAATATGTCATAGAGAAGCTTTATGTGCCTCATAGTCCCACTGTTTGCCGTCCTTCCAAAAGCCCTCCACAACAGGCTCCTGAGCCTTCTTTCCATCAACAGCCACCTCACTCAGCCAACTCCAGTATGTCTTTGCCTTCCAACCTTCCGACTTCCACTTGTTTATGTCTTTTCCAGGCTGCTTGTTGAACACCGGCATAATGTCCAGGAGACTAGAATCATGTGCGAGACAGACCATGACATTGTCCATCACATCAAGCTCACTCATTTTCGACACTGAGTCTGCGGCTACCTCGAGGTCTGTGTATACAGTATGGCGTCCCTCCGGGAGCTTGTACCATGAAGTCGTGCGAGCAGAATCTTCATCTTTCGCATTGGGGTGATGAGGTGTGAAGAAAGTACACGGACATACAGACCTGGAGGCCCAGTCGTGACGCTTCGAGATGGCGTCAGCGGGTATCTCATCTGGTAATGGAGCCTCTGGCGCCGGCCGGAAGACGCCTGCGAAATGGCAAATATCGCCACCCAAGAAGACGAATGTAGAACCCTCTGGCGCCGATGATGGAGTCGTACGAGCCAGGGCACAAATATGCTCTGGTTGATGACCAGGAGCATCAAGAAGATAGAGCGAGCCATCGCCGAAGAAATCTTGGGCTCGGAACTTGCCAATCTTCAAATCGCTGTCAAACTGGGCTTCTCTCAAAGGCCTACCTTCAAACTCTGGCGCCGCCTCAGGGTCGCCAACGCCTCCGTGTCTCTCCTTGTCGGAGAGATACCCAGGGCCGACGATTAGGGAGGTGGACTTTGGAAAGACGGAGACGTCACCACGATGGTCGAAGTGAGCGTGAGACCAGATGCAATAATCTTACGACATCACTTGTTAGCGAGATCCAATAAAGCTGTGGGCTCGACTTACCAATGGAGTTTAGGTCAACACCGCCCTCCTGAAGGACTTCATCGATACCGTTGTCAACCCTCATTCCAAAGATCACACAACCCTCACCAATGAGCTGCTGGACAGCCTTTGGTAAGTTCCAGTAATCCTTGCGAACACCAAGATCGAACAACGCTCTCTTTCCGAGCTTTTCGTTCTCCAAGAGGAAGGTGTCACGCAGTCAATTTGCCCACCACTTATGGGGTAAAAAAAGATGCTTCCATTCATTAGAGACTGTCTAGGGGTTATTGGGTTGATTATATAACCGTCTATTCGGTAATTACCGATTTGAAGGTTTTCATGCACAAAATGACATCCCCGTTAGTTTTATATGGGAAACAATAGCCGGGTGCATGGGTTGAATGCATGCCCCGATATATGCAGTGGTCCGTGTGACACACCCCCTCAGAGAGGCAACCTGTTGTAGGTTGATTCTCTGTATTCTCATTCAAATACAGAAATGATACTATTCAGAACTCCGTATACTTACTACCAAATTCCAGATTCATACTGCGTTCTTCTCGATCAAATGTTCAATATTCGCCATACCCAATTGGGCGATAAAGTGGTTGTGTTTTTGGGCTGGCATTGCTTTAGTCATACCGTCTGCCACCATTTCGTTGGTTGGAACCCATTGAAAGTCAATTGATCCCTTCTGTAATTCCTGGCGAAGCCATAAGTTGTTGATATTGATATGGCGTAATTTGCTAGTCGCTTGGGGTCTTTCAGCAATCAATAGTCGAAGAGTTTGCTTATTGTCGCATTGCATGATGTATTTATCATCTAATTGGAGATTCAATTGTTCCATGAGTCGAATGGTTGCCATATATTCTCTTGTGGCTGCTGTCAAAGCAGCAAGCTCAGCTTCTGTGCTTGAAGTGACTACTCTTCGTTGTTTGACTGCTTTCCAATGAATTGGACCTCCGAATAGCATCATCACATATCCTTGAGTGCTTTTTCGAGTGACAGAGTCATCAGCGAATGAAGCGTCTGAGGCGCAGTAGAGGACTCCTTTCCCTTTGCAGTTGAACTCGATAGCGAGGTATTTGTTGTCCTCAAGATATTGTAAGCATTCATATGCTGCTTTCTGGTGTTCAGAAGATGGATTTGATAGGAATTCTGCTAGTCTCGAGCTTGTTCGAGCTATATCTGGTCTGCCAATCACTCCAGCATAGTTGATTGATCCAACCTTCCGTTGATAGTAGTTGATTTCCTCTGGCGTAGCCTGACCAGGACTTGGGACCAGGTTATCTATTGCCATAGGTGTTTGGCGTCGCTTGGTTGAGGTTCTGATCTTGAATTCTTCAGTGACCTTAGATATATAGTTGTCGAGACTCATCCATAGTTGACGGGTTTTTCGTTCTCTTATTATTCTGACTCCTAGGAAGATACTCAATTCTCCCATATCTTTCATTTCATACTCCTTTTTGAGTTGTTGAACTGCTTCTTTTACTTTGGTTTCATGCTTTTTATGGTATATAACCCCAATATCGTCCACAAAGTGGAATACTATGAAGTATTGATTGGTGTAGATACAGTCATCTTCTTGGAGTGGGATAAGGCCAAGCTTCTTGAATGATCTCTCCAGATTCTTTTGCCATAGCAGTGGGCTTCGTCTCAATCCATATAGTGCTTTTCGCAGGGCAAGACAGTATCCCTCTTGTCTGAATCCTGGAGGAAACCAAACATAGACTTCCTCATCAATTGTGGCATGTGTAAATGCGTTGACTGCGTCCAATTGAAGAGTCTCTAAGTCAAATCTCGCCACAATTGCCATGAGACTTCGCAGCGATATACCAGCAAGCGTTGAGGCATAGGTCTCTAGTTCATTTGTCGGTTGGAGATCTCCTCGAACACAGATCCTCGCTTTGAACTTCTTGAGATATCCTTTGCTGCCCTTATATGTGAATACCCACTTCAATGGGATAATTCGCTGAGTGTCTTGATCAATATTGCCAAGATCAATCATTTCAAACGTGCCCATTTGCCATAGTGATCTGTTCTCAATATTCATTGCAGCAATCCATTTGTGACTGTATTGGTGTTTGATCGCTTCACTGTAATTCTTTGGAACTGGTGGAAGTGTCTTTTGGTGTGGATTGCCTAAATCATCTGCTGATGCATCCCATTGATCTCTTCCTTTTACTGTATCCGTAGATTGCAGTGTGAAGTGGGATTCTCTTGCTCTTCTCAGTCTTTGTGATGATCTTGTTGCTTCTGGTGGCTGTTGATTTGTTTGACCAAGAGGGGCTGATCGATTGTAGATGTTGTGATTTCTGCTGCCACGAGGTCTTCCCCTTCTCGCTATGTTTGGGATTACTGTGGAGGAATCTTGTGGTATGATTTCTTCTGGTTCCAATTCTATGACTGGTGTCTGTTGTAGTTCGAGTCGGTCTGTTGAGGTTTCCTCTATGGTCTCACTTTGATCCGATTGTTCTGGAGTTGGCGATACTTCTGGAGTTTCTGGAGTCTCCCTCACCCCCTCAGTTGTTTGAGAATCTGACAGCTGTACTGTTGGTGATAGAGAAGTGGGTGTAGGTAATTGAAAATCCCCTGATTCTTTCTCCTGCATCGGTGTTGCCGGTGTTGTTTCTTGAGCGGCTGGATTCGAGGCGGGTAGTGGCCCGGTAATATTATCGCTGAAATCTTCTCCATCCCAGCCAGCTGTGTCTAGGTCTTGTTCAATTGGATTTGTGAATGGGATATCCATTTCTGTGAACTGGAATTCAAGTTCCATTTGGCTTAACTTGCTGGTATCCTCAATCCTTGGATCATACAGCGTGTTTTCGTCGAAAGTAACGTCTCTAGTTCTCATGACTTTTCCTATTGCTGGGATCCAGATTCTGTAGATATTTGTGCTGTCATAACCACATAGATAGCCAATATGAGCTCTTGGCGCAGTTTTGTTTGACTTTTCTATTCCTCTCTTGTAGTTTTGTGTCAAGGGGTAAGCTCTGCAGCCATATCGCCTCAAGTGTGCTAGTTGTGGCTTTTCAGCCCTCTTGTGGGTAGACTGTTGATGAGAGTTCAGCCAAGTGTTGACCAACCCCAATGGTGTCTGCCACTTGTGGCGTCTTCGAGGCAATCTGTTTGACAGATAAACTGCTGCTTTTGCCAGCTCTGGTGCCATCAATTCAGGAAAGCGAGATTGAAATCGAAGTGCTCTCATGATCATAAACACAGCACCTCCAGCTCTTTCTGCTGGGTTTTGAGCACCAGTGTACTCAGCTGATCTTTCAATCATATATCCATTCACAGCTGCCCATAGTTCAAACGCATTGCGTAAAGCAACCTCCCAATCTAGGCGTAGAATAGAGATTTTGATAAAGCACTGTCTCTCGAGGTATGCTGCTAATTCTGTCATAGCTTGTAGTCCCTCCTTTCGAGTACGAAGAGTTCTTATCCAGAAGAACCCTGACCAGCCATCGCTGACCAGCAGGATTACCTTCTCCCCATTGTATGCTTTGCTAAGTGTAAAGAAGTCGAGAGATAGATAATCTCCTACAGCAGTTGGCCAATGGTCTGGGTTTCTGCGGGAAATTTGGCGAGTTGCCTTCCCAACAGCACAGGCATCACATTCCACTTTTGTGATTCCTTTTATCTGTATCCCAAGAGCTGTTTTAAGTAGCTGTTCCAGTCCCTCAGCGCCTGGATGACCAAGTCTCTCATGCCACAACTTGGCTTCTGCTGATGATGTTGGGAGTGGTTGTCTTGTTGACTGAAAACCTTTGGTTGGTTTCCTTTCTACGGTTGGGCTGAATCTCACAGTCTTCTCGGTATTGCTGAACGAGGTATTGTTCAGCAGAGCTGGGCCAGCTTCAATAATGTATTGACCATATCGGTTTGGTGTTTTGAATAGAAGTCTGCCTTTTGAGTCGATAAGACCCGGTATTCCTGTTGTAAAGATGATCCCTTTTTGCTTCAGCGGTTCTGTCCCAAGGAGCGATGTTGGGTATCCAGGCACAAGCCATACATTTCTGACTTTGATCTCCTTGTTGTTGGATTTGCCGCCTTGGTTTGGTTTGATGATCATTGTGCCTTTCGCAATTGCATGTACATCTCCTCCTCCAGTGGTGAAGTCTTTTGTGACTGTGTAGTCGAGATCATGAAGTCTTGAGGAGTCGTTGCAGATGTGGAATCCTGTTCCTGAGTCTACTATCACACTGTCTGACAGTGGGAATCCTGAATAGAGACTTGCTTCTCCTTGATTGACGATAGTGACGAAAGATGAGAGTGATCCTTCTCCATCAGACACTTCTTGAGTATAGTGGGATGATGATTGTGTAGTGTTTCTCCAGTTTGAGGAAGATGTTGCTCGATCTGGGGACTTTTGAGACTGCTGATCGCTTGCCCCTTTTCGTAGTTTTTCAACTATTCTCTTTAAGTGTGGTTTCTTCTGGAGATACTCATTCAATCTTTCCAGTGCTTTCTTATTTTCTGGATTATCTTCATGATAGTTTGGGCCTCGCTTCTTAGGGTTGGCATGTTTGCAATCAACAAATCGGTGACTTTCGTTTGGGCAAGCTGCACACTTTTGCTCTCGTTTTGCCCCCTGTTTTATTCCTTGTTCGTTTTCTCCTTGCCAAGTAGCGAAACTCGTGTCTTTTAATGGAGCAGCATTCAACCAGTCTGGGTGGAAAGTTCTCACCCAACTGCGGAAATCGTTAGCTTGCTCAATTCCAGCAGTCTTGCTGATCGAACTGTAGGTTGGGTCATCCTTGTATCGCTTTGTGAAGTCGTAAGAGGCAGATGTGTAGTAATCTGGTGCAATTTGCTTGACTGCTTTCAAGAACTCAGAGACTTGAGTAACTGGATCGCTGAGAGCAGGGATTCCGATTGTTTGGGCTTCATCCATGATTTCTCGATAGATTATGAGCCATCCTCCAAGTTTTGCTCTTTTGATTGATAGCATATGCTTGTTATATCTTTCCAATACCATTTGTTGTCTCCCAAAGTTGTCTGGCGCTAGCTGTTTTTCAAGAGCTTTTATGATATCCCTGACTGTTTGCTCCTTGCTGACTTGGCTGATATAAGTGGCTGCTACAGTGTTCATGATCCAACTGTGAATTTCTAGAAGACTTCGCCGAACCTGGTTGTATTGGTCTTTTTCTTCTTGATAGATAGCTTTTCCATAGCTGATAACGTTGCTATAGTTTGCTCGTTCTTCTTGTCTGAGGTCTTTTGGGTCTGGGAATTCCAATCTTGGCTTAGTATTAATCTTGGTTCCTTTTGGATTCACATAGTCCCAGACTTCATGAACGTTTGCCAGCATCTGTAAGTTGTTGAACCAGTGGTTCCAGTCGCTGTCAGTCTGTAGCCGCTGTGTGTATTTTGCAGTTTCCGTAGTTGAATTCATGATCTCTCTTGAAAAGAGAACTGGTCTCTCTCTTCTGATCGTTGTGCAGTTGATTTTTCGCCGTGGCCAAGATTGAGTTCGTGACTAGACACTTCTTGTTTCAAGTTGGTGATTTTGTCGATTGTTGCCTAGAGGTTTGAGGGTATATAGCCAATCTCAACGCCTCAATTCTCAACAAAACGCAAGACGCCCCCCCTGTCTAATGAACCTGCCGTTTAGTGTAGTTGGTCTAGCCACCCAACTTGTAGCTATTCGCAAGGACCGTAAGACTGGCAAGCTCCCCTTCGTGGGTTCAATTCAGGGTTGTGGAGTTTTCGCAATTTGTAAAAAGTCTTATCGGTTCCGTTACACGAAGACTATAAAGTGAACCACCTGTTCGTCTTATCTGCCCGAAGCTTTCAGAGGCATAAAATGAGCAACTAGGTGTCTCTTCCGTTTCGTAATTCCAACCCTCCTGGCTGCGTATCAGTGGTATGGTCGAGCATGAACTTATATAAGGTTCAAGTTAAGAGTCCTGGGTTCAACTCCTCAGATGTGGTAAGTCCCCCTGAGTTGAGATGAACTTTTTGTGATTTTTTGATAAGTGTTGATGATATGAATTGATGACCAGAAGTTCTTTTGTGATTGAATGTTTCAACACTTCAACGTTCAGCCTTGTGTGATTGGAATTGATGTTTTGTTTGGTGGACTTGACTGCCAAAGTCTCATGGGTCGGTAACTTCGTCAATTGAGTGCCCTTGTCTATGGCATAAGTCTGAACTGCTCCCTTCTGGAAGTCGGTTTTTCAATTGGTAATTGTCACCATGAGGTACTGGGCTCATAACTGTCACGCAGTCAATTTGCCCACCACTTATGGGGTAAAAAAAGATGCTTCCATTCATTAGAGACTGTCTAGGGGTTATTGGGTTGATTATATAACCGTCTATTCGGTAATTACCGATTTGAAGGTTTTCATGCACAAAATGACATCCCCGTTAGTTTTATATGGGAAACAATAGCCGGGTGCATGGGTTGAATGCATGCCCCGATATATGCAGTGGTCCGTGTGACAGAAGGCTAGCGAACAGAAGTTGATCACTTCATGCCCCGCGACGACCGGCTTAGCGAAGGCATGCATGTCGCCAACCATAGCTGATGTCGTGTCAATCAGCTTGACGCGCACGACATTGTCTGACTCAGGTATAATGGCCATCTCGATAGCTTATTGTCGATTAGTATTGATGGTCTGATAGTTTGAGAATGTCAAAGAAGACATGAGGGGAGTTACACACTTTTGGGACACGCTTAAAAGCCAAATGCTGTCTTACCTTCAACGTCATTAAATTGACAAATGCACCGCTGTTCCCCACTTTCTCAGGTCGCCGACTCCGGGCTCCAACCTTATTGAGAGCGTCAACCAACCGCGCGTGTGAGATTTCAGGAAATTGTTATCCGGTCTAGGCATGTCTGCTACTTTGAATTGCGGTGCTCGACACAACTGGCATGAGCGACTGGTTCTGGGCCAGGGAGTTGCGTTTATAGCAGAATGATGGAAGCTGGATGCGAATACAGACCTTTTTGCTAGTCTTGATGATGATAGTATCGGTCATGATTAATTTAAATGTGGGCTCGATCCACTGAGCAGTGTGCGTAGATGAAGTGGAGAGAAGAAGAAAAGTATTGGTCTACATGGTACAAATGCAACACACACAAAGTTGGGAATGTCAACGTCTCCAAACGCCCGCGCGCCCCCAATCCATATGCTTTAGTTTAGTAGGATATCGTACCCATCCCCCATAATGCGAACCTCTTCATTGCCAAGTCCGTACTTGCGCCGAACCAACTCGAAAATGATCAACCCGGCGCTGGTGCTAGGGACTTGCCGAATTGTGTTCCACCAGAAGCCCCGCCACAGCCATCGCCTCATGCTCAGTCCTTCCTTCGCCGCTTCCAAACGGCATTCGGACCAAGTTTCTTTATAAGCGCGGTAGTAGGCTCTAAACATCCTCCATCCAGTTTTCTGGTGGTTCGGATCTGTTCCTCGGAGTTCTCTTAGTCTGGCAGCTTTGGCGTCGAGCTCTTCTAACCGGTCCCAGTGCTCGACCTGTACATGTGTTAACGGGTGAAGGACGACTTGTTGGGTGATTGAGGCGCTGATTCCGGCAAGCAGCAAGAAGGCAGGTTCAATAGCGTAGTGAGGTCTGATGATGAGCGGTTGACTGTCTTCCCCGAGAACATCCTTGCCCGTTGGTCGTTTCTGAGCGAGAAAATCGACAATGTGTTCCTCTAGTCCACCATAATACCACGAGACAAATTTGTAGTAGCCCTGCGCCTTAACGTACTCGAATACGCTGAAGAAGATGGCACTGCCCATACTGTCCTTCAGGAGGGACAAGCCCCAGCCCGCAAAGATACCCCGTGGCCCAATTTCCCTCAGCTTCTCCGCACTAAAAGTCCACATACTCTTTGGCTTTCCACCATCGCTGGTGATGAGGTCCTTGTGATCGTATCTCGCCTGGATTGCATCCAAGGGTGCAGCCATAAAGCTCTGCAGACCTCCAGCTAGTAATCCCGCAGTGAAGGTTTGGTAAGGCTGCGGCGGCGGGTACACTGTTTTCCTTGACTTGCCGCTCTCTTCATGCAAGGTGCCTAGGATCTGCAAGTAGCTGGTGTATAGCACAGCGCCGACGCCAACATTCGCGATGAGAGGTGGAAGCACCTGATGCGGAAGTACACCCCAGCCATGCTGCTTAACAGCAGAGGTAAGTACACCAGGCGTGGTACCTCTCAAATAGAACCATGCTTGATTGAGGGTGTGACTGAGACGGGACCCGGGCTCCTTCGCAGCGGCCTGGGCAAGTAGCTCTGTTTGAGCCTGATGAACGCTACGGGCGTAGGCTAGGTAATCAACGCGTGTCCGAAAAAATGCCTTGACTGGGGCGCGAAAGTAAAAAGCGATGGCTTGAGCACTCAGGGCACGCACGCCGGCGGCTGAGGCAGCGGTTGCGGCATTACTGCGCGGGTTCTTGTCGGGCAGTTGTGCATCGGGTGGTAGGACGGGAAGGACACCGGTATATGGGTCATAAGTAGTTGTGTCGTCATCGCGACGCGGCGTCATTGTTTGCTGCTGTTCTTCATCGTCCCCCTCGTCGGCGGAGTCTTTCTTTGGGTGAGAGGTTCAAATCGGCAAAACTTGGCGTCGGTTGGGATCGGTTGTTGTGGATTGAGGGGATGACTAAGCGCATGACGTCTTGGCTGTGCATAAATATCCGCCAGGTGACCCCATATTTCACAAAATCGGGATTAGGCACGCGGGTCTCTGATACCTTTGGTACATCACGTGAATCTCCACATCAGCTTCGAGCTGTCAAGTCACATAACACCGCCTCACAACTTCATATTTTGGGAGTAAATTGTATCTGTGTATCCTCAGGAGTAACTTGTTTTACTTCTGTTTACATCTTTGACTTTTCGGCCCACCAAGATTCAATATATTTTATGTAGTATCTTCCAGCAGGTAATACTAGGTACCATCAGAAAACAGGGCATGTGTGACTATCGCCGTCAAAAAGTTCAGATACGAGTGTGAGGTAAGGTATTGATTGATGATCTTAAAATTAACTTGCCAAGGTACAGGCAGATTGAGTAAAGCTAATCTATATACATGCAGTGTTTCACTGCTTGCCAAAAATTCTCAGCTATTCTATCCAAGCTCGGAATCATAGATTACGGAGGTTTTGCTAGCCTACTTTGCCTTTGTCTTACCATGGATCAACTGCGGCCAGTGGAAGTGCCTCCCAGGCCTCATTCTCAACTTTATGACACGGATATACAGACTTTGATCTTTCAATTACATGTCTAAGTGGTTGGACCCAAATCAGTATGCCTTAAAACCATCATTGTGCCAAGCGAAGCATCCGACTGACCCTTATTTACCATATCTTGCTTCCTTTACAGGCTCCTATTGAATATTATACCACTTTTGAATGAGACTAATAGGCTTCAAATTACATGCCTCTCAGCAATGCTGAAAGATTCGTGTAAAGGGTCTGACCGCGCCTCGCCTAAGGTTTGCAGAGGCAGCCGGTTCACCTGCCAGATTGAGCTAACGCGAAACTCTGGCTTTGTAGCAAATTTACGTAAAAAAAAGTGGTCTAATTGTTGCTTGGCCGCATTCAAGTACCTAGGGAGGAGTATGTGTGGGCACAAATCAGTCGCGGCGTCGCCCGCAACAACTGACCTTTTCCCACGCCTCCTTATTTTAGAATCTACCCTTTAAAAACATCAACATATCACGTAAACTGCAGCTGGGCTCCAGGTACATTTCGAGCCACATGTTGGTTAATGTTTCCTCATATTCCGTGCAAAAATGGGTATGGGACGGAAAAGAAACTCACACTGTCTGTTCCTGATTGGCTAACCATAATCCCGCATGCCATGTACCTGTAGCCCAGCTGCAGTCGATAGGAATAGCTTGAGAGTTTCTATTAGCTGAGCAGCCGTTAAGTGCCATTTTGTATTTGACCACTTTCTGAAAAGCCAGGGCCCAGACTCATTGATAGTACCCCTCCCTGGCTGATGTTTTGTTTTACGGGCCGGGCCGGGCCTTGCACCATAACTGATTAGCAATTTGAGGCGAGACATCGGGTTTGTTGCTTGCCACATCAGATGAATGGTTCACTTGAGATCCCTAATCCAGTAGTACACGACGCTACATGCACACAGGGACGGTCTTGTTTTTATACTCCATACAAAGCCTCGACGTACATGGTACAACAGGACGGGCATTTTTGCTACTGCTAGGGGCATGTCAGCGCGAAGGAAAATATAATCCACTGAGTTGTCATTGCCCAAGACTGCTTCTGTTGACAGAACAATGATTTTCGAAGGGTTGATCATTTCGGTCTTCATGGTTTGCCTGTTTCAAAGTGAAATATCTCTCATGTAAGATCTTCGAAGCTGCGACACGGCAACATGCTTTGGCGGGTATTTTTCCTGTCTCAAGTTCGTTGACCTTCAATGGGCATAGTGTTGAGCTCAAAAGCCAACTACACAGCATGGAAGTCGAAACATTCCTTTAACCTATATAAGTATGCAAAGCTACATAATCACCACTTTTTTTGATAAACTTTGTCTCGGACTAAGTGAAACCTCATCATCATACTCCCCCTAACACCACGAAGTAGATTTGGTCAACCGAAGGATAATGCATTCACCTAAGGACTTTGGCCAAGAAATTCACCCCATTCAAAACGAAAACATCATAAAAACAGCCGCTAAGAGGATACCCCACTCATGATCTACCGATGGTCTCACATCTATGACGAGACCCCGCCTTATTTTCAGACACACTTGCACAAACAGATTTAGTTTCCAGTGCGCCCCATCTTGATCGACGTACTTGAGAACATTGCCTTGAAACATTTCAGATTTTACCGCTAGAATCTAAATGGTGGCAAGACGTTACCCGCATGCATGTCCCAGGCCGGATCGGGTAAGCCTGCGGGTGTAGCCGTGTGATTCTTTGCTAGCGATCCAGCCCCACGCTTGATGATGTCCATTGACGCGAGAATCTTGCCCTTTGTGTGCTATACCCGCATCCCCCATCGTATCTGATAACCTCTGCAAAAATATCTCAACTTGGCATGGTCTCATTTTCAAGAGGGGCCACGTAAAATGTCTCAGTTGTTAACCCCGCCAGCTGGCCTGCGCCCGAGGCTTGTGAATGTGCAAAAGCTATCCTGTTGATCATTTCACAAAGCTTCAGAAAGCCCGCAGCTATCTATTGAATTGGGGTTGTACGGCAGAGCCTGCGTTGAACCTCATTGGCTGTGTATACCCACGAACATCCAACATAGGATGCAACGTCCTCTGGGCCTCAAATCCTCATGCGCTGATCCTATTCGTACCTTCCTACAGAGTGGGTGCTGAAGTAGGTAAAGACTGACAACTGGATTCATCCGAAAACCAATACACGAGCCTATAAATGTGTGATTGGCTTGTATACCACATATGTGGCGTTCCGTGTGTGCATCCATCATGCAGCTGCAATTGCCCCTTTTCGTAAACAAGTGAGGGGTTGTTCAACATAGCAAAGAATTGAACTTGGTACGGTATGAACCCCTCGACTGTAGGCCATTGAGATTGTGACTATTTAACCTTTGAATAGGAACCTGTTGAAAGACAATTTTCACCTGCCTTTTCATAGCCAGCAGGAAACCTGATGAGCACACAGTATCGCGAATAAGCCTGGCAACACTTCAAGTTACAATGACATCCAACAAAACGGCTTACAACACTGGGTCTACCTATGAAGATGAGACTCATCAAATCATCTCATCATACTTCATTGGTCCTCAAGCCGAGAACTTGCCGTATTTTAAAGAGAACATTGACATCATCTTGGAAGAGCTTCAAATTGCGCGAGTCAATTACTTCCAGGAAGATGGGGTATATTAACTTGATTATTATGCTATGAATGTGCTTTGCTTACTTCACATAGAAATTCATCGATGAAAAGACACAGAAGACTGAGGCTTTTCAAAACTCCATGGAAAAGCTCAAGCGGGCTGTCCGAAAGGCGTCCAACATACTTGGCAGAACAAGCATCCCGTTCTGGTCTCCTCGCTATGAAGCTCACATGTCAGTCTATTTTATGAAATTACCCTCGAAATTTCACTCATTTTGCCAGGTGCACCGATATGAGCATGGCTTCGCTCCTGGGTTACTTTATGACTATGCTATACAATCCCAACAATGTTGCAATCGAAGCTAGCCCTTTGTCGACAGTGGCTGAGATTGAGGTTGGAGAGCAGCTGTGCGAACTCTTTGGATACAACATTGATCCAGAAAATACCGACGCTCCTACCGGCTGGGGCCATGTGACTTGCGATGGAACAATCGCAAATCTTGAATCCATCTGGTATGGTATCCATCTCTATTAAACCTTAGCACTTATGACTGTCGTGTATTAACAACTTTGGTATAGGGTTGGTAAGCATTATTACGCGCTCTGATGTAAAATTTTGGATGCTCACCATATTGAAGCTCGCAACTTGAAGTTTTACCCGCTATCTCTGCGCAAGGCTTTTGAAACAGGAAATCCGCTTGACTTTCTGTCAGGCAGTTTCTACGTTGAAACATGCCAGGGCGAATACAAGCTGTTCACTCAGCTTTCAACATGGGAACTACTGAATCTCAAGCCAGCAGAAGTTCTCAATCTTCCTGATCGACTTTATCAAGAACATGGAATTTCGAATGATTTTCTTTCCGAAATCATGAAGAAATTCACCATTCAGTCTACTGGGAAAGATGAGCTCGAGAAGGAGTTCAACATGGACAAACCGTGCCAATACATGGTAGCAACGACTAGACACTATTCCTGGCCTAAAGGAGCTGGTAAGTGCTTAGCATACCCACATAAACTGTTCTGTTAATGAATGTGAATGGTTGTAGCCATTTGTGGATTGGGTTCCGATAATGTGGTCGGTATCCCCGTCGACTATGAAGCACGCTTAGACTTGGATGAGCTAGAGAAGCAATTGAGAAAGAGCCTCGAAACGAAGCAGGCCGTCCTTGCAGTGGTGGGAATTATTGGATCAACCGAAGGTAAATTTAGTCATAAATCATTAAACGATGGGATCTAAAACTGACAATTCTTCAGAGGGCGCCGTGGACCCTCTCAGTGGCATTCTTGCCCTACGCAAGCAGTTTCAGGCAGAGGGCCTTTCGTTTCTCGTTCATGCCGATGCAGCTTGGGGCGGTTATTTCTGCTCAATGCTGCCCAAGGACTATCGTCCTGGAGATGTCATTAATCTACCCACTGAAATGGGTGCAGCTGACGGCTTTGTCCCTGACGCTAGCTTGCGCGCTCAGACCCAGGAGGATCTATATGCCATGCGTTTTGCCGATTCTATTACTGTTGATCCACACAAAGCAGGCTATATCCCCTATCCAGCTGGTGGGCTTTGCCATCGCGACGCTCGCATGCGATTTTTGGTGACTTGGACAAGTCCCTACCTGTCACGTGGCTCGGTCACAAGCATTGGAATTTATGGCGTTGAAGGAAGGTAAGTAGCCTCGGAGCATGCATTGCGAACTTCGGAAAGAGGCTAATGATTCATATCAACCCTTAGTAAGCCCGGAGCTTCGGCGATGTCTGCATGGCTATCTAACAAGACCATCGGACTGGACCAAAAGGGCTACGGATCTCTGCTGGCAGAAGTCACATGGACATGTACCAGGGTATACTTTACCCTCTATTTCTTTCCTTCTATTATGACCCCTGACTGACCACCGCCAATATAGCTCTCAGCCGAGTGGGCGGCTTTGACAGATGCAAGCAGTCCTTTCATCTGCGTGCCATTTAACATGTTGCCATCTGAATTAGAGCAACCCCCAAGCGAGGAAAAGATCGAGGCAGAGAAGAGGCGAATTCGAAATGACATCGTGAACAAGACGAATGCCAAGATCCTAGAAGAGGACCAGACGAGACCGGATGATCAAAAGGCCATGAAACTTATGAGAGCATTGGGTTCCGACCTCAACATCAATGCTTTTTCTTTGAACTTCCGTTATGAAGATGGGCGGCTGAACGATGACATCGAAGAGGCCAATTACCTCATGCAGAGAGTTGTCGAGACGCTCTCGGTTGACAGTCCTACTGACGACCCAACAAAGATACCGCTGTACCTTACATCGACGGAATTTTCTGACGAGCTTTACGGGAAGTGTAAGGAGCATTTCGTCAGACGACTTGGTTTGGCACAAAGCACACAGGATTTGATGGTGTTACGCAACGTTGTGATGTCTCCTTTCCCCACTGACGGTAACTTCACAAACAGCCTCGCTCAGATATTTTACGATGTTGTCGAGAAGGAAACTGAGGTTAGTTCAATTTCTCCATGGCCGGCGTGGTTCCTGCAACTGATGCCTTCGTATAGGTTGTTCGTAAGCGCAACACATTGGCTGCAGACTTCCACAACTTCCTCATCCAAGGAACAGAGCAGATATATCTTATCCATCTGCCGATGTTCCATGTTGCGAATCACCGCCAACAACTCATTGTATCTGTGAGCTTTGACGAAAAGTCTCAAGCCAAGTATGCCGCGTTGAAGAAGTCGAACCCGAATGAGCCAATGCTACTAGTTACCCAACGCAAGGTCATGCTCAAAGATGTTGTTGATGAAAATGGAAGTTTCCAGGCTCAAATCATGACGAAGGAATCGTATGTACCATTCTACAGTACTTACTAGAATATTTGGCTCGGATTATCAAAAGACTGACATATTCGACAGAGGAATCATCCTACAGGACGTGGATGTCACACTGCAGAAAACGGTCGTCAGCCGACCCTTGAACTCTAAGTGGCGACTTGACAGTTATCCCGAGACTTTCATGCCATTCTATCTCTACGGAAATTGTAAGTCCCATACGCGCTACTGCGATTACCAAGTACATAACTCACAAGCACATTAGCGAACGAGGCCAACATCGACCACGTAATCGTCCGCGCGCCGAACACCCAGCTGTCTGCAAGCGGCTGTAAACTCAACTTTTACAACCGCATCGATGACTCAATCTGGGAAAAAGATTTGATCCTCTTGGTTGAGGATGTCCGTGAGGCGCCAATGCAACCATTGCCACCAAACAGCGAAATTGGCAGCCAAAATGGCGCAGTTATAACCCATGATATCCATCATAAGCAGAATGCCGCGAAAGGTGATGCCAAGAATGGTGCGAGGAACGGCCTCAAAGATTTCCCGCGGAATGGTTTGTCGCTTACAGCGTCGACTGAGAGCTTCTCAATTGAGTACGGCTCTAATGCAAGCCAAACTAATGACAGCGACGTTGGAGCAAAGCTGCACAAGGAAGATGAGTCTCACGAACCACACGTTGCAGCCGGAGTGGTGAGTAGTGAGACTCGTAGTGGCGCCGCACGAGGGTCAAGTTTCTTCTTCCGTCCGGGCGCGACGTTCAAAGTTGGAGTTTGGGAGGACAAGCAACGATCACACGAAAGCTCCAGATTCGCCTCCTTTGAGCTCGGAACTTTTGTCGGTCGTGGCACACTGACTCTGGGAGGAAGTGTATATGTTGACAGCGAGGCGATGAACTTTGACCCTTTCAAGAAGGTCGAAAATGTCACTGAATGGCGGCACGAGTTTGATCAGATTGGAAAGGAGCTGGCCTAAAAGAGATCAAAGGAGTATGAGATGCCTCTCGAAATAGTTTGTTAGACGCGAATACGAGAGCTTTGCATGACTTACTTCCTAATGTTTTGAGTTATTTTTGGTCAGCTTTTGTTTTTGAAGTGCGATGTACTACTTGATATTTATCCGCAGTAGGCCCTTAGGCTAATACTCGAAATCTTTCTTCGTAATCCCATAGGCTTGTGACGAAGTCGTCTCTTATATGAGAGTTCAACACAAAAGACGACCGCTTCGCCCAAAACCTAGCGGCAAGACTGCTCCTTGTTACTGGATCTCGTGAGGAGTGGAGTTATACTCATAACGAATGGAGCGAAGACAACATGCTCTGCACATGCAGCCTCTAGTACGACTCCATGAGAGAGAAGACTCGGCCGTAAACTTCCCGCAGATTTCTACACAGTTTAAGCTTTTGACAGAGACAACAACCACACTTGCTGATTTGTTGGGAATATTGCTAGAGGCTTCAATGTAATGTGCATGATTTGAGGAAGACAACGCGAGGCGTAGACGTCTTGGCTCGTTGCAGCCGAGTACTTGCGATTTGAAGGTGATATGATAGGATAGGAAACTTGGACATGAAGTCTTTTTCAGTGAGTGGAAAGTCGGCTTCATTGGGCTTTCTTCTTTACGAGTAACACAAACTCTAAGAGACCACTTGACTACTTTTCAGCCACTACCGTGTTGCGTGGACGGAATATTAGCTTTCGGATATGTAGTAACAAGTCATACTGTAGTCCCAACATGATAAAAAACTGTCTGTACAAAATATCGTATCACTAAGCGATATCCAAGATGTAGCGGGATCGTCGGAGGTGACGCAGAGGTGTGCGGGGAACCTAGCGTAACTTTGAAAACAACGAACGATCTGGAGAATCCCTTTCACGCACCCTGCTGACACTGCAATGCATGCTCAAGTTTAGCCGTCAGATGTCTTGCGGAATTCATTCGCACCTATTGGCTCTTTCCAAAGCAATGCATTGTGAGTGGAGCTGCCAATCGCGATTCCCCTTAGACTAGGTATCAGCACTTGGAGATCGTACAACAAAGGCAGCGGATATCGGTTGAAGTAATGGGCGGAAGATAATCCGATGACAAGATGATAAAATATTTTGCCAATAGTTGTTCATGTGCAAAGGATGCGGAGTCTGCCAAGGAGACTTACAACTGAGTATAAATACGGCGAAGAGAGAGCCTAGATATTTCGGGTGTTGATTTTTTGGACCACGGCTAATCGCGAGAATGATGTTTTCCAACCTCTTTGTTGTTATCTTAGTTGCCTTATCAAGTGCCGCTGCACAAAATGGCTCGTGGCCCAACGGCCCGTTTCATACTGACGGACGTTACATCAAGGACGCTAGCAATGAAACTGTTAAGATTGCTGGTGTCAATTGGGTAGCGCACGGCGAGGTACGTCTTTGAGGGATGGGCGAGTGATAAAATTGACTAACAAGGCATAGGTCATGATTCCTGAGGGTCTACAACATAGGTCCATTCAAGAAATTGTCACCCAGATAACGAGCATCGGGTTGAATGCCATACGCCTAACATATGCGACTCAAATGATTGACCAGTTAATGGAAAACTTTGGACAAGATATCACCATAGAGAAGGCTTTCCATGGTGCTCTTGGGTTGGAGAATGGCACATACGTGCTAGATCAAGTAAATACAACCCTTCTGCAGCGCCAGCTCACATCTCTCAACTAATTGGTTTGATATAGGTCCTTTACCACAATCCGTCATTCTCCAAGAACACTACTCGACTTGAAGTTAGATTCCCAAGTTCTTGATGTCACAATACTTATAAGATTTGATTTAACTTAGTAATTAGGTATTCGACGCCGTTGCAGCAGAGTGTGCACGCCAGCACGTCTACATTCATCTAGACAACCATATGTCACGTGGCACATGGTGCTGCTCGGGCACAGATGTATGTATTCCTGTTAAAAACCCTCCTTGAAAGACTGGTGCATAACAAAAATCTCAATAGGGCAATGGATGGTGGGGTGATAGAGATTTTGACGTTGCTAAATGGATCCGTGGACATGAATATCTAGCAAACCGAGTAAGCTCTCTTTCCCACAGGAATAATTTTCTGGGTTAACGACGCGAACAAAAGGGTAAACAATGGCCATCTTTGATTTCCATTGCGTTACGGAATGAAATCAGAAAGGTCCTTACAGACCTTCGACTTCGCGATGATGCCTACACTTGGGCCGGCTGGTATGAATACATGCGCCTCGGCGCCGAAGCAATTCATAATGCGAATGAAGACCTGATTATCGTCTTTGGCGGACTGAGCTACGGACATGTGATAGACCCTGTCTTCCGACAGGAAGCTCTTACGCCAGGTGAGAAGCGTTTTGACCGATCCGATTTTGTTGGCTATGGTAACGACAAGATCGTTCTTGAGATTCACAACTACGACAACGCGAAGGATAGTTACGGAAATATTCAGTATACGCTTTACTTCGATGGTTTTCAAGGCATGAATGCCTCGGATCCCGACACCAAGGATGTCTATCCAGTCATGCTGACTGAGTTTGGACATGCTATGGAGGGCGAAGGTTACCTAAAGTCTCTAACTTTCCGCTCTGTGTTGCGCGACGTCTTACCTGATGCAGGATATTGGTTTCATTGGGTCTTGTGCGGAAGTTACTACTACAGAATATTGCGGGGGGAAAGGAAAGACGAGGAAACTTGGGGACTACTGAACGAAAACTGGACTGCTTGGAGAAACGAAGAGTTTATCAACGATTGGCTTAAGCCTCAGATTGATGCAACACTCTCTTAGTTAAGTTCTTCATATAACCAACAGTGTTTTGAATACCAGACTGAAGGACGAGTTAGTCTCGTCGCCTTCGAATACATTTGATAATGGTAATTGCAATCTGCTGGCCACAGACTTCATCGTGGCATTTCTGTTGGAGCCCACTTACTGACGAATTGGCGACATTTATGTTTCTTCAAACCAAACATCTATCTTACCAGTCTCTTTGTCATGAGTGCTGTTTGCCTTATTCCATTTGCCTTGCCCAGCGACGGCCATGTTCACACGTTCGGCCTCATCTGCGTCGTATCCAACAACGTCCTCCAGAAAGCTCTTGTAGCCGGGCCAGCTATGTTCAAGAGCCCATTTCTGTACCGCGGTCATGTCTCTGCATTGCCGATCATGACCATGAACATTGAAAGAGACAAACCCAGCTGATCCAGAGAGTGAAACGTCAATATTGCACATCAAATCATTTCTTAGGTGGTCTACACAATGCATCGTGTGTATGTCATTCCGCGGCCACTTCTCGAGCGGAATCTTTGAAATTAGCCGGTTCCTAATGCGATACTAGGGTCGTTAACATCGAAAAATACGATGATAGCGCATGAGACTTTCATACCAGACAGTGCAGGGAATGGAACACATTCAGCTGATATACTTGCAGATCAGGCTTATGGGGATGTGAAACAGTATGTGGAAGATTTCTCTGCCGTGCCCATTGGCTGTCTACTGCGACTATACCGTCGTCTAGTATCCAAACAAGTCAGCAAATGATGCATTGCCCAGAAAAGAATAATCGGCCAAACTCACATTTTTTAAGTTCGTTCCAAATTCATCAGCTTCTGGTGATGCATCTGCAGCGTCGACAATGTTATAAGGACTCTTGATGGAACTGTATTTTTTGAGGGCAAGGTCTAGTGCCGTTGTGAGTACGGAACTTGCCCTTTCCATTGAAAAGCTTACATCCGCTGCTGTCTTCACTTCCCATTGTCCCTTGGGGCTTACTTTGAAACCGCGGTAAAGCAAGAAAGCCGAGCAAGAGAACAGGCACTTGGCAGAGCCCAAAGATGAGAAGAAATTTCGTTATTGAGTTCCATCTTGAAGAACATTTCCCGGAAATTGGTTCTTGACAACGAGCACAGACTGGGTCACGCACATTGTTGTGCTCATCGTCAGGCAAAAGTCTGTACTCAGATTGTGATCGATGAGAGTTCATGCTTTTGTTTTGAGTGAAGAGAGTAAGGTATGGAAGAAATCGTCCTGGCTGGTGTTAAAAGAGTGATGAGATGATTTGACGTCAAGTCGCTTAATAAAGCAGTGAACTGAAGGGAAAAAAGAACCATGTAGACGAAAAGAAAGCATACTTTGGATAGATAGAGTGTGGAATCCAGAGGTAACATGAACACAGACGGTTTTCGAATGACAAATACAGTAGCTCAATTGCAGCTTCGGAAACGGCATAGAAATGCCCCGAGTTGCGGATAATTAGACGGGAAAAGCAGTAACCTTGTCAGGTTCGAGAAGCAAACATGCAGGTTGATGTACCCCCAACCCCAACGCACCAACTGATAGCCCCGGAGAAACGATTACCTGTCTCATTGTTTGCCATAGTTCCAACAGCCAGCCTTAGAAAGGGTTTCAGTCCAATCACAGAGATAAATCTTTTTTTTTTTTTTTTGGTTCATGTGTCACAATAAGATTTCTGCAGCTGATCCGTCTAAGCATAGGTAGTTCCAAAATTTGGCTTCATGGCGGCAAAATAATGGTAGGCCCCACGCTATTTCCGTAAGTTTTAACAAAATCTGAATTTTGATTTCAAAAAGGCTTGAATACTGAATACAGACAATCGTGATGGTATATCTAAAAGATGAAAAAGGGCGGGTTTCACTCAGTACAGGTATTGTAGTTGTTCATGGCATGATATGACTAATGAGTAAGAACCAAAAAAAAAGAATGTTTCGAAAGAAAGAAGAAAAAAAAAAAACTTGGGCAACAAGGAGTCTAAAATTTGAGTGAGTTTGATCCACCGGCGCGATATATGAAAATGAGAATGTATGAAACGAGGTAGAGCCACCGGATACGAACAAGGATTTGCGCGGGCATAACTCTCGATCCCTCATTTATAATTATAAGACGAAGGCTTCTCAAAACTATCAAGCCAAATTTAAGATCTCAATGATTCAGCCCAAGGCCACCAAGCTCCAAATCCAAAAACCTCCATGCCCACCACGCATAGGCCTAGACGTTATCTGCTGCCTTCATCACTTGATTCGAATGCCTAAAACCAGTGAAGTTAGAAAAGCAACAGTGAAAGCTGTCTCAAGGGATAGATTTTCTCGGACCTTAGTCTGCAGTTGCGTCAGTTGCATCGTCAACTGGACCTTCATCTCCAAAAGAGGCGATTGCTGGGCTCAAGTCAAACCATCTTCGGCTAACATCAGCTTGAGAATAGATGGGTAACCCCAAAACAGAAGCCAGGATAATGGTGAGTGGGAAAATGGCTTGAATGAGCCTTATGATGGGTTGAAAATAAAGATATCGGACTGATGATGTGGAATTGATAGCAAGCGAGTGCCTAGATTTGGTCCTGCACGAGTAGAGTCCTGAGAAGGCTGAGGGAATTCATAAGATCGTACAAGCCCAAGTTCATATAATAAAAAGGAGTCCGGTACTAACACACTTATAATGTCACTTGGAAACAAGAACAGAATCGTAAAGAGGAAATTACAAGATGTCACACACCATATCTTTCTGAACCCTAACATGGGACAGGCTGTAAAATTGGTAAACACGTCAGAGAAAGCTGATGCTTGGCCATAGTATTTACGGTTCTTATTCTGTGTAGGGAATCTATTTAAATCCGTCACATATGCGTTGCCCTGGCTGAACCAATGAAAGACATTGTTTGCTCTAGCTGCATCTTATGTTTGTGGGCGCATTTGACACAGCGAAGCGGTCATTAGCACCAACAGCTTTTAGAGGCATGTTTGACAGGGGTCTTCATAGACATCAACAATTTAAGAGCGATCACATGTTGAAATTAGCAAACAAACATAGGAAGTGGCGGTGTACTAAACTCTGGGCCACATCACCAACCAAAGTATGCTTTGACGGATATGCAGTTTAAGCAAACATCTAGACGGATGCGATGCGGCATCTCGTGTCCCGAAACAACGGCTCCGAGCGAAAGCAGATTTGACACTGATGAATCATTATCCGAAAGGACAATAACTCAGTGACCAGGGACAGCTGATCCAGGTTGACCAGCAATTCATCTGACGATGTTTCTCAACAAAATAATGTAAGCCTTACGTCGTCTGTTGTCAGCCTTATCGTGAGTAATAGATGCCTTGTCGTCCTAGCCCTCGAAATTTCGTCTGTTTGCGTGCTCGATATACTAAGTTTCGCAATTAGCTGGGCTGTAAATGCGCTACTGCTGTTGGCAATGGACGATATCCCATCAAGGCCCGGTTGGCTAAGGTACTTGTAAATAGCCCCCAATTCACACCCATTCTTTCCCCCCCATCTCGAGCGGTTCATGACTTTAAGATATCAACACCTATGTTCCCCAAGCTGCATTCCTGTGACTCTGATAACTGCTGGTGCGTATACCATTGTCAAGATAAGCGCCCTTAGATTGGATTATTTATTTGGTCAGGAAAGTCTTGGCTAGGCCCCTGGGTGGGTAGTTCTGCTCAAGAGGATCTGCCTGTAACCAACCGGGCCTCGATGGGATAGGAATATTCGCTCGAATGGAATGGAAAGTTTTCAGAAAAGAATCAATGCAATGGTGTTAAGGCAGACTTCTTCCGAGGTCGCGGTGGGTTTGACTCCTGTCTTTTGAAGCGTCATCGCCCGAAGTTTTCCAACTTGGGCAGCTTCATCCCGTATGTCATAACTGGCTCAGTTGTTCGGAAAGACTCCACATGATGATCGGCGGAGAGACGATAACAGCTCGGAAGAGCCCCACATCAACGTCTAGTGCATGTATAACTGCCACCGGGGGGAAGCAGTGGGTCCTAAAAGGCCCATTATTCAACATGTCAAGCTTTGTTTAATGAAATGACGGCGCTACCCGCTGGTCGGAGACGAGCCAGTTCTCAAAACAAGCGGCGAAAAAGCAACACGTGATGGTCGTAACTGACTCCCACAACCCGTGCGCTGTGCCGGTGCCGGTTCGGCATATCAATCACTCGACTTCATGAAGGATTTCGAATTCCCGAATAGAATGGCGTCGTCATCATAACTACTAACACCCCTTTCTGAGCTTCCTGCCTGGGGGGACTGTCCCGAGGAAAACATATCGCTCTAGATGACCATTACCAGTCTTCTTACAGTACCCAGGTACCTCATGCAGCTGTTTCTTTGTCTCCTTACCTAGTGGTCTGTACATTTTTGAGTTCTACACGAAACACACCCCTTTTTGATAGGTCGAAAGTAGTAGTAGTGGTTCCTGAACACGCTAGTTTTGAGATAAACAATTTTCGTTGTTCTGTTTATGTTATCTCTTCAGAAACACAAGTTAATCACTTTTTGCGTTGTACCATGGTCAAAACACAGAGTGTTGTTTCACATCACGATAAGTCGATGTACGCCTGTCAGGTGGTGATTGGGAAGTGCGCCTGCTAGAGAGGAAGAAGCATCATAACAAGGCTGAGCTATCAGAAAAGGTTGAACGTTTTCAAGAAGGTAAGGACAACTAAGATTGAGAAGCTTTGTTGTAATTCTAAGGACGGATGCGTAACAAGTCGTTGACGCTGTTGTAGAGATTAACCAGGACTACAATGACGTGTACCTATTAATCGTTAGTGTAAATGAGGTGCTAAATCAGACAATGCAAGGACCATGGCTCTAAAAACAGAAGAATGGGCCCCCACACAAGCCAGGTTCGTCCCGACTTCCAGCCCTACAATTCCGGAGCTTACATGGATTGTTTCTTTCTGTGCTTGTAGTGGACGGGATTTGCCGACATATAAATTACTTAGGTCTTTATGAGGTGTGCGCTATAAACTGGGGTTAATGCGAGAACACTAGGCTAGGACTTCACTGCGCCTCGACACTATGAGGCGTACCGGACGGGCCAAATGTGGGGAGAAATCTACGACTCCTTTGCGGCTGTAAGTCGTTGTAAATGTTGGAGTGGAATTGAGTACGACCTTCGCCCTTATAAAGAGCTCATCGTAACCCTAATCTTCCGTGTATTGAATAAGATAACCAACACTCGCTTCTTTTTCTCTTTACTCACTTTCATTCCTTGACAAGCAGAAGACATTTCAATCCTAATCATTCCCAATGCCTCACTTTTCAAAAGCTGCTGTCCGCGCTCTTGCGGCAGCTGCAAATGCGGCTTCTTTGTCCGATGTCTGCACCATCGAAAACGTCCAGAATTCTCTGCCCGCTAATGGTACCCTGCTTGGTATTGACCTGTTGCCTTCGACAGTCACCGCCGCGGCAGTTTACAACGCCACCACGGGTGGCGGCGGCATGGGTGGCCCCAGCACTGGTAGTTCTGAGACCTACACGTACTGCAATGTAACAGTCCACTACACCCACACTGGCAAGGGTGATACTGTCGTTCTCAAGTACGCTTTTCCAAGCCCTAGCGATTTCAAGAACCGATTTTATGTTGCCGGAGGCGGTGGCTTCTCCCTTTCCAGCGACGCTACCGGCGGCCTGTCCTACGGGGCTGCCAGCGGTGCTACTGATGCAGGCTACGATGCATTCAACAACAGTTACGACGAGAAGGTCCTTTACGGAAATGGTTCTATCAACTGGGATGCGACCCATATGTTTGGATACCAGGCTCTGGGTGAGATGACCCAGGTCGGCAAGGTTCTTACCAAGGGTTTCTACAGCCTTGCCAACGACCAAAAAGTCTACACCTACTTCGAAGGCTGTTCTGACGGCGGACGTGAGGGCATGAGTCAAGTTCAGCGCTGGGGCGAAGAATACGACGGTGTTGTTGCTGGTGCCCCAGCCTTCCGCTTTGCACAGCAGCAGGTACTTCACGTCTACTCTTCCGCTGTTGAGCACACCCAGGACTACTGCCCTCCTCCCTGTGAGCTGGCAAAGATAGTCAATGCCACCATCTCTGCATGTGACCCTCTTGATGGAAGGACCGATGGCGTTGTATCTCGTACCGATCTTTGCAAGCTTCAGTTTGACTTGAAGAGCGTCATTGGAGAATCTTACTATTGCGCGGAGAAGAACAACACCTCCCTTGGTTTCGGCTTCAACAAGAGAAACATCAACAAGAGGCAAGCTCAGGGAAGCACCACGAGCTACCAGCCCGCCCAGAACGGGACTGTCACGGAACAGGGTGTCGCTGTCGCCCAAGCCATCTATGATGGTGTGTTCAACTCCCAAGGTCAGCGTGCCTACCTTTCTTGGCAGATTGCATCTGAGCTAGGCGATGCTAGTACCACCTACAACTCCGACACGGGCAAGTGGGAGCTCAGCATTCCTTCCACCGGTGGCGAGTACGTTACGAAGTTCGTCCAGCTGCTCGACCTTGACAACCTCTCCGATCTTAACAATGTCACTTACGACACCTTGGTCGACTGGATGAACACCGGCATGCTCCGCTATCTCGACACCCTTCAAACCACTCTACCCGACTTGACTCCCTTCCAGTCCACTGGTGGAAAGCTCCTTCACTACCATGGAGAGTCAGACTCCAGCATTCCCGCCGCCTCTTCGGTTCACTACTGGCAATCTGTTCGTTCCATCATGTACCCCAACGTTACCGACGACAAAGCTCTTGAGGCTCTCCAGGAATGGTACCAATTCTATCTGGTCCCTGGTGCTGGTCACTGCGGTAGCAACAGCCTTCAGCCTGGCCCTTATCCCCAGAACAACATGGACATTATGATTGACTGGGTTGAGAACGGCAACAAGCCTAGTCGTCTCAACGCTACCGTCTCGTCTTCTACAAACGTCAACGCTGGTGAGACTCAGTTACTTTGCCAGTGGCCCTCTCGCCCTCTTTGGAGCGGAAACAGCTCCGACTTCGACTGCGTCAATGATGAAAAGTCCATCGAAAGCTGGACGTACACCTTCCCCGCTTTTAAGGTTCCGGTCTATTAAATACTGCTTGCGTTACTGCCCGCAAATCAACCATCTTGCTTCACGAGAATTGAAATAGCCGCACATATGACTAGCGAGGAAACAGGAGGCTCCATAAACATGGACAATTCTCTTTTATTCACATGATCTGTTTTTTGAACACTTTGTCAATCTAGGCCTGAACTTCCCAAAGATTCTTCTTTAAATACAATCAGATTTGTATTCAAGTAATATAAAAACAAATATAGACTCTCAATACCTTGTGATCATCGCTTAGCCGATCCATTATCGACTCGGTCTAGAGCAAGCGGAGTAATGCGGAGACACTTTCGCTAACGAGTCAACCTCTAACCATGTCTCTAATTTCTTTTGTAGTTCTATGCTTCGATATGTCCACCGTCATGTCTTCGCCACGTCACAGGCTCATCGTCTCTGTTCTTGTCTATAACTATTTCTCTTAGTGCATCAGTGTTGGTTAGTTGAAAGACCACGCTTAGGGACGGGTGGCGGTAGGGTTAAGTGTCGGCCGATGGTGAAACTGCGTTTCACTATGCAAAGGTTTCTAAGGTTGTGTACATGGTATAGAATGATGTGAATGGGTGGTGTAATTAGGAAAGATAAACAACACAAACTAAAAGCTGTCAGCAATAAGGAATGTTTTGCGAAAAGCGCTATCACTCTTCTCATTTATGGTTGTGGCTGTTCTTAGCAATTGTCTTGCTTAAAAGGGGTAATTCGTCCCTAGTCAACTAAAGATTCGCACACCGTGGAATTGGTAGACAACTCAAAAGAAACCCATGAACCCCGTAAAAGTATTGAGTTGAAAATTAATAAGCGTAGGAAAGGTTTGAGAATGTCTATTTATTCAGTTGAAATTGTACACCGATGTGTAGCAAACGTTTAAAATAAAGCAAATGCTGAGTATACTTACTATAGTGGCAAAAGATCATGGCATGGAGAGTATGTAGAAGCAGCAAAGGTGGTGCTTTCGCAATTCCATTTGATGATCATGGGTTTCTTTCTAAAGATGTAGCTCTGAATATATAACTTCAAGCTTTTGGCTCTATGTTGACAAATTGAAGGCTAGAAGGCTTGCATCACTTACAAGTAAGTATGGATCCCGCCAGGCCAATGTTGTCTAACTTATATAATGGCGTTGCTCACTCTTACTTAGTTTAAAAATGATAGCCACGTGTGGAATCATTGAATGAAGGTGGGGATCTAGATTAATGGAAAAACCGACCTTCGTGGTCGAGTGGAGGTGACCGAGCATAATGCATGTAAGAATTGTAATCTCAATGGCTCACTTTCCCAGGTGCTAGGCCTTTACCCTTTGCAGATTTTATTAATAGTGCGCTCCAGGCTTCTTTGTCGATAGATAGCATTGGAAACTGGAAAGGCTTGGCAATCTCGTGGCAAAATAACTTTAAAAAATAGAGGGCCTTTTTTGAAAGGAAGATGTTCGCATTAAGACATGTTAACAAGAATTGTATGCAGATCTTCAGCCCCAGCAGTAAAGCTAATCGATTTCCGGATACTCTTGAAATACCATGCTGGAAAATCGCAACAAAGTCCATTCATGTGCACTGCCTGGGTGGAAGTTGAAATTTAGTTCTAGAACTTAGCCACTCACCTTTGAAGCCTAAAGAATATGCAGATCTAGGCATGAATGCTCACTTATAAAGAGCAAACCTCAGCGTCTTTTTATTGACTATTATTCCCATTACACAACCAACCAGCTCTCTTTATCTCTCACTCGGTTGAGTATTCACTCTTTCAAAACTTAGACTATTATGTCTTCCACTCTTTCGATATTGCGGCTTTTGCCGCTTCTCTCTCTCTTTATGATTGCCGTCTCTGCTTTACCGAGCCAACACCCAAAGAGAGCCCTTGCACCCACTCACCTCGGCTGCTTTGCAGATCTTGTTGATGGCAAGCGAGCTCTCAACGGTCGGAATACCGCCGCGGACGACATGACAGTGGAAAAGTGCGCCGCATTCTGTTCAACATATTCTCTATTCGGCCTTGAGTACGGCCGCGAGTGTTTCTGCGGCAACGAACGAGATACCAGCAGCAAAGAGACAAGCCCTACCGACTGCAACTTTCCCTGCTCAGGGGACTCGAAAGCCCTATGTGGCGCTAGCTTTCGCTTGAATATCTACAGCAACCCGAAGCCTACGGTTCAGGGTCCTGCTACTACCTTGCCTGGGATCACATCTCTTGGTTGCTTCGCTGATACCATACCCCGCCAACTCCCGAGTAAAAGTGTCGCTGATGGCGGTATGACGGCAGAGCTTTGTGCGGTTGAATGCGCTGGCTACGCCTACTTTGGGACTCAGTGGTCTTCAGAATGCTTCTGCGGAAATACCGCTCCCGGAATCTCAGCACCTGCCTCTGACTGCAACATGGCTTGCGGCGGAGACTATAACGAGATGTGTGGTGGCGGCATGCGGCTGAATGTCTACAAGTTTGCTCCTACGACGTCAACAGCTGCTGGCGCACTTAGCTCTGCTGCGAGCAACAGCAACGCTCTGTCCAAGTTTGCTTATAAGTCCTGCTGGGTTGATAAGCCTTATGACCGGTCGCTGAAAGCTGTTGACTATCGCACCAACGATATGACCGTCGAAAAGTGTGCAGAGCGATGCAAGGCCCATTCATACTTTGGACTTGAGTTCTCGAGTGAGTGCTACTGCGGCGATACTCTGGCTGGTCAGGCTGCCCCAGAGGAGGACTGTAACATGCCTTGTATGGGTGCAGTTGGTCAGAAGTGTGGCGCCTCGAACAGGCTGAACATATACTCGAAAAAGACACCGTCGGCTTCTCAATCCTTGTCTTCGGTTACGTCGTCAGTGTCATCTTCGTCATCGACTTCTCAGACCTCTACGTCTGTCTCGACAACGTCCACTTCCAAGACCTCTTCAACATCGTCATCGTCATCTTCGTCGTCGACTTCCACTTCTTCCTCGTCGACATCGGTAGCCTCTTCAACTTCTAAAACCTCTTCAACGTCATCAGAGTCATCTTCATCTGTCTCGACCACTTCGACTTCCAAGACCTCCTCTTCAACATCGTCATCGTCATCTACGTCGTCGGCATCTCAGACATCTTCGTCTATCTCGTCGACTTCCACCACTTCCTCATCGACATCGGTAACCTCTTCAACTTCCAAGACTTCTTCAACATCATCAGTGTCATCTTCATCACCGGCTTCTCAGACATCTTCGTCTACCTCGGCAACGTCGACTTCCCAGACTTCCTCTTCAACATCGTCAGTGACACCCATCCCCTCGACAACTACCGGTCCCGCGATGACGACTGTCACGAACTGTCCTGCGACGGCCACATACAACGGAACGCCTCAATACTGCTTTGATTCTGGAAAGCTGCCTGGCGGTTGCGAGTATTCCCAGTGGTACATCAGTATGGGATATCCTGTCAGCCAATTTGCCTCCTCCTGCAAAGCTGAACTCTCCCGGGCTGGCTTGCCTCCAAACCCCCAGGCGTCAGCTTGCTTGGATGAAACTAAAGTTCAAAGCTATCCCAGCGTGGTCAGTTGCTTGAATGCGGCTTCAGCCTCTTTGATCTGCCAGTACGACAATAACTGCACAACGAAGACGTACTCAGTGGGCCAGATACCTACGGCTACCCCAACCACCGGCGTCGACTTGTTTAGAGACGGAGGGTTGGAATCCGGCAACATGGAACCATGGGCTGTATCCTCGGCCTCGACGGGTCCCATTGCAGATCTCGCTGTCAATTCAGTCAAGCCTCGAACAGGCAAATACAGTATCTCCATGCTTTACACAAACAAGGTCAGCGGCGCTACGTACCTCGATCGCAAACTGCCCGTGAAAGTTGTGCCTGGCAAGACACACGTGTTGGAAGTCTACTGCTGGTCGAACAGTTCGACCTCGAATACCGGTTTGTGGCTCTACGCACGGCCCGGCACAGGCCAGGGTTATTTCGGCACGTATTACGCAGAGTCGAAGTTCCTAGATGCTCCGGTGAATCAATGGATGAAGAGAACGTTGACTTTCAAACCTATCTCATCGTTCGTAAATATTCAGTTGTCTTTCACCGGCAGTATCGTTGACACTATCGGGAGCTCCAAAGGTGTTAATCAAGTCTACATTGATGACATCACACTCACTCAGGTGGATTAGGAAGCATTCTATCATGTTTCGGATGGCGAGGATGCATCCGTCGACCTCATGTTCTTTCTTTAATTACTGTTCCCTTTTTTTTTTTTTTTAGAATAGAGGCGTTTATTATCTTTTTAATCTTAATTCGTTTCATAATGGAATCACTGCTCTTAAAAATGTTCATACCTGCACAAGACCTATTTCACTTACAGTGACTATCGCCAGAAGTAATCTTGCAAGACCCGAAATTCAAATACAAATCCGTGTTTCGACGATATTTTGACGCAGCATTTTTAACTTCCTTAGACGTTCGTAGTCTAGATAATAGAGTGCAATATCTAAGCTACAAGCTCGCTGAAAGGGCAACAAACAATGCAATTACTTTACTCTCCTAATACCAACTTCTTCCCGGGCGGTTTGCCTTGGAAGATCAGTTCAATAAGTATTTGAACGAGCTCGTCTATCATAATACCTCGGTTGTAGCAGGATAACAACCTCAAGTACTAAGCTAGATTCGTGGTCAGGGGCTTCCGCGCATCAGGCTGGAACCGGGAGGAGCTCAGTAGGTTCATCTGATGATATCACGTCACGCAATCAAAACACGCACAGGCCGGTTCGTCAAGTTTACAAAAGCCCAAGGGACCTGTTACAATAAAACAAACACATAAAACAAACTGAACGTGTTTTGAAATGTATTTAAGCATACACTGTACAAGTGGCCGATCAGGATGCAACTTGTGCTTACAAGTTCCGGAAAAACCACGTCGCCGCTGCCAGTGTTACATTCCAAAGAGCTAGAACGTAATGCCGTTGCATCCTCTTCCGTCACTGATCATGAACCAAATTCTGTGAAGAAAGGTCTAACGTTACTTAGCAATTGACCATCCACCGTAGATTTGTATGTGTGTCACGCAGAGGGAATGATCCCATGGAAGCTCAGCACTCACTATTCGGTGATGCTGTTTTCTACCCCGAGTTTTACACTCGGTCATATCACGGAGATGGAACACCCAGTAGTTAACAATTCGAAATTGTACGTATTACAAACTTGGATTGGACGTAAGTACATTGCGCTATCTCAAGACATCATAGACTACATCGCTGTCTCTCTTTAATAAGTTAGAGACTATCGATCACAATGCGTACCGTTGTGTTTCACTACTTTTTTTTTTTTTTTTCGTTTCGTTAACCTTTCTTTTAATGACATCTTAAAGACGGCTGGGAAGGTTGGAGTTCTTCTTCACGTCGAAACGATCCAAGTTCATGACCTTATCCCAGGCTCTGACGAAGTCGTTGACAAACTTCTGGCCGCCGTCAGCCTGGCCGTAAATCTCAGCAACAGCACGCAGCTCGGCCTGAGAACCAAAGATGAGATCGACACGGGTGGCGGTCCACTTCTTGGCACCGCTCTTACGGTCACTGCCCTCGAAGACGTCAGGGTTGCTGGTAGCCTTCCACTCAGTGCCCATATCGAGCAGGTTGACGAAGAAGTCGTTCGTCAGGGCACCAGGGCGGCTTGTGAACACGCCGTGCTTGGAGCCGTCATAGTTGGTGTTCAGCACACGCAGACCGCCGACCAAGACTGTAAGCTCGGGTGCTGAGAGGGTGAGGAGCTGTGCCCTGTCGACGAGATAGTTCTCAGCCGGGACGCGCTTGGTGGATTTGCCGTAGTTGCGGAAGCCGTCGGCGAAAGGTTTCAGGTGGTCGACTGATTCGACATCAGTCTGCTCCTGGGAGGCATCGGTACGGCCTGGTGTGAAGGGAACAGTGATCTCGTGACCCGCGTTGCGAGCGGCCTGCTCGACACCAGCGACACCTGCAAGCACAATCAAGTCGGCCAGCGAAACCTTCTTGCCGCCGGAAGCGGAGCTGTTGAACTTTTGCTGAACCTGCTCGAGCGCCTGTAGGACCTTCTGGAGGTGAGCAGGGTTGTTGACCTCCCAGTCCTTCTGAGGAGCGAGGCGGATGCGGGCACCGTTGGCGCCGCCGCGCTTGTCACTTCCACGGAATGTAGAAGCAGAAGCCCAGGCAGTGGAAATGAACTTGGAAGGGTCAATACCGGTGCTGAGAATTTCCTTCTTCAGAGCAGCAGCGTCACGGTCGTCAATCACAGGGTGGTTGACGGCAGGGACGGGGTCCTGCCAGACGAACTCCTCGGTAGGAACCTCGGGGCCGACGTAGCGGGATCGGGGGCCCATGTCACGGTGCGTCAGCTTGAACCAGGCCCTGGCAAAGGCGTCGGCGAACTGGTCAGGGTTCTCGAGGAAGCGGCGCGAGATCTTCTCGTACTCCGGATCGAAGCGAAGCGACAGATCGGTGGTCAGCATGGTAGGAAGGTGCTTCTTGTTGGGGTCGAAGGCATCGGGGATGATGCGATCGGCATTCTTCGCCACCCACTGGTTGGCTCCCGCAGGACTCTTGGTGAGCTCCCAGTCGAATTGGAAAAGGTACTCAAAGTACTTGTTGCTCCACTTGGTCGGTGTCGCGGTCCAAGTGACTTCGAGACCAGAGGTGATGGTGTCGGGGCCCTTTCCAGAGCCGTGCTTGTTCTTCCATCCCAGGCCCTGCTGCTCAATGGGGGCACCTTCGGGCTCCGCCTCAACATTGCTGTCGGGGGCGGCACCGTGAGTCTTACCGAAGGAGTGACCTCCGGCAATGAGGGCAACGGTCTCCTCATCGTTCATGGCCATGCGGCCAAAAGTGACACGAATGTCTCGGGCAGCGGCAACAGGGTCTGGGTTGCCATCCGGACCCTCTGGGTTCACGTAAATCAGACCCATGTGCGCAGCACCGAGCGGGGACTCGAGCTCGCGGTTGTGAATATCGGTTGTGGTCTCTTGCGAGCCGTCCAAGACTCCGGAGCCGGACTTGCCCTCATGACCGTGGGCATAACGCACATTGTTGCCCAGCCATGTGGTCTCGCCACCCCAGTAGACAGACTCATCAGCCTCCCAGGTATCAGGACGGCCACCGGAGAAGCCAGCAGTCTTGAAACCCATGGACTCGAGGGCTACATTGCCGGCCAAGATCATGAGATCGGCCCACGAGATCTTGTTACCATACTTTTGCTTAATAGGCCACAACAGACGGCGAGCCTTGTCAAGACTGACATTGTCTGGCCAACTGTTGAGCGGGGCAAATCGTTGCTGACCCTGTAGAACGAGCCGACGATCAGTTATGAGAACCATGTGGTCAAACCGGAGTCGAATCCGAAGGCGGGGCGACTTACCTCTCCACCACCTCCACGGCCGTCGTGGACACGGTAGGTGCCGGCGCTGTGCCAGGCCATGCGAATAAAAAGACCACCGTAGTGGCCAAAGTCAGCGGGCCACCAATCTTGAGAATCGGTCATCAAGGCCGTGAGGTCCTTCTTGAGACCCTCATAGTCAATGGTCTTGAAAGCTGCGACATAGTCGAACTCCTGGCCCAAAGGATTGGTGACGGGGGTGTGTTGGCGAAGAATGTTAAGCTTCAAAGCATCGGGCCACCAATCGCGGTTCTTGGTGCCGCCGCCGCCAGTGTTCATCAGGCGAGTAGCTGGACACTTGCTCTCTGCCATGGTGTCTGACTATCCGTTATTCTTCTGATGGAAAAAACTACTGGTGTGGTAATGATGATGGCAATTTTTGCTTATTCAATTGGTGAAGGAAGAGACAGGAAGCAGGGGAGGAAGAAAAGGGAATCGCTCGCTCGTCATAGTGACAGGAGAGGGACGAGGACCCCGCGTTTTATGGCTTTGGGCCATGGCCACGCCCCCCGACCCCTCAATCATTTGCATGACCAATAGTCAGAATCTTGTTGGAAGTGGGAGGGGGGGGGGGTGGTCGAGGGCCGAGTGCATAGTGAAGGCTACTGTGCGCTCACATCTATTACCCGATTATCTTGCACTAACGTGTGACAGCGGCCGTCTATGCCGTACTGCAGTCTAGTGTAAGTGGAGAAGGACAATGCGAGGAGGCGTGCGACTTCCAGAGCGCGAGTGTGGTGTGACAAATGGTGGCAGCTTGGCCAAGCCATGGATGGCGATGATTTCAGGGTCCAGGCGCGTTTGTGAGAGAGAGACGGCACTCGATTAACCGTGGCAAACCCCAGATGACATTCCATTTGTTCTCTCGCCGCTGACATTACTGGCCCTCAGACAAAGGGGTACATGAGGATTGTTCCTTTGTTAACAGTTTGTTAAGAAGCAGCTAAGGCGCGTCCTAGTCGCTATGACGCTTACAATGGGATGGTTTAAAGCTCGGCTTAGCAGGCTTCGGAGAGATTACCATGTTTGTCCGTTAGCACCACAGTCTCAAAAAGATGCAACAATACAGTGAGCTTGCGTGACCGGCTTGGAACAGTAGCTTGGGCCGAGTTAAAATGCCGTGCGGGGAGGGGCCCTCCCCCGGTCCATGGGTGGGAAGCCTGGGGAAAAGGGTATGCAGATCGACCGACACACAACGTCTTGTCCAATCGAAACAGACATAATAAGCAGAGCTCATGTGGAACAGAACAAAGGTGACTTTGAGTTGCAATGTTGTGGGGGCGCCTCCGCCTTTCTCCGCTCTGTCTGTTCACATTCCGTTCGCTCCGAGCCGGCTGCCCCAGCTTGTCCACTTTCTGTTCTCCAGTGTTGGCTTGTCATCGTGGGTATCAAGAATTACGCCGAATGTGAATGGTTCAAACCCCCCGATCAAAACGAAACCCCGCAAAACGCTGACCGCGTCGTGGCCGCATGTTGTTTCGTAGCAGTGAAGAAAAATGAGCCATGCAGAAGCCCACAGCGCCCGGACCTCTTACGCGCCCTCGCTATATATATACAAGTACATAGAGCTGCATGAGAAATCGACCAGGGTGAGCTTCTTGACGAGCTCTGCGACGTCACTTTACCCCACCTTGTTTCTTCCAAGTGGTAGAGCCAGTCTAAGACATTTGTCCTTTGATTCGTAGTAGACTGGCGAATTTCGACGACAATGGAACGTTTCAGGAATGGGAGGAACACATTTACCTACTCCCTTGTAGTATAGGTTGAGACATCACAGGTTACCTAGGAAACACAGGTAACGATAGGGCTAGCTCAATAATAATCAGAATACATTTACATAGGCATTACCCGCACAAAAGGAGTACACAAGACACCCCGATTATCTTTGCAACCCTTTCGCCAGATGAACCCAACAGCCAGCTCACATTGGATCTTCCACTGATGCGGGTTAGAACCTTCTCCAACTTTGAAGGCCGCTGACCACTGCAGCACCCAAGCTTCTTCCCCGCGCCGGGCAATTCCGGGATTCGAGCGAAACATCCCCGACTCATGTTTCCCCCCTCCATCACACTGGTAGGCCTGCATCACGAATGCGATCACAGCCATTCATTGATGTTAATGACATCAAGATGTAGTTGATTGAATCTAGCGTCAGCTTGTGCATCCATCCAGCCCCAACATAACACAGAGGAGTGACTAGGTGAGGGGTCTATTCGGGGCCGCTGGACTGAGAATAAGAACATTGAATGAATTGCTTACGGCTGCCCAAAGACCAAGGGTTGCTTGATCAGACACTGACAGCTGAGTTGATAGGTTCCAGGACATAAGATATACAGCCCTGAACCTAGTCATCGGCAGTTATACTCTTGGCCCCTGCAATCAATGGCCGCCATGAGGTAGAACAGATGATGTGCAAGAAACTCTGCCACCTGTGTTCCAGATATACGATCTGTATGTTCAGCCCCAATATTTATCAGTAGAGCTTCTATTTGTACAAGTTTGCGGCCACAGACAGACACTTAACAATCCGTTACTGCAGCTCCATCAATTACTATTTTAGATACGCGGTGGACAGAAACTTCTCAAACATACTCAATGCAATAAAGAAAAATAGGCTTGAATGGTCATCCGGCCAGCCGCTGTCCTTCGTATCCCTTCTACATCTAATGGCTAATCTGGGAGATGTATTTCTCCTATTCAATCAAGGCTTTTATTTCACTGTACTACACAGATGGCGCTATTATTTAAAGAATCCATCGTTTGTCTGCTGCTTATGTATTCGTATGTGATTCCTCTCTGAATCCTTTGACATAGTCGTAACTCTGAGTTGAAGTGGTTCTGTTGCCGCCAAGCTGCTGGCTGTTGTTCACCCAGGATTCACGTGGCCAGGCAACCTCAACTGGTAACCATGCAACGGGGTACTGGAAAATAAGTCTCTTCCAAACACTTTCATCCGCCTTTCTAGAACTTCTTCATCTATACGACTGTCGCTGCACCTTGACAAGGATCGATCTTCTCATACTCGTACTGATAACTGTGGAAATCCTTTCTTTAACTTCAACTAGCCAACTAAAAACAAAGAAGACATAGACGCGTCTAATCCACATAGCGTAAAGTATGACAGATAGTATGTCGCAGATGTCTGCCATTCACGTCCATTCCCATTTGAACCTTGTTTCTCATTTTATTAGTCATGTTCTACCAGAACTCTGATCGATTTCTCTACATACATGCAGCCAGTTGACCCATTACTACCAATCAGACCAGAGAAGGATTGGACTGGACCCGGAAAGCCCCCAAGAGCGTCAAGAAGTCAACTTCAAGGGAGGGCTTTTGTTACCATTGTATGGTTGCGAGCTTCAATCTGGCCTTTGACAGTTCCATTCGACATCTCATTATACCCAGCGAGGACGAGTTTGACGTTGAATACGCGAAAAGTTTCTTAGACAAGGAGGATGTCCTGTCTTCGGCCATCTTCTACCCATGCAGGGGCTAGGATGCGTCCCCAGCCGACCCGCTGGTAGACAGATCTTTCGCAGCCTTTAGGGTCGATCTGGCTTACAAACAAGCACCACAGATAGAATGGCTCCGCCGTGTCCACGGGCGGCATATACCATGGCGTTGCCGACTCTTTGAAAAGCGGTAGGCAGCTGATCGGCCCAGTCGTCTTTTCCCTCTCGTCGAAGGCGCACCAGCCTATGTTTCTCCATTGCTGATCTACCAGCAAATAATGCTGCTCGAAATGGTTCGAGTGATTGCACCAGCTGATGCTACCAGGGACCAGATATCGCAGCTTTTCAGATTCTGGATCAATGGCTTGAAGGTCCTCGAGGTAGGATGGGAGACAGTCGAATGGCCCCGCGATGGCATCCACTTCTTTTACCAAAGATGATTCAAAAGTCAAGGCGCCTGGCCACTCGGATTGATCATCTGGTCTGATCCGACCGCACAGTGCTCTCATTCCCGTTGTCGCTTCCTCGTTCTCCCTCATCATAAAGTCGAGGCTGCCTGTGACCGAAGCCCACGACCACGAAGGCGCTCCTTCCACATCACGCACCAGCTTGTCGTTGCCGTGTCCACTCCAGAACCACGCAAGGCACAGCGGCATATCTTCCAGGAAGAGTCCATAGTGAGGCGTCTTTCCAAGTTTGCTACCCCACGAAGACGCAAGACCCTGTATTGCGATAAGCTTATCAGACTTGTAGGTGAGCTCGCGTTTGGAATAACTTCGAATAATGTTCTCCCATGTGTTTGGAATTGGATGAACAGACTGTTTGCCAGAGTCGTACTCTGACACAGCGACGGCAGGGTCGCGGGAACATGTCCAAACGACACCCCACTTGGTGAAGTGTGCAGTTCTACGCGCGAGAACGTACTCCTGGAGGACCCATGCGCGAGTATTTAACGGTCCATTGTCAACAAGACCCTTCGGCCCACGGGAATTGTAAGCAAAAACTCCGCTGCGGACGTCCCCTTTATAAGGCACGGGCGCGACGTCATCTGGCAGCCTGACCCCAAAGAGGCCTTGGCTTGAGTCAGTAGCCGCCGAGGCTGCGATAACAAGGAGAGCTTCCTCGTAAGTGCGGCCCATGATGGCTGCTTCCGTCTTCCAGTCCGTCGCATCGTCCTGGACGATGCAGAGGGAATCGATCCATAAGTATTCGATACCGAGATCAGAGCAGAGTGCACACGCATCTCTGAAGGTTTGCGAAAGCGTGGTCCATGGAATACCCTCCTTGTGGTGGAAAAGATTGCCCTTGAGCGTGCAAGGGGGCCGTTTCTCAGGCGGGCCCCAGCAGTGGCTGAGCGCTGCATACTCAACTGCAAAGCCGGAGTTCTTCTCAATTTCCACGAGCCGTATCTTCAATGGCAGCTTCTCTCCTCTCGCAGGAACGACATGTAGCAACCGTCTGGGAGCTACGGATGTCCCTCGTTGTTCCACATCGTGCCCTGAGAAGGACATTCGACAATCACGATGTTGAGATAAACAGATATCTAGGCGTTTTCTAACGAATTGACTAGGCCGTGGTGCATGGGGATCTAGGGCCATGGAGAGGTCAGACTCAACGATTTCGCCGCTCAGTGACGCCGGGCTCCCTGGCTTGCAGGTCAGCAAGAATCGGTCTTCAAAAAGTGGTTTACACAAGTGTGTTCAAAATAATGCAACTGACCTTTCTCGGCATAGAGTGGGATCTCGAACTTCAGCTTCCCTGGCCCGACAACATGTATGCTACCAAACTTGGTGGGCAAGACTCTCACTGGCCGTACTTTCCATTCCAGAATTTGCCGATAAAACTTTACGGGAGTTTCTGCAAGGTCTTCAACCGGCCCCGTTTCTGTCAAGTACTGCTCAGCTTGGGCGAAGCTTCTGAGATGTAACTGTACAAGACAACAGAAGGGGCATGCCAAGGCGGCACCTTCGCAAATCTGGCGAAGGGTGGCCTGTGGAGGAGAGCCATCCGTTCCCGGATCTGATGAATCAAAAGCGGGCGGTAAGCAGTCAACGTCTAGCCTCCTGCATCGCTCACACAAATCCATGTTGGTATCTGCGAAATAAAAGTGCAACCTGGACTAAAGAAGCAGAAGACACAAGTCGTAGATGCTGATGACGGGGGATGGTGAGGTTGCCGACCAGGTAATAATTACAGCCCAACATAAAAGTATTACAAAATGCGGTTTGGATATTACGTAAGCACTCTGTGCACAACTCTCTCGAATGCCGACTATGGCTGGTTTAAAGACTGGATGCCTTAGTATATAGATTTTACTTTCTACTACGTAAATTATAGACTTACTGTTCGTAATAGGTAGTAACTATTCATAATAGGTATCATAATGGCTACCTGATATCGGGGCCGTTAATCTAGTAATTCCTAGCCGTTTAGAAATAGACAAACAGCCTTCTTTTAGTTTTTAAGCATTTTTTGTGGGTTTCCGACCACCATCCCCTTTCTTTTTCTTCAATATTGCCAGAAGCCGACTAAATCCCAACGCCTTGCTTATGATTACGACTCGTTTCAGTGTTTTTCTTTGGTCCAGCCTTTAATCCCCCTAGCGAATGTATTTAATCGTTCGTCGATTGACGCCGTTTCCGTTTTTGCCATAATATCAAACCTATCATTGTCAAAATTGATGCTGTAGCTGAACGCCAGGTTAGTGTCGTATCAGTGTCGCTGGAACAGTCGTTTTATACCTATACCACCAAGAACGCCGATCACAACTACACCGGCTCCCGTCGTAAATGAAACTCCCGGAGTTGGCGCAACTGTAGATGGCTGCGGTTTTGTATCATCAATGCCACCTGGACCCGGTGCGGTAGAAGGTACGGGGGCCGCAGTGACTGTAACCGTCTGAGGTGCCGCAGTGACGAAGATGGTATTTGTAGGACTTGAAACAACTCCAAATGATGTTGCGGTTGTTGAAATAATCAAGGTCGTCTGTTGTGGTTTGGACGTCGAGGAAGATGAGCTAGTGTCGCTAGGACCTGCAAACCCTGATGTGAACGTCGACGGCCGTGTAGGTTGGGGAGTCAGCGGCCTTTGGCTCGTTATTGTTGATGTTGGATGGATTGGTTCAGGTAAATTCGACACAATTAGGGGCCGATGTGGAGTGAGCGGCCCTGGAGGGGTTTTTGGGCCATCGGATTGTAGGGTACGACGAACGGTATCCAAGTCGAGATTTGGTGGTGGAGGTGCTCTCTTTCTAGTTGCCAAGGAGCCTGCCATTATGTGTACCGACAATTGAACATTAGCTAAAGATGAGTTACAACCAGTTGAAGCTTAGCAAGTTGTATGGAAATTCATAAGCCGGTAAGTAGGTGATAAGAACATGAGCATGGTCAATAATATAGCACTAGAACACTATGATGTATTATCTGAGTCAAGCAAGCCCTCGTTATGTTTCAAACAGGTTATAAGTTCTGTGAAGCAGAAAGTCATAACACTTACCGTGTCCTATGATAAAGTCAAATCACTACGTAACAGTGGCTGAAGTGACAGTGGAGTCTAGGATTCCGTTCTTACACGTCTCGAAATCGGGTCAACAAAAAGAATTTTCCCGGGGACCATTCGCAGTGTATAAATTTGGTCCCCGAGGGCTACCCGATGTTAAAACTATCGCTAGTGTGTTATGGAAGTTGGGAAGCTCCTATCATCGTAGCCCTAGTGACACATGTCATGTCCATTCCTGGTTTTAAATTTACGGAGCCGCCTATCAGTGTTTCAGACTTACTGATAGACCAGCCAGTAGAAATAGAATGCGAGAATATTTGAATGAAAGTCAATTGCGCAAGGCTGCTCGGTTTCCAGGAAACATGCATGAACTACGGTTGAAACTCTGATATAACCTCTTCGGCTATTTATGGTAGCATGTACGGCCACTGGGAAAGTCCACACGATTCGTGACGTTGGCATACTCTCCTGACGTATTCAGTGGCTTACATATTTGCAATCTGAGAACTGTTTTGTTAAGAGATGGGCGATAGAAAAGATGAGGACAAAGTTCATGATCTTTCTGTCCTGATCTGATATCCAGCTTTGTCTACACTACTTGAGTTGCAAGGCCCCGAGAGTTGAAATTGCGACCCAAAACTCATCATCATCACTCTTTGCAACGCCATCTACATCTACTGTGTCCCCTCTTATGCAGCATAGCGTAGGCAGTAACACCTCAGTCGCTGCTATGAGTAGCCTACGTCTTGTCACGAGCGAAACCGACAGCCAACAGCGCCAAGGAAGTAGTAATCATGTATCTTTCACCCCGGATCATGTGGGAGTCAGTGGGAGTATTCACCCTAGAATCTCGGCGTCTGCAAGCTCGACCTACCTGTATCAATTGGGTTCCCGAGCAATGTCGCTGACATCTGTACCAGCAAGCGACACTGGCAGTAACGATGACCTTAGAAATCCATTTGACGACACAAACTCTGCAGAGCAATCACCGGCGAACGAATCTCGTAATCCGTTCGACGATTCAAATGCACAGGAAGACTCACCGGTACAGTCAACCGACCAGCCCTACCATGTCTTCACGAGAAGACAAAAGTGGTTTGTCATTAGTATCATAAGTGCTGCTGGCTTGTTTTCTGGCCTATCATCAAACATCTACTTCCCCTCGCTCGACGCTATTTCACGAGTGAGTAATTCAAAAACTCCAAAAACTCACGAGGATGAGAGCTGCTGACCTTGGCATAGGACCTCCATGTGAGCCTTGAAATGGTCTCACTGACGATTACGTCGTACCTCATTATCCAAGGCATCTCTCCAATCATCTGGGGCTCCATCTCCGATACCCTAGGGAGGAGACCCATTTACATCGCTTCTTTCTTTGTGTACATCACAGCCAACATCGGTCTCAGCTTTTCGCCAAACTTTGCTCTCCTCATGGTTTTCAGAGGTCTGCAGGCAGCTGGAAGTGCTTCGACCGTAAGCATTGGTAAGTTTGAGTGGTGAATGCCTAACCCCTTCTTCAGCAACTTTCGGTGTCATCAAGTTCTGACTAAGGGATAGGAAATGGTGTTATCCAGGATATCTCGCCTCCTCAAGAGCGGGGAGAATTCATTAGCTTTTACCAGGCGAGTAAGTCGTGGCCTCCCGTTTCACTTGTTAACTAGTGCTCGGAGTTGCTTACTCGGAGCTATCTCAAAGTCCGAAACTTCAGTATCGCAGTTGGGCCTGTGCTCGGCGGCTTGCTCGCAAATTTCCTCGGTTTCCGATCTATTTTTGTTTTTCTCTTGATACTTTCGTTAGTAGTCACTACTGTGATCATAGTGTTCTTGCCCGAGACAATGCGAAGCATTGCCGGGAATGGCTCGATCCGGTTGGAGGGCATTTACAAACCTCTGGGCCGTTATGTCACTCGAGCATCGAACTACCAGTCAGAGGATCTTAGAGGTCCACTTTCACGGAAGAAAGTAACACTGGCTACATTTTTGGAGCCTCTTTACCTTCTGATACAAAGAGATATACTCATCAATCTTGTCTTTGGGGGCGTGGTGTATACCATCTGGAGTATGGTTACATCAAGTACTACTGGACTCTTCAAACAGCTGTTCGGCCTCAGCGATCTTCAGATTGGGTTAGCGTTCTTGCCCAATGGTACGTATTTATAACATCATTGATTTTCAAATGGAAGCTTAAGACCTGCAAAATAGGGTTCGGAACCATCGTGGGCTCGACTATTGCTGGCAAAATCCTAACACATGACTATCTACAAATAGAAGAAGCGTACATGGCCACGCACGGGCTCGAAGAAACCGAGAGGCTAACAACGAAAAACATGCCTGCCGACTTCCCTATAGAGAGGGCCCGTCTCCGTCGTTTACCCTGGATCGTTATGATTTTTGTCATATCGACCGGCGCCTATGGTGTCTCTCTTAACTTTCCTTCGATCGTATTTTTGAGAGGCTGGATAGCTGTGCCACTTGTCCTCCAGTTTCTTATCGCTGCGACAAGTAACGCCGTCTTCGCTCTTAACCAGACGCTTGTCACAGATTTGTGCCCGGGAAAGGGGGCGAGTGCTACTGCCATCAATAACTTGGTCAGATGTGGATTGGGTGCTATTGGTGTGGCATTAATCGAGACCTTTATAGCTGCAACCGGACCTGCAGTAACATTTCTCGGTTTGGCACTCGTCACAATTACGGTCGGACCACTAGCCGTTATACACTGGTATTGGGGCCAGCACTGGAGGTCCCAGAGAATGAGAGCTAAGGAAACAGCTAAAAGTGAGAAGATAACCAGAGCCACAAGGTAAGATAAGGTCACCTAGTGCTGGTGGATATTATGGCACTCATCATAACTAGAAAGCAAAAGCAGAATATATTCAGAGTATGTTTGCTCTGTTAATGCACATAAATAGACAAAAAAAGACACTCTTTATTAGATTTGTACCAGTCTAGTTGTCAAACAATTGATTTGATGAGAATTGGGAAAGTTCTTTGCTCAACACAACCTCAAATTTCAAGATGGAGTGGATATATATTGGGATTTCAAATCTCCACGACAAGTTGCATAAAACTGGATGAGGGTTGTTCGGATTCTTTCGATGCTGCGACGAAGGATAGACCATAAAGTAATTATGGCTCAATTTTTACGGGGAAAGATGCCTTGTTCTTTTTCCAAAATACGGCACGCAGTTAATTCAAACTCTAGGAGTCTTGATGTTTCCTTTACGTCTCGTAGTGGTTACACAATCAACTCTCTTCGAGGCAGGCTACAGCTCATTTGAAGGGTCGTTGCCTGCTGTATGATCTGATGGAGCACCAATGATTAACCAAAGGGGATTTCCATTTATTGATATTCGTTTCTTTTGCCAGATACACCCAGTTCGTCAAAGTATTCTTGTTTACTCTTATCGTGCTTTTTTTCGTTTTGGCCAGACTCTCAGAATGTGCATCACAATTGGAAGACATGGTATCCGATAGCGGCTTCAGCTATGGTACCTAAACAACACAATTACATTAACAAATGAATCGTCATTCAAATCACAAATAAATCAAGTTTAATCTCCCGCGGCACCTGCATTGAGACTATCCCATACGTGATTGTTCTCGGATTAGATTGTGCTTTCGGCTTTCGGTTTCCCGAGGAATTTCGGCTTTCCCGAGCGGGGGAGGCCGATGCCGCTGGAGACACTGTTATCGGTCCGCCGCTCGGGACAGCTCCCAACAATTCCTATATAGCCAGAGACCAACGCGTGTTTGACCTAGTATCTATGAAGCTCATAATCTTTAATTATACTGACCAGTTGTTCAATCGGATACTTCGACTTGTTTATCCTCACATTACACACTTGTGCAGCGTCTTATCGCAATGACCACCGTAGAACCCCCCACTGCAGGCGCAGATGAAGGAGCCGCCACAATTCAACAAAAGTTGAACCGATATATCGACAAGTACACATCAGAGAACACAAAATCACGCCAATGCAACAAAGATGCGTCGGCTTCATTGCCAGGCGGGACAACAAGATCCGTCCTCTACTACGAACCCTTCCCGCTCTCATTTTCTGGAGGCCATGGCTGCAAGTTAACGTCGGTCGACGGGGATGAATACCTCGATTTCGTTTCCGAATATTGTGCCGGCATGTTTGGTCACTCACATCCCGACATCATTGCAGCCATTGAGAGCGTCACCAAGTCAGGCTTCACTCTTGGCGGCCCAGGCCCTATGGAGGGCGAGCTTGGGAAGCTGCTGGTTGACAGGTTCCCAAGTATTGACGCCATCAGATTTTGCAACTCCGGGACAGAGGCAAACACAATGGCAATTGCCACTGCTTTACACTTCGTCGGGAGGAAGAAGGTTGATAGCTGCAAAACTAAACTTATTGGGATAACTTTACTGACACAATTGGCAGATTTTGGTATTTGAGAATGGCTACCACGGCGGTACGCTATCATTCACACCGGGAAACCCGTTGATTCTGCCTCACGATTTTGTTCATGGCCGTTATAACGACATCGAATACACAAGACCCAAGATTACCTCAGACGTCGCGGTCATCATTGTGGAGCCAATGCAGGGTGCGGCCGGCATGATTGCCGGATCCAGAGAGTTTCTACAATTTCTCAGAGAAGAAGCGACACGTATTGAAGCAGTCCTTATCTTCGACGAAGTCATTACCTCTCGTCTCAACTACGGAGGCCTGCAGGAGGTCCACGGAATCATTCCTGACATGACAACTATCGGCAAGCACTTCGGAGGAGGCTTTTCCTTTGGTGCCTTTGGCGGAAGAAAAGCGATTATGGACTTGTATGATCCTCAGGCTCCCCGTAGTCTATTTCACTCGGGGACGTGGAACAACAATGTCTTTTCAATGACAGCAGGTGTCGCGGCGACGAAGCTACTTTCAGGATCGGCTTTGGAAAAGAACAATAGTCTTGGAGACAGGCTTCGGGACGGCCTGCGTACTGTTTTTGCCGCAAAAGATGAATCGATAGTCACTCTCACTGGCCTCGGTAGCGTCATTGGCGTGCACTTCAACGGCTCTTCTGCAGATCATCTGCGAGATTGTTTCTTCTTCTATTTGATTAGCAAGAGGATATATGTCGGCCGTCGCGGTTTCATTGCCTTAAATATCACTCATGAAGAGGAACATGTGAACAGGCTGCTTGAGGTGGCCCGAGAGTTTTCCAACGAAATTCTATAGAAAGGAGGGAAAGAGTCTACGGTCTTATCTGAAGAACAAGAACACATAAATTGAACATATAATTACAAGCATTCTCCTGTTGTTGTGATATCTGAGTACCAAACTGTTTGGTTATTTCCGACGCATTGGTATACTGTGAAGCGATTGGCCGGCAAGACACACAACAATAACAAGAAGCTACTACATACGTGCCAATGAGATAGACAATCAACGACATAACGCTATTATCTCGCTTGCTTCCAGTATCCGACGTCCATCCCTAGTTGTGATGCTCAGAAAGGAAGGTTGAAAACCACGCAGGATCAAATCAGCTTGGCAATACCAGAGTAACGTCGTAGCGCACTGTTTTTGGGCCTGCGGTACGTCCGAACCCCTGTTTGTCGGAGCAGATCAGCCTATCGCGCGGGGTAACCAGTACTGATAGGGTGACTGCAACCGTGCTCTTAAACACGCCTTGCCAGCGGTTTCACCTCTTCTTGCTCACGTCATTCCAGTCTGTTCTTGCGTTCAAAATACGGACCAACCTTTCGACTCTATTCGAGCCAATACGTTCGCTGTCGTTGCTGCTTAACTGTGTCGTGTCACCGAACGGCGCTCATAATGCCGGTCATCCGCTCCCGCCGGATGGCCCCACTCCTCCAGGTCCTCGCCCTCCTCTACTTTGCCGGGGATGTCCTCGCCGAGTCCTCTCCAGGACTCCCCATGGTTATTAACACCTGGGGTGGCGCTTTTACAGCCGCTACGGACGCGGCGTACGAGGCGCTCCTGAAGTCGGGCACATCGGCCCTTGACGCGGTCGAGATCGGCTGCGCGACCTGCGAGCGCAACCAGTGTGATGGCAGCGTCGGGTTTGGCGGCTCGCCAGATGAGCATTGCGAGACCACCCTCGATGCTATGATTATGGACGGCGTGACCATGAAGTCCGGCTCCGTTGCCGCTCTGCGACGTGTCAAGAATGCGATTGGTGTCGCGCGTCATGTGCTTGAGTACACCTCTCACACGATGCTGGCTGGCGATCTGGCAACAGAGTTCGCCATTGAGAACGGTTTCACGGCAGAAAACTTGACGACAGAGGCTTCGGCTCAGAGATGTGCGGAATGGCGACGGAACAACTGCCAGTCAAACTACAGACAGAACGTCACTCCAGATCCCAAGTCTGCTTGTGGCCCCTACACGCCTGCTCAGCTTGACTCGAGTTCGCCGGATTATTTCAAGCTGATCGCCCCGAACTCTGCCCAGGCATCCCATGACACAATTTCCATGATGGCTTTGGACGCCAACGGCATCATGGCGGCGGGCACTTCAACAAATGGTGCGTCTTTCAAGGTTCCCGGTCGTGTTGGCGACGGTCCGATAACTGGATCTGGATCATATGTCGACGGAGATGTCGGTGCATGCGGTGCAACTGGGGATGGAGACATCATGATGCGCTTCTTGCCCTGTTACCAAGCCGTTGAGAGCATGCGGAGAGGCATGACCCCCCAGGAAGCCGCAAGGGATGCCGTGGTTCGCATGGTGAAGAAATATCCCGCCGTGTCTAGCGGTATTGTGGTGGTCAACAACAAGGGTGAGCACGGCGGCGCAGGCTCTGGATGGACCTTCACATACGCCTATAGAGGCGGGAACATGAACAAAACTGAAGTGGTGACTGTGCCTCCGGTGTGCATGAGTCGGTCACTGACTGTTCAGATGCCTTAAAAATACCTTTGAAAGCCATCACATAGTTACCAAGGCTGAAATGAATACTTCTGATGCATTGCACAATCGCAAAGTTATATAATTTGGTGACTGTTCTACAATCAGATGTACAGAACCGGAGAAATACACCAACGTGCAAGAAGTTCCTTTGAACATTGCATTTGATACAATCCTGATTAACCAACATTCTACGTGCCCCCCTCTCGAATACAAGGCATGGATATGGGCTATTTTTGAGTTTTATAGACCCAACCATGGATAGTACTAGTTCAAGAAACCCATCCTCTTCGCTTCATGGCTCAATGGCTTATGCGATGGAAAGCGTCATAGTGATCGGGTTACCTTTGTCCGTGCCCTTCTGGCACTGCAACGAGAATGCCTTGCCCTTGCAAGTAGCACGACCGGCATTGCAACATTCCTCCCATGTTCCCTTGAAGATATTGATCTTCTCACCAGCCGCTGCCTCGAGAGTCCAGAGAGCCTTGCCTGATGTGCCAGTGGACTTCTGCTCCGTGCCTGGGCAGTTATTAGTCGGGGCCTTGATACCACCACAGATAGCCAATTCCGCCTTGAGTTGATCATCCTTGGAAGGAGCTCTGCGAAATGTCTGTTAGAATATCTTCTCTTCAATTGCACGACCGTAAACATACGTTTCAGCAAGACATTGGACTGTTCCTCCAATGACAACCTTGGGATCAAACTTGTCATGGGGGTCCGAAGATTCTGGAGTTGTGGCAACCTTCGTTGGAGTACCCTTCTTTGGTGCCGGAGCTTGAGGAACTCGAACAAAAAGAGATATTTCCGATCGAGGAATAACCGCTACTTCGTACTTGGAGGGCATGGCTGACGCAAAGCCAATAACACCAAGCACGGTGACGAGAAAAGTATGAGAATGCATGTTGAGAATCGGTTGAATGAAAATTTGAAACGAGTGGGTTGGCTGAACGACTGGACTGTATCAAACAGACACGAATAAAAAGCAACAAGATTATATCACGGAAGTAGTAACCAGACTGACGCAAAAAGAAGAAGTGAATGATGAATGAGAGGACTTCAAATGGAAGAAAAGATGAGATGATATAGAAATTTCTTGGGATGATTTATACCTTGGCCAAGACGAGTCAAGCTCACGTCGTGCCGACATCCGTAATAGTTGTCTGAATCGACAGCGGCGATCTGAGGTCCTGTGACATCCTTTCCTACAACCTTTTTACGGACGAAGCTAGACTGTAAAGACAAACCTGATTCGTCAATTGTTCTGGTGTGCGTTAATCGTGCGACTCTACGGAAGAATACTGGGTGAGGTCGATCTGGCAGATCTGGACAAGCTTTTAGGCTGTTGCGATGCCTTTCGGCAATACGGCTCGCGGGTCATCAAGCTCGGCCAATGAAAACTGGGATAGTCTTCATGTGTATGCATCTTGAAAAAACCCAGCCAGGGGATTAGTGGAGTATCGTCACAATATGAGCAGTATTTCGATACTTGTCGTGTCGCAGGATAGGGGCAGGACACATGATACAGCCAGCCCCTACTTAGCAAGGTACTCGCGCAGATAGGAGTTGAGATCAAGCATTTCCACTGCGCCAGTGGACGGTAAGTAGCACACATGTGGATATGATCTCCACTGTTCTAGGTTGCTGGACGCGAATACTTTACTGCGTGTGCAAAAGCTCAATCATTTGATGCTAGTTGCAACAATAGCGCAAGCTTATAAAACGCATGTGGAGCCATCAAAATAGCACAATTCACCTTAAGCTTAGATGTACATTTATAGACTATTTGAAGCCACGGGCATTGCAAGGGCCAGAGTTGTCTTTCGCGATCAATCCTGGGCGCCACTGCGGGTATCCCATCTAGTGCTGCAAGGCGACAGATGCGAAGTGATCCACTAAGGGCCTTACTTCTCAAATATTCATCACGCAATACTCGCCATTCGAAAAATAAAAAAAAATCAGCGGAGTATGATTGACTAGTACCATGTTATGTGCTTGTTGTCTTGTGCCAGTCGAGGGGGTAGTTGTCTGTTGAGTAGGTAAACTACCCCGTTGCACTCCTTGCAACGATGATCTGAGACGTTGGTTTCGGTTGCAAGTAGTTGGGGAAGGGGTAGATCGTTTAAGGCAACCCCGTCGTCTAGCGAGGCAAACCATTTCAACCGAACGGATTACTCCGGACTATCAAAACAATGCGACAGGGGGGAGAATAGCAAACTCTGCCTCTATGCCTAATGTCAGGCCGATCATCCGGGGGTGAACCTTTACTGGCCCAACGTGTCCGGACAATCTGGGTCGGACTCTTATGAAAAAATAACAGTCACACTATCTTACTTGTAAACTGCCAGAGATGGCCTTTTTAGTGTCATATTGAAGAGAATATCAACAGTGCTGGATTTTACATGGTCAACTCAGGCAAGAGTCTTTTGTTTGCAGTGCACGATGAGAGAATAATCAGTTACAACCGCCATCCTAGGAAAGGCTAAAGTAAATTTAGTTTTACTTTATCTGCCTTTCTTACTCAATCTCAACTTTCACTGCTTCAAAATACTTTTCGATAAGCTAATCCCGGGAAATTCTGTCTACCTCGAAAGGTTTGGTGAACCTACCCATGCTCTTCTAGGTTGCAGCTGAGTATTGAATGTTCTTTTTAAAAGGAAAGAATGGGAAAAAGTTTAAACAGTTGTGAGTTCTAATCGACTTGAAATTGACAATCACCATAACAATCAAAGCCATGAATGGATCATAAATCTGGCCTTGTACTACGCGTGAGAGGTAGAACGCTTTTCTCGTGTGCTTCGCGAGCTTCTACCTCATTAACCTCGAATTAACTCGTAGCTCTTACAATCGAGTTCTACTGTGAACGAAAAGCCAAGCGATTTGAAGCGAGGTTGCATCTATCATCATTGTGGGGTTCCAGCACATCATCCCACGAGCTTCCTATGAACACCCTCGCTGCGGATTGCATTCAGCCAATTGTAGCATTCGGCACTTCAACATCGTTGTTCATTACCGATATCGCATACTCTTATCTCTGCTTTCAGATTTGCATCTCCTAGCTCCCTTATTTCCCTCATCATCTTGGTCATCCACTTTTCATCGGATCGGTGACAAATCTTGCCTTGGCAATCCTATTAAGCATGCATATACAGGGCCGCACTTTGCTTGGAGTCTATGGCGCAATATCGGACAGTTCTCCGCGGTAGCCTCAGATGCCTAGTTAGCCTAGGTAGGTATATATCAATCTTCCCCTCAATTAATTACTGGTTCTGCCGGCATCAGACATGTCTTCAACTTTGCGCTTTTGAAACTTCCCCTTTTCTACAGCAAAGCTGGAACAGCCTATTCATAATGGCGACAGCTGTTAAAGATTCAGTCCCTAGGGATAAGTGGTGGAAGATCAAATGGTTTTCTGACGAAGACACGCCAGAGGAACGCCGCCTGATCACTAAAATCGACATGTTCCTTGTTCCTTACAGCGTTCTCGGTTACTGGGTCAAGTACATCGACCAGTCAAACTTGAACAACGCTTATGTGGCTGGCATGAAGGAGGACCTTGGATTTTACGGCAATGAGCTAGTTCAACTCCAGACTTTGTTCACTCTTGGTTCTGTCCTTGGGCAAATTCCCTTTTTGTAATAAGGCTTCCATCCCTTAGCCTTCCACCAATACTGACGAGTTGCAGATTCATCATGACATACGTTCCCATCCAGTACTTGGTGCCCATTTGTGATATTCTTTGGGGAGTGTTTACCCTTCTTCAATATCGTGTGCACTCCTATGCCGAGTTGGCAGCATACAGATTCATGGTCGGTTGGTTTGAAGCAGCTTTCTTCCCAGCCATGCATTACGTATTCGGTAATGGCCAACTCTATTGGTTTATCTGTCAGGCGTGCTAACTTCAATTAAAAAGGTTCCTGGTACAGAGGTCATGAGATCGCACGCCGTGGCGGTATTTTTTATACAGGTCTTGCCGCCGGTACTTTGACCGCAGGTTTGATCCAGGCCGGCGCTTCGAAGTCACTGGAAGGCGTACACGGTGTGTCTCTAATATATTGCTCCTAGTATTACAGGGTTTTGAGTGCTAATATTAAGCCCAGGTATGGAGGGATGGCGCTGGATGTATATAATCTGCGCTCTCATTACCATTCCCGTTGGCATCATTGGTTTCTTCGTCATCCCAGGAACAGTCGACCAGCCCAACAAATGGTGCGTCAACGACAAGGATCTTCAGATTGCCCGCGACCGTCTCGAGAAGCATGGTCATGTTTTGCACGGCAAGATGAAATTTGGCCACATAAAAAGAACTCTTTTCGGGTTTCGCTTCTGGCTGGTCATCACAACCGATATCCTTTTCTGGAACGCCGGCATTCACAAAAATACTGGCTCCTATTTGCTCTGGATCAAGAGCCTGGGCAGATACAGTGCCGCAAGGGTAAATGAGCTAGGCACAATTTCTCCTGCTTTAGGAATTGCGTATACGCTTATTGCATGTTTTGCCTCGGATTTATTCCTTGGCCCAGCTTGGGCGATCACAATCTGTTCTTTTCTCAATGCGATTGGCCTTATCCTCCTGACGATATGGACCATCCCTGAAGGTGGGCTGTGGTTCGGGTTCGCCACGATGTATTGGTCCAATGCCCTGTCATCCGTTTTCCATGGCTGGGTTAATAACTTACTACGGGATAGCCCTGAGGAGCGGAGCTTCACCCTTGTGCTTATCAACCTGCTGTCTCAGAGCTCGACTGCTTGGACGCCTCTGCTTACTTTTCCAACAGTCGAGTCTCCGAGATACAGGAAAGGCTTTTCGTTCTGCCTTGGTTGTGCAGTTGGGTTAATTATTTTCACTTGGGTCATGCATTACTATCTCAAGAGAGATAAGAAACGTGAAACCAGAGTGGCAGGAGAAGAGGCTGGCGAACAAGATGGAAGCGATTCTGTCCTCTCGGTTATAAATGGTGACAGACAGCCCATTCAGGCTGAATCCAATGAGAAGAGCTCATCTGGAACCGCTGCAACGAACAATGAAACCAACGGCAAGTCTATTACGCAGTAACTCAACTCACCTGGTAATAGTTGCATCATAACCAAACATATCAGCTACATGTAGCTAGATAGATCAAATATTTTAAGACAATGAGACTGTTTCAAATTGAACTGATTGGCAATGAAAGTATTCTTTACCGATAGAAAGGGGGACTTCAAGCCTGCCTAATGCCATGACGTGTATGGATGCCTCAATTCCCTCGGCGTCTGCTTCGTACCCCAATGCCTGTAGATTAAACGTTTAAGGAGTCGATAGACTAGCTGCTGCAGGGCACTGGTATTAATCATCTAGAGGCGCAAGCAGTGAGCTCCGTGAAAGTCCCATACAGGTAAAAGTCAATGTTGAAGCCGTTCTCGATGTTTCAAAACGCAGCCAGTACAGTATCTTTCCACGTTGTCGGCTTGCACATCGCCAAATACCAAAATAAAGAGAAAGTAATTCGTGCCCCTTGCGGCGGCAGGATACAGGTCGCCCGAATTTGACCTGGACCCCACTACAACAGCGCGATCGTAGCATATCGCTGAGAGCTATACAATTGGAGAACTTATCAGCCAGATTTTTGCTCTGTAAGAGATGGAGTATTGTGGGGTATACGCCCTAGGACCCTCAGCAGAACGTATAGTAGTTCACATGTACGTCGGAAAAAACAGCCCATTGAGCAAACTTCTTCTTGCGACGCAACGCACATAGACTTGATTTCATTAAGCCAGACGGGTAGCACATAATAACAGAGATTCCCTCGGGCACGGAGTAAGATAATGGAAAGGCCGAGAATGATGAGAATCATGGCTAGGTAGAGAAATAGACGCGGAGTGACAAGAAAACACCGTTTACTATAAGTCACGCACTGGATCTCGCTGGCAACTAAGGCTTCGCCATCTTCGCTAACCTTAAAAGATAGTGCAGGCATCGCGTGGGACATCTCTTCTCTGGCGATAGCGAGACTTTTTCCAAACATCATTTAGATTTGGGGGAGAACCGCGCAGAATAGATGGTGTGGACCGCCTTGCAAGCAGCCCGCCATTCAGCTGCCACATTATTCCTCGTCGACAGAATAGTCAGTAAATGTTCAAGACATTAATGAAGCATTCTTTTTTTCATACTTCTTAGATACTTATCCAGGAATAGGGGCAAGTCTGACTACCTCTTTTAGGAAAGGGGCTGGATCTTACGCCCTTTCCACTCTCACAACTCTTATAACGAATCTAATATTTCTCTAAATGTACCTCGTAAGGACATCTGCCATGTGTTCCTTTGGTAGCCCCAATTTTTCATTCCAAAGACCGTGGGATCTTAGATCGACTAGGCCTGGCTTACCCATCGCAGCGCCTCTGGTTAAATCCATAATCCCAGCAAAATCCCCTTCTTTGACTCTCTTCTCTCCATTTGCAATAACATTGTCGGATGAAAGGTGCTGAATGGCCCATTTCTGGTCGTCAAGTTTCTCAATCTCGTTAAGAATATCGCGCTGCGTGTGATGGAAAGACGCTATGAAGATGTCGTGATGCCTTCGAGGCGAAGTGCGCAGCCTCACCATCACGTGACCGACATATCGCCTGTGGGGATAATCCCGAAATGGAATGACCGGAATATCTTTATTCCGCTTCGCCCACAAAACATATTTAGGCACAATATCGTTCCATAGTGTAGTTAGGAGAAGACAAGTGTCACACGGACCACTGCATATATCGGGGCATGCATTCAACCCATGCACCCGGCTATTGTTTCCCATATAAAACTAACGGGGATGTCATTTTGTGCATGAAAACCTTCAAATCGGTAATTACCGAATAGACGGTTATATAATCAACCCAATAACCCCTAGACAGTCTCTAATGAATGGAAGCATCTTTTTTTACCCCATAAGTGGTGGGCAAATTGACTGCGTGACAACAAGCCACTCAATCTACTACTTTGAATACATGCCTACGTTCAGCACTTTGCTTCACCACAGAAGACGTATTGATTTTTCGTCTCATCTGCATGTTCAACCGACGCTCTGATAGCTGGCAATTGTTGCTAAAGTAGTAGAAGCAAAAAGTGGTAATTCCGTCATCGATTAATCCTGCAGTTTTGGTGCCGAAGTCGAAACCGAAAAACCCGTTGTCCATGGCCCAATCAAAAAACCCTCCAGTGACTAGAGACGTCCAGGACATCTCAGTCTCCTTTGATTGGAGATAGTCGACAATAGCTGATTTATATGGGTTGGTGTAAGGATTGATTTTAGCCATTTTCGGATCTCTGGTATATGGACCGTACTCGCTGGGGAAAAACCTCTTAACGCCGGACGCCAGAGCAGCATCTATGAGGAGTCGTTGATCCTCTGCCGCGTGGCCGCCGACTATGCTGATTACCACGTCCTGACCTTCCATGGCAGCCTTGATAGCGTCTGGATCATTGTAATCTGCCTTGAAGACCTTCACGCCATCGGGGAATGTTGCAGTTGATTCCCTGCGGCTTAGAACGCTCACTCTGTACTGAGGGTTCAAAAACTCTTCCAAAGTTGGAATACCAAGGGCTCCACTAGCCTAAGTCATGCGGTAAGCACTATACTCGCAAGACGAAAGACAAGGATATGTATAGGGGGTCGGAAGAGTAGCAATACTTACGCCGATAATCAAAACATTCTTCAACGAAGCCATTATTCACAGAACAGAGAAACTCAGGGCAGGATCAGTGGCCGAATAAGAGTGTAGGAATGCAGTTTTAGGACAGATAGAAAATCGTGGGGTAACCATGGATGCTTGCGACCAACTTGGTTTTATATTTATGTCAATGCATCCATCCGTCGTTATTTTGTCAAGGGTTAGAGACAGATCCTTCCTTTGTAATCTATGCTTACGAAGCAACCTTCATCTCGCGAACCATTTCGCAAGCAAGTGTCTTTTAAGGGGTTGGCAATGCTACGACATCCCTTCGCTTGTGGAGTGACTTGGTTCCGATTACTGATCAATATTTAAGAAGATCAAAGTATATTTTAGGGTTACCAATCACTTCGGTAGGATCAAAAATCGAGTTTCTCCTGGGCCCTCATACTGATTACGGAAGAACGTTAGGTCCTATCCTATCGGGCATGGACTCATGCCATTCTTCAAGGGTAGGGCAGAGCCAGTATAACTTATTAGGTCGTTGGAATGATGTCATCTTCTTCTCGAGGCTAGGTAAGCTTTTATCGAGAAAGGAGCATACAACCGGGACGCATAATCTGGGTGCTACGAATGTGTAGTGAACTAGGGATGGTACCTTGTTTCTAGGAACTACACGGCAAACCGCTGCCCAAAAAGATAGGATGGGCTAAAAGGGCCCAGGCGAAGGCTTCATACTTGTAAGTGTGGTTAGTTTCTGGCGGCTGATACCTACGGAGTAAGGCGGGGAACTCAGTTTGGTGGGCGTTGGCATTTCTGCCGTCCGACGGGGCTTGATTGGATTGCCAGGCAACAACTGGAAAGCTAGAGGTGATTGATATCTTCCTAACGTGGCAAGGCATCTTGCTGTCAGACTTCAAATGGCAGGTGCATTACATGGGCTGTATGAATCTCGCAAGAGGCACCCCCTTGTTGCAAGTGTAGGTTAATCTTTGAAGCTAAATCTGTTACGAATGGGTCGCGTGGGCACTGTTATCCCTATTGCATTGCTTGTGTTGTGTTTATGCATGTATATCGAGGTCCTGCGTCTATGCTCAGTTGTGAAGTCGGGGCCCCCGGCCATCTTCTGGACCCGTCAATAGGGGCGAATTTGTCCACGTCTTAACCGGCCATGTATATGGCGTGACGAGTCCCAATATGCAAGCTGAGTCACCTAGTAGGTTGTTTCCATGGCTTTACCGTTCAACACCAGCATCTTCTGCAGACAACTACCACTGTTGGGATCACAGGGGTACCCGTAAGAGGCATTACGGAGCGGAAAACTGGTTGATTGTCTTGTATCCGATGTCTACGGATAAAGTTCCAGCAGAACTGCTGGGGGAAGTGGTTGCGAAACTTATAGCCGTCTGTCGGATCACTTGGCCATCCCAGGAGCCGACAGCACTCCCGGCGGCGGAACCACTTCAATCCGGAGTTCCGGCTATTCCAACAATCACAATTTTATGAACCTTTAAAGTTTGTTCAGCTTAACTACGAACCCACTGAGCAGCGTTTGATCAATAATCAGGCCGGCTTATTAGATCAGCGGCTTTGGGCGTTGCGATTGGGTAAGTTCGGTATTTCAATGTAAGAAACAACCAGATTTATTCATTGCAAGTACAAGGCTGACAAATTCTTCTAATTGCTCTCTCATTACAAACTGAATGATCTGGTCACAATGTCTACTGCACGTTATTGTACTGTATGTACAAGCTATCCGTTACTTACTCATTGCCAAATTATCCCCTGGGTTTTTCTCCTTATTAGCAAGCCGACATGATTTGAATTACTAAGAATAATTCTACTCCAGCCCGATCCACCGGTTCCGGATGTGCTAGTCATTACCTTTATAATGTTTACTCTTAACTGCCATTCTTATTTCACCAGGCCTATTTCTCACTGTCGCGATGACTATTTCGTTAATGCCGGGCCCCGTTCTAAAGATCAATTTGCAACATAGAATCATTCTTTCCGCTTACCTTGTTAGTCATGTTGCCTTCAATTACAGCAGTATGTCTTGATGCAAGCCTATGTTCCTTCTAACGCACTTGGTTTATTGCTTTCCAATTGGACTAATGTTTTTACCAGAGTCATTACAAGCGCAATCCAAATGTAGATACGGTAGTGACGATGTTTTCTCCAATTATGTTATCCTTTATACTGACAGCTTCAGTCTGATATTCGTAACACGACTTACGTCAATTCCGTCCGAAGTATAACGATTCCTTCTGGCACGACTTACCGATATGTTTTTGCCCCGCCATCGGACACGACAAAACCATACATCTTGTTTGTCCACGGATTTCCAGAGACCTCATACGAATGGAGTTACCAGATCACCTATTTTACTGAACAAGGTTATGGTGTTGTTGCCCCCGATCTCCTGGGCTGTGGAGGAACCGACACTCCGGGAGATTTGACCTCCTATGGCTTTAACAACATGGCAGCAGATGTTGGCAAGATTCTCGACTACGAAGGCGTCAAGAAGGTCATCGGAGTTTCGCACGATCTGTACGTTGTCCTGCAACATATCGTTGTACGAACTGACAAAAAATACAGTGGATCGCCATTGCTGTCACGCTTCGTTATCAACCAGCCTTCTCGATTTACAGCAGTCGCATTTTTGGGCAACGGGTACTTCCCACCCGCGGCACGTGTTGATGCGGCGGGAATCGACTTTATCAACGAAGCAGCAGTTGCTCGCTTTGGGTACGAAACCGTTGGCTTATGGTTATTTAATAATGAAGAAAACGCAGCAAGAATTCTTGACCAACATGTGAGCAGGACGAATTTATTTACTTACAGTGCTAACCAAAAGAAGTATAGCTGGAATCTTTCAGTACTCTTTCTTTTACTCGAAATACATCTCTTTGGATCGATCATCTTGGACCGACGGGCGCTATCCGCCAGTGGCTCATGCAAGACATGAATGCAACAGACATCTTCATCAGCCGAGCCAGAATAGAGCAGTGGAAAACGATCATTAGAGAGAATGGAGGGATGGAAGGGCCGCTGCGATGGTACAAAGCTATGATTGCGGGTGTCAACAACCCTACTGAACAAGGCAAGTCAAAATAGTGCGTCCCTAACTAGAAGAACACCAACCTAACATGAATGTTAGATTTGGAAAGGCCAGGCACTAGCCCGCTGCCCGTGCTTCTGGTCTTGGCAGAGAGAGACCCGCTGGCCATCCCATCAATCCAGTTAACTGATACTGTACCTAACGCGCCTAATCTCCGGGTTCGTTCAGTTAATGCGGGTCACTTCTTACAAGTCGAGGCCCCTTATGAAATCAATAGGCACCTCGAACTATTCTTTCAGGACGTTTCTAACATTCCTGCTTCAAAATCTAAGTCTATTGCTGTTAGTTTCGAGTATTAGCAATGTATTACACGCTTGTCTAGATTACTATCAATTATAGCTCTTAGTATTGGAGTTTAAAATCAAGATTTATGTAACAAGTTTATTAAAAGAATAATACTCTGACATGACCATACGACAACAGTGGCTAAGCCACTAGGCTAGGTTATCTTATGTAAGGGATAACCTCTCGGTATTTTACAACTATCTACATATAATAAGGATAGCTATTTCTTTTACTCCTTAAATAGAACTTAGAAGAATCATGACGTAATTTTTCAAAGTAAATCTTTAGTTACTTTATATTCTTAAGAAAGTTAGGCCAGTATTTGTGAAAGAATGAATCTACAAGGACGATACTGCGACGCATCCAAAACCATTCGCTCTGGTGTGTAACGAAATCATGTGTTTGGTTACAATTGATCCACTACACCCCTGCTGGTTAACGCGCTATTATAATTGCGTTCTATTAGAAGACGCTCAATGGCGCAGAGCTTCTCTATGTTACTATTCAAAGAGATACCACATTACGTCGAATTTAAGACTAAGTTGTTGAGATTCGTTATTGTTAGTTTGCGTCATTTAGATAGTGCATAATTGTCGTCTTCGAGATAGAATTCGCAAACAAACAAGTAAATTGCTACATCAAGCTAAAGGGGAACGAAGCTACTGACTGTTGATGTAGAACACAGCCAGTCTCTGCTCAAAGCGTTTGTGTTGGGAGAAACTTGTTTTTGGAAGCTATCTACAAGCGTTTCTATTTGATAGCTTATTGCGAACAAAAAACTAGTAATAATATAGAAACCTTAGTTCGTCCGTCGCTTGTGACTCTAGTTCTTAATCTTCGCAAGAAGGCAGTCTCCGAACAGGTTAGGGTTCAAGTTGTCAGGGCAACCAGTACATCCGCCATTAACCAAAGCACCCCGAGAGCCTAGGATAGGTTGGGCAGAGTGGGCACACTTTGCACTCTCGATACAAATTCGAGTGTACAGCCTGTTGAAGTAGTTTTGAGGGTCAGGGCCGAGATACATGTCTCTAGTGCAAGTCAAGGTGTAGTCGATAGCCATGACTGGCGAGATCGCGATAAGGAAAACTGCAGTAGCTGAAAACTTCATAGTCTGTTTCATGGTTAGTGATGTAACAAAAAAAAACGAAAAAAAGACTTAACATACTGCTAAGTTCTTATAGGCCAAAAGGGCTGGTTTTCTTTGAATAGGTTTATTGCGTAAGGACTGAGAATGCCACTGCGTGATGCGGAAGTAAAGTGTTGCTTGCTATAACGAAAGGCCGGAATTGCTCGCCTCTAAATATACCCAGACTGAGAGCGAGCTCGCTCTACATCCTGTGATAGTGATTACGGCTGTCACAGGTTCGTTCTGTATTACAGTTTGTATCCTCATGGTCAAGATTTGCACTTGCACTACCATTGGCAGCTTTAGTGGAAAGCATACACGGTCGATTCATATAGAAGCTGTGACGATAGTATCAACGCTTACCGAACACACCGAGCTAGGTGTGTTTTTGTTACGGCCAGCTATCTGACAGTAGGGTTCTGCTAACAGAAGGTGTAGTAAGAGACTAACACTGGTTCGTAGAGGTCGTTCTGGTAGATCGTAGGGTTAGGGTAAGGTGATCAGTCTTATACTATAGTAACGAGGTTCTTAGTATTTATAATACTGAGAGGTAAGCTGAAAGTCATTCGAGGATAAATCATAAGTTGATTGCTAAAGAACTATCTAGAAGGCTTAAGTAGATGCTTAAGTCCTAGTCTATATATAAGTCCCGTTTCCTAATGTCTTGGAAAGTCTATATGTTACGACCCGTTGGACATGGTCGCCAACACGACCCCGCCTGGATCCCGGCGGCTAACGCAGGGCATATGTAACCCAGCCGACAGGTGTAACCAGGGATCCTCGGAACGGAAGAACTATGGACAAGTCACGTGGCCTCGGGGATAACGCGGGGTAGGGACAACCCGGGCTGGATATGTTGGATATGTCAGATATCCAACCGATCCCCGGATATGTTGGATATGTCAAATATCCAACCGATTCCCGGATATGTTGGATATGTCAAATATCCAACATAGCCAAGATAAGGAGGACCGTTCAGGACTTGTATATAGGATGGACTCGAGCCGGGCTCGAGGACAGACTTCCATAGCTCTTCAGCAATCAACTTTGTGATTACCCTAACCGGTACTTTCAGCTATACCTAAGTGACGACTACTCTACGACTCTTGTTGAGGCCTTGACTGATCACCAAGACCTTTGAAGATCTACGATCTATTCGACCAGGACCACGGAACGACTGTTACTACTCTCAATCCCTGGCTTACTGTTAACACAAACCCACTGTCAGTTAGCTGGCCGTAACACTATAGAGTCGCTTGTCGACTCTATCGACTTTCTTCTAATTAGTCCTTTATAAAAGTCTATAGAGTTGCTTGTCGACTTTATCGACTCTATCCTGATTAGTCGATTATTACGTAACTTATAATATAGTTCTTCCTTGCCGAGAGGTTTACCCTTGTTCCCGTGATCCTACGTATATATATCCTGTCGTAGCCGCCCGACCTAGTAGGTCTGTTAAGTATATCTAACAGGTCGTAATATTAGGTCTCCCCTCGATAGTCTTATCCTTAAGGCTAATATAAGTAGGTCGTAGCTCTTAGGTTAGAAAGTCGTTAATCGTACTTCCTTGTTTATTTATAATGCTAATATTATATTAGGTCGCGTTTAAAAATCTAAATTAAAAAACCTTATAGCTTATAAGGAACTTAGCTAGCTTGTCGATTTGTTCGGGTTTATTATGCCTATCCCTTGTTCCGGTTGCGCGGCTGCCGGTGTCGACTATATCGTTTCCGAAGTTAATTCTTCTCGTTATTCGCGTTGCGTTGCTAATAAGCATTCTTACGATATTTACGGTCCTTCCGCGGCTTCCCTTATTTAGGTTTAGTAATAGAAAATAAAAATTAATAATAAGCTTAAGAAAGCTAAAGAAAAGTAGTTAGCTTTTATAACGAAGATTCGTCGTTTATAAAGGCGTCGTAAGGATATTAATCGTAAGGCGACTAATCTTATTCGATCTAGTTTGCAATATATAGAAGAGGTTAAGAATAAGTATCGTTCCAAGGTTCTTAGTTTATAAAATACTAGCTTAGAAACTATAGGTATACTTTATTCCCTAGGTACTGTGGGCGAAACCAGCACAGAACGCTCAGAATGGGAAAAGTGGTGTTGTTGGTTGGAAGAACTAACTAACTGGCTAGAGGGCTGTGGAGGCTGGCTAAGACCAGTGGTGGCGGCCGTCAGCCCACGTGACGGGCCGGCGAGGCCTGCCACCCACACCCCCTCTCAGACTCCTCAGCGAAAAAGCAGTAGAATAATAGGAAATACAGGAAAAGTCCCAAATCCTCCAAATCCGAGGAGTTCTCAACTATTAGAAAACTCGGTCAATTACCGGTTAAACCTGGCCAATAGGAGGCCGTGAAATCCTCCGAATCCCGAAGTCTCAATATCAATAGTCCCACAGTCTCAAAATCCCCCTCTCAATCCAATCCCTCCGCCATGCCCAACAAACGAACGAATTCCTTGTGTTTGACCGCAACCAGTGGCTTCGTGAGTCCATCGGCGGCCATATCAGCGCCCTTGATGAGTCGGAGTTCGATGCTTTTCGCAGTGTGAACCTCCTGTATGATCCATTTGTATCGGACGTCGATGTGGCGGGTTCGTGCCTCGTTGAGTGGGTTCATGACGTTGTCGTAGCCGTTGGCACTGTCAGTGAACATGATAGTAGGCGTGGTGATGGGTTTGCCGAGCAGTTGGGAGAGGCAACGTCTGATCCACTTCACAGCAATTGCCGTAGGTGTGAGATTGATGAATTCAGCCTCCGTGGTGCTCAAAGTCACGAAAGTCTGTTTCTTTGACTTCCAAGCAATCGGCGCACCAGCGAGGAAGACGACGTAACCACCTGTCGAGACTCGTGATGGCTTGTTGTCAGCGAAAGAGGCATCTGCAGCAGCGTAGAGCCCCAACTCGTTGATCGTGGGGATGCCTCCAAGTACAATACCGAGATAAACGGTGCCCTTGAGGTATCGGAATAAGTGCTTAATAGCACGAAGATGGGCCTTAGAAGGCCCTGAATTCGCCTGTGACAATTTACTGACGGTGTAGGCCATGTCAACGCGAGTTCCAGCCACCAGGAAGTTAAGGCAGCCGGTTTAGGCATGGGCATTACCCGGCCCGCGGGTCCCACGGGTACCCGCGAAATGGGTCGGGTAGTTATGGGTAGTGCCCGAAAGTTTTACTATTACCCACGGGTACCCATGGGTAAAGTGGGTTTGGGTAAAAAAGCCCACGGGTAGTAAACTGAAGGGGGGCCCACGGGTTTGGGTACCCACGGGTGTATACCCGTGGGTAGATTTCAGTAAGTATGCATCACGAATTTTAGACATCTTTTGTAGTAGCCAGCCTCAAGAGTGGATATATTGCGCAACGAATAGACCTGCTACCTTGTTACTCCTAACTTCCGAACGCCCTGAATGCCTTCAATTAATCGCCTGCATTTCCCAGACTCGGGGTCGAACCACTTGTCTCCGTGGACTCTGCCGGCCTTCAAGATAGCCTGGACGAGATGCAGATCCTTCGGCTTAATGGTGACGCGATTGGTGTGGATCGCAGCAAAGTTAATCACTAGATAGTTCGTTCAACTCGATAAGAGTTTGCAAGTGAAGCTTACTGTCGAAAACACCAAAGAGAAGAGACTCCGAAGACTCTTGAAGAGCGCTAATAGCAGTCGCCTGCCAGCGCAGGCGCTTGGAGGGGTCGATGTCATCGCAGATTTCCTTCCAGAGTCGCTGGAATAGGGGCTTCGGAATCAGGAAGTCAAATGTCTTCTGGTAGTTCCTGACCTCCCGGAGAGCTTTTGCTAGGTATTAGGGTTAGTGTGTAGCCATCTTTTGTAGCAATCTAGACTTACTGCCAGGGCGCTAACGGCGTTTCTGCTGCTCCTTAGTACTAGGCATAGTCTTTCGGGCTATGCCAGGCATTATATTATAAAGTTAACTATGAATCAGGTAGGACTCCTAGAAATACAAGTCTAGGTCTAATCAATATAGAATCTTTTACAGATAACTACTAAACAGAGGTTTTCAAAGAGATTCTTTTTGAGAAAAAAAACAAGAAGCCGCGGCTATGCACAGACCACTTTTTGGCGTATTTTGTTTTTTTTTTGTGAGGTTCTGAAGCTTTAGAAAACTTCTCCCCAGACAATACTACAACCTACCTCTACCACTAACACCCAGCCGCACCGACAAGCCTCTTAATTAAGGTAATTTGATACTTTGATCTCACAATTATTGGTTTTGACTTATTAAATCAATTAGGGAACAGTAGTAAAATATGTCCTCAGGACAGGATTGCGGTACGTTCATACCAGCTTTGTAGCAATCATTTGTACTAATCTCTTCTAGGCCGACCGCTTGGATCTGGTGCTGGAGCCAAGCGTAAAGCTGAAGAGGATTATTCCGACAACGCGCACACCAAGAAGTCTCGTCAGCGCATCGATAAGATGACTGAGAAGCAGAAGGCACTTGATCGCTTGAAGAAGTCGATCAACTAGTAGAAATCCCGCAAGCTTAAAGCCTTGAGGGCTAAAAGCTCCTACATCAGTGCGTCTGCTGATGAGCGCGCGGCCCTTGAGGCTAGGGAAATCCAGCAAGTTGATGCACGATAGTGAGTTCTTTTTTATTTCTTTTGGTGTTTCAAATCAGTGCTCAAGTGCTTTTAGCTTCCTCAAAGGCAACCATCCAGACCAGCTGCTAGCTTAGATGACTGGCCCAGTCTCGTCTAGCTCCTATAATATCGTCGATGACGATGAAGACGAGGCTTGGGAGGATATCCCTTTGAATGAGATTGATGAGGCTACCTAGGAAAACCTGGATGGAGTTGAGGGCATGCTTAACTTTGACGTTGACCTTGATAACCAGTTGCCGACCATTAATGTTGCTGAGCAGTCGAATGCGATTATCGACAAGATGATCTAGGTAACTGGATGACTATAATTAATTACTATAGCAATAGCTAACAAACAGACAGGAAAACTAGATCCGAGAATACTAGTTCTTCCGTGATACCTGGGAGATGACTCTTGAGATACTTTACATCAAGGTCAAGCGGCTGAATAGCAATCCTGCCTTTACCCTAGCTGCGATGGAGGATTATGGCTTTATTCGACCTGGCTTTAAATTTCTAGTAGCTGGCGATATCTTTACTAAAGAGGAAGTGCTTCTTTGGTTTGCACTCGCTAAGTACTGGCACCTGAACCGCTTGTCTAAGAAGAAGAAGATACGCCTGGTTCTTAATTCTTCTGTCAAGAAGAAGAAGACGTAAGTGCTTAATTGTAGCAATCCTTTGTAGTAATACTAATATTCTTAGCTAATTCGCACTCGCGCACCGCCTAGCCATCAAGATTCAAGGATCTCTCTTCACTACAGCTCAGCGCCGATATGCCTCTACTCTAAAGCCTTTAGTGAAGGCTATGTTCTCTGAGATCAGTGACTCGATGATCAAGAAAGGTGTTTAGGAGCTTCTAGGCCCTGCTGAAGTTTGGGAAGAGTTTACTGCTCTCGATAAAACAGCTAACATCTTATCTGCGATGGATAAGAAGTTCTCAGCTATACTAAAGCTGATACTATTCTTCCTGAAGCTTGACCTTGCTCGGGATAAAGCGCTATACAACTGGCGTCAGGTCTATGAGTTGGCTTAGAAGCTAACTCGTTTGCTTGACTTTTCTCTATAATTGCAGATGAGCATAGCGAGAGGGTTTGTTTGACAGATTAAGAATTAAGAATTAGCAATAAGGCTAGCATGAATAAGGACATGAATTCTCTCTAGTCTGATTCTCGTATTGTAGCAATCGTTTGTAGTAATCTACAGCTGCTAAAACAATCTAGCACTCCATGCTCCCATCTTCTTCATTAACTGTTTAACTAAGTCAAGATCTTTCTTCTGCAAAGTTACTCTTTTAGCGTGAATAGCACAGAGATTTGCATCTATTAATATTCATGTTAATATAATAGTTTGAAGATCAGGATAGGATATCTTACTCTCGAACATGTTGATTAGAAACTGTTCGCTTATCTCATGGAGAGCCTCTATAGCTATTGACTGGTAGCGGATCTTATGGCGGTTTCTTAGTGGAAGATCAAGTGTTATTTCTCGAACTACTCTTGCGAAACTGCTCCGCGGAATTAAAAGATTGGTGGTCTTTTGATATTTTCGAATCTTACGAAGTGCATTTGCTTCACATTTCAGTAATTAAATAATAAAGAGTTACTTCTTACTTACTACTAGGCCTCTATCTACGAACTTTCTGGCGTTTAGTGATCTGGACGGGCTTTTTTCGAGCAGCTTTTAGCTGCTTCTTTGGCGCGAAGTTTAGCTGATCTTTCCGTGCAATGGTTGGTGGTTGGCTAGTATCTGTTCGTCTCGCTAACTTCGTCGCAAAGTTCCGCTTCAGCGGTGGTAATTCTGGTTGACTCAGGTCTGGGCTAGCCTGGCTATAGTAGGTTGCATGACTTGAACTTCTTGGCGGAGTCTCCCGAATCTCTGTAATTGGCTGTTTTAGGGGATTACCCCTCGCTGATGATGAGGGGTAACTATTTGGCGGTGAAGAGCCCTCTACTGTTAGCGGAGAGCTCTGATCTGACACAGGGCTAGTTGATAAGCGAGGCATTGAAGGATGAATGTAAGTGGGAGAAAAAACAAGTCGAAGGAGAATTCAGAGCTTTTAGATTTGTGTACGAAACGTATTAGTTAGAAACCCTAAAATAGAAATTTACGTAAGGCTATATAATCAAATGTTTGTATTCATCTTGTAGTAATCCTGCAAACTACTTCCTGTTTATACTAAAGGTAATTCTTACTACGTATGATGTCGAACTCAATTGCGTCTGACCCTTTTGGGCCAGACCCTTTTGCATCCGATTGTTCTGCTGCTTTCGAGCTTGTAAATTCTACGCAGACTCTAACAATCAATACTCCACCTTCTGGTTTATAGATACAGTCGGAAATCATTTTATTTGTTATTAAGACTTTCTAGACTTTTCTCTCGTTTTTCAAAACCCTGCCATGGTATCTCCAATGGGTAATCCTTGGCAAACATATACCGTTGTCTAAATCCCCTCAACCTGAACGAAAACGCTTCGCCAAATCCTTGTGGACTTTACAACGCCGAGTATCATTCTGGGATCACTTTCACCAAGGCTACCATATGACATCAGGGGAGCTAAAATTAGTCTGCAAGCACTGTCACCAAGTTTTCAATCATCTAACAATCAAAAACTCTGGTATAAGTGCTATGCAACGACACCTCGCTGCAAAGTCTTGTAAGACTCGACGTTTAGGCGTAAACCAGGTGCCTGTAAGTTTTACAGGTCATTGTAGCAATCATTTGTAGTAATCGCAATCTAGGGTACCTAATTGAAAGCAGTCTCGGAGCATCAAGCATTAGTTTACTGTATTGTTGGATCTAACTTAGCGCTTAATACTGTTGACAACTTAAGTTTCTGGCAATTCTGTTTATACCTGAATCCTCTCTACTACCTCCCATCTCGAAAGACGCTCCGAAGCTGGATATCCGAGGAGGCCTTACGCATTCAACACCACACTCTTTAGCTAATTCCGCCTGGTAGCTATGTCTCTCTGATGATTGATATCTGGAGTACACCTGGGTTAAAATATTCACTGCTTGGTGTTTTATGCCATTTTATCGACAAGCACTGGAGGTTATAACAGGTTCTTCTTGGTGCTATTGATATGACAGATGGTCATACAGCCTCTAAGCAAGCAACGGCTTTATCGACTCTGTTAGAAAATATTCGCCAGAGGACGAAGAAGACAATTCGATTTCAGACAGTCTCTGCAGACAACGCAAGTTCTTTTAAGCCAAAAGTCCTAGCACAAGAACTTGCAAAAGGGTCGATATCTATAGTATAGCCGATATATCATATTCGCTGTTTAGCCTATATTTTCAACCTTGTTGTTCGAGCGATTTTTGAGGCTCTTCGAATTTCGATGGTAGAAGCCTCTACAGAGTTTGAGCCTTCTACTACTCGAGCTAAAGATCAAGAGGACTCTGACGATGATTTTGATACTGAAGATTCTACTGCTGGGGAAAATCCTTTTGGAGCTGTTATTCAAAAGGTTAGATACTTCACCTAGTTATAAGATTTTATATTAACATATATACCTCCAGATTCGTGACCTCGCAGTTTCCCTTAAGCTTTCTAGTAAGAAGACGCAAGAGTTTCTCGACCTCCAGAAATCGACTCGCATTGGCCAGCGACCACTACGCCTCCTCCGCGATGTTAAGACAAGGTGGAACTCTACTACACTTATGTGTCTCCGCGCAAGAGAGCTTAAAACAACGATTTCAGCTTGGGTTGAAAAGCACTCTCTACAGGAACAATTCTCTCTTGTGGAGACCGATTGGGAGGCTCTTGATATTCTGCTTGATATCACCAGCCCGTTTTTACTCTTTACAAACATCCTCAGCCGGTTAAATGACCTTACCCCTGGTCATACCTTTACTTTATTACAAGTTGCAACAGTTCACTTGTACTTTTGCGCCTCTGCACTTAAAGATAAAGTTACTAGCAAAGACTTTACTTGGATATCAATCCTTCAGGCTGCTACGAAAAAGGGCCAAGAGAAGCTGGAAAAATACGTTCAAAAGCTAATTGAAGAGGATTCCTTCAAGGTATATGGTATTGCAACTCTCCTTACCCCTGAAGCTGGGACATCAGTTTCGAGTACTTTTGACACGCGATTCCAATTCGCAAATTACTTCGAATACCTTCCTTCTTCAGCCTCACTTCGAACTCGAGTACAGCAAGAATTTATCGAGGTATATACAAAGCAGTACCATCAAGATTCGGAACGCCATACCAATACTCAAAAAGCTGCAACTGAAGGACTCCGATACACTCTGCATAGTTTACTATCACGCAGTCCAAAGAAAAGGGTATTTGTAGCAATCTATTGTAGCAACTCACTGTACTAACCTATTATAAGGGCAAAATGTCATCATCCCAAGACGCACGAAATATCTGTAATGACTTTTTTAATATTGGTAAGATAAAGACTTATATCTTACTAGGCTTAACAGCTAATAACTATATTTAGTTATGTTCCCTGATGAAACTGTTTAGCAATTTTGGGTCCGCCTAGACAATAGCTATCCCAGATTCCATGGTATTTGTCGCATGGCTCGAGACTTCTTATCTATTCAACCGACGTCAATACCCTTAGAGCGATCATTCAGCCTTGCTCGCCATATCTGTCACTACGCTCGGTTTAACCTTTCGGCTGATACTATTTTTGATACTTTGACTATCAAAATTAGCCAGAATAATGAGGCCTGGCTTTCCCAAACCACACTTGAGGAAGTTCTAGATGATACGAATATTACTGAAGCATCTGAAGAGCGCTAGCATATTATTAGAGAAGCTTTTAACTACTCTTCTCTATTGGATAAAGCTGATATTCAGAGATATCTGAAGGTCTCTGATGATCTTACTAAGATCTCTATTACTGCTATAGGAGATGCTCCCTCCCCGCCTCCTTACGAAGTCTCAGTAGAAGAGGAGGATATTAGCGATAGAGATGAGGAGCTGCCATCCTTATCTAGCTCTCAACAGCCAAAACTATCGAGTCAAGTTTCCCAACTTAGCAACTCACCTACGCCTTCTGTATCCCAAGAACTCCCAAACTTCTCCGAGCTTGGGGGTCGCAAAAGGAAGAGACTTACTCGGCTAGATCTTGTCGAACTCTCTCCTGACGAGGATAGCGATTAAATATACATTGTTCCTCTGATTTCACTCCGACTTTATCGTATTATTCTCTATTAGTTTCTTATATTTGTAGTAATCTATTCTAGCCATCTATGTTTTATGTAACTTACTCTTTCTCCCTATAACTAACTAGTTATATTTTCTTTCTATCTTAGTTACAGTATTTCCCGCGTTTCTTGTGGGTAGCAAAATTACCCGTGGGTAGTGTAACCCATGGGTCGTTTTACCCACGGGCCTTTCAACCCGCGGGTAAATATAGTGGGACTGCCCGTGGGTAATTCGGGTTTACCCAAACTACCCACGGGTAGTTTTGGGTACTACCCATACGGGTACCCGCGGGTATTACCCAACCCTAAGCCCAACCTTGGCCTCCAGAAAGGAGTCTACGCCAGCATGCTACTCGAAGTTGATCGAGTAATTCATTGTCAGTGGTCGGTGAACTTCAACCTTGCAGTTGAGTCGTTCGAGAAGCACATCCAAGGCGTCCGCCACCTCGTCGACTTTAGCCTGTCCGCCCAGAAGAAGGTTCCAATTATTTTCGTATCAAGCGTGCTGTCCACGATTGGCAAGACGGGTTCTGAGAGACAAAGCGACCTCGCAAGGCCGACTACCGGCTACGGACGCAGCAAACTTGTCGGGGAGTTGATTCTCAAAGCCGCGGCAGACAAGTGTGGCATGCCGGCGGCTGTCGTCCGCGTCGGCCAGATCGCGGGTCAAGAAGTAACCACATCTGGCAACAGCGTATGGAATCAGCATGACTGGCTGCCGAGCATCATTGGTTCTTCGGTCAAGGCCCTTGGGCTTTTCCCCCGCGACTTGGGCGTCATGAATGGTATCAGGTGGCTTCCTATCGACCGCGTCGCCCGGTTAGTCTTGGACATTGCCGGCATCTCGGAGCCGGTTCCTGTGTCGCGGATTACCGGATGCTTTTACGGCATCAACCCTCACAAAACGTTGTGGGGTGCATTGGCACCCGAAGTCGCAGCCCTTTACGGCGATCGAATCAAAGCGCTCGTTGATTGGGAACAGTGGCTCGAGGCCCTTGAGAAGAGTTCGACGGATGACATCGAAAGCAACCCAGCCTTCAAATTACTTGACTTTTTGAAGCACTCAATGGTTGAGGCTGGTGATGTCGAAGACCAGTTGGCCACTCTTACTTCGGGTGACTTGGAAAGAACTATGGATTTGAGCAGGACTTTGAAGGAAACTCGGGCTATATCCACGGAGCTGATGGTCAAGTGGTGTGGTGAATGGGACTATTGATAGCATCATGTTTATGTACGCAAGACACGTTTTGAGACGGCAGAGTTGAAATAACAGGCAAATGCAATGGTTCAAACAAGTTCATATTCTAGTTCTATCGCTGTATTATCATGAGGTTCAAATTTCTATGGTGCCTTTACAAGTTCTTCGACAATGCCCTTGTGCCCCAACTCAAGGTATGTCGATATGTTTTAGGCGAATTATATAACTTCCTTTCTGTCCTGTTGATCACTTCTGGGGTATTCCAAACAGAATTCGTCTAATGCTTCCATCCGTGTGTGTTCGCGTTATTATATCATTGTCGTAAATACTTTCAACAGCCATCGCCCACATCCTAAGATGCCCCAATTAGACTGCAATTACCACCGCAACAAACGTGAAAGCCAGAAGCATGAAATTGCAAGCTAAGTTGCCTGCTGTGTTGTTAGGAGCTGCCGGGGTTGCGGAGGACCCGGGAACATCGGATGTCGGCGAAGCCGGAGTGGATGCTCCGGTCGATGGCGCACCGCCAGTGGTTATCGCCACAGTGGTGGAAGCCCCAGTGGCTGATGACACACTAGAGGCACTAGTTGCTGTCACGCTTGCCGATGAACTCGCCAAAGTACTCGTACGCATCGTTGAGGCGCTTGTTGAGGTCGAGGCCGCCTTGCTCGAAGTGGTTGTCTCTGCATTACCGACCATTTGCTGAACCCATTTGCCGGCATCTCCGGAATAGATATCGAAGTAGTTCAGGTGGTTTGCGGAAATATCACCGCCAGCGCAGATAGGGTCCGAATCAACGCAGTACGAGCGCATCACTTTGGAGTACGCTCTCATTCCCGCAAGCTGCTCCTCGGGGCGAGGAAACAATCCCTGGGCGCCGGATCCTGAAAGGTAGTTGTACGGCTGGTTTTGCGTGTGCCGTACATCACCAAAGATGAGCGCAGCAGCAACTATAAGGTAAGAGGTTAGTCTGCTTGATGATCCCAGTGGGTAATCAATCATTCATCGCTTACTCTTGTTTCCCGGCGCCTTCGTAGCGTCGAGACCCGGGTTCGACTTCTGGAGGCAGTCCTGAAAGAACCTGCCACCTCCACCACCCAAGACATCGCCAATGACATGGCCACCCTGTGAGTATCCACTCAAGACGAGCTTCGAGTTCGGACACCGCTTGTTGTATGCGGTCACTTGTGCCGTACCATTGGCAGCACCCTCCTCGACGGACTGGCAATACGGCGCTTCTAAAGGATTCCAGAACTGAATGTCCTCATAATCGCAGCTGTCGAGCCCATCGCAAATTGCTGTGACGAGTTTTCCCTGTCGGCCGGGATACGGTTCATTATTTCCACGCGCAAGGAAAATGTGCACATCACGGCACTCGGAGGCACCAGTAGCCTGTCGCGTGACGACCGAGGCTCCCGAAGTCCATGAGAGCGCAGAGAGGGCGACGAGCGCCGTTGAGAGGTTTGGAACCATCGTGAAGGGGGCGGATTGGCAGGTGTTTGCTGAGGATTCGGCGGATTAGGTGGAAAGGGGAGAGGAGGGGAGGTTGGATAAAACGACGAGTACGGATACCCAAGGAGTTTTGAAAGGCTTATCTTCTGGAGCTTCCCTGCTGGTGAGGTTGGGGATTAATCAAATCCCCAGAACCGGCAAAGCGGACTCGGAGCACCATCGAATACGAACCGAACGACAACTGGATCCACCAAGACTAGGGGATCCCGGGACCTGATGGCCTGGTTCACTTGCCTAATCAACGTCATGTCTCCATCCTAGCGCTGACAATGGGGGGGGGGGGGGGCGAAACAGAGGAAAAGTTCCTGTTGATCCCCCGTGAAAAGTGGGCGCTGGACTGCTGTTGGAAAAGTGATGAAAAAGTCAATCCAGTTGTTTTTTTTGTGTTGGTGGTTGGCTGATGTGGCACTGGAGCTGTCGTTCGTTCGACCGAGTCAGTGACAACTCCATTTTCTAAGGATCGTAAAGGCTAGGCCGCGGATCCAAATGACGTTGGCCTTTGCGCGTAAAGGGTTGGTTGACGAGTACCAAAATAGAGAAACGGTGTGTCATGTTGAGGTTTAGGTGGACCTATACCCGGAGAGCCCGCATCTAGGGCAGCCAGCCACGACTTAAGCTCGTGGGCCACTGTGATTCAATAGAGGGCCTCCGTCGTGGACCGCATGTATCAGATTCGAGACGGCTCGTTGTCAAGCGAAGTATCGGATGCGAATGTTTGACAAAAGAATTGCACTCATTAGGGGCGCGGCCAGCCATAACTTTGGTTCGGTTGTTGAATATTTCCGGTTCGCCTACAGCTTTGTTTTATCCCCGATGAGGCTCATATTACGTTATGGTTTGGTTTTCATCAGCCAACGCCATTGCCGCAGATCAACTTGACGAACATCATGTTGACTAGGAATAGAATTTGAAGGATAAAAAGACGGCTTTCCGCGAGCTATCGGATAATCTTCCATCTGACTTGGACTGTGATCAAGTTGTTGAATGCATGCAGCATCCCTGAATGTCGTTACACTTAAGCAGCTGACCAGATTGGCCAGGCCTTCTGAATAAGCAACAACACACATATGCGACGGATAGATCCGTTGGCATGCTGTCAGATCGCTCGTAGGATCAGGGGGCAAGCTGCAGTTCCTGCATCATGTTAAAGTGGCATTTTACCGAGCGCAAGGTGTGTGGGTTGCCCCATACTTGGAAGACCATGACACAGTAAACACGTCAATTGTGAGGTCTGTCGCGATCGAAGCGACTTTTTTTTGCAACTATATTGCTTTGTTTATAAACAATGGGGTAGCCAACTCCTTGGCGAAGCGTGATTTTTGTCGGTCTCGTAAAGAATCAGGCTTAAAGTCCGATATCTTCATTGCGACCTTCCTCATTCTTCAATCCCCTGCCCGAAATGCCCCGCAGAATCCGTTATGGTGCCATGCAACCACATAGCATGATCAGAGGCTTAAAGCGAAGGCTCCTCGCCGTTGGACTAATATTTCAATCATGGCTCAACCGCGATACCTTCTTGTCTCTGTGTTACCATCATCGTAAAGATGAAGCTACCGGCAACGACTACGATCTTGTCTTTGGCAGCGCAGGGTGTCTGCGCAATCCATGCACGACAGGCCGAAAAGTCCCTCGTTGACTCGGCCAGTTTCCAAGCCCAAGTAACCAAAGAGAAGTATGTGTCTTTCAAAAACTCGGTTGACGTTGACTCTAAAAAATCCACCTTCTTCTCAGTCTGGAGGCCAACCTAGTCCGATTGAACGACATTGCCATCGAAAATGGCGGGAATCGCGCCTTCGGCTACCCGGGCTACGAAGCCTCTGTAGATTTCGTTTGGAATCGCATCTCCAGCGTCAGCGGCGCCAAGGTCTGGAAGCAGGACTTTCCTGCAGTATTCAGCAGCGAGATACGGGCCAACCTGACTGTGAACGGCGAAAAGCTCCCTGTATACGGCCTATCGCAGTCCCCCCCTACTTCGGCAGAAGGCATTACTGCAGAGCTCGTTGCCGGGCCCGAGGGCACAGCGGCCTGCGACGCTGCTTCGTATTCGGACCGGGGAGTGAGCGGGAAGATTGTCCTGGTTCGCGAGGCTCTCTGTCCCGGCTACCGCGACGGATTCCATGCAGGCGTTATGAAGCCCGCGGCGGCGGCCGGAGCCGTTGCGGTAATTGTGATTAATGACTTTGCGCTCAACCTCACCGCCGGCACGCTCGGCCCGGCAGATGACGGCACATATGTTCCCACGGGGTTTGTCAACAAGTACATCGGAGACCCGCTCAAGGCTCGCCTGGAAGCTGGGGAGGTGCTCGCCACATCTTTCTGGGAGGGCGAGTACGTTGATCGCCGGGTGACGCAAAACGTTTTTGCAGAGACCGAAGGCGGTGATCCTGAGAATGTGATTATTGTAAGCATCTGCCGTTTCAGAGGTTAGGTTGTTTACTTACTGACTGTATTTAGCTCGGCGCTCACTTGGATAGTGTGGCATGGGGGCCGGGGATCAATGACAACGGTAACTTTTATCCATACCCAAGCTTGTTTTCGTCACGCCTTCTCACTTTTACGTACCTAGGTTCCGGTGTATCACTGTTGCTAGAGTTGTTCCTTGCTCTCAGCAAATATTCTGTCAAGAACAAGATACGTTTCGCGTGGTGGGGTGCCGAAGAAAAGGGTCTCATCGGCTCGAGGTACTACGTCAACAACCTCCCTTCCGCAGAGGCGGATAACATCCTAGCCTACCTCAACTTCGACATGGTGTCCAAGGGTTACTACGGGGTTTTCGACGGCGACGGTGCTTCGTACGGCGTCGCCGCGCCTCCTGGCTCGGACGTAATCCAAGAGCTGTTCACTGCCGACTTCGTCTCCAAGGGCATCAACGTCACAGCCGCGCGCTTCACCAACGGAAGCGATTACGCGTCGTTCTGGCAGGTGTTGAGCAAACCCATCGGGGGCCTTCACACTGGAACTGGATCCGCTCAGGACCCGTGCTACCACCAGTCGTGCGACGACATAAAAAATACGGACTTGAGTCAACTTACGGTGAATGCAAAGGTAATGCTCCGTCTTCTTATTCCCTGTAGTAGGTTCCTATTCGGCTGACATTACGATTTTAGACAACCGCCCATGTGCTTTCGGCTCTCGCGTTGGATGGAACTAACCTCATCAAGAGGCTGACTGCTCGTGAGGTCGTTGGACACTTGGCGCAGAAAAGGGCTACAATTGCGACTGTTGAAGAATCTGATGATGATCACCATCATTGCTGAGGTTCTATAGCAGTGACCTCGTAGTTATGTCTTGTGGCTACGGCTTCATTGACAGCGGCTATGTAAGATTTAGTCTTGATCAGCTACTCTTATATTGAGTGAGCATCACGAGAAGCGTTAGGAAAGCCTCAAGTGACTTTGGCTTGCGTAGTAACATTAATCCTTGCAACAGAAGATGAATGGCCAAAATGGTATATTGCATGTGGTCTCTATCCGGAGATTCGCCAATCACTACATAAAGGAGGGAATTACATCATCATGGTCCCGTCCCTCCGTCTTCACTTCCTTCGTGCCTGTGTTTGTGTCTCGCCTTTGTCTTGTTCTTGCGTTGCGGTTCTTGAAACGCGTAAAGAGATCATCATCGTCGTCATCTTCGTCCTTTACAACGCTTTCTGTCGTTGTGGGCAATTTGCTCTTGGACGAGTTCGGTGTCGTTGTCGAGGGGGGTTGGTTCCTAGTATTTGAAGCAGCTTTCATGCCTGCATTCGAGCTCGTCCCAGCCACAGTGCGGTGTATTCGTGCTGTAGAGGAAAGTGGCATCTGTGGAACAGGCCTCGCCGCCTGTGTTGGTCTTGCAGTAGCAGGAGGATCACGCGCGAGCTCCCTCCTCACAGGAGGCCGGACTGGACCTCCAAGATCATCATCATCCGTCTCATCTTCCGTCTCAACATCTTCGTCTCTCCTATCCGTGGGTGCAGGCCTTTTGTTTCGCGACTTCACAGCCCCTCCAAACAATGTCGAAGCTTTTGTCCCCGTATCCATCCTTGTCAGCGCCATGAGAGGCACCTCCTTCTTCTTGGGGCTGTTCATAAGCCCCTGGAGTGAAGTTCCGCGCCATGAGACGTTCGTCTCGTCGCCGCTCCCTTCTTCGAGACCAGCCTCTTTCTTCGCCTTACGAAGTGCTTCGCGCTGTTTCTCCTTACGGAGCAGCTCTTCCTGACGTTTCCGGGCAAGTTCGGTTAGTGAGCCGACAACGGGGCGCGATATGTTCCTGATTGTTTCCGCGTTCTGCGATCTTGTCTGCGCTTTCAGGCGCTGATACTCTGCAGCGTGGAGGTGCGCGGTGAATTGGCCGGCGATGGTAAAGAGTTCGTCCTCGACCATCCGGTATCTGTCGTCATTGTCCAGCCCTTCTATCATGAAACTGTTCCAAGGTCAGTTTTTGAAGTGAGGTCTTGGTTACATGATTCACTCACGATTCTGGCAGAGGTTGCGGTGGTGGTGAGGTGGACGGGCTTCTTCCTGTTATGCCTGGTAAGCGCCAGGCCCAGAGGGACAGATTATGAACAAGTACCTCCGAGGTAGCCATTTGACAGAGCTGGATGGTGGTTTGAGTTTTCGCGCGGTGTGGGTGTTGGTGTCGCTTTCGGCTTTGGAGTGACATTTTGTGGTGTAGAGATTCGACGGGAAGGGGTTGAGCTGGCTGGACTCCTTTTCACTGGCGTTCTTGCTGATCGGTCATCATCGCGCTCCCAAGGAAGTCGCCGCGTCATGTTTGGAAGTTTTCAGGCGCATACGATAGAGGGTGCGGCTGATGTTTACGCTGGAAAATCTTATAAAATGCAATCAGGCCATGGTCTTATCATTTAGGCTCGCTCTAGTGAAGGCAGTCGACCCTGGAAGTCGCTATCAATGACCGTTGACGGAAGTCTTGGAACTTTTAGATGAAGCTAGGTAGCCATGAGCATGTGGTGCACTAACAATTAATTGCGGGAGCGATAGCGGAGTTAGTTCGATATTCAATTGGCTGGGGTCGCCTACCCCGTTTGCTACATACCTACGACACGCAGACGCAACCTGAAGCTTTATGGCAATACCTCAGCTACGAAGCAGGTATTCTCTCCTGTCAGCTTCTCAAGTGATAGACTGTGCTCTTGCGGAGCTTCAAAGATTCCGAATCGGATTGCTTTCTCAGTGTCGCATAGTTGTCGTGGTATTCACGTGACCCTAACAAACACCATTCTATGCTGGTTGGGCCAACCGTCACGAGCAAAAATATAGGCAAGGCATACAAGTTCGACAAATAAAATTTCCCAGATCGGGGTATGACTATTTCAACGCTATAACCATGTCCTTTTTATCTATAAACCTTGCCCAACCCAATTATACACAACTGCCTCAACCAAGGTTGAATTCGCTGGCAGAGTTCATCACTGCCCTCATCTTCATCTTCATTCTCTTCTCCATCTCGTTCGCCTCGGCACCCCCAGCAGTGTTGATATCCTCCATGGCGTTGCTTGACTTCTTCTCGCCCCGCTTGTTGGCAGCCTTCTGCTTCATAACGGCCTTCTTGCTGTCGTGGCCGCCACGTCCGACACCAGATGGCGCCTCACGCAGGCCATAAGCCTTGGCCATGTGACCCAGGTGGAGCTCAGTGATGTCAAAGTACACACGTTCCTCTTTAACGTGCGTAGCGTAAGCCCTGATATGGGAGCGGAAAGCCTTGCGAGCCTCGTCGAGGAGATTCTTCGCCGGAAACAGGAGAAGGCGTTGTTCAAGGTGGAGTTGCAGATTCTCGGCGCGAGCGTTGAAGCTCTTGTCTGTTGCGGGGAGAGGCTTGGCGTCTGTCTCAACAGGAAAGTCCATTGGTGTCGTCAATCCGCGCTGGAGGACGGTGTCGTAGAGTTCAGGTTTGGGAGGAGAAGCATTCTTAGCCTTCAGGTGCTCGATATATCCTTCTTCGCATCCAGGCATCAGGAAGAGAACAGCCTTTCCGGGACGGCCAGCACGGGCAGTACGACCAATACGGTGAACGTGGTCGGCAGCGGCAAAAGCCGGGTCGTACTCGACGACAAGTTCGACGGAAGGCACATCGAGACCACGAGATGCAATGTCGGTGGTGATGAGGACTGCCGGGTCCTTGCAGTTGCTGTAGGATGCCAAGGTCGCTGTTCGAACAGGTTGGGGAAGAGAGCCGTGGAGTCTGTGGAGAACGATGTTGGTGTTGGCGGGCGAGGTGATGTATGCTGCAGGGGCAACAGTGTTGGCTGTTTGCGAAGGGTTGCCTGATGGTTTCTCGTCGTCAGGCTGCGGTTTGCGCAAGAGGTCGAAGTGGAAGTCGACCGAGTCGGCACAAGCAAGGAAGATGATTGCCTTCATCACCGATCCCTTACGCGAAAAGGTCGATTTGAGGAGTGAGATGAGTGTGACCAGTCGTAACTTGGCGGGAACAATGACATAATTCTGTTTCAGCTGCGCCGGCGCCTCGAACTTAACCTCCTCTGCTCCATCCTGTTCCTCTTCTGACGTGGTAATGTGCACAGCATCCTCGAGACTGATCTCGCCAAGTTTCTGCACATTCATCTTCATCGTAGCTGAGCAGAGAACGGTAACACGTCGTGTCGGCAGGCCGGCAAGTGAGACTCCGTTCGCGGTTGTGTCCGATAGACCTCCTTCGCGAATTTTGCCGACAATGGTGCGCAGCTCCGCCTCGAAACCCATCTCCATCAGACGATCACCTTCGTCGAGAACCAGCCATCTGACAGTGCCAACATCAAGACTCTTGGTGTTTTGAAGGTGATCGCTCAAGCGACCGGGTGTTGCGATGAGAATGTTAACACCCTTACGTAGGCGGCTCTTCTCGGAGTGTTTGCTTTCACCACCGATGACCGTCGTGCTGACGAGGTATGGTGGGAGAATCTTGGCAAGAACGACATCAATCTGTCTGCAAAGTTCGCGGGTGGGTGCCAGAACAATGGCAAACAGGCCCGAGTCTCTCTTGATCTGTCCCTCAACGGAAAGGATCCGCTGGAGGATAGGAAGCAGGTAAGCCAGCGTCTTTCCGGAACCCGTTTGCGCCTGCACAAACGCATCGCTATCTTCCTTGATCAGTTGTGGAATGACTTTGGCCTGAATAGCAGTGGGCGCTTTGAGCTGGATCTTGCCAGACAAGGTCAGGGCGAGGCGTCTTGAGATACCGAGGGCGTGAAAGCTGGCAGCCTCGTCCGATAAGGGGGCGTTTGAAGGCTCTTGCGCCACTTCCTCAACCTTCTCACCATCGTTAGGCTCGTCAAAGACTGTCTTGGGTGTCGGGTTGAATGAGAAAAGCTTCGAAGTGACTTGGCCGTCTCTCGGTTTGCCTCCAGTCGAGATGCTGCCGGGCGGCAGCTTGCCAGTTTGATAAGCGCTCGGCCGTGGAGGCTCAGCTCTTGGCCGCTTCGCTGGGCGCCCATAAGCACCGTCCTCGTCGCTGGGGCGGTCTCGTTGAGGTTTCCTGGACGCGGGTGTGTATCTCTGTGGAGGCGGGGCAGCATCTGAAGAAGGCGATGAAGGGCGTTTGTCCACGCCCTTTGCGATTCTCTGTGCCTTCACTCTGTCGCGCCAGCGACCTCCTTGAATCTTGACCTGAGGCTTTAAAGGACCAGTCCCCAGGTCAAAATTGAGAATCATGCCGTCGTCCGCCATTTTGTCGATGAGAATGTCGTCGATCGCGGGCTGATGAAAGGTCACTAAGGCGGTTCAAGCTCTGAGGAAAAATTTCAGGATGAAGGGTCTTATCGTTATCGGTGATTAGATAAGTCCCCACTGTCCCCATATGCCAATTATGCAATGTTCTCCACAAAACGGCTGGGGCTGCAGGGCCGTTGGTTGCTAGGATTTTCACTAGCGGCGTTCAACTTGCAAACAGCCTCATTTGTTTAGGATGCGTAAGCTTCGGCTCATTGGTTCTATTAAAGATTGGATCACTTTTTGAAGATAAATTAAAGTTGAAATACCATCAATATAAGCTTGGCTAGACCAGAGGCGGGGGTCCGAAGAGGGGTAGTTGCCCAATACAAGTCGAAGCTTCTCCAAGGTTTGGACAGGCTAACCTGGTTAGATACGCACGTCTTTCTTCCTGTGGTGGCCTAAGCAGCCTGCTACTGAGGTCTGAATTTGACTTCCTCTCTCCATGCGGCAGTTTGAAATTTGGACAGTGAACGCTACCATTGAAAGAATCTAGATCCAGCTATTTAATCAAGCTAAATCCCCGGGACCCAACGTCATGCTCGGAATTGTGTATACCCAATAGGTGCGCCTTCCGTTGTTGGCTGGTCTACGACCGCCACACCACACCTGCCCTTGTTACACCCATGCAGGAGGCCGACCGACCATTCCTGCCGTTGGAAGGTGAAATTGGAAACAAGGAGTGAATGCGAACGTAGAAACCCTCCAGACGTTTGTTCTTCCTAGAAAGGCTTTTGGTTGCAGCCACTAGCTTCGTTTTTTGCTCAATTAGAAAAAGATAATTTTGACTCAGGCTTTTGAAATTGGTATAGAGCCTGACCCCCTACACCTTCACTCGCTATGCGGAAGCTGGACCTACTTCTGTGGGTGGCAGGCCTCGCCGGCCCGTCACGTGGGCTGACGGCCGCCACCACTGGTCTTAGCCAGCCTCCACAGCCCTCTAGCCAGTTAGTTAGTTCTTCCACCAACAACACCACTTTTCCCATTCTGAGCGTTCTGTGCTGGTTTCGCCCACAACTTCAATCATTCACCAACATCAATTCCTTCGATTACACCTTTGCAAAGCCTGGAAACAAGGTTGAGGAACCAAGCGCTCATCTGCTCAACTTGAGGCTTCAGATGAGAATTTAACAGCCTGTATATCCTTTGCAAGTGCTTCTTCTGGCTGCTGCACAAACTGTCGTCTTTGGCAATACCTCTTTGTCGGCTGTAACCGCCCAAACCATGCGTCTTCAAAGAAGTTTTACTAAATATCTCTTACAGTATCACCATGTTCTGCCAAGATGTCGACGACGAAACTTTCCACCTTATAATTCGGCTGCAGCTTGAGGACTTGGAGAGTATCAAGAGGGCGGACAAAGGAAAACACAAAGAGGATGACCTCCTAGATTCTGACTTCGCTGTCGAGGCGTATAAGTTGGAGCTCAAGGCTGGAGAGCAATTAGCCTCTGACAGGTGTATGTGCAAAAGCATCGCGAAAGCCAATCGTCAGGACGGACATATCATCAGTTCTCTGGTTGCGCAGGAGAAGCAGGCAGCACGGGACAGAGAAGCGGCGTTGCGTCTCAGTCGCGGTGGGCTTATCCATCCTGGTGTCGCCACGGCTACTCCAAATGGAGCTGACATGGGGGGAGAGCCCGAATTAGACACTGATTTGATTAAGAGGCTTAACCGGCTTTACGTATCTGCAAATGCAGATGAAGATGACAATGACCAGCCGGAATCGTCTTCCTGGGCAGCATCACGAAATGTGAATAACGGGACTGCACATCTTCACCAGGAGAAGAAGACCTGCAACAGCTGCATGGAAAAATACCCCTCCATCCAAATTGCCGGCTGCCCCTGCCACCACGAGTACTGCGGCGACTGTCTCCGGTCCCTCTTCGAGGCATCACTCACCGATGAGTCTTTATTTCCTCCCCGGTGCTGTGGCCAGCCAATCCCCGTCGAAGACAATCGTATCTTTCTAACACCCAAGCTCGTGGGAGAGTTTCGCGCCAAGACGATCGAGTTTTCGACCACGAACCGCACCTACTGCCATCAGCCGACATGTTCCACCTTCATTCCAAAAGGATTGATCCAAGGTGATATTGCGAGCTGTCCACGATGTCTTCATAAGACCTGCACCATCTGTAAGGGCCCAGAACACCAGGGTGAAGACTGCGGTAATGATACGGCGACGCAGAGCTTGCTCCAGCTCGCCGCCGAGAACGGGTGGCAACGTTGCTTCTCCTGCCGCAGAGTCGTAGAACTGGATCACGGCTGCAACCACATGAGTGAGTTCCTCTAAACTTGTGCCTGCTGCCTTTGTTGTCATTTATACTGATATTCAACTTCCAGCTTGTCCTTGCCATGCTGAGTTCTGCTACGTATGTGGTCTGAAATGGAAGACATGTACTTGCCCGCAGTGGAACGAGGAGCGACTGTACGCTCGCGCCAATGCCATCGCGAATCGAAATGCAGGCTTCCAGCAGTTTGATGCAGGCAGACAGGCACGGGTAGTTGAGAGAGAGGCGCAAAACCTCATGCAGAATCATGAGTGCACACACATGTCCTGGAGGTCTCGTAGTGGCTCTTTCACTTGTGAGGAGTGCCACGATACCTTGCCTACATTCATATACGAATGCAGACAGTGTCGCATTCGTGCTTGCCGAAGATGCCGGTTCAACCGCCTTTGATCATTGGATATCGTCCTCAACGGAGAACAGCTGTGGACGTTTGTGGGCGACAGGGATCATAACGACGAGGGTAAAGTCAGCGGTGGTTCATCCGAGGAGCAAAGTTTTTGTAATAAGAATCAGCATGTTGAATAAAAAGCAATCAACATTCAAGAAATTAGTGGTGTATTATGGAACATTAGCCACGTTCAGTTCACAAACGACAATATAGAGGAATGCTTGGGCAAAAATGCAAAAGATGATGCGGCCAGTGTGGATTGAACACACGACCTTCAGATTAAGTGATTGAAGTTGACTTCAGTCTGACGCTCTCCCAACTGAGCTATGTCCGCCGCATATGATTGGTGATGGAACTAGGACGTTTCAGCTTCTAAGTAGGATCCACAAACTCCACTGCGTTCCGAATATCGCTCTCGAGATCCCTTCCCTTTCATCCCAAGCACGACCTCAACCCAATATCAAGGAAGTCGTGCTTGTTATTGCTTTGCAGCGATGAAAGTGTCAATTCACCGTTTCAACCCCCAAGGGCCACAAAACCCACAGCTCGTTCCCAGGTTAAATAACATCACATCCAATTCCATCGTCTGTAATCATGAATGAATCTAATATTTTCAATACCATAGGATTGCTCAGGGCCGTATATATCCTTTTCCTTCCCCCTTCCGTCGTCCCGCCGCAAAACGCAAGACGCTCGCTCAAGAAAGCCACCCAGCGTAAACCCCCAACTCCTCCCTTCTCGCACCCTCCATCTCCCCTACGACATCCAACAACTTCACCCTCGCGCCCTTCTCCCTGCTCCACCCCTCAAGGAACTCCTCTACCCTCTTTTTCGTAGCCTCGTCATCCCTCATGACCAGCGCGAGCGCATCGAACCCACCGGCGCCAGGAACAACGCCACCCAGCACGCCCTCGACCTTCTGCAGCGCGTCGAGAAGCTCCGTCTGGCTCTCGGGCTCAATCGGCACGCCGCTGCCCTGTCCCATCTCGCGAATCAACTTCCTCACGTCCCCGACAGCTGCGCCGATTCCCTCGGTCTTTCCTGCCTTGAGCACGTCGGCTAGAGCCTCGTTCTTGGACTGCAGGTCGTCCCAAAGCTTCTTGCTCGCCTCGGGCTCGTTCTTGCGCCACTCGAGGACCTTCTTCACCATGCCCACCGTCTGACTTCCGCAGTCGACGTCGCACATCCTCAGGCACACGCCGGCGGGCAGGCTGACGCCGTCCTTGTCGACCTCGACGTCCCACGCGAGCACCTCGTCGACTTTCCTCTCCAGCGCCTCCGCGAAACCGGGAGCTCCCGGGGCGCCCAGGTCGGACAGGAGAGAAGGGGAAAACCGGCGGTACCGGCAGGATCCGAAGACGGCGGCCGCGACATCGAAGCCGGATCCGACTTTGCCCTGCGCGGCGCAGTGGGCGGCCTGGGCGAGGTTGTGCAGCGTGTGCTTGCCGGCCTCGGAGTCCAGGTCGAACAGGTTCGTGGGCAGGTGATGAGTGAGCAGGGCGGCGGTCAGCGAGGTGACGAGGGCGGCGGAGGACCCGAGGCCCGTCTTGTGCGCCTCGCCGATGGTGTGCGGGTACCGCGCGAAACGGCCACGCTGTTGCCCGGCGGAAGGAGAGCGGGCGGCGTCCGGGAGGGAGTAGTAATCGTTGTCGGCGAGGATGATGAGGCGCGTCGAGGTGAGTGAGTGGTTGGGGCGCTGCTTGTTGACACGGAAGATGTAGGTGAGGGCGTAGCTGAGGGTGGTCTCGACGAAGGGGTTCGGGCTTATTTTTGAGCCGCTGGGAGGATTTATGAGTGAGTGAAGACGGAAGATATGAGTAAGTATGGGGGTAAAAAATATAATAAAATAATAAACTGAATATGTATCGATCATGACGAGGATTGTGAGTAGCCCAATTTTAAACAGCCCGTGTTGGCGGGGAACATGTCAATGAGCGATGTCGAGCAAATCAGCCCCGTCTCACCGCAACAAACCCCCTCTCATACGAGATACATCAAAGGGCATCATCAAGTGAAATCAGGCACATGAACATATATATACACACTCACTCACAACTCATAAACACAAATAAGAGAGAAGAAGGGGAGGGAAAAAAAAAAAAAAGACTTACACCTGCAGCTGCGTAACAGTAATCCCGCCATCCTCAGGCGCAAGATGGAAGCCGTAGCGCCACGTCGCATCGACGAACTGCGGGCTCTCGACAATGATCTCGGTCAGATGGACTCCGGGAGACGTGTGGATCTCAGCGGCAACGACATTGACGCGGGCGCTGAGCCCGAAGACGAGTCCCGTGTATGTCCGGTCCAGGACCAGGTAGCCTCCCGCGAGGAGGACCTTTCCCGGAGCTGAGACGGCGGTCGTGGTGGAGTTGGTTGAGGCCGTCATCTTTTCTTTTTTTTATCTTCTTCTCTTCTTTTTTTTTTCTCCCCTTTGTCTTTAATTTCTTGTCTTTAGATTTTTTTCCGGTTTTCGATTGTCGTTATATTTCAATTTGCTTGTCACTCCTTTTTAACCCCCCGTCTTTGTGCCGGGATGTCTCTCCTCGCTTCTGCGGCTTTCCGACGATCCTTTGGAGTTGTGTTTTTCCCTTTTTCTTTTTTTCCTCTTCGCAAATTGAAACTTGGAGATCTGCAGAGCTTTGCAAAGTCGAAAATTTGAGTCGTTGACAAACAGACTGTATTTTCAAGTTTAGAGCCGGTGAGGGGGCGAGATGATATGATGACGCATACGTGAGGGAAAGTGAGGCAGCTAGTTGAAAGTTTGCCAGTCAAAGAAGGGGCGCACACATCGTGAAAGAGAGAGAGAGAAGAGGAGGGGGAGGCCCGGAACGATCGCTGTACAGTACAACGGTATCCACTCTAGTGCTTTTAACACTGGGCCATCCCCATCAGCATCAGGCCAAGCTTCTTATGGAACCCCCCAACAGCTTCAAATGCAGCAAGAACCCCCCGCTCAAATGTGCATTGTGTCTCTTGATAACCTAGGACCGGAGCAGCCTCCTTGGCTTACTATCCTGTCAGAATGTTCCATTGAAGCTTGGGCCCGTTTCTTCAGTTGTTCTTGAAACATGCACCTGCTTGGAACGTCAGAGCTGTCTTCTGAGCACGGATGGAAACAAACGTCTCTTAGTTGGCAGGGCACGTACAGATGATGTCTACACATCACAGGGCACACAATATCACTGCAAGAGTCTTCTTGTTGGTCTTTTTTTATACGCATTGTTTGAACTTTCGACATATATCTTTTCAAAATGCTGCCGATAATATACATACAGCAGGATCACATGCCCCATCATGGCATGTCGTAATCTGTCCTCGTAGATAATCCGTTATCCATACCAACCCGTCCCTGATCCTCTATGCTGCATCGCGCTTCTACCGGGCGCCCTCTTTTTTTATATGCTGGAGTGGAGTTATTTGTCTATAAGTTCGGGCCAATAGCCTTCATCGCTCGCTTTCCGAAAAAGCCCCTCGACGGGTGCTCTGTCCCTTTGACCCTTTTGCTTCCTCAACGCCGGTCCTCCCGAAACGTCGGGGTATTAAGTTGACTCCAAAATCAGACTCCCAAACCAATAAAAGACTCTGTGACACAAGGAAATGCTTCCGGCGCAAACCGCCAGTTATCAACCTGGCCGCCCATCCTACCCAGGTACCCCAAACCCTCTGTCCACCGACGTCAAAACACAACGGGGTATCAATCAAAACGGTAGATGAGGGCAATGACAAAGGAAATATGGTAAATCAAAAGGAACACGCAGAGCCGCTGCTCAATGCGAGTTTTGATGAATTGACAAAAAGACGAATGGCGTGGGAGGATGCTCAGTTTTGAACAGCAGCCTCCTCACCACCGCCACCGCCGAGGAGCTCCAGCACCTTGTTGACGACAGCGCTGGGGTAGCCACGGCAAAGCATCTCGCCAACGACGCCCTTGGCCTTCTCACGCTCCTCGACAGCGAGGAAGGCGCGGGTCATGGCCTCGTACGTGCTGGGTTCGCGCTTCTCATGGCCGACCGAGTTGTAGATGGCTTGCGCCTTCTCAATCTGCTTCTCGGCAGCCCAGCCGTGAATCAGCGTGTTGGCAATGTAAGGCGTCATCTCAACACCGCGACGGCGCATCTGACCAAGAACTGCCTCGGTGTCGGCAACCTTGTGGTTCGCAACCATGGCCTCAAACAGGGCCTGGAAGAGGCTGGCATTGACGGTAACGGAGCGGTCTGCCATGACGGAGTCGAAGACCTTGCGGGCGCCCTCCATGTCGTGAAGGTTGCAGCCGCGGGCGTGAATCAAAGCAGCGAAGTGAACAGGCTCAGGCTTCTGCCCAGAGGCACGAATGGCATCGAGAACAGCCTCGGCGGCAGTCATGTCGATGGGCTCCAGAGTGGCGTGGGTATCGACGAGAAGCTTGAAGGTGTGCGCCGTGGGGGCAATGCCCTTGGTCTTCATGCGCTCGTAGTAGGCCAGAACCTTAGCCTTGTCGCGCTTGGTAGTCAGGAAGAACTGCATCATGCTGTTGTAAGGAGCGGGGCGGGCCTTGTAGTTGGGCATAGCCTCCATCTCATCAAACAGCTCTTCAGCAAACTTCTCGTCGCTGACTCGGCAGAGGGCGTTGACAATGGTTCCGTAGGTGACCGACGTAGGCTTGATTCTAAGAGCGCGCATCTCAGCAAAGTAGAACAGGCAGTCGTCAATGCGACGAGCCTTGCCCAACTTGCCGATCAAAGCGTTGTACAGGAATGAGCTGGGCTCAACGCCCTCAGCCTTGGCACGGTGGAAGATCTTGACAGCCTCAGTTGCCTCGTCAAAGGTCTTGGCGGACTCCTTGAGGGTGGTAATGTAGAGACCGAAAGTGTTGGCAGAAGGAGCGGCACCCATGGCGAGCAGCTCCTGGTGGTACTGTTCGGCCATCTGGCGGTTGCCCATGGTCAGACAAGCACCAACCATGGCGTCAAGGATGGAAGACCAGCCGTAGCGAACAACGGCGTACTGGAGGAGAAGAGGGACGTCGGTACGGGCCATGGCGAGGATGTCATTGCACAGCTCCATCTTGCCATCACGAGCAGCGGCGGAGATCAGCTTGGCGTACGTGATGTAACGCGGGTGACGGCCAGCGCGGCGCATGTTGCGAAACCGGGCGAGAGCATCATGGAGCTTGGGTCCCTTACGACCGTGAGAACCCTCGAGCTCATCAGAGATGAGGGAGGAGCCCTTGAAGTCCGTGTTGTGCGCGTACGGGTCAAAAGAGTCCTCGAAGCTGGAAACAGTAGCAGTGGACGCGAAGGGAGAGACAGAGTTCTGCTGAGAGGCGATCTCACGAGGGTCCACGATGCCACGGCTGGTCATGAACTGGTGAACAAAGTCGACACCCTCCTCAACCTCATCCGCATGCTCGGGGCTGGCGGCGCGAATTCTCTGGAACATCATCTCTGACTGCAACAGACCCTCAGCAACCTGACCAGAGCCAATCATGGCAATGGCGAACATGGCGGTGGGCTCAATGAAGGCCGCAGTAACCTCAGTCTCAGGGCTGCAGAGAATGTGCCAGTAGCGGGCGGCGGAGGCAACGTCTCCCTCGCGAACGCTCAGAGCGAGAAGGGCCATGGCAGGGGTAGCAATGGGCTGGAAGTTGACGGGAAGATTGGCGAAAGCGGCAATGGCGGTGAGCTTGTCACCGTGGTCGGCAGCGCGGGTCGCCAAGCTGCTCATGGGGTCCGCTCTGACCTCGGCCTCAACGACCTGTGCCCAGCGAAGGGCCTCGTTGAAGATGCCACGGTCAGTAAAGGCCTTGACAAAGCCAGAGCTGACAATGGCGTCCTTGATGTCACCAGCGCGAACCTCATACTCCTTGATGATCTTCTCGTAGAACTTCATGGCGCCCTCGACCTTATCCGAGATGATGTACGCGTGGATAACAGCAGCATACACCTCAGCATCAAGACGGTCATTCAGAGTAGCCTCGCCCTTGTCGTTAGCAATGGCGAGCTCCTTGTACTCGTTGTAGCACTCGACGGCGCTGACGAGATCACCAGCGTTGGCGAAGGCAGTGATCATGGCAGGGAACATGGCGGCGAAAGGGCTAACACGGTTCAGCTCCATGTGCTCGTACAGGCGAAGCATGTCATCGACACGTCCGGCTTGAGCGCAGGCGGAGATGAGCTGGTGGTACGACTCAGCCGAGTAAGACGCCCTCTGGGTAAGGACGGACTTCTCGAACATGTTCATGGCCAGGTCAAGTCTGTCATCCTCGGAAAGAATGGCATGCTCGAGCTCGTGGGAGGCGAACATGAACTTGCCAGGCTCGTCCATGCCACCGAAGCGGACACGCTTGTCATCCAGAGACTTCTTGAGAGCAGCTACCTCGAGCGAACGGGCAGCAAGAAGGCCGACCAAGATGTTGTAGGTGTCGCTGTCAGGGACCACCTTGCGGCGGAGCATGTCAGCATAGACATCCAGCGCCTTGGAAACGATCTCATTCTTGGCCGCCGGGAGGTGAATGGCAGCCACCAGCAGAGCGTTGTAGGCACTGGAGATGGGCTGGACACCAGCCACGAGCATGGCCTCGAAAACTGCAGGGATCTCTGTGTAGCGGCCATCCTCGGAAAGATGCTGGAGGTGGTCGGCGTAAACTTGGGATTGGGGGTCCACGGGAGGAGTCGCGGTGCGTGCGCTGAGAGGTGAGCGGGATCGGTCGAGGGCCGGAGAGTGGTATGAGCGAGCGGCGGGAGAAGCTGATCGAACGGAGTGCTCTGAAGCCTCTTCCAAAGCTTCTAAGCGGTTCCTGAATTCGATTTCTTTCTCGAGTGCTGCGTCAATTTGGGCCAGGGCGGCCTGGGCCTCGGGAGGGATGTTTGATGGTGTCTCTCCATCTTGTGTTGTGGCGTGTTCTTCGGCATCGTGTGTCTTGGACTCGAGAACAGAAGCTTGTGTGGGCTGCCACTCAATCTGTCTCTGGAACTGAAATTGGCTCCATTCGTTCTCGAGATCTTCTTCGGAGGCCTGCTCCTGCTGCTTCTGCAGAGCCTCGAAGTAGGCGTCTAAGCTTCCATGCTTGCTGGTAAGCTTCTCGTGACGGTGGTCAGAGAGGCCGGCAGTTGTCCGCTCGTGGTGAAAGGCGGACTGAAGCTGGAGGGATTGAAGACGACCAAAGCGGTTGGTGTTCCGACGCGCAAATGAGGGTCGGTTCTGGGTGTTGAGGATAGGGTGTGTAGCAGCTACGACAGACTGGGCGTAGCCGTTGGTGAAAGATTTCGCGAATCCTTGACGGATGAAATTCTGGTAGAGGGAGGAGTAGATGGTGGGCATTTAGAACTCGCGGGGAAGGGGGGAATTCTATGATGAGACTGTCAGTTCCCAATTCACTTTTTAATTATTTTTATTCTTCAATTGGTAGGTGGTCGCCGGAAAGGAAGGGAAGAGGGGAAAAAAAAAAAAAGTTTGGTGAAAAAAATGATCGCGGATTCGACGAGCTGAATTGACGAGGCTATAGAGTTTTTGCAGTGTTTGTTTCGCCACGGGAAAAGCCCGGGCAAAAGGGAAAGGTAATATTTGCTGATATGGCTGACAGCACGCAGCCTCAGGCGGGATGGGCGAGGTGGTGATGGATCCTAGGCAAATCAACTTACATGGGAAGAAATATGAAAAGTCCGTTGCAGGTTCATTTGACAGCAATGTAGCCGCCAAACAAACGCGCGAATCTGATTAAAAAGGGGGGTATTATTTGGGATTGGAGGGAAGAGAAAAGGGAAGAGAAACGAAGTCGTGAGCGAGGGGGGCGAACTAGAAGTATTAAGATGCCGGTAGATTTTCTGAGTGGAAAGGGCAAAAAAAAAGTTGCAGGGTAGCGCGTACGGCACGACGAGGTACTGGTAGGTAGGAATGGGTATAAGGATGGGAATAGGAGCGGGAGGTTTGAGATCGGACGGAAGTCAGTGAGGCGTACAGCCGAGTGAGTACCGCCCTCGACCACCAAAAGCTCCAAGCTTTGGGGCTTTGTGTCTCTCTGTGACTCCTTTGGAAGGAATGGGGAATGTGACAGAAGGGCAACGACGGGCACGCTAAGCAGGGGCAGGAAAGAAGGGGGGCGTCTTGGTGGTGGCAGGGGGAGGAAGAGAATACCCGTAAAAAGGTGACGCTGAACCAGGGCAGATTGAATACACACTACACAAGTGACGGTGGACCAGTGAGGGACTTGCAGCACAAATGTTGCAAATATGGGGATAAGAGAGGTGTTTCTTTCGCGTGGATTCGGGAGCTCTTTCGCATTGACAACGGCGGCCCCCCTCGTCGTGTTTGTCCAGTGACTTCGCCCGCTGCCAACTGCGGTGCGGGTACGTATGGCTCAGGGTGGATTCGGGAACTTTAAATTACTAAGGCGCGTTTTGTATTCCCGTGTCCTGTTTGCTACTTACTATCCCGTGGTACACTGGATGTACACTGCACTTGTATGGATCCACGGTGTATTCTGTACGTACTCTTTTTTATTCCGTGTTGTCGGAGTGGATGTGAATGACTCAGGCAGCAAACCCCGAACAGCGTTGGTGCCTTGTTTTGCTGTCGTGTGAGTGGCTCAGGCCCTCTCTAGCCTCAGTGGCTCACTTGCTGCTCCCTTGTCATATTTGGTCTCAAAAAAGCAATGGGTAATTGGAATGGATCGTGACTCCGAGGCAAAGAAAACTTGAGGCGGGACGGGGGGCGACAGGGACAAGGAAAAGGTGAGGAAAACCATGACAAGTGTCCTCATAGGCATCTTTTTTTTTTGCCCTTTGCCTCTCGACATAATCTTGCCTGGCCACGACCATCCCAACTACCTGGGTATGCTCTAAGGCAGCAGCGGGCTGACTGGACTGGCAGGTTGACGACGTGGACAGGGAAAGACGGATGAAGAGTTGTCCCACGCAAGACCGGACGGATGCTCCAGTTAGCTCCGGGACCGAGTCCGTCAAGTCTGCGTGTCATCAATTTTTGGTGCCTTTCGCCCGCAGTAGCTATGGAAATACCTCATTAGGGGGCCTGCTTGTATCGCATCTCATGCATGTTCCGTAACGGCGGCCGAAATGTACTCCATTGTACCGGACGTAGGAGAAACCAGAGAAAAAGTACTTTGTATCCGTAAAATACCATCCCTCCCCCATCCTTTTCGGCAGGACCATCCCGCACCGAGATGACGACTCCCTCTCACGCCTAAGGACGCGAAATTGATCATCGCTGCAGGCTAGGCCAAGGTCGCTTTGGAACGTCAACACCATCACCAAAAAAAAAAAACACGGGGAAATTTGGGGGGTAGCCAAGGGGGCCTCCCAGCGCGCACGAGTCCAGACAGATGCCAAATCAGGCCTGATGACTCTTTGACGGCTCCCCTGTGGCTCCCCTGCGGATCCCTGTGAGCGAGAAGAAACCGGCACCACTGCGCTGGATTGCGTGGGGCAACCCGGTCAAGGCTGGTTGTAGCCGTCAGCTATCGTCACAGACTCACAGGACAGAGGACATACATACACACATACGGAGTGCATACCGTCGTAATAGATACAGTCAAGGTAGCAAGCAGCAGTATTGGTTCCATAGTGTACGCAGTACTAGTAACAACCCTCTTCCCCTAGCGATGGTGGCTGTTCTATCCGAGTGCCCTTCCTCGGCGAAGGTCGTAGACGCGAATAGATCTCGGCCGGGCTAGAACCAATCACGGTTGCGATAATACTGGGAGAAGCCGGAAGGAGCGGGATGGTCGGAGAGCCACCAAGAACCCACCTTCCAGCACCTGCCGTTGGAGCTTTTGGAGACCCAGAGACCCAAGAGCCACATTTCTGGTTCCATCCCGTCCTCTCGGGACGCTGCCTCCAGCCCCGCACATGCCCTTTTCCCACCAGTGGCTGCACCTGCACTATTGCTCCGGTACTTCCCCGCTACGTAGCTTCCGCTAGTGACGCTCATTGGTGATTAACCATCAGAATCCCATCACTCTTGCAGCAAAATTTTCACCTCCAGCATGGCGCAACTTTCATGCGCATGGCTACGGGAACGGATACCAACCAAACTGCAGCAGACCTAATGTTCAGGTTCCGTGGCACTGCTGCATCATGATAAACGACTGCAGACGATCTACGGATGCGGATACCTGATAGCGTAGATGCCAACGGCTTATCGATCATGATGCGGCTGGGAGTGCCTCTACGTCGTAGTAGTAGTGTAGTAGTTATCTGGCACACTGGTAAGACTAACCCAAGCATAACGACATCTGAGAAAGAAACACCACCACCAAGAAAAACAAAACTTGTTTATGCGCCCCTCCACGTCTCTACCCAGTCACTGATCAGCACGGCAACGCCAGCTTTCTCTTACTTGATACGGATTGTCACGATCCGCAAGCAAACACGAGCCGGCAAAAGAAACAACAAGGTAAAAACCAACACCGCCAAATCGACCCAGATTGCGGTCGCGGTATCGACAAGGCCCCATGCCATCTATCAACTCCCCTTATCCCAAACTAGCAACTTATCAAGCCCATGCTCGCCGGCCCTGTCCTGCCCCTTGCTTCCGCGGACGAATGGCGGCACGCCCAAACTGGCAGAGTAATCTGCCCCTCCAAAGACTCCAAAGGGACCCTGGACCCCGTCAGTAATTATTACCATCTGGAATCTAGCACGCACAACGGAGATGGCGATGCGATCTCCATTGCCCAATGGTCTCCTCGCCTGTCGCAATAATTGGCAGCGGGAGCCAATATGGGTCAGGGTTCAGCTGACCAGGACCAGCTGCCACCGACACTCTCCTCTGGGAGGAGGTGAAGTGAGATCCCCCTGAGAGGTCGGTGCCCTAACAGACGCGACGTGCTTGAGACATTGACGAACGGGGAGCCACGGAATCTCCTCCACAATTTGGGCAGTTCTGACACACACACATGTCCGTTCAATGACTGGTAGATCGCGAGCCAAGATTTCCCGCAAAGCCGTGGGGGCACTGCACATCTTTCAAGTCACGCGGCCATCCATTCACGAAAAAGAGCCGCCTTCAAGCTGCGGCACGGCAAACCCACAACCCAGAATTCAGAGACTCCCTACCAGAGCAAATACAGTCAAACTAAAAAGAAAAACAGGATCTAGTGTCAGGTACCGTCTGCGTCCAGACATGGATACGCCTTTCGGATGGTCCATGGGTTGTCCATGGATCGAGATGCTAAATTGCTCTCTCACTCACTTGAGTATTTTACGAAAAGGCGACTAGTTGCACCACTACTGCAGAATGAGTATCCGCACTACGTACTATGTTTGGGGCTCGGAGGGCGGACTTCAGGTTGTACCGGCTTACATCCGGTTGCCGGACTATGTGAGGCGTTATCCCCGTGGTTCATGATGTGGCCCTGAAATTGCCGACCCCCGACGGGGTTTAATGCCGTTACCCGGCGCTGGCCCTGCCGAGCAAATTGAGCCCAGTGCTTTCTCTAGCTTAATCAGCCACTAATGCGCTGCATGCTGCGCGCGCCGCCTGGGCTCCGGGGACTTGGGGAGTAATTAGTACCTAGTAGTATAACAACAATGGTATGGGATACCCAGCGCCGCCTTGTCACCGAGATACATCGGCTCGGGACTCGGTGAGTGGGCTTGCGGAGGATCGACGGGGCAGCATCTGACTTCATGTGGGGGCGCGCAGGGCCTTGCTTACATAGTTGTATTGTAGTAGTACATACACTACAGCCCACGAGTTACAGCATCATCCCGTCTTGGGGGGCAGCGCATCATTACGCAGCATTACGCTTCTCCAAAAATGTAGGTATGTGTGTGTGTGTGTGTGTGTGTGTGTGTGTGTGTGTTTTGACATTCCGCTCGCCGGCGGATTTACACGACGGCTCCGAGGTGGGGGACTCGGAGGGGGGAAGGGTGAGGGGGAAACGAACGCACAAGGCAGCAACCCTCGGGGAGACACGGGCACGGTCACGATGGCTGTGCGGTTTCACAAGGCTGACGATGACGATGACGACGGGGGGAAGGGGACTTGTATGTGCATGTGTCGTTATTTTGGTAAGGGAGGGCCATGTGACAGTCCCCAAAATTACCCGGGTGGCCTTGTCAATTAATAGGAAAAAAAAAAAAAAGTATGTGGAGAAAAGATGTGCATCAGGATTAATGGGAAACAGAGATGTGAAGGAATTATTCTTGGTTTTATTCATCTTTGGATTTGTATCTCTCTTTGTGTGTGTGCGTCTCTCTCTTTCTCTGTCTCTCTTGGAGGACGTCCCGCTCCGAGTGATTCCTCTCATCCCAGCTTTGCAGCTCCTTCTTCGCAGAGTCTACTGCGTAACTCCCCGCCTCCTCCAAGTGGTATCGATTCCTGTACAATGTTCTTTCATAGAAGCATTCTCTCTCTCTCTGTCTTTCTTACACTACTCCATACATAAAAGAAATGACAAAACATAAAAAAAAAAAAAAAAAAAAGGTTCATACGACATATTGTAGTCGTTGACGCTGTGTTTCCCATTTGCCCCCAAAAAAACGCCGTCGCTCATAAGATTTTGTCCCGAGGTATCATCTAATACCATGCAGCGCTCAATTAATTATCGTCGATAATGTAAAGTGATGTTGGTTTGTCCTGCACCAGCCTGGGTGTAATCAAGTCGCAGCCGACCATTAAGTCCGTCTCTTCATCGCTAAGTATGTTGTATGTGAAATAGGAAATGTTGTAAAAAAGTGATTGTACGTGATATGTGTGTGTTCTTGAATTTGATGATGATCGAGTTGATCATCGGTAGGAGCTGCCAATGGTGGAGATGGAAGAGATGGAGGCGCTGGACATGACGGGCTGGATAGAGAACATTGGCCTGACGGGGTAATCCGAGTCGAAGTCTGCAATACCGATGCGGCTCGCGACGGCTTGTTCCTTGAGCATGGCGATTCTGGGAGAGATGTTAGTATCATTGTGTGATTGATGAAAGTAGTGGAGTTGTAACTTACTCATCGGCGCTGATGCCGGCGAGGTCGAGGTTGCACTTCTTAAAGTCAAATGGGGCGGAGATTTCCATGGCCCTCTTGGTCTCCTTTCTCCGGCGGATCATCTTGTTGATGAAGACCTTGAAGCCGTCGTTGGAGTGCATGGCTGAATCGTTCTGCATTGTGGCGGATTGTGGATTGTGTGGTTGTGGTGGCGGGAAATGGAAGTGGATGTTTGGGGCGATTGTGGAAGAGGTGGGCGAAGTCCGGTGATGTTATATCTGACCAAGCCTTGTTGTTTGTATGTATGTAGCACCTGCTCTGCGGTTCGTATACAGGGGTGAAAGGGATTTTCGTCGAGGGATGTGGACGAGGGGAATCCAAAAGAAGAAAGTATAGTTCAGATGTGGGAATCCTTGGACGAAAAGAGATGGATCGGGTTGCGAGATTATATCCAATTGTCTCTGGTTATTCGTGTCGGATGCCACCGTGTAAAGAAAGCGTTGCCCCCTTGTCTCTGTGTCTTGATTGCTTGCTTGCTTTTTCTTCCAGCTCCTTGGATATCGGGTTTCTCTTGATATTGCCTGATTTGGTTGTCTTTGTAGATCCTGTGCGTCTGTGGGTATTTACTTCCTGTGGCTCAGCCCTGGATTGGTGGGAATGTTGATGATTGGTTTAGCTGTGAAATGAAGTTGATGCGGATTGGGAAGAAGCAACTGGATATTGAAGGGTGGGAGAAACCAAACTCATATATCTCCATTCCCAGGTTTGGTGGTTTGAACCTCTTTCCGCACGCGGCATACGAATACCCGCGCAAGGATGGCGACTTACACGCCCTCCAACTCCCACCCCATCCCGCCATGAGTTGCTAGAGAGTTCGGCCGCCCGTCCCATCTCCAGAAGCGGTCTGCCTTGGGGGGAGGGGCGTAAGGTGTGGAGGGTGCGGTGATGTGAGCTCCGCGAATGGCGGCGTGTACGAACCAACAGGACAATGAAGTGTCCGTCCGACGGCCTATGGGCGCCACCTTTGCAAACAAGGTTAGGTGGAGTGTGACTGTGATGGAGGGGGGGTGTATGCGATCGGATTTTGATGAATAGAGTGTTGGTGTGTGGGTGTGTGGGGTATGAATTGATGGTAACGGACGTAGAGGACGGCGGGCTTTATCGTGAACAGAGACAACTATTTTTTTTAAACTTCTTTTTTTTTAATTGGTGATTTTCCTTGGTGGATAGCGGTGAGATTGGGCCGTGGTATCTTTTAGCAGTGTCGCCGCCTAAAAGGGACTTGGTAATCTGCTTAGCAATAGGGAAGTTGCAGGATAACCAGTACAGAAAAAGGTAGTGATGGACCTGCAGAATTTAGACATCCAATAACGAGAACGACAAGCCAAAATAGGCTTACTACCACTACCACTGCCACCATACTGGAGACGTGTGAAATTGTTAGAGAAAAGTTAAACTTTCTGCTCCGTGTTTGGATCGGGGGCATCGGGAACACTGCCCCCCCCCTCCCTCCTCTACACATCCCAATCAGAGGCACAGATGTTGCGGCCGATAGGTACGGCAGCCTCCGGAAAGAATGAACACGGCCTGTTTCTGAAGACTTACTTGGACACACCACAGAAAGAGACGAAAGTAATGGAATAGTTCGGATGCGTGCGTACACCCTCCCACACACACACTCGCACGAGAGAAAGTATACATGTAAAATAACATTAAAAAAAACCTGAAACTGCGCGGCGGCGGCGATGCTGATGTTTCAACGTCTCGAGATGGTGTGGGCATGGATGACATGCTGATACCACGTCGAGGCCGAGGGACGGTTTTGTAACACACCACCAAAAAAAAAGTGACCCCCCTTGACACATGGTCCAATGTTTATTCTACCCAGGTATGTGACCCAGACGCCGTCGTTGCCGATTAGGGAAAACAAGGCTCTCGCGGACGCAACAACTTTGACTGTGCTGCACGCTTGCGCTGCGATGCGAGACAAGACAAGACAAGACAGGACAGACATGCAGAGCCCCCTTTTTCCAAAAATAAGCCTCGCATTTGCTTCCCTAACGTGACTGCGTGCTAAGACTACCTACTCCAGAAACGTCTACGTCAGGCTCATAGGCCAAACGTAAGGGGGGAAAACCGGTCTATATGCAGGAACCGTTCGTCACGGGGGCTGCAGATGTCAGAACAAGCCAGGCACTCACAGACTTACAGCAGCAGCGGCAGCAGAAGAGTCGCAACGGTTAGGAATATGCAGGTACATCACACAGCCTGTGCCTGTGTCCGCGGACGTGGAATCGGCCGTCAGAGGTTGCCGCCGTCTCCGCGTCCGCCTCGGGGAAGTAGAAATTCTGCGGCACGTGTGAAGGACGACGCACTGCCTCATGAGATTTGATTTCTGATTTGCTGCTACTGCCGATATGGCAACTCTAAATTGTGAGATGGCACATCGCCGCCGCCGTCGCCGTCGCCTTCGCTATCGCTCCCGGGGGGGGAACGTGCTTTTGCTGTTATACCAGGGAGAGAGAGAGACAGCCAATCCCTGGCCCAAAACTTCTGTGCGGTATTTGGTAGTTGCTGGCCGACCCAGCTGCCCGGAGCGCCGGGTGCCGGTGGGTGCCGCGGGGGCGGGAATGCTGTGGGTGGGGACCGGTCAGGGGGCCCCAGAGCAGAATTTCCAGCGCAGGCTGTCAGGGTACCACCAAGGGTAGGTAGGGTAGGGTTGTATCAGGCTCATGCGTTGGGTTACGATGGAGGCCGTGAAATGCCGAATGGTGGCTGGCGGTGTTTATTCATCGGCACGAAAGGGCGAGAAAAACACACGCAGATCATGATTAGAAATACCATCGAGAGATACTCGGCAGAGAGACTCAATACAACGTGGCCCAAATCTCGGACGGGCTTCACCGGCGGCAGAGCCCGCGAGTTTGAGGATGAGACCGTTTACATTCCTGCTGGATTTCCACCACACACTCATACACACACACACACACACATCAGCTAGCCCTACACGTCTCGAGATGACACTGGCAGAGGTGGTGAGTGACCCCTTTGGTTTTTCTTCAGCAGAGTTGCGCTGGTGTTTTCAGAGTTGGAGTGGAGGGGCTGGTAGCATTCCCGTTCGCCCTGATAATTAGTCAACCGGCGGTGGAGGGTGTAAGTCATCAAGGGACGACCGAAACCGTATACAATATTCAGCCCGATGGAGAAACCGAAAATAATACACCATGACGACGATGCCAATTAAACGACGCCCCCCCGGGTCCCTCATCATCATCCCCCCTCCCTTGGGTTGGACCCCTGAAATTGGGCATTCCAATTCGGGCCGTCACGCAATATTTCCACGAAGAGCCGCGATCTGCAGCAAAATGTTAGTAGTAAGTACGGCGCGTCCCATCCGAATATTCCGCTTGATGTTTTTGTTGCCGATCCAGCCCGGAACAATTGCTACGTACACCATAGTATCCTATGAGTATTGAAACCTACATACTATAAACTTGCTGACACAGCCTATTTCACACCTGCTGACGCAGACTCCCTCCCCCACCAAAAAAAAAATTAACCAGCTAACCTGCAGGCTTCATCTGCAGAAGGAAGCTATACTATCGACAAGTCAAGCCACGCCAGCGCCGCGTCCCCACAACGGACGAAGAGGCAAGCAAAGCAGACAGGCACTCAAAATATGGTCGTTTCGGGCAAGGCTTGAGAGATTGGATTAGCAGGGGGGAGCAGTCCTCCAGCAGATTCCGCACTCAGTGGGACCTACTCGTACACACTCAAGAGAGAGCCGACAGGTTGGTTACCTCTTCCTCGGTTGGCTAGCTGACGAAGGCATCTCATATGCACGCACGTCCCAAGAGGACGGGAACGCGAGATGAGAGGACACCAGAGGAAGAAAAGTGAATACCGGGCCCCTGGTCGTGGGCCAACTACATAGTATCTACTAGTGATGAATAGTTATAGTGACCCCGGATCATCACAGCCTCTTCATGCACCTCACCGATACCCAAGATTCTTCTCGGCTTTTTTTTTTACTAGGTGAATCCATCATCGTTCCCAAAGCCAATCATAGTCCCTGGTCAACCTATCAGTGAGGCAGGAATAAGCAATAATTAGCCCCCCCCGAACAGAGTCAGTCAGCATCACCAGAACAGGGCGGAAAGTGTACCGTTCCCTGTCAGCTTGAACAATAGCAGCCCAGCCAGCCTAGCAGAAAAACCAAATAACCCCACCTCCACTGCAGCAAGGACGAGAGCAAGATTGGGGAGGAAGGTCGATGCCGCCCCAACCGGAATAGAGTTGCGAAGGCGAAGAAGAAAAGAGTAAGATCGCTGCCTTCTCATTGGGTCATTAGGCGATGGCTCATTTCTGTGGCTTCACGGACTCAGTATTTTGGCGGCCCCACCTGATAGACTACTGAGCTGTTACGGCCGGTGGTTGAGATCTGGGGGGGTTTTTGATGGGTGAAGGGGGAGGGGGGGGTGTGGACGCAATCGATCGTTCAAGCATCTTCCGATCACCTCGGGTTGACTCGAGTTCTGTTATGTAAGCCGTCCCTGATTATGGTGGAGGGTTTGACGTTCCGAGGATAGCGGACAGGTTGAGGGGCGTTGACGCCTCGGGAGATGTTAGTCAAGGCTTAGCCAAGGTTGCGCAGAGACTTGGCTACCAACTATAACGTAGGCTAGGTGCACTGCAAGATTGCTTGAGTAGCGGACGGATGACTGACAGGTCATTTCGTGAGGGTCGTGACAGTGCCTGTGCTCCCCCATCCCACTATAGCATTGCAGCCTTCCGCGCACTAACACTACTCTAACTTGCCGCCCGCTACTATACATGGCGACTGTGTTAGAGGGGGGCCTCTGGGGGCGGACCCGCCATATATCGCCGGGTTCGGCTGTCACTCAGCGCCACGGCGTACCTCGGCGCAGAGCACTGGGTGTAACTGGGCCCGGGTCATTGCCTCCCGGGGGGGGGGGGTGGGGCGCCTTACTTAACAAAACCTCCTACCCAGATGCATCCAAACCTCTGCCCATACTACGTTGAGCTGATGGTGATAACGGGCATCGAGACCACCACGCTCCACGATAAGCACGGTAAGCACGGTCCACGAGGCTTGATATGAGGCTGTATGCGGAAAACACCCACATCACTGCTGGACGACTTTGCCCCAGTCGGTAGACGACAATGTCACGCTAAGAAAGCACACTATCTAAAATGCATCATATTCCAACGTCTGGGCCCTTGGGATAACATCATCCAGGCATGCCGTTTGCGGAATACGGGACAACCGCGAACCCCACCCACCACTCATCGGTCATCCAAGGAGAAACTCGCAGTCGTCGAATTCAGTTCCTCCTGTCCTGCATTTGTCCGAGTTGGCCCACGCATGTCTCTCATCCTGTCCTTGTCATCAACGCCTGCGGCCGAGAGAAGTTGTCTCTGACAGAAACTTACAACTCTCATCCGTACTCCCACACACACACACACACACTTTCTCTGACATACTGTCGTGAGCGGCCGCCTCAACGCTTCTCAAAGCTCGAAAGCTTCTTTTCCCTTCTTTCGACGGTTTATGGCGTGTCTTTCGGCATTTCTCCCGGTGATACAGACTTCTTTGCAATCACGTCGCGTCAAAGGAAACGAGACTCCGGCAAATCCTTCTTCCCATGCATTCTTTTTCCTTCTTCTTTGCCACGAGAATCTCTTTTGCAATTCTACGCCCGTAATGCCTTGTCTTCTGCAACCTCGTAGTCTCTCTGACACGTTTGAGCCAAAGTAAACTCCGATCTAACAAAAGTCTCTCAAGTCCGATGCAACAAGACGACTGCCGAGTTTAAACGTGATTTTTCCTTTGGTTGAAACTCCTCCCCACTCCTGCATCGGAACCAGCTCACCGTCTCGTACGAAGCATGTAACGGAGCCGGCCGAGCCAGCCTGGCATCCTAGGTAATTAACTCTGTTCTTTCGCAGCGGTGCGGTTTGAATCAAGCATAGCAGAGGCAAAATGAAACAATCAAACTTTGAAGATTTAGCCGCTTTCGCTCTCCTCGTCTTCGACAGTTGCGTGTTTCATGGGCACCCTGCAGTTGGCTACCTTGAGTTTCTTTCTGGGTAATGTTGGCGCTGGCCCTTTCTTGACCACGTACCCATGACATGTTTGCTGTGCGCGCTATTGCCTTTGCCTCTGCGTGTACCTTTACGTGTCGTGTGCGTCGTATGTTTCCGTTGTAGGCCGTTCATCTCATGCCCATCGGGGAGCATAGCGAAAACGAGACGAGTCTATTTCTTTCTCCTCTACCCTTGTCCGTCGAGCCATGTGTGTGTGTGTGTGTGTGTGTGTACAACGCTCTCGGACGTTCTGCGCCGCTTCAAAGTCTCAAAAATTCTTTACATTTCTCTTCTGTTTTTTACTCAGGTTTTTTTTTTGCCTCCCGCTGAACAATCTCCCCCACGGTTTCGGCATCGTCAGGGGAACCTGCCCCTTTGGGCAGCGCCGGCCACGACAGAACCACGAGATGCGTGGCCGTATGTCTGGGACGCACGCAGAAAGGACAGGCGAGACATCCGCACGCGACCTGGTCAGTCCGAGCGGTTGTCCGTTTGTGCCGATCACTTGGAGTGGTTTGCCGCCGCGCTGCCGAGGTAAGGCACACACTTTGTCAGCGGTAGTACGTAGTAGAAGTGTCCTAGTAGTATTAGTCTTGGGACGAGGCAAGGCAGAGAGAGACATGGATTCCGATCGATACATCATGATGATCGTCTTGTAAAGGTCGCTCTACTTACCTCCGCCACCACTTTCATCATCGTGTGCCATCCTCCCCACAACGCCTCCGATCTGTGTGCACAGGTGCCTCGGTTGACGTCCACCGATCTTCTCACATAATCCACATTCGCACGCATCTGGATGGTGGCTAGTTTGGAAACACCATTCTTCATGGGAAAAAAAAAAGCTATACGCCACTAGAGATAGAGTGACTGTCCGTGCTCTTTCTCTACCAAAGGGGGAATAAGACTGCTACCGACCTCTATTCCCGAACCTTTTCCCTACAACAAGCGTCCTGCCATTGCAGGGCGCGAAGGCTGCAGTAGTGCCTCTCCATCTGACAAATTCGGCTCCAAAAGCCTTCCCATGGCCCTGGTGCTCCTCCGTCTCTCGCCCATGCTCCTGTCAAACCAACAACACCATCGCCAACTGGCTCGTGCGACCCGGGCCCTTTTCCTTATTTGGGGTAGTCCTTCAAGTGATAGCTCTTGAGCTTGACGAACTGATCGTAGCCAAAGCGGCTGAGCGTTTGTCCCTTGCCGGAATTCTTCCAACCCGTCCACGCTAGGTCCTAAAGAGTGTATTAGAGCGAGTTTCTGATGAGGGGAAATACAGATGTGGCTTGTAAGGCGTCAAAGCAGGATAACATAGAATTGCACGGCAGATAATTTCCATCTTCCAGATCAGAAGACGAAGAAAAGAAGACGAGGAGGAGACCAATCAGGCTGCCAACCGTCTCAAGCCCCCTCATCCTCCACCGATGAAATCTGAGCAGTGACATAATTGCCGAAAACTCAAGCATATGCCAAGCACTGTTCACAAAGAAGGCAGGGCGGAGAGAGTGTGAAACATGCAAAACGGGAGCACATGCTGGGGGTGATCGGGGCAGGGAAGAAGCAAAAAATAAACGCCTGTGATCAGAGGGTAGACTTACCGGGCTGGGGTAATCGCATCGGTTCACAAACACGGTGCCCGCCTCGACCTGGTCCGCGAGCTCGTAGCCCCGTTCCGTGTCCTTGGTCCAGATACTCGCCGTCAGACCGAATTCGCTGTCGTTCATGAGCTTCACCGCCTCGTCGTCGTTCTTGACGCGCATCACCGGAATGACGGGGCCAAACGTCTCCTCGGTCATCACAGTCATTGAGTGATCCACGCCCGTCAGCAGCGTCGGCTTGACAAAGTTGCCCTTGGGCGGCGGGTTGCTGAACGTCTCGTTCTCGGGTGTAGCGTCCGTGGCTCCCTTGGCCACTGCGTCCTTGACGTGCGCCTCGATCGTCTCCTTGGACCGCTTGGAAATCACGGGGCCGACATGGGTTCCCTTGTCGAAGGGGTCACCCAGCACGTAGCCCTTGAGAACCTTCTGCACGGCCTCGACGAAGGCGTCGTGGATCTCGTCGGCCACGTACACCCGCTCAACGGAGCAGCAGCTCTGGCCCGAGTTGAACACGGCACCGTCAACAATCTCAGCGGCCGCCCAGTCAATGTCGACGTCACCACGCACGTACGCAGGGTCCTTGCCACCCAGCTCGAGCCCAACGTTGACCACACGGTCAGCGGCCGCCTGCTGCACGGCCAGCCCACCAGCTACAGAGCCTGTGAAAGCGACGAGCTTGATCTTGGGGTTGCGCACGATGGACTCAATCAGAGTGGGAGAGCCGCAGTGGAAGTACTGCAGCACGCCGCTCGGTAGACCGGCTTCCGCAAAGACCTTGGCCACACGTTCAACAATTGTGGGAGTTTGCGGGGATGGCTTGAGGATGACGGTGTTGCCCGACAGCAGGGCGGGAATAAGAGAGTTGACGAGGATGAGGTAGGGATACTGGAATATTGTTAGTGAGAGCCCGACCAGGGATTTGTGGCTCAGCCATTGCGATATCAAACGTTATTTCGAACGATTGACACGCAGCGGCAAACAACTTACGTTCCAGGCAAAGAGAACAAGAACTGGACCAACGGGAACCTTGCGAATAAAGCGCTTGAATCCCTTCTCAGCCTCACCATCGGTGTCCTTGAGAACCTCATCGCTGATCTTAAGCAGGTATTCGGCGCGCTTCACGGCAGTGGCGATCTCGACGCCGGTGTAGGCGATGGGACGGCCCATCTGGACAGTGAGCTCCTGGGCGAGGTCATCCTTCTGGTTGAGTAGCAGCTTCAGGGCCGTCTTGACAATCTTTTGGCGGTCGGCCAAAGATGTCTTGCTCCAAGACTCAAACGCCTTGGTGGCGGTGTTGGGGAGCTCATCTAAGTCGGCCTGAGAGGCGCCATTGCGAGTGATGATGGGCTCGTTGGTGGTGGGGGAAATAGTAGTCAGGACCTCGACAGACATCTTGGCTTGTGATGATTTAGAATAGGGATTACGATGAATAGAGAAGGGAAAGAAAGCGAATTGCTGATGATCGTCAAGAGGCAATTCGCGGCTTCGCAGCTTAGATAAACCCCCTTACAGCAAGGACATGAATCGTTCGCTCATTGAGGGGCGGAGGGGCAACGAGGGGCAACAGCACCCATTGCCCCGCCGATGCTCGGGGGTGCGATAAGATAACAGCGATAAGGATGAGGTAATCAATTAGATAGCCGGAGAGCGGGCCGGGTCCACCAAAATTTTGCAGAGCACCACGGCTGGCATCGTCTTTGTCTGGGATCTGCAACGACAATTTGGTGATTTTCGACCGCAAGGCTGCTACCGACGCGAAAATCCTCTTTGACAAGCGGACCAATTGAATACATTTTCTGTTCATATTTATTGCCAATTGTCCACCATGGCGCCCGAGAAACGAAACAAGTTCCTCGACGCCGAAGAGAGCGACGACGACCTCGACCAAGGCTACGACTCCGAGGCTGAGGAGCTGCGCAAAGGAGGCCGCAGCGCCAAGAGACGTAAGGTCGACTCAGATGAAGAAGATGACTTCAGCGACGAGGAAGGCGGTCTTGTAGACCAGGAAAAGGACAGTGAAGATGAAGACCAAGAAGACGACGACGACGAGGAGGCAGAACCCTCGACCTCTTCAGGGAAAAAGTCAAAATCCGCAGCAGAACTCCCCGACGTCTCGAAACCCCTTACGAAAAAGAATCTTATCGCGACAGAAGAGGCCATCAAGAAGTCTGGCGTCGTCTACATCTCGCGAATCCCGCCATTCATGAAGCCCCAGAAGCTGCGCTCCCTCCTTGAGCCCTACGGCAAAATCAACCGCATTTTCCTCGCACCTGAAGACCCGGCCGTGCACGCGCGGCGCGTCAAGGCTGGCGGCAACAAGAAGAAGTCCTACACGGAGGGCTGGGTGGAATTCATGCGCAAGAAGGACGCCAAAGCCGTGTGCGAGCTGCTGAACGCTCGCACAATCGGCGGCAAGAAGGGATCCTACTACCATGATGATATTTGGACGCTCAAGTACCTCAAGGGGTTCAAGTGGAGGCATTTGACGGAGCAGATCTCGGCCGAGAATGCGGAGCGGACGAGCAGGATGCGTGCGGAAATCAGCAAGGCCAGCAAGGAGAACAAGGAGTTTGTGCGGAACGTGGAGCGCGCGAGGGTGTTGGACGGCATTGCGGCCACCAAGGCGAAGCGCGGGAAGCAGGCAGCGGCTGCCGCGGAGGATACGCCTGTGGCCGCGGACGGCGAGGGGCAGGCGGGCGGCGACAAGAGGCGGACGGTGTTCAAGCAGATACCCTTGGCGGAGAGGAAGAGCGAGGCTGGCGCGGCTGGGAAGCCGGCGGGGGATGTTGCGCGGGTTCTTGGCAAGATCTTTTGAGCTGGAGTGCGTGGGTGTGGGCGTATGTCCCAGGTCACTCCACCCACTATGTGTTTAGTTTGGTACGGAAGCATATTCAATCTCGACTATAGGATGAATTTTTTCCCCAATTTGCTTGGCCGCGATGGGTGTGACATGCAGGCGTAACGCGAGGAACGTGTCTTTGCGCAGATGCCAAGAAGCGGATAGGAAATGGCATGATGCCAAGGTCCGGTGATGATTTGCGTCTTGCTTCTTGGCAGTGAGGCGATGAACAGAGGTGTGCGAGCGTTAAAGATTCTATTATTACTTTGGCGGGTAGCTATGGGATGTGCTATTTGCAGTCGTGACGTCCTAATGCGGCTCTCTTGGTAATGGTTTCCCATTTTGGTTTATCAACACACATCCGTCACTACTCTACCCTACTGCAAAGTTCTCTAGTAACAACACTAGAAACCTGGCTATTTTCACCTTATTTCGTTATTGCGGGAGCTAACTCTCCCATGAAAGAGTACTACGTAACCTCAATCACGACCCTCAAAGTCAAAAACACAATGACAGTCCATCACGACCATTCCCGAAACCACAAATCAACCGCCGCCGCCGCCGCCGCCAAGAGGATTACACGCCATCCCGTCGAGTCGGAACTCACATCGCGATCGTAAACTATCGCTGTCATCGCCATCACCTTCAAAAAAGAAAGAAAGACAACCATCCGTCAGACAAACTAACTCGCCCACCACCATCCGGCGTCCAAGACTCTTGGGTAGTAGCAGCAGCACACATTCAGATGGAAACCAGCAGTGGTGAGTGGCCGCGGCCTCTCACCCCACCTCCATTCGCGCATAAAGGCCGACTAAGCCGCATCAGTCCGTCGGAGTCCGCATTGGAAAGCCACTCAACTACGGCGCCGAGGGACACGACTGCTCTGGCCCTCGACACACACCCCTCCCTCCTTGCCGTCTCATAATCCTCCTCGGAAGGTATAGTCGGGAGGTGGAGGTCTTGGTACGGGCGCACCTAGATCGTACCTTTTCATGGCAGAAAGTCTGGGGGAGGAGGGTAGGGGTATGTCTAAGCCAGGAGGAGCCAAAGGAGGAGGGGGAGTGTGACTGGTCTGTGTGTGTGTGTGCCTTATTGCCGGCGTCTATACTAAAGTCCTTGAGGAGCAGGGAGAGAGAGAAAGAGCGTAAACGCCGTCCCGTCCGTTTGAGAAGACAAGACGAGCAGCTGGCTTAGAGACAGGTTGCGAGATCATCGGATTCGTGATTCTGAAACGAAAACGCCGAAGAGGCCAGGAAAGGAGGGGGGCCAGGGTTCCCCGGCAGAGAGAGAGAGAGAGACAGAGTCTTCAATTTCTCCGAGAGGACGAATCAACGGTGGCAGCTACGGCCGCGGGGTGCCGATTGCGCAGTCCCTATTGGAAATCGGCGATTAGAAACCGTTCGGCCGGCGGTACTAGACAGCCGGCCCCGCGGAACCTGGGGGTGGGAGCACACACGATGATAGTAGTTGAGGAAGGTGAAATGATGATCAGGCCGTGGGCAAGGGGGGGCGTGCGGGTGGGCCGAACGCATGTGCAGTGCATACCGCGGAGGGTGCCGTTGGTGTTGGACCTCCCCCCTTTGAGAGTATGAGTAAGCGGTTAAACATATAGAGTTTGGGCAGTAAAAAAGGCACATTGCCGATCTGCAGACTTGAGGTGGGTGGTCAGTGTTCCCTCCCTGGGCGGGAAATCGGCGACGGCGATAACGACAACGACGAGAAGAACAGGGTGAGAAATGAAGCGCATGAGCCACGAGGTGGCCCGTCTATTCTTTGTTTCCAACAACACGCAACGCCCTGCTGCGTCGTGTGAGGTATCTGATGCATACACGCCTTGGCCCCATCCCTAACCGTCCCATCCCTTTTTGGAGATACCTTTTTTAAACTCTTTTTGCCGTGAGAAACAACTCTGCCCAAGACAACCGACACGGAGGTTGACAAAAACGACTTCCTCCCCGCAGACGGTGACTTAACCTAAACACCCCCCGGTATAGCGATAGCGACGTTGAGCGGGCTTCCCGCAAACCGTCACATCCTAAGCAACACGCACGCCCCCTTCCCAACTAAGCTTAATCCTGAATTTGCAGTTCATCCATGTCATCCAGCAGCTCATCCATGTCGACCCTTGGTGCCTCATCATCGTCTTCGGTCTCGGCGATAGACATGGCATCTGGGTCCGCCTTCTTCTCCTTCTGGGCGCGGTACACGGCCATGGTGGCACGGAATTCGTCGTCCTCCTCGACGTCGCGCAGGAACTGCTCGTACTCGTCGTCCATGCGTTGTTGGTCGGCCTTCTTGGGTAGCAGCTCGCCCTCGTCCTTGGCCATGCGCTTGAGCTTCCAGTTGCGGTTGCGGTTCCTCTTGCGGTTGGGGTAGTGCTTCTTGACGATCATGACGTCGGGTATCGTCGAGCCGTAGGCGTGAGAATCCTCAATGATGTCGAACTCTGGGTTATTGAAGTTGGTGCCAGTAAGCATATAGCCCAGCACAGAGTCACCTGCGTGAAGCAGACCACCAAGGTGTGTCCGTGCAAAGTATGTCTTGTCGTTGACACCCAAGTCTGCCGCCCGCATCACCTGCACCTCGGCAAGAAGCCACTTGCCCTTTTGCACGCCCGTAGGCTCGATGTCCATGACGATAAACTCGACCAGCGACTTCACGTCGGCAAGAGAGGTGAACGGCGCTCGCCAGTAGATGTCTGAGGGGATGCTTGCTGTCTGGAGGGTGTTGGGGTCGAGGAGGTATACTGCGGTTCCGATCTTGTGGCAGATGACCAAGGGGCTGATGTTGCTGGATGCCTTGGCCAGCTTGATAGGCAGAGCGACGAGGTCGTCACGGCAGATGGGAATGAGTTCAACAGAGAAGGTAAACTTGTAAGACTTGGTGGATGTGTGTACATCCTGGGAAATCAGCTCCTGGGACTTCTTGACGCGACAGGGCACGACTGAGTTCAGGAAGTCGATAAACTTCTCGGCCTGATTCCTTGCCGAGAAGAAGAAGTCGATTCCGTCCTTTGCCTCCTTGATGTTAAGAGTATCTCTGTGCGCACCGTGCTTCATGATCAACTGCTCGAGGTACAAGAAAGTCCTCTTGTGCAGGACCTTTTGGCGAACCTGGACGGAAGCACGCCACACGTTGGCCGTGTACGACTTTGCGCAGTCAGGGCACTGCTGGTATGCGACGATGAAGACGGCCTCGAAGGCCTGCTGCAGAAGAACACCGCTCTGGACTTCATCTTGGATGGTAATCTTGACCTTTACTCGTCTCGAGTGCGGCTCGGTCCACACGAATGAGGCGTCGATGATGCGAACCTTGTGTAGGCCCTTGAGCTTCTTTAAGCAGAGCGCGAGCAGCTCGCGAGATTCGGGGGCGGCGACAATCCAACTGGTGGGGGGGAGCAACCAGCGGTCGCAGTCTCGGCAGAAGTTGAGGGTGGCCTCACGCTGGACACCAGCAGAGATGTCGACGGTCAGCTTAATGCAGTCGAAGCAGAGGGCGTTGGCGGCGGTGGTGCCGTCGATGGGGGCGCCGCAGTTGCAGCAGAGAATCGTGGCGGCCGTCATTTTTGTTTATGATTCTCCCTCGATGCCCCTTATTATTGTTGTGAGTTTTCTTTTGTCGAGATTACTGGAGAAGTGGAAGGGCGGTTAACGGGGTGGTATAGAATATTTGAGCAGCCGGATGGCGGGGTTGTCGCGAAAGTGGGATATCCAGAAAAAAAAAATCGAAGACCCTGGCCAGATAACGGCCATGGCGGGGTGGGCGGTGCTTATCAATAGAGTCACGTGCGCAGAGTTTTTCTCAGTTGTGCCTAACCGCCAGTGGCGGGCTTTGGACCCCGGTCGAACCTATTGTCTTTTTTTACTAATCAATCATCCCACCGCAGCCGATAGTATGCAGGATGAACACCGCATGGAGAAAAAAACGAGACAAACATTTGGAGGTGTTTGTCATTGGGTAAAACTTTTATGGGGATGTGACTCATTACTGGGTTATCTTTATGGATCTCAAGCTAAGTCGCCCCAAGCACTTTACCCCGATATGCGGTCTCATTTCCCTATTAGGGAGCTCTAGCTGCTGAACAAGTAACACTTACTTGAAAGATGTAAGAGCATTGCGGATAGCTTCGCATACTCAAGCACGCGTTACTCCACCATACCAGATTAAGATATCACAGGGTGGCTGGCGGCAGTTCGACTTAGTCGTTGCAATTAATAGCTGTGGTGGTTGTGTCCAGTCTTTTAAGGGCCCAGAACGAATTGAGGCGCTTCTGGTCCTTCCTTAACACACAGCCGGCATGTGGTCTCATTTCTTGTAGTGCCTAGAGAACTGTAGAGCCACGGATGGTGACTTATTAAACGTTTCATCACTTTCACAATCAGATGCACTGCAGCTATCAACAGATTGGAGTATTGTCTACATCAGCTTGTTCGCAAGTATACACATGGCATAATTACAGTAGGCCAATATAACTGGAGAATCAAGGAGCTAAAGATGGCAGAAGGGGTATTCGAGGTGCACTTAGCGCTTGCCAACAACGACATTGAAACCAGCTCAGTTGAACTGGATCTTGACCATGAATAACGGCTGGAAAGTGCAGGTGGTGTGATTGACATAGTGAGTATGCCGGAAATTTGCTTCGAGCAACAGCCTCAAGTGAGATGCCAATAGCATTGTTGTAAACGACTTGATTAAGGGCAAAGAAATGGTAGTCTTTGTTAAATTTAGATGATAGAACATACTATCTGCTTTCTCCTTCGCTTATGGCCGTCACATACCTACTAGTACAAAGAGAAGTTGTACTGCATTAATGTGAACCAAATCACTATACTATCTTCTAGCCCTTTCAGGCCGCTTTGGACTTAGTGTTACGAAGCTGCTATATTCATAGCTGTCATGTTTAGCGTACTCTTTTAACGAAAAGTCTGTGTATAGGAATCATTGGGTATTATTTGAAAAGTCGACGATGACGTTGTGAGACCATTTTATAACGTAGAAGAAATAAGGAAAAAAGAGCCGGGAATCAAAGTAAAAACAATGCACCAAACCTCAGTAAGTCAGACGCTGACCTTGAACCAACGTCTCTAAACACAAGAAAATACAAACCTCTCTCGGTATAACCCCGCTTTCAATAAGCAGCCTCGCTGACAGGCAAAAGCAAGCGGAGGCGATACAGAGATAAACGGCATGAAACAAAGACGATAACCAGTCGTCGCCAACTGCCTAATTGGAATCGTGTGGTATTTGCTGCGCGTGGTGTGATTATGGTGGAGATGGGGGGGCCGGTTTGGGAAGTTGCAGGTCGAATGTTGTGACACCGTTTACCCAGGACTAGTGCTGACGGCCAGCAGCAGGACCAAGTACCGTGGCAAGTCCTTGCTGTCTTGTGTCTAGTCTTCGTTTTGCCCCCCCCCCCCCCCCCCCCCCCCCCCCCCCCCTCGTACTTGTCTTGATCTTGGGAGTGATGCTGAGACGGCGGGGAAAGGAGTGAAAAGGCATGGTGTCGAGGGATTTGTCGTAGAATTGGATGATACACTGAAACAGTCTAAAAAAAGTATACATCATTGTTAGAATTGGATCCAAAAGAGGTTCTATTGAGCGGGATAATTCTATCAACCAGCGCAATTTCACCAAAACGTCAGTCATATCAAGTATTCATAATACACAAATCTCCCTGCTTGTTCAACCACGGGCGTCTTCATCTTGTTGTCTTCAAATTTTTTTGCATTTAGTTTAATCTGAGGGGTATGCCTGTCTAAGACTTAGAAGTGGTCATTGTCTATTCGTGCGGCTTACTTGCCGTTCTCGCCGTTCTCTCCATTCTCCGCCTTCTTGCCGTTCGTCTCCTCAGAGCCGTTGTTCTGGCCCACCGCTCCGATGACCTGCTTGGCCTGCTGCAGGTCCGCCGCTATCATGCCCAGGTGGACAACGTCAGCGGATATGGTAATGAGACTCATTCTCTTGGCCGCCTCCTTGACCTTCTCCGGGCTGCCCCATGGCGGGGCGCCGAAAGCGAAGCCGGCGTAAGGCTTGTCGTGCTTGTCGATGGTCTCGAAGAAAAGCTTCGAGATCTCGACCCACTCGGGCTCGTCCTGAGGGCCGCCCATGTTGGCGGGAAGGTTCATGCTGACGCGAGCGTCTAGTTGGCCGAACCAGACGACGTCAATGTCGGGGCACTCGGTGAGAATGGCGTCGAGGTTGCGTACACCCTCGGCTGACTCGATCTGGATCATAACGGCTGCCTGGTTGTTGACGCACTTGTGAATGTCGGAGGTGGGGTCGTAAGGGGTGTCGGTAAGGAAGGGGATGAGGCGGAAGGGAGGGGCAGAGCGAGTGCCGTTCTGCTTGGTGCCGTACTTGGCGGCCGAGAGGACATGCTTGGCCTGCTCGACTGTCTCAACCTGAGGAACAACGATGCTCGCACCGCAGTCAAGAGCGTAGCCGATAGCAGCGTGGTCGTGTCCAGGAACGCTATAGAAGGGGGAGAGGTCAGCGAGGTCCGTAGCTGTGGGTATTCTAGAGCTAATCTTACCGAACCCAGGGAATGGTTCGCCCCTGGCTCATGAAGATAGCTTCGTGGACCATCTGAATGTGTTAGTTTTGAATGTTCAATTGTCTCTGCTTTGAGAAACTCAACACACCGAGGTCATGGTCTCAACATTGCAAGAAGTGTGCTCCCAGTCGATCCAGACAGCATCGTATCCCATGGGTGCGAGGAACCGTGTAATGGGAATGGAACTGAGGCCAGCATAGTAGCACAGCAGAGGGGGGATCTTCTTCTGGTGGGCATCGCGAATGGCCTGACGCGCCTTGTGAGGTTGGAAGAGTGACGGCGCAGCATAGGCGGCCATGCCCTGCGTGGCAACGTTCTTGTATTCCTCGCCAATTACTGACATTTTCGCTACTGTCCCGGTGAAGATGTAAGGGAGACTGTTGAAGAGAACGGCCCAAGAAAAGATTTGTAAAGTGTGGTCGATCAATCACTGAACAAACAGTTGGCGGATCATCTCTTATATGCTGTTGGAGATGCGAATGTCACGTTGCTGCATCTATCTGTGGACCTTCAAGGACCATAACGCTCACCAGGGTCTTCCGCACTGTGTGAGATCTTTCTGCAGGCGAAGATAACGCCCGGCTCTTACGGATTAGCGGTGTTGACCGTGATTTGATTTTAGGTCGTTTTCTCAACGAGGTTTAATCCATTGACGTTTCGGCTAAACGCTAGCCGTTGCTCCAGCGAGCGATGGATTCTATTGTTGCAAAGTTCCACCCTACTCTCACGTCAGCTAAGTAATTACTGGGTTTACGGAGCCACGCGGGCTTCAGATGCTATGAATTTGAAAAAAAGACAAAACCCTTGCTCATCCATGTTTGCCTCTATCTAGTCATTCGTACTTCTGGCCAATTGACCGCCCGCTTGTGCTACACGGTGATAAAATCAATGGGCCAACATGGCGCTCGCTGTTTCAATAGGAAGCAGCGCAAAGAAACCTTGGAGAAGCTCGTAGTACAAGGTGCGTGGACAGGAGCCTAGAACATATGTCCAAGATCATTGCACATGTGCCGGTGATCATGACGGAACGACAGACCACAGCAAGGAAGGTGAGAAGGGTCTTGGCTTTTTGCCTGCTTCTGGGACTCGCAAAAAGACCTCAGAAAATATCCCACAGCGAAATTTTGCCGTCTTTGCTTCCAGCGGCCAGCCAATGGGCGGTCTGGGCCTGGAGTATGCGTCTATCTTTAACGGTGAGCTGCCCCAGTCGAGGCACAAGATCGCGGGGCAGCTCCTGAGAATGAGCCTCGCTTGAAGCAACCCCGTTGTCACCCGCCCGAGGATCGACACTGACGCTAGCCAGGACGACAGCATAGCATCCCACCTGGTGCCACTTAAGGGTCGCTACTTCCTTAAGCGTCTTGGAGGAATACACTCTAACGGCTGAATCCCACCCTGCCGTCGCAAAAATGCGGCCGTCGTCCCGGACGCGTAAACCTTGCTGGCCAGCGTGCCTGGTGTTTGAAATCTTCAGTGGATGCTGTACGGGTTGCTCCTCACCGGCGGAGTTAGGACCCGGAAGAGGATGCTTCGCCACGACTGCGTCCGCCCCGGAGGTAAGAAAATACTGTTGATCCGCAACAACGTCGAGTGAAAGTATTGGTTGTTGATGGATCTTGGACAAGTAAACGGTGCTCCATGTACCATTGGTTGTGAGCTGCAGAACTGTTGCCAAGCCATTCTCGTAGGCGGCAACAAGGGTCAAGGTGCCATTGGCGGACGGGCTCCCAGGCAAAGCTCCGTCAACGTACAGTAGGGCCAGGGCCATAACCATGCCATTCTTGTCACTGGTTTTAACAGTGTGAAGTCGCCTCTGCGACGGTAGTTCGTAAATGTCGACCTGTGGGCGCGGCTCTCGGGTTAGAGTTCGCTGTCATGCAGGGCGATGCAGAGCCGGGCTTAAAAGCCGGAGATAGAGGAGGGACAACGGGTGAGAGCGGGCATACTCACCGACTCCGAAGCTAGCGTGTTTGGCACGGCTAGCAGTAGGTCTGTGGCTTCTGTCGCGTCGCCCTTTCGAGGAACACAAGATGCAAAGGAGCAAAAGTTCATCGTATTGACGTCAACGATGTGCAGAATTTGCGGTTGAGGCCTAGGCTCCGATGTCTCATCTAGAGGCAGCTTCTTGCTGAGCGCAGCCTCGTCGTCGCGGCCAAGCTGCCAGACGACAAGCCTGTGATCCCGACCATGGCTACACCGGTGTCAGAAGGTGGCAGGGGGCTCCAGATTGGCGAAAATAAGGGGGGAAAATAAGCTCACGTTATGATGCGATCATGGCCCCAGCCTTGAACCCCCAAAATTGCGTTCTCGTGTGGCCTCCAAACTGCCGTTGGGCGCATTATGGTAAGGTCCCACAGCACGACGAAGCCTTCAGCGTCGCCGCTGACAAGCCTTTCATTGCCACGAATGAAGGTAAGGGCGTGTACCTGGGCCTTGTGACCTCGCAGGATTGTCTTTGGATGCGGCACAGAGTCTGTCATAGCTTTTTGGCGCCAAGACAAAAACTGAAAAAAAAAAAAAAAAGAACCAGTTATGGTTAATGTTGGGATGCAAGGTAAGGAAGGCAGCCAAGGCAGAGAGACGTGTGGTTATTGTCGCCTGAAGGGGAAACAGTAAAGGCCGTTATGTTAACACAGTACGGTCATTGCAGAATCAGCACTGATTGCTTTGGGCCATTTTGTGGCAACGCACCACTAAATTGGCGGGTTTTTAACAGTGTGAGTGATGCACTAAACTGAATAATTTCGTGAAAATCGAAATCCTTCGACACTATCTAGCCCAACAGTCCTCTATCCAATGAAAACAACATCCGTTACTGCAAGCAGACATCATTACTATTGAGACTGCCCAATCCATCTCACGTCAGATGTCCGGATTATTCGGCCCCAGCTTCTGTAGGATGATTTAGGCGGTTAGATCAATCACCCTGAGAACTTTGAACGCCCAATTAGCTGCAGAGCGTCAGCCGGATCCCGCGGCAACTTCTGCAGTAGAGGAAGGCTGTGAGTATCAGATAAGGTGATGTTCATAGCCCAGTGAGACGAAGAAAATGAGATGGGGACGTCAGAAGACTCCTACTTGATGTTTTCCAAGATTGACGGGGTGTCAACTGAGTGGTGTATGGAGTAATAGAGGGTTAGCCCAGATGTCGAAGTCACCATAGAATTGCGCAACGTCCGCCAACTGGCATTGATTGTGGACAAGCAGTGTAGACGAAGTCGATACCTATGAGAAAATTACTCCCAGGTCAGTGCAAACGGCTTGGCTCCATGAGACACCAAAGTGAAGTACCTCGATGATAACCCGACGTCAAACTGAGTTCGTCCCTGTCTGCGGACAATACATTCACTCTTTATATATAGCTGAGGCTATTGCACCATTATTCAGTCTTACTTCCGCTACTGCCAGGTACTTGGGGGCTGCAGCGCGGCGCTTGAATTGTGCCGCCTCCGCCTGAAAAGAGCGGGAAATTGGGGCGTGACGGCCGAAACGCCGAAAGAGCCGGGCCGGGTCGGATGTAGGAGAGCCTGTGGGGAAGGCTTAGCCTTAGGTCATCTCAGCTTAGTAGGATGTTGCTCGCTGGTGAGACGAAGATGTTTTAAATGGCTGCGATGGCTTTAGGCTACATATGAACAGTCAAAAGTGAAACCTCGCACATCAGTCTCCCGGTGGTATGGTTGAGTATGGACGGTTTAAATCCTTGGGTGAGACGGGGTTGTCAGATGTATTGAGCACAACAACCAGTGAGATGGGATGGCTGCTGAGGTATGCGTAAAACGTTGGAGGAATACTGCCCATAGTGCAATTGTTTCCCTTTCCCCATTTTTCAGATCCTGGGAAAGAGGCCATAAATGCTCATTGGTGCGTACCTGGTGTGTGTGTAGGGCAAGGCAAGTAGATTTACGACCTGTGCTGCCGTGCAAGCCATGAACGAGATTTACGGTACCTGCACTTTGGGAAAGATTAAGGTGTCTACGTACTTCCAGGCTCCTTCCCTGCCGTGCCTACCCCCTTCAGGTTCGTGTTTCCTGTGCCTCATCAACAAGACGACAGGTACGTAGCTTATCCCTCAGGCTACTGGTATTTGCTCATTGCCTATACCAAGCTAGCTCTAGTGTTCGGTCTAACACATTCCCTCATTACATAATCTCTCCCACCACCTGCAGGTCTCGTAAATCTCAACATGCGAATCGGACTGACACGTGCGGCCGTCACCCTTCTGCCCTACGACCCTCGCCCGACCGAACGGACGGATCCTTGGGCTCTGAGATCGACACGCCCGCCGCCTGGAATGATACCTATCTGGTCATCCTTCGACATACCGTTCATTTGGCTCCCGAGTATCTCCTAATTCCGGAATTAGGGGCGTCGAGGTGACTCGGTGGCTCAACATTGACTTTGCTCAGGCTTTAGACTGCAAAGCCGAAGCACTCGTGGTGTTTTCCCCTTGTCCCGTGCTCTGACGGCCTGACGAGCGAGTAATTCATGTCATCATGTCTAGCGTCCTCAAGAGAATCATATCATTCGCCAGTTGTACGAACATCCTGTTTCCAAGCGTTCGGAAGGGGGCAAGGAATCCTCTCGCTTCCTGTAATCAATGTTTTTTTTTTTTTTCCCTCCCTTCGCAAATAGGCAAATAATCGTCTGGGCATTTGCCTCCCAAAGAAGGATCCCACCAAAACAAGAACAAGCTTACTTGTCCGAGGCGTCTAGTCGGGTTCAGAATTGACTCCACCACCTATTGATGATGGACACGTCCCACAACTGCAAAGCTTAGTTCAAACAGCCTAAACTAACATGCTGTGCTGATTGTCAAGCATTTTCTCCGCTCATCGTCGGACATTTACTTAACACATTCCAGCAAAAGTCCGCAGCGGCGGAAGAGTCACCGGTAACTAAAACCACCCTAAGACACGGCCTTTACAAATCAACAAAACACCATGGGCATGGGATGTGACGGGCGCAGACAGTTCTAATGATGTGGCGGCGTCAAGCGCAGCCTTATCCGTATGCACCTTTCCTAAGCGGACGTGAATGAAACCTGGAGCTAAACCAACAAGAAGTGATTCACGACCCCAAAAGCTACAATCGCTGGCCGTAAGTACGCGTTAGGGCCGGGTCGAATCCCTCCATCCGCTTATCTCCTCTGTGCAAACTCCGCCAAATACCACCGTGAATTACAATATCCCTTTTTCCATCCACCGACTCGGCGGAGCCGGTACTGCACCCTGCATGACAACCAATATGCACCATCATCAGACAGGGGTACGCCAAAGTACCATAAGCCATCCGGCCTTGGCAGTTGCTGCCTCATGGGAGTGGACTTTGAGAGAGCCTCAGGGTAGCAGAGACCACCAATCCCGCTGGGTGGGCTATGCGGACTTTTCGGAACATTCCAGATCTACACCCATTGGGCAAGTTAGAATGAGAAGAGGTGCGGCGCGTCGCAAAACGACAGGCCCTTTACAACCACACACATGGCACGCAGGCGGAGATTGGCTATTCTGGTTACCAAGCAGCAACGCCAAAGTGTTGCTGATAGGCGCTACTCAGGCTCATCTAATACTTGGTCTCGGTGCAAACTCATCATAGGGCTTACAAATGATGGCGTGCCGATAACACCAAATACACGTGCGGGTCGTATCGTCCGGAGCTAATGCATCCTTCGTACATCGACGTCCCCCCACCATCGCACTGGGCTGATCGTTACATGCCAGTAACGTTATGCTATTGCAACATGGTACAAGCTTAGTCTGGCACCATACGTGATGGGCTATCGCGTCAGAATACCTCCTTCGTGTAAGATGATACCCCGGGGATGGCTGTCGTCAGCCTGTCGCTGCGTTCAACTACATCCAGAACGGGGCCAGGGCACCTGTCTGCTGGCTTCTTCTTCCTCCGAGCGGCAGGTCGGGCTCAACGCTACCTAAAATCCGACATTTGCTACTTTCTATCCATGGTCTTCCCTTCACATACATAAGAGACCTGGTCCTTTCCCCCGGGTTCTCATCTCGGTCCATCTTGTGGCACGCACTTCAGAGACATTCAACCTTATCCTCGACAAGCCTGGACACTCTGCCAGAACCCTAGCAGTTCAGAACTGCGATTCATAGTTGACCCTATTCACACGACAACCGTTGAGAAGTCCATAACATCACTGCCACAATGACATCTACCCACAGCACCCTTGTGGCTGCTCGCGAGAAGGGCGAGAAGGGCCAAGAAACCACACCATCGCCATCCATGTTAGCGGAGGAGGGAACTATCGAGAAGAAGGAGGAGACCGGCACGGCCACCGATGAAGAGGCCGGTTCGGTTCAACCACAGGAGACCCAGGCCGAATACCCTACCGGTATGGCTCTCGGGCTTATCGTCTTTGCCCTTGTCCTCAGTATCTTCCTCATTGCCCTCGACATGACCATCGTCGCAACCGCTATCCCAAAAATCACCGACGAGTTCAAGGGCCTGGACCAAGTGTCCTGGTACGGATCCGCCTTCTTCATGACTGTCGCTGCATTCCAGTCAACCTGTACGTTTCAGAAAGCAAGCCCCTTCTTTAAGGCCATCATGGAACTAACAATGTCGTGAACAGGGGGTAAAGCATTCAAGTACTTCTCGCTCAAATACTCTTTCCTACTATCTATCTTCATCTTTGAAGTGGGCAGTCTCATTTGTGGTGTTGCACCCAACTCCATCGCGCTCATCGTCGGCCGTGCTATTGCCGGCGTCGGTGCAGCAGGCATTGGTTCGGGTGCCTACACTATCATCGGCTTCTCCGCCCCGCCAGACAAGCGACCCACGTTCACCGGCATCATAGGTGCCGCCTACGGTATCGCCTCTGTCATCGGTCCTCTCATCGGCGGCGCCTTCACCGATCATGTCTCCTGGCGCTGGTGTTTCTACATCAACCTCCCTATCGGAGGCCTTGGTGCTGCCATCATCTTCTTCTTCTTTAGCAACCCGCCCCAGGCAGTGCCTGTCAAAGCCAGTTTGCGCGAAAAGATTCTCCAGATGGATCTGATCGGAACCTCTCTTATCATGGGCGCTACCATCTCCTTCCTCCTCGCCCTCCAATGGGGCGGCAACACCCACGCATGGAATTCCTCGGTCATCATCGGGCTGTTTGTCGGCTTCGGTCTTATTATCATCACATTCGGCGTCCTTGAGTGGTACCAGGGTGAGCGTGCTATGATCACGCCTCGTCTCATCAGCGACCGCACAGTCTACATCTCCTCCGCCTACTCTTTCTTCTTTGGCGGCTCCTACTTCGTGCTTGTTTACTACCTACCCATCTACTTCCAGTCTGTAGGCAACACTTCTCCTACCGAGTCTGGTGTGCGTAACCTCCCCCTCATCATTGCTGTCACCATTGCAACAATCAGCTCGGGTATTTCCATCTCCATTACGGGTATCTACGCTCCTATCCTCGTTGGCGGCGCCGCCATCGCGACGGTCAGTGCCGGTCTCCTTTACACCCTGGACATCGGCACCGGCAGTGGCAAATGGATTGGCTACCAAATTCTCGCCGGCCTCGGCTGGGGCGCAGCATTCCAGGTTCCCATCATCGCTATCCAGGGTACGGTAAGCGAGTCTGACCTCGCTCCCTCCACCGCCATCCTCCTCTGTAAGTTCGACGTCTCACTCATTTGCTCATATTCCTCCATGAAACCTCTATTAACATTTGCCTTGCTCAGTTTTCCAAATCGTCGGCGGAGCCTTCTTTGTCGCGGCTGCTCAGTCCGGCTTCCTCGTCACCCTCCTCAAGAAGGTTGTGGAGTACGTCCCCGGCATCAACCCGGGCCTTGTTGCCCTCACTGGTGCCACGGAAATTCGCAATGCCTTCCCGGCTGACGAGGTTCCCGGCGTCGTCCACGCATACATGGATGGCCTCAAGATCGCCTTCGCCATCAGCATTGCTGGTGCGGGCTTCGCCTTCTTGGTCTCCCTCGGCACCAGGTGGAGCAAGCTCAATACCAAGAAGATTTCCGGTGCTGGTGCCGCTTAGGAAAAAAAGGAACTCTATTAGGATAAAGACTGGATCATCATTTTTTTGCTGTCAGCCTGCTTGATACCTGTTTTTTCCAGATACCATGCGCCATACTGCTGGAGGATTTCTTTTATTTCCTTTTTCTAAATCATAGACTCTAATATGGGAGGCTTATACAAAAAAGCCAAGGCGTTATACGGATATGTTTTTTTGGGGGGGAGGGGGGCTAAAAGCCACCCTCATGAAATGCGCTCGAACATGACCAGCTCGACTCTTGATGGCTTATGAAGGGGAATGTCTTGATATAATAAGGAATACGAAGAGATAATTCGCCAAGACCTGCCACAAGTACCTGTTTCAAATGTGACATGAAGTTAATGTTCCATCAAGAAGTCAAATCTAATTATGAACATAATCTATAGTTTTATCGCCTCCTTGTGAAAGACCTCCCTCTTAGAATACCCGATGCATCCGAAGAAGTATTAGTCGTTGCTATAAGACGTACCGTCGGCCCCAGTGAGGTTAACCATTCGCACTACATCCTACTGCAAGGCCAACAGATCGTGACTGGGTATGTTCGTAAACATTTCAATGACTTCTCCGTCATCGATCGGGCGACCCGTTTTGACGTTGTTTATGACTATAGGCTGAGAAAATCGGTCTAGCCAGTCAACGGATCCTATTCCTTCGGCTTCCATCTTTGTGAAACCGAAAAGGGGTGATAAAGAGTAGTGAGAATTTGTTTCCCTCGGGTCGGCATCCAGTGGCATTGGGTCTAAAGGTCGGATACTTCTCTGCCGTCCCAACCAGCGAAATACGAGACTAATTCCCTCGATCGTCTTCTCGTCCGCAACGGCTCTTCTCTTGTGACTCTCTCGGCCTTCCGGCTTCGATCGCACCTCTTCGACAGTCATCTCTGCTGTTCCGTGCATGCATAGTCCGAAATAGCCCTCGGCCCACTGGTGACCAAGCACAGGATCCAAGGAAATGGCGTTCGTTCTGTCTATATCATTTTTGGGAGATGGAAAGCCCCCTGCATAATCTATGAGCTTGTCCAGGCAGTTGACCTGGTTGTCGGGCATGATGTAGCGCAGGAAAGAGGTGTCGAAGCCAGGTCTCGGTTTCTGGATATTAGGTGGGAATATGTGAATGTTCTCGGCAAACTCCTTTTTGGTTATGATGCAAAGTTTATCGCGTTCCTATCGGTATCGCGATCAGCATGCTCCCTAGCCATCTCTGTACATATGTCTGGTGCGAAAAGGGCAAGCCTACTTACTGTTTCTGATTTCGATCTCTGAAGCTGCGGATTGAAAGAAGTCGAAGCTTTGTTGCGGACTGATAAATGTGTCGTATTAGTAGAGAACAACCACCCGCAATACCATTTGAAACAGCCAATAGGTTCAGATGTGGTAGATGACAATCCGGGAATATGGGAAAGACAGGAAACGACGATATGCTTACACATTTCTATCAAAACCACGAGAGTGCTGGTGCAGGTCTTTATAAATGTCGTCAGGTTAAAGTTAGTGCTTCCCTCGTCACAGGCCTTATCTCGCAGTTCGCGAAGTTTATGGATGTCGGCAACCATTAAACCGGCCCATAAGGCAGCCTTGAGGTCCGAATTTCGAATGTTTTCCTCGAAAGCTGCCTCTTGTATGTCCCCAGCTAAGGCCTGTCGTTCCTCGATGTCGGCTATAAAATATTCAGTCTCGATTCGACGTGGAGAAGCGCTGAGAAATCTTTCCAAGGCATCAAGGTCCTTTTTCGACGTTCCGGAGTCGTGGATGAAATTTACGGCAAGTTGACATACTGCAGTCAGGTGTGGTGCTAGGATAGGGTCTTCACTGCTTGCGTGAGCTGCTTCGCCTTGTCGAACGTCTGTATCAACATCCATGTCCATACTAGAAATCTGGAAATGAGTTTCCAGATCAAATGCTGTAGGCTGAAGGCGTGATTCACTGCTGTCGTTACCGTGACATCATTTTCATTAGAGGCAAAGTACAATGTAGTTGGAAAGCCAAGGTGGAGAATGCCTCTGCGTCTGTACAAAGAGTTTGATGACCCTCTCCTTCCTCAATAATTGAATATTGTCTGCCTGCTCTTTCTAACCAGTACATGTCATTAGACGTACCTACCTCGCAACATGTATGGATGTAGCAGGAAGTGCTCCCTGCCCTACTTTTGTACTAGCTATTATTCTTTACCCGTACACCTTCTCGTTGCCAACCTAGCTTTCACCTGTTCAGCTTGATTTCTACCAGCCTTGTCCTCCTGTTGCGCGCAAAGTGAGGTGCCATCAATTCTTGTCTAATTTTCTTCTGCCAATCTGGTGATGCCTACCATACTAGGTGAATATTTCACGCGTTCTCCGTCTATTTTCATCTGCAACAGAGACTCCAGGGACCTCTTCAACTGTGTACTCAACGTCCTTCTGTATCCCTCGAACTGGTCTGAGCTCCGTTTCGCTGCCCAAACCCGACCCTTCACTTTCTCCGCCGTTCAAGCGCAACGCGCCTTTCTGCCACTTCCTGGATTTCGCCGACATTCCAGATCCGCCTATGGTCTGCCCAACATATTTCGAAGGCGTCTGCTTTGTAGCATTGCGGTTCTTGCCAAGAAGAAACCGGAAGGCAGGTAATGTGGCAACGATAATGCTAACAGTGGATTCGATGTGACTCCACATGCTAAGGAGCACAGGACCATTAGCCACGGTGGTGGGATCTTTCGCTGAGTCACTTGTAGCCTTTGTGACTTGGGCAAGCCGCACAAGGGCAAATGCAATAATGATGGCGCCGAGGGAGAACAGGACTGCGAGCCCAAACTTATGTGTCGGCGACGTAATGAGCTTCCGGAGCAAGTTGAGAGGCAAGATCATGACTATTTCGTTATTGAGCATGTCAGTTGCTACGAAAAACCGCGAATATGTACGAAATGTTGCCAAGTGATACGCAGAGACGAGAAGGGGGCTACCTACTTAGCAGATCTGATACAACATCGGCACTGGTCGCGAACTTGATAGACGCATCCGCCCGTACAAGGTCTTCTGGCGCACTGCACCCGGCTACACACTCTCAATATCAATGACTCGTTCACTTGGATGGTTTTGGAGGTTGCTCCACTTACTTGGGCTCCAATACTTGGTCAAAGGTGTGCAGGTAAGGAAGTTTGAGAGCATACAGGCAAGATAGAGAAGCAGAACGACAGTAAAGCACGCCCACCATGCCCTAATGTAATTAGGCAAGCCAATGACAAGCCGCCGAACGAAGAACAGGATCGAAAACTTGGCTAAACCAGTCCATAGTTAGTGCTATCTCCTTGATCGAATTGAGTTGCGCCAGACTCGGGACGAGAGATCGAAACGGAGAAACATACCAGCCCACAGAGTCGTCCAGAACAGTAACATTTGGGAAAACATCAATTTAAGTGATGTGACTGTCCTCGCAGTGAACTCCTCGATCGGTAGAGGCAGAGGCGTCAAGGGATCTTTGGCTGCCGCCTTAGTATACTCGCCCGCGAGATAAAACTGCGGCAACAAGCTCGTAATAACAGCGGACAGGGCCGTGAGCGAGACAAGCCCGGCGAAGATGAAGTAGTCATCTGCGTATAGTCGTCGCTGGAGTATCCACTGAAAGCTGCCGCGAAATATCGTCAAGCCGAAGGCGGCTGCCCACAACACCCAAATAAGCACCTAAAAAGGGATATACGTTAGCGAGAGTGGAGAGTGATGGCCAATGCACTGAAGACAATGGCACGAAACTGAGGAGATCGGCGGCTCACGGGACGTGCCCGGCCGGGTGGGACCTCCGGAGAAGTGGAGTCATATTATGCTTTGGGTTTCCTACCATTATTTCGGTGAAGCCAAGAACAGGCGCTGCCATGATGCCAGTTGTTTGACAGCCACCTTCCAGCGACTCGGTAATATCTGGTACAGCAATGTCGTTCCACAATGATGCCGAAATGCGGCCCATGAAAAGCTTGAAAGTGGTCAGTCCAACAGCTAAATACACAAAATGCCTCCTCTTTCTCCTTTACGACCCCCACACTCCCGAACCGACTTGCTGGATCGAGATACCTGCGCCGGAACGCCACCAGTTTCGTACCATGCAGGTTCACAGGAATGGCAATATGATTTTCGTGCGGATAGAACGGCTCTGGACGAAGAGTTGGAACGAGGGTAGGAATTGCACTTTTGTGATAACGGTGCTAGCCAAATCAAGCGTGGGGTGCCAGGGTTGCGACTGGGGTTTGCCACCAACACCAACATCTCATCTCGGGTCTGCGAAAATTCATGCCGCACCAATGAGATGGCTTCCAAGTGAAGCACTACTGCATGTTGCAACGGTTACTGACATACTTCGCTAAAGGATTTCTGCAGGTCCATGGGGCCCTGGATCGGTTGCGAAATTTAATATATTTCATCGCCACGGCGAGACTCGACTCCAACATATGAATGGGAGGAGAATGAAAGATAAACTTTCCCTCGACCGCCACTGCCTGGGTTGTCTGTTACATCTTCCTTGAATCCTCTCTGCCAAGTGCGTCGGTCATCATGGTTCAGGTTTCGTCCCTCACAGCCCAGCTGTTGGCCATTGCAGCTTGTGCTTCGTTCCCGGGTGTTGCCGCTGACGAAGTGGCTGCATCCTCCTCAGCCGTTGCCAGTCTTGCCGGTTCAGAGAAGATCGCTTGCTCGCTTCTGAGCAAGAAGTACCCCGATCTGACGTTCTTCGCTGGCTCCGATGGCTACGCCTTTGAGACTCAGACGCAGTATTGGTCGGCTACCGCCTACAATACCCCAGCATGCGTCTTTGTCCCCAAGAATGCCCAACAGGTCTCCTTCGCCATCACGACCTTGACTTTGAGTCTGACCAAGTTTGCGGTCCGCAGTGGCGGCCACATGCCGGTGCTTGGCTACAACAACATTGGCTCCTCTGGTGTTCTGCTTTCGACCTCGAACCTGAACACACTGTCTGTGTCAAATGATAAGGCTACTGTCTCGGTTGGCGCCGGTAACAGGTGGAGAGACGTGTACTCCTACCTCCAGACCTACAACCTCGCTGCAGTCGGTGGCCGTATTGGCGGTGTCGGCGTCTCGGGTTTGTTGCTTGGAGGTGGTATTTCATTCCACTCAAACCAGTATGGCTTTGCTGCCGACAACGTTGTACGTTACCAAGCTGTTCTTGCAAGCGGTCTTGTCGTTGAGGCCACTGCTACCAATGCCTTCTCGGACCTGTACTGGGCACTCAAGGGTGGCGGCAACTCCTTTGCCATCGTCACTCGCTTCGACCTCAAGACTGTCCCTTCAACCAAGGTCTGGGTTGGTATTTCGCAGTACGCTCAAACCGACAGCGACAAGTATCTCGACGCCGTGTACAACTTTGGCAAGTACGGTTCCGCTGATGGAAAGGCGGCCATCATCCCAACCATCCTGACGTACCCATCGTACAACCTTACCGCCTACGCTGCGGCTAGATTCTACGACTCCGAGACCGCGCCCGCCACGGCATTCGAGAACTTTACAGCACCCGCTCTTACACCTGTTGCCGACACGTCCGCTCTGCAACCCCTAGCTGAGTATGTGAGCGCCGTTGATGCTCTCCAGCCCACTGGTCTTCGTCAAGAGTAAGTTACCCTCATACCGCATAGCAATGCTTCGAAAAGAAACTCTGGACTGACGCCATACATAGCTTCCGTGTCTTGTCGTTGGTAGTCAACCGCGAAGCCGTCGACCTCGTCCATAACACCTTCATCGCGGCCGCCAACTCCAAGCTTGCCAGCATTGTTGGATTGTCGGCTTCCATCACCTTCCAACCCATCACCAAAGAATTCATCCAGCAAGGCATCCGCAGGGGCGGACCCAACCCCCAGGGTGTTGACCCTGCCAAGGCGCCTTACTTCTGGGTCGTTGAGAACCTGTCGTGGCAAGACGCCAAGGACGACGAGGCGGCTCGTAGTTTCGCTGAAAGCATCACGGCTGAAATTGAGGCTTCTTTGGAAGCCAAGGGCGTTGCTGGTGGCTACCTGTACTTGAACGATGCGGGTAAGGGCCAGCGCGTCTTCCAGAGCTACCCTGCGGCGAACCTCGCGAGGCTCAAGGCCATTCGATTCAAGTATGATCCTTTGAGAATCTATACCAACCTCTTGACCGGAGGCTGGAAGGTTCTCGACGCTTGATATTTCGGAACTAATGACGGATGATGGTTTGAATCGCGAGCAAACAATGGGATGCTGATCCCTGCTATCGCGGCGACGACCAGCTCTGTAAATAAATCTGGCTGGAAGTAGCATCCCTGTATTTAGCTACGGTATGATACATACCTCAATGATAATCGTAATAAAGTTTTCCGGTTTCCAAGCTGTAGCCAGGAGTAGGTTAGCTGCCTCTAGTTGTCGTGAACTACTGTCACTGATATATGTTTTTTTTTTGCGCTTGAAAGGGCTTGCCCAATCTGATTTCCATAGCATTCGGTCGCAGGTATGCCCTTTTGAACTCCTTTTATTATTATCAAATTCGCTCTAAATCAAAAAGACATCATCTATGCGCTGGCAAGCTTCACACTGCCGTCTTCCATTCCAAAGTAGGCGGCAACTGGCTTCTGTGCGAGGCCGAACTTGCCAGCCTGGGCCGCCTGAAGCCCGTTGACGCCGTGGAAGATGCCAATTTCCACGATACCAGGGATCAGAAGCAGCTCCTTGGCCAGCGCCGAGACCTCCCACGCGCCAGCGGCATTGCGGCCGGCGGCCTGAGCGGCGCTATCCGTGAGATCCTCGGGCAAGAGGAGCTGGGGGAAGGGCGCATCGATGATCCACATGCCGTTGTCAGTGACAGCCTCACCAGCCTTGGCGGGGGCTCCAGGGCGGACGAGGGGCTTGACGGAGCCGAGATCGGTCAAGCGGTCCAGCACGTCGGGTGCGGACATGGGAAGGACCTCAATGGGGATTGCCTTCCAGTTGGTGAGAAGCCTTTGAGAAAGCTTACGGTAGTCTGCCACCTTGTCAGAGTTCTGTTCATTTACATAGATATATGGAGAGGGGAAAAAAACTCACCAGCGACAACGACAAACTTCTTAGCAGCAATGGCGACCAGCTTCTCCTGCAACAAGCAGGCACCGCCGCCCTTGATGCAGTTGAGGTTGGCGTCAACCTCGTCGGCGCCGTCAAACGCAACGTCAAGAGGGACGAGCTTGCCGTCGGGGCCAATGGGTCTCTCATCGAGGTTGCACAGGCGCAGACCGGCAGCGCGGATCAAACCCTTGGACTGGCTTCCAGTAGGGAGGAAGGTCATGTTGGACCAGAAGGCGGGGCCCTTTGCGGCGATGGCATCGACGACGTAGACGACGGTGCTGCCGGAGCCGATACCGACGTAGCGCGCGGAGGGGTCGAGGTGCTCATCGACGGCGCGGTAAGCCGCGGCCTTCTTGGCCGACTCGACGAGGGAAACTGCTGAAGACATTGCGCGGAGATAGACTTTTGACGGAGAGGTGCGGGGTGAGGTGAAGTTGAAAGTGCGTGAAAGGAGTGAAGGTGTGGATGAGGACGATGAACGGAGAGACGAGGCTGTTGATCTTATTAATAAAGATGCGTTCCTGCAGGTCCAAAACATGGGGGGCGGCGGGAGAAGAGGGTTCGGAGATGGGGTGGTGGTGTTATAGTGGGATGAGCCATAAACTGCTCTTCCGGCGACCGGGCTTACTCATGAGTCGCACCGGAGGGTGGATCCCGATTCGGGTGCTGCCGGCTGGCGGCAGATGGTGTCCGCTTCCGCTCCCGGTACCTCGAGACGAGGACGGTACACTTTGCAAGCCACAAATGCACTGGAATTGCTTACAAGAATGAAGGCGTTCATTTCTGTCAGAAAATGGGGAATTTTCTATTTTGTAGTAAGTTTCGCCGCCTACAAAGCTGAATACATACTGCCCATTTGAGAGCAGAACCTTCGGTGAGACTCGGTGAGGATGAATTCACCGGATGACCCCTCCTTACCGGTCGCGGGACGTTTTTTTTTTTTCTTTTTTTCTTACTGCAGATGTCAGGACCACTTCTTCACTCCACATATGACGTATAACCCGAGTTTTCCAGGGACGCAGAACCCACCATTTCAATGCCCTTGATCTACTCGGACGTTGTCTCAGGACGGAAGCGCCGAATCAAACCGAGACTTCGGGTGCCCTGCGAATGCGCCGGGAGCCACCGGCGTGCTGCCGGTGGACCTCCAGTGGACCAAGGAAAAGTTTGTAGGTGATGGGTAACAGGGAAACTCCTCGCGGGCACCGCGGCAAATGAGAAACTGGTTTCTGGAACGACGTCACTTTTTTGAACTACTGTAGCCATGCTTAGAAGCCTGTGTGCTTTGGGTAAGGTATATACAACTCATACTGCATAGATCTGTAACGGAGCCTCCCCTAGGAACCGAGCATAATAGCGAGGCCCGTCTCTAAGATTAAGGAGGGCTTACATTTCATGTCTTTCACGGCCTCTCGTGCTGGCATACATATGCATACGCAACTAGACTGCTCACTAGCTGTTTTGATGTTTGACCAACATGCAACAACTAACTTTGTGTACTTTTCGGTTTCTGATAATGCTCTTTGAGCTCAGGACAGACTTTCGATAGGTGAGACAGGATTTCTGCTGCTGCTGCTTCCGGCGAAAGATTCGACACGTCTAGACGGAGTTGAGACGGGTTGTTGTCAAATCCATAGAGGTCTGGTCCCGCGCGAAACTTCTTCAGCAGCTCTGCGTCTATGAGCTTGCCCTGGGCTGCCCTGTCACTTTCAACGAGCCTTTGCAGGTTGGTTTCCTCGTCGCAATGCAGTATTATCGGAACGAAGTCGCAGCCTCTTTCAGAGGCGCACCGCTCGTATTCTTGACAAACCGCAGGACCGTTTTCAAAATCAGTTTGTGCGTCCGTAAAGATGTAAGCGCTTGCATGGGTGGCTCGCTCGTGTATCAGCGAGTCGAAGACTGCTGAGCGGATTCTGCGACGGAGAGTATGATAACCTGGCTGTTCCCTTTGTAACACGGCTTCTACTGGGTTGATGAGGAGGTGGTTGTGCACGAGCTTTAGCATTCTAGAGCTGTCGCCTGAGATAATCTGAGCGATGGTGAGCTTGCCCGTTCCTGGAAAGCCATTGATGTAAATTATTGGAAGGGGCCGAGAGCCTGACTTGTCCGTCATCTTGATGTTAATCAATTGCCTTGCAGATGGGAATCTGCGCTGAAGATACGATGAGTACAAACAAATTTCAGTTTTCTTTTTCGTTTAAATCGTTGGATTTTCTTCTGCTTTTTGACAGATAAGCTTAGGCCAGACATTGTGAGTCACGCTGTCCAGAAGTGACTCAAAATATGCCCGTCAAGGTACATTTCGCATATATCAGATGAAGTGGCACTAAGACAGTTTTAGCCATTGACAACCTCCAGAAATGTCGACTCATAAGCCAATATGTTCAGTAACTTTGAAATGAAGACTTTGGTTGATGAAGAGAAGATTTGGCGAAGTAACTTCCTCATAAATATTAAAAAAGAAAAAAAAAAATGGAATGGATGGAAATCCGCTTCAAGATTAGTGTAGGTTTCACAGGGGGTGAAACAGGGGGTGAAACGGAATTCCGTTCGTCAATAACAAATAACAGTAAATTGGTTCTAATCGATGGTTCATGATTGTTGAAAGTGGTGTTGTTGACTAGAAGGTGGGGATATTCCCCCTTGGCCTGTCACGTGGGTCTGGGAGGCTTGGGCCTCTCAGCCTGGCGGGCGTGTGGCTGGAAGTGCCACACGACTCCGTATTCCAACTATCGCAACACTGGAAACTCTCTTTTTATGGTGTTGAAGCGGTTGGAATACGTTGTCCCTATACAGTTCCGTCTCCTCGTCAATTCGGCCTCCTATCCCTACTTTCTCCCGTAGTTACGGTCTTGTTACCCATCCCTCCATACGTATCGTTATCGTGTTGCTATCAACGAATCTCTCGAGGGCTCGATTTGGTTTGCTCTTCGTGAGGGCATCAGCAGGGTTGTCTTCGCCGTTAATCCAACGAATTTCTTGTAGTTCTCGTCTTTCGTACGATTGTCTCAACGCCATGATATCGATCATGAGTCGCTTTTCTTTGGTAGTGCCCAGCTTCACGAGACACTCGTACAGCGAATAAGAATCGGTACAGACAACTGTCTGAATCGTTGGTAGGTTGAGGTGGTCAGTGATTGTCGCCAGGGTTGTGGCGAGGGCGTAGGCCATATCGACGCCAGCGACCATCCCGTAGATCTCTGACGCTAATACGCTGCGGGTGACTCGTTTACTCTTCGTAGAGCTGTAATGAACGAGGTTACCGTGAATCGTGAATTCTCCGTTGTTGCTGTCAGAGGAAGTGTCGTTGGCTAGGATGATCAGAAACCCTAATTGGGAGGAGAGGTCGTGGTTATTAGCGAACGACCCGTCAACGAAAACGAATAGCTTGGCTGTTGTAAGGTCGAGTGGGATAAACGTTATTCCTCGGTTAGGCGATTCTATTTGCCATCGAATCCGTTGATTCAGTGCTTTTATCGCTTCTGGCGAGGGGTCTTGGTGTTGGGCAGCAGTGGATAAATCGAAACAGGCCTCGGGTTGGCAAATTGACGCGATGTACGCCCCTCTGGCGCGTTGTTCGACATATTGCTGTTTTGGGTTGGGTTTAGTAGTCTCAATACATCGTAACTTCTTGGCTTGTCCCTTTTGCCTCAAATTGATCGAATTGTCGGTTGACAGCGCGATTATCCCTCCGTTGAATTGGAGGGGTTCGTCAATTGTGAGGATATTCTTCGCTTTTGCCGTAAAAGCCGCTTTTTCTAACTGTTCGTCTTCTAATTGTGAGAACGCCTTGTCTGACAAACCGAGGGTATCGTCGGTTTGCATGCCGATACAGCCAAAGTGTGGATTTTCGGTAGATGAGATCAATAGGCATGGATCGTACGAAGAAGTAACCATCTGGAGATTCTCTCTGTGATGCTTGTGATACGTTGCCCACCAGTGGGTTCCAGCTTCTGCGATTCCGTACAGAGGCTTCACAACCTCCATAATGGTCCCTTTTGGGTACTGGTCTTGAATTTGCTTCGGTGGGTAGGCGAGAATAGTACGATTGAGCCTTGTGGAGGATTGAACGTAGGCTTGTGTGATATCTCGAAGCCATAGTTGTTTCCCTTCTCGTAGGAGTGACGGGGTAATTGACAGAATTAGCCGTTGACTCGCCCGCTGAATCGTTGGCGATTGGGTCAATATAGCCTTCTTGCCATCGTCGGCGTAACCCTGTATTACAAGTCTCGATTTCTCGTAGGGTTCGGTTGTTTTACCCTTGACTTCGTTGACGATACGAGATCGGAAGATTCGTACGTTCTGGTGCCTTCTCTTATTGAACTGGGTGAATTTGAACACTCCTCTAGCGATGAGGCTGTTGATCTCTTGTTTAGTTGACTGTTCGAACGGTTCGCCTGGTGTAGTAATAACACCTTCTCGTCGTAGTTTGATTGCCAATTCTTCGTCTGCTTGCTCCTTAATCGATAGGAATATTTGTTGATAATCCGGGTCATCGTTGAATTCCTCTGTGAAGTGGGCGATTGGCAGTGGTCTCTTCCGGGGTCTGCCCGGGCGTCTTCTCGGTGGCTCCGGTGCCTCTTGCGGTTCGTCCGGTTCACTGCCTCCGCCGGCGACGATAATTTCGTCGCGTACTACTTCCTGCTGCGGTATCTTAGCTTCGGGTTCTTCTTCTTCTGGCGCGGCGATGGAATTAGGTGGTTGATCGGGATCTTCGTAGTATGGTTTGACTACGGTAGACCGGAAGGTCTTCGGACCACGTGGCGTATCGACAGTACAGGTTTCGCCGTTTATGGCTGCTAAAGTAAACGGTCCGGTCCAGCCCTTCTTTTCGCGTACATCGTACATATCGCCGCTGTATTTCATATCGTCGGGGTATAGTTTCGCGAATTCTGTTAATTGCTTTCCGATACGGTCTGTTGACTCGTATGGTTGGAAGTCTGTTAACGGAGAGACCGTGGGATGTGGCGGTCGGTACGGTAGTTGCCACTGTTGTTGTTCTTGTGGAGGAGGTGGCTGTAGGGTTGGTTCGACTCTTCCTCCTGTGCTGTTGGCTACTGTTGCCGGTCTCGTGATCTCTTCGTGGAATTCGGGGTCTTTTATCAGAGCCTTCAGGTTGCGATATCTCTTGACGCCTTGTTCGAGTTCTTGGGGTGACCAGTAGTGGAATTCTTCCTTTTTGAGGGCTAATGCCACGTTTTTCGAGATTTTCTTGCCATCCATTTCGACGTAGACGCCGTTACCGATTAAATGGTCTCTGAAGAATCGTAGGATTGGGGGAGGTACGTTCTGGAAGTCTTCTTCTGACCAGTCGGCGAAATCGGGAGAAACTTCGTTCCATAGCTCGAGGCCCGTGAGATTCCTCTTCTCATAGGTCTCAAGTAGGAAACCCATATAGGAACCCAGTTGCTGTGGGCTAGCGTTTGTAAGGTCGATTGCCCAGTTGCCCCATACTGCTGGATCGATCATACTTTCGATTCTCTGTGGGATGGGGACTGTTGATTGGCTTTTGGCAGTGACGCCGCTCGCGGGCGATCCTTCTCGTGAATTTCGCTCCATTCTGACAGTATAAAAGGATTACTTCGTAGATTCTCTCGTGAATCTCTCTTTCTCGCTTCGGGCTTCGCTCCTCACTGTTGGGAAGTTTAGAATCTAGCGGACAGTTGGCCTTATGACGCCCACAACCACGTGCGTTTCTCCTAAGCCGCAGCCTCGGAGGCGTATACGTATAGCTGTATAGGCGGATTACCGCCGGTAGTCTCCGCTCGCCTTTCGGCGTGTTCTTCTTCTGGTAGGGAGGTCTCTTGTGGCAGGCGCCTCGCGGTTGGCACCTCGTCTGGGGATTTATTGAGAAACTAGCGGGCGCCTCGTGATTGGCACCGCGCGTGGGGGATAGTTGTAGTTGGGGAAGTTGTTGTCCCTTGTGGGATTCGTGAATCTTCGCCCTTGTGGCGTGAAGAGGTTGGAGGACCGTCGATTCGGTAGGTCTCTTCTTCTGGTGATTGAAAACGCGTGATGGAACGCTCTTGCCAGCGATAATTGGCTGCGATTAACCTTATCCCGCCTAGGGTGAGCGTAGCAGTCCCTAGGTTACTCGAATAATCGGATTGCTGGTAGATTCGAGGAAAAGAAGCTTTCTTCTGCTGGTTTCCGTAGATCCCAGTTACTCTCGCTTCTTCTCTCGTTAGCACGAAATCCCTACTTTTACCTGGGCTTGGGTATCCAGTTCAAGAAGTCGTCTCTTCTGGTGTTGACCTTGCTGATCTGCGGTTTGTCCGTAGCAGAGTGGTAATTGTGAAGTTAACCAAATTAATGGCAACTGTGAGGTTTACCACTGATCAGTGTAGGTTTCACAGGGGGTGAAACAGGGGGTGAAACGGAATTCCGTTCGTCAATAACAAATAACAGTAAATTGGTTCTAATCGATGGTTCATGATTGTTGAAAGTGGTGTTGTTGACTAGAAGGTGGGGATATTCCCCCTTGGCCTGTCACGTGGGTCTGGGAGGCTTGGGCCTCTCAGCCTGGCGGGCGTGTGGCTGGAAGTGCCACACGACTCCGTATTCCAACTATCGCAACAATTAGTGTGGCGATAAGTAGCCCAAACTAATCGATTTTGTAGAGTGGTATACAATGAAAAACGAGCACCTATCCCGTAGCGTTAGCTTTGAATGAGGGTCTCTTAAGTCGGAACTTTGCATTCAATACCTTCTATCTAATGATAGTTTTTGATGATCGTCGGTAAACCTGATACTAGTCAAACATCCACCCAACTTTTACAGAGCTCTGTTTCGGTGTAAGACCGTGTAAATCTGGCCAGCAATATGTTCTGCCGAACTTTCCATCAATTTTGACATGATTTCATATTTGTTCCCTCGTCAGCTTTTTGATTGAACCTCTCAGCTTCCCATTATTATCGTGGTTAACCACCTAGGGACACTATGTCCTAGCTGAGATGAAATCACAAAAAGGTTAAGGTGAATTTTAAACATGATATTTTAGACAGACATTTAATCTTTGGATAGTGAAACGACCCAAGCGCCTGGTTACGGTGTCGTTGACCATTGGACTGTAGGCGCTAATTTATCTGGGAGTTATGCCACGTGTGGTAGTCTGTGTTATCCATAACTAGGTAGATCTTGTTTTTAGTTTACTTCACGATACCGAAAGTAACATGAAATGCGACTTCTCCCAGGATTAACTGATCTTCAACCTTATATTCAGACACATGCTGGTCTGGGAATTGGGAACATCCTCTCCTCAAGCCCAAAAGTTGAGTTAATTGCCAAATGGCAGCTTTGGTCGTCAAACTACATCACATCAGCATGCGATGTCAGTGACTCTATGATTATTGGGTTATGCTTATGGCTGGTGTGCTAGCTTGTAACCCTCTTTTGTGGCGTCGCATTGAAACGCAATATCAAGGTGTCAAATTCATGTCAATGATCATATTCGTTTTGAGCAAGGTGCAGGCGCCTTGCGTTCCAGATCTCCCTTGAGCTGAACCCCTGGGCTAATCTTGTGCTTGTTGATATGGTTTGAATTCCCCATGGAAATGTTTGGCGGTCGCCTAAGTTTGAAACGGCAAGCCCCTTGGTGTGATTTTGGACATCATACCAGTGCTGTCAGTGATTGGCACGGATGCCTCTCCGGACGACGTCGGTGATGGCGATACCGGGACAAGCAAACCCCGGGTTCAGCCACCGTACTTTCATGGAGTGACGACTTTGTGTCGAGCCAATACCAAACTGCAAATCCGCGACTTGGCGTCGTTCTAGTCAAACGAAGTTGACAAGGGCAATAAACGGATATGGTACAGCCGAACTGGACCTGCCACTTCAACATCACCAAACAAAACACATACCGCTAAGATCGGTCCTTGGAAGGAGGTATTGCTACTTTTGGCTGAAGATCTTCTCAGGGTCCCTAGGCTTAGCCTAGGGCAGTGGAGGAGAGGCCTCCTCTATCGTTGATCATCGGATTGGTAGCATGCGACGTGGCCGCTATGACCGCCTTAATTGTGGCATTAGTCGCATCAATCGCCATCATTATACTGTAGTATGCATTTTTCAAGAAGCTAAGATCTAGGAGTTGACGTTCGACGAGTGTGGTCCATTGATCATTGCAGAATGTGACAATGCAGGGGAATTATCCCTACTAGACGTCTCGAGTCATGCGGCTAAGGTGGCTGAGGGCAGTTTTCAGGAGCGAATCGCATTTCAGGATTTCCAGCAAAGAGCCACTTTTATCCGTCTGGGACCGTTGACAGGCCTGTCGTCCAGCCTTACAGGATGACTTTCATGTGTCAGAACGGGATCTGTGTGTAAGTAGGAGGTCATGATTACTACGCCAATGAATCATTGCTTTGAAAGAGACTATCATTTCGGAATTAGAATGCTCTCACAGGTCTATCCCAGCGTAGCATCGGCATCCCACCATCTTCCGATTGGGTCCAAAAAGCCATTTCGGAAGTATGCGATTCTCACTATCATACTTTGCACTGACAGCTTTCAAGAGCCAATCGCAATTTGTTTCGAGGCCAAGGATTCCATATATAACAGCAGACCACCCCCCTCGTTAAAACAGGGGAGCCAGCCCTCCTTTACTGTTAATTGTTTGACGTTTTAGGGTCCGTGTTGAATAAAGCTCAGGGCTAAATTCCGTCAGCGCTTAGAAACAATAGTGACAACCCGTCCCGCAATGCACGAACTCATCGACTATAGACCATCCAGGGCTATAACTGAACCTGGATAATGGGCTGTGCATCTTTGTTTTCCCAGGAAATCCAACGCCGTAACATGTAGTTCATGAACGTCTGACCAGCTAATCGCGTTGCAGCGGATGCACACTTGCTTCCGCCGGCCACGTAGCTCCCCCATCTGTTCGTGCCATGAGATCCTTGGCACCAACACACCCAACGCGGATGTCAAATGGATGACAACTGAAACGGTCAGCTGGTAGCCATAGAATTGGGAATAGATCTGCTTGCATATCAAAAGTCTAACGTATTTGCCGAAGGAGCACACACCTTAAGAGGGACCCCGGGTTGGTCATGTACTGCCGCCGTACGAGGTCTTCTTGCCAGGCTCAATCGGACACTGCCCCGGAGCCATGTAAAGCGGCCCCCACCGTGTAGTGGGCGCCGGTGTTGCATCCCGAGACGAGCTATACCACCTTGTTTATATGATCTTGTTACGGCAGCATTGCCAGTCCCGATCTTAAATACATAAACGTCTGGCGATCCAGAACTTGCCAAGATTGGTCTTGTTTTCTCAGCATCTTTGACACAATTCACTATAAACTTTGGCGGCTTTTTTGTTTTCTTCTTTGGCTTATTTTACATCTCTTGTCTGCAGGTATCAGGCGTTATGGCATTCTATCTTGAGGAACCCTCTTATACTTTTTACCCTACTCCCGATAACAACTTAATGGGATACACCTTCGATGCTCCTTTCATTCCATTTCCCACAGAAGACAGCTTCGACAGCTTTCTATACCCCTTTTCCTCACAATCTCTTCAACTACCAGTTTCTTCGATGGTTACCAGGCCAACCTTCACCATTGACGATGATTCCAACTTTGGTATCAATTACACATCACAACCTACTTCCTCGGCCATGTCGCCCATCCCTAGCGAGAAGTCCGACATTGAATCTCCAAGCAGTGAAGCTACTTCACCCCGTACATCTCTTAACGAGCTTGATATGGACAATGGAGGGCCTACGGATCTCCACAAGATGGGATATGTCGATGTCGCCGGGAATTGGCGCTGTCGGTACACAGGCTGCAGCTCTTCGCGTGTTTTCCTGAGGGCATGCGACCTGAGGAAGCACTTCCGCGGCCATGCAAAGTACTTTTTCTGCACTGAGAAGCGCTGCCAAAGAACGGGTGTTGGATTTGCGACGCGGAAGGATTTCCAGCGACATATGGGTTCTCACAAGCCAACGGTGCGGTGCCTCCATCCCGACTGCGATCGTATCTTCAGCCGAAAGGATAATATGGTCAGTATAGTTCATGAACAGCCATTTAAAGATGTTTTTGTTAATTAATTCACAGAGAGAACACTACAAGAAGATTCACCAGCGGCTAAGGAATAACCTGTTTCCTAGGCGATGTCGGCGAACCAAGAAGAACGACTCTCAGCAAGCCGTCTCGCAAGCACCTACCTGCTCAAGCTAGCTGTCTGGGGAGATTTTCGCTATGCGAAGAAGTAAAACTCGTAAGATTATGTTATTTTGGAAACCTACTTGTAGTATTGGTCTAAGCCTCGTGGTGTTTTACATTACAAGCCCCTGATGAGAGCGAATATTCCGATATTTTCTTAGAGGTGGATACATTTAATGTTGTAGTTTATTTGGAAGTTCACTATTCAAAAGCTGGATAGGTTTTCATAGTGTTGCAATTGATTGTCTTCAGCGTCGACAATCTATGTATACATGGGCTTACCACTAACTGCTTGTCGAGCTCACTGCAAGGGCCTATCGGGGCTTGCCTTAGGTTATGCATACGGGCCGTAACAGTCCGGATTTATTCTACCATAAACTATATAAGAGTAAGTTCAGGTTGATTACCGTATCATCCTTTCCATTTATAGCTTCTATATGCTCAGCCGCACCTATCTAAAAGCATCACACAGCCTCGACAGTCCTACACGTATGCTGACTATCAAATAAGACTATTAAATTAGATTTGTTTTAACTGCCAATGAAAGAACTGTAAAAACATACCCGATCCTCGTTGCAGCTCTCAAATATCTTTAAGCGAAAACTTGAATGATCTCGTCAGGCGCCTCGTTCAATGTCTCTGTCCAAGTGGGAACTTCCTCCGCGCTAACAGCTGAAACAAGTGATGGAGAAGGTTCAACCGGTGCAGCCAGTACAACTCCGACGAGGGCTGTTACGAGAAAGATGAAACGGGCGAATGATGGCATTGTGATGGTCTTTCTGAATCACGAGGATAACAAGAAATATGATGAAGATGAAAACGGGTGAATGAGAGAAAACTTATTACTATCTTGTTGTTTGGTGGCTCTTTCCAACTTTTATAGAAGAATCAAGGCATTACTTCATTTGCACAGTCGTGACCGACCTTTCTCATCAGAAATCATTTCGTTTTTACCCCTGTCTCATATCAACTGCTCGAATGGCACGTTACTCAGTAAGCAAAATGCAATCGAAGACATCAACTGTTGGTAAAAGGTGGGGCCAATATCTCATTCATCAGTAGGCGGCCTAATAGAACTGCATTGCTAGGCTCCGCCAAAGAAGCAGGGTTCTACAGAAATAGCACAAACTTTCTGGGGCGTCACTGCATCTAAAATTTCCACCAGTAATTGCCCTGGCCACATGGACAGCCAGTATAATTGCTTTCACCTGGTTTCCAACCTTTCGACAACTATGCTCACTCAGCGACTTACTTTAGAGTCTGCCAAGAATGGAGCTGTAAGCATCTTTCTGCGTGGGCCTGAACAGAAACCGCTGTTTTTGATTTGAAGAATAGACTAATATGAAGATATCGTATGATGCTACTGCTTCACCGAATGGATGCGAACGCGTGATTTTTAGTTTCAGGTTGTTAATGGCGGGGTGAAGTACACGTTCACATTGCCAAAACAGCTGAGCTAGAAGTATATAAGAGCCTGTATGTTTCTCTCTTTAAGCATAGTTGTTATCATTAGTACACAACAAGCAATAGTCATCTCATTAGTTGTTCCAATTTCTCAGCAACAGCCAAACCATCAACCCCAGTTCACCGCCGTTGTTACGCAATCAAAATGCAGCTCACCAACATTATTACCTTTATGGCACCAATTAGCCTTGCCTCAGCGTACACATTCAGAGGCAGCGTTAACTACTGCAACCAAGACCGCGGCGAGCTTATCTGGTACAACAATGCCAAAAATGTGTGCCGTAGTTTCGGTGGAAAGGGCTTCGCGTCCTTCAACTTTGTGGACGTAGGCCCGAACACCGCGTGTTTTATTTTCCCCGCGGAAAACTGCCAAGGAGGCGCTACACAGTACAACATTGGCTCGAGCGGCTCGACGGGTTGCCGGGATAGCTCATCCGGCTGGGTGTACTCTGTTGCTTGCAGCTAAGCTACAGCAAGAACGGTTTTACCACTTTAAGAAGCTAGGTGGCGAATGGTGGCGGGCTAGTATTGGTGAAGATTGGCAAAATCTGCGACGGAGTGACAAGCTGTAAAATTGGATCCTCTATTCAAAACCTCCTCTTTTACAGTCCACAGAATAGACCAAGTTTTCTATGTCAGTTAGAAGAGTGGAAAGAGATATACACAACTAACTTTCAACATAAAAACGTTGCTTTGTTGACCTCTGAACTCTATGCTGGCCAATCCATGATATTATCTCACACTGTTTGGTGGAATCACAGGCATTTGGCAAATTTCTTGAGGCGTTGTCGCACCCGTAAGTTAGCCGTTGAGCCTCTGGAGGCCAACGTATGTATTAGTATAACTAATTTAACCGCCTTTATAGGAGATATATATTGGTTGATGAATTTTAAGCTAATTATAATCTTGAAATCTAATACGTCCCTAAGAATGATGCGTCCCGATCAACTTGCAATGCGTCCCTATCAATTTCTTTACGCTTATAGGGTGTTCCTATTACTACTTTGAATTTGACCCTGTATGCCCTGCGGACTGCCGTACTATCTATCCTGGGTAATGCTAACGGATAGTTAAGAATCTCTGAACTAGCGCAGCCTTTGCCTTGCTATTCGTATTTCTGTGATGGGTTAACTAGCCCCTGTGGTGCAAATATAGTAGCAGACATAACTACCCATTGGGCTTTACAGCCCACCTTATGGTAATGATAAAAGGTACGTAACAACAAGCTGCCTGCTTGTGGTTCTGCTATGCTCAAGTAGGCAGAGAAATAATGCGTGGGCAAAGACCATGCCAAGAATCGTGGCATAGCCCGTAACAATTTCCCCTTGATTCGGCCGCTTTAGAAAGCATTCATCATCCCCAGGATGTTCAAGATGACAGGGTAAGCATTCCTGCCGTGAAACTGACCCAGTTGATATTATGTGAACCAAAGTTGTTGCAAACATGAGCTTTCTATACATGCGAAACCTCCACAAGACATGTATGTTCGGTTTCGAGACAAGTGCTGCCGCTCAGTTTGCAAGATTTTTTGTCTAATGTCGTGAATTTCCCCAGAAATGATTTACATATAAGCGGCTTGCCTCAGTCTCTCCAGTGAAGCGGTTGCAGTAATTCTTCGCAGACTCATACAACTTTTGATGTAGTCAATGCACCAGGAACTGTTTCAAGTTCAGACATCATAATAAATCTAGTGTGGTGCTGCTTCTGATACAATTTTTGCTATTGCTAAAAATAGGCCACAGGGGAGGTTTTTCTCGGCTGACAAGAATGCTGGAGCCGAAGCTATTTTCCAGTGTGTGTCTTGATCTTGACTGGAACAAGCGGATATTGAGTTGATTCTCCTTTTATCTCCCTGTATTGCGGGAAGAAAAGCCCAGGGTGCCCGATATTGAGACAGAAAGCCGAGGCGAGCATAAGGCTACGAAATCCATTAGCACCTAAACGTTTCTTTTGTAAGAAACTCATTCACGTACCATGATTCAAGGGCAATGAATAAAGGCTCATCACGAAATATCTCGCTGAAGTATCCTTCTTTCAGCTCAATGATGCGATAGACGCAGCGTATCAAAATAAACAGGACAGCAAGCAGCAAGAAGCCGAGAAATAGCCTGCTCTTCGCTAGCAATATACTGTTGCTTGTGCTTCGGTAGAAACAGTAGAGATACTCAACAAAAATGATGGTGAAACAGCCCAGGGCGACAACTTGGAATATGAGACCAGCCAGCGAAATTTGTTCTCCTCGATGTATATCATTTTTCGAATCAGCAACGACTGATAGGGCTCCGCCGATGGCTTGAAGTATGAGGGAGATGATATCGCAAGGAATGAAAACCTGATACAGTAGGCGAGGTTGAAACCTAGAGATGGACGCATCGAGGTATACAATGCTAGAGTGAATAGCCAAGTTAGCCAATGAGAACTCCATTGGACCGCTAGGCATGTATGCTCATGTAGAGAACATGGGAGTTTTGAAGTAGCAGAAATGGAAGGAGGATGGGGACACGGAGGGTTTCGTACGTCTGTGCGATGACAACGTAGATTGCAGCACAGTAAAACACAGGCGCAATAGTGATGCAAACTATACGTAGATCCAGTCAGCACGATACAAAATGGCAACACTGGAAGTGAAAACCTACTGATTTGCATGAGGAAACCTGGGAATCCAAATGGGTTGTCGTACAGGAGAATTCGTCCAATGTAGCCGACGATTTCCATGATACACCCACATGCCATGCTGATTAGGAATCCCCATGTCTTTAGCCAAAAGCCTTGGACAATATGAATGGCCAAGCAGAGGCCGAACGCTGCCAGAAAGAAGACATTCGCAGGAATCGAAGGTTTGTATCGGAGGAGACTCCATTCCAATGGGCTTTGGTTTAGTGTGCAATTTGCGTTGGGCCCGAAGGCGACCAACCCATCCGGGAGAGCCATGTCAGCCATAGTCGAAGCAAATAAAAAGAGTAGATGCTCAGATTAAGTGGCGTGTAGTTGACTGGACCGGTGAGTTCGATTTGTCTGTGTCATTTTCAAGGACGATGTGAGCATCATGGCTGATGCTTATATATGTGCGAGAAACCACGATGAAGAAGCCAAGCCGGGGCAAACAACCACTGGGGACGATGACAAGACATCCAACAAGACCTTCATTAACAACCCTAGCGGGGCTTGCTGCTGCGAGTTTGTCCATGTACCTAATTCGAAGGGGGAAGTTCGGGGCTGTGCACTTACGCAATGCTGAGAACAATTCCACCGGCCAAGCACACGAAACCATGCCCAGCCTGTGACATGTTCTACCCCTGCGAGAATATGAAAAGATATGGAGACAATACGACACGGCCTATCATGTCACTAGGATGGGGCGACTGGTGCTGCTGTCAAGCTGGAGTAGTGAGTGCCATTCGTGCAATGAAAAGATTCCCCTTCTGACATGTAGCCAACAACACCGCCAAGTGAAGCTGTCGGAAGGCACTGAGATTGGATTTTTGGGTCGCCACATTAGATATCATGGGTTTGGAAAGCTGTAAGTTGAGAGAAAAGAATTCATGCTGATTGGAGTACGAAAGGTGATCAAACCTTATTTGCTATATTTACGATTCTTCTTAATACATTTCTGTACTCGCGCCCAGTTGCTGAAGATAGCGCTTCGCAAACGTAACGGTTGGATTTGAAGCGCGCAGACATGGTAGGTTTAAATCAACCAGATATCTCAGCATACTCACAGCCCCTGTAGTCATGTTGGGGTTGATCAGTTGTGAATGTTGCTGCTTCGCGACTAGGAACGCCTCGAAGATCTCCGCTAGCTCCCTACTGTCCCAACCACCCTCCCTGATATCTATCGACCTGAACAACTCCACAACTCTTTTTAGAATTTCTAAATCTTCGGCGAGCCACCCTGCATAGGCCAAAGATGGTAGGTGAACAGAATCAAGCGCAAAGGCAGGATGGGGCGCTGGTGGCACGGCCTGAAGTAGTTCCTCCACTCGTGTGATGATGGCGCTCAGATCTTCGTGCTCAACTTTATCTTCCACGGCGACGTTCCGGCTCTCGTCCTTCAACGTTACGGCCCAAGTCTTTTGTAACAGGCGAAACTTTAGGAAGTCGTACCGTTCTTGAGCGTCGTCTGCTCTGCTGGGTTGGCGATCCTTTTCGTACAAGTCCAATTTACAGCTCCATTTCTCAAAGCGTTGGCAGAGAATGAGATATAGGGACTTATCAATCTCATCGATATGCGATTCGGTGGTTTTCTTCAAGGTTATATGCTCATAGAAAGCCTCAAATGCAATCTCAAAACTCCGCAGCTCTTCTTCGGCAACAGTCAGACTCGGAAATGCAACGTAGTCAGAATTCATTCTGGCCGGGGCTGAAAGACCGAAGAGATCAAGGTGAGACACCACCACTTTGTCGAGCCCTGTTGAAAGATCTGAGCCCAGCCGTGAAAAAATATCCACAATGGCATCCATTTCATTTCCCTTTGAATCATCCTTGAGCGACGTGAATGCATCTTTATCCTGCAGCAGTGCTGAAGCCAGGCGAGGCTGCTTGTTTGCTCTGGATACGGAAAACAGGATGCGTGAGCCAGCCTGTAGGTGCTGTACAGCTAAGAAATAGGAACCACGTAAATATTCGATACAGACGAAAATAAGACAGCAGGCAAGCACGACTTGAATGTCAACTCCCGTTGCATTGCTCATTATTGGTTGGATATGTAGTATCGCGAGATTATACTGCCGGAGAAGGAAGAGGTTGCTCTCATGTAATAAAGATGGTCGTAAATGGAGTTCGTCTCGGCATAAAAATAATCGATGAGCGGCACCAAGAGCCGTCAGAGCATGGCGGATTGCTGGTACATATTCGCCTAGGAGAGGCACATATGTCAACCAGAACTGCCTCAAGATGCGAGAGCTGGTTAGTTGAGAAAGTGTGCATTGGAGCACATGGTGGTAGTTTAATTGCTCCAAAAAACAAAGCGGCGGCTCTGCTGTCATTGAAAGCTGCCGCTGGTTGCGATAATCCTACCCTGAAATCAATTCTTGTACGGAAGAGGCACTCAGAAGGTGCTTCTATGTAGCCATCACACTCCCAGCTATCTTTCCGGCATCTCTGGCAAGTCGGCTTTGACTCGTCACACTTTAAATGACGAGCTCTAAGACCGGCCCATGATACGTCAGTGTCCTAAGCCCTCAGGTAGTTACCTGGAGATACCATATATATCAACTTACTTGCTAATTGCACGATATTATCAGCGCTTTCTGCGTCTGGGCGATAACAATCTTATGGCCAAGAGTCTGTGGAAACAGCTGGTGGTCTGGTAGGATGGCTTACCACGTGATACATCCGGTTCGGACTTTTGAAGCGCTGGCTCGAGTCCGTTTCGGTCTCGGGAGCCTAGGGTTAGATTTTGCCCTCATACCCTCCATTTGGTGAATAAGCTTGTGGATGAAGTTAAAGAGGCGTAGAGACGTGCATATCATGTGGTTGTAAAAAGGAAAAGATTTGGCTTCAATAAGCTCAGCCTCTACGAAGTATCCAGCGCTTTGACACAGGCCAGGGGTCAAGGATCCACAGGGGTACTGCAGATGATTGGTGCTGCCGTAAAAGACTAAACTAGCGTCGCCATGAACCACATGCTGGTGTTGGCGTAGGTCTACTAAGAGACGATGTGCATGGGGAAGAAGGTGGGCCCGCCAGGGACTTGTCGATTCTCAGGGCGTTCTAAGTCGTCGTGTCTTTTGAAAGCCTATACATCTCATAATTCCAGCATTGCAGATACTTCTGCCTACAATAGCGGACTGACTATTGAAACACGAACGACGGTATGTTTATAAAATTCCATATGTGTAATCAAGTCGAGCTTCTTCTTAAGTAGATGCCATTCTGTGAAATGTCTCATTTCTTAGGATCACCCGTTTACCTTCCAGCTGATCGACGGAGGCTTGCGTAAACATCTGCTAATTCGTTATTGTCTAGGTTGTTGATCTTGACTCCACGCATCCAGAGCATCAAGATCCAGGCCTTTAAACTGCTTATTGAAAAAGAAAGCGATGATAGATACAACTAGTACACCCAGAATGACGACGACATTAAGAGGCGGAGTTTCTGGACTGGGCGGGAATGAGCGACCGACCAGAAAATAGATTGTGACCAGAAGAGCCGACAGATGGATAGTCCAGCTGAAGCGGCCGGTATAGAACGGCCCGGGTACCCATCTGTCTCTAGCGAAGAGGCGAGCTGTGATTGGAATACACCACATCATTAGATTGGCGAGGGTTGCCATCGAGAATATTATGTCACTGGCATTGGGAACCAGCGATAGCAGAAGAAGCAGGTATGTTAGGCCGACCAAGAGTGCTGTAGCAAACCATGGCATGTTTGTCCGTCTGTCCACACGGGAGATGTAACTGCTGTAAGGGAATCCTCCGTCTCTGGCGAAGGCTGCAACTTGGGTGGCGTAAGTGAGGAGCATACCGCTGCCACCAATGCAGGAGAACATCGTTCCAATGATAAAGAAGATTCCAGTCCCTATGCTGCCCCAGTGTTGTAGCACGAGGTTGAAAAGAGGGTAGTTTCTGCAACGTGATAACTTGTTCAGCATCGTTTCGGTGCAGTAGAAGTCGCAGTAAAGACCGCATTGCAACGTACCCTGTTCCGAGGACCGATTTAATGTCATGGATACAAAATGCAAATATGAGGCTAATGACAGTCCCCACAATAGCTGTACAAGCAAATGATTGTATGATGGCTCTGGGTGCCTGCTTTCGAGCGTCGTGCGTTTCCTCTGCGACATAGACAGGAGCGATCCAAAGAGAATTCACCCAAAGGGCAGAAGAAAAGCTGAGAGACACTGCAATGCCTATTGTTGACCACGGAGAGTGGTTTGCGTATTCGCCAAACACATCCGCTCCAGATGCAAAAGGCAAGCCTTTGGCAGCGTGCGAGGCGGGAAGCGCAACGACAAATGCGATGCAGGAGAAAAGAAGGACGGCGGCTGGTTGTCTCAATGATTAGACCAAAACCTAACAAGGAGCAGAAAAAGAAGGATAGCCTTCCTCATAGATGTTACGGGGCAGAGTTGGGGCTTCTTATTCCTCACCTGTTAAGAGCATCACGACGCCAACCCGCTCAAGCCGTAAGAGCATCAGACTAGCCCATAGAGTAATCGTGCCCATGGACATGCCCATGAGCTGTGCTCTGGTTGCGACAAAGCCCTCGGCGAAAAACCCGATGGCTTGACTGAGGCTTGAGGCTACGGCATAAGAGAAACTAGTCAGGTGAGTTCCCAAAGATAAGATATTAAACCAGCCTGTGATGAAGGCGACAGCTCGGGATGTTCGTCTAGGCACCAACGCAGCAGCCCACCAATAAAATGCCCCGTTCACGGGCATCGCTGAGCACAATTCGGCAATTGCGATGACTTGAGGTACCATCATGATATTCGGAATTATCCAACCCCTATTCATTGCGAATTAGTAAGGGCGGTGCGAATGCGCTGGGCCCACGAGCGTTCTTGATCGACATACCAAGAAAGACCCCAATAGCCTGCGAAGGTTATTGGATAAGCACCGGCAACCATGATAGCCCCGAGCGGTCTGTATATTAACTTAGAGACTCTCAGCGGTTTGCGTGTGATGCACAGCATTCGACTCACGACGTTAGGGAAATGACAATACAGAACCCAAATACGACGCCAATGACTCTGCGATAGACGGGAACATATCCGAAGGCTGTTATCGTGCCATTTTCAATGATGTCGGCGCCGTTAGTATCATCAGTCCCCTTTTTGCTCAAATCTTCCATAGGAACCTCGTTGGTTCGATCGTGCTGAACAACGTCAAACTTCGTTGTTGGACTTAAAGAGGAAGTCATTTCTTTTGTGGTATATAAGGAGGTGTCAGAACGAAGTGGTCCCAAAAATAGTAATCAAACTGTCCAAACCAAGACGTAGCAAAAGCATCGACGTTCGGATGCACAGTTCTAGGACTGAACAGTCGTGGAGACACGGCCAGTTTCAAATATCTCTTAAAAACCAGAAGAAAGATGCAAAGACTCGTCGGTACAACTCCGATACAAAGAAAGTCAAACGATATCATGTGAGGCACATTTGACTTCCCCGCATCTGAGGGGGAGGATTTCTTGTATGAAACCAGGATCATTCTTCTTACCGAGTGAGGCTTGGTCATGCCGGATCACTGACAAGACAGACTGGGGACTACTACGGTAGATTATCAAAAGTACGCTACAATGGATTTGTATCCTATTGGGTTGAGATAGTGACGGTTTATGGATTCACGTTGGCCGCAAACAATGCAAAAGATCGCAGAAGAATCATGCTCTCCAGGTGTATTACAAACGATATGCGGACTACATGGTATACGAGAAGCTATCCGCTTCCTGATCTATCACGCAGCCATTTTCTATATTTGAAAACCAAAAATCAGAAAAAGACAAGACCATCAATTGAATATTCGAGGGAGTAACCCCGCTCCGGAAAGAGAGACTAGCCATATCGCAAAGACGATAGACGACGTCGCTGAGAAGAAAGTAGATTCTGACCAGCACTTTCAATACGTCAAAGACAACATGGACACATCCAGCTCTCCATTAGGTATCGTTATCCGAAGACGAAAACCTCCAACGGCGCATTATTGTAAGCCATCAGGCTAAGTTCTCACACGCATTCAAATTTCTTCACCAGGTCGCATGCAAGGTTTTCCAGTTGTAATTCACAGGTCATGGACTTTGGCAGCCTCGGAAGAATGAGGCCAGGAGGGAGAACCGTTCATCAAATCTATAACGAGTATCAATGTTTTGAGCGTAGTTCGAGCCCCACTGGCAGAAATCCAAAGTTATAGCCTCGGAAGTGGGACTATCTGCCTTACATGAAATTCCCCGTCGGCCATTTTGTTTCTGGGCAAGGGGTTATTCTTACCCACCTCGTGCTGTATCCTAGATTTAGGGAGTTGTGGGGTCAGCAGGGGTGATGAGCAACTTACCGAGAAAACCTCCGTGGGGGATTTTACTGTGGCAAGGCCCGACTTGATCAGCTCATCTAACCAGAAATCGCAGGTATGAAGAGGACACTTGCACTGAACTGCGGGGTAAGTCACTTTCGTAAGACTGCCAAAATCCTGATGTGATGGTAATTCTGAGAGTGCTGTTGTGAAGAGGAACGGACCGGAACTTGATTGAAGTTGAAGGTGGACGATTCAAAGCTAGCTTCCTCCTTCAACTCATCAATTGAAGAAGGAACCGTCGCCGGAATGGGATCAGTTGTTCTCTGTACTGGTATGTTTTCCTGCATGTGCGTTTCTTCCCTTACTGTTTACTCTGTAGAACATACTGTACAAGGTTCTATCTTCAACAGAACTGTATTGATATCCTTTCTACTATGAACCAAAGGAAATGAAGTTGATTAAGAAGAGGCCGAGACTCAGCTGGTTCTCAGTTCTGAAAACAAGTAAGATGCCTAAAGACCAAAGAGTGACTGGAACGAAGGACATAGACACTTCTCTAGCCACCATCAAATCGATATTAAAACTAGGTTATATCTGACTCGTCAACATTGCCGTGGATGGCGATGCCGTTGAATCATAGGCAAAAAGATCTTGCATGCTCTCAACTGAGTTCTCCACCGTCAAGCTAGACGTCAAACGCTCCTCGCTAGGGATGAGGATTTCTGGGAACCAACCGCTGACATCTTCGCCGCGCATCATCCCAGCGAGCGCTTTGCCAACCATCCAGCACCAAGCCATCCCACCACCATTATAACCAGCCCCGATCCACTCGCCTTCACCGCCCCGCTCGGTTAGAGATTGAGGCAATGGCCCAACCAAGGGGGTCTCATCGGCTGTGAATCCCTGAATGCCGGTCCACTCGCCAATCAGAAGGTTCCGGTCCATGTGTTTCTGGCCGAAAAGCCGCGAAAGCTGTCTTTGGAAATAAGGAGTAGTCTCTGCGGCTAGCGTACTATCATCAGGTGTGATGGCCTCCACAGCGTTGGCGTATCCGCCGCCGAAGAAAGAGTAGCCGCTGAGAGCATTCTGCTGTAGATACAACGTTCCCATCTCAGTTCGCTTGGTTGTAGCATTATACGTAGGTTTTCCGTGTACACTCCATGTAGTGGTATTACCTCGGTTAGGGACTTCATGGTTTAGATCCTGCACCGTCATGCTTTCTTTGAAGGGGTACAGGAGCCCACGAATCTTCGGAAGCAGGTGAGATGTGTGCGCGTTGGTGGCGTAAACAACTTTAGCAGCTCGTATGGTTCCCCTCGACGTCTGTACCTTGTATTTGTACTTTGAGTCGGTACAAGTGTCTAGCGACACACTAGTAACTGGTGTCTTGGCGTCGACTGTCAGACTTCCCGGGTACTTCTCAAGCAGAACATCCCAAATCTTCATTATCAGCCCGTACGGCCAGAGGGCGCCGGCTGCGAACCGCACAGCACCAGCGATGCCGTGCATTCCATGTTCCTAAATGCCGCTTATGTTATTAGAGAGGTGTTTCTAGCATCGACAGAGCTAGGGATGGTGCCTACATTTCTGGCTTCTTCGGGTCCGATGAATGTGTACTTGCCACTTTCTTCTGGGAAGTCATTTTCCCATTCAGTAACGCTAGCCTTAGCCCTTGTAACACTATCTTCGTCGGTGAAGCAGCGTATTCGCTCAACGGAGCGGTATTGGGACTCCTCAAGAGCGTACTTTCTCGAGACCTTAGCCACTTCATCAACGTTGGCGAAAGTGAAATTGAGGACTTCATAAGCTAGGTCCCGACCCAAGACTTGCTTGAGAGGCGCGTACAGTATCGCTCCATATGTTGTCACATGGCCTCCATTCCGCCCAGTAGCTCCAGAACAGAGAGTCCGGGCTTCCAAGACGGCAACTCTGACTCCGTGGCCTTCTTCAAGGGCATGAAAGGCAGTGCTGGTGCCGGTGATTCCAGATCCGATGATGACGACATCGGCAGTCTGAGGAAGCTCAGGAGATTGTACTCCAGCTAAACGATGAGGAACAGAGAGCCAGTAGGATTCGGTTGGGTGAGGATGAGGAAGGCCAGGGTCCGCCGTAACGAGACCCCTTATTGATTGGCTCATTTCATATGTCTCAGAAGAGATCCCAAGGGAAGGGGGAAAAAGGCCAAAGAGTAAAGCCCAGAGCACTTTGGAACTCAGCATGTTGCAAACCATATTTGAGAGCCCTAATAATTAAAATATACGGAAAGGAAACGTATCCTTGGTATCCAGAATATGAGATGGAAGCCACGAGAAGATAGGGAATTAATATTTAACGACACATAGAATAAAATAAAGGTGACAGACTATGTATAAAGCACGGGACCTCGAACTACTCTGATATCCTCCGTCGGCGAATTATATCCCAATACCTGCATTCTTGTTTTCTATGGCTGCCTCATATTTCCTACATACAATCTCAAAGCATCTGGGCTAGCTCGGCATTTCCCCATGAATGGACCAAGTCATCCGTGGAGCAGTGAGCGGGGATGCCTCTGGATTTGTTCATACGAAAAAAGCGGAACCTTTTTCGGTGCAACATCGGCCGAATGACATTCGATCATGTCCTGCATGAACGCGGTGTATACAGGTGCTTTCATGACCATGTGTTAGTGTCGTAGAACGTACGAGCGTCTGAATTAGCCGTTGGAGGTTATGAAGTAGTATTGGCTGTGGTATCGCATGTGGCAACTTGTCGCGCTGAACTACTGTGCTACGAAGTCTAGTCACTAAAGCCCTGGTCTTGCATATGTATGTGCAGGTGGCACTGTTCCTTCAGTTGCCAATTTCACCTCATAAGACTGGGGTTCAAGGTCGAAAAGCGCCGTTGGAGCTTTTCTGTAAGTATATGCTCAATGCTCTTCCATTTCCGTCTAGGAATATGAAGACGAGCAGAGGCCCTTCAGTGACAATTCAGATAGGTTGCTGTCAAAACTTTTCATGATAACGTCCCACACCCACTTCTGGGCACCCCCCACATTTGGGCACCCCATTTACACCAAAAACGCCGTTTTTCGAAATTCTATATTAAACTAACTACTATACTTACTAAGAAAAGAAAATATATATAAACTATGTTAAGTATAATTATAGCCATCTAATTTTTTATAAAGGTTTAAATATAATAATAGTTATAATATAGAAGTTTAAAACTAAAAGCTTTAAAATGTTAGTAGATACTAGTAACTTACTAGTATTCCTTAACATTAGAAAAATATATTTTCGCTTATATATACTTATTTAAAAAATCTAGGAAATTAATATTTATACTTATTAAAAGTATATAATTATATCTAAAAGAGATTTAAAAGTATTACTTTAGTAAATATAGTATAATTAAGGGTTAAAATTCTATAATAGAAACTTTTCTTAAGGGAAATTTTAAAATATTATTCTAAGCTTAAAGAATTTTTTACTAAGTATAAGAATATATAAATCTACTATATCTTACTTAAAAATTCTAATCATATTAGTTAAATATCTCTACCTATTTTATATATTAAGATATAGGCTAGGTAAATTAGTATTATAAATGTTAAACCTTGAATTTATAATACTTATTATTAATAATACTAGTATATAGCTACTTAAGTATTATAATTAAGTCTTAATCTATTTAACATATATTTATTCTCTTTAATAAGTAAAGTATTTAGTTTAATATAGAATTTCGAAAAACGGCGTTTTTGGTGTAAATGGGGTGCCCAAATGTGGGGGGTGCCCAGAAGTGGGTGTGGGACGTTAGTGGATTGCTTTACACCTAGGTGATAGACTCCAGAATTCTTTTTTCTTACACCATGTCAGGCTCCCAGAAAGCCGCAAAGGCCACCCAGATGCTCAAGGCCAACGTTGGTTCTCTCCTAACCGAGTACATCAATCAGAACCGTCGCTCCGAAAAAGCTTATCAGCGAGCACTTAAAGGTCTTCCAGGAGGAACAACCAGAGCAGTCCTCGAGTCAGACCCATTCCCGCTTGTCGCAAAGAGTGCTGAGGGGCCCAACCTGACCTCAATCGACGGAAAAACTTACATAGACTTTGTCTCCGATTTTACAGCAGGCTTGTTCGGCCACTCCAACAAAGTGATCCAGGATGCCATCATAGGAGCAGTGACCAACGGCTTCAGCTTGGGGGCCGTTACGGAGCTTGAAGCGCAACTTAGTGAGAGTATAAAGCAACGATTTCCTAGCATCGATCTGGTTCGTTACTGCAACTCTGGCACTGAGGCCAATACCTACGCCATTGCGGCGGGCCTTGCGTTTACAGGTCGAAAAAAGGTACTTTTATGTCTTCAGAAGTGCAATATAAGAGCTCGCGGCTAATTTAACTAGGTTATGGTGTTTGACAGAGGTTACCATGGAGGAACACTCAACTTTTCAACTCCAGCAAACCCGATGAACATTCCCCACAACTATGTCTTCGGTACCTATGATGAGATCGCAGAAACGCAATCGGTACTTTCGGCCGAGGTGGGTGTAATTCTCATTGAGCCAATGCAGTCTTCAGGGGGAATGCGACCTGCCAGCCAAGAATTTCTCGAGTACTTACGAACGGCGGCCGACGCACTAGGCGCAGTACTTATCTTCGACGAAGTTGTCACCTCTCGTCTCGACTATCACGGCTTACAGGGCCGCTTGGGAATTAGACCTGACTTGACTACCTTGGGCAAATTCCATGGTGGTGGGCTGCCTTTTGGAGCGTTCGGAGGCAGAAGGGAGATAATGGAACAGTTCGATCCTAAATCGACGTCACCTATAAAGCTACACCACTCGGGGACATTTAACAATAACATTTTTACTATGACTGCCGCCGTAGCTGCGGTACGAGTGTTCACAAAGGAGGAGGTAGACCGTATCAATGTCTTGGGAGAGAAGCTGCGTGACGGTATTAACGAGATTATACTCGAAGCGGGTCTGGAGAGAAGTCTCATTGCAGTTGGAGTGGGAAGTTGCGTTGGAATTGGTTTCTTAAGCGCCGCTGCAGATGATTTGCGTGATGCGTTTTACTTTCATCACTTGAATCGCGGCTTGTGGTTTGGTCGTCGGGGTTTTGCATGTCTGAACTTTGCACACCAGGAATCGCGCATTGAAAAAGCACTGCGTTCGACAAAGGATTTCGCCCAGCAGTACCGCCAAATCATTCTAGATATAGAATCCCCGGAAACCAAGCTGTGATGAGGTTGTTAAGCCAAGCGGGTGGAGATTCCCTGAGAAATTTGATAATCCGGCATCTGCTCTTCAGATAAAATGCCTCCTATTCTAGTCTAGCTTCAGCACTCTTAGTGATCAAATAAACCAGACACAGACACACCGAAAACTTGAGCTATAGGCCGAGGTAGAATTCTTTGAGAGTAGTTGCCTCGGTTTTCACAAGCCGTGCTCATCCTAGCAATCTAATGTATCTGGAAGTGCTTCTGACTTAGATATTCCATATTCCCACGACTTTGCAGATACGACCAACGCTAACACCCGAAACTGATCAATGTAGCTTGCCCCACAAGTAACGCCACCCAGTGCAGGATGTCTGATGAAAATGCAGCCATGGGATGCACAGCTCAGGTTCGACCTTCGTCAGGGGCACCCGTGGCGGAAAGGAATAAGTAATCGCAGACATTCCCGCGTGTCGCCCTGGTCTGTCATCTTTTAGACTCAGAAACCTCCTGAACAAGACGGCGATCTCTAAGACAGACAACCCCACCAACAACGATAAACCATTGTAACGTCGTTCTAGTTCTACAAGCACGATATGGCGAAGTCGAACCCTCAGCGGCTACTTTGGAAGCCAGTAGACCTTCAGCACACAAGGCTGTGGGAGCTTATGGAAACAATAAACCGAGCTCACAACCTTAGTATCAAGGTCCAGAAGCCTACAAAATGCACTAAGAAGCCACAACGCTTACTTTTCCTCCAGAATTATGCGCAACTTCATCATTACTCCATTACTCAACCTGCTCAATTCTGGTTAGATTGCTTTGGGTTCCTTGACATCATACACACGGGATCGTATTTTCGCTCTGTAGATGAGTGTCAACCTATTGACTCAATGTCCCCCTGGTTTGAAGGCGTCAGCCTCAACTTTACCGAGAATATTCTCTACGAAGCAATTCCCGGAGAGAGTGACGCGTACAGAATCAAAGGTAAAGAAGACGATAAAATTGCAGTGACTGAAGTCCGTGAGGGCTTGGAGGAGATCCGACACATAGACTGGGCTACTCTGCGCGCAGACACCGGCCGGCTGGCGAGCGCCCTGAAAGCTAGAAACATTGGGAGAGGTGACCGCATCTTTGCTGTGGCATCTAATAGCTATGCAACCCTTACTCTGTTTCTTGCCACCGCGTGGCTGGGAGGTATCTTCAGTTCAGTGGCTTCAGACATGGGCATTGTAGGCATTTTGGAGCGCACGAAGCAGATTACCCCGAAGGTAAGGATCTTTTCATGATATCATGTTGCAGCGCAGTGAGCGTAAAGACCGCTGAATAACTTTATTGCAGCTTATATTTGTTGACAACTATGCGCAATACCAAGGAAAATATTTTGATTTGGCACCAAAAATCCAACAAATCGTTAAAGCAACCGCAGATAGTGCATCGCTTGAAGGAGTCGTCCTTATCCCAAGATACGCAGACAAATCACCACAAAAGCGTGTTGCAGGAACCAGGACTTTGGCTGGACTGCTTTCTTCAGCATCTATGAAGCCACCATCAATTGAGCGACTTCCCTTCAGCGCACCAGCGCTCATCTGCTACTCATCCGGGACTACGGAGCAACCCAAATGTATCGTACACTCTGTAGGCGGTATTGTGCTTAATGGCGCAAAAGAGGGGGTGCTCCACACTGGCATCGGACCAAACTCCGTATCTTTTCAATACACAACAACAGGATGGGTAGGTACTGTACCTCTGAGACTTTGTTTGCTACTGACTATCCATTTGTAGATCATGTACCTTGCTTGTGTCTTATCACTCCAATCCGGGGCTAGAACAATCCTCTATGACGGTTCTCCTTTCACTCCGGACTTGAGCGTTCTTTTAAAGGTAGTGGCTCAGGAGAAGGTTACGGTTTTCGGAACAAGTCCGAAATGGATGGGGGCTCTGGTCACTCATAAAATAGCTCCGCGGGTAATGTTTGACCTTTCGGCTCTTGAAGTTGTCACGAGCACGGGTATGGTTCTTCCAGATCAACTATTCGAGTGGTTTTACGGCCCGACTGGATTCCCTCCGAATGTCCGGCTATCTAACATGTCCGGCGGTACGGATATTGTGAGTGTTGCCCCCTGGCCAATGACCTTGAGAAAAATTGACAGTAATGAAAGGCCGGTTGTTTCCTCATTGGCAACCCCATAAGTCCCTTGTACGTGGGCGGATGTCAGGGTGAGTGTGATGATAGCCCAGGTCTCCGATCTGTCACACTGAGTGTCTAATGGTGAGGCCAGGTCCTGCTCTGGGTATAGACGTCCAGGTCTATGATGCGACAGCCACATCCACATGCGGTAAGCCTGTACCTGACGGCATCCAGGGCGAGCTTGTCGCCGTTAAACCGTTTCCAAATGTTCCCATTCTTTTCTGGAACGATATCGCCCCACCGAGCTCACCGAATTCGAAACTCTTCTCCTCTTACTTTGCCAGGTTCGATCATGTTTGGACTCAAGGCGATATAGTCTCCTTAGATCGGCAAACACGGGCGATTATTCACCATGGACGCGCGGATGGTGTTCTTAATCCGTCCGGAATCCGATTTGGTAGTGCTGAGGTCTACAATGTTATTGAAAAGCGTTTCGGTAATGTCGTGTTGGATAGTCTTTGTGTCGGGCAACGGCGGCCATCTGACAGCGACGAGTCGGTACTTCTCTTCTTGCAGATGAGGCCTGGGGAAACCTACGACGATAAGCTGGTTACGGCTGTCAAAGCAGCAATCAGGCAAGACTTGAGCTCCAGGCATGTGTCCAAGTACATTTTCCAAACGCCGGAAATCCCTGTGGGTTATCTGTGCTTCCTTGAACTGTATATGTACAGAGCTAAGCTTCAATCAGATGACGGCCACATTTAAGAAACTCGAGTTACCGGTGAAAGCTATTGTTTCAGGCAAAATGGTCACACCGAGTAGTGCTGTGATGAACCCGGGGAGCCTCGAATTTTTCCACCAGTTTGTCAACATTGAAAACTTGGTGTCACACTCTAAACTGTAGAGCATGTCTAAAATCATGAAAGTCTACGAAGGGACTTGAGCGCCACGACTAGTAAAATGCTGAAAGGTGCTGAAGGATTATACAGCTTCTCGGCTTTGACTACCCTGTAGCAGGACATTGGCGAATAGGCGACAAGCTGGACTCTGACACAGTGAATGTATACAATGTCAACAGTACTATCATGATGTCCTCTCAGTATAAGAGACGCTTTAACGAGAAATACCATTACTTTACTTTTGGAAATGCATATGGAGACAGTAGATCAGGTCCCAAAATAAGTAAAGTGGTGTTAGTAATGCTACGGAGGCCAATTTTTGCACCAACTGCTGATGGCGTCATAAGGTGTGGCCGAAAGTCAATGAATAGGAACTACAATGCGTATAATCATTTAATTCTTGATCAACTTAGATACGGATTATATTCCTACACAAGCAGTGAACTAATTCATTTTGAAACGCACTTCTAACCTTGTACGACATATCGTAGTGAAGATGAAGAAGATGTCGCGTTCGGCACAACTTTTTCGACACGCCTCCTCGTGTCAATGGTTGCGATGCAGAGTGAAGAGACCTTGCAGGTAGAACAAAACGAGTGAGTTCACTTCTGGCCTTCTCAATTTTCGATGGACATTCGAAGCGGCCATACATGTAGATGGAGCCCTTGTGCTATCCTTTGCATTTCTCGACTTCCACGCATATAATATCGGCATGTTTCACCTTGCTTCAAAATGCAAATGTAAAGGATTCTATTCTCATTTTTTGTAGTTGGGAGAAATCTCTGCCATTTGCCTCTTGTGCTCCCCCTTTTCAATCATATCCTTAATTGTCTCGTCCGCCACTTTCATTGCCTGAACTCCAGCTGGAGCACCACAATAGACAGTTGCCTGCAGGATTGCCTCTCTGATCTCAATCTCAGTGAGACCATTCCTAATTGCGCCCCGGATATGGACTCCAAACTCAGCCCAACTCTTCAGTGCAATGAGCATACCAATGTCTTCAAACGTTTAGTGGATAGCCAAAGATATTGATTCGGTTTACCTACTCAGAAGGCTTCGCTGCTTGCGTTCAAGGCCGGGTCTTGACCATATATTTCCCCAAGCCCATCTGTATGACAAAGTCTCAGCAATTTTGTACTCAAATCCAGAAGCACCGGGGCGAAGATTCCGGGGGTGAACAGTACTCTGTGATGAGCTCCTGTTGCGCATAAGCGAACTCGCTGGATCCATTGCGCAGTGCATTTTCGACATAATTCTCTCCAACCACCTCACGCCGATTCCGGAGGCCTTGCTCAAAGAGTTCTGAACGAAGTTTATCTATGTTCTCGGTGGCCATTTTGATGTTTTATCATAAGAGGAGAAGGTCTAGCTGTAGACTGGTCAAGAAAGAACAAGGAAAATGTGGTGAATACACAAGTTCAAGGTGCTCTCATGAAGGGTGGCACCGAGACACCGTCTATCCGGATTCGGCACAACCTTCTCCCAATTGAGGGGTCATTCAACATTCTACTCAGGACGGCGTGTTGAGTTCACATCCGCAACCGGGGATAAATGCAGACCCCGCGTTACCCCGATGTCCCGCACTGCATTGTGGGCTTATCCCGATGTTATCCCGTTTCCCACCAAACATAGTGCATATCGGCGGAGATTCTCGAAATAAACCAACTTCAAAGATATCTACTATCAAATGACGAGATTTCAACAATTCCCAGATAATTGAAATCTTATCACTTTTTGTTCAATAAATGGCACATGACTATTGAGAATAAAGTTCGTTGAAACAATCTCTTGGTACTTATCTATAAGGTCATCTTAACAGTCTGCTTTGCCTCTCTAGGAACAAAACCTTGGGTCTGTCTGTTTCAAAGGTAAGAATCTTGTTCTCCATGCTCAATTGGCGATCCTCGGCCTCTCTCAGCCTGCAGTCATCTCCGGCACGCTCTTCGATATGCTCATACCATTGATGAATACCGTAAGAAGACCTCAAAGTCTCTATCATGATCACTTCAACTGCACACCAAGCACGATCATAGTACTGGTCATCGTAGAGACTTATCATTGCATCACACTGAGCGAGAAACATCGGAAGTGCCGCAACACCAGCATTGGGATCGTCTTGGTCGACGCAAGCGTGATCCTATCGGGAATATCTTAGTTAGTACACGATATGTGACTCGTAGGGGTACAGTAACGCTGCTCCTTACCATCCATATACCGAGTCGCTCTCTGTCGACTGAAGGGTTTATCTTTAGATATTCCTCGATCGCGTTGATCATTCGCCGATATTGCGTATGTTTTGCATCATCAGGGGTCTTCGCTCCCGGCTCCCTGTTGATCCAGCGGTATGATATGAATACTACCTTTTCTGCTGGCGATTCGGCGTTTTCGTTGAAAGAAGAGTTAAACTCTCGGGCCAAACCATCATTCGACCGTGGTAGTCTGTTAAAATCACGAAATTGGGAATACCACATGAATTTGAGACCATCAAACATGGCCTTCATCGTTTCATCAGCCTTGAGTGCATCTGCATAAGCTTTTCGCAGATTTGATAAGACGTCTTGGCCTCCGCTGAGAAGCACAGGACGCAGCCTTTCTTGGAACAGTTCGCGATATCCTTTCCGAAGTCTTGCCTCAGCCTGTATTTGATTGATGTTTTCCTCCGCGCTTTTTCGGAGGCCGTTTAAGATGATGTTTTCCGCCATCGTATCTCCGTTGAATACAGCATGATCGATTGCTGTGTATCCTTGCTCATCCACAATGCATAAATCTGCGCCATTATCAACGAGCTCTTGTAAATATTCACGGTGCTCTTCTGAAGGTTCTTTAGCAAACGCGATTGCAGGCGAGCACGTTCCTTGGATATTGAAGAGGTTCAATGCTTCTTTCTTTCTTCCAGCCATGAGTAGAGCTTTTCCGTGGAAAAAACGGGTCATGGCTTTGACAGTGGCATCGTCAGAATTTATTGTCATCCAAAGGGCCTTTTCCGAGTTTTGCAGGGCCTCTTGAATATTTCCGAGAGCACAATGACATATGGAAAGCCTGCAGAGGCCAATTGTCTTCCAAGTGTTCGCCACCTTCAGCCAATGCCTTGTGCTTGGACTGTCCGCCTCACGACTTGTGGTCTTGAGCAGTCTCTCTGAACGGTCTACTCTTTCTTGGAGTTGCCTCATAGCCAAATCCAGCAACTCTTTGTCCTTTTTTCTTTGAGATAACTGGTAGTTGACCATACCCATATTGCCAATGGCTCGGCATATCTCGCGGTCAGAACCCAGTTCCTTTGCTATATTGTATTGTTGTGTGAAGGCGTTTATTGCGTCCTTGAGAAAACCCATCTGTCGATACGTAACTCCCAGCTCACCGCTAAATTCAACCCGCTGGATGCAGGGCTTCAAACCATCGATGCCCTTTTCCAAGTAATGTTTGGCAGCCGCATATCTGCCAAATCTCCTATTGATACTTCCTAGTTCGCCCAAGACAAGGTGCTCATAAAGCTTTGCATTTGGCAAACTTTTATTGGTAATGCTGAGACTGAGAGCGCTATTCAAGACTCGAAGCGCATCTTCCCATTCGGCTTTCTGCGCATGTCTTCGGCTCTCCTCTATCAACAACTCCCATGCACGAACGGCATCGACATGCTCTATGAGCTGAGTAGGGGTAATGTTGGAAGGCTCAGGTGAATCCTTGTAGGAGTCTTCGTCAGGGGGGCCTAGAACGCTAGTCTCTTCGACTGAGCTCTGGTTTGCATCAAAAAAACAGAACGCGGCATGCAAGCTGTCGGGCCTCACATAAGAGCTGTAGAATGTAGCTGCCGGGATAGAGTAGGAGGTATTTCTCTCATGTAGGTACGACGCCTTTTCTGTTATTATGACAAGCTCGCCGGTGTTCGCGATAATAGAGTGTGTCGGATGCGCTCTATCTGCTGCGTTGTGTTCACTTGTGCTGTTTCCAGAGGAGGCTAAGGAGAACTTTGCATGAGTCGCTTCTTTGATACCGACTACAGGCTCGACTTTGTAGTGGTAGCTTCGACTTTCGCCTGCAAGAACCCAGCTCTGTACCAAGGACTGATTCGAACGAACGGAGTAGTCGGGGTTTCCTCTTTCATCATCTGGCAACCAGACATGAAGACGGATGAGTTCCTCATTATCTCCTTCTTTGACTAAGCTGCATAGAGGAATGACTAAGAAGCCCTGCGAACTACGATACGCTGTGAGAAGGCCTTCGGAGGGGCTGATGCTGGACACGGCTGACACTTTGCGAATAATATCCCAGCATTGCTTAAGATCCTGGTAGGAGATATTCAGGTTATTGCGAGAGGACTCGCGTAGGAATGACACCAGAACAGCCAAACTTGCGATCTGGACCTGCTTTGCGCTTGTGAGGTGTTTATTCAAGCTCTTTTCAAGCGCAAACCACCAACTATCAAAGGCTTGTTTATCCAGAGCCTCTACCGAATATATCCATGCTTCAACTGGCGCTATTTCGGATTCGCCAGACTTGGTTGCATATGCCACGCCAATCAATGACTGCAGAAGCGATGACTGAGAAAATTGCATGCTTTCTGTCACATGATTTGGGCGGCGACTGGCCGACAGATTGAGTTGATGGTCGAATATCAGTACAAGCTGCTCGCTACTCGGTTTGACGAGTGGATTCAAACCACCGGCTGGGGCTAAACTCTTCGGGGGTGCGGCGCGGCTTTGTCACTGAGTTGCCAATGAAGGTTGGTGCATAGGCAAAAGGCCGAAAACGTTTGCTGATTAGAGATGGCCAGATGCGTCATGGTTTTCTTAACCCCTCTTAGCCCACTCACTTGTGCAGGGGTTTGCTTTTACTACATAAGCAGCCGGAGTTTGTCCAAGTGGTACCAGCACATGGTTGCTGCGTGCACCTTTTAAGCCTTGCTAACATGTTTGTCGTCTACATTCAACGAGCAAACAAGTATCATACTCTCAATCCTCAAGTTCTTGATGCTGCCGTCATCAATGAGGGACTCATTGCACTCATAGTTGGAATTGGAGTGTCTATCATGTAAGCTAAAAACCAACCTAAGCGGTATCTGTGGGCAACTGTATGGACGGATAATTCAGTCGGAGGCCAGAATGGATGAAAGACGCTTTCGGCATCAATGTAAACTTGTTAGCGATGTAACAACTATTTCCTTCACATCGGTTGAAGCGATAGTAAGCGATATATCTATAGCCGGTGGTGTGCCATTCGCTGTGGATACTTCAGCGATACTGGGTCAACGTAGTAATCATGGCGGTGACAGGCGTCATACGATCGGGATCACTTCTGGGTCATTCTTAAATGGAGGCGAACAGCTCTACATAATAAAAAAAAATAGTAAAAGGCATCTAGGCGCGAAATGAGTTCGTTGTTAGAGGTTAGAGTCTCATTGGAAAACCGGGAATGATGATTTTATAAAGGTACTCTAGGTTGCCAAAAATTGGCAATTTGTGCATCCCAGTGCACATCAGGGCCATTAGGTACGGCAGTCCGCAGGGCGCACTGGGTCAAAATTCAAACATTGCCTAATTAGGATGCATAAACGAGATAAGCATACACCACCCGTATAGATAGTTAAGCTTCTTATCTTTACTATGTAATTATCACAAATTTAAGCGAATTCTATGTTTCGTATACGTGCATGTACAGAGTTTTACGGGGCCGCACAGGAGTGTATTCTCAATTCTCAACAATAATATTTACCATATTTTGTACGAATATGTCTTTAAGGTGCCCCAAGCGGGCTAACCTGGACCACTTCTCAGCAAAACTGCTATGGAAGTGGAAGACGTGTGCATTTTGTTCAATCGATTTATCCCAAGTACAAGAACCGGACGAAATCGACCTTACCAATACTGACGACTTCGAAACTCCAACGGCTACGATTTCATCACGTACACGACTTTCCAATACTACAACCAACCCGATCGAACAAGCACTTTATATACCAGATACACAGCCAGACAATAGTCTCCTTACTGCTCTTATTAAGGGCTCAGAGGAGCGTACAGCTAGTATCCAGCAAACCCAGAAGAAACCAGTTCCGAACCCAACTGTGGATATTATTATTCACCTATGGCTTGCATCTTTCTATGTTACGGATATAGATGGAATCTCTATTCGAACATACACTCGGGTTCAGTCTGTTAAAAAGTTTATTGGGAAGTCACAGTTCTTGTTAACTTCTAAGTTTACTTCACATACAGATATGATGAGTAAGGTCTTAGTAAAGTTTACGTCTGAGAAGCAATTCCTTGACCGAAACTGGAAGGCAATGCCCGTTACTCCAAAGAATCCTACGGATATGCATGAGTTTCGTGGGGTAGCGTACGAGGCTGAAGACCTTTTTACCTTTCTTCGCGAAGCCTCAATTACCCCTGACAAAGACGTTTACACTATCGCACTTGTTTCCGAAAGTCAAGTAGATCCGCTTGTTACTGAACCACAAGTATCAAAGAAGTTACGACTGAAACAACATACGCTTGACATGGTAACAACTAGTACAACACCTTTACCTACTGTCAATATGTTTACGAAAGCGCCTACGCCTAAACCTCCAACTCGAATTCAAACTCGAACCGAACGAAAGCCTTCTCTTAAGGCACAAGAAGTAATAAAGCAGGAGAGAGAAGGAATAAAGTCACGCAAGCGTACGCACTCGCAAGTTGAGCAGCAGGGCCATACAGACGTTATTCAGGAGGATATAACTCTTAAGGGGGGTAGCCAGGAAGATAAGGAAGAGGACGAAATAGTAGTACGACAAGAGGAAACAATCGTTTAGGTATACTCTATATACTCAAGTTTCATCTATTTCTGAACTACTATCACTTCCTGACAGTGATGTATAAAGTTCATCTATACTAATCCCGCGGCTACGGAACTGTTCTTTTACCCATTCAATACCTCCATTTTGTTTTGGTAGTAAGTGAAGTTCTGGTTGAATCCTAGCCTCAATATATTCTTCAAGACGTTGCCGTAGGAAGTTATATGCTTCAATACGTGGATATTGTGTACCGCAGAAGTTTGTAACTGGTGGAAAGGTTTGTATAGGCTCCATAATACCTTTACAAACTTGAAAGACTTCGTGCGGAAGGAATTGATCCAAATTAAGTTCTTCACTTCCAAGTAAGTTTTGAAGTTTTTGAATCTTTACGTGATCGATTGGCTGAGCAAAGTCTTGTGCGGTTTGATGATCTGGATGATGATAAAGTTTCCATGGTTGACCAGAAACAACATGTGGGCGACTTTTTTGTGAGCGAATGCGATGGTTATTCCAGAGTTGAACAAAAGAGGTAAAGTCTTTACGGATAAGTGGCATAAAGATAAATAATAAGGCAACACGGTCAGAAAGCGATTGGTTATAAAATAAACCTAACGCTTGTAATCGATAGAAATATGCCTAATACTATTAGTAAATAAATAGATATAAAGGTAAATAATACGTACTCTCCAAGTTGCAGACTGTGCTTGACAAAGTTGGTTCCACCAGCTTTCAATCTTAACATTATGGATACTTTTACTAAAGATCCAACAGTCACGGAACTGAATAGGAACGTCTTGGCCTGGCTGTAAAGGGGCCTTCTTTGTACGGTCCTGTGATAGATACCAATGACTACCAGCAGTTAAGATAGTTTCTGTACCACGGTCTGAACGAATAGTTTGTGGCATAATACCCCGTGATAGAAGTGTAGATAGATATTGGGCTAATACAGAACGGGCCGTATGTGCAGAAAACCCAACGTAAAACCACACAATATAACGGGAGTATGCATCGATGCTAGCATATATCTCAAACCCAAACGGAAGTAGTTTATCATATGCATCGAGTGACCATATAAAGTTTGGACCTGGCGTAGTCCAACCTTTCCGCCGGTATCGGATCTCTTTCAGTCGGTTTGCAACTTCCTCGGGAAAAACTGTACGATATGCTTCATATAAGACCGAGCGGCTAATAATATGGCCACGTTGGCGCATATATGTAAAGAGGAATTCTCGGCCAAAGTCTCGTGTAACGCGTGCTTCATCACTTGTTGTAGAGGCAAGGAAGTTTACAGCTTGGTGAAATGCTGCTTGAAGCTGCTCGGGGGTTTGACGGCGCCATAGTTTGTGGCATTTTCGAATATCTTCTAAGCCACGTTGTGAGACTGTGAAGCCTTCCGTCCGTAAGCATAAAAGAATATCTAAATCGGATAGCCTATGATCAAAGAAGAGCTGGAAGATACGTTGTAGTAAGGCGCTGGAAAATTCTGTACGGACTTCGCGGCGGAGGTTTAAGCTTTGTAGGAAACGTTTAAATGTTGACGGAGAGACCTGAATTTGGAATGATTCGGAAAGATATGTAATTATATTAGAATAAGTCCAGCCATTCTGGAACTTTTCAGTAATAATAGATTGAAAAGGGGTAAGGTCGATACGTGGCCGGCCATGTTACGGCCAGCTATCTGACAGTAGGGTTCTGCTAACAGAAGGTGCAGTAAGAGACTAACACTGGTTCGTAGAGGTCGTTCTGGTAGATCGTAGGGTTAGGGTAAGGTGATCAGTCTTACACTATGGTAACGAGGTTCTTAGTATTCACAATACTGAGAGGTAAGCTGAAAGTCATTCGAGGATGAATCACAAGTTGATTGCTGAAGAACTATCTAGAGGGCTTGAGCAGGTACTCAAGTCCTGGTCTATATAGGAGTCTATCTACACGTATTGTCTGTAGTCGTTGGAGATCATATTGATCGAACATGATCCGTTGGCCCCCAACTCTTCTTGGATCATTCTGACCTAGAATGATTCATCACGTGACTTGTTCCGTTCTATAGTTCTTCCGTTCCGAGAGGTTACCTTTTGTTCCCGTGGCCCTGCATACAAAGTCCTGTCATAACCGCCCAACCGAGTGGGTCCTGTTAGGTGTATCTAACGGGTCGTAACAGGCCAGCCATGGTGAGGTGCTGCAATAGTCCATACGGAGATTCACGAGGGAGAACGGGAAAATACAGATGTTGGCAAAGAAATACGAATTGGGTATCTTAAAAAAAACCTAAAAACGCAAGGGTACGGACAGTCCCACGCTTCTGTACAGGGGTGCCAAACCCTGTACAGAAGTGCCCGACCCGCAAACCAAAGTTACCAACCGTAAACGCCTGTATCCATCCTCCCATTCCTGTAAGTATACCTATTGTTTCTGTACGCCGGATTCCCGATTCCATACGCCTTGGTAGGCATCTGTGGCATTGTGTAAATGCATGTTCACGTCATCTCCAGTTGTTGTACGGTCGTGTAGGATTTTGTAAGGTCCTGCTTAGTCGTGACAAAGCTCGATCTCGATGTTTTCGTTCTCATCTGTACATAACTGTAGTTAGCAAAGATGTACAGACGGCACCAGACATGTACGATAACGTACCGTACTTAACATCAGCGAGCTTGTCTGCGACAGAAACTAACGCATTTCTAATGAGTCGTATGTGCTTGGGCTTAACGCCACGGACCGCGTTGAGAAAGTCATACTCCGCACGGGAGACGCACAACTTCTTACTGCTCGGGGCGGAAGTGTAAATCTCTGCGGCAGGTCGCTTCGAGGGGGACGGGGCTGTATAGAATAGATCAGATTCATGTTTAGTTGTGTACAGGTTGGGACGAAACTTACCGAAGCTGCAGTTGGAGGCGCCGGAATTGTATGTACAGTTGGCGCAGCTAGCATAGCCGTCCAGAACAACACAGGTGTTGTACGGACCATTGCCCTTGATGCAGTTCTTGCACTGGTCCTTACCCTCGCGCGCATTTCCGTACACGTGCATAAGGAAAGAGTTGGCATTCTGCGCACGCTTGTACTCAAGCGCTTTTTTCTGACGTCTTCCGTTCTTGACCGCAGAGCGAACATCGATCAAGTTACGGGCCTATACAATATGTAAGCAAAAGAGTAAGGTACGTACGGGGGTGTAAGGAGACTATACCTCCGCTTCCTCATTGTCCAGAATGTTATTAATGAGAGTGTTGCTGGCATGAGGAATACCATCTGTAACAAGTTAGTACAATATTGTAGGGGAATTACAGAAGTGTACATACGGGTGAGGTAGTAGCCGGTTCCGAGAGCATGAGTGTACATAGAGGGTAGCTCGGCGGGCAACTCCGTAGGAATCTTTATGTCTCCGATCTTATCCGGCATAAGCTTAGTAGCTAGCTCTATATCCTAATGTTACGGCCAGCTAACTGACAGTGGGTTTGTGTTAACAGTAAGCCAGGGATTGAGAGTAGTAACAGTCGTTCCGTGGTCCTGGTCGAATAGATCGTAGATCTTCAAAGGTCTTGGTGATCAGTCAAGGCCTCAACAAGAGTCGTAGAGTAGTCGTCACTTAGGTATAGCTGAAAGTACCGGTTAGGGTAATCACAAAGTTGATTGCTGAAGAGCTATGGAAGTCTGTCCTCGAGCCCGGCTCGAGTCCATCCTATATACAAGTCCTGAACGGTCCTCCTTATCTTGGCTATGTTGGATATTTGACATATCCAACATATCCGGGGATCGGTTGGATATTTGACATATCCAACATATCCGGGGATCGGTTGGATATCTGACATATCCAACATATGATTGATTGATTGATTTATTCCTACTCGGTTATGGAGCCGCTCTTATGTCAGCAGCTATGCCCGGATAGCGGGGTCCGGCAGACAGCCGAAGCGTTCGAATGTTAATCCGAGCCGCCCCACTTCGCCAATGCGAAAACATTGACCAGCTGTCCCCAAATTCCTGCTTTGCACTTTAACCTCTATCTACATTTGGCGGCCACCTAATGTTGATCGCGGTTTCCTACTAATGTGACCTCTATGATAGGATCTGTCGAGTCCTAATGCCTCGTTCTGTGGTTCTGCGTACCTACAGTCTCCCCCCAATGTTCAGCTTTGTCTGGGTTGTGACTCGATCCTGAATTGCCCAAGGATCTCGGTTTGTTCCATGAATCTGATGGCTTTCGCGGCTGCTTTGCGTTCGTTCAATACGACCCGGAGGTTATGTCGTCCTGGGATGGCTCCTAGTTCCTGGCGTCGGAGTTGTCGAAACCTACGGCACCGCAACAGGACGTGCGATACCGTTTGTCGTCCTTCCCGGCATTGGCAGTTGGCGTCCGTGGCGTCCGGAACTCTTCGGTTGAAGAGGAAGTCCCTGAGTCCGATCTTTTCCGTGCGCATCTGCACGAGGATTGAGCTCTGTCGTTTGCTTAGCCCACTATGGAGCTGTAACACTTTCTTTGTTGGTTTCGGCGTGTGACGATGGGTGGTTCTACCTCGTGTCTCTCTCGACCACTCGGCTTGCCACGTTTTATTTGCCTCCCTATGCGTCCATGTCTTAAGCGTTGACCGGAGTGCGTATAGCTCCTTTGGTGTGTCTGCCTTAGTGCCCGTCTGGCCGTTCTGCCGCCAGCCTGTGGCTTCTTTGGCTGCTATGTCAGCGTCTTCATTGCCCTGGATTCCCGTAAAATAACATATCCAACATATCCAGCCCGGGTTGTCCCTACCCCGCGTTATCCCCGAGGCCACGTGACTTGTCCATAGTTCTTCCGTTCCGAGGATCCCTGGTTACACCTGTCGGCTGGGTTACATATGCCCTGCGTTAGCCGCCGGGATCCAGGCGGGGTCGTGTTGGCGACCATGTCCAACGGGTCGTAACATCAGGTCTCCTCTCCAAGGGTCTTGTCCTCAAGACCAGCTTAAGTAGGTCGTCTGCCCTCAGGTGGGAGGGCGCCCAACTTGCTTCCTTTAATGATGCTCACATCATGTCAGGTCGCGTCAAAAAACGAAAGGTCGTACGAGCCTTCGATTCTCGTGCGGAAAAGACAAAGCAGCGCGATTCCCTCTTGAGTCTTATCTTGGGCAATCGTACCGTCATGCCTGTTTGTTCCTCCTGTGAGGTAAAGGGTTTTTCGTCGTGCGAAGCTTCTCTTTCTGATTCCTCTCGATGCGCCGAATGCGTTCGTGGCGGCAAGTCCTACTGCGACCTTCAGGGTCTCAGTGCCCAACAACTTCGTCGGATTGGTGATCAGCATCAGAAGCTTGAGGATGCTTTGGAGAAGGCAGAAGAGGAGCGTCGTGCTCTGGACGCCAAAGTAGAGCGTCTTCGAAAGCAGAAAAAGATGTGGTTTGAAAAGATGATGCGCGCGGTGCGCCGTGGTATCGACAGTGTGGAGGAGTTAGAGCGTGTTGAGAGAGAGGAGGCAGAGGCAGAGCAGCGTCGGGTAGAACCGGTTCGTCCTTCGGCTGATTCGCCTCGTCTGCCGGTGGAGTTCACAGCGGATTGGGATACCCTGTACCCGGATGTCGCTTTGTCGCCATCCTTGTTGGCTGAGTTTGGTTTGTTGGATTCAGGGTCGGTTGTTGAGAGGCGGAGTACTCCTGAAGCGTCTCCTGGGGGTGTTGGAGGCCCTTAGTGGGTTCCTTTAGGCGGCTCTGGGGTTCCTAAACGAATGAGAGGGTGTTTATCCCGTGGCTTGTTTGATCGTGGTGGACGGATGATGGGTTGTGGTTGTCGTAGTCGAAATTGACTTTTTGGCGTTTGTTTTTCGATTCGTACTGGTGCTTGTCTTTGTTGTTCTTGTTCTTGCTGTCTCTAGTAACGTCCGAGTTCTTCCTGTGCGTTTTCGAGGCTCTGAGGTGGTTCCCATGTGTTGTCTTCGTGTCCGTATCCTTTCCACTTGACAAGGTAGCGGATACTTTTTTGTTCTTCGATGTGATCGATTATCCGTTCGACTTCGTATTCTTGTTCGGGATCTACTTCGATATAGTCCGTAGTGTACGATCCCTTTGGTGCTGATTCGAGAAGTGAAATGTGAAAGACTGGATAACACTTCATGCTGTCGGGTAGTGCGAGTTTAAAGTTGACGTTAGATACCTTCTTCGTAATTTCAAAGGGTCCAAGTTTCTTAAAGTCCAACTTATCGCTTGGTCGTTTTGTTTTGATGTTGCGGCGGAGAAGGTATACACTATCCCCCTCCTTTAGAGTTGGTCCCTCAACTCTTGATTTGTTGGCGTATTTGCGCATGCGTTCGCGCACAAATTCGAGGTCTCTGGGGAGTTCCTGCTGGATCTCCTTAAGTCTGTTGATGTCTGCTACAGCTTTCAGAGCTGCTGGGCCTTGTCGAGGTTGTCCGTAGGCTGTTGGGTTGAATCCATAGTTCAGATAGAATGGTGATTCTTTTGTACTTTCTCCTACTGCGCTATTGTAGGCGAACTGGGCCATAGGTAGCAGTTGAACCCAGTTGTCTTGCTGATAGTTGACGTAGCAGCGTAGGTAGGTTTCTATGATCTGATTGATTCGTTCTGTCTGGCCATCGGTTTGCGGATGGAAAGCGGTGGACATCTTGTGGTCAGATCCTAGCTGCGAGATCAGGGATCTCCAAAACTTGGAAGTGAACAGCTTGTCTCTGTCGGATACGATTTCCTTCGGCATTCCGTGTTGGCTTACGATCACCTGCAGAAACTTGTAGGCGAGGTCTTCTGCAGTGCTAGACTCTATGTACGGGATGAAGTACGAATACTTTGTGAGTCTGTCGACGATGACGAGGACACTGTCGTAGTGGACGTTGGTCATCGGTTCACGGGACTTAGGTAACTTAGTGACGAAGTCCAGCGAGATGGATTCCCATGCGGTTTGCGGCACTGGGAGCAGCTGTATCTTTCCATAAGGCTGATGTCGGCTGGGTTTGCTTTTCGCACAAACCTCACAGTCCTTAATCGCTAAAGATACTTCTTGTCGTGTAGCCGTTTTGTCGTAGTGTTGGCAGATGCGTTTCCATGTCTTAGTTACGCCTTGGTGACCGTGTGCGGGTGCGGAGTGTATCTCCCTAATGGCTTCAGGAGACATCCTTCCAGGCGTGCTGGTACTGTCTCTTCTGGCCATCATTAAGAGTCTGGCTGCTGGCACAAGGTCTCCGTTTTTGTCTGTTTTGAGGATAACTCGGGTTTCCTTAGGTACCTGGACCTCGTGGTCCGGTCGTCGGCTGAGGGCGTCGGCCCTGCCGTTCTCCTTGCCCTTCCGGTAGATGATTCTGAAATTGAATTCTGACAAGAATTCGGACCATCGAATTTGTCGTTTGTTGAGATCTTTCGATGTGGTGAAGTGTGCGAGGTTCTTGTGGTCGGTGTATACTTTGACCTCGTACTTGGTCCCTGAGAGTTGCGGTCTCCATTCTTTGAATGCCTCGATAATTGCCATAAGTTCCTTGTCGTGTATCTGGTAGTTGAGTTCTGGGCCGTGTAACTTGCGTGAGAAGAAGGCGCAAGGGTGTAGTCGTCCTTCGTCGTCTCGTTGGCCTAGTTGTCCTCCTATAGCGTAGTCTGAGGAGTCGGTCTCGACTTCGAATGGTTTCTCGGGGTTTGGTATAACAAGTATTGGTTCCGATGTGACTTGTCGTTTGATCTCGTTAAAAGCTTGGTCTTGTTCCTTTTCCCATTGCCATGGGATATCTTTCTTCGAAAGTCTCGTGAGGGGGTCGTTTTTGTCTGAGTATCCTTCTAGGAATCGTCGGTAATAGTTCACGTATCCGATGAAGGATTGCACATCCTTGACGTTTTGTGGTGTTGGCCAGTCTCGTACTGCTGCGACTTTGTCTTTAGACATCTTGAGGATTCCAGGGGCTATCGTAAAGCCTAGGAATTCGACTTCTTGGGTGTGGAATTTGCTTTTTTCTGGTTCCACTAGGAGTTTGGCGTCTTGTAGTTTCCGTAGCACTTGATGTACGTGCTTTTTATGGTCTTCCAGAGTCTTGGAGAAGATTAGGATGTCGTCGAGATAAACTACGACGAACATATCGAGGTATTCTCGTAAGACGTGGTTGATCATCGTCTGGAATGTCGCGGGTGCGTTGGTAAGTCCGAAGGGCATCACAAGGTACTCGTAATGTCCTCGGCGTGTTCGAAACGCTGTCTTCCATTCTTCACCTGATTTCATCCGGATCAGGTTATAGGCTCCTTTTAGGTCGAGTGCTGTAAACCACTGGGCTCCGTGCAGTAGATCTCGTAATTCGGAGATGAGCGGTAGTGGGTAGCAGTTCTTGATCGTAATGTCGTTGAGTTTCCGGTAGTCGACGCAGAGTCGTAGTTTGCCGTTCTTTTTTGGTACGAACAGGATTGGGTATCCTGCTGGTGATGTGGAGGGTCTGATGTATCCCTTCTGTAGATTTTCTTCGAGGTAAGCGTCGAGTGCTTCCATTTCTTTCTGGTTGAGTCCGTAGATTGCTTCTAGCTTTGGCTCCTTCCCTTCCTTAAGGGGTATCTCGTGGTCGTAGTTGCTGTGTTCCGGGAGTCCGGTCTCGAGTTCTTCGGCGAATAGCTTCTGGTATTGCCGGTATTCTTCTGGGATAGACAGAAGTCGGTCTTCCTTGCCGATGTCTGTTGCTGATAACGTCCTGGCGTTTGCATCCTTGATCCGTAGGTATGCTAGAAATCTCTTCGCTTCAGGAGTCTTGAGAGGTTCGTTTAAGGCACCGTTCCGTGGTTGCTTCTCAGTGACTGAATCCTGGTCCCAATGGAGTTGGCCTGTTCTCCAATCTATCCGTGGGTTACTGTCGTATAACCATGGTCTTCCAAGGATGACATCGTACTTGTCTCCTATCTCCGTAATATCGAAGTTCAGTCGCTTATTCCGGCCATGGATCTGCAAAGGGAGTTGCGCTGTCTCCATAGCAATGCGTCCTCCGCCGTACTAGACTTATTCTCCTTCAACGGTGCTAAGTTCGTAGCAGTCTTCGGCTGCTTTTCTTTTCCAGGTTATCTTTCTTTCATTCACCGTTCTTGGTGATATGAAGTTTCCTTGGGCTCCGCTGTCGATCATGGCGGTAGCTGTTCTTCCGTTGAGCTGTATTTGGACTTGTACATGCTCGTGTCGTTGTGTCGTGGGCGTCGTTGCGCTACATAGGGACCTTGTCTGGACTGCCTGTCGTTGTCCCTTGTCTTCGGTAGGCGAGTCTAGTTTTTTGACTGCTCGTCCGTTCCTTGTTCGTCGTTTTCTTGCTGTTTCTTCCATGCTTCGTCTTTCTTGATATAGTGGACTCGGCGCTGGTCTTGGTAGCAGTGATACCACTGTATTTGTTCGTCAGAGTCCTCTCCAGAGCTGGTGTCGTCGACTGAAGCGACTTCAAAGGCGACTTCCAGTTGGGCATGTTGGCGGGCAACATCGCGAGGTGTTTCCGAGTCGTTGGGGGTGTTCTTGGTCGTTTCTGATTCGACCTGTTCTTCCAGTTCTTGGTTGATCTGGCGGATCCGTGCGGGATCTCCTTGTGCATGTTGTCGTCGTTCGATGTGTGCGTCCAGCGCACCGAGTTGTCGTTGCCACATAGGGTTTTGTGAGTCCTGTTGAATCCGCTGCAGGTGGGCTTGTCGTCCTGCGTAGAGGAGGCTCAGCCTTCGCTGATTGTCTTGTTCTAATTCCTCGTTGTCGTTCATACTGTCGAGCCGTTCGATTGTCTTGCGCTCGATTTTGCTGTTGCTTCTATATCCCGCAGCGAGGGTCCGTTTAGGTACGTTGGTAGTGTCGTAACCAGATCGTTCTTAAGGTTTCTGGGGGTACCATCCTGCGTGTTCCTTACTGCTAGAGTGGATATGGCAGTTGTCATCGAAGCAGGTGGTCCAATTAAGTTGTTCATGAGGGATCGTCTTCGTGGCGATACTCGCTTGTCGTTTCTCTGGTACCGGTTGGAAGCGTTCCTTCTTGGGTGACCTGCATTCGTATGCTAGGTGTCTAATCTTCTAGCAGTTATAGCACTGTCTATCTTTCTTCTAACTGTCGTTCTTTTTGTCGTTTCTCTGTGTAGCACTAAGGTCCATTGGTCCACTGTAGTGACTATAGGCAGTACTTTGTCGGGGGTTGTTCTAGTTGTTGCGGGGTCTATTATCGTTTCGCTAGTTGTTGAACTGGTGCTGAGGCTGCCACTGGTACTTGCGTCCTGAGTTAGGGTTTTGTCGTTTTTCGCCTCTTTCCTTTCGTCGTTCGAAAAGCCGGTTGTCGATTTTGATGGCGAGTTCGGCGTACTGGAGAAAGTCGTCAGGTCGATCAATCTTGATGATCTCGTCCTTGACTTCGTCTTTTAGTCCTTGATAGAACATGAAGATCTTGGTTTCCTCGGTGAGGTCGAGTTGAACGCTAAGTTGTCGGAAATTGGCGGAGTAGTCTTTGGCGGACTTAGTCTGCTTAAGTTATGCCAGATCTCGTTCGGCTTGTCGCTTTTCGTCGGGGTCTTGGAAGAGTGACCTGAGCGCGTCCTCGAATCCTTTAAAATTGGCGTAGATGTCGCGGGTCTCGGTAGTGCACTCGTCGAGGGTCTCGCATTTTAGGTACTCTTCCTAGATTGGTTCAAACCACTTGAGGGCCTTTCCTCGGAGGTAGGTGGCTGCGTGTACTACTTTTTCGGTCTCGTTGGTGAAATCTCCGTGGTGAAAGTTCTGGTAGTTTTTGACCTGAATCAGGAATCCTTTGAGGGTCCCGGGGGTTCCGTCGTAGGTGACAGGCGTACTGAGCTTAAGCTTTTGTCGTCCTCCGTGGACGGGCGTGGTGACGATGTTGGCGGCGGCCCGGAGGGTGGTGATTTCCCCCTGGAGTTCCTGGATCTTCCGGAGGTTGGCGTCCCCCTTGATGTCTTCTTCCAGCTTCTTGTAGGCCTGTCCAGCGTGCTGGAGTTGCTCGTTGAGGTTTTCTATTGCTTGTCGGTTTTCGTTGACGATTTTCTGTATGTCTTTTGTCTCGGCTTCTTGTTTCTGGATTATGCGTCGGAGCTTATCGTAGCTTTCCTTGGTGAAAGAGCTATCTCCATCGGAGTCGTACTTGAGGTCCGGCATGTCGAAGTCCTCAGTGTTGGCGGGCTCCTGCGCGAGGCTCTGAGGCTGGTTGCGCGAAGAGGATGAGGATCCTGGAGTGGGTGATTTGGCAGAAGCGCGAGAAGACATCTTGTCTATACTGTTTAGTAGTTCTTAAAAGGTGACTTACTGAACAGGAGCAATCAAAGTGTTACGGCCAGCTAACTGACAGTGGGTTTGTGTTAACAGTAAGCCAGGGATTGAGAGTAGTAACAGTCGTTCCGTGGTCCTGGTCGAATAGATCGTAGATCTTCAAAGGTCTTGGTGATCAGTCAAGGCCTCAACAAGAGTCGTAGAGTAGTCGTCACTTAGGTATAGCTGAAAGTACCGGTTAGGGTAATTACAAAGTTGATTGCTGAAGAACTAGGAAAGGTAGGACTCGAGAGGACTCGAGTCCCAACTATATACAAGTCTGGTTCCATGCTGAACACTTCCTGATCCTGGGGGACCGACACCCAGGACGTCGGTCCATCGCCATGGACCGCCCTTGGCACCGTCGGTCCTGTCCCAGGACCGCTTATCGTCCGTCGGTCCTGCTTATCGTCACGTGACCTGTATCCTAGTTCTTCCGTTCCGTGGGGGTTGTTACGACGTAACGGCTGACGGCCGTCCCTATAACCGCTGAGCCCCTGCGGGGTCGTCGTCAGTGGTCTGTTAACTGTCGGGTCGTAACAGCCATAATATATAGTAATATAAAGTAATATCGAGTATCGTTCGGGATTGTAAGGATGTTATAGGATGTTATAAGATATTATAAAGCTTTGCTAGAAAACTATATATAATATAACGGGGGCGACGCCTAGCGCCCGGGGATATATAAATCTATATAAAAGCTAATAGTTAGTAAATAATTATAAGTTATAGAAATATATAAAAGCTTAAAAAATTAGAAAAAAAATCAAAAATAAAGAAGATAAAAGAAAACGGAAGTATAATAAAGGATAAAAACTAAATCTCTATAAAACAGTATAGAAAGCGTTATAAATTTCTATATAGTAGGGGTTATATACCTAAACTCTGCTTAGCGTAGGGAAAAGGAAGAAGTTCTAAGCCTTACTAAATTCCTATTTATTTATCGATTTGCGCGCATAGACTATGCACCTAATCAACCGGAACCGGAAGATCTAACCTCCGACGGATTATTGTAGAGCCTCGTAGGGGGCTGTGGTTCTATGTAGTAAACCCTTATTTCCTAAAAGGGCAAATACCCACCTAGAAATGTACAAAAACAAAAATCGTTTTACGCGAGATTACATATGTTTACGCTTATGGGGTGTTCCTATCACTACCTTGAATTTTGACCCAGTGCGCCCTGCGGACTGCCGTAGGCTCTCCCTATATTTGCAGCAGGAGAAGTCGGAGACTTATTGCGGAATAGCCTAGACACAGCCCTGTTGACAATCATGCAACAGCCTGCAGTTTGTCGGCATCGGTGGGCAGCCAAATGCTAAGCTGCTCAAAATCCACATATTCACACTTATATATGAGGGCATTCGAACGCGTTCCATATTATTGCATTTTTCAAAAACATTTCTAACGGAAACTTCTCGCAAGACACCACGAACATACACACCGACTCCATTCTCTCCTGTCCACCCTAGTGTCCGAGTACAACAAGAACCAAAATGCAGACTTCCATTCTCTTCATCCTCACTACTCTACTAGCTAGCCAGGCACTCGCGAAACCTGCACCGGCACCGGTTGCGGCGCCAGTTGCGAACCCGGTCCAGGAGCTTGATCCACGCCAATCACCTGGCAAGTCGAACTGCGTGGAAGCTCCTGAATGCGGCCCAGGAAACCGCGGTGCTGCTTGCACAGAGACTTGTGATGTAGACGTCCGTATTCACATTTTCCACTCACCTGCGAACTCTCTGCTGACGATGGATTCCTGTACAGGGTGCTGGAAGAGTAACCGAGAAAGGCACCTGTACGAACACCGCGTTCGGTGATGCATGCATCTAAATAAATTACGATTACATGTCTTCATTGTCAGGTTCGCATGGAAGCAGCTCACAGTATGGTGGTCAAGATATATGTTTATAGTTCATGTTTGAACTATGTAACCTCAAGCATCAGCGAGGAATGAGTTGGTTTTGATACTTTATCGAGAATACCCAAATTAAAAACAAATACGAAACTCAAGCCACTGTATGATCTCCTGACCAAATGGACTTGTACAACTGAAACGAACCCTTTTCTTGAAGCCAAGGAACGTGGCCTAACACTGTCACTCTCAGGATAATCAATTATCACTATAGTTCTTCTGCTTTTTAACTGTAAAAGGTGTACGTATAATTATGCGATGCGGAATTTAAACCGCACTTCACGATAACAACAGTTTGCGGCGGCTTCGTGGTTGTTAAGTTCAAATCATTAGCCATCCAGTTTATGCTCTCGTATTAGACATAGGTAGGGGCTTGGAACGGGGCAGCAAGATTCTGCACTTCGCATATTCGTGGTTCAGCCGTTGGTCAGCAGACAGTCAAGGTTACAATAGCTTGAAAAGTTTACATCGAGCGAATCGTATGCCATGAGCAAGTTTTCTCCTGAGCCATTGCAAGTTGCTGCTTTTACTAAAGCGCCCTCTGATCTTTTAAGAGTCAACATGCAATTCCACATCCTGTTCGTTCTTGCCGTTCTTGTTAATCAACTCGTGACGGCACAATTACCAGTCCAAGAAGTGTCTTCTCACGATAGCCTTAGCAATGAAGCAAATTTTGACGTTGCTTATATAAACAGTTGCCATAGAGATGTTTTATATTGACCAAAGGTTAATTCTTGCCTACAAACTTTACACTAACACAAGTTTTCTCAACTAGGGTGGCAGCGTAGATACTCGGAAAGGCATATAAGAAGGCGGTCATCACGGTTTAGGCTGCTCACTCCATTTAGATGTTCAATGTTAGATAAAAGGTGCATCATTAAAATTGCGTCGAAGCCTCGTCAGTGATAAATCAGCCATGAACAATTTTCCTGGCGACAACCGATCACTGTTCGTTCCGGCCACTTTGTACGCCACCAACAGTAAGTTCCAGAGTCTCGCGGCCGTACAGTAGAGCACTGTAAAAGCTGTATGTGGTAGTCGTATCCAATAACAGGGCTAGATCTACAAGCAGTTCCGTATCTGCCATATAACAGGCTATTTCCGTTACATCGGAACCTCAAATAAAACTCAACAGGTCCTTCTTAGGACGGTGTGGCAGGGACCATTGTCCTCTCGCCCCCTCATCAACAGGTTCATGGTGATCCTCCTCTGCCCTTCTTTGTTCGCTCTTTTCCTTCTTGCCATCATCGCCACCATCATCGCCGTTACCTGGCTCGGGGTATTTCTTTAAATGCTCCAAAGCCCAAATCATCTCCTCCGTAAGCACAGGCGGAACCCGCCCCTTGCCTCTGAGCGTCGGCAGACCCGCGACCCGGTACAAGCCCGTGAGCCACTCGAGAGTCTCGCCCGTCTCCCAGGGAATATCATGGAACTTGCGTCCTTCTCTTCTGACGGTGTCCTCCCTCTCCTTCTCCCACCGCTCTTGCTCCTCCACAGGGGGTAGCGCAACCGAATTCCTCCCTGAAAAGAGTCTGGCAAGGGCAATGGCCTGGTACTCGAAGCTCCTGAACGTAAGAACGCGCGGCATACCCACGATACCCAGGGTCTTGAAGTCCTGGAAGAAGGTGTGCCAAAAGGTCTTTTCCAGCTTGCCCTTCTTGTAGTCGTACAACGGCCTGCCGCCGTTCTCTTTGCTGTTCCAGAAGGGATACGACGCCTTGTACCCCGTGCAGTAGATGACGAAATCCACGTCGTCAAGATACGTGCCGTCCTCAAATACTATCCTTCCGTCGAGGAGGAACTCTTTAATTACAGGCTTCCATGCTTGCCCGGCTGGCGGCTCGTCGCCGTCCCAGCGGGACTTGGACCGGCGGGATTGGTAAACAGGGTTAGCAGCCGTGCCGACCAGCTCAGCGGTCACGTCGTGCCCGGAGGCAGAGTTGCCGATGACAACGACCTTCTTCCCAGCGTACTTCTCCGGAGAGCGGTACGTCTTGGAGTGGACCACGCGGCCCGGGAATTTGCTGATATACTCTTCCAGACCCTTGACTTGCGGAACCTGTAAAATTCTGTTAGCAACACAAGTCTCGTCGACACCAACCAAGCCGGGTAAAACAGAGATGGAACTCACGTATGGGACGGAGTAATGCCCGTTTGCAAACACGACGGCATCAAAAACCTCCTGCCACCACACGTCGACGTTTCGCGCGGGGTCGAACTTGCGCAGCGTGAGCCGCCACTGTTCGGGCCTGTCCGGGGCGGGGATCCTCGTGACGTCCTCGACGGTGGTATTGAGGACGAGCAAGTCATCCGTCTTGTGCTGCGAAAAGTAGTTTTCAACGTACTGCCGCGGGATCCAGTGCGGCGCGAAGGGGCCGTAGGCGAATCTGGAGTCCGAGAAGGACATTGCGACGTCGGGGACGTTGGTGCTGTTTAAATTGTAAGCATGTTTTTTTTTAACCTCGCTATATGGTCATGAAAAGGTCAGCTCACGTCAAAGAATGGTAAATCGGCGTCTGTGTAAACCGCTCCTGTTCGGTGCTGTGAGGCCTGACCTGCGGCAGCTCGGTCGGGATCTCCAGTGCCGGGTCAAGCGCCGGGGGCAAACTTCCCGGCTGGAGCGGGGGAAGCTCGGCCGGGTTAGGATCGTAAATCCTGGTTCATGTCAGTCATTCCGTCTTTGACATTTGAAAGGGCTGATTCAAGGTTTCAATTACCATGTTCCACCGGCGGACTCTCTCCGCTCAAACACGCGGATCTTCTCAAAGTAATCTTCCGCCTTGAAAGAAGCAGCTGTAATGGCACCTACAAGACACAAAGAAAAAACAAAGTCAGCATTCCTTTTTAAACTCTGAAGCGGGTGGAAAGTACGCAGACGACCTATCCTGTGGCCAAGCCTCGCGGTTTGACACTATAAGGGGATATAAGTTACCTGCAGCGCCGGCGCCAATGATGGCCACGGACTTGATCTTCCGCTCGCCGCCCATAGTGTCCCTTTTCTTCCAAACGTTGAAAAACAGGCTCAGATCAAATAAAGCAACATAAACCGCTTTCGTAAGTCATATACGTCTCTAGCAGGCAAATGTGTAATCTAAAGGGTCGCGAGTAAATTAAATAAGAAGAAACATTTCCTCCCCCTCGAGGGAGATGGAACTCAGGCCGAGGCGGGAGTCAGGCCATTGCTCATTTGTCATCTGCCGGGTATCGGGAGAGGGGGAGCTGGGTTGATCGGATGCATTCGCAATCTGTCGCCATCCTCATACGTGATTTCACCATCGATGGCATCACGTGAGAAATGGGTAAGATGCCCGGCAGAGGGGTCGGGGGAAAAGGGCAGAATTGGAACTATGAAGGTTTCGGAGGATGTCCATTGTGGGAAAAGGAAAAAAACCGGCAATTTGCATCAAATCGTGTTGAGCTTAATTGAGTTCAGGATGACGGTTGGTGTTTAGGAGGTTGACTGAGTTTCGCGGATATGCCGGGGGTTCCACGTTTGGCAAAAGCCGGCGCGATTGGCCTTTGTCGCGGAGCTTGAAAGCGGCCGGTTCATTCGTCCGCCCGGCCGGGATCGTCTGACGGCCCGGCAATTTCGGCCTCGACTTGAGACGGTCTACTATGTAATATTGGCCTCAACTGAATGGGTCAACGGTCATTTTGATTTGCCATGTTTCCAAAAGTTTCCAGTACCAACAGGTAAAAGTGACTGAAATGGCAGGTGTAGTTGCATAGGAAATTGTACCACGCCTTGCTGGGCGAATTCAAGTCATTTCTAGCCGTGTAATTTCGGGCTTGCATTGAATATGGATTTATAGAGTTCGTTCATCGCTAGTACTACAGTTTTTTTCCGGCTCACTACTAACCCTAACACAATAACTTATTGACTTGATTATAATGCGCAACGAATCCGCCACTATCTACGGATACCAACACACAAACTAGCTGGCCTAAGGTTCTCGTAAGTCCGCCACCTAATATCAAATCCACATGAAGACGAACTCTCCAATGTTCTTTAGAAAACAAGCACATCACTACTATCCAAATAAGTCATCACAGGTAAAAACAGAAAAGTCCAGGGGTATATCAATCAATTGCGTCCAAAACCCATCACACAAGCTCAAGCCAAGCTCGCACGTTTGCGGGTTCAGGCGGAATGCCTCAACATGATCCATCCACGGCATCCCTTCGTTTTATCGGGGTCTCATCTATATACACAAAACGCATGACGTGGTCCTCATACAAAAACAGCAACAACAACAGCAACAACAACAAAAAAACACATTTCCATCATCGTCGCTCAACCCATCAACATTTCATTACAAACAAACGTCATGCCATCTCGGATCCATCGTCAACAAAAAGCCCATCTGATATCAATAATGTAGAGTAGAAACACGAAAAGGAAAAAAAAAAAAAATGCCCCAGAGTAACAAAAAACTTACCTCCCTTGCAGCCTTTTTCTTCTTCTATGGAAGATTCAACTAGGAGAGGGGGGATAAAACAGGAAAACCGTAAACGCCAAAGGTGCAAGATTAATATGAGTTATCCGCGCATCGTTATGCTTCGAGGGAGACGTAGGTGATCAGCGACGGAAAGGGTTGGTGAAGCGGCTGCCACTGAGACGGCTTCCACTAAGCCGGCTGCCGCCGACACTGCTCCCCATACTGCTCGACATGCTGCTCATTTTGTCGCTGACCTTTTCTCCGAAGCCGCCCATCCACTTGGGCATCTTGAGACTCATGCGCACTTGGCCCTCGACGATGATGCTGACGAGGTTGAGCACGGCGTATGTGCCTGAGCCTAACGCACGGAAGACGGCAAGAATGGCGACGGCCCAGAGAATGAAGGCGAGGTAAAAGTTCTCGCCGATACCGCGCTCGCTGTAGGCCTCGGACACAGCCATGGCGAGGATGGCGTTGGCGATGAGCCACGAGAGCACCATGTAGGTACGCACGCTCTTGTAGTAGTCCTCCTGCATCTGCGCTTCGGAAATGGCGTTGGGCGGGACCTCGACGCGGTCACGGAGGTTGCGGAGCGCCTCATCATACCCGGAGTCGATGTCGAGCTGCTCTGAAGGCATCTCCAGCTCGACGCTGTTTCCCTTTCCGATGGCACCTCCCAGGTCCGTCTTGATGACGTTGTCTCCCTTGGTTCCCCATGTGACGTCGTGCGTGTTGCAGAACGCGTAGACCTGGAGCGTACAGATGTAGGCCGGGAGCAGCATGAAGTACTGCGCCGAACTGGTGAACATGTGCCAAGGATCGAGGTACAGGAACGACATGATGAAGTAGAGGCCGACGGTCGAGAGCGTGGAGACAATGAGATTGGTGAAGACGTTCTGGCCCATGTGGATCTCGGGGTTGTCCTTTTCCTTAAACTGCCGGACGACGATGAAGATGGTGGCGAAGGTCGTGTATATCATGATGATGCTATAAGCGACCATACTGAACAGGTACATTTTCTTCGCGCCCTGCGGACGATTACCTAGTGACAAGATGAATTGTGTGCAAATGAGCAGCACGCAGGTGTACCGCAGGAAAGTGAAGATGTAGAGACCAATTTTGTGACCAAAGGGATCGACCGTGGGGTCGGCCAGACCGCCCGCCACGAAGTAGAAGGTGAGGTAGAAGTTTGCCAGGGAGAAGTAGGTGAACATGAGCTGGAGGAACTGGTAGACGAATTCAATGTGGAGGAGTACTTTGCGCGCAATCGTGTGGTCTGTCGACCAGATCTGTTTGAAGTGGACCAGCGAGTAGACGGCAGCAAAGAAGGCGCCGTTCAGCCAACGACGTCTCTGCGAGATGAACTCGGGAACAGTGTCTAGAAGTGTTTTCATTAGCTGGCGTCAAATCAATTGAGGGAAAACGGTCTCTTACCTGGCACATCCGTCTCACCGTGACAACCCTTGACGTACTTCAACACCCAGCTCTCTCCACGTTTGGCTACCAGCTCCCAGCAAAGAATACGATCCTCAGCAAGGTACATGTTTGCCGTGAAAACGTCTGCATGCTGGCCGTGGAGCGTCTCTCCCTTGAAGTACTGACTGAGGGGGCCATGGCCAGTCTCGTCGTTCTGCAGGGCGTGGTAACGGTACGCACTAAGCGCACCAGGTAACACAGTAATGTAGCCAAAGATCGATTCCAAGGGCTTGTCCAGGATGTTTGACATCTTGTACTCAAAGTTTTGTGACGCGACGAGAGGATTCAGCAGGTTCGATCCGAATCGTCCCTTCATTGCCTTGATCTCACCACAAGCACCGGCAACGTTGGAGTCGTTGTCGAATGCCTTCCAGAGATGGTAGAGCGAATTGCCACCGGGCCTGGTACCCACGTCGAGCAAGATACAAACATTGGGGTTGAGGGCCTTTCCAAAGGCGTTGAAGAACCAACGGTGGGAGTTGAGCTTCCTCTGGTTCTTCTCCTTGAGACAGAAAATCATCTGGCAGGGGACGATGCCCTTCTCGGCACCCTTGAACTTGAGGTCCGAGTCGAGCGAGACCTGCGTCGTGTACTCGTACACGTGAGCCTGCACGGCCTTCTGATTGACAAAGTTCTTGGCGATACCATGCTGGTAGACGCCCATGGCAGCCAACGCATCGAGCGTACGCGGGTGAATTTTCTCTCTGCCGTCGGAGACGATGCAGACGACAATCTTTTGCCATCCCTGGTCACCCCAGGTACGCGAACGGGAACGCGAGCAGAAGTGAGAAATATTCTTCATGACGGCGTACATTGTTCTCGTGAAGTCAAACTCGTTCTCGTTGAACATGGTGACGCAGATGAACAGCTCAGTCTCACGGGTGGTCTTGCCAATGGTCTGCCGCAGTTTATACCCACGTTCAACAAAGTCGTCAGGGTCGCAGGTGACAGCCGTGTACCGCATATGAGTGAACTCGACCTCGTCGCGGCGCGGCAGGAAACTGTAGAGAATCGTGGGGATCTTGCACTCCAGAACCAGCTCTCCGTTGATAAGCTGGACCTCCTTCCTCGACATTTGCGGTGCACGCACACCTCTACGTTCCTGCTTTCCATCAGGAGCGGGACCGTAGTGCTCAACCTTCTCATTGATGTCGGTTTCGGTCCCCTCCTCACTAAGGGTAACTTGGTCATGAGAGAGGTATGACTCCTTCATGAGATGGCTCTCGCTAATGTCAGTCTCCGGGCCGAAGACGTCATCGGCGTCATGCAGAGGAATTGAGACCGTAGCATCATCAGCAAAGGCAGCCGAGTTACGGTTTGCGCCAGCCGAGAACAGCGGTGCGGGAGGGAGGGGACGCCTTGGGCTTCCGCCGTATCTGGACGACGGGGTTCCCGGTCTAGGGCTGCCATTGAGGTCGGCAGGCTCATAGATTCCAGTTGGAGGTGGTCTGGTGAACTCTGAAGAAAGGCGAGAGGGACTGTATGTCCTGGTAGGGGAGTCGCGGCCGGACTGGAAATCGTACGTGTAATCGTGGTCATACTCCTGTTCGTAAGTACGTTCATACTCGCGAGCGTAGTCGCGGCCCTGGAACGGCACGTAGGTCGAGTCGGGCGGCGGCATGCTGGGCGGGTCTCGGATAGACGAGCGGTCGGATATGATGGACGATGCGTAAGAACGTCTCGATGATCGGGGCCTATTTTCTGCGTGTGAGCTTCCGCTTGAACTGGAGTCTGACAAGGGGGCAACAGGGCAGCAAGAAGATTTATGAAACTCCTTCCTCCGCGGCGAGAGACCCTCTGGTATAGTCGGGAGACTGCTCCGCAACTCTGCGTCTCTCATGTAGCTAGACTTCTTCCTTTTCTGCAGCTTAACTGTAGTAGAGCGTGCTGACTTGGGAGAGATGTGCTGAGTATCACTCGAGTCAACAGCATCCACGCTGGTCACCCTTGGCACGCGAACAATCGTTGGAGACGAAGAGGTCGACGGTAGCGCCTCCTCCTGCTGCCGCAATACTTTCAGGTGTTCAGGAGTCGAGATCACCGGGTCTGCTGCGCCCGACTTCTTTCTGCGCAGCGAGAGCGGGCGCGGGAAGAGGCTAGACGACGACTCGGGCGTCTTGAGATGCTGCGGTTGAGAAGGAGACGAAGGAACGCGCAAAGAAAACGAATCAGATGTAGAAGTGGAAGCAGCAGAAACTTGTGAAGCGCTGTTGCTGAAAGAAGCTGTCTGGATGTGAAGGTTGGAAACTACATACGCTGGGCGGCTGTGATTAGGCTCCTCTACTGAAGTCAAGAGGCGGATGGCGGCGGGATTGTTGGAACGCCCGGTCGGGGTGTCGTCGTCGCGATCATCGTAGGCTGGGAGGCTGTAGTCAGGCGGTCGCGAAGGCGTATTCGGATCCATTCTGGCTGTGTGTCTGCGCCGCCAGTTACTGGGGCGAATGTCTCAAGAGATGAGGACGAAATGTTTCTTTGGCCGGGGGAAATGACGTTTATTCTCTCAACGGGTCCGGCGCCACGATGGAGGTCTTGAGTGGAATTGGTGTAATCCAGCCGAGAGGAGTGGTGGATATGATATCGGCTTGAGACTTATCGAAGAAACTCAGTCGTCGATGAGTTTTGGGGTGTAAGTGAAGGTCGCCAGGTTTTTCGCTGGGTGAAATCTCCGGATGGGCAATTTCAGCAGTGCGAGAAATCCAACTAGCTTTTTGGTAAAGTGGGATCGAAGACAGGTATTAAGAAGCAGCAGCAGCAGCAAGAAACCTGCAAAGAAGGAAAAAAAAGCTGGGGGTGGGCAGTCAATGGGTGCCTATGTGACAAGCCCAGCGCATCCGTGAGTGTCGAGGGGCAACAGGGCGGATCGGAGAGTTAAATCGCGTTGGCGGGGTAACCAGCCTCCCCGTTGGCGTGGGAGTCGTGTGGTGTCCTGGCTGCAAAAAGCGGGACAGGTACCGTAGCTACGTAGTACAGTACAGGGCCTGGATTGGTAGGGAGGCTGAGTCTCTCAGTGGAACCGCTTAGCGGCTGCTTAGCGCCCACCGCCCTGCTGTAGTGATGCACTACGTAAACTCCGTAGTACGTGCTGGGCTGGTCTCCCTTGGCCCATTACCCAAAACGGTCGACGAGTAAACAGATTGAGATGTCGGTGTCCATCAGTGATGCGTTCTCGTCTCCTCTTCTTTTGCTAAGACTCCGCCTGTACCTGTCAAACACTCTCACCTGGGGCACAACCTGGCCTTTGCGCAAGGGAAACAAACAGGCACCCCCGGGGCTTGCGCCTTTTCTTTTTGTTGATGTGGTGGTATTCGTCGTCTAGTCTCATGGGGCCTCCTCATTATGTCTTGCGCGATATGCAAGGCACATCGATCTGCTTGCTGCACATGATATACATCCCCCATACTCCATCTATGTAAGATAAACAATGCCCGCCTGTGTCTTCAAAGGATCCCCATTTTATCATCAACCCACCTTATACTCCCCAGAGCTCCCTCCAACGCTTGTCGTCTGTCCTCAACGGCCCATCGAACCGTCCAAACCTCGCCGGCAGACCCTCGTTCGCTTCGGGCAGGCAGATCCACTCTCGCACGCAATCCGGGACCTCCTCCTTGATGTGACTGATGCAGATCAGCGCTTGCTGATCAGTGAGGCCCTTGACCCTCACGTTTCCCGCCTTGGCGATCTCGCTATCCACAATCCGCTCGCCGCTGTACGTCTTCTCCTCGCCCTTGGCTAGGAAGAGCATGCACTTGTCTCGAACGGCGTCGTCCATGCCGCTGAACGCTTCGTCGAGGACGACCACGTCGGGGTTCTTGATGGCGGCGCGCAGCAACAACGCGATACGTTGAGCACTGAAAGAGAGGCCGCCGAAGAGGTGGAAATCAGCCCAGGCCAGATCATCGCCCTTGTTGGGTGAGTTTTGGTATTCCGGGTTCAACTCCGGCGCGAACCATCGTAGAGATGCCTCGACCTTGCCCCTTGCCTCATCGTCGAGCTTGGGAACCGCCTTGAACGTATCTGCCCACGCATTCTCCAAAACCTGCCGCACTGTCAGGGAACGAGGCATGTGCTGATGAACCTCGGGACTAGAGTGACCGATCCGTGACTGGATGTCCCAGAACGTAAGTGGCCTCTGGCCCGAGCCAGGCTCAGGCAGTCTGCTTCTACCAAACAGCTTGATCGGCAAAGAGTACGTCTGAGGGTGATCGGAGCAGAGGAGAGAAACGATGGTAGTCTTGCCCGAACCGTTCGGGCCAAAGACTCCCCATCGCTGTCCTCTGCGTACCGTCCAAATCAGCCCATCCTTGGATCCAGAAGGCGTATCTTGAGACCAGTTCCCGAGGGCAATCTTGCTACCATACCTGACCTGACAGCCATCCATCTCAACAAGAGGCTCCCCAACAGGCGTTTCAGCAGCAGCAGCAGCAGCATCATCTGTAGTCGCCGTAGCGGCAACATGCTTCTCCTTCTCCGAGGCTTCCATAAGCCCGTCGCCCTGGATGCCCTTTGCTGTCAGAGTCTTGCCCATCTCTACTAGAGAATGCACCGGCAACTTCTCATCCTCCACGAGACCGCCCTTCCACACGCCTCTGACATATTTCCTCAACCCTTCCAACACGATATCTTTGGGTCCCATAGAGCCTATCTGGCAGTCGCTCCGTAGGTAAATCAAATGCGTAATCCAGTCAGGCAAAGGATCCTGCGGCCTGACGGAGAGCACCAGACGAGGGCTCTGCTTCTCTGCCAAGCTCTGTAGCAAGGGACTCAACGACGCCACAGTAGGCGGATCAAGACCCATGAACGGCTCGTCCAGGAGCAGCACCTCGGGCGTCGTAAGCAGCGCCCTCGCGATGCGCGCCCTCCTCCCCTGGCCGTTGCTCAAGAAGGCGACGGGCAGGTCGAGCAGCTGGTCCAGTCGAAGGTCCTTCACGACCCTCTCCAACAGCTCCTTGGGTATCTCCCCCTCGTCCTTTTGTCTCAGTTCCCTTTCAAGCGTGTTCTGCTCGAGGTTCCCCAGCAAAAAGTCCCGTAGCGAGTAATCCGTATTTTCTCTCCTCGATTCGTACCTGGCGGCAAGGTACGCGCTCGTAGTCGGTCCGCCGATCCCCGCCCCTTGCTCGCCGTCAAACCCAACATACTGTATCGCCTTGCTCGCCGTCCGCAGCCGCGGGGGAACGTCCTCGCTCGAGAGGTACGGGTACGACCTCGACGCAGGAGGGATGGCGAGGTGCTGGCCCCTGATGACCTGCAGCAGCGTCGTCTTGCCAGATAGAGACGGGCCGACAATGCACCAGTGCTTCTTGGGGCCTTGGGCCGTCGACGGCAGTTCGAAGCTCAATTCACTGAACAGCGGGGGGTTAGGGTGCGTCGATTGAACGTTCGGATGACGGCGGTAGAAAGTGCCGTTCGCGATGCGCAAGATCGGCGCAGAGGAACGAGATGGTAACCTCATTGTCGAAATATGTTGGAGCTTTTCAATTGACCACCGATTGGTGGCCTTTTTAAACTCTGTTTTTTCTAGAAAACAGAAAGAGAGAAGAAAAGAAAAAAAAGGTTCAAAAAGAAAAAACCCCAGTTATCGTAATTCAAAAGTGACTGTTCTTTCGCACATCGCATTCCAAACTCATCCTAGAGCCCAGCTTTCCCCGGACTTTTTCTTTTTCGGTAACGTAATGGAGCGAGCCAGCGGGCTGCGATCTCGGCCAGAAGCTCATCCGTCATCGACCCCCCCCCCCTCCCCACTACGGGTACCTCGACGCTCCGCAGCGGCCGGGGAACGAACGGACCAGGACCGACAGGGGTACGAGGATTGCTGCTCCCTCCTGCCGCGCCTGCGCACTTCAGCCTGGAAACCACGTGACCACATTATCTAAGCAGCAATCCGAACCAGGGAAGCAACGCAACCGCTGGAGAGCTCCAGGCACATCACCGTAGCGCGCAAGCTCCCAGTATCCTCATCATCGTCGTCGTCCAGCCTCATCAACCAACGTCAACGACTCCCAACTGCCATACCATAATACCCACTCAAAACAAAAAACCACACACAAATCTTTCAAGATGTCGGTGAGTAACTACACCTCATCACTCGTCACACATCACCAGCACAAGAAGAAACTAAAATGGAATCCTAACCCCCCCCCTTCCAGATGCGAATCGTCCCCGCCGCAAACCAACCCACAACCTTCGCCGCCGGAGCCGCCGCCCCCTCGGCCCCCGGAGTCCACGATACCCTCCGCGCAGGCGTAGGCCAGACGGTCCTTGACGCGAAGAACAACGTTCCCGCGAGCGCACACCCCCTCGAGGCCCGCCTCAAGAACTGGGAGGCCACGCAGGAGAACATGCGCATGGAGACTCTCCGCCGCACCTTTGGCGTTTCCGAGCCCATCCGTCGCCAGATGGAGCTCAAGATCACCCAGAACGGCGAGTGGCGGCCCGCCGCCCTCGGTGGCCACCAGGCCAGCGTCCACGAGGAGATCCTCCGCGGCAAGGACACCAGCATCAGCTGGGAGGACGTCTTCACCGGCGAGGAGAGTGTGGGCATCGTCGGCATGCACGACGAGATGGAGAGGAAGCTCAAGATTTAAGGCATTTAGCATGTCCTGAGGAGAGGACGGGATGAACAAGAAGAGGATGATTTGGAATTGTAACACTACGACATGCGCAAATGACCTTTGGAACAAGGCGGCTGGGAGAAACCCAAGACCATAGAGGATTTGCTAGGGCCCAGGGAACAGGGAACAAATAATGCGTTCTACTATCCTATGGACAAATCACCCATGAAGTGGGCGTGAAGAGAGCAAACAGAATAACAAAAAATACACAGCTATGATACGCCAAAAGACTCCTAATTCCCCGTATCGTCTTCGCTCTTTGTAATACGCTCGATGGGATGTTGGGGTGCGTGCCGCAGAGACACAAAAAAAACATGAAGAAGAGATGGAGAAAAAAAAAGAAAGGGAAAAAAGGAGCCTTAAAACACCCAGTCCGAAAGCCTCACCAGACCAGCCGGCCTATGATGGTCACATCTGAAAATGCATGTAATATCAGTATCGAGCCCATAACCCCGGCCAGGCCCCCTTGACCTTTGTGTCTCTGTGTCGGGCACCAGAGGCCAAGGCAGTGCATGTCATATCCTGCCCTCCTGCCTCCTTCCCATGCACGTCATTCTTCCCGTGGATAAGGAATGGATTTTAGGGGGTGTAGAGGATGCCGAGAAAACATGAAAAAACGAAAGCCGGATTTTGGCGGCACGACTATAAGATTACACAGCATCCGCCGCCGCCCTCTCTGGAGCGGCTGCCGCCCGATGCCGATTTGTTGCCTCCCTTGGGCTCTTCTTCCTCGACAATATCGGCAGGCCGGACTGTCATGTGAACAACGTTTGCCGTCTCGGCGCTGAAGTGGTACTCTGCCAGCCGTTAGTAAGGGGGTAACCTGGGTAAGTGCAACGGGAATGCCTACGCTTAAGCTGGTCCTTGTCGTCCAACAACTTTCCGAAATGAATCAACCGTATGCTGCTGGGGCTGGCCGGTTTTTGATCCCACTCTTCACGCCACTCCCGCAGTATCAACTCCTTTAGCGTGTAGACGCTGATGCTGAATGGGTCCTTCTTTCCGGCTTCCGTCAACCCAGGAACGTTGACGTTCCTCTTTGTCAGGTACTTCTCGTCAAGCTTGTACGGATGCCTCGCTCCTGTCGTCAAAAGTAGGGTGATATTGCACACGGGACCGTCGCTTGGTGAGACGGTGATGGACTGCACGTCATCGACTGAGGGACCAATTGCCAAGGTGTCGTCTTGGCTTGAAGCGGCGGGTTGCGATGGGGATTGCTTCTCCTTGCCCTTGGTCGTTGGCTCGACTGCATTGGCAATGCCATCGCTCGTTAACTCTTCGGTGGTGGGTATTTCTGGGAGTGTCGGGGCGACGGCACTGGACCCCTTGTCTGATGATGGGGCCTTTGCTGTTGTGTCTGCGGCGGTATCGGTATCGGTAGAAGAGGTCTGGGGAAGGTTCGTCATGGGAACGGCATCTTTGTGCTCGGCCAAGGATGCGTCGCCATCCTTGGGTACTGGTTGACCGCCGCTCATGTTGGTGTCGGATGGTTTGGTGGTGTCGGCCATTGCGGATGGCGATGGCGAAAGGATGGAGTCTCTCCTTTGCGGGATGGAACAAATCGGCTAGGAGGAGTAGCGGCGGATGGTGCGATGACCCGTGACGGCAATTTGTTAGAGAACGCCGATGCAATTGTTTAATGCATGCGGCAGACGCGAAAAGTCAGAGATCGTTTTGGACAGGTCTTTCTTTCCTGGGTAAAAGGGAATTGGGAAAGTCGTCGTCGGGTGAGACGGTCAAGAAGGCACGACCAGTGGGCGTTGGTAGTTGCCAGGATTGGGGGGTTGCGATGGAAGGCAGGTAGACCCGATCCAACCAAGTGGGAAAAAGGAAGGTTATGGGGGTCGAATTGGAGAGGTTGACTGGGCTGGGCGCTGTTTGCTGGGTGGGTGGGCGGTTCGGTAATAAGCCCGTTTTGCTGGGTCGGGCAGCTGCACGAGCGCCCCGGGCGGCGGTGGTAGGTACGCTGATGACGAGAAACGGGAATACTCGAGAGTAACCAACTCAACGATGAATAGGGTCTTTTGTTTTTCTATCACGTTTATATTATTCTGAATTCGCCCTCTGATGTTTCTGTTAGTTATAATGCTGAATATTTACGGTTGGTGGTAATGTGGTTGAAGATTCAATAACGGGAGGGGGCGCAAAGTGACAAGAACTAGTACAAGTGCGTGTGTGCGCCAGTGTGTCTGTGTGGTAGTACTGCTGTGTTTCTCCTTCCAATATGCGCGGCGTACCTTTTTTTCTTCCCTTTTTTTTTTGTTTCTTATCCTACTTTTATAACCCTGCTTTCACGTTTTCAAGAGGGTGGTAAGGGAGCATGCGAGACAGAATGATGTTGTAAGGATGAAGTAGTAAAGCTTGTCTCTTCCCGTTGAATTCCCGGACAGATCGGATCACGGTTTATAGCGGTCGAGTCGTGCAGCCTGTTTCGTCTTCTCAGGCCGTCATAGGCTACTATGCAGGTTACAGGCAGATGGTAGGCGGGACAGGGCACCAGCGGCGGCGGCGACAACGGCGGAATCCGGCAGCGAAGCGGCGAATCACTTGCCAGTCAAGGACTGAGGATGTTGTGCGAGCAGCAGCAGGCTCGGAATCACGGGATTTCGTGTCTCCAATTCTTATTTCTCTTTCTTTCTTTTTTTTTTCTCTTCTTCTTCAACTTTGCGTGATCCTTCCTTCAACAAATTTAGTCTCTGATGTGGTGACCTTTTCTGTAGCGGCGCAAGACGAGTGGACAGGCCTATATGTGTATGAGACAGCGAAAGGAGCCCACGTCAAAGGGGGCTGACGGCTGCTTGGGTGCTAAGAAAACGAGGCTGGCGAGAAGTGCAGTAGAACAATGCCCATGTCGGTGTTTAGGTATGCCAGTGTACTTCTGGCTGAATACGCGGAGTATATTCAATTGAATGACAACGTTTTCTTCTTCTTCTTCTACTTGTTGGTCTTCTCTACTACCTGAGAGGGAATGTGTTTGTTCTCTTGTCTTTTCTTTTTTTTTCTTTTTTCCCTCCTTCTATTTCCTCTTCTCTCGAAGGGTCCTGTTGCAGGCGCAGGGTCCAGGGTATAGCCGCGATACTTGTTACAAAGTATTCCGCTGTGTAAGGAAAGAGAATGCGACAGCGCAGAATTGGCACAGCTGTTTGGCTTCTTCCTTTCGCCTTGCTTCTGAAGAGGAACACCACACAAGACGCGCGGGAGAGGGGATCGCTGGCTTGGGAAGGCAGGAAGGCACGAAGGGTAGAGAATTGATCCACCCACCCGGCCCCAAGTCCAGGGTAAGTGCAGTGCATCAGCAGCTCCTCCCCCGTCCACGTCCCCGTCTCTCCATTCCCATCTCCATTCCATCCATTCCTTCCCCTCCTTCTCCAGGCCATTCCCCGTCCTTTTTTTTTTTATTTTATTCTTCTTCTTGTCCCCCCTTGTTCCCCATCGGATCGGATGCTTCCACAACGTACATAGGACCTAGTGCTGCAGCCGAAGAGGAGACGACCCGATACTGGACTTTGCATTTTGCTCAAGCCATAGGGCCCAAAGGCAAGTTAATCACACTGTATTTCGCTTCTATTTGCCTCGATGGACTCGGTCTAGGCTAGCGCCCTGGCAAAGGAGTTGACAAGGAGGGGTAGAGCACGCTATGTCTGGTCTGGCCCCAGTATCTACGACGGAGCACTACCAAACAATGGCCTTGGCCGGGAGCACTACCGGGTAGCCCCAGCCATCACCGCTCCAAGTAGGCGCGCCACGACGAAGGGCATGACACAATTGTCCATTGGCACACACACTGTATGATGCACTACGCATGCAAGAAAGATAGTCGACTGACTGACTGGCTGACTGTCTGGTGAGAAAGATTGGATCAGGGTAGTAACAAATAAAGTCCAATGGCAAACACGGCACGAAGCGCAAGGGCAAAGCAAAACGGCAGGGTCGGGGCAAGCGCAGAGTGTCAATGCCAACCTGGAGCCTCTTTCCCCAGGCACATTAGAATCTAAGTTAAGGTACATAATTGCCTCAGCACGGCACCTCATTCACTCAACCCGGAGGTACGTATTTGGTCTCCAGTCCGTGAGTACGTACGTAGTATGCATCTCTTTCCACCTCTTGGCTTTCAGGGAACATCCAGCTTACTGTCCCTGGACGCCCGTATCTGGGCATCTCATAATCCAGTGGCCCTCCCCGAATCAATGCCATCAACGTGGGAACAGCCATCAGTTGTTTCAGTCAACCCCATACGCGTGTGGGAAAAAAAGATAAAATAAAATAAAAATGATACGAAAAATAATAATACTACTAATAAGAGGAATTCTTTCGGTAAAACCACGAGGATCCGGGGAGAAAGGGCGTCACCGCTCTGTGTCTCTCTTTTTTTTTCTCTCTCCTGACCATAACCTAACGCCAGTACCGCGTCAGTCTGTTTCTGAACATGGGACAACTGTAAGACGGTCCCAGATCTTGGACCCAAGACCAGGAACAACAAAACCCAACTCTACGGAGTAGTACGTAGTAACAACCACGCATCGTCACTGTCGTCATTGCAGAGCAGCTGCAACAGGCACGGAGGCTCTGGGGGTGCTTTAGCCTGCGAAGCTCGGGGAGGCATATTACACGCTCAGTCCTCATGTTCCTGACAAAATCTGAACTCTCGAAATAGAAGCAAACGACGAGCGGGAGCTTTGCTGCGTGGCCAAAGCACCCTGGAGGTGACAGTTGCACCCCTTCCTGTTCGTTCGGCTCATCGTTTGAAGGAACCAGTGAAGCGAGGGCAAAAACAGCAGAGGCCACGGAATCTCTCTCCAGAGACCGAACGCAGCCAGCCTCCTCCATGTGCCCTGCAGCCCTGCGGCGTTGCCCGCTGAACTAGCTTCATCAATCTATCAATCTCACGGTTCCAGCGGGAAGAGTGCCCGAGTTCCCCCTGCCCTTCCGTTCTCCAGTGCCTACCAGTCGCCTGTCAACTCGCTGTCACTGTCACTGACCTGCCTTAATCGAGGTACGGAAGATGGAGGGGGGATTTCGCAACAATTCCTTCTCCGGCACACCTAATCGCGTCTACTTCTCATTTGATCCATCACTCCAATTCCGAATTCGTTATGAATCCTAACGTAGACTTAAACCCCCCCCCCCCCCCCCCCATTGGCCTCATACGAAGAACAGTAAAGGCGAGGTGCACACCGAGAAGAAAACAACGGGTCTCCATTCCCCCGATGCCATCATCGAACATCCCTTATCAGCGGGACGAAAGCTCCACATACCAGAATCTCTCTTAGTGTACTATCCGTCGTGTGCCAAAGCATTACCCCAGACCATTACCAAAACAGTGAAAAATTTAAAGTAAAGATTAACGCTACACACGGCCTCGTCTCGGTGTGGTGCTTCCCATGTGCGCTGGAGGGAAATCGCGGGGAGGAGGGGGTGGTGGAGGGGAAAGATTGGTGAACCATTTCCCCACGTCCCCACCTGATTGCGAGGCCCTCAAGCCCGCCGAGAGCTGCCAAGCCTAGCACACCATCCATCCACGGCCCGGTCATGTTTTCTTGGAGGGGGAGGGGAGCACGAGGGGAGGGAGAAGGCAGCGTCTCAATCTGTCAAAGTGTGTCAAACCCACGAGACCGGTCCTTCCTTCAGCTTTTGGCCCGCCACTTTTTTTTTTCCTTTTCTCTCTCTGTCTGATCTGCCGTTTTCCCTCCCCCCTAAAGATCTGGGCGAGGGAATCTGGGCTTTTAGACCTCCCGTGTTAGTCCATCCCGCCCGCCGCCACCTTGGCTTTACAAAGTAAGGAGGTGGTGGGAAAACATATGTCTCGTGCCCAGCTCGAAAACGTGTTACCTGCACTTCTTTGTCTGGTTACTGCTTTCAACAACCACGCGCTAACCTGCGGGATAGAACTCTACAATAGGGTTTGTAGGGTCAAGTTGAAATATGGAGAACCCTGAAAGTCAAGTGGACGACAGCCATGCTTCTCACTTTGTCAGACCGTAACGTGAACATAGCCCCCGGATCGTCATAGGTACTTTAGAATAGTCAACAAAAGTCATCTGCAATTATCGTCGACAAGTGAGGATATCATGTAGTCTACAGCAAACTCCCGCATTACGCTCTCTCAATATCCTACCCTACTCTTACAGCACAAGCAGATCCCCATTGTTCCCCTGCGCGGGCTGCACAACCTGCTGCGGCGCATGTTGGTTGACAACGTACCCCGTCTCGTAGCCCGATGTGTCTCCAAAAGAGTCTCCCTGGTCGATCCTCATCGCCGCCATCTGCTGGGGTCCGATGCTGGAGAAGTAGGCGTCCGCGTCGCTGACGGCCTGCGCGAGGTTGCCGTTGGCTGGGTTGATGTGCTGGTTGTGCAAGTTCATGTCCTGTGCCTGTCCGCCCATGCCCAACATGCTGAGACTCTTCTGGTTCTCGATCGAGGTTGGGAGAAGGTGCTTCTGCAACGCCGGCGAGTCGAGGAGCTTTCTCGGCCTTGCCGATCGGAACACCGTCTGTACCGGCTTGAGGTACACTGTAGCCAATGTTCCGACGTTGAGGCACATCTCCTCCAGAGTCGCCGGGTCCAAACGCTCAGACTCGGCCGTGATAGCCGGCTTCTCGCCCATGACGACCTTCTTGGCCGCATTCATGTCCGTAGACAGCAACCGCCAGTACATGTACGCGCGGTCTCGGAGATCGGGGTTGTCCGTCTCTTCCGTAGCCCACTTGAGCACTCTCGGCACCAGCTCTTGACCCTTGGTCGGTCTCTGGATGAACAACTTGACCGTCGCAGTAAGCAGCGCCAGCTGAACCTCTACCGGCTCCTCCGCAAAGGAGTACAAAAAGTCCTCGAGGAGCGCTTCGCTGTTCTCTATTCTGTCGGCATATTGGCCAATGACCCACACCATGGCGGCCTTCGCCTCTGGCTCGTCCAAAGAGTCAAGGTGCTCGCAAAGAGTGCCGATGATGGACTCATACTGGTTGGGGTACTTCCGGAAAATGTTCCTGATCACAACCGTGGCCTCCTGCACAATATACGTGACCTTGGTCGCAACTAGCTCGAGAAGCAGGTTGATACACTGCCGCGCTGCCGGTTCGATCTTGATGGCGAGCTTGCCTATCGCTCGCACAGCTTTCCGCACAAAGTGCACATCGATCTCGGTCGCGTACTCTCTAAGTTCGATCAAGACCTCGTCGATGTTGTTCTCGTTCGCCAGCATGAAAATGAGCTCCAGCTTGGTGACTTTGACATAGATGGGATCGTTGTACTTGCAGAAGAAGACGCGGATGTCGTTGCGCAGTACTTCCGGTCGGCGCTGCAGGATCAACAGGGCGTTTCTCAAAGCGAGATACTGCACTTCGGGTCCCTTTGCGAGAAGAGTGACCAAGGGCGGCGACAGCTTTTTGCAGAGTGCTGCGATCTGTCTCTGGTCTGCGATGTAATTCATCAGATACAAAATAACTCGGATGCAAGTAAGCACGACCGCCGAGTTTGAATGCGACAGGCGCGGCGATATGCGCTCAGCGAGAAGCAGGGCCTCTCCCCCCTCCTGAGGTACGTATGACATGAGCGCCTCGAGGATGTACGTCTGACCCCATCTGAAATCTCATGTCAGCAGCCGACTTCAACACCATCTTCAGGGCACCTACTCAGAGCAGTCAGGCAGAATAGCGACCATCTTGGAGGCATTGCTGTAGTCGATGGTGAGCTTGATGGCATCGCTTCGTTCCCAAATATCCATCAGACCCGCCAGAGCACTGGCAACTACGGTAGGGTTGTCGTCCCTGAGCAGCGTGTTTAGCCTGTCAATCAGATCGGACCCCTCAACCATGCGCCGGTCATGGTCATAGAGCTTCGCAACGCAAAAAGCCGCCGTCTTCCTGACGTATGGGTCTGCATCTTTCAACATGTGCTTGACCAGAGGAACGGTCGCTTCGACGAACTCGCGGACGTGGATATAAGACATGGTTCGCAGGGCAAGCGCTCTGACAAGGGGGTTGTGGTCTTCCATGTCCTGGACGCCGTTAGTCAAACTGCCCCTCCACATAACGCTATCGGCTTGCGCTCACCTGTTCCAACACTGGGATCGCCTGGACTGCTATTTCAGGTCGCATTCTGGCGTAGTTGACAAGGAACAAAAAGCACCTAGACAGATCGTCAATGGCAGTCCTATCCACGCGCGAGTGCTTCGCCATACATCTTCTTGATTTCCAAACTCTGGATATGCATGCAGCCGATGATGTCGGGAAACAGTGCAACCATATCATTGTTGCTCATGGTCATGTTCGCGACAATCTTCTTGAGGGCGATCTTCTTGCTCGCATTGTTCTTGTCTTTCTTGCCGCCGCTGTTAAGCTCGAGCCGGAGCTCGGCTACCTTGCCCTTGGAGGTTGTTAGTTGTTTTGGTAAATAAGCCGGCGGGGGCACATAGGCCATAAACATGATGGGCGGCGCATGTGCAATAGTTCAACGAAAACCGGTGCTTGGGGACAGATTCGATATTGCGGTGTGTGTTGGCGAGAGCTTCGGCAGAACAGCTCAGGCCACGGGGTACAGGAGGTTGGAGCTGGGAACGATGGGTAGGTAATGTAGGCGCCCGAGGCCCAAAAGAAGAGACTCTTGGAGGTGAAGACAGGGGTTCGAATACAATATATGCAGGTGTATCACGATGAATGGCACTCGATGGCGCGGTGCTTGACAAGCAGAATGCAGGACATAAGAGAGGCCAGAGCTTACCCTGGCAAACAACTTGGAGTCTCCTCCACCTTGAGCGCCCGACATGGTGGCGGCGTTCTCTTGTATGAGGTCTGGCGGCGGCCGGTGTGGTAGTATGGAGTGGGAATCTCAGACAGGTTTTCCCCTACGGACGGACCTCCAACAAGCTTTGCTGGTGGGCTTCGATCGCTTGGTAGTGGGCGATAACACCACAGACCCCTCACGCCCAGCTGTACGAAGAACGCAGGTATTGTCGACTTGCTTGCTCCCCCAGGCCTAGGGTCAAGCCACCCAATTGGTAAGATGGTCGTAATAGTTGGTGGGAGGCCGCAGCTTTCCTGGACTCAAATTGTCTTGGATGGCGGGAGAGGGGTGCAGAAAGTGCTGAGGGATGTCACATGCGTCCTTGGGACCGGGGGGTTTTCGTTGCGGCGACCAATCGAAGGGTTTGTTAGATATGCGTCCGTCGTTCAAGCTGGATGTCGGCCAACTCCTTTCGGTCGATGGTCTTGCGCGCGCGCACCAGCGTGGATTCGGTGGGTGTTCGCTGGTGGTCTGGATATAACGGTGACCTTTGCAAAACGACGTCGTCGGTTCGGTTTTCGCGGACGGCCCGTTTTCGTTTCCAGATGTTTAAGGGGAAAGTCAGGCGTTGGGTCCCAAGCTCCCGCCGTTCCGCAGTGGAGTGCAACGCGCCCCCCGGTACCAGTCGCAGTGCAGCGCGCCCCGATTCTGGCTTATCGGTCAACCGATAAGGACTAAGCGAGCCAAACGCTCATGTCAGCCGCTGTCGACGAACGACAAACCCGTCTGGGTGTCTGTGCCTGAGTTTAGCCGACCTTTTTTGTGGGGACCTTGGTACAACGACTGCGTCTGTCATCATCCACGCCTCTGAAGTGAAGCTCTGCGTTCTAACCGCCCGCATCCGTGTTCACGACCGTTAAGTCAAACGACCCCATCAACCAACACCGATACCGATATCTACATTTCGCAATGGCTTTGGTCAACGGCTCCGTTCCACGATGGGTTGCGGACTTGCAGTCCCCCCCGCCTGCCAAGTCAAAGGTCCCAGGTGTTTCTGACCCTCCAGGCTTCCCGTCGCAGGCCTCTAGCTCTAAGGTATTGGGGGATCTCTCTTATCTCATTCCAAGTTTTCTGTTTCGCTAACATGCACATATAGAAACAGAAGGACCAAAAGATTCAACCGCGCAAGCAACAGTCGCCCGAGGAGATGGACACATTGAAGGTCAAGAAGGCTTGGGAAGTGGCGCTCGCGCCCGTCAAGAACCTGCCCATGACAGCCATTATGATGTACATGTCTGGCAACTCGCTCCAGATCTTTAGTATCATGATGGTCATCATGGCTTTCAAGAACCCCCTTGTCGGTCTTACGGCGGTCAACCAGGCGTTTGAGAGATTTGAGTCGGAAACGAACAAGGGACAGATGCTTCAGGTCAAGGCGGCTTACGTCGCTATGCAATTTGTCGCGCTGGCTTTGGCTGTTTGGAAGGTTAACTCAATGGGATTGCTACCGTAAGTAATGCCACCAATGTTTGATTCACGACCATACTAACGCAGATTCAGGACAACGCGATCAGACTGGCTGGCTTGGGAGGTTCGGAGAGAGCCACTGGAGTCTTCGGTGCCCGCGTTATAGACATTGCCAATACAATCTCAAGCTCTGCATCTTTAGATTTAGGGTTCAATTAACGTCTAGTCATTTACCCTACAGCTTTTGACTCGTCTTTCCCGCTTCCGGCCGTCGCCATTGTTGCTGTCGTATTGTTGATGTCCAATTGTGGCGCAACCAGCCCATACCTGAGCGGTGCCACTTTCCCTATATGGTGGAATGGCTCGTCTTTCATAGGAGCTACAAGCCATCGCTCAATTGTACTCTGAGGCTGTTCGACGCCTATGCCTATACATGTGGCAGGAGTTGTGATAGGCTGATTGCTTTCATGTTGCCATTCCCAGGGACGATCAAGGCGTAATGGGGTAACTGGGTGTGTCCCATTGGGACTGCCTGTAAAAGGCTCTGGGCTGTACGAGGATTGTGTTTTGTGGTAGGCGTCGGCCGTAGTGTGCATTTCCTCAACTACTGTCTCAGACTCAATAGCATCTAGTTCGTCCCCCAGAGAGTTGAGGAGTGATAACGGGTCATGTAATATGTTGTTTGTCGAGGCCTCGTGAATTGCCCCTATTTCAGTGATAAGGTTACTGATATCAGTCTACTAACAACATTAGTCTGCTGTCTACATAGATATCAGGCTATCTCACCATCGTCGACATTGGGCAGGTGTTCTCTGGTTTAGCCACAATCGGGTTCAAATGCAATAGTTCATAATATTACCGTGACAGTAGCCCATCTGTTCTCGTGGGGGCGGGAAGATTTATATATCTTGATCTCACAAGGCTGGCCTGATTATACAGATGCTTTAGTCAAGGGGCTACATGTGCCTATGATGCCTGGTACCACAGCACCATAAGCTTACTCTTAATCCTTGGAAGCTTCGATCTTGATTGTGTTACCCGCCCTGTGCGGGTTCCAGCGATGCCAAGCGCGAGTTTGTTTGTTTGTGCTGTCAGCGGCTGGGTCCCGAACGTGTTCTCTCCTCTTTCTAGCTATATCCAGATATCGCGACAAATGCGGAGCCGGGAGGTGGTTAAGTGCTTGTGGTAAAACAGGGCAGCCAGATTAGATTGGGAGAAGACGTCTCATGTGTATAGCTGTGCCTGTGCCTGCCAAACTTCTCTCCCTGGAATTCCAGCCTCAGGGGTTCACAACACGCAAGCGGCGGATACTACAAACTCAATGCTAGATACACTGTAAGCCATGTTTTGAAAAAAGGTTGCGGCGGATAGCGGTGCAAGTGTCTTTGAGATTCATTCTTGCGTCTTCAACCTCGGGGGGGGGGGGGGGGGGGATGGCTCACATCGGTGGTCGGTCGCCTTGATGCCTTGTGCTCGGAGGTAGGGCTGGACGGCCGACTCTTCCTCCCTTGTCTCTGGAAAAGCAGAAGTCTCACTAAAAACAGCATTGCAACCCACTGCAGGCCCGAGCCATTTACACACTCTAACCAGAAGCGTTTAACTTCCCAGTCGGGAGAATCGCGATGGATGGCAACCAACAGCCTCAATGACCTGCATCTCATTTCGCCTAATCAACCCCTTTCTTGATTCTCAGTGGTTACTGGTGCCTGAACCAGCAGAGGCTGAGACTACCTAGACCTTGGCAGGAAGAAACAGTAATCGAAAAGACGGTGCTGTCAGGAAGAAGGGCACCAATGTTGCGCTCTCGATCGCTGACAGAAAACATCCATTTGTGACCCGCATTTCAGAAGTGAGGGGAGCTGCTGCTATCGACTCTGAAGGTGGGGGGAAAGGGAGCGACAGCTTCACCATCACAAGCCCAATGTCATGTAGGACACTTCACAAGCTGAACCGAGCCATTGGAGGGGGGAAAGGGGACGGTCCAATGACAGACATAACAAAAGTCAAAACTGCTGGCGAGTCACCATTCTCAATGACACTATCACTCTACCCAACGTTGCTGCGCCAAACGCCTCTGACATAGTCCATGTTACCCAACCATCACGAAGGCTCCTCTCTTAGCCGCCTCTCATTCCTCCAGCTGGGGCCCTTCTTCACAATCCAAAACAACATCGGACTGAGCACCGCGCACAAGGCCGCGATGAACGTGAAGCACCACCCCCTGCCCATGCCTTGGATCATGTACTCGATAACAGCCGTTCCCACGGCCCCCATGGTACACCGGATGAGATTATTGGCCGCCGTGGCCGTTGCCGGGGCCTCTGGATACAGGTCCACGATCAGGGTGTTCATGACGCTGAACGAACCCGTGATGGTGATGCCGATGATGCACTGCAGCACCAGCGGCGCCGCGACGCTTGTCTCGACGTGCAGCACCCAGCCGTACGCCACCAGCGTCACGAGGCCGACGGCAACCGCAGGATACACCGGCTGCAGACGGGCCTTCTCGATGGGGAACTTGCTCAAGTCGTCGCCCCGGCGGCGGTCGATGGTGAAACCTATCTTCCGGGCTATGCGGCGGTAATTCCAGTCGAGCACGTATCCCTGGCCCAGACTCGCGATGCAGCACCCCGCGCCGTAGGGGAGGTAGCAGAGCCCCAGTTGAAGGTCGTTGAAGCCGTAGATCTCTCGGAAAAGGGTGCCGAGCGTAGCTGCCACATCGATGAACGCGACGTAAAGCAGCGAGTTGTACAGGAGGATCACCGCCATCTCCTTTTCAAAGATGATCTTGACGGCGCGAAGCGGATTCGGGAACCGTAGCTTCCTCTTCGGTTGGCCCGGGACCGAGTCACTCCTCGAAAGCCCTTCGTCGTCCCCAGAGGTTTTACCCGCGGCCGTACGACGTTGGCGGACCAGGTCCAGAACAGGCCGGTTCCAGGCCTGCGCCGGGATAGACCCGTTGCCCACGACGTTCCGGCACGTCTCGGGGATGAAGAGTGCGAACGGCACGAGCCAGAGCCCGATGAGCACAACGCAGAACCAGAAGATGGAAGCCCAGCCAAAGTACTGCGTCAGCACGCCGCCGAGAACGGGGCCGATAGTCGGGCCCACATTGATGCCGGCGCCAACGAGGCCCATGTACTTGCCGCGCTCGGAGCTCATGGAGATGTCGGCGACCATGGCGAAGCCGAGCGCGATGGCGCCGCTGCTGCCGCCGCTCTGAAGCATGCGTAGCACGAGGAGCGCGGCGTAGTTCCGCTGCAGCGCGAGACCTATGTTGGCGAACAGGTAGATTACGAAGGCGACGAGGAATGCTGGGCGTCGGCCGGCCATGTCGCCAAAGTCGCCGAATATCGTGGGCGATATGGCCTGTAAGACCATGTAAGATGTCACCGTCAGGTTGACCAGCGCGACGGTGACGTGAAGGTCGTCGGCGATGGGGGCCAAGACAGGGTAGTAGATGTTGGCGGACATGGGGGGCACGAAGCAGGCGACGGAGGCCATGAGGGTGACCCAGCGTTTTGTGGATGGCGAGAAGACGCTGTAGGCTGGGCCGCTTGGTTGGCGGGTTAGGTTCTCGGGATCTTGTGGCGGTTGAGTTGTCGAGGGCTCGACAGACGAAGAGACGGCGTCATCTTGTTTCTCGTTGATAGGATGGGTTTGTGGTATTGGTGAGGCGTGTATTACTGGTGACTCGACGGAGCTGGTGGTTGAAGGTGAGGTAGGACGGTCCTCTTCCAGCACTCTGTGAGGAACTTCATCTTGTCCCATGCTTACCAGGGGGGACTGCCGTGATTAGTGAAGATGTTCAATGATCGGCGCAGAAACATCCAAGAGAGAAGCGAAGATGCGAGTTCACCATCTACAAGAACAATAGTTCAAAATAACGGAAAGAAAGGTCAAACTGAACTGGAAAAAGAAAAAGATAGGATCCAAATAACTGGAAAGAGCGTCTCTTAGTGTAAAACTCGGTGTCAGTCCCGCAAGCGGGACCTATTCCCGCCCATAGGGTCACCCATCGATGATGTTATTTCCGCCTTGGGTCGCCTCCACCACCCCTGGAAAACCGGCTCCTAGGCCGTCGCCTCTCTAGCTCCCATGATTCGCCCGGTCCGGCCCATCGGTTCCACAGTAACCCGCTGTTTTGGGCAGTTGGTTTCTTCTGGGCCGTCTGGCATTGACCGAGACGTTAGAGTCTCGGTGCGGTATCGGGGCTCTGGTGTGGTTGAGCTTGAGCTGACTTCAGCTCCTGATTCATATTCCATGACCCTTAGATGAGGTTAGTGACCGACGGGCATGAGCTTTAATCAAATTGAAATACACTTTGTTGAATTTTAAAGAGACTCTTGACTTCAAGGTCCATGAAAACGCAATTGCGCCTTGAATCAAAAAAAAAGCCTTCTTCAAAATCTTTGACTGAAGTCTCCATCGGCGCTGACAATTACCATCGCCGGGCCGGGTGGGGTCCTGGCCCGTGCGCTGTGCCGGACGTTGCCGATCTGCCGATGCCGCCCCGAAGTTTAGGAAGTCTCGCCTAGATGCACCGCCACATCTGCTGTAGATGCTGCGCCACAAAGAAACCAGCTGTGGCTGGTCAACTCACTGCCAAAGCCACGTCATTGGAGAACAGCTTGCCAAATCCAGGACAGGGTGGAATGCCAATGAACTGGACGACGTCGTCGAAGCTCGATTGCTCGCACCCGTCGCGAATAGTATGACCACCAGAACAAGGTGACGATACATTCTCACACCACCAATTTTACCGCCGACCGGATTCAAGCCCTCGGCACAATGGACATTACTCCAGTGTTCAACGAGCTGCTGCGGAAACGCAATGCGCCGATCGTGACCGAGAAGAAGCTCAGTCTCGAAGCGATTGACGGCTTCCTGAAGGAGGCATACAGAATAGTCAGTACTTTCAATGCACGCAGGACTTCTCGTCTCTCTAACATCCTTTAGAACTCCCATATCACAGACCTCCACAATGAGCTTAAAGACGTCCGACAAGCATACCTCTCGACGGCGCAGCCCCGCAGACACATCCGCACCAACACGGGCAGCACGACCAAAGAGCCGCAGCAACTTACGGACCGGCAGAGGGAGGAGATTGACGCCAGGGCCAAATCGATGCTCCGCGAGCTCAACGCCAGCATCCGCGCGCTCGACGAGGCGGAGCAGCTTCGCCGCGAGACGGAGACGGCTGTCATCCGCAAGAAGTATGCACGTGGGCTGGGAGCCCTCGGGGCGTGGGCGGCGGGCGATGTCAGCGACGAGAGTAAGACGGCAGAGCACCTGGCCGCTGAGGCAAAGGCGCGGGATATTGGGCTGCACCGCGACGGCGTGCTCTGGAGTCTGCGGCAGGCGTTGCAGCTCTGCGGGCGGACGCAGCAGGATATGATGGAGGCGAGGCTTACAAGAGAGATGGAGAAGAACAGAAGCGTGCTGGCCAAGGCCGGAGGAGGCAGCGCGATGCCCGAGTTGGGTGGTTTCTACGAGTCGATGAAGAAGGAAGCTGCGGCGGCGGCGGCGGCGGCGAAGAAGAACGGGACCGCGACGGGGTTGCCGCCGGACGAGGGCGGGTCGTATGATTTCAGGCAGGATCTCACGGAAGAGCAGATTCAGATGTTTGAGAAGGGGAACCAGGATATGCTGCAACACTACAACAGCACGTTGGACAAAGTCAGGTACGTTGAGGCAGTGGGGGGACGAGTTTTGGGGGAACCTGGATTGCTGACAACATTGTTACTGCAGAACGGCGGAAAAGTCTCTGCTTGAAATCTCGGAACTGCAGACGCTACTCGTTGGCAACCTCGCGACGCAGTCGGCACACATTGAACAGCTTGTGGCTGACTCGGAGAACATCACGGAAGACGTTGGAGGCGGTAACAAGCAGCTGAAGAAGGCGACGCAGCGGCCGAGTGCGGCGCGGTATACATTTTTTGCGTCGGCGGGATTGTGCGCGTTCTTGATCCTCTGGGATTTGATTATATAAAAATATCACGGGTGTCTGCATTGTAAAATCCGCCTCGTCAAAAAATACGTGCACACATTGAGCATCTGAAAGGGCTTACATAGCTCGAAGAGGAAGCTGGTGGGAGGCTGGGGGAGGTAAAGCATGTGAAAGTACAGGGTGTAGTTAGCGTCACATGCCGAAGAGCCTAGACCATGACCAGGTGACCTTTGAATTTCAAGCCATGTCGATTCAATTGAGGGCCAACTTGCGGCCGGTTGACTTCCATCTTCAGAACTAGCGACGATGAGAGTATGGCCTCCTTTTTTTTCACATTTCGAAATAGCCGGTGTGAAGAAGACATGCGCTGGATTGCGGAGGGGGGGGGCTGTTTGACCGGCCGCTACATCGGCGGGTCCGTCGGTGGTGCGGTACGGAGGTGTAAAGGCCTTTTTGACGGCGGTACCGCGGGAGCTTTTAGAGTGAAGCCCGGTAGGTACATTAGTCTCTGTGAGGTTGGGAAGCATCTGATTGGCGCTGTTAAAAGCGCCAAGGGGACTACGTAGTACATCTGATATGCGAAACCGGACGGGGTTCATCTAGGTACTTTGCGATGTCGTAATCCCCGTGGGGTCATGTTTCCAAAGGGTAATTGTTATGAATGAAAAATACTTGTTGATGCAGAGTTTGCAAGTATCTCATATAAGTTGAGTTTTTTTTGTGTCAAGTTTGCAGGATGTGAGGTACTTTGAGACGGGACGATCTTTTCAGCTGGTTACTTATTAGACCCTGTGCTAGCCTGGCTAGTAAGGATGTACTATGTACTCTTTTTTTTTTCCTGCTGCATTGAGTTTTGCGGGGGAAGGACAACGAGACCCCAGAATTACGAAATGAATAGAATGGGGTAAGAAAAAGGAGTGACAAAGAGAGAGAGAGAGAGAGAGGAAGGAAGAGGCAAGGGAACGCAAAAACGAGAAATAGCCTAGGCAGACGGACAGATTGTGAACCCATGTGTCGAATGGGAGTTGAGTCGTGGGTGTTGGGTGGGAGAGTCATGGGGTTTGGTTGCGTTTCCCGAAAACCTCGGTCCATCAGCCAACGGTGAGGTCACAATTGGAGCTTGTTAGACCTTGGAGAAGCCGAGTGATGGAGGATAAAGAGATGGCGGCTTCCCCCTCCCGCGCGAGACGGGGGTTGGGTTTCATGCAAAGCAGAGCAAAGCAAAGCAAAGCAAGAAAAGACTCGGAGAGTTGTGCCCATCAATCTTGAAGCCAAGTGCCAGATTTCCCGATCGTGCCCCGACACTTCGCCGATTCTGCCCAGTCGGCATTTTTTGCTCTCTTATTATTCAACTCCAGCCAGCATCCAGCATACAACATCCATCATCACCACCAAGATTTGCTCAATTACTCAAACACCCCCCAACCAACAGTCTCATCCCAGCCAAACAGGATCAACTGGTGGGTTTTGTTTCTACTTCTATCAAGTAAATCTCTCCCCAACCCCAAAAAAGCCCAGATTACGCCTAAGCTGTCGGCGCCTGTTTCTAGTAACAAGTTACGAAATACCTTGCACCGCAGCCCCCCTCCAGTGTGGATACGCCGTCCACCTCAAGTACCTCATTCTGCATCACCTGCCGTACCTGATTTTCCATAATTTATTTTTATTTTTGTTTTTTCGGGCATCTTGTCATCTCCCCGATCATCCGAGCAGCCCCCGTAACGAGGCCGGCCCCTGCCATTTTTTGTTTTTCTCTTTCTGTTCTCTCCCGCTTTCCCGCTTACCCAGCCCTGCACCCGCTCCAACAAGCACCAAGCACCAAGCAGACAGCTGCAGCTCCTGCACCTCAACTGCAACTGACAAGGCCCTATTTTCGGCAGCTCTCTATCTCTCTCTCTCTCCCCATCTCTATCTGTTCTTTTGCTGCACAAGCTGCATCTGCAACCGCAAACCTCAACCGCAAACGCAACGCAGCTCGAATTTAACCCAAATCCCGCCATATTCTGCAACTCCCGACGCGCGGGGACGAGACATAACCGGCGACACATTGCACCACCCCCCAGTGTTCCAAGACCCAAGACCCCCCCAGCCCACTCCGGCCCCAAGGTGAGTTCAGGCAGTGGTACCTGTTTTTCTTACTTGCGCATCCCCGTCACAAGTACATCTCTTACCTCACCAACGTCACCCCATCCCCAGGTACCTCGACCTCCCCTCCTCTAAGGTTCCCCCTCTGGCCCCCTCTACCCTAGCTTCAAATAGCCATACTATGTACTAGCTGGAACATCCCGCCATGGAGGCGCATGTCCGCCTTTCTTCCCCCCCCGTTTCCTGTACCCCCTTTATCCCTTCACAAAGTGGAAAGGTACTCCGGGGCGACCACAGTTGGCGCCTGTAATCGCAAAGCCTCCCATTCGCCCGTCTAAATCGTACCACTACTGATGCCATAATAATAAGAACCCCAGGCGACCCTTCTCTGACTCGTTCCATCTCACGAAGCTCCGACACCACTGAAAATGCCAGGTGACTCCTCGTCGTCTTCTTCCTCATTTTCCCTCTCGGCCTCTTCTTCCTCTTCTTCATCTTCTTCTCCTCAAGCCAATTCTACTCTCTCGAGAATACGCAACATTGCATCCCACATCATGGCTCCCGTATCAACCACAAACTTCCCCGCCGACACGGTGCCCCAAGCTCCTGAGGACCCTCTCTTTGGTCTGATGGCAGCCTACAGGGCCGACCAGAGTCCGGACAAGGTCGATTTGGTGAGTAACCTGCCGAATTTCTGTTCCTCTTCTGCTGTCTTACGTCCTGCGTCTCGATTCGGATTTCGCCAAATCGAGACCAGAACCTCTGGGAATCACTCCACGACTCTCCGAGAACTGTCCGAAGCTCTAGTCGCTAACACAAGGACCTTCCTACTTAGGGCATTGGAGCTTACCGCGACGATAACGCGAAGCCTTGGGTTCTGCCTGTTGTCAAGAAGGTGCGTTTGTGCTTACAATGACTCATCTATGCCTTATTTCATTCCTACTTCCACCACCGCTGGCTGCCGTAATGTCCGATTGTGGTCGCGGATTCTCCGGATCACGGAACAAAAAACCTCAGCTGTTGTTGCTGTGCGTCACACGGCAGCGGATGTGCCGTTCTATTTTTTGACGGCGGCATTCCCCCCCTCCCCTCATCCCGCCTCCACTTCCCTGGCTTCCTTTATCCACCCCCGCTAACCCCGCCATGATGCAACTGCGCAGGCCGATGAGATTCTCCGCAACGACCCCGAGCTCAACCACGAATATGCCCCTATTGCCGGTATCGCGAGCTTCACCACCAAGGCCAACGAGCTGATGCTCGGCGCCGACTCTCCCGCCATTCGGGAGAAGCGCACCACCTCCATCCAGACCATCTCCGGCACCGGAGCCGTCCACTTGGGCGCCCTCTTCCTTGCCAAGTTCTACAAGGGCAACCGCACCGTCTACATCTCCAACCCTACGTGGGCCAACCACAACCAGATCTTTGGCAACGTCGGTCTGCCCATCGCCCAGTACCCCTACTTCTCCAAGGAGACCAAGGGCCTCGACTTTGAGGGCATGAAGTCCGCCATCTCCGCCGCCCCTGACCGCTCCATCATCCTCCTGCACGCCTGCGCCCACAACCCTACCGGTGTCGACCCGACCCAGGAGCAGTGGAAGGAGATCGCCGCCGTGCTGCGCCAGAAGAACCACATCCCCTTCTTCGACTGCGCCTACCAGGGCTTCGCCTCCGGCAACCTCGCCCAGGATGCCTGGGCCGTCCGCTACTTCATCGAGCAGGGCTTCGAGCTGCTCATCGCCCAGAGTTTCGCCAAGAACTTTGGTCTCTACGGTGAGCGTGCCGGCTGCTTCCACTTCGTGACCGCCCCGGCCTCCGACGCCGCCGAGACCACCAGCCGTATCGCTTCCCAGCTCGCCATCCTGCAGCGCTCCGAGATCTCCAACCCCCCGCTGTACGGCGCCCGCGTCGCCAGCACCGTCCTCAACGACCCTAAGCTCTTCGCCGAGTGGGAGGACAACCTGCGCACCATGTCCGGCCGCATCATCGAGATGCGCAAGGTCCTGCGCGCCAAGCTCGAGGAGCTCGGTACCCCCGGCACCTGGAACCACATCACCGACCAGATCGGCATGTTCAGCTTTACTGGCCTGTCCGAGGCCCAGGTCCTGAAGCTGCGTAAGGACGCCCACGTCTACATGACCAAGAACGGCCGCATCAGCATGGCCGGCCTCAACACGAGGAATGTCGAGTACTTTGCCAAGGCCGTCGACAAGGTCGTCCGCGAGTCGCAGTAAAGGCGTCAACGCCGTGATTTGTAATGATTGATTGGTCAATTTTTATGGGAGGGGTTTTTTTATAACCTGGGGCCTTTTTTTTTTAAGGGCAGAAGCCGCCGCTCCATGGTCTTTTGTTTTGGGAGCAACAACACACTTGTTTTTTTTTGAAAGATGATATGACCGTCTCATGACCAGCTTTTGGAACGGCCGGATGGGACATACACGGCAGGAAATGGAAAAAAGATTTAGATTTCCCAGCTCTGATTAATCAAGCATCACCTCTTTTCTACTTTTGCCAAGTTTCTTGTGGTAGGCGATGTGACGTGACGCGACGTTTACAAACTTACCGTTGCTGGCTGGGGTTGTTTACAGACGTCTCTTTTTTCGTTGGCTCTGCAGGTTCCATCACTACTGACTTGTACTCGAGATTTGTATGTCTGAGAATCCTACCCTGACCTACCTGGTAATTATGAAGCTGCTTGCACGGATCTAGACTGACTCCAGCCGAGTCTGGATAATGCTGGATTGTTGCGTAAGCAGGTCGAACGACGGTGGTCGATGGCCGGGTATCAATAGAACAAACAAACCACTCTGCGGCGCGTCGTTGTGATTATAGGTTGGCATCAGATCCAGTCGCAGGTCTGTCGAGTTTTGTTCCGCTGATGAACAGCTCGCCCTCTGTTCGCATCTGCAAAATTGACCCATACCATTCGAGCTCATGTTCCCGTGTCGTCTCGTGCGATGTACGTCGCTTTTGTGTCTTGCTGAAGAATTGATACCGGAATGCACTGGATTCGACGACCATAAATAGGGCGTTGATGATGATGATGAGCTGGTAAATACCAGTTGAACATGTCGAATTCCTTTCATCGCGCGGCGTCGTGGGGCAGATGAGCCAAAAACGATGATGAGTCGGGTACTTTAACAGCTAAATGAGTCTGTATGAGGTTGGTCGAAATGAGATGTTATAGTTCATCTCATCTCATCCCTTTTACCGACAGCAAGCTTGAGACGTTTTTCGACAGCTGTTTCAATCGTCATAATTCGGTGGCATGTCGCGGGCAGCACTCAGACAACACCACCACATCCACATCGTTACATTCGATGACGAGCATGCGCGGTTAAGGTCGTCGATTTTCGTTCATTCGGGCTGCGATTGGTCGGCTCGGGATCTCGTCGTGATCAGCCCTCATTCGGGCCAAGCCTGCCTCAGTCATCTTTCCTTCCCCCCAATTGACTTTTCATGTTATTTTTTTTTTTTTTTTTGCGCGAGCTGCTGCTGACTGACGCATGAGACTAGCCAACCAGCTAGCCCAGTATTGTATCCGCACATAATCCCTCCGCTCTCATTCATTCGTATTCGGCCGAGGTGTTCGCACTCTGTGGGGGACGAGCGGATATAATTTTGTTCCTAATTCTTGTCCTTTTTTTTTTTTCTCTCTTTTTCCTTAGCCCGTTCCTATCCTTTCTCGTAAGTGGCGTCCGTGTCAAGTCCCCAGGTTCAAGTCTTGGTGGGGAAAGTCAGAGGTGCAAAAGCGAAGAGAATGAGAGAGGATCCTAGGACCAAAGCAGGCACGACGTTGAAAGTCAGGGACGACGTGCCGGTTATCTAGTCCCAATGCCTCGTGGCAATCGGCCCTTCTCTCGGGTGTTTACGGCTAACAGTATCCCCGCCTCCCGCGATGCCGGCAGACGGGGGAGAGGGTGTGGTGTGGTGTGGTCAGTCAACACCCCTGTTTTTTGCTGTTCTGGGCGTTGTTGTGTGGGGTAGAGGAGTTTGTCTTTGCCGTCAAATGTCGACAACGCCTTGCCGCGGTGCTTCGTTTCTCCTCATAATGCCCATGGTCTTTTCCAGGCATGGACCAGTGGTCAGTTCTCGGGGCGGATTACTCCGTCTGGATTAATGTCTAGTCATTTTCTGCCTGGACGAGAGAAGGAGGGAGAGTAGTTTGATGACCGGATGAGAGGAACAATCCCAAATCGCATATCTAGTAGTCGCTATGGCTCCTCCAGCCACGGCCCTTTTCCGCACCCCGTGCGACTCTTGGAGATGAAAGGGTAGCAGGCAAGGAATTTGGAGGCTAACCGACCTGCCTGTCGACAGGGATTAGATTGGTTTGGAGAATGTTGGAGCTTACCCCGGGTCTCACAGGTACACGCCACACCATACCTTACACACCCTCAACCTTCTATCCCGTCAGTGTGCCCAGACGACGGAAACCTTGATGTGTGTGATGATGGTCTTCCGTGGGACAAGCGTAGGTCCAGAGTCACTGACTCATCCTTCCGCGTCCCGGCCATTCGCAGGCGTGAGATGCGCCGAGCCAAGCTTAACATGTCGTTTGACCAGCTAAACGGGGCGTCGTTCCTCGTGTCAGACGAAAATGAGGATCCAGCAAGGAAGACTATGGTTGATTTGGAGATTGTTCTCATTTGGGTTACATCTCAGCGACCTTGTCAACCACACGACCGGGACAAGGCTAAACACTGCAACCCAATCTCTCACTGCGTAATACATCCATTCCAGGCAGAGCAAATGATCAACGTCCAAAACCGTCTCGGCCCATGTCGTACCTATTCCACACCACGTTAAAGCTGTCATGTAAGCATTTCTAAGAAGAATCGTTGGTGGACGAAATGGATGCTGCATGCTCCTCCATACCCTTGTTTGTCTGCCAGCCTCAGCTAAACGAGCTGTGCCGCGAGAATGCCGTGTAGAACCACTCGGCATAGGTCCGCATGAGCAGTCTGCAGCTACAGTCCTGATTGACTTTCCTATTTTCAGTTTGGAGGAATTCTTGTATTGTCATCACCCGGCCAAGCGCCGCCACCAAAGACTTTTGATCCCTATCTGGATGAGCTGGCGGAATCTCATTTGCTACCCTCCAATAGCATGGCATTAAATTCTCGAATGCGGATGTCTCCCTCAATGGAGCCCGAGACGACTGAGTGGTTGGGTCCAGTGGCTTCTCTGGCGGTTGAATCCTTTCCCCTTGTCCTTGTCGTTGAGGGTTGCAATGAACGAAAACTCGTGAACAGCGGAGAATGAAATTCGGACTTCCGCCAGAAACCTCGGCGCAGCCAGAGAAACCCAGGCCATCTCGCTCATGGCACCCCCGAACAACCGAATGCGGCCAAACCAAATTGTTGCTCGCCAGGTTCGTCAGGCAGCATCGTTGCCAAGCTAATCCTCGACCAAAAAACAAACTTGATAATGAGTAGCTTCTCCGTTTAATAGAGGGGCTCGGGAGTGAATCTGACCAATATTGTCGCGTTGTGCTGGATTTCGTGGTGCGGAGTTACCGCACGGAGCCACCCACACCTATCAGAAAGAAAGACAGAAAAAAAACACCCATATTTTAAGCACAACAAGCCATCTGACCATGTAAACGCCAGAGATGCTTCTGCCCATGGGGGGGTGGGTGTGTGTGTGGGTGGGTGATAGTGGTGGAGGAGAAGAATAGGATATTAACGCTAAAACCATGTGGGGGAAGCTTCCCCGCATGCTGTTTTATGGGATGGTGCCTGCCCTGTGCATCTTAGCAATTTGAGAGGGGCCACAATCTATCCACTAGCCTAGTCTTGCCTGGTCTTGCTTGCTTTTGCTCCTCGGTCTTTCCCCCCCTCAAAAGCCAGATGGGGATGGAGAAAGGGATCAACACCTGTCTTTTCTCACTGGATGGATAAATGTCCTACCCCGGTCTTTCTTGGCGTCCGGCTCTTTGCGTAACGCGGGCAATCGCAACGGTCATTTTATTCGGACCTTCTACAACCTGGCCAGCGCCTCTATTCCCGTCCTCCCGCCTTAGCATATCCTCCCCCAACCCTTGTCCTTCATCCATGTCCATCTTCGTCTGTATGGTTCGGTAGTGTAGCATTCGGTGCCCTCAAGGGAGAGAAAGGACGACTATGGGGCTCTGTTGCATTCATATAAAGTAGGCCAGGTGGACCTCGTTGGGGAGAATGTCTGTGAAATGATCAAAGGGTGTTGTGTTTTCCCAGGGACTTGGACTCGGTGCTATATACCCCCGTGTTAAGCCTTTACAACCTCACCGGCCCCTTCTGTCTCCCTTTTCTTCGGGTTATCGCTTCTCATCCCTTACCGTTCATCGCGGTGATCAGCCTTCACCCTATCTTTCCTTTACGCACGTCGCAACACTATTCTGATCAGTCAAAATGGTTGCGATCAAACGTTTTCACGAGACCGCGGCGGCGGACCCCATCCTGACTCGCATTTCAGAAGAGGATAAGGTTCCATGGTACAAGAAGCCGAACCTGCGATACCTATATCTCATGCTCTTCCCGACCTGCATGGGTATCGAGCTAACGTCCGGTTTCGATTCGCAAATGATCAACGCCCTTCAGATCGTACCTTACTGGAACAAATGTTCGTCCCCTAGCATAATTTTGCGAATGTATGGGTAAAGTGTCGAGATCTGACCTTCAACAGACTTCGGTTACCCCCAAGGAAGTCTGAAGGGCATTATTGCCGCCGCCTACTCTCTTGGTGCTGTCCTTTCACTGCCCTTCATTCCCATTGTGAACGATAGGTTTGGTCGAAGATGGTCCATCTTCGGTGGTAGCTGTATCATGGTACTGGGGGCTCTCATTCAGGGATTCTCGCAGCATGGTATGTATTACCACTCCCGTAAACAAAGTCCCGTTTAGCAGAAAGTACGTGGCTAATGTGGACTGGTTTAGTCGGCATGTACATCGTTGCCCGTATGATCCTTGGTTTCGGTATCCCGACCTGTATCGTCTCCGGTTCTTCTCTGATTGGTGAACTCGGTTACCCCAAGGAGCGTCCCGTCCTGACCTCTCTGTAAGTCCTCGGTCCCAAACCTGGTCTACGACTAGAGGATGGCGCTGACCGAACCTAATAGCTTCAACGTGGCCTACTTTGTCGGACAAATCACTGCGGCCGCCATATGCTTCGGCACTAACAACATTCAAAGTGATTGGGCATGGCGCATTCCGTCTCTCCTCCAGATTTGCCCTTCTCTTCTGCAGATCGGCTTCGTTTTGTGAGAAGCCACATCCGTTCTTTCGCGATGATTTTGCTGACTCTTTGATCCTCTCCAGTTTCATCCCCGAGAGCCCCAGATGGCTCATCACTCAAGACCGCAGCGAAGAGGCCAATGAGATTCTCATCAAGTACCACGCCGAAGGCGACCGCGACTCCGAGTTCGTCAAGGCCGAGATGGCGCAGATGAAGACCGTTATCACTCTCGAGATGGAAGCCTCCAAGCATTCGTGGATGGACCTACTCAGCACCTCCGGAATGCGCCGTCGCTGCCTCATCACCGCCATGCTCGGCCTCTTCACCCAGTGGTCCGGAAACACGCTCATCTCGTACTACCTTGGTGACCTCCTCAAGATGATTGGCATTGGGGACTCCGTCTTCAAGCAAAAGCTCAACGTTGGCCTCTCCTGCTGGTCCCTCGTCTGTGCTGTCATCGTCGCTTTGCTCGTCCGCAAGATCCGCCGACGCGTCATGTACTTGGCCTGCACCATCTCCCTTCTCGTCTGCTACATCGCCTGGACCATCTCCATGGAGCGCGCTGTGCACGCCCTCGACAACGACTACAAGAACCAGAGCGCCTCCATCGCCACTATCTTCTTCATATTCATGTACTCGCCCTGCTACAACATTGGCTACAACGCCCTCACCTACACCTACCTCATTGAGTTGTGGCCCTATGCGCTGCGTTCCCGCGGTATCTCCTTCTTCCAGCTCTTTGGTCGTCTGGCAAGTTTCTTCACCACTTTCGTCAACCCAATCGGCATCGAGAACTCCTCCTGGCGCTACCTCATCAGCTACTGCTGTTGGCTCGCCTTCGAAGTCGTGTTTGTGTACTTCATGTTCCCCGAGACCGCCGGCCGCACCCTCGAAGAGTTGGCTTTCAGTAAGTTTTCCGCCTGATTGGATGGTAAATTTCCTCGGTTTTGCTAACGATGTGTTTCTACCAGTGTTCGAGGACAAGGCTCTTGCCGACCAGGCAGCTGGTGCTGTCGAGAAGGTTATCCACCACGAGGACACGGACCCCGTCGGCGAGCGCAAGACTGGAACGGGTCAGACCGAGGTCGTTGAGGACGTCACCACCAAGTCCAGGGTCTAGTTGGATTTTTGGATTTTCCTTTTTTACGATGAGCAACTTTTTGGATTTTCGGCTTGTAGTGATCCGAGTGACAGTATCCACTTTGCTTTAGCGCTGAAGATGAACAAATGTTATGAAGCCAGTTAGGAAAACTGCTATAACTACACCTACCTGCGCTGAATGTGTTAATGTCGTGTTGCATATATTGCTTATTTTTGTGTTTGTTTACCTGTGCCATTTTCACCAACGATATCAGGCTGTGGGTAAGAAACACATGCGTAACGCCTCGAAATAGCTCAACCGACCAGTCAACGCTATTATTCCTATGACGTCTCGGTAAAGGCCCCCATACATGAACCACAGCTTAGTTGAAGGAACGACTAGCGTTAGAAAGGGGGGCCTATGAATCGCCACTTGTAGGCAACGATACCACCTAAATGGACACGTTGGCTTTCAATAGGGAAGCGCCTGTTGGTGGACTTGGGCGCAGCTGAGGTTCTTGCATTGATAGCGTGATCCTGACTGGCTGCGGTCACATTATGTAAGTCATCTCACCCCCTCCTTGCTGGGCTTTGCTGACCACGAATTGTACTTTTCATACACTTTGTGCCATGCCTATGCTCCGGTTACAAATGCATGATAAGGTGCAGCCTCGTCAACTCCCATCCAACAAGACAAGAAACTCACCAAACAATCACCAAGTCTCAGGTTCTCTTTGTATAACAAACCGACCGGTACCTTAGATCGCGTAATTACTGGCCTTGAGTTGCGACGGCCTGGGTTAGCCAGCCTACCAAATAAACTATGCTGAAGCGCCAAGATTCAAGAGGGTTACCAACCCGTTTTTCTGAACAATACTCAACCGATAAACGATCCATATCGGTAGCCAAGAACGATGATTCCGGCGAAAGACAGAAACAAGATCAGGCGATCAGCTTCTGGCTCTCAGAGGCTGAAAAGCTACAGCCTGAGCGACGAGCCCTCTTCTTGGAAAGTGCAGAATCGGATAATTACGAGGATTATGTCTCTAGTCTGGCCCGCGCCGTCCAAGACACTGTCAACAACAGCAAAATTTCCAAACTTTCGAGAAGGATAAAACCCATCTACTTGCTTGCGAACTCCATCGCCCCGATTACGACAAGCGCGAGTCAAATCAATCCTATGCCTGCGTCCCTGGTGCTCGGGGGTATTACCTGCATTCTTTCACTCAGTGTACGTCTGGATGACTTCCAGAGCAAGTTGATAGAGACACTAGAGTGGATGGGCGACGAGGTGGATCTTATAAACCTGTACAGACAGGAAGGCCTTTTTGGAGATGATCCTGCAATTAAGGCTTGCGAGATTAACATTGCTGCCGACATTCTCAAATTCTGTAGGAAAGTAGCTAAGCTATTTTACGACGAAGACGGAAAAAAGAGAAACACTGCAGTATTCGCTTTAAGAACCCAGTACAAGGACTTTGATGTCAGATTCGGGGAGGTCAAGACTAATTTCAAACTGCACTTGGATGCCCTCGAGAAGCGGAGAGACATGGCCAACATCCGCAAGATGAGGTCAGTGCATGATAAAGTACATGACATTAGCGAAATGCTCAAGCATGAGTACGGAGGGTCTCGAAAAGGGACCGATGGTGAATCCGAGAGAGATAAGCAAAAAATATATCAAGGTAACGCAGGCTCCTGGTGATTTCCGTGAGACTACTAACCTTTTCATAGAAGAAAGACGTCGACGCTTCTTGGACTGGTTGCCTTCTTTAAACTTTGGAGAAATCCAGGAAAGTAATTTTGATCGCCTGGTCCCCGGCTCTGGAGACTGGCTATTGGACCATCACAAGTTCCAAACCTGGCGGGACAGCGCCAATTCGGACCTGCTCTGGGTCTACGGCAAACCTGGAGCGGGAAAATCACATCTGGCCGCTCGAGTGATTACTGAGCTGGGCCCGTCACTATCTAGTTCTAGTAGCCCAGCGATGGCATATGCCTATTGCACCACTACCCAGATGAAGGCGAGGATGACCATGAATAATCTCCTGGGCTCTTTGCTCGGGCAGCTGTACAAACAGCTCCCATTGTCCGAAGGCATTGACACACTGCTATCTCGCGCCGACACTAGCAGCAAAGAGGAACTACAGCGGAGTGAGATGAAGGAGGGAATCAAAAAAGTGGTTTCTCGGCTACGCTCCTCTTTCATCATCGTTGACGGTCTTGACGAGTGCAACCACTTCCCGGACCGCCAATTCGAGGATCTATGCAGCTTTCTAGCCGGCCTGACGGAACCCAAAGACTCGGGAAGCTCGACTAAAATACTCATTTTCAGTCGCCCAGACTACAAAGCAATCAACTCAGCCTTCTCCAAGTACCCCCAAGTTGAGGTTGACGGCGGTGTGAATGATGCCGACATCAAAGCGTATATATCGCAAAAGGTCGATGAAATCAATGGGGATCCATCCCCAGAAGAACGATTAGGCTTCGAAGAGATCAAAAGTTTGATGTTCAACAATGCAGGAGGTCTCTTCTTGTGGGTACATTTTAAGGCAAAATACTTCAAAGAGATCGGCAGTGTCGAGGACATTAAAGACGCTCTACAGGACACAACGGAGGACCTGGACGACCTCTACGGGGAAGAGATTAAAAAGATACTCAACCATTCTTCTCGCTTTGTTCGCGATCGGGCTTTGAGAGCACTTTTGTGGGTGACAAACTCATACCGTCCACTCACGAAGATTGAGTTATTAGAAGCGCTCTCCATAAAACCGGGGAGACGAGGACTCAATCAGTGCCAAAGGCTTCCTCGCGACATCTCCCTGAGCACAGAATGTGCTGATCTTATTAGTGAGGTCAATGGGCGCTACCAACTCCGGCATGCGTCCTTAAAGGACTTCCTGTCATCACAACTCCCGACACTGCTCGCGTTCGGTGCTCTTCAATTAGAAGCACACACAATTCTCGCCGAGACTTGTCTTACGTACATCAACCTCCAACAATTCGACACTGTCCAGCTTACCACGCCGAAAGTATCCGATGAGCTTTGTTTCCAATACCCGCTGTTAGACTACGCCAGCCTATGCTGGGGCGACCACTTTGTGAAAGGCAACGGGCATAAGAACAAACGTTTGGAGACGCTTCTGGAAGAACTCCTTAGCAAAGAGAATGCAATGAGGCTTACGGTCCAAATCAAAGTAAATGACTTTAAAAGGTGGACTCCCGGCAAAACCACACCCCTCCATATTCTAGCAATTTTCAACCTTGTCGAAGTTGCGCGGACAATGCCGAAACTTCAGTCTTTGATTAGCAACCAAGACGAATTTAGACGCTCTCCTATCGAATACTCGGTCAAGTTTGGTCGAAGGGAGATGACAAGGTGGCTGCTTGACAGACATCTGGAAGAAAGCAAAAACGGGAAACCGCTGAGTCCGGCAATATTTAAATCCTGCGAGCGTTGGCTGCTTCACGATGTTGCAGAAGAAGACTGGGAAGATATCGCCCGAGACTTAGTCTCACTGGGGTTTGACAAGGATATCCCTGACTTTAGAGGAGAGACTCCAATACATTCTGCCGCCAAAGCTGGAGCAAATCGAACGTTGAGCTGTTTCTTGGAAATGGGTGCACTGCTTAATACCACAACCATGGACGGTGACACGCCTCTTACTGCAGCAGCCTTCCATCTTAACCCCTCCGGGGTCGATGCTTTGCTTCGTGCGGGCGTGGAAGCGACCCAGGCCGGAAAATATCAGGAGACGGCCCTTCATTACGCGGCGGAATGTGGACTTGCAGACATGGTTGTCAATCTGCTAAGCCATGGGGCTGATGTCAATGCTCGGTGCTCACCCAAACGAGGCCTTTTCGGGCAAACTCCTTTACATTATGCCGCTAGGTGTAACATGGCCGAAGTAGTCGAGATACTAATCAAGCATGAAGCAGGGATGGATATTGAGACAACAAAGGGAGACAATGCTTTCATGATGGCATGCGGTTTCGGTAACATCGAGGTGGTCAAAGTCCTTCTGAAAAACGGCACCGACCCATCCACACGCAACTCGGCAAATGGCCAGACAGGGCTTCATGTTGCCGCAGACCGGGGAGATACTTCGTTGATAAAGATTCTTTTGGAAACTCGGGCCCGCGACACCCTTTTGAATGCTCTTGATGAAGATGGAAACACACCCCTGATCATTAGCCTTATGGCGGAACAGACGACGGTCGCCAAGATGCTTCTTGAACAGGGAGCTCAGTCTGATTTGGCAAACAAGGTCGGATGTACCCCATTGTGGATTGCTATAGAAAATAATTGTGGCGAGGTTGCGAGGTTGCTTTTGACAGACTACAAGAGCGGCGCAGACAGACCTGGTTATGGTGGAAAGACAGCTCTCCATCTTATTGCAAGTCGTGGATGGTCAGATTTACTGCCGCTGATCCTGGAACAAAACGGAAGCCCAGAAGCGAGAGATGATGAAGGGCTTGCGCCTCTTCATTACGCAGCTGCATTCAACCAATGCGATTTCATAAACGAGTTGATGAGGTTGTCTTCCGGTCTAGACACTTGTCCTCTTAACATCAAGGGACTTACACCGCTTCATTTTGCGGCTAGAGAAGGCTCTGTGGATGCAATCAGGCTTTTGAAAAAGATCAATCCCTCGTCCTGTTCCGTCAAGACGGAATCAGCAAAGATGCTACCAATCCACCACGCTGCTTTCTCTGGCCAGGTTCAATGTGTGGCTGAGCTGGTAACGCCCGAGACTATCAATAGCGAGTGTAGCAGTGGAGAAACTCCTTTGTGGATTGCATGTATGAAGGGACGGTATAACGTAGTACGGCACCTGATTGAATGTGGTGCTGATGTCGACAAAGCTGATGAAAGTGGGAACACCCCTGCTCTGGTTGCTTCGTCTCAGTCGTATATACGCATCACGAATCTCCTCCTGGATAACGGGGCCAGTGCAGAAATAGCTGCAAGAAATGGTACTAACCTGCTTCATATTGCTGCGGAAATCGGAAACGAGAAACTGGTTGACCACTTTTTGCGGCTTTCGGACAATGACCTAAAAGAGACAAACCTGGGAAGTATGATATTCGCCATGAACGAGGAAGGATGGGATGCCATGTGTTTCGCAGCCAGAGGCGGCCAACACCGCATGGTGGAACGCCTTCGCAAGCTTCAGATTCCGATCGACAGTATGGGTCGTGGCTTTATGAATCCCCTGACCTTGGCCGCTGCACATGGCTATTCAGACTTTGTGAAAGTGGCTGTGGCACAAGGCGCTTCTCTTCAAAGCAAAAGCCGTTGGGATGAGTGGTTCCAGCGAGATGCGCTTCTGAACGCCACGGCATGCCAGAGGAGGCAAACCGCAGAGATCTTGCTGGCCAACGGCGCTGACCCGACGATGAGGGATTGCTACGGCATGTGTGCGATCGACTATGCAGCGCAAAGCCCGTTGTTGTCAGGCGTGTTCGATCGTTTGCTCAAAGACTATCAGCCATTGGACCCAAAGACTCGGAATGAAAATGTGATCAGGGGTATCGTCAAATTCGCAAGCGCAGAAGAACTAGCCCAAGCCGGCAGGGATGATAAAGCTGCGCGGGACAGACACCTGCAGGTATGCGGGATAACAGCAGGTTTGCTTCTACTCAATACGCCAACTAGCATCGAGCAAGCCCGTCTTTGCATGTTCGAATTGGCAGGAGACCAAGTAACATGCGATATGTGCGCGGAATCCGTCTCGGTACCCTTCTTTCAGTGCACTGTGTGCACGGATTTAGACCTATGTCCACCTTGTCACCAAGTGTACTGCCAGTCCACGCCGCCCAACACGATACCGGAGCATATTAAAGATTTCTGGGCACTTGAGGAGGAGATGTATCCGGTCCTTCGAGTTGCTGTGGTGTTTCGAAAACAAGGTGTTGAATCGTTACCAATATGCTTCAAGAACCTTGGCCAGATCGTCGAAGAGTGGATAGACGAAAGAGCTGAGGCGTATGTGCGCTGGGAAAAGTTTCACGAGCTAGAAGCGGACTTCAACCCACGCCCGGCGCCTGGTTGGACATTTATACGTCTTCTCGACGCTGTGCGAGGACTGAAATGGCTTGATCCGGGCAAAAACAATGCAGAGAATGCCGAAAGAACCATCCATTTTGGAGATGTGCAGCAAGGGTTAGAGACCATTTACGAAAAGTTCAGTCCCCAAACGGAGAACCACAAGCCGGCTTGCAACGGACACGAGTTCATTGAAATCTTGCCGCATACACAACTATCTGCCGAAGACCAAAATCATTTTGAGGCGGAAGGAAATTTGAAGAGAGAGTTTATCGAGGACTTGGCCAGGCAGTACTCGGATCGCTTAGCTCAAAACAACGACGAAAGCAGCGTTCAGGCAGCCGATACCCCAATACCGCATATAACTGTACAAGATCAAGTAATTGCTAATGAGGTTGAGATGATAGTCTTGAAGAGTGACAGAGCTGAGAAAAACAAGCAAAGGCTGAATCTGCTTCGCGAGAAGTTGTTAGAGAACATTGCTGAGTCTTCACCTCAAGGGAATACATACAGTGGCGTCAACGGAGCTGCAGCCGCGTTGGACACGCCATTGAACGTACACGAAATTTCTTGGGAGTTGGCTCATGCTATTCTCGGAGTTCCATATCCTGGGGGCTTGTCTGATCCATCACCTACTTAACGGTTAAGTTGGATCAATGGAGTTGTACGCAACGTAGGGAGGACATAGCGGCTTATTTACAGTACCTTGTTAGCGTTATATTCTTTAACGACCCTAGTGCGGTATTGCTTAATCGTTAGTTATCAACCTACAAGACCCCTTATGCTATGCGTAGCTACTCTGCTTGAAAACTTATGACACTCATACACATACGGTTTTTCTTTTCTCAAGTACAAATTAAGAAACCTTATTGGCCTACAAACCAATCCTCACCTTCACGCATCCATCTGCTACACCCTTCCAAGATATTGTTGTTACAACGTAGTGTCCTCCACATCGAGACTCTACCAATAAGCCATATAAAAGTTCATCGCCCACTAGCTTACCTTTCTACCTTCTCCAAGCGCACCCAGTTCTTCACTGGCTTGTGTGTGACCCCGTCCTTTCCCTCGTATCCACTGAGTGCGTCGGGGCATTTGAGGATCTTGAAATTCCACACAATTAGACTCAGAAGAATCCGCAACTCCACGTACGCTAATCTTTTCCCAAAACAGCTTCGTTTGCCCAACCCAAATGCAATCTGTGGGCCCGCTGCAGAGTCAAATTCGACGTTGGCTCCAACCCCAGTTGCTTCATCCATCTGCCCTTTTGATTCAACAGATATGAGCCAGCGGTCAGGGTTGAACAACGCAATGTCGGTAGGATCCCATTCTGGCACCCGACCTCGATTCTTGACTGCAAGACGGCTTGTCTCACTTCGCCGCTCTTCGTTGATCTGGATAGCGGGACTTCTTATGCTAGCCCCCTGGCCGAGGGCAAAGATCTTGGTGCCCTTAGGTATATGATACCCGAGTAACACGGTGTCACACATTGCTTCACGCTCGACGAGAGGAGCGGTACCGGAACAGCGGAGAATCTCTTCCATCGAAGCGTACAGGAAGGGAACGTTGATGCGCATAATTTCTTCGATCAGGGGGTTTCGTTTCTCTGTGTGGGCGGCGGAAAATCCCTTTTCCATGGCACTGCGTAGTTTTGACTGAACCGCTGGGTAGTCGGCCAGGAGTTTAAGACCCCAAAGCAAGGTGGTACTGGTAGTGTCGTGGCCTCCGGTTATGACGCCAAACAGCTGGGCAAAACTGTCAGTCGAGATTTCCTTTCAGATTAACTATACGCACCTCGTCTTTCATCGTGGGCGAGAGAAAGTCAGGCTTCCGATTTTCCTCGTGCGCAAGCTTCTTCTCTCTCTGTACCATCAGATCAACGGCAGAGCGCATCCACTTATCATCGTCACCGTTGGCCTCCTGCCTAGCCATCGCTTTTTTCAGTTCTTTAATGATAAATTGGTTCTTCAGTCGTATTGTTCTGTTGAGAGGAGGGAAAATTTCCATGATCTTCCATTTCCAAACAGGCAACGGAGACGCGTGCAGCTTCTCAATGTTGATGCTGACATCCAGCGTTGCTTTGATTATCTCGTCACATTCGACGGTTGGGAATTCGATCGCATCATCAATGGACAGTCCATCTCGAAGCCTGGCTATTTCCGTTTCGTCGAGGCCGCGTATGAGGTCGGCCACCGGCTTTGTTGCATTGCTAGGAAAGTCTTTGCCAAAAGAAAACGCCGTGACAGCATCTAGAGCCGTGTAGAATATGTCATGGTATGCATTGAAAGGCCTGCCATCGGCTATCCGCGTCTTATCATGCCACAAATTGATCAAGTTCACCACGTTGGCATATATAGCTGGTGCTGCGACGTCTTGAAGGAACGGCGGCGACATTAAGTCTTGAAGCAGCCGGCGGTGCGCCTTCCACTCGTCACCCGTTAACAACGTGATATGATGGTTCGGAGACGAGCCCTTGAACAGGTTGCGCAACGTGCTTCCGCGGTCGAACTCCTTTCGGCGCATGCAGATGTCTTGCGCCTCGCGAAAATCGCTCAATATCACTACAGGTTTCGACATTGGGCGAATAAAGATCTGGCAGACGGGTGAGTTGAATTCTGCTGCTCTTCCATGTAACCATCCAGACACATCTCCTGTATTGGCGACAGTTCTAGCCAGGTCTGGTAAATCCCCCAATAGACCGCTGATGGATTTCGGATTGTACGGGATACCATTGATTGGCTTCGGGAGCGCATTTTGGTAAAGTGTGTACAGTAGGAAGAGCGATAAGCCAACGGCAACAAGCAAAATACCGTATAACTTTTCAGTTGAGGTCTCCTCTCCCATGTGGATGGTCCGGGATGAGTTCATATAAGACATCGTATACGAGGTTCTTTAACAACGGGGTAGATCGGATTAGTGAGTGACGACGACCTTATCCCTGAGGCTTCGACGCGTGTTATCTGTATTAAAATGTTCAATATACCTTCAAAATAGATGACTACATTTATGTAGGTGGCTTTAATAGCTCCGGCGCTCTCCGCAGTCGAGTAGAAGCCCAAGTCTCAGACATAAATGTAGCCGCAAGCCATTGCTTGCATCCATGTCCCGATGCAACAAAAAGTAGCAACCACATGTGCTGCGATCGGCTTCCCCGCGGCAAGTAGCGAGCTGCATTCCAAAAAGGGTAACAACCTGGAATAGAATTCATAGCTCAGACCTACCTGAAGGATGGCAGGCGCTTGGATTGGACGAATACTTGCAATCCTTGTTTTCTTGAAAGTCTGTAACCTAGACGGTTTTGCTCATGGTGTCGATGAAATCAACGGGTTCAACGACTACAAATTGAACTGAGATCCGTAAGGAATATACAATCCAGTGAACTCGGTCTCCTATCCATTACAAACATAGTATGTTCCTTGCTGCGAACCGTACTACGACGATGACTTCTCTTGAGAGTCTGTCCACGTTTATGGGCCATCAAATCAGGTCCTATGACACATACAAGAGTGGCAATCGCTTTGAATTGATCAGTTTGCAACTCAATGGAGCGTGACAGTGGCAAGTGCTGAATGAATAGCAAAGCACTACGGTTGAATCATATTGAAATTTACTTCTTGGTGGAGCCCATGCTGTGATATGCAAGATAAGGGCTATTCCTTGGAGTACTGCCAACATTCCCTACTGCCTTATTCAAGCATGACGGAAACTTTCAACTCGGCCAGTACACATTTGCCTTTTGGAGTAGACCCCTCTGCCGATTGATCGGTAAAATATAAGATGGAACATCATCAGGGGTCTATGGTGAAATCAGTATAGTAATCAAACCCTAAGCTATACATCAGTGTGTTCATCATTCTAGCTGCTGAGAAAGGTTGCATGGTCCTTTCATCGTATGTGGTTTTCTGCCCAATGAATATATTTAGCTGGCCGGTTGGCATAATGATGTACCTTAGCCTACCGACCAATGGATTTTATGTCTTTCCTATTATTTTAATTATATAAAGCGCTCTTTACACAAGTTGAACAGAAAAAATCTATCAGCGTTAACGGCAAGTTGCCGATGGACAACGTAGAAATCCTCCAGAACATACTCGGTATGCTTTCCCAGACAAAAAGTGTAAATAGCTCCCATAGATCAGAGAATGGAAAATTCGCAACAATCAATTTCATGAATGCAGCTACGCGAATTAGCTGTCTGAAGAAAATGCGGAATGATATTGTTGAAATGAGACATGCATCTCTTACACGACCAGCCAGTCCATTATCCCAGGGCCATCGATAAAATCGAAGTAGAAAGCAAAAGGAAGCAACTGTTAAGTTGCTGGTAACATTAAGCCGGTACAATAATGTATAGCAATACGTCACAATCCAGTACAATCCTGTGCTGAATGGGGCACCTTACAGCATATTGGGAGCATATGCTTCGCAACTTATGGTCATTCACCTGGCGGAGTATCCGCACTTAATTAATTTAGTCTTTCTTGGCATATGGTTTAAGCTCTACATGCCTACAGGTAATATGCTGCGAGGTTGCTACAGATTGGCCACCGTACATCAAGCACCACTGCAGTATCCAGCCGCTGCCTGCCACATCTCGGCTACTGATTGAAATCTTAACTCACTTTTATTTATTTCTGTTATTTTGTCCCAGCAACAACCCAATAATGGGAGTTTACAAGCCCTCCAACGTCGGTGAGCCCAGGAGCTGGGGATTCCCCTCCCCCATCCGCTTGCGCGGACTTCCGATGCATGGCAGTCCGCGATGTAAATCCGCCACATGCAAAAGCAACCCCGAAAAGCCCAAGAGCATGCATATCTGCAAATGCAACCAGGAATCTTCAAAAGTCGATCTTGTTTTAGATGCAGGCTCGGACTTGCTTGTGCACGCGTCATCTACTTATCCTTCGATCGGTCGCTTCTCAGACGAACCTCCCCTCTGCACTCACTTTTCGACAAAAAGAAGTTTGTTCGCTCACGTCAGAAACATTAACAGAAAGAAGAAAAAAACAAGCCTTCAAAAATTCAGAAATGGTTATTACAACAGGTCGAAGTTTCTCCCGGATGCCGTTGGGCTACGGTCCGTTCCCGGGCCCCCGACAAGACGCAAGAGGCCAACCCCTGAAGGGGTGGGACCAAGTTAACGTCAAGACTTGTACAATTACCTTCAAAGCTCCGGTAGATCAACTCGTCTCTCTGCTCCCGCGACCATGCTTCCATATCGACGCCCACACCGTCAAGGAAGGTCTTGCTGAGGCTTCCGTTTCCTTCACGTCCCTGGGCAACCTCCCCTGGTTGGCTGGGAGAGGATACAACCATTCCGGCCTGTATATCCACAACGTCATCTGCAAGGGGAAAACCGAGACGATCCAGGGAAAATACCTCAGCGTGCTTTTCGAGAACCTTCCCGACCCGATTTTGAGCGGTCGAGAGGAGCTGGGGTACCCGAAGCTGTTCGCGACGCTGGACCAGGAGGACGATGTTGAGGCTTCCGGAAATTGGAGCCTGGCGATGGGCTGGGAGGGCAACCGGTTCGGCGAGGTCAAGGTCTCCGGCCTGAAGCTGGAGGTGGCACCCCCCGAGCCAGCCGCGCGGGGCCACGACGTGCTCTGCTACAAGTACATCCCGCGTACCGGTCGCCCGGGTGTCGCAGACGTCGAGTACGCCACCGTTTCCCCGGCTCCGTCGCCGGACGCTTTCAAGCTAGAGCGGATGTTCAAGGGCAAGGACGCAAAAATCCAGTTTGAGGCCCTCGGCTTCGATGAGCTCCCAACGCTGCACCATGTTGCCGCCCGTCTCGCTGAACTCGATATCGTCAGCATCGAAGACGTCCGGGTTGTCGAAGGGAAGGGGGCTCCGGATTACCAGAACCAGAGAGCGGTTGCTACCTGGGGATACATGGGATGAGTTATATCCAAGGTATTATCTAATGTTAATTATACAAATTGAAAGCTTTCGAGGGCTTTTTTTGAGAAACTGTGCGCAGCTTCAACCATGATGATGTTGGTGGTTAAAAATATCTTTTCAACTGAAGTGTTCAAGTGCGTCAAGTTATCGTAGTCTCATAGACTCCAAGCTTTGCGCTGAAGACGATACGATAGCTGCGAGTTGGAGTACACATTTTGCAGCATATGTTGTGGGAAGAACGTGACCGTGATGCCCGACTACCATATTCAATCATATTATTGACTATCTATTACGTATATTAACACGTTAAACATCATGTCGTCGTAGGCCCTCTTCTAAACATTCACTGCGCGTCCGCACCGAAGGCGACGAGGGCGACGACGCGAACTCCTTGGCACTCGTAGGGCTCATCAGCGAAGGTTGATCCCCGCTGATGAACAAAATATCCTTGAGCCTTCTCTCCGATTCTCCCGGATCTCTCGGTCGTGCGGGTGGTGTGACGCCGAGTTTTCTCTTCAGTTTCGGCATCATATCGCGCCAAACCTGGCGGGCCGATGGAAGGCAGGCGACGATTATGCCCGTCGCTAGTTCCACGTAGGACCACTTGTGTAAGTAATAAGCATCGTCTTGATGATGTTAGCGAACTTGTTTACCAAAACGGCTCAGGAGCTGTGGCATGTGGTACATACGCGTAGGATCCAAGAAATTGCGGAAGTTGAGCAAAACTTTTAGGCGTATAATGCTGACAACGGTGATGCTGCTCGAACGGAGAGTCAGCATCATCGGCACGGCTGCAGGGCGTGGATACGGGGCGGGCGGTAGACATGAAATACTTACATTATCCCGAGTCCAAACATGCAAAAGATCTCCAGCTTTTGCCTCTTTCGCAAATTTAGCCACAGAATCTGCGTTATAGGCAACGCCAACATCCACAGGTCCATGGCGATGTTTATGGCAGCATGTGCAATTAGGATGGCTGCCGTGTTGACGCAGTAGCCTACGTGTTGGCCGTCCCAGCCCTCCCAGGCGTAACTGAAAGGTTTGCACTGATTTAGGTTTGCTATAGTGAAGGCGATGCAGTTTATGATGTTGAATGCCTGCGTGCTCCACAGCACGGCCGTCAAGGTATTGCTGACGAACTTGAAGACGCGGATGTAGAAGAAGAGAATGGAGGCTTTGAGGGCTCCGACTCCTAGGGTATATATTATCTCAAACGCGAAGAAGACCTTATAGCTGTTTAGTAAACCGTCTATGATGGGACTGTCGTTGATGATTCGGGGCTGCGAAGGAGGTCGTACTTGCATGAAACGGGTGATTTCTTCAGCGGTTAGTGACCATACGTCTCTTCCGATGCCCAGCTCGTAACCTACACATTGTAAGTAGCCATATGAAAGGAGGGAATATTTTGATGAGCTCTTCAAGGAGCTGTAGATGTGCTTACCGTGAAATCTTGAAACCGCAAATGAGAGCGTGAAGAGCTAGATAGAGCATGAGTATATGCTGACACGTCAACAACTATGAGAACTCACGAAGCCAAGTATCAATGTCCAATCATCCGCCCACCACTGCGAAAGCTCTAGAAATTTCGAAAGCTGCCGTACGGCAAAAAGAAAGGTGGTGAGACCGAGCACGAGAATCCTGGCGACCACGCTGCCCTTTTCACTTGCGTATGGAAAGCCGCACCACGTCCATGTTGCGTTCTTAGCAACTGGGAGGTATGTTAGTATATCCATATGGTGATGGAGTAATGTGGACGAAGGAGTGACTAGAACAATTCGTTTTGGATGTGGATGAACATGAAGATGATATATCCATATCGTTAAAGAAACGATAAAAATTGTAACTTACCCAGCACATGCTCCATAACACATAATGACCGCACACAGAGGCGGTATGCCTCAATGTAGCGTCTGTCCTTGCAGACGCAATTTGAAGTCAAGTTCGTAACGGCACAGACTGTGACATTGAGCATATCAGTCGCACATGGCGCCTGGCAAGCGAACATATTAGCAATCACCCGGAGGGAAGCATATGCCAACGACGGTGCTACTCACGGCGCAGCCCGGAAGGTCGGCCAAAAATTCGGTGAACGGAAACGACATCGAATCGCAGTCTGACGGCAAGAGAACCGGAGAGCATAGATCATGACATCGTCACCTCGAGGTTGTTCTTTTTCCACGGAGAATCGGGAGCGGAGGGGTGGTTGGTTCCTGGAACCGGTCCGGAACGTCTTCGCAGATGGGGGGGACCAAGTGGGACGCGGGACGCAAGGAGAGGATGCGAGGTGAGGTGAGGGACCAAGTGGGATGGGAGAGATGACAAGTTTATGTTGTACCAAAAGTTGTTTGTCCTTCGTTTCGTTTCAAAAAAAAAAACGTGAACCGCAAGGCGTTTTCCTTCGCCTTTCCGTTTTTCTTTCTTCCGCTTTCCCTCAGTTCACACCGGCGCGAAGGGACTCGGTTGGGCAAGCGAGCCAGTTCTTTGCCAAATGGGCAGAAGTTATTATTGTCGGACCTTGGACTGCGGCTGCCCATCTCCCTCCCCCTTCAAACGGGAGACTCAGCGATGTTTAAGAGACCGCAGCCCAGACTCAGGCGGCGAAGTGGCTGCACCGTTTCCGGCGGGCTAACCTTAGCGACACCCGCATCCTCGAGGAGAAATGGGGTGACTTCGAGTAAGAGCAGGGAAGCCTCTCGAGGAAACCGGCTGTTTTAGCGAGAGACACAATGACGCCTCGTCAAGATACCGGGAATCCGGCGATTGGCCCGGAGGAGACTGTACGGGACGCGGTTCGGCGCATTTGATTGCCTCTTTTTATTTTATTTCATTGAAGCCCTTGGATGACTGCGTTTTCCCCTTCCCTAAGCTGGGAATGGGAAGAGTTTGGCGTGCGAGCCACACATCCTTTGGTCGGAGAGAGCTCCGGAGAAGTACTCCCGGTCTTTTTGTATCGGAATGTAGTAAATGATGGACATCATAGTGGCGACGATAACCTCGGCAGTAACGCAAATCGGAATTTGATGAACAGCAGCAGCAAAGCCAAGGAAACTCTTTGAATGATAAACCACTTTCGATGTCTGTCCCTGGTGCGGCTGTCCTACTGTCAGGACCAAAGTGCATGCGTCACAAGCCACCGCCGAACGAGGCTAGTCCGTAGATACGCACTCCCGGAACCGTCTTGCGCTGTCTGCCAACGACATTCCTGGGCTAACACAACACTAAAGCCTAATTTTCCCGTGACCCCTAAAAGGCCACGACTGACACAGCTTCGATCGTTCTTCAGGTTGTGAAGGGAGCGTTGGCGTGGAACCGTGCCCAAGACAAGAATCCCCAGAGGCATCTAGATAGATGACCCGGGTTGACGCCGTCGTTCCCCGTTCGGCGGGCCGCTCCATGTCTTCGTTTACTGGCCAGTCAGGGAACGCGACGTGGTGAGACGACGGGAGACCGGGGGGGTTTTCATCTGTTAGCTTGTTGTCGGATGTGACGGGTGATTGTCCAGGTTCCAGGTAACTGGATAAGATGAAAAGAGAGAGAGAGATCCCCTTTTGTACATTTCACGGTACACATTATGGGCACATGTTACTCTTGAGATATACTAGAACAGATTTAACGTGATGATATATATATATGAGATAAAAATAGCATAGCAACGCCTGCCCCCGATGCTGAAGCTCAAGACGGATATAAAATAAAAAAAAGAAGATACATTTTACAATCGTACTTTTTTCCCTTTTCGTTTCTTCCTCTTCCTCGCTCCTTGCTTCCACTTTCACAAAGATGTCAACCCCTTGATATTGCTCTCATCTTTTCGAACAGTTTACTCCTCATCCTCATCCTCTTCAGGGACCTATCATTGCATGTTAGCTTGCGATACTTTTGTGAATGGCGGTGGAAAAGGTCAACTTACTCCTTCGTGGAAATCCCTGCCCTCCTTCGTGGCCTTGATGACACCGGCACGAATGCAGAAGTCACCGAACCTCTCGCCCTTCTCTCTCTCGAGCGCGTATCTCTTGAGCAGAGGCTTCATGATGGAGAGAATCTCGTCCTCCTTGATGCTCTGGCGGTACAGCTTGTTCAGGCGCTGGCCGTGGTATCCACCGCCGAGGTACATGTTGTACGCGCCGTACGCCTTACCGACGAAGGCGACCTCGGCGAGCCAAGGACGCGCGCAACCGTTAGGGCAACCCGTCATACGCATGACAATGGAGTCCTGGCGCAGGCCATTCTCCTCGAGGCAGTCCTCAAGCTTGGTGATGAGCACCGGCAGGTAACGCTCAGACTCAGCCATGGCCAGACCGCAGGTCGGGAAGGCGACACAGGCGGAGGAGCTGAGGCGGAGGGCCGAGAAGTGCACGTTGTCGAGCTTGTACTTCTTCATGAGCTGCGTGAGCGGCTCGACGTCCTCGTCGGCGACGTTGCTGAGGATGAGATGCTGGTTACCCGTCAGGCGGAACTCGCCCTTGTGAACCTTTGCGATCTCGCGCAGACCCGTCTTCATCTGGAACTCGGGGGTGTCCTCGATACGGCCGTTCTCGATGAAGAAGGTGAAGTGGTTGAGACCCGTCTCATCCTTCTGCCAGCCGAACGTGTCGATGTTGCTCTTGAACTCAAAGGCGCGCTCCTTCTCGAACTTTTGTCCCCAGAGCTCCTCGACCTTGCTGCGGAAGACGTCGACGCCCATGTCGTCAATGGTGTACTTGAGACGGGCGTGCTTGCGGTTCTTGCGGTCTCCGTGGTCGCGCTGGACGAGCATAACCTTCTCGCAAGCAATGTGGACCTGGTCCTTCTTGACGAAACCGAACATGCGGCCGATCTGGGGGTAGGTCTTCTTGTTGTTGTGCGTGGCACCCATGCCACCACCGGCCATGAGGTTGAAACCCTCCAGCTTGCCGTCCTTGCCCTTGATGGCGACGAGACCAATGTCGTGGGCGTAGACGTCGGTGTCGTTGTGAGGAGGAATGGCGATGGTGATCTTGAACTTTCTGGGAAGGTAGGTAGGTCCGTAGAGGGGCTCGAAGTCCTGGACGGCGTCGCCGGCGACCTGGGTCTTCTTGTCGTTCTCATCGGCCAGCCAGATCTCGTGGTAGGCAGAAGTAGACGGCAGCAGGTGGTCGCTGATAATCTTGGAGTGAGCCCAGACCTCCTTGTGGTAGGCGGACTGCGTGGGCAGCGAACTGCACATGACGTTACGGTTGACATCACCGCAGGCGGCGATGGTGGTCATGAGAGATCTGTTGATGGCTTGCATGGCCGGACGGAGCTTGCCCTTGACGACACCGTGGAACTGGAAGGTCTGACGAGTGGTCAACTTCATGGTCTCGTTGCCGAGCTCGTTAGCGATGTCGTCCATCTGCACCCACTGCTGGGGCGTGGAGACACCACCAGGCAGACGGCAACGAATCATGAAGGAGTAGGCGGGCTCCAAGCCCATGGCCTTGCGCTCGTCACGAACATCACGGTCGTCCTGCATGTAGGTACCGTGGAACTTGGTGAGCTGCTGGTCGGCGGCGGAGATGGCACCAGTGCTGGTGTCCAGGAGACCCTCGGCAATGGTACCACGGAGGTAGTTGGACTGGATCTTGATGTCCTCGTTGGTCATGGGGGCAGGCTCCTCGGGGAGACCCTCGACGTTGTCGACGCCGAGAGCACGCCAGATCTTGGGCTCCCACTCCTGGTAGCCGGTCTGGTATCCATCGGGGTCCTGGTCGTCACCGAGACCGATGTCGGCAAGTCTCTTACCACCAAGGTTGGAGAGGACACGGTCGAGGTCCTTCGCGGGCTTGTTGTAGTAGATTCTGTCCTCCTTGCGGGGCCAGTAGTGACGGTCACCGAGACCGAAAACGGAGTAGTTGACGTTGGCCAGGTCAAGCTCGGTGTTGTCCTTGACAGCATCCCAGAGAGGGCGACCGTTCTGGGGGAACTCACCCTGACCGGCGGTGGAGCTGATGAAGACGATGTTCTCCTCGGAAGGAAGGTCCTCGATGGGGTAGTCCTCCATGACCATGACCTTGGTCTTCAGGCCGCGAGCCTTACCGCGGTTGCCGAGACGCTTGGCGACAGTGGTAGCATTGCCGTTGTCAGAGGCGTACAGGACGGTAAGAGGGGCGCCGAAGAGACCCTCAAGGAGCTGGTCGTAAGCATCCTTGGCCTTGCGCTTCTGCTGAGCCCTAACCTCAGTACCGAAGTCCTGGGACAGGTTGGCAGCGAAGATGGGGTCCTTCTTCATGATCTGAGTGAGCTGGTTGTCACGGTCAAGGAAGGCCTTGAGCTCGCTCTTGATGCGCTCAGAGTCAAGGGCGAAGTTGGGCTCGCCCTTGGCCTCGTTGTTAGGGTTCCAGCGGTACAGGGGCCAGTAGCCAACGTCGATGGCCTTCTTGGTCTCCTGGAGGACGGTCAGGGGAGAGTCGGCTTCTCCGTTGTAGGGAAGGTAGGCCATGACGACGGAGGGACCATCGAACTGGTCGGCCTCGAGCATAGCCTGCAGGACCTGGGTGTAAGAGCCGTAGACGGCGGTGGAGGCAACATAGGCGTTGCCAAAGTTCATCGCGTACAGACCAATGTCCTTCTTGCGGCGGTTAGCATCAGCGGCAGCACGCTCGGAGTAGGGAGTGGAGTCAATGATGAGCATGTTGACGTTCTCGCCGGAAGCAAGGACATGGTGCACACCAGAGTTTCCAAGATCGTAAGCCCAGGCGTCAGAGCCAACGAGCCACAGGGACTCCTTGCGGAAGAGACGCTTGCTGGAGAGGAGGTTGCGGGCAAGAGAGGAACCGTCAGTCTCAAGGCGGGGGATAAGGTCGTCGGCGATTTCATTCGCCTTCTTGGAATCACCAGCGTTGGCGACCCAGCGGGCAAGCCAGCTCTTGGGGGAGTCAGTAACGAACTGGTTGCTGTTGGCAGCCTCCTTAACCTCGTTAAGGAAGCGCACGCGGCGCTCCTTACGAGCCAACAAGGAACCGAAACCGAACTCAGGGCTGGCCTGGATGGAAGCGTTGATACCGGCATTGCTAGACTTCAGGGCGTTGGCAACGTAGGCACGCTGACCAAAGAGCTGGTCGAGAATCTTGGTGTAAGAGGTCTCGACCTTGGGCTTCTCAAGACCATACTCAAGAACCTCACGAGGGACCTCCTTGCGGCCGACCTCAAGGTTCTGAACAGGGTTCTCGGAAGTCAGGTTCTGCAGGACGCCACGGAAGGCCTGGACGACAGTCTTGGGGTCGATGTAGCCGAGCTGGTAGCCGACAACAGTTTGGACGCCACCAGGGCCGTTCTTCACACTGGTGAGAACGTCAATGAGGGTGGGTCCCCATTTGGTGGTCTTGCGGTGGATCTGCTCAAGAACAGCAATGCGCTTCACGGACTTGGGCAGGGCCTCAACGAGAGCGGAGCTAAGCCAAGGGCGGTAGAGTCTAGGGGTGATGATGCCGACCTTGGAGAAGTCACCTCCACGGCGGGCCTGGTCAATCACATCGCCGAAGTAGTAAGCTCCGGAGCCGAAGACGAACAGGCAGTTCTCGGCATTGGAGGGGCCGGCGTAGAAAAAGGCCTGGTATTCACGGCCGGTAACACGCTTAATCTGGGCCCAGATGCCGTTGGCATACTTGAGGATATCCTCGGACGAGACGACGGGCAGCGACGACTCGATAGTGGTGGCATTGGACGACACCACTGACGGGGGGCTATCGGTGACGCTGTGCTCGCTGGACTGGACCGAGGCCCGGGACGAGTCAAGCTTGGAGTGCACGGACGAAGCGAGTTCGGAAGAGCTCAGACCACCTAGGGTGGAGCCGGTCGGCGGCACGTCGGGTCGGTCTGAGGCGACCGGCAGTCGGCCGTCATCGGCATAGATGCCGACAGCCGATTCCGTGCCGTTGGAAGGCTGCTGGAACCGTCTGGCAGCATCAACATCGAGAATCTGTCGCACGACGTCGAGGTCCTCGGCTTCAATGGCAGCGTCATCCTCGCTCGAGGCAGAAGCGAAGAAGTGGACAACACCCTTTCCGGAGCGCAGAGCCAGGGCGTGGGCAGTCAAGGCCAGGTCCTGAGCCTCCTGCAGTGACTCGGACTGCAAGAAGGTCCATCCTGAGTTGCGGATGGCTGTGATGGCAGAGAAGTCGGGGAAGCCAGCGGGCTGGAGAGAGACGTGCAGGACGATGGGGTAGTTTGCCAGCTTGTAGAGGTGGGAGATGGCGGGCAGAAGGACGGAGGAGGACGTCGTGACGGAGACGAGCTTGCCGGCGCGGGTGGGCGCGAAGACGGAGAGAAGAGGATCAGCGTTATGTCTAACGTGCTGGACCTGTAGATTGAGGAACCATTGTTAGCTTCTTGAATGATCAATTGCAAGCTGGGGACGAATTGCTGCTCACCTCTGGCACGGCGGCCTTTGCGACGAGACTCTTGTCGCCGCGAGCGACGTAGCGCTTCAGGTGGGAAGAGAACTCGGAGTCCTTAGCCAATGACGGCTGGACGGAGACGATGACGTCGCTGGAGAGGTAGGCAATTCTTGCAACTGTGGTGAGAGCATCATGTTAGCTGTCGTTGACCATCATCATTGACGCTATCGCCATCGCCATTGCCATCGTCCTTTTTCCTCTTCTTCATCACGGCTCCTTCCAGCTCGGCCCCTTCTGCAACCACTAAAGCGGGTTGACGGGTGCTGGAGGCGACAAATAGCCAAGCTGTGATTGGTCGAAGCCACATGCAGCTGAAAGCTCACTGTAATTACAGTGGGCAAAGCACCCAAAGAATGACACAGCTACAGGCGGCTGTAAAACCGGGGGGCGAAAGCAACAGTGGCAGAGCAAACAAGAGCAAATAAAAAAAGAAAACTTACCAGCCTCTCCAGGCGTCTGAATCTGGCCTCTTGTCGGTGCCATTGTCGTCGATATGTGTGAGATGTAGTGTAAGTGTTTTTGGAGGGGGTATCGTTGAAAGTTGTTATCCCTCTAAATTCAACCTCCTCTTCGCCCTGAACCAGTACCAGTTACAGGGAGTTTGGAGGGAATGTGAAGAATTAACAAACGTATAACAACAGCAGCAACACACAACGGCAACCCAACTGACGAAGGGTAATAAAAAAAAGGAAAAAGTCAATGACGGATTTGGAGCAAGGCAAGAGGCAAAGGCAGAGCAAGGGGAAAACTGCGAAACAGCTCCGATGTTCTGCTTTTGGTTTTATTTCCTTTTCCTTTGCGGGAGAGAGAGAGAGACAGGTCTGTCGCTGTTCCCACCGAACAATTTTGCCCCGCAGAAAACAATGAATTTTGTCGACATCAGGGTCGATTGCGTGATCGGCTAGCGCAGCGTCTCCCCCAGTCCATTCGCTGGTTGCTCTGCCGCACTGCTCGAACTGCGCCGCGGGTTGCTTGGGTGCATTTTTTCGGGGTGTCATGCCCGGCCAGGTCCAGCGTGCCCAGTTGTGGGCGGGTGGCCAAGCCCAGAAATCCCAGTGTACCGGTCGCGGCACTATTTGCCTGATTCGGTACCTCTGGTATTTGTAACTATTTTCTTTCTGTCTCTCACTCTGTGTCTGGGACGAACATGATGACTAAAAACTTGAGATATACAGTTGAGGATACAAGAAAATTACCGTGTAGCTTCGTTACCCCGGCCTCTCCCATCCACAAGGTCGCATGCTCCCGCAATGGCTGGGGAATTCTCACTAACAACTTAAACGTAACATAAGCAAGTTTAGCTCAAAGTGCTTCTCATTTGCTCCCACAACCAGTGGGGGTGGTGGCCAGGGGAGGAGATGGACGAAACAAGAGGTAGGGAATAGTGAAAAAAAAAAAAAGTTGCCGTAAGGTCGTGTAGGTCAGCTATGGAATCGATGGCCGAATGCCGAAAAACGCCGTGGTCGGTCAGTGGGCTTGTAGCCGCTTCACTCCAGCCGCTGCCGCCTTGCCTCACATACGTAGTACAAAGTCCGCACTATGGCAGTATGGCATCTGTAGTATGGTATGGTAGCAGTAAGCCAGCAAGGAGGCGAGTCAACCAACATTCTACGCCTCAATAAGAGGGTACCTGGGTCCGGCCAGATGCTCCATATCCCGTCGTGGACCCCGTCTCGCGTCCCCATTCCCCCGGGGAATCTTTCGGATTACAAATTGTGAGTCCTGGATTAGTGCCAGCCTCTGCCAGCCTCTGCCAGTTTCTGTTCAGTCACCGGACTGCATCCTCCTCCTCATCCACCATTGCCCCCTTACGACGAATCACCAATTCAGAAAAAGACTGAATATGTATTACAATGTATTACTATGTATCTTACGATCGTTGTGCGTGTGTGTGAGTGTGTGTGTGTGTGCTGTATATCCGTTTGCAGTTCCATAAATCGGGATTTGGAAACCCGTCTGCCAATGATCCCAAGTCCCACTCCTAATCGCCTGTGACTCCCAACTTGAATAATTCTTCTTATCCAATCGTCCATTCGCCGATGACCTGTAGGAACGTCGTCGTTGGCCCTCGACGAGATGATTAAACCCCGAAATGTCGTCTTTCGTGACCCACCAATTTGCGTGTACCATCCACATTAAAAACATTCCCCATCTCGAAGTATGACAATTCGCGATGGCGCCATCGATGGATCTTTTTTTTTTCTCCGTCATCGCTGGGTAATAGCCGCCCGCGAGCCGGCTCCAGCTGGGCGGTCAGCACAGTTGCCGCCGACGCTGCCGTTGCCGTTCCCACCGATGCCGACACCCTGGTCCATCAAGAAAACTCCACCTCATGCTCGGAAAGCCGTCCGTAAAATATTAGTTTAAACACCGGCATGCCGGAACTTTGCGCTCATCGCGCTCGCCCACTCCTCCTGCGCCTTCTCGTCAAGCCAGTAACCACGGCCGAGAGCATACATCACGCGCCCAAGACGGCCACGATAGCCCTCGCCGGCTGCCTCGCCCACAGAGAAAGGACCGTCTGAGCCCTTCTTGCGGCCCTCCTCCTCCCAGCCCATCTCTGTGTAACGTTGCAGCACCTGCTGCGCAAAAGACATGACGATGATGGCAAAATAGACGCGTACCAGCGTCACAGAAATGATCAGGCCCAAGCTCATCCACGACTCCTGTGGGCCGATATGCTTAGTAGTCTTGGGGACGTCAGGAACCACAGGCGCGCCGTTCGTGAGCGCTTCCTCTGCGATCTCGGCGCCAGATGGCACACCAGCGCTCCCGGGATGCTTCTCCAGAGCGGAGCTGTTGAGATACCAACTAACGGCGAAGAAGGTGGTGTACCCGATGTTGAGAAGTGTATCGATGAGGTAAAGCCATGCAAGTCCGAGCGCCTCAAACGGACTTTGCTTGCGGATGTGAGGCATGAACATGGCCAGGCAAAAGAGGACGCCGACGGAGTAGAGATACATTGTGAGTTGTGTGATCGACAGTTCGTAGCCAGTAAGAATCGCAAGGATGCCGTAAAGACCGGTCAGTCGGTTGAAGAGAAGAATCAGCGAGATGAGCTCGGTGCCCGTCTGGAGGCTGGCGCAGCCCAGAAATGTCTGTCGCGCGCAACTCGAGTCAGAATTGAACATGGTGATGATGGTGATGTCCAACGCTTAGCGCCGACAGGGTTTTCACGAACCTTTGGGCGCGGAAACCGCAATCTAAATCTCGAGAGAGCCATTTTTTTTTTTTGGATGTTGTTATTGTTCTTACTTCTCTCCTGGTCCTACGTAGGTCGTGTATGTTGAAAGAGAATGGGGTTGCGTCAGAAAAAGGGTCCAGGAGCTCTTGAAGGTTTGGTAAGCTTAAGGTAGTGTGTTGCAACCCCGTCACATTTTAACCAAAGCGGCTGCGCCGGATGACATGGCCGCAAAGAGTGGAAAGACCCTGCGTTCTCGATGACATGATGTGCCCCACCTGGTCCGTCATAAGCCCACTCCCTGGGGCGTGTCATAGCGCTCTGTACGCGGATCAGAACCTGCAGATTGTTGGTGAATCTGGCCCCAGGGGCCCACCACCGCTGTCACTCGGCCACTTGATGGACTCGACGGGTCCCCGGCACTTGGTGACAGTCCGTAACGGAACCGCGGACATCGGCCAGCGCGCGCGGAGATTCAAATCAGAAAAGGGATTTAGCCTTGTGGTACTTCGGGCGGTGAACATGTTAATTTCCAAGCTTATTTCGTTTAACAGTAGCCAGATCAAGCGGAGGTAGCCAACGTCGTCTACCAACTTTCAGAGTATACATGAGGAGCCTTTTTTTTCACATTACACTGTCCAAAACTCTAGTTGGGAAAATCATGTGAAAGAGTAAAAAAGCCATTAAATCTAAGTATGTACTAACGACCGTGGATTATAGCCCGTTATTATACAAACTGCAACTGATGCTGAAAATCCTCATTGCACGCTATGCTTAAGATGTCCTGCCCCGCCAGTCATGTCGTAACGTAACGGCAATTCAGCCCCGCGTTGTCCGCTACGGCTTGCCTCGGGGGGCTTCTTCAGCCACTTGCTTCTTTTTAAACGTCGTCTAGCATGCACATCCCTCTTGCGAGGACTGGGCAGGGGTTGTCTTCACATCAATCACTGCTGGCAGTTAGCAATCCGTCCGCATAATCAAAGGCGACAGCCTTCCACAAGCCCCGAGGGGGTACGTACTTTGACTAGAGGCCTGTTGGGCAGCGTCCGTTCCCTCCATGCCGGGTAGGGCTTGCGCTATTCTCTTGAACAATGTCTTGACGTTGTGGCCCAACTTTGCACTGGTCTCCACGAACATGAGATTGTTCTTCTTGGCCTCATCCTCTCCCTGCTGCGTCGTCACCTCCCTCTTGTCGTTCAAATCCGTCTTGTTGCCCACAAGAACGATGATGACATCGTTTCCTCTCTCGGCGCGCACGTCGTCGATCCACTTCTTTGTGTTTTGGAATGATTTCGCATCTTTGAACCAGGTGGTTAGCTTGTCGGTCCGGAGTCTCCAGTCTCACGATGAGGGTGTCACATACTTGAGATATCGTAAACGACAACTGCAACGCTTGAGTCGCGGATGTACGAGGGAATCAAACTGCGGAATCGTTCTTGGCCTGCGGTATCCCAAAGCTGTAACCTCACCGTCCGGTCCTCAAGGTACATCGTCTGCGATCGGTTAGAAAGAGGCAAAACCGTTCTGAAGCTAAAGAAAGCTTGCCTTGGAGAGGAAGTCGATGCCGATGGTCGCCTGGTACATATTGTCGAACGAGTCGTACATGAATCGGGTAATAAGGGAAGTTTTCCCCACTGCAACAAATCGTGTTAGCGAGGGAGGGAAAACGTGAAAGGACAGACAAGGCAAGCCGTACCACTCTGCTCGCCCAAGAAGACAAGCCTATATCCAGGACGTCAGTATTAAAGCACGTAATGTCCCCTTTATCGTGATTTCATATCATACTTGAACTTCTTGAGTGGGTTGTTGTAAGACCCGCCTGCGCCGGACGCCATGGTTGCCAAGTATACAAGATGATTAAAGGGAAGCTCGACGTAGTATCGAAAGGAACACAGTCGACACTAAAGAAAGGTACGACTACGACGATGGACGACCGATAAACTTGCTGCAAGGGGAAGCAAGGGGTGAAGGAGGGGACAGGATGGGAACGTCAACGAGTCGAGGGAGATTCGGTGATGGGGAACAAGGCGTCGTTCGGGGTGGTCGCAACCTGGAAATTGAGAACTCAACGGTAAAAGGAGGTCAACTTTCGTGAGGGTGTGGTCAAGGCGACCATTGGGGGGGGGGGATAACCTGACCAATTACCCACTTATTTTGTGATTTGTGGGGCTACCCTGAGATCAGCTGACCATGGTCAGCTAGTTAGCTATGGTCAGGTTGAAATTCCTTAGCGCGGTTTGAAACCTCACCCTTGACATACTTTTTGTAAGAACATACGACATTTAAACGCTTCCAAATCCGTTCCGAATCGATTTACAATGGCTCTTCAATCGATTGAAAATCTCTTCCCTCGCCTAGAGGGAATAAGTCCTCTGTTAGAACCTACTAGTCTTGATGCAGAAGCTGAAGAAGACTTAAATCTTTACTATCAACTACCAGCCCAGGCCCAGTCTGGCTTACCAGTAAATGAGGAGGTAGGGATATATGAGAACGACTTTGGAATTAGTTCTAAATCGATTCAGGATCAACTCGAAACCGATTCAGAAATACCTCCAACACTTGTTTCATCAGAGGCAACCCGTTCTGGGCATAATAGCCTCAGGGATGTTCATGTACTTGCTCAAAAAGTAATCTTTCTACCTACATTTATAGAATATCCAGAAACAAGTGAGAATGGAGTCCTTTATGTTATTGATATAAGGACTTTAAATGAGGAGGATATTAAATCGCCTTGGAGAATGGTAAACGAACTACTTTTGAATCGATCCGGGATCGATCCCGAACTACTTCAGAACTAATTACATCACAGATTCAGTACAACCATGCCCGGCAATTCCCACCAAAACGGACGACTTCAGCATTCCTTCAAAATGCTGTTTGTTTACGTTCAACTTACACTTGTACAGGTGGAAAGGCATGCTCTTATTTCGATCAGAATCTTCCATGCTGGAAGCATCAGAAAGTTACCCCAGAAATCTTGCAAAGTATTGAAGCATTACGAACAGAGGTACTACAGTATGATCTCAAACGGAAAGCAGTTTCGTAAGCATTCAGAATCGATTCCGAACGGGTTCGGAACCCTTTTAGAAATAATATACTAATACTTATAAATAGATGGGCACAAGCACAGATAAAACGTTTCCAACAACATACCGCCTGCCGACCGTTTACAGAAAGATGTAGTCTTGAAGTAGTTAATACAGAGTATGGGGTAAGAAGCCTTTCTGAATGGATTGGGAATCAATTTGGAACTGATTCGGAATCACTTTAGTATATTCCAGGAACTTCCCAGATTACAGCCCGCTGCATCTGCTGGTCACAAAGTCTCCAAGGAGAAAACCATTATATTGGCTTTCCTCCAATCGAATTCCAGCTATATTTACCTCTAATCAAAACTATACTTCAAGGGGGAAGTATAGAAGAAAGCTCCCCTACTGATAGCTGTTATCTTTTTGCTAGCAATAAGAGGAGAATTACACGATGCGGTAAGTAAATTAGTATCGAATCGATTCCAAATGGGTTCCCAACTGATTCTGAATCAATCTAGACGCTAATCATATCGTTCCTGAAACAATTCTTCAAATTACGTGTTCAGTAAAATGGAACTTCTGGGTCCCGCTTGATCTAGAAGCTACCCCAGTTATTCTTCTAACTTCTCATGGGGTCCATTTACATCCACCACCACCACCAGTTAGAGCCCCAGCTAGTATTATATCTAGGCTGCAACAGGTAGTCCAGAAGATCAATCAACCTAGAACGGGGTTAAGTGAGAATCCTTTTAGAATCGTTTCCGAACCGATTCAGAACTAATCCAGTATTGATTCTAGATGCATTCCTACAATCTCGCGAACTTCAGGAATTCTGTGATACTTATAATAGCCAGACTATTACAAGCGTTCATCAAAGTCTAGCAAATACAGACTTCTTACGCTCAATTATCCGTAAACAAGAAGCAATTAGCTTTCCAGCAGGCTGTTCACGTCTAGCGATTTGGTATGAATACCAGTATGCTCAAACTAGGCGTCAAATTCGGGTATGAAGTGATTCTGAATCGGTTCTGAGCGGGTTCAATACTAATTTACTTATAGTATATTCAGTACTTTAATGATGACGGCAATACATACCTATGTATTGTATTTCATGCAGAGCAAGCTGAATTATGGAAGAAAGAGGCTTTTAATACTTTCCAGGTAGATACAAACTATAAACATCTAGCTGGAAAGGAGGAAGTTGAGGTTATTTGGGGATGGTATAATTCGATATCTTCGAAAGGTGCGTAATCGCTTCTAAATCGATTTAGAACGGATTCTTAACAGATTCCTAACTATTTTAGCAATTCCACTTATCCGAGTTTTTACCAATTCTGAAAGTACAGAAATGTATCAGCAGATGTATACAATTGTGTTTAAACTACTTTATAAGAAATTTGGATATAAAGTCAAGTGGAAACACCTTCATGGTAGGGGTCTACTAGGTATTACAGTTGATCAAGACCATAAAAACCTTATTGGTATGGGTTCTTAATAGTTTCTAAACCGATTCAGAACCGATTTATAACTAATTATCTAGGGTTTGGGAAATATCTATCTCTGGAATGTGACCCAGAGCATAGACCATGGGCATGGCAGGTTGAACGCTCTGTACGCTTCTGTTTAATTCATTTCCAACGAGGGATTGAGGCATACTGTACAGAAGACCGTAGCCCTGACTCTCTATGGAATCAAATGCGCAGCCTACTATTCTGCCGTTCCTCAGAAGACTACTTCGCTTTATGTCAGGCATTTGAGAGTAAGGATCAATTCTATATCGCTTCCGAGTCGCTTCAGAATCACTTGGGAACTAATTTACTTAGCTGAACCTCAAATAAAAGCATGGGCTCAACATAAAGCCCGAAAAACAATTGCAGCTGGACTTAATCAGAACTGCTCTAAAATCCCCTTATCAGATTGGAGTCAATTCATACCTAATACAAATACTGTTGAGGTTTTACATGAAGCCTCATATACTTGGAGTAATCGGTATTTACCATTACTTACATGTATCCAGAAGTAAGTTTGGAATCCCTTCTGAATTGATTCGGAATTGGTTTGGAATGCGTTGAGAACTAATTCAAAAGTACTTAGATGTGCAGAATACGATCGCCATCTTTTAGAGCAGGATACAGTGTTTACAACACTAGGAATCCGGCTTTCCTGGAAAGATGTTTCTATTATTAGCCGTTATAATACAGCTGCAAGCCGTTTACGTAAGTTAAAAATACTTTAATATTTATTAATAATTATTTCTAAATTATTTTAGAACTTAAACGCCAACGCCAGAGGGAATCCCGTGAGCAACTAGATAATGAACGTGTTGAAAGGCTTTTATCAACCCGACTCTTTACGTCTAGTCCCTCAAGGGGTACTAATTCAAGAAGTCCATCCTCAATTCCGAATCGATCCCGAAGTCTTTCAGAAGCGATTCGGAATCGATCCCCTCGTCTTTCCCATGCTTCATCTTCTGGGGTTATTAGGTCAAATACTCTCCAAAGAACATCTATTTCTAACTTAAGAAACGAAATCAGACAGGGACAACAAGATGACTTTGACTTACAGAAGCAAAGTCTAGAATTAGAAGAAAAGCGATTAGAATTAGAAGCAAGAAAACTTCTAGTTGAAAAACAGAAGCTTGAATTACAAGAAAAGGAACTAGAGTTAGCAGAGCGGCGGAGAAGGTTAGGACTTTGATAGCATATAGGATAGGTAGAGAATCGATTCTAAATCATTTCTATATTGATTTAGAAATGCTTTTTTAAAAAAAAGCTTAAAAACCGAACGCCCCGGGTATCTATAAAGAATTGATTCTAAAGCGGTTCCAAATCGGTCCCGAAAGAAGTCCCAAACTGGTTCCAAACCGATCCTGAATTGATTCAGGCCTCATCTTCTTCATCATCCTCAAAGCGGGCCCAGACCTCACATTCCTGATCGCGAAGGGCGGGAGGACATTCTGAATCGATTCGTAATTAGTTCTGAACTGCTTCAAGACTGATTCTAAACTTACTAGCATTGCGGGCAGTGGTGCAGTAGGTGCACTTGCCCTTGGCAGGGAAGCCGGCGGCGCGACGCATTTCGGCGAAGTTGATCTGTTGCAGAATCGATTCAGAATGGGTTCCAAAAGGATTCCGGATCGATTGAGAATCACTTACCACAGTTTGGTTGCCCCGCTTGCGCGTGGGCACGGCAAGAAGGGGGGGAGGGGTCTGCGCCTTCCGTTTCTTGGAAGGAGTCTGCAGCTCGCTGTCATCGCGAGCGCCGATGGCGATGCCGTGGATGCGGTCGTAGAATTCTATTCATAATCAGTTTAGAACTAGTTCAGAATCGGTACAGAATCAGTTCAGAATCACTTACCAGCTGCATCATCGTTCTCCTCGACGGAGTTCGCGCCGGACTTGCGGCTCTTAACCTTGGCCGGGACCCCGTCGAGCTTGTGCTTCTTGATGTGGTTCTTGAGGTTCGACTCGCTCGAGAACCGCTCCGTCTAATCGATTCGAAATTAGTTCTGAACTGATCCGGAACTGATTCTGAATTACCTTGGTGCACGTGATGCTGCTGGATCTACCACCCAGCGGCAGTAGAGTTCGCCAGGGGCGAGCTTGACTTCGCCAGCCTGAATCGATTCAGAACTGTTTCTGAATCGTTGTGGAATCGCTTCTGAATCACTTACCTCGTTGAACACTTACAGAATCCTTGTATGAAGGCATGATGTCGGATTTCTGAACTGATTCGGAAGTAATTAGGAATCGGTGCGCCAGGGGGGGGGGGGGGGGGGGCGCATACGATTTGAAAGGGTTACGGAGGGAAAAGGAAGAGAATCAGAATGGAAAAGGGTTACGGAGGGAAAAGGAAGAGAATCAGAATGGAATAGGGATTTAAATATTAATATGGGGTATGCACCCCAATCAGTAGTGGGACGCAATCAGTAACTGGTCCGTGCACCTGACCGATTAAAAATTCCATGGTCAGGTGGACCCACTTCACCTGAATACAGCCAATCATAAAATTGGTCAGATAGACCCATAATTCATTTAAATAAGTGGGTAATTGGTCAGGTTATCCCCCCCCCCAATGGTCGCCTTGACCATACCCTCACTTTCGTCCTGGGCGCATTGCAGCAAGGGCCCCCATCATCCATTGAGGTGGAAGATCGATAAGGATGGGTCCCGCCTTATCACGTGCTGATAACTTATATGTGTGGGTCCATCGATTGCGATAAGGGAAAATTTCTGGACGTTCTGGGCCCCTCCGGCGAAGAAAGTCCCAGCGGCTCCAAGGCAAGCGAAAGGGACGGTTGACCATCAAACGGCCGGGTACGCAGATCGACTTTTACGACACACACAACACCTGGGGAAATCTTTACAACCTGAAACATCGACAGGTCCAACAATTGCATAGTCAAACCGTCAAAGATGCCTGTCCTCAAACCCCTTGCGGGCGACGGCGATGCGCCGCAGCAACACAAGCAACCCTCAAGAAAAGGAAAAAAGGCGTGGCGGAAGAATGTCGACGTGACCGAGGTTCAGGACGGTCTCGACGAGTTGAACAAGCAGATTATTCAGGGGTATGTCATAGAAGCCAGTCATATCCGACATGAGGACATTCTCATGCTAACAATTCCAAAGTGGTGTCGTCGCAGAGAAGGACTCAGCAGACCTTTTCACCCTCGACACGGTCGGCAAGGTCGAGAAGCGCACCAAGCCCAAGAAGACTCTCAAGTCAGACGAAATTATCGCCGCTCGCTCCGCCGTCCCCCCAGTTTTCTCGCGCAAGAAGCGTGAAAACGAAGCCTCGAAAACTAACGACGGCCTCCTCCCCGTCAAGCGCCAGCGCACCGATTGGGTCTCCCACAAGGAGCTCGCGCGCCTTCGCAAGGTTGCCGACGGCCAGCACGAATCTTCTATCACCGTTCAGGATGCCACTTACGATCTCTGGGGTGCTCCCGCGCCCACTGCAGTGGCAGAGAAGGCGGACGACAAGGACAACTTCATCCCGCCTGTAGTAAAAGCCAAGCCCCCCAAGACGCTCAAGCACCAGCCCATCTCTCTCACGGCCAGCGGCAAGCAAATTCCTGCGGTTATCAAGCCCAGCGGAGGCTACTCTTACAACCCCACTTTTGACGACTACGCCGACCGCCTGGAGGAAGAGAGTGCCAAGGCCGTTGCAGCGGAGGAAGCCCGTCTCGCTGCCGAAGAAGCTGACCGCCTTAAGCGGGAAGCCGCAGCCCGGTCAGGCGCCGAAGCCGATGCCGCTGAAGCACGCGCGCAGCTGTCAGAATGGGACGAGGACTCCGCCTGGGAGGGCTTCGAGAGCGGTGTCGACGATGACAAGCCTTCGCTCAAGCGCCCGCAGCGCAAGACACCGTCCCAGAGAAACCGCATCAAGCGCCGCAAGGAGGCGGAGCGCGAAGCCAAGCACCAACTCGCCATGAAGAAGAAGGCTGCGCAGGAGGAACGCATCAAGCAGATCGCTGCTGAGATTGCCGAACGTGACGCGGCAAAGAGCGCTCTGGAGCTCGCCAAGGAGGTTGGAGAGGGCAGTGATGCGGATGATGACGATGATATCGTTGATGAAGGCCCGCTGAGGAGACGGCAACTGGGCAAGTACAAGCTGCCTGAGAAGGATCTTGAGCTGGTCTTGCCGGATGAGCTGCAGGATTCGCTGCGGTTGTTGAGGCCCGAAGGCAACCTTCTCAAGGACCGGTACCGCAGCATGCTCCTCCGTGGCAAGGTGGAGGTCAGAAGGCACCTTCCATTCAAGAAGCAGGCCAGGACGAAGCTCACAGAGAAGTGGCAATACAAGGATTTCAAGATTTAGAGGGGCGATATACGATAAAGGGCATCATAAAAGTAGTAATTCAAAAAGCGTTGTACTTTCGTGTTCACTCAATTTCCATCTGGCATGGCACACTTGAACTAGGTTTGCTTGAACGACAAATGGAATTATGAGACGTCTTCCTTAGTCCCTTTCACAAGCCTTTCGTAGCGCTCTATCTTAGGCATCGCCAAGGATGCTTCTTATGCCCTTCTTACTCCTCAGGGTATGCTAACACATAATAAAAAAAACAATTCATACAACACACTCGAGCCAAAAGATTAGTAGCTCATCAGGTCTGCAAGCTGTTAGTGACTGCACGCAAAAGATATTGAAGATTTTCATGGGCTTACCTCTTCCAAACAGACCACGCTTGGCCCAGTCCATGGCAAGCAAAATACGCGTCCGCAAGCTGACACTCTGCGCGAAGTAGACAGACCGCCACATATACACCGCCCACAAGCCACCAGAGAAGCTCCAACCCTGGCCCCAGTCGAATACAGCCGAGTTGCCAATATAAGCCAGGCTTCCCAGATGGTGGTACTCGAAAGCCTTATATACCACGGAATCAATATCACCGTCCAATACCTGGTTTGCCTTGAGGCCGTCCGAGGTGCGTGCCATCTTGTTGAACTTGTGAGCCAGGTATTGGCCCTGCTGGTGAGCGCGCTGGGCGGTCGCCGGCAGCGAAGTAAGCTTCGAGTCGATCTGCTTCAGGAGCTCTCTAAGCTCGCCGAAATCGAGAGTACCAGACTGGTCCTTGTCGAACTGTTCAAACAGCTTGTCGAGGCGCTTGAGATGGTTAACAGCCTGGGGGAAGCGCTTTCGCACGTCATTGGCGACGTCACGCCAGTCGCTAAAGTGCAGCTCCAAGTTCTCGGGATCCTTGCCACGCTTGTAGGCGACACCACGAAGGAAAGTGATAATGTGATCAGCAACGTTGTTCTGGACGGTCGAGCAGTCGCCAATGGCGTATACATCGCCTAGAGGCGTACCATTCAGGCGGAGATGGGTATCAGTTTCAAGGGCATGGCGGTTCGTCTGCGAGGGGCCAAGCTTAGCGGAAAGCCGCTTGCAAAGATCAGTCTGGGAGACACCAGTAGACCAGAGACAGAATCCCATGGGGAGCTCTTTGGTGAGAAGCGAACCATCGGCTTGCTTCTGAGTGAAGACAATCTTGTCGGGCTGGACTTCCTTGACGCGGGAGTTGGTAAGAACGTCGATCTGGTCGCGGGCGAAGTGCTCTTCAGCATACTTAGAAACGGTCTCATCGTAGGTGTTGAGGATGTGACTGCGGCTCTGAATGATATGGACAGAAATTTCGTTACGAAGGAGCTTGGGGAAATGGTTCGTCAGGTCCTCATTCAGCATATCGAAAAGCTCAGCAGCGAATTCAACGCCAGTGGGCCCGCCGCCACTGACAACAAAGGAAAGCAAGCGCTTCCGCTCAGTGTCACAGGTGGTAGGCAAGCAGGCTTGCTCGAGGTTGTGCATGACCTGATTCCGAACCCTGCGTGCATCGGCAATATCTTTCAGGAAGTGAGCGTTCTCAAGTCCCTTGACACCATGGGGGTTCGTGGTGGATCCAACGGCAATGACCAGCTTATCGTAGGGGACATAGAAACGGGTGACGTTCCCAGAAGCATCGGTTTCGGAGCACTCGATCAGTTTGTGAGAAAACTCGACATCCTCTGCCCTGGCGCGGATGAAGTGGCCATTGACGCGAGAGAGAATTCGGCGAACAGGTTCGACCAGAGATCTCAATTCCAGAGTTCCAACGGTGGCAGACGGTAACATAGGCGTGAACAGGAAGTAGTTTGTTGGCGAGATAACAGTGACATGGTAGTCGTCCGGGTTAAGCTCCTTGAGCAGCGCAACGCCACCCCAACCGCCGCCCAAAATGACCAGCTTCGGTTTGTCCTTTACTTTCTTCATTTCTTCGGTGTCCAAGTCGTCGATGAGTACTTCGGCGATAGGGAGGTCCTTTGGCCCGCCCCGCCTGGGGTTCAGGGCCAGCGCGGAGACTTGGATCTCTGCTTGGTCAGGGTGCTCTTTGTAGGTAGAAGCATCGTAAATGAAGAATCCGACAATGCCTAAGCCGACAAAAATGATACCGCCGCCGAGCCATGCGGCTCCACGATACGCGAGGTAAAGAAGCCGAGATTTCGGCCTAGGCAATGGCGTGCTGGAGACGGAACGAACGAGAGGGCCTTTGGGCAAACCATGAGCGCTGAAGAAGGTATTCGTGAGTGGGATTCGGTTTCGTGATCGTTGCGGAATGTTAGCAAAGGTACGCCTTTGCGAAAGGCTAGCGACCTGTGGTCGGCATGACGGCAGTGCCTTGAGGATATTGGGAGAGGAGGCTGTCGACTGCTGGGCGGCGCGCGAGAGGCGCATCAGCGCCGAAGTGGTGGGAGGCATTTAATGATTATCGCGGCAATTGGATCTCAGCGGATTTCCAACAAGAAGCTCAGGGGAATCAAATCAACAAGGAGATGTCATGTCGAAACGAGTGAAGGGAGCAGGATAGCTCTGCTGCAAGTTGTCGCAATTTCAGCCTCTGTAATGCAGACTGAGAAACTTGGTGAATGAAGCTTCTTTTGCTGGGACAAAATCAATATGTAATAGCTACGAAAAAAAAGAATGATCCTAGGAGCTGGCGGGATAGCTCCCTGACATATGCGTAATGATGCTGGTACTAAGTCAATTCCAGGCCATGTCACCTCCGAGGAGCTCCTGTCCCGGCGACTCCAGCAAGTGCGTCATAGTTCGGTTAAGCCGAAAACTCGCCTGGCATGCAATTATACAGCATGGGACCCGCCGCCAGAAGCTTCCAAACTTGGCCGGAGCCTTCCTCCGACCCTGGGTGGTTGTCTACTTTCAATAATTCTTTCCAATCGAATTTGAATCCCAATTGCATATCGCCGCCAACCGACCCTCTTCTCGGACTTTCGTCTCAAGTTCTTGGCCGTGGTCGGCGTTGGGGGTCTGATCCCCCGAGCTGGCAGCTCTGTCTTTCAGGGGTCCTCGCGATAAAAACTACGCGGTAATAATGGCGACACAGTGAGCTCAGTCAGCGGCATGTATTCTTCATGCCGGGTGCCGTTGATTCCCACAGATTCTTCCCACTCTTCGGTGTCCTTTCGGCCAATTAAACTCTAGCCTAGCCAATGATATGCACTGCGGTCGCAGCCAGATATGGCTCAGGCGGATCTTGCATACGAAACTGCGCCTTTTACATCTGTATCGACGTGCAACATCCTGGCAACGAATCTCATATCTTGGCATTGCCACGTTCCTTTAACTAATAGACCTTACTGTTTACTATGTTGTTGGACTATTGTAACAGATACAGATTGCGTCAAGTAGATCTTCATCGTTTACATATTCAAGCTTGCAACTAGCATCGGAAGTATCTCTTCTCGACCCAGCGTTCCTCAATGTCTGCGAGCATATTACACAGCACAATTGTGATGCCAGGGAATACCTTCGCAAGTCGGTGAACTCCCAGTCTTCCAGCGGCATAACAAGCCAGCACGATTTTCTCTTGGGCGACGCCGTGGTCGACGAGGACCTGGACCGCCATAAGGGCGGCACCTCCACTCGCCATTTGCGTATCAATAAGCAGGACAGCCTCGTCCTCGTCGATGTTGACTGGGAGCTTGAGGTAATGTAGCTCGGGCTCCCCCGTCCGTACGTTAGACTGGATAAGGACTCTGCCCGTTCTGATGTCTGGCACGACTCTCTTCAATGCTGTCTCGAAGGCTGCACCGCCTCGGAGAACGAGCACTGCACTTACGGTCCCCTTGGCTACTAGGCCGTGATATTTGTGGCCCTGGGGCGTGGCAATCGTCTTCTCCTCGAAGTGCACATTATTCAACGCCCTAAATAATCAGTTGCTGCAAAAATAGCCAAGCAGATCATTCCACTCACTGTTCGATCAAGAGACAAGCTAGCCTGTCGAAATAGAAGATGAAATCTTCTCCCGAGGTATCAATATCCTGAATAATGGTGCTCATGCCTCTGAGCTGGGGTGTCTGGCCCAGGATCACAACCCTGTCAGATAACGGCTCGCTCGCAGCGGCAAGCTCCAGTTGGGTAAGAGCCGCGCGGTGGTGGGTCGATTTCTCGATTAACTTTCGCTCGATGTACTGGACGACCATGGCTGATGGGATGGATAATTAGTCAACGTCGGACGCAATAAAGAAGCATACTCACCCATGGCGACATGATTTTCGATTCCTCTAGGAACAATGATGTCTATCCGGCGTCAGTACTAGCTGAGAGCGGCTTGCTCACTTGAAGTCGCTCACCTGCTACCTTTCGCTGAGGCTCAACGAACTAAAGCATAGTCAGAAAAATGAATTGCGTAGAGTCATTAAAGCACTCACCTTCTCAAAGTTTGGCTTTACAAATGTGAACCACTGCTTGATGATACCCTCAACATCTCGACCGCGTTCCTTAACGTCTCTCAAGACTAATGCATCAGATCAGTACATTGCCCAATGTCCATGGGTCTCCCTGCTACTGACCTCTTCGAGACAGGCATGTATCAGCATCTGCCTCACAGAATATCTAGAGAACAGTAAGCAGTGAAAACCTTGGGACATGATGGGACCAGATATACCCTCATGTCCAGTAGGTCCAGGATGCGCGGATCATGAAGGGCAAAAATACCCTCCAGGATGATCACGTGAGGCGAGTAGATGGTTGTAGTGTTGTCAAGGCGCTGATGCTTTACAAAAGAGTATACAGGAATCTCTGCCCGCTTGCTGGTGGATATCAGTCGCGGAACGGTACGAAGAGCGTGTCACAGTGACGATGCTCCTTGTCTGGATTATCGCTACTATGAATTAAAAAAGACCTACCCAGCCTTGAGGTCCCGTAGACATTGTACGAGCACATCAAAATCGATGGCCTACAAGGGCGTGTTAATAACATTGCTCATAAGAGTCAAAACATTATGCTTACTTCTGGTGAATCAAAATCAAACTCGTTGGCAAGCGCCTTTTTGGATTGCTCAGGTGTTAAAGGGTTGTAAAAAGAGTCCTGTCATCAAGTCGAGTTAGAGATATTGGTGAGTGGCAGTTGGCGGGGTAAAAATTGTAATCACCATGGATAAGATAACCACCCAGGGCAGATTCAGCTTCCTAATAATGGCATGCGAAAGCGTGGACTTGCCGGATCCTGAGCTGCCCGCAATACCGATGATACTGACATCTGCCCATGGTGGTGAGTAGTGAGTCCGTCGCTGGATCGTCACATGAGATTCGGTGCCGTTTATCTCGTCAGCCATTTCGGAGCTCTCCGATGTTGAAAAGGGGAGATGATGTCGGGTAGTTGCAGCTTGGGCCTCAAGTTCCTGCAGCTCGGAAAGCAAAAGAAAGGGCACACTGCAGAAGTTGAGATTCCTTTGGAATCCCAACGCCTTGAAAGCAAGAGAGAAAAGAGGGTATAAAAATGCAGAGAAGAGAGCACGAGTGAGGCAAAAGTTCAAGGGTCCAGTCTCTAGAGATAAGCGCTGAGGGGATGCTTGACTTTGACAAGCCTGCCCCGGTGGAGCTTTCGTTTGTTAAGGTACCGCGTCGAAGAAATGCTTGCTACTTCGAGCCACCACACGAGCCAGTAATTCAACTCGTGCGAGAGGTCTTAGAAAATAAGAGGGCTATTATAGGTTTAAAAGAATACTCGAATGATGTAAAGAGGAGAACAAGAGCAAGACGGATAGTTCAAAGGCTTGTGCTCGTGTGCCTCTTTACTTTAAACCGCTGGACCTAGTTATACCGTTTCTAGACGCAGCCTCCTCAGCACGCTTCGCTTAGGCACAGAGGGTGCACTGTACTGAAGAGTTGGGGTTTAGCTCTGATACCTTCCTGTCTTGTGCTTTCCAGTGGAGCTCGCCCTGTGCTCGACGATTTCTTGCCCTGTCTAGCCCTGTTCAAGCCCGCTTTCAGCACCTGTTCATGTGGTCGCCTTACATAATTTAGGGTGCCCCACGCTCGAGCACCGGCTGATCCTGTTATTGGTCGCCTGCAGCTCAAACTTTGGAACCGAATAAAGCTCCGCTCCAGCCTCTTTCTCTTTGTTCTGACGTTTTCTCCCTCTTCCACATCCAATCCTTTTTTCCTTCCTTTTCACAGCTTCTTTCAAGCTCTTCCAACAACACAACCGGGGGACTCGACTGGCCACTCAAATGTGACGACGGCCCAGACTTGTTCCTGCTTTGCGTTTCTCATATGCTTTAGCTGGTTGAAATATTTTGCACCCGACGTCGCATGTCAGGATTGCCGGACATCAACGACCCAACAGCGATAGCAGTTTGGAATAGAGCTGCTGCTCGGCTCGTGCGGGAGACCTTGGAGAGAATAATGGTCCGTTGAAAGCTCCTGTGCCCTCTTTCCCAAGGGGCTGCAGCTAAGATGTCATTCAGACTTCGTCTGCGTCGACTGCCACTCCCATGAAGCATGCCTTCGAAAGGCGTGTTCAGGACGTGAAGTCGCCCAAGAGGTAAGCCGTTTTTTTCTTCTATTCTGCATACACTAGTCGTGCGCTAGCTCTCTACGCGCGCCTCACCCCCTCCCTCAGTTCACATGATGATTTACTATCAAATGGGAATCTCTCCTAGCAATTAACATGCGGAAAACCCGATATAAAATTTTACCCTGATATTTCAGCTGTTTTACCTACTACTCGCAATGCGACCCACTGCAAGAAGAGGCTTGTGCTAACATGGACCTCTAGCGACATCAATGCTCTGATCCTCGACTACCTTACTATGGAAGGGTATCCGAATGCTGCAGCCAAGTTCAGCAAGGAAGCCAATCTGCAACCTCACCAGATTGACGAGACGATCAAAGTCCGTCAGCAGATACAAAAGTCCATTCACACCGGCAGTATCCAGTCTGCTATCGAGGCTTTGAATGACTTTGATTCAGAGGTATGCGTTCACTTTTTTTTTTCTTCCTCTGTATCTCTCTTGTGCTGTGATTAGAAACCGAGTTTTACATGCACCACTCATACTAGCCCTTCGGGTCTTTGATGAGAAAAACCACTTGTATATGAGCTTTCATTTAACATATCATCATGTCATGCATCTATGTTTATTTTCTCATGGACTGACAAATGATTCAGATTCTGGACCGGGATCCTACCCTTCACTTCGCACTGCTTCGCCTTCAGCTTGTCGAGCTGATTCGGGCATGTACGTCAACGCCTGGCGGAGACATCACCCCTGCTTTGTCGTTTGCGACGAATCATCTAGGTCCACGGGCACCTACAGACCCTCGCTTTCTTAAAGATCTTGAGGAGACGATGGCTCTGTTGATCTTCCCACACAATGACCTTGAACCCCAGTTGGCTGCTATCTTGCATCCAGACTTGAGACGAGATGTGGCAGATGATGTCAACAAGGCTATCTTGCAGCGTCAGTCGGAGCGTCGGGAAGCCGCGATCCGACAGTTGGTTAAGATGCGCGCATGGGCTGAGACAGCTGCCCGAGCGGACAAGAAGGCCCTGCCTGACAGGATAAGCCTTGGCTTGAATGGGGATGAAAGTGATGGGCATGACCCAATGCTGTTATCTTGAAATGAGCAGCTGTTCTTGGAGAACGACGATCCATAATCGGACGTTGAATGAGAGCGAACTGACAGGCAAAGTGAGGATTCTGAAAGAGCATGGCGTTTAGAACATGATCGTATTTTTGCAAGGAGGGTTAGGAGGATCGGCGTATCCTGGGGCGTTGGGAATATCCGGTCACGACTGCATGATATCATGTTACAATTATATAGCTACAAGACCGCGGTATCGGGTCAAACAGGAGACCGATTGGCAATAGAAGACTATTGGGCAAACTTGTCCACACATGAAAAATCTTGCACCGTTAAATTGAATTGGCAGGCCTTGCCTGATGCGCTTCCAAGCCGTGTTAACGCCCAAACCGTCGGACTTGATGTTCAGGTCAGCGGGCCTGTCATTGACCAATCGTGTGGGCCATAAGTCCGCTTACGATTGTCCCGCAGTTCGCCCATGCTGAAAGCCATAATATTTAGACATGCTCTCCAGGTGTCAAAAACTACCCTCGTTGTACAGCACAATACTAAAAGACTTGACGAGGTTCTATTTTAGTTTCATCCTGTTATCGTCTTCACATTAATGGAAAAAGAAGCCCCGAGTCTAGCACCATGACCGCAGAATGAAAAGATAAACGAAAACGTTCTTGCGAGGGTTATATACATTTGATACAGTCGTCTATTTGGTTCGGATGTGCTTGAGCTTCTTGGGGGAGTAAAGGAAGTTGTTGGCATAGGCCTTGGGGGTGATTTTCCTCGACTGTGGTTCCTGGACAAAGTACTCGTAGCCCTGCTTCTCAGCGAAGTGGATGGCGTCCTCCTTGGACTTGAAGTTGAGCTTGGTGCCCTGCATCATGTCACCAGATGACTGCCAGCCCATCAGAGGGTTCTCCCACCGATGACCCTTGGGGAGAATGTCCCAGTCCATACGCCAGTGGTGACCCTGCCAGTTACCGGACTGTGTGGCGGGCTTCGCCTCCTGGTAGATGCTTTACGTGCCAACCTCACATTAGTATCATAGTTCTGCAGAGGAAACCAAGGTGGCGGGTTGGGTGTATCGAGGTGTATGCGTACCGAACAGTTCGGGCCTGGAGCTCGATGGGAGCGCCGGAGATGACAGCGGCCTGGATGTAAGGGACATCTTCGCTGCCATTCTGGAGCTTCTTGGGGACGGGGGTGAAGGTGCTGGAATACACATTAGCGCCTGGGTTCCTCTGGAGACCAATTGAGCGCTAAGAGAGAGGAGTCTCACGAGGTCGCCTTATCAGCCTGGATGCTGTAATCGGGCTGGTTCTGTTCGGTCGAGGGAGGGACGGCAGCAGGAGGAGCTTGCGTGGTGGTAGCGACGGAGCTCTCGAATCGGCGAGCAGTCAACGGCAGGGAAGCTCGGAAAGGAGCGGCGCTCCGCAGCAGGCGGGCTGCACTCTGAGATCGAAGGGATGCCATTGCAACGAATTGGCGACTCTCCTCAATTGATCAGACAGGGAAGTCGACGTCAACGTCGGTAGATGGGGATAATTGGCAGTGAAGGTGGTGGTTGATGTTCGGGTCGGCACTGGTCAAGGCGTGAAGGGCCTTGCTGGGGCTCTTTCCCTGTTTTGCGCGACGCTGATTGGTGGCCGCAAGAACCTTGACCCGAAGAGAAACGAGTGCTTTTCGTCAAACCTCACTTCGGCAACCAGCACCGCATCATCCACCTTTGCAGCATCAGCCTCCGTACCGTCGAAATTGAAGTCAATTGAACCGCTCAATTGACCGTCTTGCCGAGCGACCGACGTCACCCTCTTTTCTTCGCGATTCCGATACCCAGACAACATGAGCTTCGTCACCCGCCGCGGTCTTTCGACCCTCATCCCCCCCAAGGTACGCAGAACATCCCTTCTTCCGCCGGTCCGCCGAGCAGCAAACCACGTCGGGCAGCAGAGCTAATTACGATGCATCTAGGTCGCCTCTCCTAAGGTACGATTTGATTCCGATTTTTTATTGTTTTGATGAATGGCCGAGCTATTGCGAAGATAACGCCGCGAAGTCGGAGGTCGGCGCGGGAACATACGGGCGAAAAGATGGCAGAGACTGGACGGAGCTCCTCGGAGCTAGGAGATCAGAAAAAAAAAACCCAAATCAAACATGGCGACAACGACAACGACAACGAGATTCGCTAACATTTGTCGATATTTCAGGCCCTTGGTGCGGACCCCAACGCCGTCCGCATGCAGCGCGTCGTCAACTTCTACGAGAAGCTCCCCCGTGGCGCGGCTCCCGAGGCCAAGGCTACTGGTCTTCTCGGCCGCTACGCCGCCAAGCACTTCAACGGCAAGAACGCCTCTGCGAAGCGTATGTCATACCCTTGACTCCGATTAAATTCAGGCGGAATAGGACATGTTTAGCTAATGACCGACATGCAGCCATCATCCACGCCCTTGGTTTCCTCCTTGTCATCGGCTACGCCCAGAACTACTACTTCCACCTCCGTAAGTTAACCTCTTGAGACGGCGGGCGCCAGTTCAAACGAAAGGACGGTAAAGCATTCGATGTGACGATGCTAACTATTCTGCAGGCCACCACAAGAACAATGCTCACTAAGCGATTCTCAGTCGATTGTAGCCCAGCCGTAGGCTGTGTAATGGCATTGGGACTGTGTATATAAGAATTAGAAGCTATTTTCTCCGGGAGGAGGCTCCTCGGCAAATTCCTTTTTGTGTCCGACATGTTTACCGCGTATGCACATGCAGTTACCCCTCAAATGTGATGCCGAGGGTAGAGCCGATAAACAGTCCCGAGTTTTTTTGGTCGACTAGACTCACAAGAAGTAGACCAGAAGTCTGCTGCTGAGAATTAGTTTCAACTAACGGAAGATTGACTGAGTGAGTAGTATTGCGTAATGGCCAGTGACCCCCAACCACCCAGGACGCTTGATGCGGTTGCAGGCACGCGGTGGTCTGAGAAGTGGGAAAAAAGAGTGGTAATAGATAATTGATTTTGGATACGACATGTGCATCCTGGTGGCAACGGGACATTGAAACTTTACTCCTTTTGTTTCCAAGAGATAATATTGTTAATGCCGTCATAAAACATGATGGACTACAGGGCGGTATAGCCGTGTAAAACAAATGTCAAGTCAGAGAAAGACTGGATTACTATGCCGGGTGGTTCTGGTTTTCGCGGCCAAAAGAAACTGCCCAGACGGAGGGGGGACCTGTTGATCAATGCAGAATCCAAGAATAGGCATTCAGTGTCGGGGAATCCCGCGACGGCTCCCATCGTTCCTCTAACCTCCTTCTCCAACCAGCCCAGCCAGTCCAGTCCACCAGCCTACTAGTAGCCAGTCCAGCACAGTCCTAGTCCTGCACAGTGAGTCATCTGGCCGCACTGTCACAGCCTCACGCTGCCGTCGGGTCGGTGGTATGTCCACGTCGTCGTCAGTGGGCAGGCCCCAGTGGATCCACTAGTTTCCCTCACCTGCCCCCCTCTTATGGTCTTCCTCGCACAGTCAGCACTGAACAGACATGGGGGGAATCACTACCACTCTGTCCGCCCAGACACACTATACTCTACACTGGGCACAGCACACTGGACACCTCTCGCTGTTCCCCCCTGTCGCACGCTAATCCCTGATTAGGCGGCTGCAGCTCCTCTGGAAAATCAACCTCACAACCATCACAGCCGCATAAGTGTGCCCTTTTACCACCACCTCTCCCCCCCCAATCAGCCCAGCGCTCCCTTTTTTAAAATCTTCCCACCCTTTATACGACTGCCACGACAACCGACGACTTCTCGTCCGACTGGTAGGGGACTACGGAATCCCGCGACTCTCGACATCGCCTCAACCCCGCGATCCGATCCTTGAACCGATCCCGAATTGTCTGCGACTCGTCGCCGCCCCGGTCGACAATCGAAACTAATCAGACCCCCCAAACCCAAAACCCCAGATTTAGTCCTTCTCGGTGACTCGAGCCCGGAAAAGCGACCGCCCACCCAACCTCGCTCTTCCAGCGCAGAACGACCGACGACGTATGATGGCAACTGAAGCCACTCTCGCCGCCCCCGTCGATGCTTCTGTCCACTCTGACTCCAAGCTCGTGAGTCCCGCCCTTCCTTTCCCCTCTCTCCCAGAAACTTCACACCGCTGGCGCCCGCCAGATGATCACCACGTTTCCTCTTCCACATGTTTCCCTTCCCTACCGCTCATGCCACACGTTGCATGTTATTCAAACCCCCCTCGACTCAGTATCTGTGGTCGCGATGGCTGACGTAGGGTTCTTGTCCATGTCCGAACAGACTAACGACGCTGACAACGACTCTCACAATGTCGGCCCCAACCGTGCGAAACTGAATGGCAGTCCCGCCGTCGATGACTTGGAAAATAAGCATATCACCGGTATCGAAGATCAGGTCATTTCAGCAGACGTCAGTGTGAGTGGGGGATCAGATACAGAAGCATCACGGACCGCTCGAGATGGGGAGAAGGGCCATGGCAGAACGTCATCAACTGTCAAGAAGCCTGCGACATTCAAGGCTGTCTCTGTCAACAAGACTTTCCTAGCCGCGAAAGGCGCTGCGAGTATTTCTGCCGCCAAACCTGCCGAGAAGAACAACTCAGCATCCATTCTGAGCTCATCGCCCTCAGGATCATCTACCCTGTCAGCGTCACGACCGAGACTTGTTGCGAAGACTGGGAGCGGCACTGGCTCTGTGCCACGGCTTGCCTCAGCGGCCAACGGCGCCAAGTCCGCCTCCGGTCCTGATCCGAACGCAGTATGGAACAAGAATCGACGTAAGGATATCGGGTTGTTCGTGGAGGCTCTAGGCTATTGTGCTAACCGTCGTTTCCAGCTGTTCCTGCCCCGGAACCCAAAAAGCTGACAGATGAGGAACTTAAGAAGTATGGCATCCATATGGCGAGCCGACTGGCTCCGGAAAGCGCACAGGCGCAGGGTAATTGGGCGGATATAGAAGACGACGATGACGATTGGGCGCCTGAAACCATTACCTGGACCGATGGCACCAAGACAACCCTACCGCACCCTGACGAAACGCCCGCGCCGCCTCCCGAGCCTACACCCGCCCCAGCTCCTGCGCCAGCTCCTGCGCCTGCTCCGCCGAAGGAAAAGATGATTGAGAAGCCGAAATCGCCTGCGCCCCCCCGCAACGCCCCTTCTCCTTCCACGAAACCCGGCGTGCTTCCTTCTGGAAAGGGCTTGATTCTCAAGGGTGGTTCCGCCGACAAACCAACTCTCGTCGCAAAGCCACCTGCACCGCCAACTCCTGTCAAGTCACCATGGGCCCCTTTACCACCTATCGAGAAGGCCCCTCCTCTTGTAACGGAGCCGCCAGCCCCTCCACAGGCGGCTGGACTTCGGTTTTCTACCAGAGATCAGCCAGGTAGGAATAACACGCCGCCACCGTATGCAAGAGAAATTGCTGCCGATGACTTCAACCGGTCCGCTTGGAAAGAAGGCCCGGGAGGTGGAAATCGCGAGCTATATAATTCACAGTCCGGACGATACGAACCTGTCAACGATCGGAGAGGCTCATTCCGATCCGACGCACATGGCAGACAACCTCCCGTGTTGCAGCGTCCGTCCCAGTCCGATCACCCTGAACCCTCCGCGGCTTTCCAAACCAGTAGGACGACGATGCCCGACGGCCCATTTAGCAGACGCCGTGGATCCTCGAACGTTAGTGCCGGGAGCGGATCCTTTATTCAAAGACCTGGCAAGGGGCATGAACTACCGCTGCCGCCTCAAGAGCTGCTCAACGCTCGGAGAGGCTCCGTTACCGCCTCTATTGACAGCCCTGTATCGCCGCGAAACTTCTCTCCCTCGGGTCTGCAACATGGCCCCCGGGTGCATGGCAACCAGCAATGGCAACCACGCGCCTCCCCCGGTACTAACTACGCCAGCCTTCATTCAACCGGCCCTCCAGTGGCTCCAGATGGAAGACAGGTTCAACCGCCGCCGCCAATGGCTCGTTTGGAGGAGGATATCGAGTTGCAGAAAAAGATCATGCGAGAGAAGCGTGAGTTGGCGATGCAACGGAGACGTGAAGAGGAGGCTCGCGAGGAGGCTGCGCGAAGGGAACGTATCAAGGCCAAGTTGGACGCCATGGGACCACCCCCGGAACGCAAGAGTGCCAAAAAGGATTCTCCCGAAGACCCCAACGCGGTTGCCCAACCGCAAACGCCACAACACGACGGCTCGGCCGGATCAGACACTGTGTCGCAGTCTAGAGAGTCTGCAGCCAGCTCTGGCCCATCAACTGTGCCAACGACAGTCGCCAGCGTTAATGAGAAACCCTTCAACGAAAGGCCTCCAACCGGCGATTCTGAACACAGTCGACGACCAGGCGGACATGATGCAAGACAGGCCAACCCATGGGATGCTCAAGCGCCCCAGCAGGAGCGCCTTCCCACCTGGGGATCTGCCGCTCAGCAGGCTACTAGAAATGTTTGGGGATCTCCTAACAACGACCGTGGCCTTGGCAACGGCACTTTCAATACTGATATTGCCCGTCTACCAGAGTCACAGGCAGGCCAGCTTCCCCCGGCCCCAGCCAAGCAGGGCCCCGCGCCCATTGCACCACCCAGCATGCAGAGAATTCAAAACCCACTTCCGGCTTCGAGCCAAGCTCGTCCTACCGCGGGAGCTCCTCGTGAGATAAACGAGATGCGCAACAGATGGTCAAATTCGGTGCTCGATGGTGACAAGACGATGCTCGACGAGCGAAGGACCCAGCGTCTTGAACGCGATCGGCAACTTAATGAACGTGGTATTACTATTGACCAGGCTCAGGCCTCAATCAAAGAGACTTGGCGACCATCTGGCGACAGCAGACGTGACCCTGCTCATGTCATTCATGAAGTGGCGGCCAGCACTGCACCAGGCTCTATTTTGCCCCCGACTGGACCCTCCGCATCACAAGCGCGGCCTTCCAGGTTCTTCCCGCCCAAAGACAGCAGACACGATGCCTCGGCCCACGCCACTGAGCCCTCCCGGCCCAACTCGCCTTCGCCGCCCCCTCCTGATATGCTTGGCCACCCTGCCTACGACGGCGACGCACTTCGCCCTCATGTCTCCCTGCCACGCCCGCATCCTGTGGTCAAGCTGCCCCCCTCAGCATCGGCTGCGCAACCTGCTTCGGGAAGACCTGGCGCACCTCTTGCGTGGGCGAACCCGGCTGGATATAAGGACGGCTCTACCACCCATTCCCGCGGAACCTACCACCAGGCAAGTGTACCGCAGCGACACCAAGATCACGGGAACGAAAACTGGCAGGATCGTATCAACAACCTGCTCACGGGAAGGAAGCCCAACTCGCCGCCAAAAGCCCCTGGCGTTGAGCCTGTCAGCAAGAGTGCTCTAGATCACTCGGGCCACTATAACCCCGCAACGGTGTCTTTGCCTCGCTCAGCAGCTCAACCCTCGTCAGATGATACCAAATCCTTTACAACGAAGCCGATGGCAGAGGAATGTTTTGAGGAGCAGGAGATGGGCTCACTGCCGCAGATCAAGTTCCCGCACAAAACTCCGGATGCGGCTTGGCACCCGGCCGTAGCCCCGGCCAAACCGTTGCCCCGGCGCTTCTGGGTTTCGGATATTGAGACAGTGCGTTCGCTATGGATCCCTCACGATATGTCGGCCAGCGGCAGCGTGTATCGTGTTCAACTTCCTGGCATGGCCGAGGCCAAGACGATTCCACTCCCGTTCTCTAGGTCAGCGAGCAACCCCCGACGCTCTAGTGGGCGCGGCGGACAACGCGGCGGGAGCGGACCCAGCCATCGAGGCGGCAAGGGCCGCGACTCTTCGTACTCGGGCGATGCAAGCAGCTCGGCACCTCCTTCTGGCCGTGGCGGTCGCGGTGGCTATCGGGGACGCGGAAGTGAGAACTGGTCGCGCCGGAGCCCTGCCAGCCAAGCAGCATAAGCTTGGCGTCGCAAATATAACACTTTCAGAATATATCACCACGTTGACCACCCACGGTGGACAACATACACTACCAACCGTAACCGGCGAATGCAACAGCCATCTTGGTGTAGACCAAGCCGTCATGATATCGTACGATTCCTGTTCCGCATGCTACAAACTGTACGCATGCTCGAACTGCTCCGCCATTAGCGGAAGGCAGTGTGTACCATTTCAAAAAACTTTGATTATTTTCGCAGAGAGCGTTTTGCGTTTCGGACTTTGCAGGCCCTTTAGTCGGTCGGATTGCTTTGGTCGGTATATGAAGCTTGACCGAGAACCTCGGCACAGGACGCGGACAAATGGGGTTGGGAGGAAGCGAGAGCGAACTCTTTTTGTGACTTTTTTCTACTTCTCTACAACACACAAACAAGCACTATCGTCCTCGCCTGCATCCAATCGAATCTCGCCAACTTGAAACAAGGAGCCCAACCCGCCACTCACGAGGCTTGAATGGATAACGCGCTGATAGATCCTGTTGACCAAGGTCCGGCGTTACTTCACACGTCTTAGTTAACATATCACACACTCATGAACAGAGAGCGAGGGGCCAATGTGGACTGGATGGTGGGGGGTCACGGGGATAACGCGGTCTTTTACATACCTGATGTTAAAGGAAGGCTAACTTATGGAAACTCGGGGGCCACAAAAGGATTTGTCTTGCGGCGGGCAGCGGCTGCTAGCGGACGGTCTATGTGTCCTTCGTAATTGCAGTTCAGAAAATTCACAAACAAATGATGAAAACACAGCTATTGTTTGCTGCCTGAAGAGTGTTGACTTGATTGAGTGAGATTGATAATGATGAATAGCAAGGCACGTTGAGAGTTTGGCCTTCTCAAAGCATAGCCTGCTGGATGCTGTTGATACCCTATGCCTCATGCCGAATAACACGGGCAGCGCAGCGGAGGAAGTTGAGGAAAATATAGCTGACACGGGCGCTCGCCAGCAGCCTCAGCCACATGCCCCGCGAGAGCTCACGCCGCCAAGTGGTAACTCTGGCGATAGCTTGGACACAAGGAGATGGACGACGATGGCGTCCCTGTGCCTTGTCTGTCTTGAAACATGCAGAGCAGGTATAGTATCGGGTATGATACAGCAATATTTGTGGGTGGAATGAGAATTCGGTGCTTCTTGCTTCCTTCGTCGCTTGTGCAGTTTATCGTTGTGGGTACCTTAAATATGGCGTAGTCGATGGGGAAAAATAAGAGTGTGATAATGCGCAAGGGAATTATGTTTAATATGAACGAAACTCGATCCTTCTTTTTGCAGCTTTGTGGCTCTTGGTTACATGTCTCCTGGTGGGTTTGTTTTCCATTCACAGCTGATAATGCCGAGGGCTCGTTATGTCTGGTATTGTGTCACTTGCGTTTTCTCAGCTTTAAGGTCACATCTTTTGTTGTTGTTTTAAGAGCATGCGTTTTTTTGCGAGTATCTGAGTCGTTGTCGATGTTCCATAGAGCTTGTTGATACACTATAAAGGAGACATTGTATTGTTTTAGGTGGTGTTTGGGATCAGATATTGTATACGCATCGGTCGTGTAAACACAAGGAAAGGGGACGACTAAAATTATTCGACGTTTCCTTTGGTAGACGCGCATTTATGAATATTGCGCTAGATGTGGAATATATGGAGTATACGATACACCAAGGCTGCCACCAGAGATTCAGTATTGCCTGTGTTTGGATCAATTCAAGCAATGTGTAGTTGTTTTGTCTGCACCAGAAGTAGGTAGAAATAAATGTGTCCTCGCTCCGTGTCATACGGCGGTGCCTCGCAGCTGCTTTTCACGTCTTGGTTAGCTTTACCAATGAGCAATGGAGAAACTAGTAAACTAGGGTACATCAAACTGAGTGTGTATTTCTGCTGGACATATTTGTTCGTCGTCAGATGATACCGCAGCATTCATTTCTCCTTTAGTCAGATGGCAAACTGGAATAAACTAGCACAAGTATATCACAGCCTTGTGGGGCGCGGCTGATCAAGCATGGATGTAAAGACTATTTCTTGTTCTGAGTATTTACTGCTGTTGGCTACTGGTTTATCTTTTGACCCTACTTGCAAAAATACGGTCTACTGTTAGTCTCGCTATTCTTATGAGCAGATGGCTAGTCCTCATACTAAGATTCAAAGGCCACTGACTCAATGCCCACCATCACAGGTGCCAAACTCAATCGTTCTCAGATAACTAACGTATCTTATGGAAGACAGCATCCATCAAGATAAAGATCGACTCTTGTTGGCATCCGGAGTTCATTGGATGCTTTCATTTAAGCAACGTCGCAGTGGTTGAGGATAGCGAAAGCTCTTGAGGTTTTAATATACATATGTATATGTGTGTGTGTGTGTGTGTGTGTGTGTGTGTGTGTGTGTGTGTGTGTGTGTGTGTGTGTGTATGTGTGTGTGTGTGTGTGTGTGTGTGTGTGCGCGCGCGTATCCAAATGTGCTTTTTCAGAGGACTGCAGGGCTATAACGAATATTTGGAACAAAAAGTTTTGCTATTTAATCGAAAGACACGTGGCGAACTTTTTCAGCTGGTTGATTACAGGACTAGGAACTTATGAAGCCTTTTTAAAGTCATTGGCAATTCGAAAGCCTGAAAACAGTCCTCGAATAATAGAGATTTACTTTTGTCATCGGGACTCAGAGTCTGAATAACCGCGTTCTAATTTATCTATATTGGTCTTCTGTTCTTATTCGTCGCCCAGAATATCAAATGGATTCGACGAAGCCTTCTTCTCAGGCCGGACCTGTACCTCAACCTCCGCCGTCTTCTTTCGCTTCTTCTTCCGGCTTTTTGCTTCTTTGGAGGGCAAGAAGTCGCTCTCTGGGATCTCAAGAACCTCTCCCAGCTTAGCCAGCCCGCCGTTGGTCCTCAAGTCTGTGAGCAAAGCCATTGTGCCGTCTACATTTGGCCATTCCGTCAGGGGTGGCAGCGTCGCAAGAAGCTCTCGAATCTCGTCTAAACCGTCCGGCACGCTCTCAGCCTTGATGGCCTTCAAAAGATCCAGCACTTGAGCAAGGATGCGAAGGGAGTAGAGCGTCGCCTGTACCTGCGCTGACAGATGAACAACGTCCCACGGCACCAGACTGGAACCTGCTTCCACGGACAAGGCCTGCTTAATCGCACTAACGCATGCTTCTTGCTTCCCATCCGACTGAAATTGAGAAAGAATCTGCTGTAGAGCTATAGTTTGCCACATGGAATCATGTTCTCCAAGGCCCTCTTTGGCCTGGCTCAAGGTCTCCAGAAGGAAATCCGCGTAGTCTTTGATAGAGGGACGAGGAAGAATGATTATGTGCTTTCCTTGGTTGGTACCGTTGTATACCCTCCTATACTCTCTAACGGGAGGCGATGTTCTGGGTTGTAGCAGAGATGCCAAGCTGTATGCTAGCTGTCTGACAGAGGCACTACTATCCCATGCGCTTGCACGGGCAGGGCAGTCAAGAAGAGGCGGCAGACACATCATGCATCCGTCTCCGCCAGATTCTTGTGGAGATGACTTGGCGGCTCCAGAATAGCCAACGCACTGGAGAATAAACTCAGACAGCCTCGCGTCAAGCTTAGGGCTTTGCAAGCTGCCCAGTACCGGGACTGCGCTCCAATCCGTAGTTTCCAGCGTCTCGTACGGCTCGCAAAACCTGCGAAAATCTTCCAGATCCGAAACATCTCCCTTGCAGTTCTCAAGGACTTGGGCGAATTTAGGCCGACTGCTCTTGGAAAGCTCATATCCAAACCGACGCATTCCCTGCCCATCGGGGAGATTTAATCTCTTCTCGACGTCTGAGGGGGAGAACTTCAAGCCCAAAAGTCCATCCTTTCCGTCCGTAGATCCAATATGAAGATCCTTGAGGAAGGCAACAGAGCCTTCGTTCAGATCGTGGATGGTCAGGTCAGAGTCTGAAGTTAGGATTGTCCCGCCGTTCTTCATGACATCGTCCGCACAGTAGGCGTCAGCCTCTCCCGGTACAAGGCGAACCAGGTTTGCATACTTCTCTTCTTGGTTGAGCTTGTCTACAACAGCGGCAACCAAGAATGGTGGTGGCGGGGTCAACGGTTGATCTCTCCTAGGTGCGTCTGTTGGGAAGAGACGAGGCCGCTTGGGATGTGTTGCAGCAACCTGTTTCGATGGGCATGCGTTTGGGAATGCCGAGTGGAAGAGTTTCAACTGCGTTGATACTCTCAATAGTCTCTCCAAACGAACAGGAAGTTTGGCTGGTGGGAGAAAGCCGTCAAAGTAAATGGCACCGCTGTGAAGTGTAAGTTCTCAATGTTCGATTTTAGTATTGTCCAGGACGTGGTACATGGAAATATCGTGGCTTGTGAGCTTTTCAAGCCATGCGATGGTGGTATCACCGAGTAATTCATATGATGGGAGACCGATGCTGCTCCTTGTGCAGAGATGGTAGATATGATAGGCCAATGCAGGACCGTCAATTACCACCCTATCACCATCCAGAGGACCAAGGACGCCGTAAGGAGCTAAGTAGTTGACTAAGTGAGGAATTCCCATGACGATGATGTGAGCTCCAGTCTGTGGAGATCAGTCTTGGGGGACCTCTTCAGGCGGTCTCATGTGTTAGTTGGTGAAAGTGATGATTAAGGCTTTTTTTTATTTTATTTTTTATGGAGGGGTTACTCATACTGGTCTCAGGGTCTGTAAGCTCCAATTAGGAGTGGATATGATTAACTGAACCGCCAATCAATAAGCCTTTGATTAACAACATAGAATTATACCAGAAATACTTAGTACCACGAAAAGAAGAGTCAAAGATAATCAAAGGGGGCTGAAGTTGTCCACCAGCGTCACTAAAGAAAAGAAAGACTTCAATTTCGGATGTACCTGCCAGAATGGGAGGCACGGACATCGTGGGGTCTACGTGCCCAACACTGTACAGCTTGAAAAGTCTATGGAGGTTCGTTAGTTTGGGGCCGGATAAATACAGTAAGAATAATCACTTCTTCCGGCGGATTTTCGTGAACGCACTGTATGACCCCACCAGGCTGTTGCTCCGTACCCGTTCGTCGGCTTAACCACCACCCCCTGGCCCAACTCAATTTTTCCTTTCGCAGGTAATAAAAGCTCCCCGCTACGCGAACCAAAACTCTTCGACCTTCGCATTCTTTTTGCAAAATGCGCGGCACTCTCATCTTCCCGGGCTCCTCGTGCCCAGCCCTCACTACTCAAATATGTGAGAACCTGGGCATGGCTCCTGCTTCGGCAGAGCTCACCCAATTTTCCAATGTAAGCTGAAGTGCGATCTTGCTTCTTTGGTCTCTCCCGAAGACACAGAATTTGCTGCCGTTGAAACCAACGGCGGGGGGGAGAGCGCTGCCTATTGTCGCAGCCTCTCCTGCCACTGCCTTGATTGGATCAATTCCAAACTTGTTTGGACTCCCTGTTGAGGCTGACCCGTCAAACAAAAGGGCGAGACGAGCGTTCGAATCTTGACCAGCGTCCGAGAGAAGGATGTCTTTGTCGTCCAGTCTGGCAGCGCCAATGTCAACGACACCATTATGGAGCTGTTGATCATGATCTCGGCCTGCAAGGGCGGTTCGGCCAACAAGATTACTGGTAAGCATACATCCTGTTTCTCTATCCATCATTATTGTTTTGCTAACATTCCCCTCCAGCTGTGCTGCCGTACTTCCCCTACAGTCGTCAGTCCAAGAAGAAATCCCACCGCGGTGCTATCACGGCGAGAATGCTTGCGAACCTCCTCGGTATTGCGGGTGTGAAGCACGTCATCACCGTCGATCTCCACGCATCCCAGATGCAGGGCTTCTTCAAGTGCCCCGTTGACAACCTCCACGCCGAGCCGTTGATCGCGAGATGGATCCGCCACAATGTGCCCAACTGGAAGGAGGCTGTCGTGGTTTCTAAGAATGCTGGTGGCACCAAGCGTGTAACATCGCTTGCGGATGCACTGAAGCTCAACTTTGGCATGGTCACCACCGAGAAAAAGCGCGGAGGAAACATGACGTCAAGTATGATCATGCATCATCTCGGCGACTTGGACCGCGAGCCAGTGTTGGAGAGCAGCCGTGCAGGCCCTGCTCCTAAAGAGAGACCTTCTACCCCCCCTGCCGGCGGTCGTGCTGTTAGAGTCAGAACCGACGCCCAGGGCTCTCCTCAACCTACCAACCCCCCTCGTTCTCATCCCCGCTCCATGGATGAGCGGCCTACAACTCCCACGCAGGCTAAGCCCCACGACGGTCCTATTGATGACGAGGAAGAGAGCGATGCACAGTATGATGATCGTCGTGCTCACGAAGTCACTCACGGACGTCTGGTTCAAGGTCACATCGTGGATGACGACTATCCATCCCCGGCCACTTCGACTGCGGGTGGCAGCATCCGCGACGAAGACCCCATGACCATGTCTCAAGCCTCCTCTTTCTTCGCTCCTCAGCCCCACGCCTTAGGTGGCTCGGGAGACGCTGCCCCCGAGTCCGACGAGGAGGATGACGTTCTCAAGGACCCCAAGATTGAGCACATGATCACTTTGGTCGGTGACGTTAAGAACAGATCTGTCTTCATCGTGGACGACATGATTGACAAGCCCGGCTCCTGGATCGCCGCGGCTGAGACTGTTGTCAAGAAGGGCCGCGCAAAGAAGGTGTACTGCATGGCCACCCATGGCGTGTTCGGTGGCGACTGCCTCGAGCAGATGCAGGCATGCGAGTGCATCGACACCATCCTTGTGACCAACAGCTTCCCGATTCCCGAGGACCAGGCGAAACGCTGCCCCAAGCTCGTTGTTCTGGACCTCTCCTTCCTTCTGGCCGAGGCCATCCGTCGTAACCACTACGGAGAATCCATTTCTCCCCTGTATCAGCACATTCTGGACTAGGATATCCAGTGAAGAGCGTGAGGCTGGATTTGTATTGATCAGATCGCTTAGCACGGCTTCTTTCTTGCTTTCTATTGTGAGAGTGGACTCTGGATTATGTGCATTCGAGTCCGGCTCTGTGTGGCATACTTGGGAGATGGCATTCTAGCGCGGCGTTCTGGGCGACGGCACGGCAAAGTGGAAAAGCCAGAATGGCGGCACAAACAAAAGAGGAGACCTGAAAATGGTCTGCCACTCTACCTTACATGGTCAGTATTAGACATGAATGATGATCTTGATACCTCAACCGACCGCTACCTTCGTGGTCTGTGTGTCTGCATGCAAACTGATATACTTTTCTTTTCCTTTGTTATCTCCGAGAGGAGCTGGGACAGCGTTACTGCTATGCCCTCTTATTTTGCACCAACGATGCTGTCTTCTGGACAGCAAGGGCTATCTTTATCCCAGAAGAAGTCCTTAACGGAGCGTTGGCAGATTGACTCGACTAAAAGAAGACACCTCGCTCAGTTTGCCTTTTGGCATTCACCACCTCCGGGATGGGTGGGCGAGGGGTAAGAGAAACCTTCGAACATCTCCCTATGTGAAATCCATGTTTTTGCTCGTAGATTTCTTTTTTGAACATATACTTGCGGATATTTTCCCGCCTTTAGTCTCTGTTCATCGCGATATGTTTTATACGCAGGATAATAATACAAACAATTTGCATTTTTTAACACTTTTGTTGGTCTTACACGTCGTGACATCGTCCTCAGGAATTAAGCCCTCACAGTCCGTCCGTCGTTGTATCCGCCCCTTTTCATGACGTATAAGCATAAACTAAAGTACATCTGTACATCGACAACTGTTTTTCTTTTGCTTCTTTTCTTCACTTTTCTTGTCGCCAAATCACTCAAACAGTTCCCATCCGTGGATCTCATCCAGCAGTTGTATGAACGTATTCTTGTCGTCCTCCTTGGCCCCCGCGGTGTCCTTGAGCAGCTCCTCGCCAAAGTTGCCCGAGCCCGCAGCCTTGATGATACGCCATGCGCGGCGGAACTCATCGCGAATCGAGACGATGCCGTTGTGCGTCACCGTACGAGCGACGTTGTGGTCGAGTTCAAAGGGGTCCTCGATCGCGAAGAGGTAGCGGTGGCGCACCTCCTTTACCTCGCCAGTTTTATGGACTGCTGACGTTGGCGTGGCGGTTGACTTGCTCGCGATGACGGGCGAAGCAACTTCCTGCGTTGTCGTGTCGGCGACTGTTGGCGTGGCCGGGCCGGAGGCCGATTTGAGCGACAGGTGTGCTGCGGGAGAGTTATCCGTGATAGGAGAATTAACGGCGTTGGGGCGGTATTCGATGACGGTTTTGGCGCCCGTCCATCCCTTATCAGACTTGGAGAGCAGGCCGCCCGGGGTTCGGATGCTTAGGACGTCGCGACCCCAATCGTAACCTCTGCCGGGGTACGTGCTCATCGCGCCATTTTGAGCGTAGTATTCGAAGAAGCCCCGAAGTAGTTGGCCGATTGAGTCGCGGTTGCCGTTGAGTTGATTCATCTGCGCGAGGCGGCGAATCTCGGCTTCATCCCGCCAGAAACCGACAAAGTGACCACGGCACATAATAGTATCGTCTAGCCCTGTCGGAGACATACCTTCGGGAGGCGGCGGAGGCCCAAGCTGCTGCAGGTTAGGGCAGACGAAAGGCTGGACAACGTTGACTAGGTAGTGAAGCATCATGAGGACGTAGCCGTAGCTACTGAGGGTGCCGCGGTAAGGGGTGTTGATGCCACGGACCTTGGCCCAGTGCTTGATGAAAAGGACTAGAGGCCGAACACGGGGGTCGGTGTGAGAGTAGCAGCGTAGCAGGAGAGTGTTTTGTAAGGCAAGATGGGCAGAGAAGTTGATATCGCATTGAACGCCCACACCACTCTTAGGGAACTCGAGCTTGTCTCTGTACGGATCGCGAGGCTGGTTGACAGACATCTTTGCAGGGTCTTTGAGCTCTCGCATTCTCTTGATAGTTTCGATGTTCTGCTTCGTAACGGGGATGACGTAGTCATAGTGAGGATCTTCCGCATTGCTCTGACGCATAGGGCCGCGGAGATATGAAATGTACTCTCTGATGTCGCTCTCGAGGCGAGACTCGTACAAGTGATGGTCCAAAGCTTTTTCCAGCTCCGACGCCAGCTGGAGACTTTTGTGGCGACGCGCAACCGCTGGGATACTGAGGCTCCCGGGGGTCGTCTCAATGAATTCTCGCACATGGTCGCGAATAGTGTTGGTCCAGATACCGGCTGTGTATCTGTCGATGATGAGACTTTTGGCAGCGTTCAGGTTGTTGGCTTCCCGAGGTCGAAGTTGCGATACTATTTTCAACGTCCTGGCGTGATAAGCACCTGCAGCCTCGTGCTGACTCTGCTCAAGTGTAAGCAGCTGAGCAGTTGGCAGCTTCCTCATCTTCTCTAAGTGTAGCTGCAACTGTTTGGTGTACGTCAGTGGCTCAACGCCAAAGTGTGGTTGATCTTGGAGTGTTTTCCAGGCGGATATGAGCATGCGAGTTGAGTCCTCCGTATCCTCTGGGCCCGCAATGGCGACATCTGCCTCGCAAAGCATGACAATTCTTTCGCCCTCCATTTGTGCGTAAACGCCTGCTAATGAACGGTAGTTGGGGACGTTAGGGAGTGGTTTGAAAGAAAGGGAAAGATAAGTTGATAGTCTGCTCTTGAGCTCCATATTGCGAAGCCCACAGAAGAATGCTTCACACACATTGTTGAGCAGCGCATAGTCACTCTCCGTGAGCTCGCGACAATTAGATACGGTAATATCGCGACCTCCCAGCTTTCTCAGCATTCGCTTTGCAACATTATAGTAAGCGGGAAGAGACATGTTATCTGACTGGCGAAGGTTGAGTGCTTTCGCTTCGGCAGAGCCAGTAAGAGGTGAGGAATGGATATCGGTCTTGTGGCCAGCTGGGTCATACGCCACATCATCGGTAATCTCCTTGGCATGAGTAGCCTCGCTGTCTACGAGATCTTCTTCGTTTTCTGCATCTCCATGATCAGCATCGACAATGCCTTTCTCCCATTTGTCGCGCTCCTCCAATAGATCAAGTCGAAGATTCTCAGGCGGCTTCTCACAGAGCTTAATGATTGGTACTCTTGTCCGAGTCAGGAGGCGGGCACCAAGGCCGAGATCGAGAAACGCCTTTTCGATAAGCCTGGGAATCGGAGAACCCGCGGCATCTGGCTGGGGTTGAGATAAGGGCGATACGAGACCGAGATCCATATCGGAAGCCTTAGTAGCAAAACCGGAGGAAAGGCTGCCAAAACACTTGAGCTCTACAGACAGGGGATGGAAGTTCTCGGCGCCGTTCTGATTCATTTCGTACTCAGCAACGGCGGCGCGACAGACTTGCTCGATCTTGAGCCTAAAGTTCTCCTTTTCGGCAATCTCTTCGCGCTCGATTTCAGCTCCGGCGACGAGGGTATTGCACAACCCTTCCAGATAAGCTGCTTGGTTCTCCAGCTCCTCAGGTCGAACCTGATGGTGTGAGCCACGTGGGCTATACAAGGTACCATGAGGGTTGCGTGGGTATCGAGGAGACGCACTATCTTGCCGGGGTGAGAAGTGAGGCTGATCATGATGATGGTATCGAGATACGTCAAGGTTTGCGGGGTGACGTGGTCCATTATGCTTAGGTGTGTGAGGTGGCATCCCGCCATAATGGCCTTGAGTCTGACCCGGGCCATGGTGAGATTGCGTCTGATGAGATCTACCTGCATTGTGATGAAAGCCGGGTGGATGAGATGAATGGCCTGGAGACCCGGAGAAAGGTCTTCCGTAATGGGTGGGCGGCGAAGGTCGAGGGTCGATGGGAATAGACAACTGAGCGTTCATTTGGCGCCGTTGGGCTTGGTTCGGACGCTTTCTGGCCACCTTGGGGGAACCCATGGGCTTTGCATCAACAGCTTGAGATGAAGAAGAGTTGTCGTGGGCAACGGCTTGCGCTGCACCCTGCGCAGGCACGGCGCCGCCAGGGAGAGACGCGCTCGTTCGTGGGGAGTCGGGGAACGGAGCTGGACTGGTTCCAGGTGGCGCGTTGGTAAGAATCAGATTCCGTAGGCGGTCCTCGAGGCCATTCTGGCCGTACCCAGGCCGTCCCTCACTACTTTGCATGATGGATGGCTCGTTCGTGTGGCTATCCTTATGCTATGTAGTTGAAGTGGCCAGAACTTGGCGATGGTGATGTTGCTGTGGGGTTGAGTGAGCTAGAGGTCTTTGCGATTGGGTCGAAGCGGCGGGGTCTTCTTACCTAGTCAGGAGTGCGCGGGAACCATGGTCGAATGTGAAGGTTGCGGATTCAAAATTGTTGTTTTCATAAAGAGGCAGGGAATGGGATTGTAGCTTAGAAACCAGTTTCCAATTGATGATCACCTCATTCATGTAGTGTAAATCTGGAGTGAAGTGAAAGCAGTACGTGGGGAAGGTACATCCCTTGATGAGGGGCTACAGTACGAAAAGAACAGACACTGTACATGCAAGCCGCGCCCCGACCACCCTCTCACACAGTGAGAGCTGACTGACCTATGCAACCTTTTGGGAAACGACGACAGCAAGCTGAGATAGGACCTACCAGTGCTCGCCTAGTCGTTTTGTGGCTTCCCCTAAGAGATGATTGACAAAGTTGGAAACGGGTAAACATCTATAAAAAAGCTATATTCCAAGTGCAATTCACATAGACATCAAGATATGCATAAAATGGTTTGCTGCATTGTGAAACTCATCATGTGCTTACAACTTCTGCATAGGAGCATGTGTTTTAATCTCTGATCCTTTATAAAAGCATTGAAGTTGGCAAAGTAAATAATAATAATAATAATAATAGCACTACTAACACAACCTTAAACATCAGATTTAAATTCTTAGTCCTGGATTTAACCGGTTCTACATCTCGAGGCTGCTTTTGGGGACCTGTAACTACAACAAACCCAACCCACCGTCAGCCCTTGGAAGTGTTCCCTATGACGTCCTGATGAGTCTAACTATTTCCAAATGCGGCTCCCACCAGTGGATTGCCAGGCACTGTGACCGACCCGCCAAGAAAGGATTGTTCCCTTAGAATCAGGGAGGTAATGTACCCCACGCCAAAATTTGCTAGCCTGGTACACTTTGCTTCCACACCTTAAACAGGCCAACCGTGCCCAGCCTTTCTGCAAGCTCCCAGAGCTGCCTGCGCCTAATTCCTAAGGTAGGCGCGCCTTCCAATAACCTTCCTGCAACCATTTCCTCGTCTCAACTCTTTGTCATCGCCTCAACACCTCCGTCTTCGCGACACCAAGATTTCCATCGCCCTCTACGCTGTTGTCCTACCGAATTGGACATTTCTGCAGCATTTTTATCAGAGATCGATTCTGACAGGTCTCTTACTCAAGCGCCGTGCTTCTACGACTTTGCGCCGCCTGCGACGCCGCCGGTTCCGTTAACGTTACGTTCTCCGTCTGCGCTGCTGACAGCCTTCTACGAACCGAGTCGCCGAAGCACACGGCAATACACTACTGAGGGCTACTTTCCTTGGAAATTTGGCGATTGGATACCTTAACTGTATGATACAGCTGACAAGATGAGCGCGCCTCCGCCTGGCATGCCTAACGGCCAAAACCCCAATGGCCAGCCTCGCCCGCCCCCGATCAAGCGACGACCTCGCGGAGATCCTCTCGTTGCCCGCAAACGCCCAGGACCCCCGCGACCCGCGGCTGCGCGCCCCGGAACGAATACTTTGCAGACCGCGGCAGGCGCTAGACCATCACCCGGCGCGTCGGGCCATCATGGCATTCTTCAGCGCCCCGAAACAGAGGATGATATCAAGGCTAGGAGGGCGGCAAATGGTGGCTGGCTTGACCCCGCGCCCGCCAACGTTAGGGAGTTCAAGATTGTCACGACGAAGAAGGCATTGAAAGATGGCATACGTCACCACATCATGAAGCTTTCCTCTTCCAAGGCGGACCTTGAGCAGAGAGGCATTGATCCGACGAACCAGGATGAGTTCACTAGACCTGTTACTCTCCAACGGCGCGATCCTCGCCAGCCGCCACCTGGCCGCGAAGTCAAGCAGGAAGCGCCCGAACCACAGCCGGTGGACGAAAAGGAGGCTGAGAGGCTAGCACAGATGAAGGCTGAGCGTGAGGCTGTTCGTGCTGTCGAGCTGGCCAAAAGTGCACCAAGCCTTAAGGATCCTAATGCCGATAAAAAACCAAAGCCCAAGAAGAAGGAGGAAGACGTACAGTTCCATCGAACTCCCAGAACCGAAAAGGAGAAGAAGCAGCAGGAACTGCGATACGAGGAAGCTCTTCCCTGGCACCTTGAGGATGCGGATGGTAAAAACGTCTGGGTTGGATCATACGTCGCTCCTTTGTCTGAGACGACCGTCTGCTTCGTTGCCACTAGAGACGGTAAATTTGCAGCTGTTCCATTAGAGAAGTGGTACAAGTTTACCGCCAAGCCACACTTCAACACCATGAGACTGGAAGAGGCCGAGGCTTTGATGAGCAAGAAGACAGACATTGGTCGGTGGTATATGCGAGATAAGCAGAAGAAGAGCGAGCAGGATGAATGGGAGGCAACTAGACACGCACTTTATGGCCCTGCCAGGATCAAGACTGAGAGCAACACCTTTCGTGCCGCCTCCAGAGAGGAAAAGATGGATCATGATCAGATCGACATGGAAGGTGACGAGTTTCAAGACGATGATGAAGCCCCTGGTCTCGAGGTGGATAACGACGAGGACTTCAAAGAAGCCACTGAACGAATTCGCCGTGACCAGCTTGGTGCCAACCTGTTTGGTGAAGCTGATGAACGCAGGGTTGAGAAGGAACTCAATGAGGAAAAGAAGGCCGAGGAAGAGCGTCGCAAGGAGGGCAAGCGGACCACTAAAGCTTTGATCAAGAGAGAGAAGGAGACAATCTACCAGTCCGACTCAAGCGGTTATGATCCTTTTGAATCATCTTCGGTAAGTTTATCCCAGTAATCTTGGACATGGACTCTGCTAACGGTTGTATCAGAGCGAGGATGACTCGGATGAAGAGAAGAAAGAGGATGAAAACAAGGACAAGGAGAAGGAGGACGAGAACGCGCAGAAGGGAGACTCAAAAGACAAGAACGCTTCGGGTGTTTCCTCCAAGGGTAACACAACCCCGTCTGGCCGACAGAAACATACAGATGCCCTGAAGAAGGGCAAGTCATTGAAGCGCCCTGGCTCTCCCAATCTGTCTGAATCTAGTGGAAACGAATCCTCACGCAAGAAGGTCAAGAAGCACGCTGTCGCATCTGTCCAACAGAGCCGCTCGTCAACCCCTTCGTCTCAAGGACCGGCAGGCCAGAAGAGCAACCTGGGTAAGGGCGCAATGAGCGACGGTGAGGCAACAGCAGGAGAGATGTCGGACGGCCAGCCAAGGAAGAAGAAGATCAAGCTTGTCGGCAGTGGGGCCAGGGGAACGCCCGTTGGCTCGAGGGCCGGTAGCCCAGCCCCTGTCGCACCTGGTAAGTGTGCTCTCTGCAGTCTTGATTCTTGTGAACACATTTTAATTTGCTGCTACAGGTTCCAAGCCTGGATCACCCATTCCAGATGGCTCACCGCGTGCTGGTTCCCCTGGCGGTCCCATTGAAGCTTGGGAGATCATCAATGCTCTGCCAGACCTCCCTAATGGTATCAGCATTGGAAACCTTATGAGAAAATTTGCGGGCCGGATAGGAGAAGGCCCAGGCCAGATGGACCGAAAGGACTGGATCAAGCTCGTTCGAGAAAACTGTGCCTACGGCCCAGACAAGGTTCTCCGTCGCAAATCTTAAGAGATTGTCAGCAGAAGGGTTTTCTTGAACGCTATGACTGAGCTCTCGATGGTGTTTCTATTCAGGACTTCAGGCCCATTTCTTGGGACGCCTTAAAAGAGACCTTAAGCAGGTGGACCTGAAGAGGCAACTGAACGTATTTGGATGAAGTGCGCTTAGGATATCGACAGTCTCCTTCGTCGCGCACCTTAAGCTCAGATTTGATTCCTCTAAACGCAGTACTGTTCCTTGTCAGGGTCACGCTGACAAAATGGACCAGTACAATTTGGAATTGTGTGGTATACGGTTTCCTTGAGAATTGATGATGTTGTTAGCACACAGCATCTCCGGGATGCAGACTGCATTACAAGCTCATAGACATAGAGCTTAGAGTCAGCTTCACAATCACAATGTAAATGATGAAGCATAGGTTAATATAATTTTGCCCATGCTGCCAATTGGCGATTCACTCAGCAGTGTATTGGAATGTCTATACAGATTGGAGCCCTCATTGACTGAATGAGCGAGAGCGTCTTATAACCAATCTTGCTTTGAGTTCCATAACTTGTTTCGATGCTTACTTGCAGCTGTTTTCTAGAGTTTGAGCTGTCATGCTTCCTATTCACAATACTCGTATTCTCGAAGCTTTAGCAACGAAACTGTTCTGCCCTCCTTTGGCATATACTGTCCGCGAAGCATCAATGGAGCAGCCGTATCTCGGCCCAATGGTTGATAATCTTTTGATATGTCTTGGAAGCCAACAATTGGAACTTGAACGGCAACACCAACGGCGCTGCCTTACTCGTCCATCTGCCATGCATAATCCAAACCCTTGTTCCGTTCTCTGCGGTTGAGCGCCTTAAACCTCTCTCCTTCGAAGCCATTACCCCTATCCACGCCATCCCACCTGTATCCTGGCCGTATACCATACCTATTTGGCGGCGCAGCCCCTGTATATATCGGCCTCCTCTTGCCCTTCTTTCCCTTGGCTCCTGCGCCTGTCTTTTCCGTCATAAACTGTGCCATCGGGTCGTTCCACCGGTCCTTTTCCTTGAGCTCCTGATTCATCTCCTCATCATCTGCCGTTCGCGCAAACTTCATGAGCTTCGCATCTTCAAGCGCCTCCCTCCGTTTTCGTGCCTCTTCAATCTGCACATCACCCTTGGGCGCCAGCTTGGCTTGTCTTTCCTTCTCCTCCGCCTCGGCCGCCAACCTGCGCGCCTCAGCGCGCTTCATCGACACGTCCACACGCCGACCCGTCGCATCACGGTACACCGTCTCCTGCTCTTTGCCATGCTTCCGCATCTTTGCAAACTCGGCTTCCTCAGCTTGCTGCCGTCTCTTGAGCTGGGCCGCTACCGAGGCCGCGCTCTGGAGGCCAGCGTGCGTGCCGTCACTCATCTTGACGACGCCCGCGTCGGTTTCACCACCTTCTATTACCGGCATCTCGTCGTCTGCCTGCGCGGCGGCGGCATTTTCTGCGACGGCAGAAGCAAGGATAGCGTCTGCGGCGGCGGCGCTGTCGTCATCGGTTTGTTTTGAGGATCCGCTGGCGGCGACAGTCTTCCAATTTGATTTCTTCGTACGACGAAATTCTGCTGATGTTCCTGAAACAAGGGCCGGGCCGCCTTCTGCTTCGTCGTCGTTCTGCCCTGATGACTTGCCCCAGTTGTCGTCGTCGTCTGCAATGATGAGACCCTGGTTCTCGGTGGCGGCCTTGCGCTTGCGCTTCTTGGATGGCTTCGGGTCTGCTACTAAATAGTGCGTCGCAAGGTATGAGGAGAGGTCGGAAGGCATTTTGGCGATCGTTGGTGACCGAAACAGGAAGAAAAAAGCAGTTTGGGTATCTTTGGAGGAACTGGTTGGAACTGATCTTGAAAGTTGCTTAGCCTGCAAGCTATCGATATCATTGTACGTCCCGAACGCACGGGCCCGACAACCAGAAAGGCAGGGGCTGCGGAATGACAAGGGTGCCCCCACTCCCTCCACGAGCGAACGTGCATGTGACGGGGCGCTAGTCACTTATCGGAGGATTGAATGTCTCCCGCGTCGAACCTGACAATGACGGGTTCTGCAGGGTAATTGGGTCTACTAGTAGCTTGTAGCGCATCCGTGGCCTTGTGATGGAACAGTCTCTGTACGTTGATTTCGTCCATATATCTGATGCTGGTTACTAACCAGCCATAAAAGCTACAGACTGATCCAGCTAGCCGTCCATCTCTGCGATCCACCCGCGAAGCCCCCCTTATGATTACGTCGCCCAAAGTCACTCGACGGATTAACGGGTTCTAACTGTGAACCGCTTTTTCTCCCTCTTCCCACGCCACAAAAACGAGAAACACCTAAGCAACTTGCGAGAAGTCAGAGACGGGAAGGGTATCAGTCGTTGCCTCGACTGATATACCTCGGCCAACCCTTTGTCCTTCATGCAATCCTCGGACAACGATGCGCCCTTAACCGAGTCGCTCCAGGCGCTGCCAATGGCCGCCTCTACCGTGAGGCTGCCCAAGAGGCAGTCGGTGCCAGAGGGCCATCCGCTGTCGCAATCTGAATTTAGCCTGCCGCATCGGCGTTCTAATCCTTCGGCTGCGCCGTTGTTTGCCTCGACTCTGACCCCGCCGGGCTCGCGATCTGGATCACCCATGGGGCGGGGCTCGCCTGCTCCCAGCAATATGTCTGGATCCGTCTTTGGGGGTCCAGCGGGCCGGTCTCTAATTGACATGTCCTCCGACAGCCCCGGCGACCCGCGAAATTTGCTTGTAAAGGCATACGTTCCGCATATAGCTATCTACACCTCAAAGGACACGGAGGATCTGGCAAGAGAAAAGGGATTCAAGAATGGCTTGTGGGAGCTTCTACGACCATTCGGGGAGCAAGTGCAGGGTAAAGTTACTGTCAGGGACAGCAACGGTGCGAGCAGAACATGGGAAGATTTCTCTATCCGGTTCGTGAAGTTTGGTGATAATGTCGACTCGCCTGATGGTGCGCGAGGCTCGCAGGCCGCTAATGGCCAGCTGGGCTCTACACTGAAATCAAGGGACACCCTCGAGGATGTTGAAGCTGTCGTCGATCGTCACCTATCATACGCCGAAGACTCATTTCTAAACACGCCGAACCACGGTGCTACGAGGCAGGGCTTGGATGTAGAGGCTACCTCGCCTTACTACTCATTGTACGTGCGCAGGTTGCTATCAGGTATCCCTGTGTCGCCGCATGAGACGTTTGCACATCCAGTCGCGTGTGTTATTGCTATCAGCTCTCGAAGCCCTGCGCCGATAGAAGATTTGCGAAAGTTATATAACGATACGAGCTCCGGTGACAACAAGCTACCGGTTTGGGTGGATGGTGATTATCTGCGATATTACGTCTTAGTCCACGACGAGGAACGTGACGACATCACTCGATCACTCGCTCTGTTCGATCAAATGAAGCGCCACCTTGGATTGCACTGCCATCTGCTCCGGTTACGAAGTAGCCAGAGCGCCGAGACCGACGACGACAGCATACCTCTTCCTCGCAGCGACTGGATGTCCGCGGCTGAAGAGCTAGCAGATATCAGACACAGCGAAGACCAAGAGGACTTTGAGGATCCAACCAGATACATCTTTGAGTCAGATGCGACGGCAATCCGGACATTTGTGAGGGAGATGGTGACGCAATCCATTGTCCCAACTATGGAGCGGCATGTGTCGCTTTGGAATGACCAGGTAGCCTCTCGCAGGAGAGGTATCACTGGTAGATTCATGAGCATATCACGAAAATGGGGTGGATTTGGCAGCAGCTCAAGATCATCAGTAGTAGGAGGCAGTGGCTCATCCAGCAATTATGACGCCTCGGGATTTTACCGGCCAGATGCCTCAGAAGCAATTATGCGGAAGCTAGCTGACTTTGCCTTCATGCTGAGGGATTATAAGCTGGCGCAGTCGACATATGACCTCTTGAGATCCGACTTTAGCGACGCAAAGGCCTGGAAATACCACGCAGCAGCTAATGAGATGGCCGCCGTCAGTCTCTTAATCATGCCGCAGAATCTGTCTTCCAAGTCCCGTGCGGAGACGATTGACCAAATGCTCGAGGCAGCTTTCTACTCCTACCAGACACGATGTAACTCGCCTTTCGGTGCCCTCCGCTCTTTGACTCTGGGCATCGAACTCCTACGTCTTAGGGGCGGAAGCTGTGTCGACGACGCAGTGAGATGGGGTATCCGGCTTCTCGACTCCAAGGTACTCGGCCGTATCGGTGATGCCCTGATGAAGGAGCGCCTCGCAGTATGCTACGCCTCAAAACCAGGTATCGGTTCAGGCTCGTGGGGACACCGAAAGCGCAAATCAGCGATGTGGTGCATTCTCGCCGGGGAGTCCTGGCTCGTCCAGCAAAAATACATTCAATCGCAACGCTGCCTCAACGAGGCTGGGCAGACTTGGTCCGATCTCCCTCACGAAAATGGTATCTCAAAGTTCAATCTCGCAAGCGAGTTTGTGGCCGGCCTACAGCACCAACTCGACGAGAGGCTAGGTACGGGCGATGGGGGCCATCAGTCGCCCTCCCAAGACGTCGAAGAGGTTGTTGTTGATGAGGAGAGCGAGGCATTAGACCACAGGTCGAGGAGAACAAGCATGATGGGGCGTGCAGTACCGGGAGCTGCAAGCCTTGAGACGGCCCCGTTGCATAAGGTCAACTCGAAGGAAAACGAGGGAGGCGAAAACTCTGCACAAGACGAGTTCGGATAAAACATGATTCGTATGATGACGGCGCTGGGGCAAATGGTGATTGGGTGAGCTGTAGATGTGTTCATGAAGCGGATTAATAACATTTACATACTTTTTATGAATTGCTGGTGCCTACTCGTTTTCATTGATTTGAGTTTTACGACATATACAGGACCGTACAACAGAGAGGGCTTATTAAGCGGTCTATATTTTCTAATAGACGACATCAAGGGAAATATTTTACTCAAGGTACCTTTGAATTATACCAGTTGCTCAAGATAGCCTTTGCGAAACTGAAAGAAATTCCAGCGTCCTCGAGGAGTCTACATCGACGTTCACATCTCCAACCAAAGTGCTGAACTAGTGCTTGTGTCTATGGGAGATGAAAGGATAAGGTGTATTGCAAAGAAGTCTCTAGTTATGGAGGATAGTAAACAAAGCTTTTCTTTGTGTATAAACCAACAAGATGTTGTGAATTGCTACAATATTTACAGCGAAACTAGATCCAATTCTGGAAGTAGATAAGTCAGTGACAAGGTATCTGCCTGTGTTACCCAGCGGTAGTTGGGGCCCACATTGAGGGGAACGCTAAGCCAGTTTTGTTCAGATCTGCTCGCACTGTCCATGAGACAACCCGAAGTTCAATGTTCCAGCGACCTTGAAAGACCCCCAAGCCATACTTCACCTCCAACGAGCCCTCAAAAGATTATTTAGGTGTCCCTGGCGTGCCCTTGACACGTACGAGCTATATTGCGACCGCGGATCGCGAACGTCACTGCGGCATAGGCAAATCAGACACAACCAAAGACTTATACACAAGTCGTCTTTGACGTCACTCGGCAACGATGGGAGATCTAGCAGACTTCCTCATAGAACATGACCAAAACTTTCGGAAGTTCGTCCACCTTACCCCCTCAAGACTCCCCAAAGTGGTGGCTTGCTAAACTTTCTCTTGCGCGTACAGAGCTCGGCTTCCAGCTCTCTATTCCGACTTCCGTCCCCAAAGAACCCTCAACCCCGATGGTTTCCAAGCCAACGTCAACGCCTGGAGACAGGCCCTCGCCCGCGCAGCCTGGGAGGGCAGGATAGCATCGCAAGTTGCAGCACCGAACCTATTGGTAGTAAACGTCGACGAGCAACTTGTGCGATCCCTCGAGAGCAAACAGTTTGGTCGACCCCTCGCCCTGGGCACCGTCGTCAGGGAAGCCCTCAACGACAAAGACCTCTACCCCCTCAAAGATTTCCTAAGCGCAAAGGATAGCATATACACAAAATCGTGGTCGCAGGTTCCGTGGAGTGTGGTGTCTTGGGCGGCCGGTCAGCTCGGGTTTGGAGGCAAGTCGACCTCGGGTGAGGACAAGCTGCCCAAGGGTCAGTTTGTTGTGATTAAGAATGTCGAGACGACGGCGAAGAGTCTTGCAGGGAGGGTCAACTCTGCGGACACACGCTTCGACAGGACATACACAAAGTCCCACTTCCAAAAGACTTTTGCGGATAGTCTGGTTGAGAACAGAAGATTATCCGAGACGGATGTCGATATTCTTCTCGTCTTCCTCTCACGCGACAAGGGCCTGGTGGTTTACGATGGCAAGGTTGTTAAGATCAAGGGCTCAGGGGCGGAGGAGGATGAGACTTCTATAACGGAGGAGGATGCTGCTGTTTCGTCTCTGAAAGAGCTTATCGACGATCTCAAGATTCAGACTTCTTTGCTCTCAACTCGCATCGACGAACTTACAGCGACGGCAAAGGAAGCTGTCACGAAGAAGAACAAGGTCGCGGCGATGGCGGCGCTCAGGTCGAAGAAGCTGACAGAGTCATCGCTAACAACCCGCTTTACGACACTGGGACAGCTTGAGGATGTCGCGGCGCGGATCCAGCAGGCGCGTGACCAGGTGCAGCTCGTCAAGGTCATGGAGGCGAGCACTGGCGCGCTCAAGGGACTCAATGAGAAGGTTGGTGGCGCAGACCGCGTCGGGGATGTGGTGGCTGCGCTGCGGGAGCAGATGGGCGAGGTGGACGAGATCGGCGATATCATCGCCGACGCGAACGCTGCTCCGGCAGACGAGATCGAAGTCGACGACGAGCTGGCGGAGATGGAGCGCGAGGAGAGGGAGAAAGAAGAAGCCATCGAGCGGGCGAGAAAGGAGAAGGAGGCTGCGGCGGAGAAGGCGAGAAAGGAGGCACAGGAGGCCAAGGAGGCCGAGGAGATGGAACGCAGGCTAGAAGCGGAGATGGAGGGCTTGAAGGCACCTGTCACAGAACCCGCGAAGGAGGGCGAAGGAGCCAAGACACCGTCGCGGGAAACGGCCGAAAGCCTGGAGAAGCTAGAATTGGAGGAGCGGCCGCAGCCGCAAGCTGCATGATTGGCAGCAACAATACCCCCCTATGTATCATGAATATGGTGTTTTTAATGTAGACTTTTAGGGGCGTTTGGCGAGTTTGTATATTATTTTGGTGGGTATATTAATGAAGCGCCATCTCATGATTTAGACAGTAAAATCATCACCGCGCCCTGTCAGCTTATTTCCCTGTGCCCAGTCCCACTGGGGGTATTTGCTCTGAAAAGCCGTCCTGCATATAGTATGTCGCAGATTGAGACTGGGTCTTTGGGGGAGAGTCTCTGCCTTGCACCAAGTTGGGCTCTGAGAAACCTGGATTTGTTTCCGTGGTACCAACACTTTCAGTTGCCGGGACAGACGTGGCGGCATCTCCTGGCGCATCCGTCAAGTCAACCATCGCAACCTCCGCTTCTGAAGAGGCCTCTACCGTGCCTGGCCCTGCCGCTTTAGATTCGTGTCCTGCCTCAGCGGCTGCCTCCTCCGCTTTCTGTTTAGCCTGCGCCCTTGATTTGCGCGCATTCGCAATCAGGTCCTTGAACGATGTGTCATGCTTTACCGCCCACGCCGCACCATCGAACTCCTTGTCCTTGACCGCCGCCCCAGGTCGAGCCGCGAACACGGGGGCTCTAGAGCCTTGCGTGCGCTCCCATACATCCAAGTCATGAAGCAGCTCGGCGCGGCGTTTTGGACGCGCCGAGTCGCAGTTTGCGTTCCACAGCGTTATCCACTCCTTATGGCGCTTCTCGAGCTGCAGGCGTGTGCCGTTCGTCGAAAGACCGAGGTCGGACATCTTCTTACGCAGAGCCGCATCTTTAAGCATGGAGTAAGCTATCGCAGGCAGACGCTCGGGAGCGGGGGTCTGGCGAGGCGCTCCTCGGGCTGGGGTGTTTGGGGTTGATGTACGACTCGAGCTGGCGCGAGATGATTGCGATTGAGGCCCTGGACAATTATCAAGGTGGCGGAAGACTTGGAACTGCTTCATACGTGTTTGGCAAATCGGGCATGGGACGAGGCCGTCTTCTGGGGCTAGATAATGTTAGCGGGGTTAACGGGCGTGAGAAGGTAGAGGTAGGCTGACTGAAGGTTGCATCCCCCGCCTCATCCTCCTCTTCCTCTTCGTTCAACTGGGGAACGTCGCCATCCTCCTGATAAACCGTAGCTTTAGCCTCTTCCGCCCTTGTTTTACTGAGTCTCGCCGAACTCCTGAGCCTCTTTGTCTCTGGCTGTTGTTCACTTGTTGTAGAATCCTCCGCCAACTTTCTCTTGGGCGAAGCCGGGCCCGTCCGCTGTCTTGCTGTTCTCGCAAACCCCAAAATATCTTTTCTTGACTTAACAAACGAATCCACTGCCTCCCCCATGGACCAATTACTCCTCAGCTTCAACTCTTGATCCGAGGCGCGACAGAGCGGGCACTTGCCATCGTTGGACAAGGCGCGGCGGATGCACAGCGAACAGAAGGTGTGACAGCAGGACGTGAGCATGGGCGTCTTGAAGAAGTCTTTGCAGACCTGGCAGCGCAGGGCGGCTTCCACAGCTGAGAGGCCTGGGAGCGGCGTCGAGAGCCAGTCTGTGGAGTCGGGGACGTCGTCGAAATTGTCCGCCATGGAGGGCTGGTGTACTTGTTAGGTTTTGGGGTTGACAAATGTGAGTTCGAGCAACAAGTGTACGACCAGGCCGTGGAAACTTTCGTTGACTTTTCTGAAGACCCGGGGGGGAATGCCGACATAAGACAAATGCTTGAGGAGCCAGGGCGATTGGGACCCTGCTTGAAGGCATCCAAGAAGTTTGGGATAAGATACTCAAGGCGCGTCGACTGGTGGCGCGCCTAAGGACAAGGATCAGTGGCAAGGGGGGTGCAGTTTAGTGGATAACGTCACCAATCACACCTTGTTCAAAGGCTAAGCCTAGGGGGTGAGTATAGAAAATCAATTAACGAAGGCAGCCCCTACGCGTCTACACTTTTCTGGACGCGTCTTGCCAACCCCATCATCCCTCATGCATGGAAATGTCGTAACGCCCTCTCTGAAGCAACGTTTGGGAATATCTTCTTCGCTTTTGCCGCATTGAAATTTCAGACTGTCGTTTCTCTAAGTTTGTACCACCCAACGTCTCTCCGCCATGGACGAATACAAGAAATACCTAGCGGACCAAATCCTCAGCGAGGAGAAGGTCGTAAGTTGCGATCTCTCAACCCAAATAACGGGTCTTATCATTGACAGTCTCCTAGGTCACATATCGGAGTCTTAGCAGGGCATTGAAGATTCATGTCAATATTGCCAAAGGGTCGGTGCATCTGAGAACAATGCATGGCAGAATAACTGACCTTTATCAGAATGCTCTATGAGTTTCATCGATCTCAAAATGCTATGCGCCCTGGAACGATCCATGCTACCTATCTGGTTTATGGCATTCAGAAAGTAGAAAAGGTACAAGAGGATGGTGACGTTGAGATGGCTAGCTCTCCCCCAGCCAGTGAACCGTTGTCTGAAGAAATTGTCACCAACACTTTGACCCTTGTTTCTGGCGACCGTCTTAAGGGTGAGAAATACTTTTCTCCAACTCCAAACTCAAATACTGAATTGCAATTGTAGAGGTCGTGGCAACTTACGAAGCGGTTTCTTCATTTCACGTTTACAGCTTGGCTGGCCATCCAACCAAGGTAAGCGACATGAACCCCTTCTCTTGGACTGTAGCACTAAATGAAGTTAGGAACTGCAGTTGTTGGAAGATGTTTCTCGGCAAATGCGAGAACAGTCTGGCGATGACAGTGCTTCGATGGCAGAGGTATACGGATCCATCGCGAATCCTCTCGTTCGGAAACGCGACCGCAAAGGAAGGGCGCCAGCGCCTGCACCCGCGGCCGCTGGCCCGACGCCTAAGCTGGTCAAGAAGGAGCCAGCGCCATCCACGACCAAGCCCGATTCTGTCGCTAAGACAGAAGAAACAGTCAAAGAGGAGTCAAAGCCTGCAGCCAAGCAAAACCCCTTCTCAGCTGCTGCCTCCAAGAAGAATGCAGCACCGCCGGGGTTGAAAAAGAGTGGTTCGTCGGGTATTATGTCGTCGTTCGCCAAAGCCGCAGCGAAGACGGCGAGCAAGCCGAAGGAGGCATCAAAGAAAGCTACTGAAACCCCACCCAACGACTCTCCTGCGTTATCTGATGACGGGGAGGATGACGATGAGGACATTCCGGCCGCCAAGCCTTCTGCTGAGGGAAGAAAGTCAAGGAAGGAGCGCGAGGCCGACTTGAAACGCATGATGGAAGAAAGCGAAGACGAGGATCCAGAAGAAAAGGAAGAAGAACCGGTGGATGAGCCGATGGAGGAGGCACCTGAACCAGAACCAGAGGCTCAGAAAGAGGCAGAGCCGGCTGAAGTCGTCTCTAGCAGTGGTGATGGCCGACGTCGCGGTAAGCGAAGAGTAATGAAAAAGAAGCAGATTATGGATGATCAGGGCTACTTGGGTAAGCAAATCTCCGACAACATGGATCGTTCGGTACTAACATCGAGGTACCAGTCACTATTCAAGAACCTACTTGGGAAGAGTTCTCAGAGGATGAGGCACCCCCTCCTGCGCAGAAACCCAAACCTTCAACACTATCGAGTTCGAGCAGTCAGGGCTCTAAGGCGAAGAAGCCGGCGCCCAAAGGACAGGGCAACATCATGTCGTTCTTCTCCAAGAAATAATCACGTTAATGTAAATGAAATGTTGCAAATAGTAACATGATGATAATCAATCCTAATGGCATACAAAAAACTTGCATTCTCGAATCTTAATTTCTCTTAATCCAAAAGCCTATCGTCTCATAAACTTCCCGTCAGTTTAGCATAAACTCTCATGATTTACCATAGCTCCTTGCTACAGGAATAGACTTGGCTATCAGATGCTGATGATCAATGCCTTGATACCTCCTGTAAATGATAAAGTCCTCAGCGATGCCTGTGACGTATTAGTCATATGCTACTGTCCTCCCAGGTCATCACGCCCCTACATTAGAACCGTCTAGTCGCCAATGTGCTTAGATGATGGAGAACGGCGACATCTCCGATCTTTTGTACGCAAAGTGTCCTCTCCTCGAGGTTATGAGTCAGTACATGATAAATACAACCATGTATTTCATTTACGTTTATTCACATCCTAGAGAACAAACATCATCAAGTTTTATCGACACCAGCCGGAACGTTTGAAGCGGCAGAACAGGACTGGGAGCAGCGCTGTTGTGCCCCGCGGCGAACCCCGCAGTGGATCCCAAGTTTTGTCGATGCCGGGCGCTAGAGCGCGAAGCCCCTGTCAGAGCTCCTGCAAGGGACCACAGTGACGAGATGAGAGATCCCTTGAGGGCAGCGGACACCTGGCTGTGGGAGCTCCCATCCTTATTTCTACTACTTGCCCATTCAACGTCAACCCAACCTCTCCTATGTGACTGACCGACCAATCTTCCCAACAACATTGTGTATAGAGGTTGCTGAAGATACTTATGCGGACATAATTTCTGTATTCTCTCCATCTGGCTGCTTTGGCCTCGAGGTCATGTCTCTACGCACATTTATCGACGTGCTGTTGCCGCTTGCAGGGCTCTTGGTCAGCCAAGCCTCCGCAGCGCAACAGCCTCTTACCGGCGAGGAACGCGGCGCATGCCCCAACTACGCGCAATACTCTACTTATCCTCAGTGAGCCGCCGCCTCCTCGAACAAATGCTGGTGCGCTTTTGGCTCGTTCTGACTTTTTGATGCCAGTAAACCTCTGAGCGAAGGTCCCCTTGGCCTCCCCTACCAACGACCCGACCCGCGATGCCGCACCTTTCAGTCCGAGGCGATCGAGAAGGTCATTAAGGATGTCACATCTCGCATGAAGGACCCCGATCTAGCGAGATTATTTGAGAACGCGTTTCCCTCGACGACTGATACCACTGTTAAATTCCATACCGATGGGACCGACACTAGATTTGTTGATTTGAACGGTCGAAGCTTGCGCGACGAGGGCAAATGGGAGGGCCCGCAATCCTTCATCATCACGGGAGACATCATTGCCGAGTGGCTGCGCGACAGCACAAATCAGCTGTCTCCCTATCAGGCGCTGGCTAAAAAGGACCCTGCCATTTTCAAACTGATTCTTGGCGCCATCAACACACAGTCTGAATATGTAATCGAGTCACCGTACTGCAACGCCTTCCAGCCGCCGCCGATCGCGAATCTCCAACCAAGCTACAACGGCCAGGACGATACTGTGCATCCGATTTATGAGCCCTCGTTTGTCTTTGAATGCAAATATGAACTCGACTCATTGGCGCACTTCCTAGCCCTGGGCAACGATTTCTACGAACACACGGGATCACAGGATTTCCTCACACCGAGGTGGTACCTTGCACTGGAGACCCTGCTCAACGTGTTGGATCAGCAGTCTCGTTCGACCTTTGACCCGGAGACGGGCCGTTATCAGCGGAACGAATACACCTTCCAGCGCAGGACTGACGCTGGTACTGAGACGTTGAACCTCAAGGGCGTAGGCAACCCGCTCAACAACGGCACAGGCTTGGTGAGGTCGGCATTCCGTCCCAGCGATGATGCGACGATTCTTGGCTTCTTTATCCCGGCAAACGCAATGATGGCCGTAGAGCTGAAGCGCACGGCGGAGGTTTTGAAGGCTGCCGGCAGGGACGTGCTTGCGCAAGCTGTGGACAAGTGGAGCCAGACTATTACAGACGGTGTCTGGAACCATGGCGTAGTCAAGCATAGCAAGTATGGCGATGTGTTTGCGTACGAGGTTGACGGCTACGGCTCATCAATCCTGATGGACGATGCCAACTACCCCTCACTTCTTGCCATGCCATTGATGGGTTTTCTGCCGCCCGAGGACAAGACGTATCAGAATACACGGAAGATGCTCCTTGAGAAGTCCGGAAACCCTTACTACCTTCAGGGCAAAGCTTTCCACGGTATCGGAGGTGAGTATACGAGTTCCGAGTCTCATGATGAATCGCTGACTCTTTGTAGGGCCTCATATCGGTCTATCCAACGCCTGGCCGATGAGTTTGTTGATCCAGGCACAGACTTCCGATAAGGACGAGGAGATTACGGAGTGTCTGGACCTCGTCTTACGCTCGGCCCGCCTGGGTCTCGTTCATGAGAGTGTTGAGGTTAATCACATCACATCCTATACTAGTATGTTATTGTTCCAATCCGGGGTTCTTAAGATAATGTGCTAATCTCTTGTCGTAGGAAGCTGGTTTGCATGTAAGAAGTTGTCGCTATCACTCCATGACCTTATTGCTGACATATTTAGGGGCCAACGGCGTTTTCGCCGAGACCATTTTGGACATTGCTAAGCGGAAGCCACATTTGATTTTCACTGATGCTAAGCCTTACCAAGTGTAAACAAGACCACAACCACCTAGACACAAAGCTAGAGGTAGCTGTGCAGCGCTTTTTGTTTGGACTCATTGGAGGGTTATTGGTGGAGAAGAAGGAGGCATAGCGACTGGTTTCGCTTCACCGGCATTTATATACCCAGAAGGGGCCTCTCGCGACGACCCTGGAATGAATTGTTTGGAAGGAATAAATATCTGGGTGACGCATGATTCAATGATACATTCTCAAGAGAAAAGACATTAAATTTACTTCGTTGACTTAGTCCAGTGTCTATTTGGCATTGTCTACATCGAACCGACTCGAAGGCGTCCACTCCTCACCATCTCTCATCGACTTCAACACTCTCGCCAGCCTCTGGATTCCCTCCACAATGTCATCCTCAGGTTCCCACGAGAAACAAAGCCGAATTTCCCTGCCAAGCCTCACTGAGTCCTCATCCCCGTGCACCTCAAACTGCCCGCCGTGGCCAATGATCAATTCCTCTGTATCCTTGGCCCTCGCCGCCGCCTCCCGACTCGACATGCCCTCTGGTAGACTAAACCACACGAAGTATCCGCCATATATCCCTGCGCCCTCCAGCGAACTTTGCTTCATCTTAATGCCGCCCCCAAAGGGCCTCAAGATGTACTCATCAACGGCATTCATCATCACCTTGTGCCTCTTTGCTAGTGCAGGTCTCGTATTCTCGTCAATATGCTTCTGAATCACCCCGCTCTTCAACATTTCAGCCATGAACATGGCGGCAAGCTGGCTCGGCGCGCCACCACTGCACGACGACCCGGTCTGCGACAGCCCGTATGCGAAGGCGGGACTCCCCTCAGCCCAACCTGTCCTCACGCCCGGGCCGACGATTTTGCTGAAGGAGCCGTTGGACACAACGTTGCCGAAGGAGTCATCGGGGACCCCGAGAGCGCGGTCAACGTCCACGAGTCGTGGGAGGCGCATGGCGGGCGTGTAAGTCCCGTCCGGAGGCGAATCGACAGGCCATTGAAGGAAGTCGTAGACGTCGTCGGCGATGATGAGAGCGTCATACTCGCGGGCCAGACGTACGAGCTCGTAGCGACGGGAGAGGGTCATTGTCTTGCCTGTTGGGTTGGAGCAGGTCGGGACCAAGTAGATCACATGGCGGTAGAGCTTGCGCTTTCCGGCAAGTTTGAAGCGCTGTGGCTCGTTAGCGTTTCAGTCAAATTTCATCTTTGGTGATTTTTTCGTCATGTTTCTGGTGGGAATGGGGCGCTGTAACAGAAGGGAGAGCGAAGGAAATGAGAGCACTCACTTTGCCGCTTCCTTTCCCGGCGGCCTCGAGCCCCTTTCTGAGATACTCGAGATCAATCCCCTCGTCGTCCTCGGGCACAGACTTCAAGCGCCCGTCGAATCCCGCGTCGGCGTAGATTGGACACGCGAGGAAATAACACGGCGCGACCATCCAAATGTTCTGCGTGTACAGAGGATCTGTGAAGGACTGCAGTATGCAAGCGAGGTTCTGGCTTGCGCCGCCCGTGATGCAGATGCGGTTGGAGTCGGGCTCATGATGACGACGAGACTCGGGGTCCACGACCTGCTTCTCAGCCTCCGCGGCTGTGGCCGGCGCAGCGGGATAAAAGGCTGATAGCCACTGCGCGAGGGCCTCGCGGAGCGGCTGCCATCCCGGATCCGGGCCGTACTGGAGCCCCGGGACGTAGACGGTGGGGTCGGCGAGGGTTTTGACGGCGGCGGCGGAGATTGCGGCCGCTGGGAGGAGCGATGGGGCAGGCCACCCTCTGAGGAGGTTTATGGGCTTCTTCTTTTGAACAGGTACGCTCATTTTGGGGTGTCGGGGGATTGAACAGGTAGAGAAGGGGTATTGTGTGTGAAGTACGGTACGGTTGGCGACGGTCGCGGGCCGGGTGTGGGTATCGGTGGTGGTGGTGACCGTTGGTGACGCGATGCGGAAGCGGGTGCTGTGGGTGAGGGGCCGGCTGCGAGATGTTTGGGGGATAGCTCTGGAAATCTTTGTCACGCTGCAATTCATAACCAATATTGCGAACAATTTTCAAAAGGGCAAAGGGAATCTGGATCAATTTTTGGATTACAGCACAACTATATATAAGTCACTGCAGCTTGGTGTCAATGTGAAGTTCAATTTCGTTCACTCCGACTGCGGAGTCAAGACATTTTCTCATTGACCCCAACGGCTAACCTGCCGGATTGAGCATAGAACTGGATCCCCGCGCCCCATATATCGCATTTGTGGCATGTCACCCATGTGGAGAGCCGCGACGCCAACATTTGGGGGAATTGAGCTAACATTTGATTGAATGGCAAGGAAAAGGGGTATCATTTTTGCTTGAAATGCAGTGCACTCTACATATTTGTATAGACTTGAAAAACACTTCTCTACCATCCCCACGTCCTCGTGGACGCCGTGAACACGGGAGGCTTCCATTGGATCCTGCTAGGGTCAATGAGTCTCTTCTGCTTCACCTTCTGCTTCTCTCGCTGCTGGATGAGCTTCTCAGGAATCACAATTTTATGCTCGCCCTTGTGGTACACTTGCATCTTGAGCGCCTGTAGGGTGTGCTCAACGTCTTGAGGAATGATGGCCAGCTGCGATGAAATCGCTTCAATGGTTGCCTTCTCCTCGCGCTCATTGTATCCCACCAGCAGATCTAGGATATTCTCACCCCAGTATTGTCTGTAACTCAGCAATCCCAAATCAGAGAGAGGCTTCTCGGGAGAGCCAAGCCTGCCCTCAATCTTGGACAGCTCGTACGAAAACTGAATCAGCAATCGACCGTAGCCCTTGCGTTGGTACTGAGGTAATGTCAGGATACAGGCGACGTTGTAGCCGTCAGCGCTCTCCTTTTCTTTGGAAAAATATCCAATGATATGGCAGCCCTTATCATCTCGGCTTGCCATGACGTAGAACAAGAAAGGGTCGACATCGTAGTAAAGCGTTTTGTGGTCCAAGAACATCTTGGACAACAGACATAGATTGCGACAATATGTCCGCTGGCGTCTGCCGTCAATCTCGAAAAAGGACACCGAGTCATCTCGGTAAATTTCATTTCCAGGGGGATGTTGCAAGGTGCACTTGCGCCGATGTCTGGAGAATGACTTCTCGTCGCCGTAGTACCCGAGACAAAACTCACAAATGTAAATGACATCCTCCTGGTTAAAAACCTCGGGATACGGCGAGAAGTACCATGGGAACAAGTCGTTTTTGCCAAACTGAACCTTGGAGATGTTTCGAATTCGAGATATTTCGGCGGGGTTCTGTGTCATTGAACCGTGTGTTCTCAGCTTCTCAATCTCCTCCTCACGGCTGAAGCCATTGAGCTCCTTTTTGAGGTCCGTCTCGTCCCCATCAATATCCATCTCATCGCCTGCCGCTGCAGGCGTTGCGCTGGCCTCAACCGTCACAGGGGTCTGAGCCTGGCTCTCCTCTGCCGTTGGCGTCATCTTCCGGCTCTGCGATTCAACGAAATCGGTCCATGGGTGCGGAGTGTTGGCCTCGGACGGCGCCGACTGCTCCCGTTTGGCAGGTCGCTTTTGTGATTTCTTGGAGGGTTGAACTTTCTTGGACGTGGCGGCCGTCCCCTTTTTGGACTTTGCGTCCTTGGGCTTGTCCTTGTCTGGGTTCGGCCACTCGACGTCTTGGTCGAAATCGATGCGTGACGTCGGTACCCATTCGTCGAGACGCTTATTGAAATTATCGAAGTTGCAGTAAAATTGTCGTCCGCTCTTCGTTTCCTTAATGCTGAGAATTTCGGCGCGGCGAGGAACACCCTCCTTCCTGACCATGGCGATACATCCTATCCTGTTTGCGCATAGTGTTAGTAAAGCGGTTTGGGGTAGTATCCTGGTGGGGGTAAGAGAATGACGCACCTAATTGTCTCCGGAGTCGCCTTGCCCTTTTGTCGCGGTTCACCGGACCCGACGGTGGGCTCGCCATTAGCGCCATGTGCCGCCATGATGAAAACTCAAGGTGGTGGCTGTAGGTTGATGGATTCTTGCGCAAACTGATTTCTTGCGTTCGGGCGCAGAAGGTGATGGATAAAGTGGGAAGTGGAAGGTGGTGTGGCAGAAAACGCGAATCATCAAAGGCGGTGAACAAACTGCCGCGAATCCCTGTTACGTTGATGAACTTTGGAGGGGCGATCGCCCCACCACTCTTGCACTCTTAAAGACCCCTTTAATTGCATTTTCTCATTTTTCGCCAATTCTGGAATCACCGGGCAGGTTCATCGATCTCTTTTCCGAAATCTTACCAACTTTCAGGCTACGGCGTTTTCAAAGGCAAAGTTTGGTCACTCATGGCCAAATACAAGCCGTGATTACTCAAATCTTCGATTACACTTAGAGACCATGGCTCCTGAGTTGTCGTCAAATTGGAAAAAGCTTCAGGCTCAACTTAAAGCGGCACCTACATCCCCTTCCACTTCTGGGGCAGTAAAGAGGAAAGCCGAAGGGCAAAGTCAACCGCCATCAAAAAAGCCAAAAGTCAAAGCTGACTCCAAACCGTTCTCTAAACCTGTACAACAGAGCACGAAAAGAAAGGATAGTCGCATGGGTGTCACTCAGAGCTCCAAGGTTGAAGTCGACCTGGATCCCAAGCTCAGGGCCACACCGTCTCTTGCACTCTGGGCTGAAAATAATGACATCTCTTCCGAAGCACTGGCTGAGGCCTACGGCCTTGGCGCGAAGGACAACTCGATGCTGGTATCAGAAAAAGACAAGATAAACGCCGGTCTCACGGAAGGAGTTCAAGTTGGCAAATATATCGCCATGGACTGCGAAATGGTGGGCGTTGGACAAGGAGGTTACGAGTCGGCTCTGGCTCGCGTGAGCATTGTCGACTTTCACGGTCGCCAAATCTACGACTCCTATGTGAAACCCCAGGAGAAGGTTACCGACTGGCGAAGTGCCGTGAGCGGCATTCTGCCCAAGCACATGAGATTTGCGCGAGACTTTGATGAAGTTCAGGCCCAAGTCGCCGAGCTTCTCAGGGACAGAATATTAGTCGGGCATGACGTCAAACATGATCTGGATGCCCTTAAGCTCAGTCATTCGATCAAAGATATTCGCGACACGTCCAACCACCCAGGCTTTAAGAAGTTCAGCAATAGCAGGAAACCAGCATTAAGGAGGCTCGCGGAGGAGATTCTCAACGTTACAATTCAAAGCGGTGCGCACTCAAGTATCGAAGATGCTCGAGTTACCATGCTTCTTTTCAGAAAACATAAACCCGCATTCGACGTTGACCACGCAAATCGCTTTCCTAGCTCTGGAGGTCCCCCGTCAAAATCAAAACCGAAGTCCAAGAAGGGCAAGAAGAAATGAGCATCATATTTATCGTTTGCGATGTCGGCTACCCCTTGAGTATGTCATACCTTCGGTTCCCCATTACAATAGCGGGTGCAAGACCTCAGGCCTGTTATAATCCTGGTGGTCTCATGATATCCAACTCGTTACATTCGGAAGAATCCTTACAATGGAATACCCTCCATTAATTCCAGGGCACCTTCGCGGCCCACCGTTATTATCGCATCGCCCAGCGTTTTTGTCAAGAATCCAGCTTCACAATATGTGAAGTAATACTGAGAGTAATTAGCATAGACCACGAAGAGGCTGGGTGGGGTGTCGCTTACCTCCCACTTCCTTCTAAATACATCTATCTCGTCCTCGGTCATATCCTCATGTTCCAGCTTCAATGCTGGTCGGATCTTGGAATCAAAGTTTTGAAGGAATGCCTCCTTCCAAAGTCGCAGAGTTTTTGAGTAGTGGCCACCGATGTTTTCGACCTTCTCAACAATGAGCGTGCCTCTCGACTCGGTAGTAATGTGGTTCAGCAGCTGAGTGATTGATGGGAGGTATCCACCAGGGAAGATGTAATGGTTTATGAAGCTGTACTTGTCAGCGCCGGAATGCAAAAAGATGCGCTTCTCACTTACTCTTCTGATTTGGAATAAGCCTCGTGTCGACCTTCAGGCATGGTGATGCATTGGAAGACGGCGATACCACCCTCCTTCTTCAGCAACTTATCAATGCATGCGAAGTATGTACCCAAGAACTCTTGGCCAACCGCTTCCAGCATTTCAATCGACACAATCTTGTCAAAGGGCTTATCTCCAACCTCTAGTGCCCGGTAGTCCATTAGCTTAACTTCGATCCGATCACTAAAGCCGGCAGCTTCAATCCGCTCCTCTGCAAGGACTTTTTGTTCCTTAGACAAGGTCAAACTGGTAACACGGCACCCGGTCGTCTTTACGGCCTCAATTGCAAACGAACCCCAGCCAGTGCCGATTTCCAACACGTGGTCTGAAGACTTTATGCGAGCGCCGTCAATGAAACGGTGGAGCTTAGTTATTTGTGCTGCCTCTAACGTCTCTTCTGGCGCATTCGGATCGGATTGCAGCTTCCAAATGGGGCACGAATAGGTCATGTCCGGTGACAAGAATGCGGCAAACATTTCGTTACTAATATCGTAATGCGCCGAAATATTGAGGAGCGCATTTGAGAGGGTGTTTGTAGTGCGGGCCAAGCTTGAGATGGCGGATGAAAAGCTGGAGATCCATGTCGTTCCGTTGCCCATTTCTTCGCGGTTGACGATGAAGAGCTGTCCACCAAGCACGTCAGCAAGGAAAGGGACGACATAAACGCAACAATGGAGCAATGTATACTGACCTGGAAGAAGGCAGTCAAGTCTTTGCACTCAACCTCGCCTAGCATGTAAGCTTCCGCGAAGCCCATGTCCGCGAACAAAAAGAGGCGCATCCAAAAGGCATCACTCTTAACGACCAGCTCGACTCGAGGGACAGCGTCCGCGCGGCGTGGGATGTGGTCGCCGTTCGTAAGATTCTCATTGTACTTTGCACCTAGCGTCTGACCAAACACTCTTCGGAACTCAGCAGGCTCATCGACAAGAAGGAGCGTGCCGCGCTCAATCTTGGAGAATACAGAGAGGATGGCGGGCCTGGCCACAGACAGAGCCGGTCCCCAGGTTAAGCTGCCCACCGCACCTCTCACCAATTCCGTCCCGCGAGACAGTGGCTGAGCCACTGCCGCGGGAACCAGGGACGGCAACTTGGGCATGGCTGAGCAGGTCCCCAAGACAAGAATGGAGTTGACGATGTACGTATAAGACGGGAAGCGCAAATGCTTATTGACGAACTAGGCGTCAATTGAGTTGGACGGCACGCAGCGTAAACCTAAAGCAAGGCCTCAAGGTCACTAGGATCTTGCTTCTGCTTGGGGTGATGGAGGGGTTGGAGGGGGGAAGAAATGCTGAAGGTTCACAGGAACAGCAAGACGTGGTTCGCATCTGAGACCAACGGCAGGGCGGGATAGTCATTTTATTTACTACCCTATTCCACCGCACATTGTTCTGGAGGGTGCGGCTGGACCAGGCGCATAGCGCATAGCTCAAAGGATGTCTAATGAACCGGCACATTTTCCCTCTTGCTATGGGATGCAACGAGCGCGTGCTTTTGTCTCGCCCATCGGTACCGTCGCAAGTCCGAGGGCCAAAAATGTGGGCGGAATGGGTCCCGGCTAGGATCATCATGGGTGAGAGGGTGGGTACCGCAGGGGTAGCTCAGACGGGAATCTCTCGGGAGGGGCAGAGGCCTTGGCCATCGTTTGTTTCATTGAGGACGACGACAACGTTAGATTGTTGACCATCAGCGTTGGATTTTGCCCTATAACTAAGCCTCGGCTTCTAGCTCATCTGGAATAAACACCAGACCCGGTAATCCGGTCCCAAGTTTCTTCGGCGTGTTCTTCTATTTGCGAGGAACATCACGAATCGCACTATATATTCACCCAACAAATCAACATTATCTTTTTTTTTTTTTTTTTTTTTGAAGCATAGGGCTTGAGCGGCCACTCCAAGGATGATGTCAACACGCTCAACGGAGATACGGCGAGCCGAATGCATGGAAGGAACGCACACGTGTGCACTGTCTGAGCTTACTCTGCAACTAGGACTTGACACTAGATCCTAGACCAGTGCGCCGCCTGGAGTGGCCGGCCGGCCACCTTCAACCTGGACCTGTTAGTGTTGGACATTCGAGAAGCCGTCTAAAGCTGTGCCATTCCGGCTGGCAGAAAGGCCCGGGCGGACGAAACAAAAGGGTTAGACTACGAGTGCTTGACGACTCAGTTACTGGTCATCGGATGAAGGGCTTTTCGCATCAAGCGCGCTGGCCCTCCTCGAGAACAATCGGTTGTCCTGGTCTAAGAGATGATGAAATTTCACGCACAGATGCTCTTACAAAATGCAACCTGACGGATACTTTCACGAGCAAAGGTGCGGTCTGCTTGCTGACTGATAAAGTGGGATGTCGGCACACACGGACTGCCAGGCCTTGGTAGGTCCCTGCAGTGCCATGGTGGGGAGGGTCGTTTCTGCGATAGAATGTTCCGGTTGATATTCTTCTCCCTCAAGACGCCCCAGCTGTCCGATTAGCAGACCAAGACATGATTCGACCGCGAGTTTTGACGATCAAGGTTATCGGGAGTCACCAAGGGTTTGTCTGCTTACACGAAATCTGTCTGACAAAGAGAAAATGAACAAAAGTCCGTCCGGCGAAGGACAAGTTCCGATCCAACAGAGAAACCTTCGATGATCGGCCTATTGAATTTGGTAAGTCAAGTAGCGAATGAACGCTTTAGCCCGATTTGGGGGTCGTTCCCGTACAGGGTCCTTTGCCCGCATAAGGGACTGCGGAGCAGTTTTCTGCATCTCCCAGAAACTGTAACAAGGGGTTGGGGGTTCGTGTCTACCAAAGTAAACATCAATGACATCAAGACTCTCCACCGCTGCCAATTAAACGGTTAGAGGTTTATTTAGGGGACCTGATCCTGAACTATACTCAGATACAAACTTAGCATGAATCGTGATGAGCCTTTTCAATGTAGACTAGTTCTCGTACCATGTGTAAATGTGTTGAGGGAATATTTTAAAAAAAGATGTCAGCGTGGCGGGGGTGCTGGGAGGGCTTGTCCTGGATGTTTTAGCCATTTTGCGCAACAAACTTGAGGCATGTAACCGATTGCCACGTATCCATACCTTGTCGCAGAACGTCTCGCCAGTTAGTCACTTACTAAATCTATCCCTATACCATGGGAAACGACCATCTCTGGAGGTGCTAGAGACGCAGGACGGAGACGTTTGGGGGGTTGGGTGTTATTCGGCGATTGGACAAGTTTCTTACTTGGCTCGACTGAACAATTTCTGGCTGCGTGTCTCTCACCAGCCGGAAGGGTGTAGCGGTCACTTCCTGGGACCAGCCACACCAACACCAGCTCTAGTGTAGTAGGTCGCCAATTGTGCCATTTCGTCCAATCCCTATCAACGACAGACCCCCCAAAGTACTGAAACAGCGGGATGGTCAAGCCCCAAAGGCAACTGGTGGAGGGGGCTCGAGCGTCTGAACTTGCTTGCCAAGACTGAGTGTTATCGCTGTTGATAAGCTTATCGCAACGCCTTATCGCCAATTAATTGAATTCGCGTGATGGGGTTTTTGGACGCGTCTGCATTCAACTCTGATCGAGGCAACGTCTACCATATACACCACAGCGAAGGCAGAGGACAAATGCACCATGTCGAAACCAATTCTTTCCCTTCAATCAAATCAATCCGATAAAGGAAACAAAGCCGTCGCCAATCTCTTGCCGTGCCGCATTCACCACGACGGTCCAGTTGGCGCGACTGAGCACTTTTGGAATCCGAACAAAGCTGATGGCAAGCATCCCCGTCCCCCCTCGGTTGCCCAATGTGTAGTGCTAACATTATTACCAGATGGAAAGCATGTAGCATACTTTCGTGGCAGAAAGCTTCACGGAACCACAGTCAAGTTGCCAGAGCAATACCGTGGGGTGGTTATGGAGAAGAGCGACAAACCGACTGGCAACCGGCGACCAGAGGTTGAAGAGGAGATTGAAGAGGAGGAACAACAAGTCGAGACGGGTGCCATGGATATCAAGGCTGAATTTGATGAAATCGTCATTTGGGGACACGAGGCAAGCGCCGACGCTGCCTCGGACCCCTACGTCAGGAGTATTGAAGAGTGGTTGACTGTGGCTGAACAGGTATGTTCCAAAAGAGATTTGACGGGGGGCTCTACTAACTATCCATGCAGATACACTCATACCCTCCACCAGAAGCCAGCAATGGTGCGTAGCGGAATAGGCAGATGGCCTATGGGCAGAAATTAGTCAGTTCAAGAGAGACATAGTCTTTCAGTTGCATGAGTGACCCACGTGGGAACTCCGGTCTCGAATTGTAGAACCGGAGCGTGTCACATGAACTGATTTCTCACACTGCTATGTATGATTGTGATTCAGTTTTGACTTCTGAATGAGCAAAACAGACAGACTTGGTCTTGAGATTACATTGTCGGACATGGGATTGGATGGCAATGACGATGGCATTTGAAGGCGTTTCGGCAGATTATCAAGATATCCAGTATAATTTTTATTTTATTTTCTTCAACTACATATATCTTACATTCCCCCAGATCATTCGCAACTTTATATGTGGTGGGATATCACGATAGAGGGTGTCATGCAGTGCGGAAACGATATGCTCTCCTTGACGTGTACTAACAATTTACCACAAAGGGCTAGCGCGCATGCACCCAATTAAAGCCGTCGCGATAGCAACGCGCTCCGACGCGCCTTCTGCCCCTCGCGCGACAAAATCAATTAAGCCCCCCCCTGGTTAGCTCTGCCGTCTCCATACTGCGAAAAAGGATCCATCGCATCCCACCACCCAAAAACCCACCTCCCCAAAAATCACGATCTAGCATCACCGCCTTCAACCCCCACCGCCAGCGCTGCTCTACTTTTCTGAACCGACAATATCAGGTTGAGCGGTCGCAAGCAGCAACAATACAAAAATGGCTCCCTCTAGCGATGCCGGCTACCTAATGTCGGACGCCCCGTCCCGCTCGGCGGCTACCCCTAAACGCTCCTTTATGCCCAGCTCCTCCGCCGGCAGGCCACGAGTGCCACCTTCTGAGAGCATGGGCGCTCCCAGTGATGACGAGGCCGAGGGCTTCGCTGATGATCAAGTCCCCCGCGGATCAAGGATACCAGACGCTGCCAACATTCCAAAGGTTGAGGACAGGATTGGTTTGATGGTCCAAGACCACTTCGAAGGTTTTATCGAGGGGTAAGTGACATGCTTCTTAATCACCCCATTTGTGGTAAACACTCTTCTGACGACACCATATGCAGATTTGTTGAAGACCCGACTTCTTCAGGTGCACCGGTGTCCAGTGCCGTTACCACGGATAAGTACTACGTCGCCCAGATACATGGTATGCGGGACCTTCAACTCTCGACATTCTACGTCGACTTCAGACACCTTGTTTCCTGGCAGAACGGTGAACTGGCCGACGGTGTGATGCGTGGCTACTACCGCTTCCTCCCCTTTCTTACTGCCGCACTTCACAACATGATTGCCAAGTACGAACCACAGTACTTCAGAGAGCACAGGCAGCCGACCTCCTCAAGCAACCAGACCACATCGGCCGCAAGCAACGTTGGCTCTGCTAGCCAGTCAGAGATGGGTGGAAAGACGAGCAACCAGCAGACGGACAAGCTTTTCTCCATCGCCTTTTACAACTTACCCCTCGTTTCCCGAGTGCGAAGCCTCAGAGCGGCCAACATTGGCCAGCTGCTTTCCATTTCTGGTACCGTCACGCGGACGTCTGAGGTTCGTCCTGAGCTGTCGCTTGCTACTTTTGTCTGCGAAGCCTGCAGGACGGTCGTGCCCAATGTCGAGCAGACCTTTAGATACACCGAGCCCACACAATGTCCCAACATGACATGCTTGAACCGCCAAGCGTGGCAGCTTGATATAAGGCATAGCACTTTCGTGGATTGGCAGAAGGTGCGAATCCAGGAGAACAGCTCCGAGATTCCTACCGGAAGCATGCCTCGTACGATGGATGTCATCTTGCGCGGTGAGATTGTGGACCGGGCCAAGGCTGGAGAAAAGTGTATCTTTACAGGCGCCCTCATCGTTGTGCCCGACGTCAGCCAGCTCGGCCTTCCAGGTCTGAGACCGACGGCTGTCAGGGATGACAAGGGTGCCGGACGTGGAGCTGATGTTGGAGGTTCCGGTGTCACTGGTCTGAAGGCTCTTGGTGTTCGTGACCTGACTTACCGTCTGGCCTTCCTCGCCTGCATGATCACTCCCGATACTTCAACGCCGGGCCAGTCCGCAAATGGTCAAGTACAAGACATCATCAGCTCGTTGACTCAGGATAAGTCTGCCGAATCCGCAGAGTCGGTCGAGGCCGCTCAAGCTGCTGTGCTGTCGTCCATGAACGAGTCCGAGATCAACGAACTGCGTGACATGGTACACAGTGATCATATTTATTCTCGCCTGGTGCAGTCAATTGCACCCACCGTGTACGGCCACGAGGTTGTGAAGAAGGGTTTACTGCTTCAGCTCATGTCTGGCGTGCACAAGACAACAGCTGAAGGCATGGAGCTGAGAGGTGACATCAATATTTGCATCGTGGGTGACCCCTCTACCTCCAAGTCGCAGTTCCTCAAGTATATCTGCTCCTTCGCTCCTCGCGCCGTCTACACTAGTGGTAAGGCATCCTCTGCCGCTGGTCTTACAGCTGCGGTTGTCAAGGATGAGGAGACTGGCGACTTTACTATTGAGGCTGGTGCCCTCATGTTGGCAGACAACGGCATCTGTGCCATTGATGAGTTCGACAAGATGGACATTGCCGATCAGGTCGCTATCCACGAAGCCATGGAACAGCAGACCATTTCTATTGCCAAGGCCGGTATCCAGGCTACTCTGAACGCCCGCACTTCTATCCTTGCCGCCGCCAACCCTGTCGGCGGCCGTTACAACCGCAAGACCACCCTGCGTGCCAATATCAACATGAGCGCTCCCATTATGTCGCGTTTCGATCTTTTCTTCGTCGTCCTTGATGAGTGCAATGAGTCGGTCGATCGCCATCTTGCTGAGCACATTGTCGGCATTCACCAACTGCGTGACGCCGCTATTGAGCCCGAATTCAGCACTGAACAGCTTCAGCGATACATCCGCTTCGCTCGTACCTTCCGTCCTGAGTTCTCTGCTGAGGCCAAGGAGGTTCTTGTAGAGAAATACAAGGAGCTTCGCGCCGATGACGCGCAAGGCGGAATTGGCAAGAACTCATACCGTATCACTGTCCGTCAATTGGAAAGTATGATTCGTCTGTCAGAGGCGATTGCGAAGACGAACTGTGTCGAGGAAATCTCTTCCGAGATGGTCGTTGAAGCTTTCAATCTCCTCAGGCAAAGTATCATTTCCGTTGAGCACGATGACATCGAGGTTGATGACGATGAGCCTGAGGATAGCGCCACCTTACGCCGCGCGGCATCCGAGGCAGCTGGCCAGCCCCTGGAAGATGACAATGCTATGGCTGTTGATGACTCCACACCCGCAGCGGAGAGGCGGCCTAAACAGACCATCACCTACGACAAGTATGTGAGCATGGTCAACATGTTTCTGCAGCGTGTTGTTGAGGACGAGAATGAGGGTGGTGAGGGTGTTGAAGGCGAGGAGCTTGTGCTCTGGTATCTGGAACAGAAGGAAGAGGAGCTCCAGGGTGAGGAGGATTACCACCGGGAGAAGGCACTGGCGAAAATGGTGCTCAAGAAGATGGTCAAGGTAATATTTCATCCACAATCTGTCACTGCTAAACAGAAACTAATTCGGGCTACAGAACAACTTCCTCATGGCTGTCCGTGGCGAAGGCCTGTTGGACGACGATGGCAACGCTGGCGAAGGAGCATCTGCCACTCCCGCACGTATTGTGTATGTTGTGCACCCCAACGCCGCTGTTGAGGAGATTTAAGTGTTTGCGGTTCCGTGGGTGGTGGGTGCTGGGTTGATCTGAAGGGAAGCGGAGTTGAACATGTATGACGACAAGGAAAAAGTAATGTCTGCGGCATTTTGAACTTGAAAGCCTTGAGCAGGTAGGAAGGGTATGTCGAGCTTGTCTTGAAACGGCTCGGGAGTTGCGGCGTTGGTGAAGAATTACCGTGCTATGGAGATTACATGCACAAAGCTGAGAGATTTGAAGTTACTTCGATATCAAGGTGGTACAAATGTTTTGCGGATGAATATCAATGTTGCTGGCTTCGAAATAAAATACTGTGAAACCGTACCAAGCCTTACAGTCACCGTTTCAGGAGGTTGTAGGCTACAGTAACTGACAATTTATCCCACTTCGCTCTTCGTCTGGACATAACAACCATTACACATCCGAGGACCCATGGTTTGGTATGATAAATACAATGGGAAAGACGGAAAAATAGCAATCAAGAAGTTATGAATCTGACTCAATTTGTATACAGGGTGTCATGCTATATTCGTAATTCTATTATGAAAAACCCGGTTCGCCTCTGGACGCAGAGCCTGCAGCACAGGGTAAGGTAAGTTTCGAGAAGGAAAGCCGTGTATGTCGTCGTTAGTACAATTTGCATTTACTAGAACAGTGTCCCATCATCATGAACCTGCGGGATGAAATTGGGACAAAGCCAACCTCTACCTTCGGGACAAGTGAAGATCAACTGCCCGTTTCCGCGCAGCAACCCCATCTGGAACCGCCATTCAGTCTTTACGGTAATCCCATTGATCCGAAGCCAGTAAGCCAGAATACCCTCCGGCGTACATGCCTCATTGTCGTGACCGTCAGCCGTTTTGGCTCTTGTCTTGGTGTTGAACCCCTTCCACTTGGCGCTCTCCTTCTCCAGCGCCCGGAGGTGGATGAACTCGCGATACAGAGCCAGATAGGTGAACATGGCGTTGGGACGTCCGAAAGCCGTGATGTCAGTGACACCCGCACGCAGTTCACCGTCGTGCAGCATCGCGTACCATGTCCAATCCAGTGCGACGCGGGGGGCCAGGATGCCGTTCTCAGGCACTTTGAGGGACGATAGCGCGGGCGAGTCACCCCAGAATTGCAGATCTAGGCGTCCCTTGTAGATATAGTCGTATGAAATGCCCTGCTCGACCATGTAACGCTGCACCTGTTGGCCGGCGAGGTAGAGGGCTTTCCACTGGCTAAGCTGGTGGTTCAACTTCTCCTCTCCACACACCTTAACCAGTACCTCGGGAGGGTTTACCGCCTTCTCCTTGACGTCGTCTAGTTTCATGATCTCGACGGTCTTGAGGGCGTCTCCGAAGCAAGACTTAAGATGTTTTGTGATGCTTTCTTTATCAACACCGTCGCCTGAGTCGTGATTGACATCCTCCAAATACGTAAAGACGTGGATATCAACGCCACCGGTGCCAGTCCACGTCTTGACCAGCTTCTCATTCTGGTCCTTGCAGGTTTTCAGATAAGTTCGCAGGAAACCGGTATATACAATCGCCAGGCGACCCTTGTCGTCGGCGGCGCGATGAAGTGTGCATGTCGTCTTACTGCCCGCGCGAATGTGTAGCTTGCCACTGTCCAAGAGCTCGAGCACTGGCTTCTCGTCGCCGGGATCGACCGAATCGCAGTCGGGAAGGAGATTCGATATCCACGGCGTAGCGCCGTAGGGTGCTGCAGTCTCGTTGGCCCAGGAGAGCATCAGCACACCCTCCTGCGTGAGCTCGACCTGCCATGTGACGGGCCAATAGTATTCGGTGTCGGAGGTGAATAGCTCTACTTCGGTCTTGGTATCGACAAGAGAGAGAGATCCGCTATCGAGAAGACGGAGCTCGTAGCGGCCGGAGGGGGAGGTCAGGTGGAAAGGCGACAGCTTTTGGCCGGCTTCAAGCCTCGATACCTTCTTCGCTAAGGGTGGTTTCGCGTCGCTGGCTGGGGCTGGCGGCGCGGAATGTGAAGGCGCGGCTACTGCCGATTCGGCGGGCGCTGGTGAAGGCGTGGCAACAACACCATGATCCTCGCCTATGTTGTCGTTTTGGTTGATAGGGCTCACCACGTTGGTGGACGCGTCCTTGGTCGGCCCTGGCGCAAGGCCCCCGATCTTGGTGGGCGCATTATAACCGACGTGGGGGAGCTGGGGAACCAGAAATATCGCCGCGATGAGGAATACGGCGACCACTAGGGACAGCCGCAGACATGTGCCACTCAGCATCATGAACGGTGCGCGTTATGGCTGGATGAACCACCCATTGCTTTTGTGTTTCGACTTGTTCCGAATTGGAAAGGGGCTTGCTGAGGCGGCACCTGAATCCTCAATGCGGCGCGGATGTGCGACCATATCGGTTTATCGCTTACTGACGCCAAAGCCTTGACTTTATGCAGATATCGGGAAGTATGTCTCGAATACTTACATAACCGTCTGGCTGAGCAACTCACTCTCACCTAAATCTAAACATACCTAAGACATTGGCACTAGTTATCGCTAAGAAACAAAGAATCCAAGTTGCACAAATTCCTTTCGTATTGAATTGCAGTGCCCGCATAAGAGAGAGAAAGCGAAAGTCTCAGCCGTGCATGAAGCTGCGCTAATGGTTACCATCGATGCAGCCAAGCCATCCAGTTCACTTCAACACCTGAAACTTACATTTGAATATATCTAACTTCTAATCTAAGAGGATTTGATCTCCAAATCACGTATTATATCAGTACAATCAATCCTGGCGTGATTATTGAGACTAGGATGTTGCATGCCTGCACAGGGTCGTCAACTTGCCTCGTCACACCTGGCCCTACCTTACGCGGCTAAAATAAAGACAGGCTATTGAGATGGAAACAGAATAATGCCAGGGGATTCATCCTACTAGCAGTATCTCTCTCGAAATGACATGCTCTCGTGACATTAACAACCGCCACCCTGTCAATGCTGCCAGCCATAATAGGCAGGAAAGCCGCTGTGCATCTCATTTTGTATTGGTGTATTTCGGTTCAATCATCAGACAATTAGCCTTTTCAAAGTCCCAAAGAAATTGAGATTGTAAAGTTCGAAGGTGATGGCGAGGCATATTACTTGTGCTGCGCTGGTACAATTATGCCTGCTTCGTTTTATTACTACCTTAGGTACCTATGTAGGCATTTGGCTCCTCTATCAATCAACGGTTTAGGTAAGTTTGGCCTGCTAGTGAGCGGGCGAATTTACGTCGAATTTCAATTTATGCGACAACAGTACGGGATATACCTGCTACTAAAGTCAGCACGAGGCCCGGCACTCCCATGTGCTTCATTCAGCCCTAATTGTTGGCCGAGAGAGGCAAGTAAACCTTGAGAATACTAATGTGTTACAAAGAAATAAGACCAGAATGGTTGATAGAACCACCCAATGTGGTGTCAATCTACCATGTATTGGTTCCAATAGAATCTGGGAGTGATGCAAGTACCTCGTTACAAAACTACTTAATCCTTCTGATGATACGCGACAGCGATGGGAACAAGCTACCGATAAGCCGAAGCCATGACCTGATTTAGTAGTATCCCCAATCCACGTTGATCACAATGCATTGCTCTTTAGAGTTATTGAGAGTACTGGAGGATGCATGTGAGAGGCACAGCAACCCCGCTCTACAACAGTTCCAAAAGCCTCACAATAAGTGATTACCGCCATTTCCAAAATGAGATAAGTGCCTTGCGGCTATGAAATTATTAAATCCTTCCGTCGGAGCAGTTGTCCGTCTTCCGGCCTGATCCTACTTTGGTCGAATCCTAACAACTTGACCTGGGTTTTGATGTTACTGCGGGATTGGTACTTTGGTATTCAGCTTTGGCAATAAAAAGCTTGTTTTGGGCCCTGAATTGTTTTTATCTGTATTGAAGGTAGTGATAGTATTTTGCAGAATGTACTACTCGCACATCTTTACCGCTGCGCTTCTCAGTGCTGGTGTGTTGGCTGAAACTGCCGTCTCACCAACCGTCGTTATCGATGCTGGCACAATTGTCGGTACGAATGTGTTATTACCTTCGTCAACGGTTGCCGTGAACAAGTTTCTCGGTATTCCTTATGCACAACCCCCTATCAATGAGAACCGCTTCCTACCTCCCAAACCTGTAACTCAATTCACCGAAAGCCCGCTGATTGCGAAATCCTGGGGATACAAATGCCTAGAGGTCCTTGGCAGTAAGTTAATGAGCTCACATAAAAGATTTTCCTTTATTAACGTGACTAGATAGCAATGGGTCCCCCGAAAGCGAAGACTGTCTTTTCTTGAACGTCTATACCCCGGCCGGAGTGAAGTGCTCAACTGCGGGCCGGCCAGTCCTCGTGTGGATTCATGGCGGATGGTTACGGTCTGGAACAGCGAGTCAATCAGCTTTCGACGGATCTGTGTTTGCAGCCGAGCAAGGCGTAGTAGTTGTGACTTTCAACTACCGTCTGAACGGTACTCTTGCTTAGGTTTCCAAAAGCCCCAATGGCTGCTAACACAAGTCTTAGTTTTCGGCTTCCCCAACTCGCCCCAACTGTCACTTGAGCAACAGAACCTTGGCTTTCTTGACCAACGTCTTGCTCTCGAATGGGTGCAGTCTAACATCCGAGCATTTGGTGGCGATCCTTCCAAGGTTACCATCGCAGGAGAATCCTCGGGCGGATCGTCTGTCGACCGTCTCGTCACTACCATTCATTCCAAGCCTCCATTTCGCGCTGCTGCTTGTTCAAGTGGCCAAGCGACAGTCAGCGCGATCGGACGAGACGCTGGGCCACTCTCATGGACAGCTCTTGTCTCCCTTCTCGGTTGCAATGGAAAAGATGAGATTGAATGTGTACGTGGCATCGACGCTGAGACTATTCGAGGGTTGGCCGTTGCAAACAATCTCGACTTCAGTCCTGTGAACGACAATATCACACAGAAAGAACTTCCTTATCTTCCAACCCGAGCAGCAGGTGGTGTTGCGCCTGTTCCGTTGTTGATTGGCACCACTGGACAAGAGGGCACTTATCTCGCTCCTATGTATAATTTGAACGTCTCAACAGTCACCGAGGAGATGTTACCTCAGTTCCTTAGTGGACTGACTGGTGGAGATATCGAGCTTGTCGGCGGCATCATGCAGGTCATACAACTTATACAGAGATCTACCGGCCTTTCTGTGTTTCATTCCGCAGCCACCGTTTACACAGAAGTTATTTATCAATGTGTAAGTACTGTATCTCTCTCAACTGCGATTGCTACTAGCCTAATCGAGCTTTTTCCCTTGGTTGTATCAACATTCCTTTACATTTTCTCCACTTTTCGTCTCCTTTTCCCATGTTCACTCCAGCCCGTCCTTGTATCACAGGCAATACATGCGAGATAGCCTGGGGAAGAGGAAATTTGTTTCATCAACAAAGAAGTCGAAGCTGATTAAGAACTATGCTAGCCTGCTCTTCTTGTATCCCGTGCCTCGTCACAGAGCGAAATTCCAACGTGGAGATACTTCTACAACGCATCGTTCCCTAATCTAGCTGCTGAGGGCTACACATCTGAAGAGTTAGGGGCATCTCATGGTTCAGATACCTCAATGATTTTGGGGACGTATCCCAGAGAGGGTGCCACAACCTGGCAGGTCGAGCTTAGCCGACAAGTGCAGAGACTGTGGGGAAATTTTGTTAAAGACCCTTCTGGGGCGGGCCCTGGTTGGAACAGGGTGGACGCTGGTGGCAACAACATTGCATGCGTTGGTTGTGCCGCGGGCGAAAAACCCATCATTTTGGAGTCTGCTACCATTGACAGCCGTTGCGCGATTTACGAGCCCTTCTTTGGTCGGGTTAAAACTCCATTCGTATAGCTCTAGATGGATTGTGCGCTTCACCTCAAGATGAGGAGCCTGTTCAAGGGGTTTGAGGATATGCTGGACAAGGCAACACAAGAGGGAAGTATGGCCATAGGTTGACCGACTTCTATCAATAATCGGAGTGAAGATCATATGATTTGGCGGCGGGGATAATATAGGTTACCAGTCAACTTCCCAGCTCTTGCAGCAATACAAGGGTTCAACGTCTGTTTCTGGAAATGCCCCCGCGTTCGTTATTGTCCTGCCGCATACTTGCATGATCAATATAGCCAAGGAGAGGGGTAAAGATGCGTCGCTGAAGGAGGTATATAAGCCGTTGCACTCCGATAGTCCTAAGATTGGCGGTCATTTGGAAATGTCCATTTACCTAGTCATAATTAGTTGTGACTACTGGCTACGATCATGAGTGGTATCAGTGCTGTGGCGAGCGGCGCCCCTGCCAGTACCAACAATACCGTCGAACTAATTCCTGAGGAGGTATATGACGCATTAAACCACCAAAGTTCTTAGAAGTCTTCCTAACGACGTTTGATTTGCAGCTGGAGGTTGATAGCGCGTCAGAACTTGGAAGCGTAAGTAACTGTGCTTTGTGAAATATAATCTGTCGTTTCTCTTGACTTATAAGCTGGAGCTGATTTGTTGTCGATAGAGTCTCGCTTCTTCTACCACCAGTATATCTAGGTCCATCCTTGATTATCGAATCGAAAATGGCCGGACATACCATATGTACAAGGACGGTAGTGAGTTCCATCATTTCTCCAAGAAACCCTTGTCAAATCTTATCTAATGACTTTGTAAAACAAAAGAATATCTTTTCCCTAACGACGAAACTGAGAAGGAAAGGCTAGGTAAGCTTGTAAACTATATGAAGTTTCAATTTGACATTGACAAAACAGCTAGACCTGCAACACCACATGTTTCTTTTGACTCTTGACAATGCTCTGGGGCTTGCTCCTCCAAACAAGCCGGACTCCAAGGTTAGACGCGTTTTGGACGTCGGAACCGGTAGCGGAATTTGGGCTGTGGATTTTGGTGAAGAACATCCTGATGCAGAGGTAATGGTCAATCCTTGACTAACAGACGCTGTACGATTCCAAATGCTAAACAGATCCCAGGTTGTTGGCATCGATCTTTCCCCTTCAATGCCAGAATTGTAAGCCCATTTTCTGCCGACCGAGCAAAAATGAAACATTTACTGATAGCGGCTAGTGTACCCTCTAATGTCAAGTTCGAAATTGATGACTTGGAAGAGGAATGGAACTACTCACAACCTTTTGATTACATTCACAGCCGAATGATGAATTCATGCGTAGGAGACTGGAAGATCTATATGAAGAAAGCATTCGAGTAAGTGATTTTCCACAGCAGAACAGTGTCTTTTGGTCGCGTATGCTGTTCTGACTAGCTTTCCCCCAGCAACCTCGCTCCAGGTGGATATTTCGAAGTGCAGGAATACGATCTCTTTCCCCAATCTGATGATGGCACTTTGAAACCAGAGTCTTCTCTCTCAAAATGTGTTAATCTCATGTACGAGGCTTCGGTAATCTTCGGACGTCCATACCAGCACATACCACCTCTTGTGGACATGATGAAAGAGGTAGGCTTCGTTGATGTCTCGATGAACACCTTCAAGTGGCCCACGAATGATTGGCCAAAAAATCGCAAATACAAAGAATTGGGAATCTGTAACAATGAAAACGCTTGTATCGGTTTTGAGGGATTCACCATGGCCCCTCTAACGAGAGCTCACAGTTGGACGAGAGAAGAAGTCCTTGTTTTCCTCACTCAAGTGCGGAAGGATTTAAAAGACAGGTCTATTCATGCCTACTGGCCTATGTGAGTCAAAACCTTCCTTTTAGGAATTTACTCTGCTAACGGAAAGCTAGGTATTCTTTTTATGGAAGGAAACCGACGGAAGAAGAGTAGACTCTTAACAAAGGTTAAAGCTCAGATTATACACCCTGCTGAGAGGAATCTGTGTGGCTGAAGTCATCGCGGGCCGGTTACAAGGGTGCTCGAGTTGTTAAGCCAGGTAGCTCAGTAGGAGCTATTAGGAGTCCCATGTCTACGTTTGAATTCATTGAGGCCCACCAGGAGTTCTTCGGTTAATATGGCTGCTCTTTTTAACTCAGAGTCTCTTCAAATTTATTTTTTCCTCAGTGCTTTTGTTTCTTTGCGCTGAAGAACTGTTAGCTGAATCATAGCTGGATCATACGTAGCAAGAACGCGTAGTCCATTAGTAAAAAGAAAACATGCCACCTGTGAAAAGGGATAAAAAGTTTACACCACTGATAAGCCAAAGCTAGCCACACCTTTCGACATATATCCTGGCTAGAGACATGCTAGCTTTACATTAGTATTAAACCCCAACTGAGGAGGTAAGGCAAGCTCACAAGCCACACCCGATCATTTGCTAAGGTAACCTCACGCAGCACACTGCGTCTGCAATGCGGCTTATTTGTGAGACAACTCAGCATCACATGCGCCGCCGCACTTGGTAGCCAAACCTTCCGAAATAGGTAATGTTTGTAGCGCCCGTCAATGGACCGGCCCTATAGCGCTTCAAAGTGTGGACCTCAGTCACGATAACGCAAAACCCAACAAGTGGGTTTCGATGAATTGGGAATTGCGAAGCGCTCCGATAAGTGCGTTGGGTCAAACCCAATTTTCACCCACCAGCCCGTTACGATTGACAGGTCGCAACCCAAAAAAAAAAAAAAAAACCTTTGGGTCCTGGTTGTGGAATAAACTGAATTTTCGATCCATCAAAATCAAAGCGAACGAGATAATTCAATCTTTCCGATATGAAGGTATTCTCAGCTCCTCTCTATGTGAGAGCCAGCATCATCACATCATGCGTCGCTATGCTTTTTGGGTATGTCCATTTCTTTCCGGTCTTTTGCAATACCTGACCCCGCCGGCCTCCGTCTTTGCTAACTAGGTTCGACGGACTAGCCTCGACACGGGAAGCATCGGCCCCGTAACGACCATGCCGTCCTTTCGTAAGACGTTCGGCGATTTCTCCCCCACAATGCACGGAGTCATCGTCTCCTCCGTTCTTATTCCGGGTGCTTTATCAGCTCTGGTGTCTGGTGTCATGGCCGACAGATTCGGCCATGTCCGTTTATTTGCCCTTGGAGCATTCATTTACGGCTGCGGCACCGGTATCGAATGCGCTTCGCCTATCCTAGGAGTTTTCGTTCTCGGCCGTCTTATCAAAGGAATTGGCGAAGGAATGTTTTTGAGCAACGTCTATGTTCAAGTATCCGAAATATCACCATCTCGTGTGCGCGGTATAATGACAGCGCTGCCCCAATTTTCCATAGTCACTGGCATTGTTTGTGGGTACTTTATCTGTTATGGCACTGCACGACTTGGAATGTCATCTATTGCGTGGCGTCTTCCACTAGCCATCGCCTCATTTTTAGGGTTTGTCTTCTCTGCGACATATTGGATCGTCCCCCCTTCGCCGCGGTGGTTACTCGGTAAGGGCAGAGTGGATGAAGCTCGTCTCATTGTGGAACGCCTGGGACTGGATGAGAAAGAGCGCGAAGAGATGCTGGACATTTCGTTCTCTGACGAACAAGAGCATGATCCAAATGCTTCTGTTGTGGAGATTCTCAGACAGGCCCTTGCAGGCTTTCGCGAGGCCTTCTCGGCACCCTACAGGAGCAGAACCTTGTTTGGGTGCTTTTTGATGGCAATGCAACAATGGAGTGGCATTGACGGAGTGCTGTATTATGCACCTATCATGTTCGCGCAAGCTGGACTTGACGGTGAACAAGCAACGTTCCTTGCATCTGGAGTGTCTGCGATAGTCATTCTGGCCGTGACAATCCCTGCAACGTTTCTGGCAGACAAATGGGGACGAAGAACGTCGAGTCTCCTGGGCGGAGTGTTGATTACCGCTCTGATGTTGTTGATGGGCTCGCTCTACGCAGCTAAAGAGGTCCACGCAGATAGAGGAGCAGGGAAGTGGATAGTCATTGTTTCCATTTATTTGTTTGCAATCGTCTACAACGGAACTTGGGCAATTGGGTTCCGCACCTTCTTGGTGGAGAGCCTACCAAGAAAGACAAGGAGCAGTGCATCTAGCCTGGCTCAGAGCGCCAACTGGGTAAGGGCTTCATACTTTGCAGACAGTAACGTTTGAGACAATGTAGCAACTCAACTAATGTTATATCACAGTTTGCCAATTATGTTGTAGCATTGATCACTCCAGTGCTAATTTCAAAGTCCACATTCGGCGCATACTACCTTTTCGCAGGTTGCAGTCTGTTCTGCACAGTTGTGGTAGCTGTGGTCATGACCGAGACGCGAGGACACAGTCTGGAGGCGATAGAAAGGAGATACAATGAAAAGAAGGTCACTGCTAGCGAGAAGAAGAGCTGGAAAGGACTTGGACTGAGAAACGTCGGAAACGCAGTTTGAGTAAGGTATCGGTAAGGTAGCTAGAAGTAAAGCACAAAAGAAGTTCTTCAACCCAGAACCAATATCATGGTAAAGACGTTAGGAAACGATTCGAGATTAGGCAATGCGATGATGAAAAGAATAGTCCCTACCACAATTCTGTCTGCCATGGATTGAGCATCTCACTTCGTTTTCGGTTTCGTGTTTGAGCTGGGGAAACTTTTGAAGCAGATAAACTAATAGTAATGCATCAGTTAGATCATTTGATGCGACACAAAAAATGCATGGGGCAGTAAACATACGACAAGATGTGACAGATTACGCAGATGCCGGTAATTTAGATTGTTCAAAGCAAGAAAGTATAATGGTACGGGACTGGAACCCTTGCTAGGCAGATTACGCCTCAAGATAATTAGGCTGGTGGTGAAAGGTGTCAGCCTCATTATCGTACAATCCAACCGTCCAACGCTACTATTCGAGTCAGCTGCCGTTACATGTACTATTTGCGCCAAACCCGATTGGACAGTAGGGGTATGAATGCATTTTGTTTTCTAAATAGCACCGCTACCCAGAACGAAAATTGCATAGTAGTCTGGGAGAATTTATAGTTTAGTGTTGCATGTGACGAAAACCTTAGTATATTTGGGATCTGTGCAGTCGAGGATCTGCCGCTCATTTGTCTCGTAGCTGTTCTTGAGTAATCTCCTGCATTAAAGGCCGTTCTGAGACAACAATCCGTGATGTGTAGTTACGATAGAGTTCATGCCTTTCGTTATCTTTGCTCGCGAACTGATAGCAGTTTGAACGAGACGGATAGATTAAGGTAATTTGCTAGAGGTCAAAAGTTTTTGAGTAGCTCTGCTCTACGTGATGAGCATGGAAGCATTATAATACCGTACCCATGAATAATGCCCATAGCCCCGTCTACAGAACGGCCATTTTCTAACAGTATCTGTTTAGAGTTTACCTCATCAGTCTAATATACTTATTAAACAACAAGCCTACACGTGTGCTTAACCGGACACATCTACGGGTACATGCGGGTACATTCTCAGCCAAAGCTGACTCAGTAATACCATGCAAACATTATCGTGGGGCATACCAACTAACTACGGATGTAACCGTTACGGAAAGGTTAAATTACTCATGACTATGCAGGCCTGAAATCTCAGATGAATCCAATAGTGATGTTAACATTCAGAATCGAGAGAAAAGTTTAAACTTGATGTAGGCGGCTTAGGAAACCCAAGCGAAATAGCGCAGAGGACGGATCAGCTACGGAGCAGAATTGTATGAGACATTTGTCTAATGACATGTCTTTCAATTCTTTACTCGTTTGTCTTAAGCAATCAAATGAAAGTTGCCATCTAATGCAAGCCATCGGCATATTTCCCGTTATCAAACATAGTCCTTAACAGAGATCCCCGTACATCCTGAACGAAGATACCATTCAGCTAAATTAGAGATGGGTGATCAACGGCTGCCTCTCTTATGGGTGACTTTAGGCTTGGTGATTGTTCTTGTGGCGCGTTCAATATGGCTGAGAATCGTCGAGGAGAGCAGGATCAAGCGCTATGGAGGACATTCACCCAGGATGTGGCCGTGGGATCCATTTGGTAAGGCAAAATCATTGACAATTCGATCGCTAGAGATTGATTAACCAGATTACCAATACTAGGACTCTTCTTCACATATAGCATTACAGCTCACGCTCAAAGAGATGAGAACATCAAGTTCATGTGGAATTGCATGCGTCGTTTGGCTAATGAGAAAAACAAGAACCCGCAAACTTTCGAAGTCAGGATGGTTGGTCAGCGATATGTCATGACTGCAGACCAGGAAAACATCAAAGCAATGCTGGCAATCCAGTTCGATGACTTTGGTAAAGGTCCAAGATTCCAAAGAGACTGGGGTGACTTGATGGGACACAGTATTTTCGTGTCGGATGGTCAAAGGTGGCATGATTCTCGACAACGCCTACGACCGATGTTTGCGAGACAGAGGATTAGTGACCTTCACTGTTTTGAACGACATGTACAAGCTTTATTACCATTAATCGATGGAGAAAAGACCGTTGATATAAAAAATCTTTTCAGCAGGTAAGTCATACTCTTCAATCGAAATTGATAGTTTTGATCAGAGGGTAACTTTTGAAGATTTGCCATGGACGCTGCGGCAGACTTTTCAATGGGAATTGAACTAGATTCTCTTCACAATAAGAACTCTGACTATTTCGATGCTCAAGAGCGAGTAAGACATACTCAGTCTCTCATCGAACGTGCAGGGCCACTCAATTGGCTCATTCCAAGGACACAATTCAAAGCAGACCTAAAATTAATCGAAAAATTCATGGAGCCGACGTTGATGAAGGCTTTAGCCGGGTCTGATATCAAGTCGTCAGGGAGAGACCATGACAAATACACTTTTGTACAGGAGTGTCTTGAGGTTTCTCGCGATCCCCAGTTTCTTCGCGATGAGATCCGAACAATTCTCATTGCAGGTCGCGATACAACAGCTACCACACTCGCATGGGTCTTCTATGAATTGGCCTGTCATCCAGAGGTCATTGCAGACTTGAGACGGGAGATAGCTGCCAGCATTGGCATGGAAAAGAAGCCGACATATGAGGACCTAAAGAACATCAAGATCCTCTCTTATATACTCAATGAGACGTTGAGAATCTATCCAGTGGCTCCTTTCAACGTCAGAGCAGCTCTTAAGGATACCAGCCTACCTAGAGGAGGTGGTTCTGACGGAAATGGCCCTGTGGGGATACCTGCTGGAACTGTTGCGATAGTTGGAATACGGAGCCGTGTGGCACTTCCAGCCACACGCCCGCCAGGCTGAGAGGCCCAAGCCTCCCAGACCCACGTGACAGGCCAAGGGGGAATATCCCCACCTTCTAGTCAACAACACCACTTTCAACTATCATCATGAACCATCGATTAGAACCAATTTACTGTTATTTGTTATTGACGAACGGAATTCCGTTTCACCCCCTGTTTCACCCCCTGTGAAACCTACACTGATCAGTGGTAAACCTCACAGTTGCCATTAATTTGGTTAACTTCACAATTACCACTCTGCTACGGACAAACCGCAGATCAGCAAGGTCAACACCAGAAGAGACGACTTCTTGAACTGGATACCCAAGCCCAGGTAAAAGTAGGGATTTCGTGCTAACGAGAGAAGAAGCGAGAGTAACTGGGATCTACGGAAACCAGCAGAAGAAAGCTTCTTTTCCTCGAATCTACCAGCAATCCGATTATTCGAGTAACCTAGGGACTGCTACGCTCACCCTAGGCGGGATAAGGTTAATCGCAGCCAATTATCGCTGGCAAGAGCGTTCCATCACGCGTTTTCAATCACCAGAAGAAGAGACCTACCGAATCGACGGTCCTCCAACCTCTTCACGCCACAAGGGCGAAGATTCACGAATCCCACAAGGGATAACAACTTCCCCAACTACAACTATCCCCCACGCGCGGTGCCAATCACGAGGCGCCCGCTAGTTTCTCAATAAATCCCCAGACGAGGTGCCAACCGCGAGGCGCCTGCCACAAGAGACCTCCCTACCAGAAGAAGAACACGCCGAAAGGCGAGCGGAGACTACCGGCGGTAATCCGCCTATACAGCTATACGTATACGCCTCCGAGGCTGCGGCTTAGGAGAAACGCACGTGGTTGTGGGCGTCATAAGGCCAACTGTCCGCTAGATTCTAAACTTCCCAACAGTGAGGAGCGAAGCCCGAAGCGAGAAAGAGAGATTCACGAGAGAATCTACGGTAGAACTCTCTCCCTACCAATTCGAGACCTGTGTATACCCTCACACCCCTCGAGAACATCAGCGAGAACGGCGCCGACGGAAACAAACGACGAACCGACGAAAATCCCCGATTTCACGATTCTTTCCCCTTAGAATCGTAATATCCCGAATCGTCTTTTGACTCCCACTTCCAGGCCTGCATCTTGCACCAATCGCAGCTGACGCTGTTGAGGATTAGAATTCAAGATTCTAAACAGAAGTAATCCTTTTATACTGTCAGAATGGAGCGAAATTCACGAGAAGGATCGCCCGCGAGCGGCGTCACTGCCAAAAGCCAATCAACAGTCCCCATCCCACAGAGAATCGAAAGTATGATCGATCCAGCAGTATGGGGCAACTGGGCAATCGACCTTACAAACGCTAGCCCACAGCAACTGGGTTCCTATATGGGTTTCCTACTTGAGACCTATGAGAAGAGGAATCTCACGGGCCTCGAGCTATGGAACGAAGTTTCTCCCGATTTCGCCGACTGGTCAGAAGAAGAAGAACCCGAAGCTGAGATACCGCAGCAGGAAGTAGTACGCGACGAAATTATCGTCGCCGGCGGAGGCAGTGAACCGGACGAACCGCAAGAGGCACCGGAGCCACCGAGAAGACGCCCGGGCAGACCCCGGAAGAGACCACTGCCAATCGCCCACTTCACAGAGGAATTCAACGATGACCCGGATTATCAACAAATATTCCTATCGATTAAGGAGCAAGCAGACGAAGAATTAGCAATCAAACTACGACGAGAAGGTGTTATTACTACACCAGGCGAACCGTTCGAACAGTCAACTAAACAAGAGATCAACAGCCTCATCGCTAGAGGAGTGTTCAAATTCACCCAGTTCAATAAGAGAAGGCACCAGAACGTACGAATCTTCCGATCTCGTATCGTCAACGAAGTCAAGGGTAAAACAACCGAACCCTACGAGAAATCGAGACTTGTAATACAGGGTTACGCCGACGATGGCAAGAAGGCTATATTGACCCAATCGCCAACGATTCAGCGGGCGAGTCAACGGCTAATTCTGTCAATTACCCCGTCACTCCTACGAGAAGGGAAACAACTATGGCTTCGAGATATCACACAAGCCTACGTTCAATCCTCCACAAGGCTCAATCGTACTATTCTCGCCTACCCACCGAAGCAAATTCAAGACCAGTACCCAAAAGGGACCATTATGGAGGTTGTGAAGCCTCTGTACGGAATCGCAGAAGCTGGAACCCACTGGTAGGCAACGTATCACAAGCATCACAGAGAGAATCTCCAGATGGTTACTTCTTCGTACGATCCATGCCTATTGATCTCATCTACCGAAAATCCACACTTTGGCTGTATCGGCATGCAAACCGACGATACCCTCGGTTTGTCAGACAAGGCGTTCTCACAATTAGAAGACGAACAGTTAGAAAAAGCGGCTTTTACGGCAAAAGCGAAGAATATCCTCACAATTGACGAACCCCTCCAATTCAACGGAGGGATAATCGCGCTGTCAACCGACAATTCGATCAATTTGAGACAAAAGGGACAAGCCAAGAAGTTACGATGTATTGAGACTACTAAACCCAACCCAAAACAGCAATATGTCGAACAACGCGCCAGAGGGGCGTACATCGCGTCAATTTGCCAACCCGAGGCCTGTTTCGATTTATCCACTGCTGCCCAACACCAAGACCCCTCGCCAGAAGCGATAAAAGCACTGAATCAACGGATTCGATGGCAAATAGAATCGCCTAACCGAGGAATAACGTTTATCCCACTCGACCTTACAACAGCCAAGCTATTCGTTTTCGTTGACGGGTCGTTCGCTAATAACCACGACCTCTCCTCCCAATTAGGGTTTCTGATCATCCTAGCCAACGACACTTCCTCTGACAGCAACAACGGAGAATTCACGATTCACGGTAACCTCGTTCATTACAGCTCTACGAAGAGTAAACGAGTCACCCGCAGCGTATTAGCGTCAGAGATCTACGGGATGGTCGCTAGCGTCGATATGGCCTACGCCCTCGCCACAACCCTGGCGACAATCACTGACCACCTCAACCTACCAACGATTCAGACAGTTGTCTGTACCGATTCTTATTCGCTGTACGAGTGTCTCGTGAAGCTGGGCACTACCAAAGAAAAGCGACTCATGATCGATATCATGGCGTTGAGACAATCGTACGAAAGACGAGAACTACAAGAAATTCGTTGGATTAACGGCGAAGACAACCCTGCTGATGCCCTCACGAAGAGCAAACCAAATCGAGCCCTCGAGAGATTCGTTGATAGCAACACGATAACGATACGTATGGAGGGATGGGTAACAAGACCGTAACTACGGGAGAAAGTAGGGATAGGAGGCCGAATTGACGAGGAGACGGAACTGTATAGGGACAACGTATTCCAACCGCTTCAACACCATAAAAAGAGAGTTTCCAGTGTTGCGATAGTTGGAATACGGAGCCGTGTGGCACTTCCAGCCACACGCCCGCCAGGCTGAGAGGCCCAAGCCTCCCAGACCCACGTGACAGGCCAAGGGGGAATATCCCCACCTTCTAGTCAACAACACCACTTTCAACTATCATCATGAACCATCGATTAGAACCAATTTACTGTTATTTGTTATTGACGAACGGAATTCCGTTTCACCCCCTGTTTCACCCCCTGTGAAACCTACAGGAACTACTATAGTGTATTCTACTCATCTGCTCCGTAAGTCTCCATATTGTATTGTGCTGCTGTTTCCCTACAACCTCATACTGACGCGAAGACAATCAGACTTGAACCCCGACTTGTACCCTGGCAGTGGACCAGAATTCCCTCCTCTGCAAGATTTCTACCCTAGAAGGTGGCAGAACTGGACCCCAAAACCCTGGTCCTACATCCCATTCCATGGAGGGCCTCGCATATGTCTTGGCCAACAATTTGCATTGATGGAGATGAGTTATGTTCTTGTACGTGTCTTCCAGCGATATAGTCGTCTGGAGTTGAAAGAGAGCCTCGGCAGTCCTCCTGCCTACAGCCGTCAAGGTTGGCTTTCGAGCGGCGAAAAGCCGGAACTGCCTGAAATTTACGTCAACTCCAAGCCGCGAATGGCGAGTGAGATTACCTTGGCGCCGCGATATCCGATTCATGTTACTTTTTCACGATAACGATATAGTTAAGCTACGGGGCAATCGCCCAATGGAACAAATACCTACACAAGGATTCCGTATGAATACAAAAGGGTGTCAATTTCATTTTAGATTCCGTCTTGGGAAGAAAAGAAAAATCAAGCGATTGAATGGAATCAATGGGCTTGGTCTGAAGCGCCCACAAGAGCCGATTACATCTAAGTTCAACCATTATACAGTTCATCCGAACAAAACAGTTGCTAACCTTCTGTACCACGAGGTCGTTTAGGATTGCCTTCCATTAAGAGTTAAGGTTGTCAGACAAGCATAAATTCGATTCAGGCCATGTAATCAGATGGAATTAGTCTCGCGAGGAATTTCCCCAAAGACCAAAAACAGTGGGAAAATCCGCGTCATTCTATTTTTTGGCTCTAAGCTGAGAAAGAAAGAAGGAAAATGTTTAACACATCTTCGAAGTACGATTTTGTAGCCTTGAAAGCTGCAATCAGTCTTTGGGCTTCGTCGCTTCGAAAAGTAGCATAGTTCCACAAACTGTCCACCTGACATCTTCGAAGGCATTCCGCAAAGGTCCGATGAAGCTCTCAACATCATCATCATCATTTCCGAAAACCCCCCAAAGGTTGTGCCAAAACATGATGACTCTCCCCATAAAATTGTGTTTGACACCTCTGCCAAGAATTGTTGCTCCAAAGAGCACGCCATCAGATGCCAGCAGACTTTTAAGTCGGACTAAAGCCTCTCCTTTGCGTGCTGGAGGACCTGGAACACAGTGAAGCAGTAGCATTACAGAAATAGCATCGAACCTGCCACCTCCTAAATCCTCACAAGAAAGGCCTTTTGCTGAAGGGTCCAAAAAGTCCGCAACTGAGGTCTTGCAGGTGACTTGTGGGTGCGCCTGTAGTGTCCGCGATGAAGCAGCTTGCAGAGCAGAAGGATTCAGGTCAACAAGAACAACTTCAGCTCCTTCTGAAATGGGAGCATATTTCAGGAAGTAGCCAGTACCAACACCGATATCGAGCATGCGAGGAGAGGCAGCACCAGGTATTAACTCTTTGCGATGCCGCTGTGAGTCGCGAGATAGGGACCGAGAAGTGGCATTGATTATGTGGTCGTTAAAGAACTTTCGCAAACGCTTCGACGAAATTTGCCAGGCATATGGACAATAGAGCCCAAGAACAAGAGGGTCATAAATATAACGGAGAAATATGGGAAAGTAGACGGCCGCACCTGCGGACGTATCTTTCAGCGCCATGTGAGGTATGATTATTTGCCACGACTAAACGACCAAGAAAGTGCAGTTCTGAGACTCAGATAACTTGTGGCGCGAAGATGGGTCTAAGTAGCATGCGAACTCAGCAGGCAGCGTATTTATTAGCATCATCTTTGAGAGACCCTGGTGGGCTCAGTCAACCATGTCCTTGAACGTCATTCTTCGTTCTAGGATTAAGGTACTTGTTCTTGAGAAGGGGGAAAAAAAAAAGACAGATTGCAGCTACGGCAATGCAACCTCCGAGGCCTTTCAAGTCTCCGGCTTACGTTTAATCAGCAGTTCGAGGGGTTCCGCATCGTCCGTTCTCGTATATCTGCCGTAGGTGCAACGGACCACTCCGTCCGTCATGGCAATAAGGTTTGCTGTAGAAAAGCAGAGTTTGTCGGATCCTTCAGCGATTCGTGGTAAAAGGAGCCGCTAGGTAGACTTTGCACATCTTTATAGGATGGTTCGAGTCAGTACGAAACGACACCCGGTAAAACCGCCCTGTTCAGTCGAATTCGGTATCGAAACGCGTTGCGCTGTCGTGGAACAATAGATCCAGAAATGACTTTGTAAAATGTTAATGCATGCTACTTATCGGCCCAGCAAAGCGAGTGCTAAATAAGGAGTACTAGCCTCGGCGACATGCGCACGATAAGTACTTGGTGTAAGAAGGGACAATAATCCGGAAATCAGAAATCATTGGAGTTCAACCCATTATCCCTCTATATCTGCGTCTGAGTTCATCCGAAGTTAGCCACAGTCCGTAGGTGTTAGCACAAGGTCACTCAAGGTTTGACAACAGAAAGACGACATGGAGGAAGACAAGATCGAACCTATTGCCGTTGTGGGCATCAATCTGAAGTTTCCTGGGGATGCACTCACACCCGAGTCCTTCTGGGAAATGTTACGTGACGGTCGGTCCGCGGCTGGACGCGTACCATCAGACCGTTTCAATATTGATGGTGAGTGCGAAGGCGTACACAGGGAGATAATTACCAAAGTTGGCAGAGTTTATTGACTTAATACCACGGTATAGCATTCCATCACCCCGATCCTAATCGGATGGACAGTGTAAGTCTCGTCCTCTCAAAACCAAATCATGACCTAGAGCTAGAGCTTAAGATATATAAATCTTGACAGATTAGATTTAAAGAGGCTCATTTCATGAATGAGGACCCTCGAGAATTCGATGCCCCATTTTTCAGCATGTCTCCAGCGGAGGCATCAATCCTGGATGCACAACAACGTGGGCTGCTTGAAGGTGCTTATCGCACTTTTGAGAACGGTAAGCATCTCCTCTCCATTCAAAAGAAGCCTGGATAGCCGCTTTGTTAAAAACTTGGCTAAGTTTTATCTCTTCTTAGCTGGAGTTCCAATGAGTAAGCTTGCAAGCTCTAGTACCTCAGTCTACGCAGCGACATGCGGCAGGGACTTCGACGCAATATTTTTTAGAGACCCGGAGTTTCAGTCACGATATCAAGCAACAGCTTCCGGATACTCTCTTCTTTCTAACAGAATCAGCCATTTCTTTGATTTGCGCGGTCCGTCATTAACCGTGGATACCGCCTGCTCCAGTGGGCTCTATGCATTTCATCTCGCATGCCAGAGCCTGCTATCAGATGAATCCGATATGAGTTTGGTTTGTGGTTCGAACACTTATTTGACACCTGAGACCATGAGCATTCCTTTGAGCAACGCGGGGTTTTTATCTGCAGACGGCCGCTCCTTCAGCTTTGATTCCAGAGCTAATGGCTACGCCAGAGGTGAGGGTTTTGGGTTTGTACTTTTGAAGAAACTTTCTCAAGCTCTGAAGGACGGTGATGTCATTCGAGCTGTGGTAAGAGCAACAGGTGCAAACCAAGATGGAAGAACACCGAGTATTACCCAGCCAAGTTCCAATGCGCAAGTTCAGTTGATTCGTAAAACATATGAGCGGGGAGGTCTAGATTTTGCTACCACGGGTTATGTTGAAGCCCACGGCACAGGTAAGTATCCTTTACTGACGCAGGTATCCATAGGTAGTTTGGATACTAATGTCCGAGTATAGGTACTATCGTAGGAGACCCTATTGAGGCAAGCGCCATTGGCCAGGTTTTCCGAGATCACAGAGATGAGTCTCGCCCGCTTTATGTCGGCTCTGTAAAGTCAAATATTGGGCACTTGGAAGGTGCCAGTGGCCTTGCTGGTATTTTGAAAGCCATCATTGTGCTCGAGCAAGGTGTCATCCCCCCAAATATCTGGGTGAGAGAGGTCAACCCAGCCATAGACACCAAGGATTTGCGTATAGAGGTAATGATTTCCCAGCTTTCCTAAAAAGAAGAAACAAGAAACATGCTTATTGATGGCAGTTTCCAACAAAAGCCGTGGCATGGCCAACGACTGGCCTCCGACGAGCCTCGGTGAGTTCGTTTGGATACGGTGGAGCAAACGCACATGTAGTAATAGATGATGCTTGCAACTACCTACGCCTACGAGGTTTAAAAGGCTTGCATCAAACTACTGAGTTCCCGGGGGCTTCGCAAGACACAAGCGTCCTTGCTCATATCAATGGGGACTCAAACGGTATTGCCAACGGTCATGCTGACAGGCACGTCACACACAATACAAACGGCACCACCAACGGGCACAGCAACGGGTCAATCGACCATCAGACCACTAAAATTCCCAGCGATCTCGACGCTGATGAATATAAAGGCATTCTTGTTTTATCAGCTGCCGATGAAGATGGACCAAGAAGGCTTGCGGGCGCCTTCGAATCTCACGTTGAATCTCTTCCTTCATCCAAGCGAAATGGCACAATCTTGAAGGACTTGCTATATACTCTTTCAGTCAGGAGAAGTCACCTACCATGGAAATCTTACGCTGTGGTTTCTAGCATAGAAAAATCATCCTCTGAATGGACGTCTAGTCTTATGGAACGAATTCGGTCTTCCAAGGCTACTAACCTAAAGTTCATTTTCACCGGGCAAGGAGCTCAGTGGGCAAGAATGGGCCTCGGCCTCGTTCAATACCCTGTCTTCAGAAGGGCTTTAGATGAATGCAATGCCTATCTGAAGTTTCTCGGCTGCAGTTGGTCCGTTTGGGGTATGTTAGAATTCCAGTTCGTGCTCAACGCATTCGTGTCAGGCTAACGCACCCTGCAGATGAACTGCGGCAATCAGCGTCATCAACACGCTTGAATGACCCAGCTCTCGCTCAACCACTCTGCACCTGTATTCAGGTTGCTCTTGTGGAGTTGCTACGAAGCTGGAACATCCACCCGTCAGCTGTTTGTGGCCACTCATCTGGCGAAATCGCTGCAGCATTTTGCGCTGGAGCCATCACCCGCGAAAGCACATGGAAAATTGCTTATTACCGAGGTGTAGTCGCCAAAAAGGCCCTGGAGAATACCGAAAAAGAACCTACAACAATGATGTCTGTCGGCCTCGGCGAGAAAGACGTAACCGCATACTTGACTGGTGGCCCACAAGAGTCATCTGTTGCTGTCGGTTGCATCAACAGTCCAATCAATGTCACCTTGACTGGATCAAGGAAACAAATCGATGAACTTTGGCGCGTTTTCGATAACAAAAAGATATTTGCTCGAAAGCTCGCAGTTGACATTGCCTACCATTCCAAATTCATGGACCCTGTCGCTTCAGAGTATCTTAGTTTGCTCCGAGACATTAAAGGACCATCGAACCCAAGCCCCAAGGCAGAGATTAACCCACCGAGGGTAGAGATTTACTCTTCAGTTACTGGAGGAGCAATCACTTTACACCAGTTGAGGGAACCATCATACTGGGTAAAGAACCTTACGTCTCCAGTCCGATTCTCTGAAGCCCTGACGACAATGATGACCGGCGGTGATTCTAAGATGAGAGGTTCTAATAAAGCTCTTCATCTCCTGGTCGAAATTGGCCCACAGGCCGCTCTTCGTCGCCCAATTGAAGACACACTATCAGGAACCTTCCGAAATGACCAATGGATATTCGCGCCTGTCTTGAAGGCGAACAGAAATGACACAGAGTCTCTCTTGGAAACTGTTGGTCTTCTTTGGAGCTGTGGTGTGGAAGTCGATCTTGGGACAGTAAATTCAGCATCTCAATTTGTCATGAAAAGGCCAAAGATGCTGGCAGATCTCCCCCAGTATCCCTTCAGCAGAGCAAAGAAGTATTGGGTGGAAAGCCGGTTGAGTCACAACTACAGCTTCCGTCCATACCGACGACATCAACTTCTTGGCTTGCGTTCCAGAGATTGGAACCCATCTGAGGCGTCTTGGCGACATTTCATCAAATTCAAGGAGAACCCTTGGATTGTAGACCATGCTGTAAGATTTCAATCAACACTGTCGTGTATGCTCCGTTGCTAACCACCTTACTAGTTGAATGGATCGCCAATCTACCCAGGCAGTGGAATGATCGTCATGGCACTCGAAGCTGCGCGCCAGCTTTCAGCGGAATCTGGACACCAAATCAGCGGCTACAGACTCAAAAATGTGCGTTTCCTCAGGGCCATCAACGTGAACGAGTCAGAACATGGTGTTGAGGCCCAGATTCATATGCGACCACGTCGTTCAGTAACGCATAACTCCGGCCAGTCTTGGTATGACTGGCGAATATTTGCTGCCAATGGTAACGAGTGGACAGAATGTGCTTATGGTAGCATCAAAGTTGAGATGGAGATGGAAGACTCGCCCAGATCAAGAGTTCGCCATCTTAGTCGCAATGACTCTCTTCGCAAGAGCTACCTCGACGCTGTCAACGAGTGCTCTCAGTCTGTTCATCGCGAGCAATTCTATGACAATCTCCGAAAATGCGGCTTTGAGTATGGCCCGTATTTCAGGCAATTGCACAACATCACATATAGCAACAATGGGCGCGCTGCAGCAACCCTACCTCTACGAGATTATGCTCAGAACATGCCATACGCCGCCGAAGACCCATGTGTCATTCACCCAACTACGCTTGATAATCTAGTCCAGCTGCAGATCGTGGCTCTTTCCCTTGGAAGCTGGAGAAAGGTCCCGACCATGATGTTTTCTCATGTGAAGGAGATGTGGATTTCTCAAAAGCTCTTCACTGCGCCTGGCAACCCGTGGCTGGCTGCAAGTTCCCACGAGACTTTCCGTGGATTTAGAGAAGCAGAGTACTCGACCATTGCTTTGCTTGCTGACACCAAGGAGCCTGTATTCTCGGTCGAGGGCGAACGTGGAACTGCTATTACAAGTCTGTCTTTGTCCGATGTCGATGAAAGCACCAACAGACTGTGCTACAAGATTGACCTTCAGCCGGACCTGTCAATTCTTACTGCAGACGAAACATCCAAATTACTGAAGCAAAATTTTGAGAATCTGGAAGCTCCAGAAACAGAGATAGTCGATCGCGGGGACGCGATAGCCTTGCACTTCATCGAAGAAGTGATCAACCAGCTGGACCCCAATAGCTTAAATTTCGATCAGGATCACAAGCATCTGCAGAGGTATATGGCCTGGATGCAACGAGTAGCGGGGGACAGAAATAGCTATACTCTTGCGTCACGCGGCCACCCGAATTTGAAAATCGAGGATGTTCTTAAGGAAGCGGATGCAGAGCCCTCACAACGTCTAGTCAACAAGGTTGGGGAGAACTTGCATAGCATATTGACCGGCAAGTCAAATGCTTTACAGACTATTTTCGAAGGAAAATTAGCTGATGGTAAACTGACACTGGTTCCAATGCAGCTCCATTCGTAAGATGCTAATGCCTTGAATTCAGGTTTCTATCACTCTGCCATGTTTACCGTCAGCTATCAGAAGATAGGCAACTACATGAGCCTCCTAGCTCACCGGAATCCGCACCTCAGAGTCCTTGAAGTCGGTGCTGGTACAGGAAGCTCCACTGCTCACATCATATCTGCTCTGACGACCAAATCGATTCAAGGACAGGACGCAGTCAAGTAAGTCACCTCTCTGCCTTCAATCAGGCATCTATAAAAGGTAATTGGTTAATCAATAATTGGCAGGTTCGCTGAGTATGCATATACGGATATATCTCCGGGATTTTTTGAGCACGCAAAAGAACGTTTCAGCAAACATGTCGGCCGCATGAAGTTTCAAAAACTAGATATCGAGAGCGACCCAGCTGAGCAGGGGTTTGAAGTCGGAACCTACGATGTCATTGTAGCAGGCAACGTCCTCCACGCTACAAGTGATATGCATAGAACCTTGCGGAACGTGAAGAAGCTGCTAAAGCCGGGTGGAAAGCTTGTCATGGCAGAGATTGTCAATGTCGATAACATCCGCGACGCATTTGTTTTCGGTCTGCTGCCCGGCTGGTGGCTCCGATCCGCCCCGGTCTCAGCTGAAAGTGGCCAGAGTCATCAAGACCAAGGTCCTCTTTTGACCGAAGAGCAGTGGGCAGATCTGCTCCCTCAATGTGGATTTACTGGCCTTGATATGGCATTCCGGGATCACGAGGATAAGCCACATCACCGGCTTTCTGTATTAGTTGCGACCGCAGAGGGTGAAGAGCCACAGGCAGACGAAAGCAAGTCAAGAAAGTTCTACTTAGTCTCAGCTGCTAAGAGTCAGTCTGAGGTTACGGATGCGTTGACAAGCGACCTTCAGACGCGGTACCCGGAGGCCGAGATCAAGTCTATAGCTCTTGAGCAGACCAAAGACATAGCACTATCATCGGCAACTGTGGTATCACTACTCGAGCTTGAAGAATCTGTACTCGATAAGGTCAACGATGCATCGCTCGATGGCATCAAACGACTTGCTCTCAGCTCTCGGCATCTTGTTTGGGTGACTGGTCACGGAAGCGTTCCAGAATCTCAAATGTCGGTGGGATTGGGACGCACAATTTGTTCCGAGAGAGGGGACCAGTCATTTGTCACGCTCAATTTGGAGCCTGAAAAGCCGGCTTCGCTGAAGGCGAATTCCATTATGAGGGTCATTTCACAACTCTCTGAGACTGAAGTCTGGGCCGAGACTGAGTTTATCGAGAAAAGCGGCTTGATTCACATCCCACGTATTGTCCCTGATGATCAACTCAATGGTATTGTTCATTCCAGAACCGCAAAGCCCGATTTTCAAACATTTACGACTGGTCAAGACCCAAAGCCGCACTTCAACGTCACCATTGGTACTCCAGGTCTCCTAGATACCATTTTCTACTCAGAGGACCCAAATTGTTCTGCACCCTTGAAAGACGGTGACATTGAAATCGAGATCAAAGCTTCCAGTCTCAATTTCAAAGATGTGATGATCGCACTCGGACAGATCCCAGGCAACGGTTTCGGCTTCGATGGTGCTGGATTAGTCTCCAAAGTCGCGCCTGGGAGCAGTCTCTCAGTTGGTGATCGTGTGATGTTCTGTTCCGCAGACGGTGGGGCTTTTGGAACCTATGTGCGCTGTTCGGAACTCCAGGCGGAGAAGATCCCAGACGGACTGAGTTACACGACAGCTGCGGCTCTTCCAGCAGTTTATACAACAGCAGTCTACTCTCTCATACATACGGCCAGGCTCGAAAAAGGAGAAACAGTGCTTATCCACGCAGGGGCTGGAGGTGTCGGTCAGTCTGCCATTCAAATTGCGAAGCTCATCGGTGCAGAGATCTTCGTCACAGTGGGTAGTGAAGTCAAGAGGAACTTGGTAAAAGAGCTTTATGGCATTCCTGACGATAGAATCTTTTCAAGCCGAGATGCATCCTTCGAAACGGATGTAAAGTTGGCTACTAAAGGCAGAGGCGTCGATGTCATTCTAAATTCGCTGGGTGGTGAGCTTCTTCAACACACCTGGGAATGCATAGCTCCTTGCGGACGTTTTGTCGACATTGGTAAGGCGGATATCATCAATAATTCTACCTTACCTATGGGACCGTTTAACAAAAACGTCATATTTGCGGCTGTCGACGAAGCCGTACTCCATGACGAGGCAAAACCTGTCTTCAAGAAAGTTATGGCGCACGTCATGGACCTGTTTGATAAGCATCCCGAGCTCCACGAGCCGCGACCTCTGCACATTTTTCCGGCCTCAAAGTTGGAGGATGCCATGCGGTTCTTACAAGGAGGAAAGAATACTGGAAAGGCTATCATCGACTTCGAAACTCCGGGAAATGAAATTCAGGTAAGCATCAGGGGGGGTATATGGCAGACGAGTTGAAACTGACTCTTATAGTACTTGCCCGTTTTAAAACCTACGTACAGCTTCGAGGAACACGCAACATATGTGATATCTGGAGGCCTGGGCGGTCTCGGTCGTAGAATAGTCCGTTGGATGATAAGTCGAGGGGCTCGCCACTTCCTGCTGCTCTCAAGAAGAGGCACCGCCAACAACCCAAAGGCAAACAAGTTCATTCAAGATGTTGAATCTCTTGGTGCAACCGTCTGGGCTCCCGCATGCGATTCAGCCAACCTGGAAGTTCTGGAGCAGATATTCCAGGAGTGTAACACAAAGCTCCCGCCAATCAGGGGCTGCATTCAAGCTGCCATGGCCTTAGACGTGAGTCCTTGTCTTGTGAACTTTTGGATGTTGACCACTCACACGTTCTACAGGACCACCTATTTGAGAATATGACCAGCAAATCATTCCATACAGCCCTGTCCCCTAAAACTCTGGGCTCTTGGAACCTGCACTTCCTTCTCCCCTCATCCCTGGACTTTTTTATCCTCTTGTCCTCCTTCAGTGGCATCAGTGGCAGCAGAGGTCAGTCTAACTATGCCGCTGGTAACACTTATCAAGACGGCCTCGCCCACTACAGAGTCAACAATGGGTTGAAGGGCGTATCGATCAACCTCCCCCTGATCGCCGAGGATGGCTGGGCCGCGGAGAATTATGACATTGTAAAAGCCATGTATCAAGCCGGCCACTCAGCGGTTACACAGGGCCAGCTCACGGCGCTTCTTGATGCTGTTTGCGACCCCAGTTATGATTGCTCAAGACCAGGGGCAGCCCAGCTTCTGGTTATGAGTGATAGCCCGCAGACGCTATGGCGGATAACACAAAGCGGCACGGTAGCATGGGGGAATAAGCCTCTGTTCAACAATCTCATTCGGATTGGGAAGTCTGGCGAGGCCGGGATCGGTGGTGATACCAGCCCAGGGGCCTGTGCGAAGATTGATTACCTTGCACTAACTAAAGCGACGGAGAACTTGGAAGATGCGGCTGAAATTATACTCCAAGGCTTGATCCAGAAACTGGCGAGCTCACTATCAGTACCAGAGGAGAACTTGGACGTCAGGAAGCCCGCTTATGTTCTGGGCGTAGACTCGCTCATTGCTGTGGAGGTCAGATATTGGTTCATGAAGAACTTGAGCACCGAAGTGGCAGTATTCAATATACTGAAAGACCAGAGCTTGACGCAGTTATGTCAGTCGGTAGCAGCTCAGGTCTTGCAGTTGAAGGGTTAGGAACCCATAAGATAGGCTTAAACATAAAAGAATAGAACGGAAAAGAGAGCAAAGCCTCTATTAATATCTACAAGCTGGCGCACTAGGACGCAATCTAGACCTGTCTCATTTCCGTCTTGCTTTGAAAGTCTTCAAAGGGTTGATTTTCCTCGTTCCCACCTTCTTGCCGCGGCCGAACTTGCCCTTCTTATTCCTCAACTTGCCGCCAACCTTTCTGAATGGCACCATCCCGACGTCGTTTGAAGTGAGTGAATCCTTACCCTCCTTGGGAAGTAGATATTCGGGCACATGCCTCAAGTGAGGCTGCTGTCTAGCTGTTCTCAGCTCTCCGTCATGGCGAAGATGCTGCAACTCCGTGGGGTTCTCCTCAAAGTATCTATCCAGTTTTGTCAGTCGTGCTCAAGATTGAAGTTGCAGATGTGCCGCAGCACGTTCCAAGTGAAAATCTCACCTCTTCAGCTTCTCGCTCTTCAACAACTCCTGCTTAAGCTCTCTCATACGCGCCTCTCGAACAGCCACTTTTGTCACTGCTCGCAAAGCATCATCCAGACGATACCGGAAAGCGTCCAGATGCTCCTTCTTGAAATTATAAGGCTTTACTTCCTTGCCCTTCTTTGCTTGCTGTCTCTTGATCTTAGCCAGCACCTTCTCGTCGTTTTCTGCGGTCTCGATGCTGGTCGGCAAGTGCTTGCGGTATAGGTCTTTGGGAACGTAGAAGGACAGAGCCATGCCTGTCCTTCCAGCACGCGCTGTACGGCCGATTCGGTGCGTGTATGATGATGCTGATGTCGGAAGATCGAAGTTCACAACCGCCGCCACATTCTTAAAGTCGATACCTCGAGAAACGCCAAATTCATCGTCCTTCTTTGATGACTTCTTCTTTTTCTTGGGCTCCTTCTCTTTTTGGTCTTCCCCGCCCTCCTCCTCTTCATCCTTCTCCTCAGCACCCATTGCGCTCTTCTCATCGGACGCAATGATGATGTCGTATACACCCTTGTTGAACTCTTCGAGAACATGGGCTCTGGATGTGACTGGCAATTCTGAGTTCAGAATACAGCTTCGGACCTGGAACTGCTCGAGAAACAGCTTCAGACGGTATGACCGGTCGACATCGTTCACAAAGATTAGACACTTGCCCTTCACCAACTTCAGCTTGAAGATAATGAACGCCAACAAAAACTTCTCGTCCTCCCCACAGCTGACAACAAACTGTGAAAGGCTGTCGCCCTCCGTCTCTTCGTCATCGAGATCAAGCACCGTGGGTTTCCGGGAAAAGATTCCTTGCAGCGATGTAACATCTGTTGAAAGGGTCGCACTCATCATCAGAATCTGGACACCCTTTGGCAGCTTTCTGGCAATGTTTTCGAGATCCTCATTGTAGCCGTATGACAGAATCAGATCCGCTTCGTCAAGGACAAGGCATGAAAGTTTCTCGAGGGACAAGGCGTCGTTAAGAATGTTGCGCCATGCGGTGGCTGGTGTGGAAATGACAACATCAGGGAAGTTGGACAATAGGGAGCGTTGGACGGCGTCCGAGATCTTGTCAACTAGCTTGACGGCATGGATATCCTTCGCGCAGTACGCCGAAAACTGCTCAATAGCTTTCAAAACCTGATCGGCCAGCTCGCGAGTCGGGACAAGTATGAGGGCGGTCGTTGCAGGGGAAGAATCGGTCTGAAGGTTCAGCAGTTAGCAAATGTAAAGTGATAGGCCAGAAGGGAAGTAGCATACACTCTTGCGCTTGAGAATGCTGGACAACACCGGAAGAACATAGGATGCAGTCTTTCCGGAGCCACAAGGAGCCTTGGCAACGACATCGTTGCCATCAAGGGCAAGTGGGATTGCCTTCTGTTGCACTGGTGTTGGCTCCTTAAAGCTCTCCGCGGCGACAGCCTGGACCAGCCTCGTATCGAGGCCAAGGTCAGCGAAAGAGAGATTGTTGGCGGGCTGTTGTGTCTTTGCGCGCTTTTCGCTTTCACCCTTGGGTGCAGACTCGTCTGCGTGCTTCCTCTTCATGTTGGTATTGGTAGGCGTTACGACGATATCCGGATTTCGAAGGTTTTGGGAGGTGAATGCGATTGAGGCAACTCGATCCAGACCAAAGCCGAAAAAAAATCTGGAGGGGCGGGTCATTGCTTATCTTATCAGTGAGCGCGAGTCTCCTGCAGATACGCTAATGTATGATTATATAAGCCATTCAAGGTTCCGCGCTTTCTGCCCAGGGACAGGGGACAAGGCCTGCACTATCCGTCCTTTAGTATGAAATGCTCGTTATGAGGAAATTTGCAGGAGACGACATATGGCCTTATAGGCATGATCATGGAACACTGAAAACCCCATATCGTTTTATATACATATATATTGACAGATACCTTTACCAGCCCAGAGGCTTTGCAAGCACTGTGAAAACTGATAGTATATTTACCGATAAGGTATCCATGAACGGATAGGCTTGATGGAATATGCTGCTGATGTGGGACCATTGCAATCCCCTAGACTTACACCACTGTTGTTTCTAGTGTCCACTTATATTTAGAACAACATATTCGAGAGTTTAAACAAGCAACCATCCAGTACTCTTCTTCAAATCTGATGAAATCGAGATGTATATTATTGTGACATGCGACACATAAGGTAGTTAGCAGGAAACAACATATTGAACTCACATTGTTTAAGTATTAGTGGAACGGTAGATGACGATGACGACGGCAGTGACAATCAACTGCGAGGCAGTAAGTTATGTAGTTGAGAAACACACGCAGGGGGGCAATATATGGCAGATTTTTAAAAATTATTGATATCTCTTTTTCCCCTTCCTTCTAGAGTCGGGAGATTGATTGCAGTGTTGTACTAAGATACATATTATACACCATTGGAGATGAGTTTCGCCACTACTGCCTCCCAAATAATGAAGCCCCGCTGTGTTCGCCTAGATATGTCCACGTTGAGGAGTGAATTAGTTGATCACTAGCTCTGGGTACTCTGGCAATGGCCATCCACCTCTCTCCTCGCTCGAAAATCTCGCTGCAAGCTCGGGTATGCGAAGAAGTGAAACGAACCAAACGATCCAATGTAGTACAGAGACGCCCCAACGCGTCTCGGGGAGTAACAGCTTTACCACTGGGGCTATAATTCTTTGGGACTCGTTGATGAAGGGCCGAAGCACTTTGTCGTAGTTTGCAAATGCCAGAGGAATATCGCCCGAGTGTTTGCTAATTTCGCCAGCCAAAACGTATGCACCAACGAAACTGGTAGTGGTTCCCATGCCGGTGAAAGGAGATGGGCAATGTGCTGCATCTCCAAGCAAAACAACACGGCCCCTATGCCAAGTATCTGTCTTGACTTGGACGATCTCTTGGCTGTAGAAGTTTTCTGTGGTTTTCATGCCTTCAAGGAAGCGGTCCGTATGCCAGCCTGCATTGCGGAACCTTTGTGTCCAGAATTCCTTCTGCTGCTCAACCGATCCCCGATGAATTAGGGATGCGTCTGGGGATTCGTCTCTTAGGAAAAAATACACCTGAGATTCGGTTGGGCTATGGCTCCTTCGAAGGATCATTCGTCCTTCGGCGGCATGATAGACTGTACCGATGTTGTTGTCTGTGCTGATGCGTGGTATGAACCAATATGAAGCATGAACGCCCAGTTTGCGGTAAGGATCTGGGGAATTCTCTGGTTGAATGGCTTTTCGAATCCTAGAACCCTGACCGTCTGCTCCCACCAAAATGTCAAACTTGTCTGACGAGTTGTCGGAAAATTTGACAAATACATGATTTTCGTCTTGCTCGAAACTATCCACGGTCTTGCCAAAGAGATATTCCACCTTTTTCTTTGTCGAATCATAGAGTATCCCAACCAGATCACCGCGCATGATTTCATACTCGGAGGTTCCAGTTTGGGCGCCTTTGCCAGAAGTGTTGGCCATCATGGTTCCAACAACCTTGTTTTCGGAGTCAACTATAGCCATGCCAGCCTCATCGACTCGCTTTGATCTGATGATGTCCAAGAGCTTCATTCGTTTGGCAACCTCAATGCCCTGTTCGCGTAAATCAATTTGTGCACCAGTCGCTCTAAGTGCAGGGTAGCGTTCAACTATAGTGACGTGGTGACCAAGACGTGCAAGCCAGAAAGCCAAAGCTGGTCCGGCGCAACCACCACCACAAATCAAGACCTTGAGTTGACCCATACCAAATCCAATCGTTAAGGTTTCCTTCGGGTGGTTTTTTCTGCCAAGAATTTCCAATGTGCAATGCGTTGTGAAGTATCAAAATGATTGAGGTAGGAGAGACTTAGTATAAGCGATAGACTGGGCGAGCCTTTCAGCTTTTTAACAGGACCGATTTAGTGCATCTCTTTTTCCAGACAGGAACATCTCTTTCTAGGCAGAAGCCACACAACCTGGATGGCTTGCGCGTATTCATCTACGACGCCTCTCGTATTTACGCACTTTCTGTCCATCAGAAATTGTTCGTCACCTCCAGCTTCGAGACCAAAATCCCTCTCTTCCAGGCAGAAGTCACCTAATTTGGATAGCTTACGCGTATCACCCAATGGAATTTTTAGTCTTTGCGTTCTTCCTATACTAGACGATGTAGCTGTGGCATTTCTCGGGTATATCGGCATCCTGTGCACCAAAGCCAGCATATGTTTGGGCATTACACAGCTACGCCGCATGTCTTCCGTGTCAGCTTTGCATATTGTTGCCCCGAGGCCTAATTTGGGAATTATACTGATTATGGTAGAATGGATATTCCGATGCCTGCAGCGCTCCCTGTATCTGTATGGACTGGCTGGAATATGGCCGATATGAGGAACTTTGTAAGCAGTTGATCCCTGCAGCTGAAAGACGCTAAGTCCAGGGTATCCTTTCGCTTGTGGTCTTTTTTCTGGCCCTTTCAGCACTGTCCTCAATTGGTACTTCATGCTTCTTCTGTGATTGTCACTTCCGTCTTCCTCTCGTCCATGAAATAGGTGCTGTGACCATTTCATATCAGCTTGACTTCAGTTTCAACCTCCCCGTTCAGCCAGGAACCATTTTCGAGGAGGAACCATCCCGTGCGTGTCCACTTTTCCCCATGTTTGACCAACATCAAACCCTCCCTTTCAAGCAGTAGCAAACACCACACCTCTTTACAAGCTTCTTCAGCTACATCAAAAAATCCTACAGCAACTACTTGCTCATCAAGTTTTCCCTTATCAACATAGGTGTCTCCGGCTTTTGCGAGTAGCGTTCCATATTTCTTCTTTTTGCCCGCCCATTGAATATATCTGTCATTTGGTAGATAGTGTTCCACGGCAGTATCCATGATCATGGCTTTTCCCACCCGTCCGAGTATATGGAGCTCACAGTATGGCATATGTAGTGCTGATACATCACAATTCATATCTGCAGTCCACCCAATTTCGAGGCCTGGCCTCACCTGAACGAAACCCTCTTCTTTGAAGAGTTTTGAATTACTGATTTTGTAGCCATGGATTGTCGGCCCTTCAACGGAAGCCCATGACCAAGAAGGCGCGCGAACCACAGGTGGTGGCGCGAAGGCTGTCGGTTGGGGACGAGTCGCCGGACGTCTGAAGCTGTTGTCTAAGTGATGACGGGGTTTCCAGAGCAGGCCTCTAACAATGTCGTCTTCCCATAGACCGGCCAGATAGCGTGATCGGAGAATCTTCTGAGCCAGTCCAGCGATCGAGGCTATGGCAGCGAAGACGTCATGAGGATTGGACAGTTTGCGCCTTGTGTACAGGTGGAGGCCCTCGTACCACAATTTGAGCGTGCTTTCCTTTTTTGTCTCCAGATCTCCCTTCATCGAAGCAACCCCTGGTGTGAGGAAAGTTGGTGAACCGCTAAAGACACTGCTGCCATCTTCCCTAAAAGTCCAGGCACGACATTGAAACACAAGTTGCTCCTCACTGAAAAGAATGGAGCGGTTGGATAATATCTGTTCCTGATAGCACCAGCCACGCGTTGACACGGGCCCAGTCGCATATGTGCGGGAAAGCCCAACGTAAAGTGCATCCTTCCTAGATAGAGATAGTGGTAAGGCAACTGGTGGCGCCGATTGCTCGAGTTTCGGTGTGATGAACCCATCGCGGGAATCGGAAGACCGTCCAGCTATTATGGTCACTGCTGCGTTCCCATAGACTTGGTCCATAAGTCTAGACTCGGCTGCCCAGTCCTCAGCATCCCCCTGGATAATACACAACGCATCAATCCAAATGTATTTGATACCAATTGCGCGAGAAAATCCAATAGCTTCTTGATGTGTTTTTGCCAATTTGATCTCTGCAATGCCATCTAGCATTTCAGCGTATGTATCATGCGTCAGCTTGAATGTATCCATGGCTGGGCCCCAGCAGTATGAAAGAGCTACGTAAGGCTCCTGCAAATCATCAGTAGGAAGCAACCTGTGACTTTTTGTACCCACTTCTATGACACGCGTAGGCATCTTGCGTGACCGTTGAAGCGCACAAATTTTATGAGTATCATGGCATGTCTTAAGACACCACTTTGACCATAAGATGTAAGAATTTGGATCCGGGTCCTGGCCAAAATTTCGATCTGAATAAAGCGAGGAAACCGGCGATTGATGAAGACTGTCGAACTCGATACGATCAGTTTACTTTTCTAGTTTTTCTTCTTCTTTTTTTTTCCCCCCGTTTAAGGTTTAATCCATACCAGCCAAACACAGCGAAAAGGAAATCAACTCGACTTACGCAAAACAAAATAGCTGGATGGTTCTCATTGAAGAGATAACAGAATTCGTTTCGGATAGCCCAACGTCGGGAGGAAACCTTCCGCAAGATATCCAAATCCTGGTGGGTGTGCTTTGACCTAGCTGGCCTAATCTTGTGCCCAACTCAAAAGGATGTATCTGTCCACGAAGCCATATACTTGGGTAAAATGGACCCTCCTTGTAATCTTTTGGTCTTTCGCCGTTCAGGAGGGCGGTAACAACATCACGCCTGGTCGTTGTTCGAATCGCCGTATATGCAAGGGCACAGAAAGGGCAGTCTGATTCTGCACTCTTTCGAAGCGATTCCAAGTTTGGATGGAATCGAACGTCATTATCGCTCAGTAGCTCAACACAAAGCTTTGCGCAAAAGTTGCACGATGTCATTTGGAGTAGAGTTTCTCGTTGTTTTGGCTTGAAATTCTCGTCAACAAGATGTTGTTGGGATAATGTGGCAGGTGGCTCGAGACGCACCTTAACTCAATGCCAAATGTGCATTTTGATAAACAACGAGCGAATGACATCGCCTGGCTGCAGCAGGATGACACATCATCTTTCCAGATACTCCAATCACACTCTGTACAAAAGATGCTTTTCCGGCCAAGTATTTAAAGCACCCTCTAACGTGCACTGTTAAATTCACGTGTTCCATTGTGAAGCTCTTGGCAGCGTTGCGCGCAAGTGTGCATACTAGGTGCCTACCTACCGTACCACAGCCTTACCTAGATCAGGCTGCTGCTCTGTTGAATTGTTTGCCCGCACCGGATGAAAACACCTTATGCTTCAGCCTTGGTCATTAAGTTCAACTATCTTTCGGATACTAGACATAAAAAAAAAAAAAAAAAAAGAAGAGCTGTAAGCTGGTACGCCTGCAATTTCATTTTTTCACAGCGCCATGCTGGCGTCAAGGGCTTTCATATACACGCATTTTGAAGTTTCAAAAGGTTATCAAAAGACCTGTACCAAGCTTTGAAGTTGTTTGGTGCTATTATTATAATACCTAACTATGAAAATCTTTACATCATCGACAACCCTATGCCACTACTCCTCCTTCCCTAATGATTTGCTTCTGTCTCTTCTTCGCTTCGACAGATGCTTTTCGTGGGTTCTTGGCCTCGAATATCTCGTCTAGTTCCTCCAATGTAAAGCCCTTGGTCTCCACGAAAAAGAAGTACATGAACAAGATTTCAAAGCTGTCCCAAGCAACAAAAAAGACATAAAACCAGTATCCAATCTATTTTTTTATGTGTAAGTATGAAGCCGAAAGTTTCAGGTGTCTTTAAACCTTTTGAGAGAGTACTCACGTTTGCAAGGGCAGTTGGTCCAACGAAGGTGTTGAGAAATCCAGCAGCACCAGCTGTCAACTTGAACGTGCCCATGGCTTTGGCACGCATTTTGTTACTGACAACCTCTGCTGGATATATGGGCTGCATCGGAGTGAATCCCGCAGAGAATACTGCGCCAAAGATGAAGATGAAGGCAATGCTAACGGTGGAGGCTGTTTTGTTTCCGTACTCTGTGTAACCGGCGGAGCAGCCGGCGACAATTGCGAGACACGCAGCCATCCCTGAAGTTGTGGCAATAAGCATCTTGCGGCGGCCGACGATGTCGTGGAGGCGCGAACCGGCAGTCGAGAACACCCAACCAATAACAGAGTAGACGATGTTGAGGATTAGCTTAATGTTTGTGTCGGTGATGCCAACACCTGAAAGCATGATGGGGAGGTAGTACGAGACTGCAAGGGTTAAAGTAAGTATTGTAATATATGTGTAATGGCCGTAGGTCTTTCGTTGACTTACTGATGTTGTTACCACTGAACTGACCAAACCAGGAGAAAGCGATGTTAAGCATCAACCTGTACCGGCTGGAGCGGGTCTCGACCAGAACTCGCAGATCGAATAGATCTCTCCAAGACGGAACGTGTGCCGGATCAATCGAGTTGATCATCTCCCTCATCTGCAAGTCAACCAGTGGGTGGTCCAGGTCGCCGTTGGTATGATAAGTTGCGATGATGTTTCTGGCCTCCTCATGTCGGTCCTTGGCAACGAGCCTGCATTGCTGTTAGTGGCAGGTAGGGTTTGATTCAAAGCCACAAAAACATACCAACGAGGCGACTCTGGGAAAAACTTGATCAACAAGCACACAAGGCCCGGGCAGACCATTTGCAGCCAAAGAGGAATTCTCCAGTCCAAATCGCCCTTGTCGCTGAGGTGGAGATGGCATGCGTAAACTGCCGACGTCGCCAAGATGGAGCCCTGCCATTACATGCATTAGCACCAATCGGGCTAATTTATCTTTCAACTTCACTTCTTCATGGTCAACGTACCACGTTGTAAAAGGTGTTGTACATGCCAGCAATTGTTCCTCGGTATGCGGCAGGAGAAAGTTCGACCAGGTACAGAGGTGCAGAGGTATGAGCGCAGGTTGCGAAAAAGGACAAGATGAACCGTCCTCCAATGAACATGGGCAGATTGGTAGCAAGGGAGGTCACTATTGTCCCAATACATACTCCTAGGCAACCGAAAAAGATATGCCATGTTCTACCGTACCAATCTGCCATCCAGATAAAAAGGGCACCGCACATTTGACCGACCTAGTACAAACGGTCAGATGGATGCAGACCTCCAAGGCTGGACCGCCAAAAGCTTACCTGGAAGATGGCAAACACGATGCCGGTGCTCGTGTTTCCGTTGGCTGGTAATCCAAAGTACTCAGTGTAGTTAGGCAACGCATTGATGGATCCCATAAGAGAACTATCGAAGCCTTGAATAGTAAATTAGCACACCATTTCTTTAACACTTTCTCAAGAGAGGCTCCACTTACCATTCATGGTTGAACACAGAAATACCATAGAGGCAAGAACATACAACTTGATGTATCCCGGCCCTCGAGGATCGGGCTTCTGTGTCGCCATAATGGCAGCATAAGTATCGACACCCGTGTCTGCATCGTCAACCTGCTTATGGACGACATTGTCCGTAGCTCTGTCCCTGTCCATTGTGCACCCACTGAGACTGCCAAGTCTAATGTTTGATTCAAAGATATTCTTGAGTTCAGTGAAGAAAAAGCAGAAGGCGATTGATTGAACAACACACCCCTTGAGAATATCTTGATTTGGCTGAGTACTTGCCGAAAGTTGTGCACGACAATTTGGAAAGGGACGTGAGTCTTCTAAATATGTATGGAGGTTCGATTTTGTCTCCGGACGTTTCCGCTCCCCGCTAACTCCCTGCAAGCATTTGGGGCCCCAGATTTGCATCCCCAGAGACGTTTCGTGCCGCGGGCGACTCATGACCCACACGGGGATATAAATTTTCGTTTTGAATGAACGGAAATACGGGGCTACAGCACCGCTTTATCATGGTCTAGACTATTTGGGTTCTAGGTGATGAACCATTCATGCGCCTCCAGTTCCGAGGCCAAACTAAAGGGTTCTGCGCAAATGATTGTCATAGCACGTGAGTAGGTTTATCTTGAGTACGAGGAAATGCCTGATCTGATTCTGAAAGAACTTGTATGACCCGTACCAAAACTCGGTCAATCGTGATCTCCGTATCGTACCGTTGATATTTAGTTTCAGTGCACAACTGTGGTGATGACTAGGAGGTCAAACGAAACGAAATGATGGGTTTTATGGCTAATGATTCCTGTTTTATGCAATGGTCTTCCAAATTTTACATCTAATAAGTTTTATTTCACGTGACTTATAACTTTGCCTTCAATTCTCTCTCTACCTCTTCAAGGCCAGAGGGCCCGCTATACAGTCTTGGTTGCAATCCATCCGTGTTAATCTGTAGAAAGGATATGTCAGTGGCTGTCAGGTTTTCTGTTTAGGACTATTTTCAGTTTCGGCTCACGTGTCTTGGTCCAAGTTGATCTACCCGTTCAACCCCAAGCAACCTCATCGCAGTGACAGTCTCGTCTGCAAGGACTACGTTTAACGTTGTTAGTAACCGATAACATACACTCCACTTCCAATGCACTTACTTTGTAACGCCCTCTCAACTCCGGCCTGCCCCCCAACGGCCAAGCTGTAAAGTGCGGCTCTGCCAATGCCAACGCCCTTAGCCCCCAATGCTAATGCTTTGACAATATCGGTTCCTCTCTTGACGCCACCGTCAATCAAAACGTCGATCTTATCAAAAACTTGCGGGCAAAATTTGCGAATTTCTAGAAGCACTTGAACAGGTGTCATTGTGGTGTCCAATGCCCGACCGCCATGGTTCGAAATGATGATGCCCTTTACGCTCGGGAAAAGTGTAGCCGCATACGCATCTTCATGGGTTTGGATGCCCTTTAGCACGATCGGCAGGGACGTGTGCTTGCTGAGCCAAGCCAGGGTTTTCTTCCATGTGAGGCCTGATTCAGTGCCCCAAACCTGTGGTGGCGCTCCTCCCTCAACCTCGGCCATTTTGAATCGTTCGTCTGCTTCTCGCTTGCCCGGGAAAGGTGCGTCTAGAGTGAGCACAATGAACTTGATCTGAGGAATAGCGCGGATCTGAGCGAGCGTCTTCTCTGTGGTTTCAATGTCTTTCAAGACGTAGAGTTGCCAGGCGAAAGTTGCATCCGGCCCTGCCTCGACTATCGCCGACGGAGACATGGAAGCGTTTTTGCTTATGATTTGCAGCCCCTTGAACTTTGAACACGCGGCCGCAATGCCTGCTTCTCCTACTGGGTGAGCCAATTTGGCCATTGCTGCAGGAGAGACATAAAGGGGCATCCCGACTTTGTTTCCAATCAAGGTAGTTTCAAGAGAACACCGCGTGCAATCAACAAAAACGCGGGGCCTCAAGAGAATGGATCTGAAGATGGTTCCGTTTCCAATTTTTGTAACCTCGTCGTCGGTGCCGGACGCATAGTATGAGATTGCCTTAGGACTGAGTTTCTTCATGGCATATTGTTCCATCTCTGAAATGCTGAGAATGTGAGATACCGGAGGCACGAATTCCTCGGATACCTGAGGTGCAGGCTGTTGAGCCACCGCATCCGGTGAGCTACCACTATCTGACGGCCCATCCGCTGTGCCTGCTTCAAAAGTACCAAGAATCTGGTCTTCCTTGAGATGCTCATCGATCAACTCTATGGGATGAAATGAGTCAAAAGCCTTCGTCGCATCTTTGCCAGAGTTCTTCAGGAGAATGGCTTTGCCTCCAGGATGGCTAGCAAGGAACGCAGTGATCTGCCAGAACCAAGTCAATAATCTCATTCTTGTCCAAACACCAACATCTGAAAGCGACTTTGACATCATTTTCTCACATCATAAACCTTGCCGTGAAGTGCCATCCAGCAATCCTCAGCAGTTCGATGCTTTTGCACTGGCGATCAGTTAGCAACGTTCACAACAAACGTGTATGTTTCTAATTCACTTACCCTCAGCAAGAGACAGCGTTCTACTCATAGTGACGAAAATTTGAATGGCGACCCGTTAAACACCTCCTATCTGACCGCCTCAAGCCGAGGGCGAAGAAAAAAGTCGTGAAATCCTTCGAGCCACGGAATTAACGGGCCCGTCGTCGACCTGGCTCATCCATGTCAGTAGTGCACGATTCCCCGCCTCCATCCTCCACATGCTGCAATTTCCCTATTCCTCCGTAAGGGGCTAATACGGGCTTTTTAACTGCCAGTTGCTTCATTTGGATGCGGGAATATAAGCTTCCATATACCAAGTGGGTCCTCTATTATACCCTGCGTCCCCAGCCAAGCACACCACACTGGAGTTCAGCATCGAGGTGTGCGAAGTCCTCGGCATCTCATCTTGCCGACGAGTGCGGTACAGTCGCTTGCGAAGGTGAAGAACCGCATTTGCCATTGTTATAAGCCAGCTTTCGTCAAGTGACCGAATGAACCGAAATGGCTGGCCTTGTGCATGAACCTGACTCTCTTGGCCAGAGGAACCGAAATCATGTATCGAACGCGTCATGAGTTGGCCAGTGGTTGGTCCTTCAAGCAACTTGACCAGAACTCTGAAGATTGGCTGCCAGTTCAGCAGGTGCCAACTCAGGTGCATCTTGATCTATTAGCCAACAGAAAGTGAGTATAGAAATTAGGTCAAAGTCAGGTTGACAGAGCTAAATAATCAAATAGAATTGAGGATCCTTTTGTCGACTTGAACGAACTATCGGCACAATGGATTGCAGAAAAGGACTGGGTTTATCGGACGCAGTTTAACGCTCCAAACGCTCCCAGAAAGGGGATCAAGACGACGCTCGTGTTTGAGGGCCTTGATACATTTGCTACAGTCACCTTGAACGGTGTCCAAATTCTCGAGTCAGAAAACATGCATCTCAGTCATCGGATAGATGTATCTGATATCATCCAACCCGGAGATGACAATGTCCTGGAGCTTGTGTTTCGCTCCGCACTTCATCGGGGTCGTGAAATTGTGCAACAGCACCCCGAGCATCAACATTTTGCGAGACAGACTGAAGAAGGTCGTATCCCGGTTCGTAAAGCTCAGTACAACTGGGGTTGGGATTGGGGTCCGATTCTGATGACTGCGGGACCCTGGCGTCCTGTTTATCTCGAACAGTATTCCTGCAGAATCAACGAAATTTCAATGGAATACGAGCTTTCCTCGGATCTGAGTGCTTGCTCAGGAAAGGTATATGCTCAAGTTGATAGTGCGTCTCCAGGGACTGACAGTGTCGTTCTTGAACTGTCTCTGGATGGCAACACCGTCTTCAGGGAAGAGTGTTCAGTCAACTCTGACGGCCTGGTTGAGGCGAACTTCCGGATAGAGAATCCAAGTCTCTGGCATCCAGCAGGCTACGGGGCACAATCTCGTTATAAGTTGTCTGTCGAGCTCTCTCGGGGAGACGTAAAGTCTGACTCTATGTCAAAGTATTTCGGATTCCGCCGCGCCGAGCTGGTTCAGGAGAAGGACCTCTTCGGGAAGTCGTTCTACTTCCGCATCAACGGCATCGACATTTTCTCCGGCGGATCATGCTGGATTCCGGCTGATAGCTTCCTTTCGCAGATATCATCCCAGCGATATCTAGATTGGATGAAGTTGTTGGTTGAGGGTAACCAAATCATGATCAGAGTTTGGGGTGGGGGCGTCTACGAAGATGATGCATTCTTTGACGCCTGTGATGAGCTCGGTATTCTTGTGTGGCACGACTTTGCTTTCGTATGTGGCAACTATCCTGTCTACCCGGCCTTCTTGAAAAGTGTCGAGCAGGAAGCAAGGCAAAATATTCAGCGACTACGATCTCACCCCTCGATTGTGATATGGGCTGGCAACAACGAAGATTACCAGGTTCAGGAGAGGTATAAGCTTGAATACAACCTTCACGACAAAGATCCCGAATCCTGGCTTAAAACGACCTTTCCAGCAAGATATATCTACGAATACTTTTTACCCAAGATTTTGGCGGAAGAAGATCCGTCTGCCATCTATCATCCAGGCAGCCCCTGGGGAGACGGAAAGCACACGACTGACCCCACAGTTGGTGACATCCACCAGTGGAATAGTAAGTCTTCCCGCTTCCTTCATTCTACAATCGAAATTCAGTCACTTACAGAAGCATAGTCTGGCATGGACAAATGAGCCGTTACCAAGACAGCGACCAACTCAGCGGTCGTTTCGTCAGCGAGTTCGGGATGGAGGCATACCCCCACTTGCAAACCACTCGTAGAATGATCACCGATCCCAGCCAGCAGTACCCTGGTTCCATCTCGATGGATTTCAGAAACAAGGCTGGTGATCACGAACGGCGTCTTAACACGTATCTTTGCGAGAACTTTCGGGTCAAATACGACCTGCCGGCCTTTACTCACTTGACGCAAGTTCTTCAGGCCGAGACAATGAAGTATGCATATAAGTCATGGAGGCGGATGTGGGGCAAGGCAGGCTCGCGGAAATGCGGCGGAGTGCTAGTATGGCAGCTCAACGACTGCTGGCCGACCATGTCTTGGGCCATAGTCGACTACTACCTTGTCAAAAAACCTTCTTACTACGCTATATCCCGAGCGTTACGACCTTTGGATGTGGGCATATCAAGGAGCTGCCCTGAATGGACCTCTGGCCACGCTGATCCCACATTGCTACACGACACCAAATTCGATGTTTGGGTAGCCAGCAGCAAGCTTCAAGAAGTAGAGGTTAATTTGGTGATCCAATTCGTCTCGATCAGATCCGGGCGAGAGGTGTTTCCGCAGATTTCGACAAGGGTGTCTGCACAACCCAACGGGACGACGGAGGTGCTTAAGGACCAACATCTGAAATATCACAGACCTGTTGAAGATGAGAGCAATGCTACCATCAGTGTTCGTCGTCATGACCCCTTTGTCATTCACGCTACATTAAGCGTTGGCAATACAGTTGTGGCAACGGACACGGCTTGGCCCCAGCCGCTGAAGTACTTGGACCTATCCGATCGAAAAATTAGTATTGAAAGGTCATCATCCGGAGATGAGGTGACAGTGTCCGCCGAACTTCCGGTTAAAGCATTCGTCTTCGAGGAGAGAGAAGGTCTGAGCCTGAGCGATAATGGGTTTGATATCGTGCCGGGGGAGAAACATGTCGTGAAGATAACTGGGCACGCTGTCACAGCGGAAGAGTTGCGATGGACATATGTTGGAGCATCAGACAGGTTACCACGGTCTCAAGACTCAAAGTTGTAACCTACAAGTTTAGAAGATGCAATACTGACGCAGTCGCAAGGACTAATCTCATTTGTGGCGGTCAAGCTGCAAACTCAGCCTCGCGATCAATGTAATTGTTTGATGACTTCTGCTAGGTGGTTTTAGTAGTCACTGGGCGATGATCAAGGCAAGTAGGGCAACAGTTGAAGGGCATTCTGAGCGCTGTGTATCCAGAGTTCATTATCTTCCGTCGTTGGACTTCCTCCACGGAGAGAGGTTTCGCAGCCAGCTCATTCAAACGCTAAGCGAGATCCGGGATGGTTTTGTGGTTAAGGACATGGCCTCCATGGTACTGGCGCACAAATTCGACACATTCATCGCAGAATATTGTATCCTCACAGTTACCACACCTCTAATCTGGCTGTATCTGTACAACTCCGCATTTCTTGTAAGAAATCCACGAGCGACCACGATCAAGCTCTTCGGATCGAGGAGAATATAGTTTTTTGAGGTTCGTACCGAGTTAGTTGTCTCAAGAGATGCCTTTGGAAACCTCTATTCGATTTGCGATGGAGGATTAGCATCTCTGTATAAGGTGAAAACAAGTAATGGTTTCGAAACTCAAATGGTAGGTGACTGCGTTTAGTTTTTTTTTTTTTTTTTTTAGAAGTTGTCGTTGCTCTGAATCTTGGATCTAAGATTGTGGAGGATGCCAATGTGGTTGAAGGCACGAGCTAGTAATTCTTACATTATCATAGGCTACTACTGCTTGTATTAGAAGCTCACTGAGCAAATCAAGGATCTCATTCTTCTGTCGGTGTTGCGACGATTTATTTATTTACGTACAGAGAATATTAAACCAGGTATCTAAAGGCAAATTTTTCGATGCCTCACAAATATGCACCCAGAACAGTTCTACCATATATTAAAATCTGCATTGGCCAGAGTATATATCAAGATAAAACCGGCCGGCCTGTCTAGCTTCATACTGGTTCGGCTTGTCCCCAACGGCGTATCCCGGTCTCCTCCGGCCTCCCTGAACCCCGGTCAAAAGGGCCAAAACTAGCATCAAAATCAGGTCCATCCATCTCCACACTTCCCCATGTTAAGCTCTCCACTCCCCCGCGTGCCTTCTCTTGAAATTTCCCACTCAGTCCCCTCCAAAAAGTCACCTCACCCTTCCATTTTGTCAACCCACATTTCTTCATCGCATGCACCTCACAGCTCCAGCTCCAGACCAGGCCCGTTCATTCCGTCCCCTCCTCTCGCCTCCGCACACACCCCAAATGAGGCCCGTTCCAGTGGGTGCTGCTACTGCGCGCCGGGCACCGTGTAAGTGCCTACGACATCTACAGGAGGAACGGTAACCAAGGCACACGGACACACATACATACAAACGCACGCCATGTTCCACTCATTTAACAGCCGTAGCCCGGCAGCCTCAGCATCGGGATCTCCGATCCCCTCGCGGAAGGTGAACCGGTCGTGTCAGGAATGTACAAGACGGAAAGTAAAATGTGATGGCGGTCATCCTTGCGCTAGTTGTCAATACTACAAGGTTGCAGACGCCTGCGAGTACAGGCAGCGAAGCAAACGACATGCCGTAAGTCGGAGGTAAGTCTTACTCCTCCCATTTCATCTCACTCAGCCTCTCAGTCACTCATTATGTCAGTATGAGAGATATTATATACTAACATCCTGTACAGCACGCTGGAAAAGGCCTCGGAGCAACTACAAGCTCAATCTCGCATCCTGCATGAACTCTTTCCTAATATTCCCTTTGAGGCTCTCGTCGGCAAATCTCGCCCACAGCTTCTCGCCCTCCTTCCCCGAGAGTCAATCTACAGCCTTCCACCCATCTCTCAACAAGATCCGTCACCCACAGGCATCTCCGCCGCAGATGAGGATGATGATGATGACGACAACGGCCCTGACGACTCCACGCAGATCTCCGAGAATGGCGAGACCGGCAATGACAGACGATGGGACGAGTCCGCCGCCGCCCACCAGCCCGCGGCCACCCTTCGCGCCAGCGATGACATTAACGCCATCTCTCTCGCGACAGATCAGCACCGCCGTTCATATCTCGGTGTTACCTCCATGAGCGCTGTTCTCAGAGCCATATTCCGTCTCTGCCCCGCTGCCAAAGAGCATACCGCCCAGCGCGCAAAGTCCTGGGCCGAGTCCTCGTCAGCCTTGTCGCAGCACCAGCAACCCTTCCCATCATTATCCTTACTCGGCACTCCCAGCCCTGGCATGAATCCCCTTCGTGAACAGCGCTGTATAGAATTCTACTTTGAACATATCCACCCAATAACCCCCATCTTAAGTGAAGATGACTTCCGTCGCACCTACGCCTCAGGAGCCCGCCATGACGACTCCTGGCTTGCACTCCTCAACATGGTCTTCACTCTCGGTTCCGTCGCCTCAGGGAGCGACTCTTTACACGTACAATACTACAAAGAAGCACGCGCCCATTTGGGTCTCGACTCATTAGGTTCCGGCAACATGGAAAGCCTGCAGGCCCTGTGTCTTTTAGGCGGATACTACCTCCATTACCGTAACTCTCCCAACATGGCCTACGCAGTCCTCGGTGCCGCCCACCGTGTCGCCATTGCCCTCGGGCTGCACCGCGAACCCATACGCAGCCATCGCGCTTCGATAGACCACACTTCCGAGCACAACAACCACAGTATCCGCACCGAAACCCGTCGCCGCACTTGGTGGAGCCTCTTCTGCCTCGACACATGGGCTAGCATGACCCTCGGCCGTCCCACATGCGGCCGCTGGGACAGCAGCACAATGGACACGCACCTACCGACGCCCCTATCCCCCGACGACCATGTTGCGGCGTCTTTGCGAGCGAGCTGCCATTTCTGTCACATTTGCGATCGGATCCAGCACCGCTTCGCACAACCCGCGCGCCTCTCAGCTCATGAGGCCCTGTCGTTCGACCGTGAACTGCGAGATTGGCACGCCTCCCTCCCTGAGTCTCTCAAGAGCCCGGCAAACTCCCCCCCACGGTTGACCGTCGCCCGTGAGTTCATGCGGAACCGCTATCTCAACGTCCGTCTCATCCTCTCCCGCTGCTTCCTTTTATACCTCGCCCACGACCATAGCTTGAAGAGAGGCAGCAGCACTACTTCATCCGAGCCCCTGGTCCCTTCGCCGGACGAGCTCTCCCTAGTCGATGCCTGCCGGTCGGTGGCCGGAGAAGCAATTGACGCGATAACGCTCTACTGGACACCCAACCGCGTCCACGTCTGGAATTCGGCGTGGTACCTCTTCCAGGCCTGTATGGTTCCCCTCCTCTCTATAGCCATAGAAACAAACCGCACATCCGCTGCACGCAAACAACAACAGCAGCAACAGCAACAACAACAAAGCTCACAGACGAGACGGGCCTCTGCTTCAGCCGCAGGTACGACGGCAATGGGCCCAATAGCATCAATAACGACCCCGGCCCCTCCAACCGCATCTTCCGTCTCAGTCAGCTCTCCAGAAACCACGCCAGCGGTGCAATCCTGGTGCGCGAGCCTGACAAAGGCCCTCGAGCTCTTCTCCGAGATGCGCCCGTGGATGCGCGCGTCCGACAGGGCCCCGGACATCGTCGCCGCGCTGTACGAGGCCGTCACGGCCGACGTCGAGGGCGGCTCGAACGCCGGGTCCACGATCCGCACGCCGTCCGCCACGACAGACGGCGGTATGGACCTGTTCGGGTGGTGCGACGAGCAGCTTACGGAGCTGGACTGGAGCACGTTCCTCGGCGGCGGGAGCGGCGGGGACGAGGGCGTGCAGCAGGGTATGTTTGCGTTTTCGTAACGAAGAGATGGTATGCGTGTGCGGTTGAAAACATTAGGAGTTGTGTTTGCTTTGGTCTTGGGGGGTGGCTTTGTTCGAGGAAAGCGGGGAAAATTACGCATGCTTGTGTTCTTTACATCTTGGATGGGGAAAATCCCGTCATTTGCAGCGTTTGTTTATTCTCTGGTTCCTGTGGATTTTTGCGGCCATTTTGCATTAGTTGTATCACTTGTAATGATTCCCCACGAGGACCGAACGGTAACAACCACCGAAACTAAACATGTAGGTGGTCATTTATGCACTATTTAATACGAAAACTTGTTTGTTATTCCGTGCCCCTCAGAGCTATTCAAACTTGGTTTCAACGATCAGGGATCACCCGCGTTCTGTTCGATATACAATTTGCGAAAACCGAAATTGTCTTATCATAAGCTCTATTCCAGAAGCACTTGGACTCGTAATGGTACCACCAAAACATCCCAGCTCGCGCCGTTCGCTTGTTAACCTGCGCATCTATAACCAAAAAAACCAAAAACCAAACGCTCATCATCCTATTCTGCCTCATCCATAGATATTCAGTCAGTCCCTGGGTATAACTCAAACTCCAAAAAGTGGCATCTTCAAAATCCAAAATCCACATGCATCCGTCCATCGTCCAAGCAACACATATATGAGAGCCATGCAGCTTCCACAATATCAGTTAGCCTGAATGAAACCCGCCTCAGTTGAAGAGTCAGTAACAAGAGCCTTTCTCTTCTCCAACCGGTCAATTCTCGCCATGGCCCGCTGCCGTGCCTTGGCCTCCTTGCGCAGTCTCACGGCTGCCCGCACGTCAACCTTTTCCTCCTTTTCCTCCTCAATTCTTTGGTACGTTGTTCCGATGGCCGAGATTCTCCTGGTTCCCCGCCGACCCAGCGCCAGGTCCGCCCTGACCGGAAGAACATTATATTCATCCGGCTCGACGTCTTCCTCCCCGGTTTCCTCGCCGAGGGAGAAGATGGGGGCTTCCACCCTGGGGTCGAGAGATAGCCTCCGCTGTAAGCGTATTGGGCTGTCGTTGGAACGTCTGATACTGGGGTGTGACGGTGAAGTAAGAGTAGGGTCGGGAACAGTCACGAGGCTGTCAAATAGGCCCGGCAACTGTAGGCCACCTATGCCGTATCCTGTGTCGTCAAACAGGAGGTCTGCTTCATGAGATCCATCAACCCCCGAATTTCGATAGCGTGTCGTGATGAATGAGTCCGCGTCAATGTCATCGTCCGACGACAAATAGTCATCGATATTGAATCCGGCACCAGATGCTATCGGGTCGAGAGGCGAGGGCAAAGAACTCTCGAGCGCCGTAGTGAATGAAGTATGATCGCCAGATCTGCTATGCAGCGAGGGGAGACTATCGTTCATGAACGACGACATTGTCGCCAGATCAACCGAAGTTGTAGTTGTATGTCGTGATTGTGGACGGTGGAACGAGCTGGAGCTAGACATTGTGGGTGTTGCTGAAGATATCGACCAGTGACGCAGACTGCTCCTGCGCATCGGCACATGCTCGTAGATCTCGTCGAGCCTGACCTTGCCAAACGGCGACCCATGGCTGTTCAAACGCTCATCTTGGCCATCACGCCACGAGTGGCCACTCCTCATCACATCTGCCGAGAGACTATGTTAGCTGATATGTTCAGTGCATGTCATAGAAACGGTAGAAAGCGACGAGAAACACTAACGCGGTGAAGGCGCCGGCGAGGACACTTCCGCAGAATCAACATGGCTCTCAACCTCAACCCGGCCGACCCACCCTCTTGTACCGTTCCCTTCGTCAGGCTTAGCACTCCGCAACCATTCGCCGTGGCGGAAGGTTGTGCCTGTCGCGGAAAGTGTGTGCCGCTTAGAAGGCGATTTCAGGGTTGGGGAGGATAGGGTGGAATTGGCTACTGACCCTCCGCGCGATGGCGGCCTCACCGCTTGATACATCTCAGCCTGACTAGATGTCTTTGGCCGCTGCTGTACCGGTAGTGAATAATTTTGCCGGACCACGTAGGCAGGTTTCTGCGACGCCTTCAGCGACAATGGCAATCCGTTTGGTTGGGATGTATATATCCCCAGTTCGTCGACGGGGGATCCTTCGCTAGTTGCAGAATGCCGTACTGTTCTCCTATTGTTTGAAGAAACGGGCGTATCGGTGGCAGATATACGAAGACCTAGCGGTCCGTTGGACGGGGTAGTCGGGATATAAGATCCTAGAGACTGTCTTCGTTGGTTGCGAGTCGACTGCGGGACATCTTCGACGATCTTCTCATGTCTTTGAGACCTCTCGGGTGAAAAGAGTATGGTTTGAAACGGGATTTTGCTGAGTGTGCCCGACGTTAAAGACAATGTTCGAGCTCCCGCGTTAATGGACTCGTGGCCCTGATAAGGTCTGGATAGTTGCTCTTGGTCCGCAAACTGAGTTCTCGAGCCAAATGATGTGATAGCGCCATCCCGACGATCACGAGGGCTGCTGGCTTTGGCATAAAACTCTTGAACCTTTTCAGAGGCCAAATTCACTCCGTTCACGCCAATGTTCCTGTCAGCAACATCCTCCCCGTAGTCCCGAACCCCCGCCGCCTTTACCCGGTTCTGGAATCCTGACGGCTTTATTTCAGACTGCGCATCCAGGATGTCGATAAAATTCCTAGCCATGGAGCTATTGCTTTGCATCGAAAAGTGACGAGAATGTGCAAACGGAGCCTTCGGCGGGCTAAAGGGCTCATTCTCCAAAGATACCACCGGTGAATGGCTTACTCGTCGCGGCACTGGCGACCCCGTCGACGATGTCATTGAGCCAACTCTCAGTCTTCTGAACGACAGTTGTGGACCCCTGGACGAGTCTCTTCTTCCATGACTTGACAGTGATGCCGAGCTCGGGCCTGCGCCATTCGGAGCAGAGCTGGGACGCTCAACACTGGCATCGCGAAACCTCGGAGCAGGCAGAACAGGGACAGAAGTTTCGGAACCGGCTGCAAGAGACAAGTTGGTTTCGCTCATTTTGTGATGTGACCTCTGCAGGTCTTCAAAGACGTTAGTCGGACCATTGCCGGCAACGGGATAAGTTCCTAAGCTTATTAGTTGAATTCGAAGCTACTCGGAATGAACTGGAGCCCTACCAAGAGTCGGTGGGAGAGATGGGGCGGTAGCATCGTAGGCTTGCGATCTAATGGCGTTCGCTGACTTTTCTGATGACTTTTTGGATGAGAAGAACTTCAAGAGGCCCATTGTCACAGCTTTTCGCCAGCCATGTGGCGGCCTACTTTTAGGTAGTCAAACCGCTTGGCGGACCCTGGAAACGAGGTTCTAATGATAAACCGAAAGAGCAGCCCACGGTAATGTTGATAGAATTGGATTGCTGGAAAGAATGGCTATCAACTGAACGATGATCGCAGGGTATACGAGGGACGGGGTGAGAGCAGAAGCTGCTGCTAGAGGAAAATGGGTAGAAGGGAAGGGTGGTAGCTGATGGGAGGGGGACCAGGCAGTCTAAAAGTTGAGCAGACGGATAGAGTAGCGTCAGATCCTGGGCGGGCCTTGGAAGAAAAAGAAATGGAGGACAATGCGACGGGATGAGTCGTGCGAAGGTGCTAAGGCTGGATGAAGTGCATACATGAGAGAGCACACCAGCTAGCAGATAGAGCCCACGCTAGGGCGACGTTTAGACTGGGTTGAAGGCTTCGTGCATTCAAGATGGTACGCAGCACTAGCATCGGTACTATGGTACCTGTACTTGAGCTTGGGCAACGTCGTGTTGCATGGGTAGCACACCCGTTCTCCATACGGGAGAGTCACTGATCCTCCACCACCAATGCATTAGATGAGATGAGAGAACTACCTAGGACCGGACGGGGAGCTGGGGTAGCCGTCTGCTCCGCCATCTAATCTGGGTTGATGCGTTTGTCAGGCGGTGGCCTGGCATCGAAACAGCTTCACTTGGTTTTCTTCTCAGAAAGTAAAAATGAGCCTCCAACTCGCGGCTCACGCGCCAGTCTCGGTCCAAGAAGATGTTATGCGTGTTGCTTCAACGCATATCTCTCATACCTTAGCCAACTTAGAACACAAAGCCCACCGCTGGCCGGGTGCCGCCGTAGGGGTTTTGGGATAGCACGGCACCAGGCTGTCCCTTGAGACAGTTCTGGAGCAGAGAGGGGCTTAGTGAAGACTAGCTGACTAAATAATGTCCAGTTTCGTTGCTCGGGCGAAATGGAGCATCAAGGTTTGCAATCTAGTCAGCAAACGAAGTGAGTGGGTGCATGGCGAACGGGACAGATGAGATGAATCGCGGTCCGTGCGAGGGTGACAACAAAGGTGGAAGCAGAACGAAACCGATTTCCCGCCTGTTTCAGCGTCTAGTCTTTGTTGGAATGCCTGGGGCTTTCGTGTTGGGTCTGCTCTGCATCAGCTAAGGCCAGGTCTAAGTTCGAGTTTGGTAGAGCTCTAGGGATCGAGGTGTTGGGGTCCTTGTCATGAAGCGTCTCACCAATTTCTTTTTTCCTCCTCAATGACGAACGACCCAAACGGACCCAAGTTGCCAGGCTGCAGATGCCAAGTCAGGCAGCGTCCGAATCATCCTGAGACCAGACGGCAATGTTTGTTGCCCTGCAGCAGAAAAAATGACGACTAGCCGAAGAAATCTGTGGCAAAAAGCAAACGGGTCAGGAAGCCTCTGTTCCCAAGAGATGAACATGCGCATGTGTGTCTCCACGATGACAGCCGCTTGACCAGCAAAAGCAAACACAAGCGGCGAGATCAGGGGTAATAGCGGCGGTTTAGCGCGGCTTCGGAGAAAAAGCAATCGCGCAGGGTTGGAAGGAAGCCCATTCGACGGTTTCTTTTATTGGCAACGCCGGTTGACCGGACTCAAAACTAGTCAGTTAGTGAGTGTGTGCTAGGAACAAAGCAAAAGGAAGGCCATCTTCAATTGGAGGCAGAAGGTGGCTTCTGGTCCAATGGACTCTTATTCTCTTGGACGTTTTGGACGTTGTAGGCTTTGGGAGTTGAGAACAAGGCCTCTGTGGCTAATGGATTGACATGCCTCCGACCCGTGTCCTGGTGAGGTAACGTGAGCGTCGATCTCTCGGGAAAGTGGGAGTGTGATATTATCGTTGAAGTTGGTATGAACTATGGGGTGCAAATCGTATCATGATTACAGCTGTTGCAGCTTGGTCTCCGCTGGCCGCCCCGTCATGTCGTGCCCATCTTGATTGCATCTTTAATTGTGAATCTTCCTGGGGAAGGGAACCCCTGCGTTTGATGCGAGTGGGCGAGGCACCTTTAATCCTGGTGATTGGAGGCGGGCAGAAGCAGATCGTTCAGGGGTTATCCCCTGCTGTCCCGTGAGTACGGTGGGCGATGGACGATCATTTCTGAAAGCTGGATAATCAGAGTCAGTGGAGAAGCGAGCTGAACAATGAATTTATTTTGTAGGCTTTGGTTATTGATTGGATATGAGACTAGGCCTGATTGCGACAAACGACTCCATTGACGAGGCCAAATTATTCAGGTCACGACGGCCTGCAATTTTTTGCGAGGATCCGGCGCTAGCACTTCAGCGTGGCTAACCGCAACACTTGTCAGTTCCGTACGGTACGCCAGCTGTTGGTTCCAGCTGAGCCGACAAGGTGACAAGGGACGAATCAACCGAGAATAGCTTCGTAGCTCCGGTACTAGTCGATGCCTGTTTTTTTTTTTTTTTTTTTTCCCGGCGGCGTTATTCGTACGACAGACGGCGTTAGTGTAACTCTCGACTGGAAATTAAAGCGAAAAGTGGCCCTCCAAATATGGGAGTCCTCCACAAAGGTTCGGTTGACAGGACGGAAAAGAATGGACCGCAAGGTTGTTGTTGCTGTTGCGGTTTGCACCTCGGAGGAACCGATGCTTAGTCATTCTGCTCATTGGTTTTCTGTTACGTGCGTCTAGCCTGCGTCTACGAAGCTGTTATTCCTTTTTGCAGCTTCCTTCTGGTGCAACAGTTTCCCCCTTCCCTACGAATCAAGCTGCGTTTACTCATGCACAAGTCTTATTTGAGCCCCATTGTCTGAAATCATCCAGAGCCTTCAAGCTTTAAAAAGTGAACCACTGACCAACCAATACGACGAGAAGCGGTTCGCCGTTAGTATTGCGGCCGAATGCAGACAATTCTCGCCTGACCATCATATAAGAGCTGTTGAGTCAACGAAGACAAACACAACATGTCACTTTAATTGGACTCGATTCTATGCCCCCAAGCACTTTTGATGTACAGACGATTGGTTGATTCTTTACGCCGGCTTTCCCCATCGGCTTCCAGCCGATTGCTTTCTATTTCTGATGTAGCGTGCGGCCTCCTCCGCTCGCAACTCCCGCTTTACGGCAAATCCCGCGTCTCGTGAATACGTCAAATTACCACCTCGATGAACTGTTTTCCAGATGCAGGTAAGCTCTCGGTGTGGGATGCAACGATCTGCTTTTAACTGTTAGCGGCGACCAGCCACCACGTGGAACACCGTAACCTGGCTCAATCCAAACCATTCCTGCATTGCCTGCTTTGGTTTTTCTTTGATCAATCAGCCGTTTTTCTTCTCGGGCCTCCCGGCTCGGATCTTTGTTCACGTAAAGCTATGGTCTCATTATCCGATTAAACCCACCGTACGGAAAGCAACTTTTCATCTGCGAGGCACAGGGCATCATCGTTGCTTTTGTTACTGGCCCCTGCTTTCGACTTCCTTCTCTCTAGAGGACTGAATCAGTGCAAATAGCTAGGTGAACTTAAAAGAGATCCAAACATACTCGAGGGGATCGGATATGAAGGTTCAGAAGCGGGAAGGCGAATACACCGACGATGCGCCGTCTCTACCGCCTTTCCTCTATCAGCGAGTGCCGCCGTAATCTCAGCGCCCCCCCAATCGGTTGCGCTCGGATGATGCATCGTGCTGTCCGGCGTCTAGACGCTGAAGCGTCTGAGCGGGCATGTCAACCCCCAACTGGGGTCCGCCTTCCGTTCTTCAGCGTCCGCAATGCTCCCCAAGCAATCCGAAGTCCGCTGGCTCGAATAGAAATATGCTTTGAAAGCAAAGCCATCTGCCAGTGCTTGCCTTGTGAGACAAACCGTTAAGGATCCTGCGCACTGGTACTTGCGTTGAAGCATGTCAATGGCCGGAGGGAATTATCGTGATGCATGCAAGGTTTTCCCAGAGCGTATGTCCGTCCTGGGATTGCTACGGGCATGTGTTGTGGCGCCGCCTTAGTTGTGTCTGGCGCGTGGCTACTCAGTCCAAAAACCAATACTCTGGGTCAAGTCTAGAGCTGTCTTCAGGAAGGTCAGCCTTCAAAAAGGACATTGGCTACGGTTTAAAGCGCTACTTACCACCTCGGAGTGGCTTAAATATCCCCCAATATTCGTTCTGGTGGCCACCGCAATTTGGCTGGCTTTAGGTTAAAGGAACTTCCACAAGTGCGTGGCCCCGTCAGTCAGTATATCTGACTAGCCAGCAAGAAATCGCGCCCCTGCAGATTGTTGTGGAACTATTAACAGCTTGTTAAAGTTTGGGCGCGTTCCATTGCGCATATTTATGCACCCTGTATTCTGAAGGCAAACGCTGTCTCGTGAATTTAGCTTGGGAGCGCTATGTCATGATGTCTGATGTCTAACATGAGATTGTAAGGCAAGGAGCCTAACATACCTAGTTAGTACAGAGGTGCTTGGCGTGGAACCATCGTCTTTCCTGATGCATCGTCTATTTGAGCGTAGGATGACAATTGCCATAGAAAAGTGCGACAGGATTGTTGTTTAGCGCTGGACAGCTGGTTGACCATCTTTAGGAAGCTATGGTGCCTCCTTCTGGATTATGCTCGCAATGGAGGAAAATATTGGAAAGTGCCCATTGGGTCCAAGTAACAAATGTCAGAAAGAGGCACTGAGAACATGGCATGAGGAAAGAGCCTCGTACCAATTGCTTTGAGAGTGCTTTGCACTCTTTGGACAAAATCTCCCTCCCAAAACTACATGCCCGAACTCCCGACATCTTAACCCCTCTCCCAGGTCAATACCTTATTCGGATAAACCCTTTCTCCTTTTTTGGCCTTACAAAGATTCTCTTGGCAGCTCTCATCCAGGTTGGAGTTGAGAAGGCATTCTCCATCCAAATAATTACATTCCCATGGTGAAGATGTCCAACCCCCAAGGGTCTGGCCAGACGCCCCAACACCCAGATGAGCATCATGGCTAGGAACCCTTCTTCACCGAACATAATGGTGTTCCTATAGTTGAAAACAGGGGTCCACGCGAGCCTCAGCCTGGTGCTGAAATAAATCAGTTTGGTTACGGCCAGCTGTTGCCAACACCTGCTGGGGACCACACAAGTTTCATCGAGTTGGCACCAAGCCAAACCCCCATCACCCCAGAAACACTCAATGACAGAAGTGTTGATGTGAAATTTTCGAACTGGCCCTCTACTCGGTATGCTACGAGCATCAATCAACAAACAAAGCCTGCCCCTGTGTTGAGCCAAGAAGAAGTCACTTGTCTTGTGGATCTTGCAAACTCCCACAGGAAATCGAAGACGGAGTTTAGAACGATGACTGGAGACTACCAGGCAGACTTGAAGCCATCTACTGAGTATAAAACAATGTCGCGAATACGAAGAAAGTCATCCGGGTTGGTAAAGGTTGCAGAAAGGGGTTTGAGTCCACATCTTCCTTGACCAATAGGCACACCTGACATCATAACAGACGTTAATTTCAACGGCCTATCGTCCCAGCAATCTGAAGGAACCTCGAATTCGTCCGAGGCTGAACCTCAAGAGCCTCATTCTACCCTGGACGAGAAACGGGAAGAGGAGCAGAAAACAGATGGCAAGCTGTGGCAGAGGCCCGAGCCAAAGGACGCATCACCGCGACTTTGGAAATTCGGAAAGTAAATGAGACGCTGGACTCGGAACCATGGAGTGAATGGCGAGAATACCCCTATATTACGAGTAGCCTTCCCCTGAGCATATCCTTGGAACAAAATACAACCTAGTCACCTTTCATGGCAGATACTTTGCGCGAGTGACTGCATTCAAACCGAACCTGAACGCCCAAGTCGTGCTGTTCCCCATCCGAATCGACAGATATTAATAAACTATTCTCATCACGTCTTGCTTCTTTATTCAAGCGATCCAGCCAACGCGACGGCACTAAACCTCAAGTCGGCGCCCTCTCTCTCAAGGAATTTCAGAGGTCCCCAGGTAAGCGCCTTCTCACTCAACACATCCTCGCCATCCTCGAGTTGACCTCTTGCCAGAGGTCCCTTGCGACGGCCGTCAAGCTCCCAGAGCGTGCCGTCGTTACCGCGCACGAAGCAGACGTAGTGCAGGTCAACGTCGTCCTGTGCCTGGGGAGCCTCGGTGGCGCCCTGCGATGCGGCTTCGCGGTGAGCTGTCGCCAGCGCAGGCGTGTTCTCGAGGAGCTGTGCGCGACCAGCGGGATCGAGCGGTTCGGCGTTCTCAATGAGGGTGTTCAAATCAGATGGCTTTTCTGTTGTGCCAATCAAGACAATCAGCTCGCGAGCTTTTGGCACGAGGGAAGAGGAGGAGGAGGAGGAGGAGGAGTGGGCGGGTAAAGAAGACGTACCGATGTACTCCCTCGCAGGACCATTTGCCACAGCATGCAACAATCCCATAAGGCCACACGCGTTCCTGATCGTCTGCCGGAACCAGATAACCGGCTCGTTCGGTCCCTTACCCTTGTATTCCTCCAGCAGGGCATCCTCCGCCAGACGATGGCTTTCGTAGGCGGCGCTAACAGGGAATACGAGAAGCACAGCGAGCGCGGGCCGTGGGATGAAGGAGAGCATTTCCGGGTCTGTCAACGAAAAGACATCGTGGATCCCAAGAGCGGACGAAAGGCCGAGCTTGTGAAGGAGCGTCGTCATGAGCTCTGGGTTCGCTTCAAGAGGGATGAAGGCGGGGGCTGAGGCCGAGGGATCGGGGTTTGTTGACGACATTTTTGCGCGAGTGTTTTCCCTGGGTTTTTGAAATAAGTTGTAGATGTGGGCGGGTGTGTGAAAGGTTGACAACGGTTTGTCAGGTGTAGAAGTTGGAAATCGGGCTTGGAGGTTGGCCGAGGAGCTGTTTGCCCCTCCAAGCCAAGGTAAGGTTATGGTGGGGTCAGTGAGGTAACTGAGCTTGGATGCGGGGTGCTGGGAGCTTGGGGTATTGCGGTTCGGAGGCAGCTAGCTATGCTGACGCGGCATGGTTCTCCCTCCAAAAGCGGAACTGAAGCACAACCAAGACTGGGCGAAACAGTGAGTTGGGTAAAAATATGGCCTATGAAGGCAGATGTTAAGATATCCTAGAGTGGCGCTTTCTTTTTCTCTTCAAAGCGTGGTGATTTCTATGTTGTACAAGCGGTCCCAGTACTCCTTATTCCATCGCTGCGCCGTTGAATGCTGTCCCTCTACCGTCCGTAAATGTATGTATGATTTCCCATGGTTTTACAATATGATTACATACGAGAATTCAACCGACTGACGATGATTCTCTCTGACCCTGGAGAGGATCGACGGGAGTTTCGTTTGCAACCGGCTTATCTTTCAAATCCTCAAACTCACTCTCGTCTCCAACAAGGGGCTCCTCGTGCCCCGGCTCACCCCACTGCTCATGGCCTTCGTCGACGAGGGTACTAGCCTCAATACCCTCCGCGCCATCGACCTCTTCAATTTCATTCTGTTCCGCCCAGAGCTTTTCCTGCTTGGACATATGCTCCAACGCCTCCTTGCGCTGGCGCTCACGGAGCTGCTGGTGCGTGTCGGACCTGAAGACTGTGTTATGCGCGAGGTAGTGCTCAATCTTCTCCTCCACGAAAGCCTTGATGTGGAAGGCGAGCGTCTGACTCACAAAGATACTCGGGAAACGGTAGCTTATCCACAGGTACAGAGTGATGGCCTGGTGCAGCGTTTCGACGGATCGAAGGTATTTCCTGCCCTGGCCCTGGAAGTCCTCAAGGGTGGCGTCGAGGATTTCTAGATTGATCGGCTCGATCTCATATAACGCGCCGCCACGCCGCGTCGAAATGCACTTCGCAACCGCCCGTACGATCTCTTCCATACCTTGGACCCTAAGACTGACAGGCGCGTGGAGGAGGGCAATGCGTTCCTGGATTGTCATGGGGAATTCTTGAATGGCATCGGCAACTTGGAGCGCGGCTTCTGGGACGTGTACTGCAAATCGCTTTGAAACAGGAGCCATCTCGCGAAGGCGGAGAAGAATAAAGCTCAAGGGCGTGTCAGGGGGGAAATACTCGGCAAACTGTTCGATAACGAACGCTGGTGGGTGAATGACGGCGACCTCAAGAGGCTCGATATCACTCAGAAAGGCCTCTGCTACGGTCGGCAGGTCTCCATCGTCTAGAGTTGTAACGTAGCCCATCTTCTTCTCTTCAACAACAGTAGTGCCGGAATCAGTGGCACCTGTATGTGTTGCTGCTTGTCTCGCTGTCTTGTATCGGCCCGCTCTGCCGCCAATCTGCTTAATCTCAGATGTCGTCAAGACGCGATACTGGGTCCCGTCGTGCTTCGTTGCCGTCTCAAAAATAACGCGCTTGATTTCAAGATTTAAGCCCATACCAATGGCGTCGCTGGCAACAAGAAAGTCGTAGTCATTGTCGGGGTCGTTGAACAGAGCAGCTTGTTGGGCTCGAGTCTCTGGTGGCAGCGAGCCGTAGACGATGGCACAGCGGCGACCAGTCGCCTCTTCTATGGCGTTCTTTAAACCGTGCAAGTTGACTCTGGTAAAGGCCACGACAGCGTCTCCCTTTTCTAACTTCGTCAAATCGTTGCCCAAACTCTCATTCATCGTCTGCAAGGGGCTCAGCCTCTGGTAGCGGTGAACAATACACTTGTCACCGATACTGGAACAGATCGATTTGATGAGGTCGACAACGCGCTCCTCGCCACAGAGATGGACCTCCTTCGCCATTACACCGAGTAAAGCCTGCGTCCATGCCCACCCCCGTTCTTTGTCGCCAATCATTTGAATTTCATCCAACACCGCAACATCGACCATGCGATTCAGGGGCGTCATCTCGACGGTACAACTGATGAAGTAGTTATCCTCATCTTCCGGTATACGTTGCTCTTCCCCCGTGACCATGGCACAGGGCTTTCCCTTTGCCTGGAACCGTGAGTAGATCTCATGAGCGAGGAGACGTAAAGGACCTCCGTAAATGCCTGAATTTGCATTCTCCAACGCTTTCAATGCCCGGTAGGTCTTTCCAGAATTTGTTGGTCCAACATGGAGATGGATGGTACGCTGCATCGCTCGGGTAGCAGGAAACCACTCCATCGGAAACCGCATGTCGGCTAACTTTTTCTGCCTGGCAGTCGACCTAGACAGCTTCGAGCGCATCATGAAGCTCTGGAACGAATAATGCAACTCAGATGTCAGCCCCTTTACATCGCCCCGGATAAACGCATTGCGCAACGTCCAAAACAGCGGGTTTTCCTTGCGCAGCGTTGCGCCCTTGTTCGCCATGTGTATCGACTTTTGTATTGTCTCGCGGAAAAGTTGGATCTCGTTGTTAAGCCCATGCTCGCTACGGATGCCAAAGCTGCGGTACTCTCTGTTTGTTTCCGAGTAACCGCCCATCTTCTCCAATACGACGTTGAACTGGGAAAGGATCATGGCCCTGAAGGTCTCGTATTTGCTCTTTGGGGCCTTCAACGGCTTATGAAGGTTTGATATAGATCTCATGTTTAAAGCCGTTTCCTATATTCAATCTCTAGCATCAGTATTTGCAATTGATACAGTGTACTGGACCAAGAGAGCTGCTCACTCTGAAAGCAGCCGGGCATGATGTCGCGAAGCCACGGCTCGGTGCAATACGACTCCTCGCCGCGCAAAAAGCTGCGGCTCGCAAAAATGGTCTCATGGTGGGTTATGTTTTGACCAAAAGGTCATGACAGGCGATATGCAAGAGATATGCCTTGTTGTATTCGAGAGGCAAACTTGGTAGTTAGAATTAAATGCCCACCTTTTGCCTCCGCGCGCCAAACGCTCTGAACCCGCGTTGAGGTAGTGGGAAATTTTGGGTACGATAAGAAAGCCCCCCTGTCACTCTTTCTTATCAAAAAGCAATCCTATTCGCCCTGCATTGGTGACCGTGGGTTGCCCCACTCCGGCTTAGCGCATCCGTCTCCGATTGACCGTCGTCATCACGCATTCCCTCTTCCTCGATGCTCTTCTGCGACAAGCGCCCACCACGCCCTTAAGCCTGCATCCTGCCCGACCCGTCCGCCTGTGTACGCAACCCCCAGTCGCATATTGAGTATCGCTGCCTTCGTTTCTAAAGCCCATACTACGGCTCGATCAATACTCTCAAGATAACATACTTGGGTCCTTTGGGTCATCCTGTGTCAATCGCCATGGCTTCCTCATCGACCCCCATCACCCCCTTGCTCTAGTGAGTCGGCGCGGCAAATTCACAGATTTTGAGGGCAGAAGAGGACTGACAGACAACAGCTCGTGCATAGCGCACAACACCACGATTCTCAGCGAATGCACAACATCTGCCTCATCGCAAACCTCATCTCTCGCCTCTCTCATCCTCCCTAAGATCGAGCACAACAGCCCCCAGAAGCTGACATACACGCACGGCTCGCATCACATTCATTACATCGCCGAGGCGCCTTCCGATCACCCAGGTCATCCTGCAGCCGGCGGACTCACCTTCCTCGTCATCGCCGACGCCTCGCTCGGTCGTCGCATTCCTTTTGGCTTCCTCTTCGAGATCCGCCGCCGCTTCTTCGAACAGTTTCCCGCCGAGTCTACCGACTACGCCGAGCTTCCCAACTATGGCGCCGGCAGTTATAACAGTCAGCTCAAGAAGTTCATGGTTGACTATGGCACCACGAGCGGCGGCAAGGACGATGCTATCTCCAATGTTCAACGCGAGATTGACGATGTCAGGGGCATCATGACGCGCAACATTGAAGGTCTGTTGGAGCGTGGCGAGCGCATCGATCTTTTGGTTGACAAGACCGACCGCTTGGGTGGAAGCGCCCGCGAGTTCCGTGTGCGCAGCCGCGGTCTCAAGAGGAAGATGTGGTGGAAGAATGTCAAGCTAATGGCGCTCCTCGCGCTGGTTGTCATCCTGATCATCATGGCGATCGTGATCGCGGTCAAGAACTGAGGGTAGCGGGTGTGTGTGACGACGGGCGCAGATGATGGCTTGTATCGATGGTGTAGAGTTCTATTTCCAGATTGGGCAACGGTTTGAACGGCGAACGGGAACATTACTTTTTGGGAAGCAAAACAGGACGGCCTTAATTTCTTTGTTAACAACCTCAACGGGCATCGCCCTCAGCTACATATCCCTACAGTGGTCGCTTGTGGTTTTCAGAACCGCAGCCAAATATACATGACCTTTTCTTTATTGACCAAGTGCTGTTATGCCGCTGAAAGGATATCTGAATGCCGTGCCAGTGATACGTAATCAAGCTTGACGTGCCGATTAAGACCCAGAAGAAAAGTTATGGGACATTGCTTCGCTTTCTGTTGTGTGGGTTCGTCGACAGGGCTTCTGGTACCTTTGGCATCGTACTGAAACTGTCGAGACTGGGTCATTGAACAGCATTACGATGGCCGAAATCGTATCCAATTCCTGCTATGAAAACAATACCCATAGTCTCCCAAGATAAGCCGCGCCGCAGTAAGGTCGCGGAAACTGATATCGGTACACTTGCGACGCTACGGTCAATGGTATCAACCACTTATCCAGACACACACACAATTCAACATAGTCGCCTTCGTTCCATATGATAGTCCAAGATGCAACTCCCAAATCACCAACCAATAAACTCCTCTACAGTTCTCTATCCGTAGCCTCCCCAAACAAGTCATGTTAAGTTCCCTAGTTCTATGTTAAGCAAGTCCTGCCGCGCCACATTCCATAACTCACCAGATTCAGGGTGTGTTTCATCAATCAGACATATCGGTTCTTAAGAAAACACAGAATATTATCCATTGAGAAGCCATTTTGATGATCATAGCTTCGGCGCCATGGTCCCGTCAGCCCTCCGTCCGTCCTGATAGACGTAGCCATGCGCAACCGGGCTGAGTCCCATCCCAGGGTTCAGAACCATGGGCGGTCTCCGCAATCTTTCGGTAAAGAATACGGGATGCCTGACAGAAGCGTTCTGCTGCGCTGCCTCGGCTTGTCGTTCCCATGTGGCCTGGAGGTGAAGAGGCCTTGGAGGAGGCGGCAGCGTTGCGGTGTGATTCGTCATCGCTGTCGGTGCGGTGGCAGCGGTGGCGGCGTTGAGCATGTTCTGGGTCAGACAGTACCGGTTGTATATGACCGTGCTGGGCTCTTTCGAAGTTTTATCAATGATACAGAAATTTCATTGACAGGCCCTGTCGTCATTTTTGATGTTGCGGGGAAGCTTCCCCAACCCCCGGATCGACCGTGCGATGCTCGCTGAGAAAGCCGACGCTATAGGTTTGGTGGGGGCCCCGGATTTGGAGACAGCGTGAGTTGGAGCTGTGGTTGCAGCTGAGGTGAGAATGAGACGAGGCAATGTTGAATAGACATCACGCAGCCAGAGATAAGCAATTTTGCTCTTTAACTAGTCTATTGTTTTTTCTTCTTTAAACTTCGTATCTGGATCCTGGTACCCTCAGGTATCCTTTTTGGTCTTCTTCTTACCCTTTGATTTTTGGGCTTCCTTTCCCTTTTTGATGGCATCGACGAGAGACTCGACCTCTTTAGCCTTCTCCGCCTCTTTGGTTTCCTGGGATTTCTTTTCCTCTGCCTTCTTCTGCCTTGCCCTAGCAACTGCCTGCTCCTTTTCCGTCTTCTCAATCAGCTTGTCACTCTCCTCCCATAGCTTCTTGGCCATCTCCTCGTCGGTGACATCCAGACGCGCAAAGTCAACCTCGCGACATTCCTTGATTAGTCTACCGCTCGCGCCACGACCTAGTGCCGGTTCCATGGCGGCAAAGAGCAATGACTGCGCACCTTGATCGGGGCTCTTGAGAAACAACCACGGCACGAAATAGGCGGCGAGATAGACAAAAAGTCCCCACAGCGAGCCGCGCGTAAGCCAGCGCCGCGTTCCTGGCGTGCGGGTAAACCCAGGATCCACGAATATAACGCGGGAGTTCATTGGCAGTTGATCCGGTCGCTTGTAAGCGTCCAGGTGTTTCTGGAACGCCTTGCCAAATACCATCAATGCCAGCTTGCTCTGCCTGTATGCCGCACCGGGGGACCAGCCTTCTTTACTGAGAGCATCGTTAAGTGGCGGCGAGCCAATATATGAGGAGCATGTCGTGAAGATAATGCGGACGTCGCGGTCGAAGGGCTGTGCCTTGATGGCCGGGCTCAGGATTGAAAGGAGGTGGAAGTTGGCGAGGTAATTCACCATCCACGTTTCCTCAATGCCTTCAACCGTCAGCTTCCTCTTCTTACCGGGAGGCGTGATGGTCGCGGCGCAGAGAATAATCATGTCCAGCCTCCGCGGCGGGGAGTTGTCAATCCACTTTGTCGCAAACTTTCGGATGCTGTGTAGGGAAGAGAGGTCGACCTGCTCGGCGTAGATGAGCTCGTTTTTGGTTTGCGCACGCACATCACCAATGTATTCGACGAGAAAGGGGTCCGACACGGGGGTTTGTGTGAGCAGTACTACCTGTGCTCCGCGCCGCCCCAGCTCGAAGACCGCCCGGGCACCTATGCCGGACGTCCCGCCTGTTATCATTACCACCCTCCCGTGCATATTCCGCTCGGAGGAATTGCTCGAACCGGCAGTCCATAGCTTGATGATTGTGATGATAACGATCGTTGTGACTGTCTTGAGAATGAGCCACCAGTTATTGATAGCCCATGCTGGGGGCCCAACCTGGAAGAAGTAACCCAGATAGTCGATGAGCATGGCGTGTGAGTGAACGAGTGACCACGGTAGGAGTTGTATTTAGAGCTTGTCGTTCTCTACAGGTAGCAGTAGAGCATGCTGAGGGGTTCGGGAGGAAAGGACTTCGGGGGTTGATCTCGAGTTTGGCAATTCGCTAGCACAAGCTTCTTTGTGGAGGCTGTGACGAGGCCACCCAGCATTGTTTCTAGAAAAAGTGGAATTCCTAATGTGCCGTCAGAGGATGATCCAAACTGCGACAGGGGCAGGGCCGCAGTGCCGCAGGGCCGGCAGCGCTATTGGGCGTTCCCACGGCGCGCTAACTAGAGGCCAAAACTTGCAGGAAACAGAGGCCGCTGCGGGTATGCTGACATAATCTCCAACCCCTAGTGCTTTTGTGTGGAACGCCTCATCAACGATTCTCCATCAGCGCCCTCTCATCTCAATCCCCAGCATAATCAACTTTACTTCCAATCTGTGGAGAGCTATATATCTCCTGCACTCTCGTGTAAGAGTTATACAGAGTGATCGCCACTGAGATGCAGAGAGAAGATGATGTCGACAATGAATATGGCGACGACTACGACGTCCCGCTTCATCATAAGAGGCCCTTTGGCGCAGGCATCCAGCGCAAGCCCATCCAGTTCGTGAAAGCCACTGACCCAACACTCCATACCACCTCACCAGAGAAAACCACAAAATCCGGTTCATCTATAGGCGACTTCTATCTTAACCTGGTCCTCCCGGGCGAGAAGGGGTCTACAGAAGCACTGATCCTAGAGGCGAGAGTATGCGCCGTCTGCGACTTGCCACTCGAAAAAGAAGCCGTAGAAGAACTCAGTAAAGGGGACAGCGGAAGGAAGGACGCCACTGCTAGACAGAAACACGAGGCGTCCATCGCCCATCAAGTGTGCCTCACTCATTCGCATCCCCCATCTGCCCTAGACCGGTCACGGATGGGTTTGACGTACCTAACATCGCACGGCTGGGACCCTGATTCCCGGAAAGGCCTTGGTTCAACTGGTCAAGGAATGCAGTATCCCCTCAAGACAAAGCCAAAAGAAAACAACTTTGGCTTGGGACTGGAGGTCCCAAAGGAGCTGAAGGGCAGAGTTGAAAAAAAGAAGCCCCAAAAGTTGGATGCGAAACAGTGTCGGAAGAAGGCTGAAGATGACAAGAAGAAGGCTGAGAGGTTGCGACAGATGTTTTATGGCAGCGAAGACATGGATAGATATCTCGGAACCGGTTGATATTCAATGATACCCAATAGATATGCACTTTTTCTTCTATAACCTGAGGGAGAATCAATGGTTTGTGGTTATATCAATTGCCATTTTATTTGGTGTCGCACTGCATTATCACTCTTTTATGGTATTGAGTTACCGTAGCTCAAGATGCCGACTAACATTGTGTCGGTTTGCTCACACGTGTATACGTGAATATGAAAATAATGATCCACGATGAGACTCTGTACCTGACCTGAATGCATCAAACAATCTCGATTATCATAAATAACCCGTAAAAAAAACCATGTTCTATTAAACGATTGAGTTTGAAATATAGGTGACATGAGGGTTTTAAACAGGCCTGATTGGTTGCTGATAGGCCTGCACGAATGGGAATGATTTACGAACGAATGGTTTCGTCGTCAGCTGGTCTCAAAATAACAGACAAGCATGAGATTGGGAAAAGAACAAGGAGATGGGTAGCGAGCAGTTTTGAAACGCACAGGGGATTGTCGAGTACCCAAACAACCATCATCCATGCGATATTGAGAATATATCGTGCACCCAATGCTCAGAGGAGGAGGGGTTACAGGTTTGCCGGTTGTCGGTTCTTCAAAGGAACAATTGTAAGAAATGCAAAGGCGGTGACCTCATTCGTCCTGCAAATGGGGGCCGAAGGTGGGGGAACGCCGCTAGGAATAGGGAGCAGAAACCTTACGCAGACAGGAAAGACAAGCCAAGGATCCGGGACTGCATATGGGCACTTTAGCGAGGGGTCCTACCCAGCGGCCCCGCCAGTCCAGCGGCTACACACTCAATTTGAGGCTTGCAGCAACTGAGGAAAGTGGAAAGTAGCGGTGCGGTGCGGTGCGGTGCGGCGGTGGTGGAACTGCAGTCAGGTCACCTTATCATACCCAACCTTGCAGGCCCCCCCCGCTAACTCTGGCCGCCCAAGAATCCTGCGTACTTACCTCACCCACCACATTACACCACCTTCCCCTACCTTTCCTTACTACCCCCGAGCGGCATAGCATACCTTACCGGACCTTGCCTTGTAGTCTTCCCGCATGCTCAGACTCGTGGCCCGGAGCATTGAGAGTTCCACCGCTGTGACCGGTTCTCCCTCCATTTTGAAACCCCGCCAGACTAAAGGACATTTGCCGGCTGGACACCGCAGCACCTAGGACTCGTCTTCCAACGACACAGACACTCCACACGTCCTCTTCGGACAGAGACACCAACCCGCCCGGACTTCCATTCCTCTCTGGCCTCGAATCCCACTCAGCGACACCGCGCATTCCAACATCGCCCGCCACTTTGCTCGACGTCAACCTGCCTACCTCGGGCCCCAAACGGTGCATCGTACTCACTTCGTCACTCTGCACCGGGTGCCTCTGTGAATCGATCCGCCTCGTAGCGACTGCCACATCTCCTCTCCCGCACCGAGTCCATCGAGTCGCTGCCCACGCGGCCAGTCGCCACGATGGGTGTCTCCACGCTTCAGGAGCTCCATGATAGTAAGCTTCGTCCTGCTGTGGCCGTTATACCATAGCTCCTTGCGCTACAAATCTACAAGCTCGGGTCCAGAGGCTGACTGCTCGGCACAGTTATCATCGATACCATCAAGAATATCACACGAGGCGACGTGAGTTGCCCCTCCCCAGAACCCAACCTCTGACGAGTATGTGTTCAGCCCAAGCTAATGATACTGGCGCTTGTAGTGGAAAGTCCTGGTACTAGACGAAGATTCGAAGAAGGTTATAGACAATGTCATTAAGGAAGATGACATCCTCAACAATAACATCGCCAGTATGCCTCACTGATCGCCTACCCCGCTACCTTACGTCTCACCCTCCCTGACCACTCCCTACAGACATTGAGCGTATCGAACAGAAGAGGGACATGAACCCTGAGATGGACGCCATCTATATCTTGACGCCTAAAGAGAATATCGCTGAGATTCTCGTAAACGATTTCGAGCGACGAAGATACAAACAATCCTTCCTGGTGTGGACTGGTGTTTTGGAACCTCGAGTTCGACACATGATTGACAACTGCCCGCCTGCCAAACAACGTATCGCCGGCTTTGAGACTTTGTCTATTGATTTCTTCCCCCGCGAGTCGCACTTAATCACTTTCAGAGACCCTTGGAGTTTCCCAATCCTATACCACCCAAGCTGCAATAACCTGGTCGCACGTCACATGAAAATTCTAGCTCAAAAGGTAAGTTTTCCCCAGAACGAGAAGTTGTTTTCCTAGCTTACCATCGTTTTCAGATTACGGGTGTGTGCGTCACATTGGGCGAGTACCCGAAGGTTCGCTACTACAGGCCAAAGAATCCTCTGCACGAGGCTAGTGTTCTCTGCTCTCATCTTGCCCGTTTCGTTCAAGAAGAACTGGACGAGTATGCGCAGTGGAACCAAAACTTCCCCCCGCAAAGCTCGAGGCCTACGGGAACGCTCATCATTACCGACAGATCGATGGATTTGATGGCGCCACTTGTGCACGAGTTTACCTATCAGGCAATGGCTCACGACTTGCTGGATATTAAAGACGGCGACAAGGTGACGTATCACATGATCACCAACGAAGGAACACCCGAAGCAGAGGAGAAGGATATGGAATTGTCCGATAAAGACACAGTCTGGGTGGACAACCGACACAGGCACATGAAGGATACCATCGATAAACTCATGGGAGATTTCAGAAAGTTCTTGGAGGCTAACCCTCACTTCGTCAACGAGGAACAAGACACGACAAGTCTGAACGCCATTAGGGACATGTTGGCTGGGTTGCCGCAGTTCCAGGAGATGAAAGAGGCTTACTCACTCCATCTCAACATGGCCCAAGAAGCCATGAACATCTTTCAGCATCACAAGCTGCCAGACATTGCCTCTGTCGAGCAAAGTCTCGCGACAGGGCTGGACGAGGACTTTAAGAAGCCCAAAAACATACTGGACCAGGTTGTGCGACTCTTAGATGACGAGGCTGTCACACCAAGCGATCGTTTGCGGCTTGTTATGCTCTATGTGATGTACCGGGACGGCGTCATTATGGAGGATATCAACCGATTACTGGCCCACTCCGGGCTGCCTCAGAGAGATGGTGAGATCGTAGTAAACCTTGAGCTGCTGGGCGGACGCCCTGTCCACGGATTAAAAGACACCCGGCCCCCTCCACCACCTCTATTCACGAAGAACACAAAGCCCGCGGATGTCAGCGAAGAATACTCTCTATCTCGCTTCGAAACAGCGATGCAGACAATGTTGGAGGAGCTCTGCCGAGGCACCCTAGATCAGACAACGTTTCCCTACGTGAAGCCGCCCTTAGATCCCAACGAGGATCTTTTGGCCTCGCAACAGGGCTCACTCCGCGCAGGCAGGCCGAACTGGGCGGCAGCGGGACGTCGACCACCAGAAAACCGACAGCGCTTCCTCGTGTTCATGGCCGGTGGTGCGACATTCAGCGAGAGCAGAGCATGCTATGAAGTTTCCGCCCGCCAAGGCAAGGACATTTTCCTGGCGACAAGTCATATGCTTACCCCGCAACTCTTCGTCCGCCAAGTGGGCGATCTCACCAAGGACAAGCGCACGCTCGACATCCCCTTGGAGCGACCGACGCCCCGCGCTCCTGCATGGGTTTACGAACGCCCAGCTCCTCCGCCAAACCCCATGGCAAACCGCCCTGGAGCGGGTATGGCGCCTCCACAACAGCAAGGCTTGCCGGCGGGAGGCCGCAGACCACCCCCTGCTGGTGGCCTCCCCGGACGCCCTGTCGCGCCGCCGACAGCTCAGATGAGCAACATGAGCCTTAACAGCGGCGCGCCCGTACCTGACGGCGGCGCCTCCCCTGCGCCGTCAGACAGCGGAAAGCCGCACAAGTTGGAAAAGGACAAGAAGCGTCGTAACTTCTTGGGTATGAAGAAAAGCAGCAAGGACAAAAACTAAGCGGGCGACTGATATCCAACGACTTTTGACACGCCCTTTCACACCCTTCCGCGATATATGCGTGTAGTGTTTAGGACGCGCGAAGCCGAAGTAAACCACAAAAACATAAACACTCACCAACCCCCCTTATCCCCCTTCCTTCCTGGCAAGCGTGGCGTTCTTTGGTGTTGAAACTACCCGCCTTCATGTAGGAAGCGAAGCATACATCCGATAGATATTTCTTTTTTTTCGGAGGAGTATCAGGCTCACACTTTGCAAAATAGTGCTCGTTCTCGTCTTGGCATATCTCCCCCACCGGAAGTGGTGCTTGGTGGAGGGAGGACGGAGGACGGAGGACGGATGGAGAATGGTGTCGGTTTGGAGACAGGGACCAATTTTCTCTGCGAATTTTTCGTCCATGTAGGAGCCTAGGTTTATCAAATTAAAAATTCAACAAACAAAATACTGGTTGTAACATATACTAGCCTTTGTCTTTGTGCTCTGGGATTCACCTACTGGTGAGTTAATTAGTAGAAAAAGCGCTTTAGTGAAACAGACCTCAAGGAAGTAGTTAACAGTACTGTTATGGTCTGTTATTGACTAGAAGCAAAGATGTAGACAATCACGCACCAAGGCTAGCGAATCCTACGTCACGTCACAAATGAGGATGAAAAAGTAACAGTTTTGGAAGCGAGGGAACAAGACATCCATTTCATTTCATTCATGGCTACCATAGTAGATCCGACGCCCTATCTCAGCCTCCCCCGGAAGTTCATCAAACCGATTTTTTATTTTCTTCTCAGCTACTTCCTCCCTGAAGGTACCGTCAAAGTCATCGGTAGTACCAGGCTCTCGTCCAACCCTCCTTTCTGGTATTGTATTGTTTCGCAAGGATAACGTCGGCTCGCCAGTGCAGCAGACGTGAATACTTCCCGAGAGCAAAACTGTTGGACACAAAAACAAAAAGATTGTCCTCTCCAGTCCTTCTGGAAAGGCTGTGATTATAGAGGATTAGACATGGGGTGCTGTTTGAGCAAATCCGACAAGCAAGGCGTCGTTATATCGACATTTTCGTTGTGTTAATTCGAATCGTATCCTCTCAGGGACACATCCGAACAGTTATAGTAGAGACTCGAACAAGATGAGTGCAGCGTTTGATGTGCTGCGGCAGTGCGTCTTCGCGTAGAAGACTAAATCATTTCCATGTGTGGGAATTTACTGCCTCCGGAAAGCCTGAGCAGCACCAGGCGGAGGCATGCGTCCGTCAAACGGGAAGCCATGGCCCTCAGGCCCTGCAGGTCCAGGAAAGCCAGGCATACCGGGAGGGGGGATAAATCCGGGAGGAGGAGGGCCGCCGAAGAACCCTGGGGGAGGCGGCATGTTGCGAGGCGGAGGACTGGCCAGTGCTTCTGGGGGCGGGAATGCTCCAGGAGGGAAATTGGGCGGGAACATTCCACCCATAGGATGATTGCGACCCGGACCACCGGCAAGGCCGGGAGGCGGAATCATGGATCGTTGTTGAGGAGGCATAGGCCCGGGTCCGCCACCCTGCATCCAGTTGGGATTCATCTGGTCCAGACCGGGAGGTGGAGGGGCACGCTGAAGGATTTGTGTCGGCTGCATGCGGCCTTCAGGCTCGGGGTGATGGAATCCTTCGTCCATGAAGCCCGGGGGAGCCTGACCGCGCATCTGACGCTGGGAGCCGCGCCCGCCCTGAGGAAAGTCGGGCTCGCGCTCCTGAGCATGAGGAATTTGAGCAGCACGCTGAGGTTGCGGCATGCGCATCAAAAGCTGCTGTTCGGTGCGTGGGGGTTCGGGTTGAGCTCTCATAAGGTTCATCAAAAACTCGGTGTTACTGAGGTTGCGGCCTTGGTTCGGCTCCATTCTTCCAGAGCCTGAGCTAGAGGCCTGGTGACGTTGCCCAACGAGTTCCTGCAACAACTGGTCCTGGCGAGCAGCGGGCTGCTGGCTTGGCATCATGGGACGAGGAGCAAGAATGTCCGACATGGACATAGAGCCCTGAGGCATACGAGGACGAGCTTCCTCGCGACGATCGCCCCCGTACTGCTGGAATGGTTCGGGAGATGCCACAGAACTGGATGGGCCATGTTCGCGAGTAGGTGGAGGCGGTTCCTGGAAGGGTTGTGCGGCGGGAGGCGTCGAAGTAGACTGGATGTTGGAACGCTGCAACTTCATGAGCAATGCCTGGAAAGCTTCCTTCTCTGTATCCGGAGCTTGAGCTGGTGCACTTGGCCCTGCAAGGGGTGGGCCAGCAAGGGGCGTCGGGGGCTCAAACTGCATTCTACGGTTGGGATCATCCTGGGGAGCGTTGAAGAAAGAAGTGAAGCGCGAGGACTTGCCGCCACCGGCCTTGGGTTTGGCAGCAGGGGCTTCCTTCTTGGGCTCATTGGGGGAGCCTACTTCCAGACCGGCAGTAGAAGCGAACTTGAGGAAGAACTGGTCGGGGCCAATTTCCACAGCAGGAGCGGAAGCCACAGCTGGTTGTTCGGCCTTGATCGCGGCCTCGGCGACCGCTGTTGCCGCCTTGTCCTCGGCCGAAGGTGCGTTGCGGCTCGCCTTCATGCTTTCCATGAACTTCTTGAAGTCCTCCTCGGTATGACCACCAGCCTTTTCTCCAGCAGGTTCGTCAAGCCATTCGGGCTCCCGCTCGGCTCGGTGATCACCGCGCTCCCAGCGACGCTCATAGTTTCTGCCGCTAGGCTTCTCCTCAGCAGGTGCGGCATCCTTATCTCGATCTCTCCAACTCTTGGCTCGGTCAATGCGTTCGCGAGCCGTCATGGGAGGCTTCTCGGTGTTTTCGTTCTTGAACCAAGGCTCTGACTTGCCCCTGTTAAGACCATTTCGGGGTCTTGGCTCAGCCTCCTCGTGGTCCTTATCCTTGTCATGATGGTCAAAGTTGCGATGAGGTCGCTCGCGGTTGGCCTCAGCGTCACGGTCACGAGTTCGCCTTTCGTTGGGGAGCCTATCGCCGCCGCCGGCGCCCATGCGACCATGAAAACGCTCAGCGCCCTCATGACCGAAGCTCTTGCGCGGCTTCACCGTGCTCCACCCTTCATTGTCTTGATCATTGTCACCGCGGCGACGGAAGTTGCTGTTCCTTGAATCGCGGAATCGCTCACCCTCGGGGGTGTCACCATTGCGGTTACGGAGATTAAAGCGGTTCGGGGAATCAGCGTTTTTGAGGTCTTTATCGTTCTCAAAGGGCTTGCCAGCATTGTTTCGCAGGGTTGCGGAAGCAAAAGCGGTTCGAGGAGGTCCAAGGACAATATCCTCAGGGTCTGTGATTGAATCTCAAGTCAGTAGCTGCAACGGGGGGGAAAAACAAGAAAGATAAAATCGCTGATGGAAAGGATAATGCAGAAGAGAGAGCAGACATACTTGCGCTGTTTCGCGAAGCGTGGCGGTCGACACCAGGGCGGCGATTCGTCTGGTCGAGGAGGGGGTTGTCGTGGCTTCTTCTGTCGGCAGGGGTCTTGGGGTTGTTGTTACTGTTGTTGTTATTGTTCTGAGGGCGAGTATTGTCGGGAGGCGGTCTATTTTGGAGTTAGAACAGGAGCTAGGCGAGTGATATCTTGTTGTAGCAACATACCCCATCCAATCCTCTGCGGGTGGCAGATTGGGCGGTTTGATACACAGTGGTGATTCGCGCAGGTGAATAAGAAACTCTGCGGTATATTGGAGTGCCATCGCGATGTGATGATACGAGGCGCATCCAACAAGGGCTGGAGGTTGTATTGATGCTAGGCCAAGGGCAATGATGTTTGCATGGACAGACCAAGCAGCGGTTACGGTCCACCGAGTGAAAGGGAGTTGCGCAAAAAAGTTGTTTACACCAGTCGGGTGAAGGAGATGGAGGGATGATTCTTATTTGTCGGTGGGGTTAAGGCAGGTGTAGGTTGAGGTTGTACGTTTGTTAGGTAAGAAGGCAGGAGTGAAGTAGTGGTGGTGGTAATGATGGTGGTAGTGTCGAGGATGGTGTCAAGTCAGTCGTCAGTCGTCAGAGCAGTAGTGAGTCCAGTCCGGTCCAGTCCAGTCAGTGGAGGAGGATGGAGGCCGAATGGGCTCCAATCGGGCTGCGCTGCAGGGGGCGGAAGACGTCGTGTTGCAGTGGGCCGTCAATCGAGGCTGACAAGACGAAGAAGAAAGGGCGATATGAGGTCTTTGCAGCTGTAGTGATGTAGTACAGAATCGGTGGTCAAGAGTATTACGATGGAGGGTGGCTTTTGGTAACGAACTGTCAAGGCGTGTTGAGATGGTGGTCAAAGGAGGTTTTGGCACTTCGGACGAAACTTGGTGGAGGAGTTGCTCAGGTGCTCAGGCGCAGGTAGGCAGGCAGGTGCAGTTGCAGGTGTGTGCAGGCAGGAAGGTGCAGCCAGCAGTGGGAAGCTGCCATCCACTGCACCCTACCCTCCTTCCCTGGGCCATACCGTAGTATTCCCCCCAGCTCAAGTTGACTGCGTGGCAGGCAAGGTCCAGTCGGTAGTGCGCTAAAAGGGCAGGGGGTTACGTACCGCCGCTCACCTACCTCACCTTACCTGACCTTACCCTTACCTTATTATTTGTGCCACCAATAACTGCATATACCTGCCCTTGGCTTCCACCTCATCTGTGCTCTCTTTCCCCCTGCCATACTTTCACACCACGGCCCTAGAAAAGGCTGAACAATTAGCCGTAGCGGTCTGCACTGTGAGCTTGCAGTCCGTTTTTGCCATGTTAATTTGGCTCACCTCGGCCATTCCTTGTGGCTTAGGTAACCGCAACTCGCCCTAACCCATGCCAGGCTGCAACAGCTCAGGTGACAGCATATTCCACAGTGGTCGCGGATCCACGTTGCCTAGGGCAGAAGGTTCCAGTGAAAAACTTCAGTGGGGGGGGTTTTTTGGGGGGTCTTTTAGGGAGCCCGGACCAAGTGGCAGGTAGGCCACCCGCCACTCGACCTGTGCTGACGGATGGTTGGAGGGGGGTTCACTATCGTCATCGTGTCCCACAATTTGCCTCTTGGGGCTTAACCCACCCGCCAAATGTCGCTTAGCGTCACATGTTTGAATCAGTGTGAACATGGAACCTCCTTTCTCAACATCGAGGATATCTCCATACCCTCTTTTGTGCACGTTATTCAGCCAGCTTTGCGGTATTGCCTCAATTCCGTCTCTCCCCGTAGGATTGTGTGAGGTGTTAGAAATCCGATGTCTCTATGCATCGAATTTGTCATGGCTGGCCTTCCTGATCCATTTTACCGCGTCTACTCACCGGTAACTGAAACGGCACCTCTAGGGAAACTCACAGAGAGAAAAGAAGACAGCCATACGTAGCTCCAGATATTATTTCCTTTTCCCTACGCACTTTCATGCTCCCCTAATCTAGTTAGTTAATTGCAATATCCTCCGGACTAAGTCAGGATCGGGGCTGGTTCTTTTCAAATTCAGCATGGATAATATATCCCTTTGATTTGTTTTCTTGCTCTACAATTCCTTTACAAACGCTTCCTGGGCTTAAGCAAGTGACCATTGAACAGCCCCCGATGACATCTCTGACGTCTCCATCACTTTAATGAAGCTTGTTCGAAGTCAAGCCACTTCGAGACAAAGCCCACTTCGACAACTCATCTCCATACCAGGAATTCATGCAAGGGAGATGGGAAACCTGCACTCAAAAACAGATTGTATGAAATCTACATGGACCACATGGCATGAAGAGATAATACATCACCCGAAAGCTCGCTGTTTGTTTGAGAGAATATTAATGAGCGGAGCATTATCGACAAAAGGCTCGTCATCTTGCCCACTCACCGTTGAACCGACCAGCTCCAGGTGCTAAGGAGCTGGTCCCGATGGCTTTACGAAACACTTGTTCTTTACATCAGGTTATCTCTGCAACCTACCGAGCCCACGTGTTCTCAACTGCGCCAGTTTAGGGCACATGTAATGACTTCAAATTATGACCATTTGTCCTACGTTCATGAGCTACAATTTTACAACATATCCTGAAACAAATCGATTTCAGCATGATGGAACATTATCATAAGGAGCTGCCACAGCACAAGCTCAGAACAACCTCACAACGTGGATATTACCAATCACTGCAACCGCCAGCGGGAATATTTCTGCGGACGTCTCGACTTACATGATGTGAACGAGGCAGAAAAGCATTTGCCTAGTTGTCTCGACATCACTTAACAGATGTGTTGTTCTCCGCAACGTAAAATCATCAGTGTGCACACAGCACCTCACGTATACAATGATCAACCAATTCCGCCAACACGTGTAACAGACAGCGACAGGTTTTACCCATAATATTCATTTTGATATCTTTTCCCAACCATCTATTTTAATACATTATCCTCATCGGCAATATAAAGTGTTCCTTAAGCCTCTACCGCCAGTGGAATCCCTCCACGACTCCACTCGGCAACCCTTTGCTGATCGCAAGTCTCCCAAACCCTCCTCCTGAGCGCGCGGTACAGCTTCCTGGTTTCCTCGTCACCGCTCTGCGCGAACCGGGCCTCCTGCGCCTCGAGCCAGCTCACTATCCCGAATCTCGTAGCGAGCGTCGTGCTGCCTCCCTCGATACACGTGGCCCTGTACAAAATCCGCAGGATCCTAGTCCGGAGATTTGCGCGCATGTACGGGTTCCCAGCCAGCGCGAAGATCTTCTCAAACCACTTCTTCTGGTGGAAAACTGCGAGGTCTGAAGGATTGCGCAGGCCGTCTAGGAGATAGGCGAGGAGCCAGCTGACCTCGGTGTAGTACCGGTCATCGTCCGACGGCGCACCGTGCAGGATATCATGCGCCAAGGGCACCTTGTCCTGCTGCCATACTGGGCCGCGGGTGAGGAAGGTGTTGACCTTGGCGTAGAGGCAGTGTAGCGGATTCTTGAGCACCTCCAAGGCGCTGATGGCGAACGACACAAGGGGAGAGGCGACGGGTCCGCGGGTGACAAGGATACGGGACGACTCCGCCAGTTCTGACAGCATAAGCCAGATCTGCTCCTTCTCCTCGTACGACGACTCCTTGAACTTGGCCGCCATCTTCAGGATATTGGTCAACGCTTCCTGACGAATGCTAGCGTGCTCAGACCACAAAAGGCGAATGAGAGCCACGGCGTGGCCCTCATCGATGAGGTCTTCCACGCTCTTGGAGTTCCATTTCAAAAGCGCCGAGTTGTCTTCGTCGAGAGCATAGGGAACGTCCAGGATTGCCTCGAGAGAGGACGCGTCCAGCTCCCCGCTAGTAACCTTCTGCCCCTCTGACTTGTGCGCCAGGTCCTCGGTGGTATCTGCCTCTTCTGAGGCATCATCAAGTGTGCTGTCTGCGTTGGGAATGACTGCCGGTGCGCGACCTGAGAGAACTCCCGTCATCTTTTCGGCCAGAGCGTCAACCGCCGCCGGGGTCTCCCCTTTCGTCTTGGCGCAGCTAAGGATAACCGTGAGAAACTTGGATAGCAGCTCCAATTCCTTCTTGTTCGTCGTCTTGTCAGCCACAAACGGAAGCTGTTCAACCATCGCCGCCAAGATTAAGCTCGCAGAAACATCATCCTGACTTTGAGACCGGCTATCAACGCTCTCCTGCATCAGGTCCAAGTATTTTAGTGGTGAGGCAGCGCATCTTCCCGCACAGTTGTCTAGGTATCCCCAGAGAAAATCGAGATTCGTCAGCTTGCCTCTCTTCTTCAAGTCCTTCACTGCGCGGAAGAGCGGTGTAAGGCCAGTAGCCTGCAAGACAAGCTGATGCTGCACGGCCACGGACTCCAGTACCTCCTTCAACTTCTTCCCACCCTGCGCATTTTCGACGTAAAACTTGAGCAACGCAACGAATGGCGACGCCGCCAGTCCTTCTGCCTTGGCGAACCACCTCATGCCGGGAGAGTACCCTGCGATTGCAATCAAATTCTCCAGCTCCATCAGTGCGATGGCTTGGTTCTGCGGCTCCTCGCTTCTGCTGTCCAGGCGGTTGAGCGAGTTCACCAAAAACGGGGAAACGTCGAAGTTAGCCCTGAGCGCAACCTGGGGGATGACCTCGTAGTACAGCAAAAGTAGCCTACTTGCAGCCTCTCTCTGCAGAACGTTCTCCTCGGCCATGGCCTTGTAACACTTGGTGATTTCTTTCATGTCGGGGATTTTTTGGCAGAACTCGTCAATAAGCTTACGCGAGGCCGTGTTCCACGTTGACTTGGAAGACTCGGCGGCCTCGCGGTGCATTTTGAGCGCGACTTGCAGCTTCTGGAGCGCCAGGACGAGGATGCGGATGGCGAAAAAGGAAATGAGGGTCGACTTGTTCGAAAGGCAGCGGACGAGATCACGCTGCTTTAGGGGGAGAGGCAGGACATTGTCGAGGAGGATCGAGGTCGGCGGGGGCACGCGGCGGTAGCCCGCTGTCGGGCCAAAGTGCGGCGGTAGAGGCAGGTTTACCGTGTTGAATAAGAAAGCTGCGTAGCCGATCCACGTCATGGAAAGCTTCGGCTCGAACGTGAATGACTTGTTGTTGAGGAAGTAGCTCGCAACCAACTCCGGCGCCGCCTGGAAGATGGCGACAATGAGCTCGCTGTGTTTCAAACTAGACCACGGGCGAAGTTTTTGAATGAACTCGGACAGAACAAAGTTTGCGACAGCGATCTCGTCCTTGTACTTGTCCATCCATGCAACGCGCTCCAGACCCAAATCGTCCAGACTCTTTACATCCTGAGCCGCCTCATCCTCAAGCTCCTTGGGATACAGCCCCGTACCAGAATACAGAACACCAGCCCCCGGGGAAGTGCACGTGTAAACCAGAAATTCGTGGACCGACTCTCTAACAGATGGCTTGTCATCCCCCTCGACATCGTGCCTGTAAGCGTACAGGCCGGCCAAACGGTCCAAAGTCTTGGTGTTGAACGCTCTGAACTTGACCTCGCGAGGCACCTTGTCGTCCAACAGGACATACTTCTTCAGCGCACCCAGCATCTCAAGGATCAAGAACGGCGGGTCGTCCTTCAACAAGAACGTAAGATGTGAAAACACCTCCTTGAGCATTAGCAGCTCCTTTTTCGCCTCGGCAGGCAAGAACTTGAGGCAGCTCAAAAACAGCTTAATCGCATTCGTCCGCACGGAAGGCTTCGATGGATCCTCCAAACCCTCGCTCAAATGGCGAATCTCCAAGTTCCGCGCAAAGCTCGCAAACGTAGAATCTCTGGCCCTGAACACCCTCTTCGCGAGCGTGCCGCCGTCAAGCGTCACGATCTCACGCAGCAACCTCAGGGTGGGCGAAATGATGTATCCACTGCCTTTCGGCGCCGAGAGGTTCCTCGAAATCAGCTTAAGCTGACGCTCCTGCAGCAACGTCCGGGCCACGTCCATCGCGTGCGGAAGAAGCTCCAAGGATTGAGAAACGACCTGCAGAAGCAGAGCCAGCACGGCAGGAACAGCGGACATGATAGCCTCGTTGTGGGCCTGCGCGCCAAACGACCAAATCTCCATCACGTCGGCAAGGTAGACGGCATCTTCGCTCGTGTCGCGGGGGCGCGCAGCATCGAGGTACTCCTTGAGCAGGGCGAACCGATCCTTGTTGTTGCCATCGTCGGAGCTGAAGCCGTCGAGAAAGACTTTGAGGGATTGAATAGCTGCACATTGCACGTTCAAGTCAGCAATCGTACTTTGATCCTACTTGCGAAAAGCAATCGCTCTTACCATGCCTCGCTCGCTTCTGGTCCTGGTCAAAGGTCAAAAGCTGGTGCAGCTGCCGCGCAGTGTTGACCTCCTCGAATGTCGGGGCTTCGTGGACGACCTTTTGCCTCTTTCGCGACGGATCGCCTTCGAATCCACGCGACACTCGTTTAGGCATTTTGTCGGTGTCCGAGAAATTGGTCGCGGTGGTTGTAGAGGGCGATCTCTCTACCTTCACTGGGACTTTCTCTTCCACCAATTGACCGACCAGTGGAGACCCTTCAGAAATAAAAAGTTCTGCCTGGTTCGACCGCTCTTCTAGCCGACTGTAAACGGCTTAGCGCGGGGATCGTTGCAGCGGGGCGGTGGGCCCGTAATGACATTTCGCCGCGCCCATGGCAGCGACAGCTTAAATCTTAGATAGAAACACCATCTCTGCCTGCATCGCGAACACGACCAAGAAAAAGAAGAAGAAACCCCTCAAGACATCCACACAACGCAGGCTTTCCTTGCCTAGTAAAAGACTACAAGATATATAAAAGATCACTTACGCGAATCAAGTTCAAATCTCGACATTTTGAAAGCGCCACTTCTTCCCATCGACCCAAACCATCATGGGCTCCATCGTCATCCCCCACCTCAACAGCGGCTGGCACGTTGACCAGGCCATTCTGTCCGAAGAAGAGCGCCTCGTCGTAATCAGATTCGGAAGAGACTATGACCCCGATTGTATGCGCCAGGATGAGGTCCTCTACCGCATCTCCGACCGTGTCAAGAACTTCGCGTCAATCTACGTCTGCGACATTGACCAGGTCCCCGACTTTAACCAGATGTACGAACTCTACGACCCCTGCACGATCATGTTCTTCTTCCGCAATAAACACATGATGGTGGATTTCGGCACGGGTAACAACAACAAACTCAACTGGGTTCTCGAGGACAAACAGGAGCTTATCGACATTATCGAGACCGTCTACCGTGGCGCGAAAAAGGGCCGCGGTCTTGTGGTCAGTCCCAAGGACTACTCCACTCGGCATCGATACTAGACACTCTGGTCAGACGCCGACACTGGACAGGCGGTTTTACGTTTGCTCTTTATTCGATGGCATTGAAGGAAAGATATCCCCCGGAAAGATTAGGGTTGGTCTCACAAATCCAGAATTATTACCTTGAACCAGAAGATGCTAATGCCATGATACCGAAGAATTGTGAACTTTCTTTTCTTTTTTCATTATTAGGTATGGTACGCCCCTTCGCCCCTCTCTATTCATCATTTGTCGTGATATGAAGATACATAAGTCGTTTAGATGCCTCGCACTCCATGTCCAACGTAGTAAATATCCGCTTCTCTATGCTCTTACATCGACCGTCTGTCCCCCTTTCTCTTCATCTACAAGGTGGCGCACTTGCTCGCATGGGTGTTAATCCAATACTTGAATCTTGTCTGCAAAAGGCTCATCTTTACAACATCTCCCCCTGAGCCGGCATCTTTGTTAAATAAGTAGTTGGTACTTTCGGAACTGCCTGTGCCGCAGCGGCTCGCTCTGCTCGGAACAGTTCCTGTTGTCGGTCGCTTTCGCGCGATCTGCCTCCGGTCAAACGGCGCATCCTCGACCTCGTGCTTTGTGCAAGCGGTTTGATCATGTTTTCCAAGGAAAACGATCCCTCGCCGCCGTGACCTGTGTTCGGTCGCTCGTCGTCCGCGTCCGAGAAAACGTCTTCGGGAAACTCGTCGTCCGACGTGAACTCGCTAATGTGCGGCTGGTACGACGCCGGAGCGGACGGGGACGTGATTGATCTCGAGTGCAGGCCAGGTCGCTGTCCACCGCCCGCCATTAACCCCGCCGACGCGCTAAAGGCTCCAGGATTCATCGTGTTGGAACTCGGATCCCTTGCCGTCGCTGGTGGCCTGTCAGTAAACCCATTCTGGAACGTGCTGTTGTTGGAAGCCTGATGCAGGATTGGCAGGATTTGCTCATCATACAACTGCGCTCCGGACTCGAAACTGTCCGGCGAAAACTCTGTAATCGTCTTCGATGAGCGGCCGTCACTTGGTGGGCTCGTTCCAAGGTCGTCGAAGAAGTCGTCGAGGCTGTCCAGCTTCGTAACGAGGTCGCCGAGGTGTCCGTCGACGCGACCTTCGTCCGACAACATCGTCTCGGTCCGATCGGGCATCTGGAAGTAGCTGTATGGAAAGTCGTCGTTGTGGAACTCAACATCGGGCGTCGGCGTCGCTTCCGTCATAATTCCTTCTGCGGTCTGGCACATGTAGAACGCTGCGTGGATGTTCGCTCGCGTCGAGTCGGTTTTCTTAGCTGGCACTGGAATGGCCCAGCCGGATGCCTCCGGGATGCCGAACAGACTCTGGATACGCTCGTACTCCTTGCGAATGGTCTTGGACGTGGATCGTGTCATGCTCATCCTGAGATGTTGCTTGTCCATGGCGCTGCCCGACATGGTCATAATGTTGTCAAGAACCTCCAGTGCCTCCATGCAGAACTCAGTCTGCAGAAGACGCAACAAGGGCGAGATGAGGTCCGAACCATGGCCGGCTAGCTCAGGCTTGCGCATGTCAATTTCGGGTATGACAATGCTGAGGATGTTCATCGTCTTAAGCTTCACCCACGCTGTCGAGTTGGTGAGCAAGCCCATCAAGAAAATGACCATTTTGAAGTCCAATTTGGGGAGGAAGTGGTCCTTCAAAGCCCCGAAAAGACGACTCAGGAACTCTCTACCGTTGCCTTGATATTTAAAAGCAACATATTCCTCGAGGACGACAGCAATGTTGCCAAGCCCTTGAGCTTCGGCAACGGCGCAAAGAATCTCGGCAGAGTGCAATACTGGTTCGCTTGGCTCATCCTGCTCCATTTCGTGTAAGAAACGGGGGAAGTTGGCCAGGATGGCAAAGAACACCCTGCTGTCGTCTCCGATAAGACCATCGCTTGGCAGTTGAACCACCTTATCGAGTGTATCCAACGTGGCTTCCATGCACATCGATGACCTTAGGCCTTTATAGAGAAGAGACTGAAGGCCTTCGAACTGGCCATCCCATCGCGAAGGCTGGCCGTCAAGGAGAAGGCGACGGACATTGGGTGACCTGAAGTCGACCTTGGTGAGGAACTCGTTAAGCATCTCCACCGCCTCCAAAAACTCGCGCTCGTTGATGGACTCCAGGCAGGCGCATGTGGTCCAGAACAACTGGGGGAAAGTAAGCAGCTTATCAGCGTCGAGCTTGAGGATAAGGGTTTTGAGCGTAGTAAGAATCTCCATGGCGAAAGTTTGAATTTCGGTGTCTTCGTCGGCAATGGTATTTGACAGGCGGGCAAGCATGTCGCCGAGCATGAACTGGTCCAAGGAAGTGAGGATGCATCGGAAAATCTGGAACGAGCGACAAGCAAGGTGTCTGACTGGACACGACGTTGCCCAGGTTAATGAGAGTCTACCCCATTGGTCCTTGATGCCAGGGTAAGTCATCTCGAACGTCTTAACGACCTCAGCCGTCAGGAACTCCATGCTCGGAGGAACCTTGTTGTCCTGGTCATCAGCCTTTCCATTGCTGTCCTCATAGCCCCAGACAACTGAACGATCATGTCGACGGATCAAATCGATCAGATCCTCTATCGATGCTCTGGCCGTTGGCGGGGTCTGGTCATCCAGTTGGGAAATGACGAGCTCGTGGATGAGATGAACCAGCATTTCACGGGCCTGCTCCTGTACAAGAGGTGTGTAGTGGTCCCATAGAACGGTGACCACCTGGAGGAGCACTGGTACATTCTCTGGTGTCAAATGAACCGGCGACACCATTAGGTCCACTAGAAGGATGAGTGACAGCTGTCCCAGGGAGAACCCAGCCTGTTTTGTACCGACGGGAAGGGCTTCTCCCAGGTCAGCGCAATATGGCAAAAGACCAATGTCTGGAGGTGGCGGCATAGCGTCCTTCTTCTCATTTGGAACCATAGCCTTAGGGGTGATCTGCATGAGAAGAAACTCGACAACCTTCATTCCAGGTGTGCTGGTGGTGCTGGAAAGGAAGACAACGATCTGCTTGGCGTACTCGACAAAGTTTTGCTCCCGGCGCTCGAGACAAAGCGAGATGATGAAATCGAGAATGAGCCGGACGTTTCCTGGATATGGGCCAGTTGCGAGGGCTTGCCACAACGCTTGAACCTCATTGTGCAGCGAGCCACTAGACTTAATGGTAATCTCCAACAGGTTGGCCAAAAGGACATAAGATTGAGCAATTGGTCCACCGTTGGGGTCGACCTTCAGCTCTATTGACTGAATCCAGGGCAGGATAACAGCAATGACGTTACGTTGCGAGGCCGGCTGAAGGTCTTTGAAGTAAAGCGTAAATTCAGAGAAGATGTGGAACGCCAATTCGGTGTGCTGCTTAGCTAGCCTCTTGGAGATCTCGAACTGGGCAAGCTTGTAGACGGCCTTTGTCTTGTCAGAGATACTGATGTCGTAATCTTGGATCTTGGATGTGCGTCCCGGTTGTTGTCGTTCCTCTAATGCTCTCAGAACACGAGCAGACTTGGAACGAATTTCGCTTTCGTCGTTGCCAAGAGTAAAGAGGCAGAGACCGAGCAGCTTCCAGAAAGGACACGAATAGTCCAGATGTTCCAGTAGCACCTGAGTAACCACTGCGAAGTAGCTTTCTTGAACCTTGGGAACGTCGGAGAGGTAGCAACGAGCTATACAGTGCTCCAGAAGGTAAGGGTATTCCTGGTTGTGGACAATTAGGTTCTGCAGCGCTCGCCGTCCGATGACGTTCATTCGGTCGCTTCCCGAGTTAAATATGGCCTCAATCCATGCAAGCATTCTCCGGATATCAAACTGCAGTGTTGCGCCGCTCTCGGTAGTGATACTCATGGGCCCGCCACATAATGCTGCCATAGCACTAAGTGCTGCTGTGCGAAGATTGCGTTTCTCGATTTCCATGGCGGCCGTGACTGTGCCTCTCTCCCCCAATGATTGCTGGTCAATGAGGGACTGCCTCATCGTGTCCTCGCGAACCCGGATTTGGGTCTGATTAGGTGAGAAGCCACACCAGTCTTCCATCAAGGAGAATGCCGATTTCCTGGACTCAAAAGTCATCCAGCGGGAAGGATCTTTGGTTCTGTTGATCCCTTCAAAGAGCTCCTCCATCAAACCGCAGTAGTGCCGCCTCAGTTTCTGAAACTCCCAGTCCATCTGGACTTCGCCATCCATAAGGAAGAGTTTCAGATCCCTAGTATACGTGACTAGATTGGTGAGCACCCACTCGTCGTTATAGACTTCTTCTTCTTTGAGGAAGTGGCATGTCAGTTTGTATACATGGGTAATCTCAGTCCTGAGCAGGTCCATCTTGCGGTTGCGTCTCGGGCTGCTGTTGGTGCGCTGATGAATGCGGGCACGAGCTTCGTCGTTGCAGCGTGAAACTTGACCAGCCAACTCTTCCAAAAGCGTGCGGTAGATGTGTATGTTGATAGAACCCATGGCCAGGACGACTGCGTCTCTGACAGACGCAGAAGAGACGGACAAGAGGGGGATCAGATACTTAAACAGGACCCGAGCGGAGACAATTTTATCTGCCGACGTAGGCTTCGAGGTCTTTCGGCTATGCTGTGCCCCTTGAGGGTTGGCGGGCACAACAGCCCCTGGATCGGCCAAGGTCGTACAGGCAAAAATGAGGTAAAGCTTCCACTGTTCCACAAGGATCTCTGGCTGAGTCGTGGGTGTCCTGCCAGTAACGCGGGCGCTCCCGGGATCGGATCCGTAATATAGACCTCTGGAAGGCTCCGACAGAAGTACAATAGCCTTGTACATCTGCAGAATCCGGTTGCAGATCAAGTCTCGTCCAATGGTGACCGTGAAAGGACACTTCTCGTACGCAATGCGGATAAGGTTAGGGAAGAGCTTGAACCAAAGCGTGGTGTCGTATGACACATCACTAGTGCAGAGTTCCACGAGAGCTCCTCCATTGTTGCTGTTCTGAATCCCTCTCTGCAACCTGCTCCTCTCGGCAACCGACAGGCCCTCGTCTTTGAAGTTCATAACCTGCATGGAGTCGTTCTCGAGGATATCAATGACTCTAAGCGTATCTTTATCCTGATTCTGTAGTGCCTTGTCGAAATCGGTAATGAGCCGGAGTACAGTGATGGCAAAGTATCTTACTCTGCGAGACTGCGAGCATAGGAAAAATAAACCATGAGCTTCTGCCTGGTCTACCTCTGCCCAGATACCAGACAGGTCAAGCTTGGCCCCGCGCTTGTCGCTTGGCTCGAGCTGGTCAAGTGAAGCATCACGCGTTTTCCGCTGAATTTCCTCGATCCAAATCTGCAGCAGCTCAACGTATAAGCGGAGTGTGCTTTCTATGTGACCGGGGCCGAGCATCCCCCCATCGGACATGGTAGAATATCGGTCATCAAAGTTGAAGATGAATCGAGCAAAACCCATCGTGACCTGTTGTGCGTGAGCTTGCCTAGCAATGGCTTTGAGTGACTGCGCTGAAGAAAAGGCGACATTGGATTGTACATGAGCAGTTCCGGTACAGAGAAGGTTGATTAGTGAGTTGAAGGGTATATCGACAGAGAGACAACGGGGTAACGCTTGAACGGCAACGTGCAATAACTCGTAGAACGCCTGTTTTTGATCTGCGGGAGACTGATGGTCGTCTCTCCGCGAAAAGTTGAATGTATCCGCAATTGGGGTTTTAGGGCCCGGGCTGTTGAACTTTTCATCCAACACGGCCTGTCCTCCAAAGGTATTGTCACAAATGATTGTGATCTTGCCGAGGATTTCACAGAACTTGTGATAGTACTCTCTCACAATGTCGCTGAGGGCGGCTATCCGCACAGGGTGCGAGAGATGCTCGCCTTCACCAGTGGCCATGGAAGTTCCAAGTGCAGCATGATGCGGCGAGGTCATCACAGGGGACGTGGGCACGCGTTCCGGTGGCGGTGGCGGTGGGAAAGCCACGGGGAAAGGGGGCCGCCCCTGATCTCCCTTCTCGAGGTCGGACATGATGGCAAGGAAAGCTCGGATTCCAATGACCATTCGATCAGGGTCGAGTTGTTCCACCTTGAGCTCCTTGTTGGTTACGAACACCTCGGCATTAATAAGAGGAAAAATGACGTGCTTGAAACAGTACTCGGGCTGCTTGTATCCGATGATCCTGATGATCTGAATGATGGGTTCGGACACGGCTGAATCGGCGGCAATCAGACTGCGCTTGGTTGGGGGTAATACCAGCTTCATAACCTCGTCAAGCTTCCTCGTTGCGTTCGGCAGAGAGTCGCTTGTACGATAGAGGTATGTCCACAACAGTCGTGCAATCACCTGAAGACACAGGGGACGGGTAAAACGATCCTTCAGTTTCGGTTGGAGCGGCAGGATCAGTTGAAGCCATTGGGAGCCGAAAGTCTCGGGCGTAGACACGCAAAGCATCGTTGCTGTTAGGGGGAACGCGAAACCCCAGTGCCGGGGCTTAATGAACATCTGGGCTAGTCGAGGACCGATGCCACCGAGCACTTCAATCCATTTTGGATGAGCCAAATCCTGGTTTGTGGCCTTGGAAGCGACGGAGAGTAGAAGCGCTTCGAGCACCTGGCAAAATGCCGTCTTGACACGCTGGCCGTGAGAACGATGAAACAGGCGCCCAATAGCTACTAGGAAGTCGCACGATTGTTCCCAGGCTTCTTGGGGCACCATATTAACCTTGAGGTGCTTCATGCCGCCGAGAACGAGCTCGATCTTACCCTCGGCGTCGCGGCCAGCCGGAGAGGTTGGGCTTTTGACGACCAGTTCTTGGAGAGTGCGCTCGAGATCGCCGAGGAACCTGTCCGTGACTCCCTTGAAGTTGATCTCGCTCATGACACCGAGGAGCTGGGCAAAAAGGTTCCAGTTTGCAAGTTTCAGGGGGCTGACCATCAGCTGCTCGGTATCGGCGATTTTAAGCTGGCCAAATATGATGCCCTCCAATTTCTCCTCCATTTCCAAAGTTAGGAATGGCAGGCTTGTCTGACTGATGACTTCCAGCAGAACCCGGCAAAGAATGTAAATAGAGACAGTCGAGCGACGTTCTGCGTGTGCAACGAATTCTTGTTTGGCAGCCAGGGACGTTTGAGGGCTCGTTAGACCATTGTCTACCTGCCCACCACCAGATAGGGGCTGGAGAGGCTCGGTGTTCCTGCGCTGAAGCGGCCCAGGGGCGGCACCTCTTGACTGTTGTAACTGACTTCGCGCTTCGTTTGCCGCATCGCTCTTGCTTTTCCTCCAAAGCATCATGGAGTCTATAAGAGGTTTCGGTCGCGGCCGGGCAATATGGCCCAAAGCAGTAATGATCTGGTCAAAGGAGGGGTCGACTCCGGGGCCGCAGATCTGCTCGACCTGCGGCTCCGGCTCGAAGGGGACTGTGATACAGTCATTGAGCTTTTCCTCGGCCTGGGCAATGAACTAAAAAGGGGTTAATCAGTGGACTGCTGTACGAGAAGGCTGGCGCAGGGAACATACGGATGTGAAGAGCACATGCAGAGCATATTCCCCAACAGTCTTCTGCTCGTCCTTGTGGTGCCTGGAGGAATGGGAGTGGTGGTGTGCGTGGTCGCGTCTCGACTTGCTATGCATTCGTTCAATCTTCCTCTGGGTGGTGGAGGAAGCATTCGTAAAGTCGGTGGCGGAGGACGTCCTCTCGGGAACATGAGGGCCAGAGTTGGCAGTGGTGCCTGACAAGGCGGTGCCCGGGCGCGGCCCCGGAGGCGCGTCTGGTTCTAATCGCCCGACGGCATGCATGTCGGGACGGTCTGAGGACGAGGTGAGGGTCGCGCCGGCAGCAGCAATCATCTGCGGGCTGAGGGGACTCGAAGAAGAGCTGGCGTGACTTCCATTTCTAGAATGTTGGATGCCGTGGACTATAGAGGTCTGGCGGTGGTGGCCATAGGAGGCGCTCTTGGGGTCGACGACTCGTTCGATAACGCCGCCGATGGCAGACCGGGACTGGGAGTGGTTCTGTGTTCGGGGGGAAGCGAGGTTTGAAGCGGAGACGGAGACGGGGGGTAGCTGCTGGGAGGACAGCTTTTCGTAGGAGGATTCGCGCGAGTGGGCGACGGAGCGAGATGACGGAGGGCGAGGTTCCAAGACGGCGGGCCTCAGGGTTTGGTCCCAACTGTCGTATTCCTCGTCTTCTTCGTCGAGGGTTGTGACAGAGCGTGGAGAGAACTTTAACGGCGGGTCCTGCAAAAGATCAGGCAGCGTCGTCTGGGACGGAGCTAGACAAGACGACGTCTTATGGTCAGTGACAGGCCTTCCCCTCTCTTGTGAAACAACTGGCTGCTTGTAGGGACGGAGACGGGGTGGAGGTTTGGAAGCGTTAGATGTTTTGAAGGTGCACAGATGACAAGGCCCAGCGGAGACGCACACACACGCGCACATACACACATACACACGTACACACACCAACGCCAGACTATACCCAGTAGTCGAGAGCCGTTGCAGAGGGAGAGGAAGAGGACGGAGACGGAGTAGTAGAGAGGGGGGGTGTGGGCAATGGTATGAAGGGCGCGGTAAAAGGCCAAGGGTCGGGGGAGGGAGAGGAGAGAGGTACACTCAGAATTCGAGGCACAGCAATACCAACACCAACAACAGCAATGGCGTGGGCGGAAAGCACAGCACCTAGCAAACAATGCAAAGCGAAGCAGAGCAAAGCGGCGCGAGGCTGGTTTAGACCCAAGTCTGTGTGTTCTTAGGTCGTTTGTGCGGGTGTGTGTGGATGGGGCGGATCAGGTTAAGGTAGTGGTGGTAGTGGTGTAATGTGGTAGATTGAAGAACAACGGCTCAAAAGCGGTAGGCTCGGCGAGCCACAGCGGGCCAGGGAGAAGGGACGAAACGAGACGAGACGAGACGAGATTGATGGTAGGCGAAGCGTAGCGTAGCGCAGACCGACGTCCAGCATCTCTACCCTCGCCTATCATCCGTCAAGGTAGGGCGTTGCTTCACGTAAGGCATAGAGGTATATGTGTGTGTATGGGAAGGCGGATGGAGATGGAGATGGGGATGGGGAGGGGGGGAAACAAGGTGTGAGGTAATGTATGTCATGCAGGTCTATACTCACCCATTGTGGTGTCGGATCGAGTCCCATGATCTGGGGTTTACGACATTCGAGATTCCGTGGCACCGTCACTGGTGGCCGAGAAGGGAGGATTTGACGGGTGGGTGAATAAGCGGAGGGATAGTTCAGAAGGATGGACGGTGGGAATGGGAGGAGGATGGAGGATGACGATGAAAAACAAAACAAAAGATAAAAAAAAATTAAAAAAGCGGCAGGAAAAAGGGTTCGGAGTGGGTGTGATGGGATAGAAAAAAAGGAGGACCAGAGCAGATCAGAACACAACCCGGGTCACCCAAAAGCAGGCAGGGTGACAGATCAATCAATCAATCAACAGACAGACAAATTCAGTCTTAATCAATTCGGTCAATAAAACGAAGCAAGCACCACCTCGGATCAGAGCAATAAGCCTCCTGGGGGTGGTTGGAAAAGAGATGCATCCATCGGTACCACAGCTGGCAGAGGAAAGGCACTACTATGCTGAAGTGGACTACGTTGTCACTCAAAACTGAACAGCAAGTAGCATTCGGGCCAGGGGGGACGAAAGAAGCATACATAATAACTGCATTGCAAGGTAAAGGTATCCAGAAAGAGAGGCTCAGTACCTTGGGCGGGCCTGTCAGGTACGGATACCTTTTCTTGTTGCGTCAATGTGCGCGTGGACAGCCCTGTCAAGCCAGCGGCCAATGTACCTTATCCTGGGCTTTTGGGTAGGGATACACACCTCACAAATGGTAAGTTATCCGATCCAACCTGCGAATTATCAGTTTTTTTTTTTTTTTTTACTCATTCTTTCTTGAATTCCTATTCAAGCAAAGCCCCTCATTCGCTCTACACTCAGCGAAACCCGGATCCACGGTTGATGTCATGCCTCTTTAGGGGTTTCTAACCTCTTCAAAATATCGTGGCCTCCTTTTTTTTTTTTTTTCTTTCCGCCTGGAGATGAAATCGTCCAAAACTACTACTTACTACTTTGTACCACTAGCCCATGGCTATGATGGAGTAGGAGGACGCTTTTCCACCAGTCCTAGGCACCACGAGACGTCAGCAGGTCTCCCGCTGCAAGCTTCCCGCTGCTGGCTCCCAGCCGTTATGCTACCTTGCTTCGGTCTCCGTAACGGTCCACTCAGACTCAAAGAGGCCCGCTGATGAGCATCCTTAGCCCGCCATGCCCGCTGCCCGCTGACTGCTGGTCGCCCAATATTTCATGGACCATCACATTTTTTTCTGAATGGATGGCATTGGCCACGCGACAAGGGGGTTGTCTATGCAAGGGCCACAACCAATTACAACCCCCCATTGCCCCGGAACGAGGAGGGGCAGCCGCCAAGGGAAGCATTGGTCCCTGAGGGTCCTCCCCAAAGGGCCAAGAATCAACAGGTTGAGAGGGGAAGGGGGGAAAAGGGAGGGTCAACCACCAGATGGACCCTCCTTTTGGCTCACTAGGAATGGCCTGGGGGCCGCAACATTGGCCGCGGTGTGGGCATGCTTCCATCCAATCCAGCTCGAACAGATCTCTTTTTGCGCATCACCTTGCAAAGTGAGGATGAAAGTCTGACGCCCAAAGAGCCTGCCCTGAAGCGGTATGGCCTCTAGGAAATCCAAGCCCAAGGTAAAGGGGCAGCGAGCAATCGCAATGCGTGCACTAGTTGTCACCTGGTTTGGCTTTCTTACTCCGAACTTTCTCATTCCTCAGGCCTCTCTTCTCCTTGGTTTGGCCACGCAGACTGTACTGCATACAATATGTCGAATTGGTGCGCCATCGTCGGTACGAACCCTAAAGCATGTCAAACTAGTCAGTCTACTCACACTCAGGTACTTTCCTTCTCTGCCGAGAAACGATAGTAATGGAAAGAGTTCGTGAAAGGAGAGGCTAGGCTCTCGGCTGCAGACTGTGAGCTGATGTTGCGGCTGCAGGAAGATTGTCATTTCTCGGAGGATTGTCCGCTGCACGTGTGGGTTGAAAATATCCGAACAATATCAATCCTGGTTCTCGTCAAATGAGCCAAGGGTCGTTTTTTGACGATTGCCAATTCCAGCCTCGATCACTGGAACAAGGACTTTCGGTCTCCTAATATACCAATTTGCTGCTCTTTGAAGATCCTGATGTCTGATCTCCAGATGCAAATTGATCTGAGCATTGTGTGCGGTTTGCCCAATGACCGAGGCTGTAGCAAAAGCTCAGTAGGCAACGATGTGGTTTCGGCAAAACTCCAGTCGCTGCGACACCAGAACAGAAAAAAAGAAACTAAACCGTTCGACAGCCGTGGCAGAGATAGACTGAAAAAATGAATATGTCCAGCTGACAGAGACAAACAAGTGAGAATCGGAAGGAAGTAGTCGACCACAACGTCATGCAGTTCCTACGATTGGCAGGCCTTCCTTTTAATAAATTGGCCCAGACCCGGTCGTTCGATTATTCAGTATGCTTATAAGTTTTGAATCAAACCAGCAGTATATTGCTGATGAAGGGATCACAATCTGCAATCCCTGCTACGAGCGGAAGGCGTGGGGCCTCCCCCGGTACAGGCGAGAGCAAAGCACGGCCAGGATGGGATCGGCGTGGGATACCGCCGGTGGTGGGTAGTAAGAGGACTGTGGGATGGTCCGAGACCGAAAGCTGAGAGGATGAAGTGAAACCCTTCATCGGCAGGCCGGAGAAGCCAGCTGGCCGGATTGCAAGATCCATAAATTTTCCTTGAAACCCTGACGAGAGTCCCGCCGTTCATGCTCCGGCAACAGGTCGGTAGCCTCGGGATGGACCTGTGACCTGGCTGAAAGTAGGCAGAGGTGAGCGATCTGCCTGCGACTGCCGGCCGGCCCGGCATCAAGGGGGCAGCGGACTTGTGTATTTGCCCGCGGCACCGACTCCACAGGGCGGGCAATACAACTGCTGGCTCGGCCGAGAGTCAGATAGTCATCCGGGCTGGGGCTTATGCAAGGCACGTATTCGTGTTCGGCGACGTGTCCTTCCTCCAAACCATCAAACCGGGGGTTCTACTGGTTCAACCATTGATCTGTCTACACAGGACAGCCGAGTCGAGACATAGTATCCAAGAGGGGCAGAAGAGCCACTGAGAAACGAAACCAGCGGGCAGGGGTCCGCGCCGAGGACCGGTATGCCTGGCACGGGGCGGCCCTTCAGTTTACAGAGTTGTACCGAACCCCGCGAGGCGAAAGTAGGTACTGAAGATAAAGTTGGGACGTCGGAGGTGGCGGCAGGTAATCTAAATCGAGAGTGTGACTGTCATAGATGGTTGACGATGGGTGGGTGGTGGTTCGGAATGGGTTGCCGCAGGTCTCTGCAACGGAGTCCGAGGGCGCGGAAAGGTATGGAAAGATTCGCAGCAGGCTGGCGAAATACAACACTCAGCTGCCGTTCGTCCATGCTGTTCATGGGTGTGGTCATGTTTGTGGTAACCCGTAATCGTGGCGTATGCTCGTTATCGGTCTCGCTGGGTTCCGTTGACTCGCTTTGCAACTTAATCGACGGCAGTGGGATCCATCATGATCTCCGCCTGGGAATGCGTCTCCTGCCACTTGCTGAGTTGGCACTGACGGTTCAATAACAAAGTGTGCTTGAGTCAGATCGAATTTGTTGCCCTGGTCGGTTCTGCTCTCAGACTCAACGCCTCATTAGTTCGACCATCTAGTTCACAACAGGACTGCTAATAATAATAATACCGTCTTTCCGACTTGTGGCGCAAGCCAAGGACAGTGGATTGAGAGAGCTGCAACTGAACCTCCTCTTGGGCTTCCATCAGCTTCCAGTGCCGTTAACTATTGCCGCACCACGCACAACAACGAAGTATAGAATAAACTCTTTTTTTTCCTTCCAAGCTGAACCCTGGCGTGGCTCCAAAGCTCGCATCGATCTCCTGACCCACCTGATGCAAGCTCCCAAGTCCGTCTGCCCCACATGAATGGCCAATCACAGAATGACTAAGCTACGGACTAGGGGACGGACCGACGGAGGTGTGGTCAGAGCGAGAGCAGGGGTGGGCGGAGCCGACTACCAAGCGGTAGAGAGGAGCGAACAGCAGATTACGGGTCGTACCATACTACGTAATATACCACACTGATCACCTAGAAATTAGCGTAGTGCCGTACGGAGCTTGTCGACTATTTCCTTCATGTGTTGCATATTGCCGCGCCCCTCCACCCAATTCCAAGACCAGATCCAACGTTCGGAACACTTTTGGTACATTTTCATTCCGAATCAGTCTAGGTAGGTGCCTTATCTCACTTTTTCCCCCCGGTCCAAGATACTTGTCTCTGTCTGACCTGTTCACCTTTGCTGACGGCTGCAGCACACACAAAAGTCGTT